TTGCTCGGACCAAAACCAAAACCCGAAAACCAAGAAGCTCAACGTTAACGTTCATTTACTCAACGGTTGTTGCTGGCTGGTTGGTGAAGTGCTTGTTTTAGTTCATCCGTAGACAATGGACATAGACATAGACATAGACATAGACCATGTGTTTGTTTGAAGTTTGGCGAAGCTAGCTAGATACTTAATTCTTAAATCTTATATTAACGGGGGCGGGTTAGACGATATGTGGGATTCCTCGAGCTTTCTTTCACAATTAATAGGTAAAAAAGACCATTTATAATATAGATGGATGGATGGATGGATGGATATAAAAAAGTACACAGGATATATACACCGAACACATCACAGGCTAAAATTCGTACAATTTCCAAAAACGTCAGTGGGTGAAAATGCTTCGCGACATATTGTTTAGTAAAATCTATATATAATCACCACGAACGACCACCCACAAGTTTTGACCGCATACCCCCAACAATCAATGCAGTAAGGATGTGGCCAAGCCAGGGCATCTTTAGCCAAAGCTAGAGATTTGCTCAGCCCTTTTCTACCCATCCCGGTACTTTGTCACTGGGAGGGAGGGAGTGCTCGCAGTATATTCAGATGGCAGCCATGGCAATAAAGCATAGCGGGGCATAATGTCAGCACCTTAAACGACGAAAGCAGACCAGTGGTTAATAAGAAAAGAAGATTTTCAGAGAGGCTTGCTTGGTAATGCGTGCTTGTTGGTGCTTACGCACAGATTGAACCAAGCATGGCACGCACGGAAGCCGTGCTCGAATTATCGTCAGCGATGATGAAGTGCCTGTGTGGGATTAAGATATCACATAAGACTTCAGAAACTAAGGAGATGACTGGATGCCAGGGTCCCGGGTACTTACTTTACTTTACTCTAGAACAATGGAATGGAAAAAAGAATGCTATGAGATGTTCCGCATGTATCATGTAATCCGTAAGAAAGGTATCCTGGAAACCACGCGGGAAATGCAAGAGGACACCCATAAACCATTTTCCACCACGGCGTGAGACTCGGGACGATGGGATTTACCCACTTTGTGAGAGGCCCGAGGGGCTGGAGCCGGAGTGAGTCTTTCGTTATCCCATAATTCAACGTTTCGTCGCAGACTTACATTTAAAATACCGCACGAGGATTTCGGTGCTTCAGTGACCCACAATTATATCGAGTTCGACTTGATTCCTATTATACCAGAGAACAGTATAATGTGGATGCCAAGATTCTTGCTAAGGATGCAAGTCGGACGAAAGACTCCGCTTCTAGAACTTGAGATGAGAGATTTACGAGACCAGACGAGTACTATCGATTCAGGAACCGATAATCTCCAGCCCTTACATTAGAGATGGTGAGCCCTTAAACGTATCTATGCGAGGAACCCGGTCAGAGTACCCTGAAGCTTGGGTGGTGTTGCTACTGCTGTTGAATATACAGCATGTGGCATTTGACTATTCTCCCAGGTGGCTTTTGCGCCCTTAGTAGTGAACAAGCTTCTGTAAGCTTTCATAGGCTTATGCATCCATGAACAGTCATCACTAGATCGGTAGTCTGGTGTAGTTATATTGCTCTCAGATTTTTTTTGGTACTGTGACTAACCAAGCTTGCAGTGAAAATGGATTGGTCATAAACATGAAAAGGCAAGCACTTTGCTGACGACGATGGTGGCCAAGGGAACAGATAGGGTAATGATAGGAATAGAAACATAGGAAAATTCCTTCAACGGAGTCATCTGTCAAAATGAAGGGGAAACATTAAGGGGAAGAGGCGGCAGGCGGGAGTAACAGACTCGTAACTATCAATATTCCGGATTTAGGAGTTAAATATCATTAGTGAAGGAAGGCATTAATTCCGCCATAAACCTTTGGGGCAGTTTCGCCGTAAATCCGAATCAATATGGTATTCATTGTTCAATGCTGATCGTTCATGGCGAAGAAAAAAAAAATAATCTTCACCGCAAAACATGTGTAACCATATCCTAAACCTCGGCCTCGATCAACCCCCATGCTAGAAACCTGATCTAAAGCCAATTCGTAACAGCCGGTCTCGAAGCCCTTTGATGCCTAAGATTATTGATTTCATTTCATCGTGGTGTTGGACAGCTAAAGATTGCGGAAAACAATTCCGTTTGTCGTTGCTACGGTACACGATGTTGTGAAGAGACAACACAACAAGCCTGCTTTCGGATTATTTGGCATCTGTAAAGATGAGAGGGGAAGATGGCGACCGGGTAGGGCTGAGCAGTCAATGGTGTCATGCGCAACGAGGCCATCTGGGCATCTAATGCGTTATTCGGTCGCACTGGATGGAAGATGCGAGGATGTGTGGATGCTTTATTAATCACCTTTTCCTTTCGTAACATGAACATCAAATTGTGGTACTCCGCTACTGTTCGACTTTCTCACCGTCGTTGAATTACGACTTTGCTCGGTAAAGCATGAATTTGCAATGATGATTGGCTGATGAGTGTCTAACAGGGGTGAAAATACTCCATGCAACCAATTTTCCTGCGGTGTGGACTTTGATTGATGGCGGAGAAGGTCGGGGGTGTCGAGGGTGTCGAGGGTGTCTGTGTGTTCAAGGGTTTGATTTGTTCTTAACTTTTGTTGTGATGGGGATGATGGGTGTGTGTGGAGTTTGGTTCCCAAGAAATATAGTAACATTTGGGATTCTTCCCAATTTTCCCAATTTTCCCTGGTCTTCATCGGTCTATCATCCAATCAATTTATTATCTCGTCCCCAAATATCTTGCGCATCGACCGTCCAAATCAAATAAACATATGACAAAGCACGTGTACTTCCAGGGCTGGATGTGACACGGCAAGGATATGGCTTGGGATGGATCAAATCGCAATCAATGATTCATCGTGCAATTACTGTAGACGGCGATGTCAATCTCAGCATGCTGAAGAATTCTCTTGGCTTTATGGGTTTAATGGAGAGTGAACACCAGTTAGAATATTTGAAGTATATCGCGACACCCGCAATCATTTTTCCCGCAGAGATTGCGCAGATTGGATCGTGTTTTAAAAAATAATAAAATACATATATACTAGGTAGGTGTGTGGTATGTATATACTCCGTATGGAGTTTGTATATATGATGGATGCATGGTGATGCATTGGCGATAGTGATTTAAAATCCATTGAACGTAGATCCGACCTATAGGGAAGCTTTTCCCGGTAGTTAACCTAGTTTTACGTACGTACCTACATAAACTACGCACTTATCTAAACCTCCTCCTAAAACCCGACCCTGTAAATAATCAGTCACTACCTAACTATAGTAAATGGCCGATGAGAGAGAGAGATATATATATATGTATATACGTATATACGTATATACATATCATCCGAAAAGTTCACATCTCCAAATGCCATGAATAGATTTGAGCCACGTTAGAAACAATGTCGGCGACCTCAAAGGAATCTTGTGATTGATTGTCCTTGGAGCAGAAATCGTAAAAGGGAAACAAGGCAAGGAAGGACGGGCTTAGAGGCTACTAGTTAGGCGTTGGTTCACAGGTGTGATGGAATCGTTTCGTTTACACATTCATGGCGTCCGATGTAGTAAAATGGAGCCTCCAATCCCAGTACAGAAGGCCATGCTTTCCATGAATAGAGCCCAGCATGGCCAAGATGATGTTCTCGAATATGTCTGATAATGAACTTCCGTAACCCGCAACTCGTAACTAATCCAGTGGATTAATGTCTATCGTGTCGTTTATCAGTCTCAAGGTTTTACTTTCGTACCAGGGTCCAATTGTCCGAGAAAAGGTCTTCAGGCAACCACTTTGAATTTTTGGCTATGCGACAAGACGGATGCACTGTGATGTGATAACTATCTCGATCCGGGCATTGAATTGACTTGACATCGTGGCTGATACTGAACTAAGTCACGAATGCACAAGCATTCCCCCAATAACACCATTTTAGAGTGATTAGATAGATGGGCCCGATTAGATGATTGTCCCCGTTGCTACTTAGTACTTACTAACCATCAGACCTTCCTTGCCTTGTCTTGTCCTGTTTGTCACTACGCAGCAAGTATGTAAATTAATTGCACATCAATCACAGTAGTACTCATTTCCTACCTGCGAGATGAATATTGGACGCTGGTACGAGCTGTTAGTTCTATATCTAAAATTAACATTTACACACCATGAGGACAAGAACGAGGAGAATACCAATATGGGGAAGTGCTAAGTCTAAATGGACAGTGGGAAGAAAGTTAGTAGATGGTGTATATCGTTTGTGCGTTCATCGATCGGTTCATGGTTCATGGTTCGAGGAAAGCTTCAAAATAGCTTTTCCTGTGGTTTGTGCTTCATCCATAACCTTACCTAGGTCATGAATGAATGGATGGCCGGTCATCTTTACTGCCATAGGGCTGGTGAGCTGCTACTTCGTCTTTGTACTGCCTCTTTGTATGTTTTGGTTTGAAATGTTTCTATCTCTGGAATCAAAGAATTAATCATCTTAGTGAAAATGTTTCTAAATTTATCTCCATTTCATCACACACATCTTTCTGGAATGATTATTCCGGCTGGTGGTGGATGATGATGGTTGGTGGTTGTGGTTGGTGCTGCTTTACGAGATAGACACTGGTGATATGAATGATATGGCGGAAATCTATTAATGGTCCTTAATTAATCCACAATTCCAATTTGAGAGATTTTGACCACGAAATTGGATCTTTAGTGCGCCTCACATATGCATGTGGATGAATGTACCCTTTTTAGGTTTGGACTCGGTGTCTATGGGATGGTGTGTGTTCGTTCTGGCAGAATCGATTGCCCCAGCTGCACGGCGCACCTCCCGGCCGTTTTGAACAGGGTGTGCAAAGTGGCTTGCAAGGGGGGCATGCTGTGCAGGGTATCTAAAGTAATTGCAGGGCATTTTCTTCTTCTAGGGTTTTCAGACAGGGTTTCGTCGTTTGTGTTGTAGTGTAGCTGAGCAAGAGGTGCGCCAGGATTCGGGGCCAAGTGGTTTGAGAATTCCGTATAGCTGCGTCAGTTTGGTTATCCCGCATTCACATATATATCGAGGAATGCCCCCCAGTGTAGGGGCAACTCAAGACCTTGTTGCAACAGACCTTCAGATCCTCCAAGCCTGCTCAAGCTCTACCTTCAACCTTTCTATATTTGATCCTCCATCAGTACCTTTCCATTACTTTGAATAAACCATCAACATGTCTCGCCACAGCTATTCATACTCAACAACGGCTACTACCGCCAGACACATGACAACTCACGGCACCAGCAGCGCTTTCAGCAGTTCTGCCAATCCAGATGAAGACTGGACAAAGATTTCTGATCTTGCTGAGCGCAGAAGAATTCAGAATCGTATTGCTCAAAGAAACTACCGTAAGTTATTCTGTCATAGCTTTGAATCATCAACGGCCACTAATTCTTTACTTTTAGGCAAGAAGCTCAAGAGACGTCTCGAAGACCTCGAGCGCAGAGCCGGTTCCTCTTCAGCTTCCCCACCTCAGGCGCATGTGGAGCTTCATCAACAACCAGAGCGCAGCAACGAGAATCAACAATACAGAAGGAGCCCAGAAAATGTGCAACGACAGGTCTCTCCAAGACTTTTGCCTAGCCAATACACACCTCCTATGCACAGCGATGACGAGATCATCTTCTCTCAGCATTTCGATCGTGATGGATCTAGAACACCACCTCTATTCACATATCACACATACCCTGCTCCCGAGGATATTTCCTATCCACCATACCCACATTCACAGCCATATCGCGCTATTTCCGACAGTGAGCGATCAGAAGCATACCAGCATTACATGGCGCCCACAGTGCCAGTGACTTTACCCTCCATGATGCACTTCAATGACGCAATCAAGCGGGAACCTGAAGATACCATGAGTCCCTACAATATGAGCTACCAAGGCTTGCCAGGAATCGATATTCATTCACATCACGGTTATGATAATCCTCATGTAAGGCACCCTCAAGCTGCGAAGCCACTTGGTTTGGGTCCTAACAGATATATGCAGACGCCACCTCTATCACACTCTTACGAGCATTCTACCACATGTTCCGAGTCCGGATACCAATATCCCACTACTCCTCTTTCCATGCCTCCGTCACCACGCATGATGACGCATATATGAGAGAGTGTCTCAAAATGACGATTCAGGATATGTGATCTTTTGCTTGGGATATGTGAAACAGAGTTCGAAGTGCTCGACACTCGCTTTAGATGGTATTTGGGCATTGCTTGGAAATGATGGAAGATCTGGGAGGAACAAATCAATGGGAGTCAGGAGCGTACGGAGTTTGATTTACTGCTGGTAGAAATGAAGGAACGATCCTAATGTAAATACCCAGTACGATTAGTGTTTTTTTCCTTTCATTCTTTTGTATAGCAAAATCTGGAAATGACTTCTCTAAACCTCGCATTCCAAATATTTTCCAGAGCATTGTGATATGTCATATAATTTGCCTGGGTATTTCATAGCCATGCACCAAATGCCATGCTCAAAATAGATATATTCACAGCCACCAACCAACATACACGATTCTTATCTCCAGATTGAGACCGAGACTTGATCTGCGAGCCCTACGATCTCCGTCCAAACAGTATATGTATCATCGGTCATCGGACCTGGTAAACACCCCGCGGGTTTGGGGGCCATCATGATTTGAGCAAGGAGAGGGAAGGATAAGGCCAGAGCTTCTCGGGCGAAAGATCCATTTGTGATGAATTTTCCGTGCGAACTCGGGTTATACTCTTTGACGACCGATGGACGAGCTCTTTCCCTCGCCGCAGTCGCACGCTTAATGCATAGTTTTGTTGTAAATTAACGGTGATGATCCTTGAAGTATCAGTGTTACCGTTGGTGTTTGTTTTGTTTTTGTTGGTAGTGTTGTTGGATCAAGCATTAGATCAAGCATTAGCAGTATTGGAAAAAAAACAAAAGATAGACCCAAAGCCCGAGTGTACCCAAACAATCTCACCCCCCACAATTGCCAATTGCTTGATTTGACGCACGCACGGATCGGGAATTCCTTTTTTCCTTACAAAAAGGAAAAAAACGCGCTTAGTGAAATGAAATGAGACCCGAAGACTTGGTAAATGATTATGATGATTAAATGATTATACTGTAAGATCTACATTTTTCATGTAAGATCTTACTAGGGATAACTTCAAAATCATTGGATAATCTATACGGGATAGTATTTGAAATTATCATTTCAACAGTCAATGCAGTGAGTTGTCTAAGATCTAATCAATCCCCTCAGCAGAAGGCTAGAGGTATTTCTGCCAGTTTTGTGTTGATCGTTGATTCAGAACGGAACGGAAATTTCCTTCCTCTGCAGTGTCATAACGTCATCACCATTTATCTCGATCCATCAACATCACCATCACCATCACCATCACCATCACCATCACAATCACCATCGCCATCATCATTGCTATCATTAGTGTATCACCTGTCAGGAATCGTACGACAAATACAGCACTTTGGACCATCCCATCGCTGAGAAATCCCAGACGTTAATCGACGTCGGTTCTATTGATGGATCTTTTTGGCGGGCCAAAGTAAGCATCAAATCTCCGTGCAAGCAGTTCTACAGCATTTTACTAATGCTTTATCTATCAAGGCCCTGGTCGGCTCTCGATTGGACCTCAAGTGATGATAGAGTTAGAGGGGGAGCTTCACAATCTTATCTCCAATGCTCAACTTCCTCCTCTGTAGCTACATTCACTGGTACTCTCGACATCAAGACTCTCGGAGGTGCAGGTTTCGCTTCCCAAAGAACGACTGCAGACCATACTGTAAGTTTGTAGAATGAGGCATGATTCTATTCCTATGTCCCTATGTTCCGAGTTCCAATCAAGAGTTTGATCCTATTCACCAAAGGGGCTGGTTGCATTCTGTTTAACCAGCCACCTCGCATTCTCATACATTTATCGTTACATTCGTTAAGTTATAGTTGGGAAATTTTACTCGATCTTTTCAATACCTTTCTAATGCAATTTCTGAATGCGAAAATGCGGTTAGAACATTGAGCGCACGTGTTCGAGGCAACCCGGGACCTCTATATACCAATCTAGAATGCTACACTAGTATATGACTTTCAATTTTTTCTGATGATTACGGAATTCTGTTCTGCATACGGTTAAGTACAAAGTTGTATTACTATGTCAGACACAGATCGGTGTCTCATAGCGACCGGAAAATACCACTTGTTTATAGAGTTGAATGGATACTGAAGCGCTTCAACTGACGCAGAAGAAAGCAAGCGCTTATTCATCTCTCCAGTAACAGTAAATATACGCATTAAGTAATTCGCAGCGAGACAAGTCTGCGGAAAGTCTATCAATTGACCATGGACTTTAAGCTGACAACCCAATCTGCAGTGGGACCTTACGGCCTTTGATGGAATCTTACTCGATCTTGGAAAAAGTGATCAAAAACAATACACCTTCATCATCAAAGATGAATTGCTTCCAAAAAGTCCCAATGGCAGAGAACAAAGTACTATTAGTTGGGAGTTTGACTTCAAGGGCCCTGTAGATCATTCACTCCTTTTTGTGAACTGGGCAGATTTAAAGCCCACTTATAGGGGGCGGGAAATGAAAGATGCCACTCCTCTGGATCTAAAGAATATCAAAAGATTTAGCATCATGATGCGAAGGTATTTCCATCAGTCCATCAAATGTCACATTTACTAACACAAATAAGCTTCTTCGGCAGCCAAGAAGGGGGCTTTTCCCTGGACATCATATCAATATCCGCCACAAAAGACAAGGAGAGTATCAATATGCCATATCGAGATGATCCCAACGAAAAAGGTCACACGAACCTAAGTTCGGGAATGGATGAAGCAATTCCTACAAAGCGGCAGAGCTGGCTGGCCTGGTTTTTTGGGTCATGCAATGTATCATAAAAATTGACGGATCGGTAAATACATCACTGACCTTCACTGTGTCCTCGGCGGCAATCTCATGGCGCCACCATATACCCACCCCCGCTTCGATCCTTGCTCGCACGAGGTTCTGCTGACATATTGGTGACTGGTCAATGAATACTAAATATCACCCGAACTTAAGTGCTTACCCTGTCCGATCTCTTCATGCATTTGGGAGGATGATCCACTATTTTTAGAGAGAGCCCGTTGAAGATCTTGAACCGGAAGGATAATGGAGTATCCTAATTCGCATTCACGGTTGTCACAAATAAATGCGGTTGACTGTCAATGATTGAGACATTAGTTACCTCGGACCGAATTTCGTTGTAACTAGCCATGTTTACACAAGTACAAGGGGCCTCATTCCTTCCGGGTGTACAGTACAACCCTAAATAAGGCTTCTTCGAAGAAGGATTCATTCCGCAAATTGGATCCCAGACCGTCACATGTGTCTCTATCGATTGCCAAGATAACAACGTTTGTTAACCCCTTGATCGCATTTGCTAGGTAGCTACATATGTATTATGGATGCTTCAATCAACGACGTAACTACCATGCTGCAGTGTAGTATTCGTATACACACCACACCTATTATCAATAAGCACTACATAAAGTTCCCCGAATGAACACCAGTTTTTTCCTATGTTCTTCATTCTAGAAGCATTTAATTATATTACAGTATTACATCGTCTGCGGCACATTTGAATTGAGATCTTACTTTCTACCTATTTAGTCAAAAGGGCATCCATCCATTCCTTCAAATCCCCCAACCTTCCAATTTTACCCACCATGTACGTTTGGAACCCTGGTCACACACACACTTATTTAATAGAAACCCTGTATCCCTCGTGCTCTACGCCGCAAATACCACCCACACCTAAAAAAGATTTTTGATTCTCATGTGTCCAATCTATCTGTACAGAGTAGATGTAGATGGATGGATGGATGAAGAGTCGTAAGTCCCTGACAGCTGAAATATTCCACGTTTTCCCCTTGTCTAACTCAACATCTCATTCACATCCACACCTTCATTCCGCTTCTTTATACGACAGCCTACCTACCTACCCCATGCAATTCTGCAATACTACAATACCACCCACCGTGGCCGTACTGTATGTACCAACCATACCATACCATACCATACCGAGTACGGTGAATAATCCATTCATCTACTCCATACAAATGATGATTATTACTCCATACATTACATTCTCTCCTTCCGTCTCCTCCCCTCTCGCTTCGTCTCATTTCGTTTCGTCTTGCGCTCTCTGCTCTGCTCAGTGCTCAGCTCCTTCACGCGAAATGTCTTAATGTCTCAATTGATGTCCATCAGCGGTTAGTTTTGACTTCTCCACAAACGGCACGCACGGGTACGTTAGGTTAGGTTAGGTTAACCTTGAAGAGAATTCCCATATCGATGATTTGATGATTCAATAGGTATGTCATGACAATACAACATAACATGACCAAACAAGTCTCGGGATCTACGGCATAGAAACTCTTGGGATTGGAATCGATGCTTGGACTTTTTGTATTCGATAAAGGTGCTTTTGCTGTGCCTTGCAATTGTTGAGGCAGTGAAGTAGTTATGAATTAATTTTGTCATGAATGTCTTATTAATCGATTTTCGAATCTTTATATTCATCATTCATGAGCTCATCGGCTGGGTATCAAATCCACTCGACTCACATGTTACCGTCTTGAGTACTGTATGTAGCATACTTTTCTACTTTCACCACAAGGTCCTATATACTCCGTACATACAGATACATTGATAGACCTAGATTTTATTTATATCTTCAAAAAACATCCCATTAATGGATGTCCACTGAGCTCCGGGTATACGGATCGTTTCGTCTCCGGAATATAAAATCTAGATTCTAGGCATCTATGTATCATTGTATCTTAATTCCCACGCGATAGTTACTTAATTTGGATTATTTCCCCATTTTTCAATGCATTTCCATGCATACTCCGTACATTTGTTTGAAGATCTATCTTCAGAATCCTACCGTGTGGTCTTTCTCGATGATTTGTCCGTCCCTGGCTGTGAACATGTGCTATGTCACTGTCTATGTCACTGTGTATGTATGTATGCACTGTTATCGAAAAGTATCACGACTTGCTAACCTTAGGTTAGGTCTTCATTCCAAGATTCGTTCTGTTATACGAGCAAGCTACATATGCATATTAATGCATAATGCATTCCTCCATCACAATATGCACTCGAACCACGTTTTACTCGGCCCCCATCTACACTACAGTATCTCCCTTAAATACGTACTAGGTATCTGTTTAAAGTGATTTAGCCAGCCTACCACAGCACTTCCCTATCTTACCCAAACCTTACTTTCCATTTAGCCTATACACTCCATGACTAGAAAACCAAAACACCATTAATTAATTAACCAACCTTAGCCTTACTAAGCAAGCCATTTCCCGAATTATTCTATTCTATTCTACTCGAATACATAAATAGAAAACTTCTAGAAAAATCCCACTGCAGATTTCTGTACTCCGTACAGATACATACATACGCTGAGTAATGCGTACCGTACATTACATCTATCTATCACAAATGATGTAAGACTAAGACGGGTATCACCATATCTGAAAATCTGATGAACCAAACAGTCTTACCGCTCCGAAGGTTCAGGTACGCATACCTTGTTCATCTGATGTGAACCTGTACGAGTACCAGTGCTGTATGTAGGTGTCCGCATATTTGTGCAGGTACGGGATGCTGGCTTACACTGTACCTGTATACTCGATCTTTGCGCCTAAGTGGGTGGGAAGGATGGGTAGGTGATACGAGTTTGTTCTGCTGTTAGTTGGGGATTTGTTGTTATGATTTTTTGAATTGTAGGATGGGAGGTGGTGTATTTCTTTATTGCTGTTTCTTTTTTTTACTCGTTATATTATTGTTAATATTATTTCTTCAAGATGATCTTTGTCTGGCTGTATCGTTTACGTCTTTGCGAGTTGTTTCATATTGAGATATAGAATGCATGGTGTTTTTTCTGTAGCTAGATAAATGTTACTCCTAGTAGAGTAGCTAAGTACCACAATCACAAAAATCCATCCAGTTGAAGAAGCTACAGCTAGCCGTAAAATACGAACAAATACCTGCCTATGTAGAAGAACCCGTCAGTATCAAAATCAACATCAACAACAGTAAAAGCAACCAATGATATATATCAACCAAGCGCAAAAATAGAAATCCACACAATCCCAACTTCTCAATCTTCTTCCCTCCTCCCCTCCCTTTCCCACCATCCGACTCCAAATCTTACCTACTTACTCTAATTCCACAAATCCCAAATCGGAAGAAGCCGCACCGCTCATATCTCTGTATCACCACTCCAACATTAACACCAAACATCAAACACCAATTGCAAGTAATCTTACCACCCACACCACATATACACAGAAATATTCAATCCCTCCAACCCAAGCCCCCGTTTATACACCAAGCCCTATCACATATAAACTAGGTAATCCTACGTAAGAATACCACTTTATCCCTATAGCTACTATTACATTACTACACTACATTTTCTATACACCGCTTTTGCGCCCTATATATCTATTCAACCAAATATCTGAATATTGATATATCTCCGACTTCGATTCGTTTCGATTCGATTTGTAGCGTAGGCTTAGTAGTCAGGATTAGTTTCTCTTATTTATCAAACCAAATCAAATCTAAGCAAAACCTAAGCAAACTGAACCGAAAAGAAGGAAAGAGAAAGAAGGAGGAGAAGAAATTTGACGGATTGCCCCCACCACCACCACCACCGCCATCGCCACCGGAAAACTATACTCCGTACAATACGATACCTCCACGTCGCAGCCAAGAAAGAGGCAGTGTAAGCCTCTTAAGTTTTTCTTTTCGATCTATACATGTCCTTGTGATTGCCACTGTATTGTTTTATGTTTGGGGGTATTTACTTTTTAAAGTATTAAAGACTCAAAAAGAAAAAGAAAAATTCATATATATATATAAAAATTGATTTATTATATTTATATATATATTATTGTTATTTTCTTTTATTTTATAAATTATATAATTATTTTAATAACAAAATTCTTTTGTATCTTTTAATGATGATATTATTATTATAAAATATATAATAATAATAATAATAATAAAATATATATACAATTACTATCTACTCTTTTATATTCCCTTTACCCTGATTATATACTCTTTTATATATCTATACTCTTTATCATTTTTTAACTCCTTCATCCTCTTCATTCTCTTCATCCTCTTCATCCTCTTCATCCTCTTCATCCTCTTCATCCCCTCCTAGAAAAACAGTTAAAAAAAAATCCAGCAAAAACCCATCCATTTATATTCAAACCCGCTAGCCAAGTTTTAGAATACATTCATCATCCATCCATCCATCCACATATACACACTAGTATACCCATCTCAACATCCACCTCACCCACCAACTCTAAAGAATCATATACATACATTAAAAACTCAAAAGAAATACATAAACATCCGCATCCAACAACCGACCAATACACCAAGTCGCCAACAAAACATCTCATAATATGCATTTTTCCCTCTTTCATTTTCCCTCCTCCCCTCTATAACATATCCCCCTTCCACTCACTACCTAAGCTATGAGCCTATATACCACGTACCCACGTACCCACGCACCCATATCCCTATACATTCCACACACCGCACACCCCTACATCTCGCATCTCATTCCCGTCCACCCTACAACCACCAAGAACCAACCACCAGCCACCAACCTACCTACCCAAAACCACACACAAACCGTTAACCCTTCCCTCCCCCCCAAAGAAACGCATAACAAACCCCATTACAGACCCATCTACCATCCATTCCTACCTACTCAAAACCCCATTTTCTCATTTTCCTCATATTCAACATTCCTCCCTCTCAGTTTCCCTCCTCCAAAATCCACCCAAGAGATCAATAATCCCCAGATGATTCCCTGCCATCATCTCGCATGCATCTGAAATCTTGAAATGAAATGAGATGAGATGCGACGATATAAAGAAAGAGATCGGATAAAATGATCCAGGAGAAGAAGGGGGAATACTTAAACTTAAGCGAACGCAGTATATTACCTAGATCCTAAATCTAATATTTATTAATAATCACTATTGAGTCTTTTCTTGGAACAAACAGAAAAAACGTCATTAATTGAAGTGGTACTGGCGAGAATAAGCTGGTCTATTTTCATATGTATGCTACTTTTGTGTAGCATTTTAGTTTTATCATATTCCTGTCCCCCTTTGCACTCCGAGAATCGAAAAAGATCAGTGCTCCATCCGCAGTTGGTGCGATTGTGCAACCTCCCGGGTGTCTCAATCCCAACCGAGACTCAGACTAAGTTCAAGCCATCAAGGTGACAAGATCCATCTATAGTCTCTCACCAGCAGCCGCCTTAGCCTCACCATACTTCTTCAATCTGATAGATTGAACACTAATGAAACCGGTAGTATCCGCAGGAGCGAATGAACCAATTTCATCCATGGAACTCTCACTTGCATCGTACAACTTCTCGGTTTCTGAGGAACGACCCAAGACACTGAAGGTACCCTTGTATACACGACATCTGACTTGTCCATTGACATTCTTCTGGGAAGCAACAATAGATTCCTCGATGAACTCACGTTCAGGGGAGAAGTAAAGACCATTATAGAGAATCTTGGAGTAATTGTAGGTAACGAATTGATCACGGAGAGCACGGACTTCACGGTCCATGACGAGACCTTCGAGATCAACGTGAGCAGCGCGGAGACAGGTGAGACCAGGAGTTTCGTAACATCCTCGGGATTTGAGACCGATGAAACGGTTCTCAACGATATCGATACGTCCAACACCGTGACGACGAGCGATGGCATTGGCTTCGAGGAAGAGTTCAACAGAGTCAGTGATGGTCTTACCATTTGTGATGAGCTTTTTGGGGAGACCCTTCTCGAAAACGAGAGTGAAGTCTTCTGGTTGATCAGGAGCCTTCAATGGATCAACAGTCAACTTCCACATATCTTCTGGTGGGGTGACATCTGGGTCCTCCAAGATACCAGCTTCGTAACTGCAGTGTGCCAAGTTCTCATCCATACTCCATGGCTTGGCCTTTGTGCTGCTAACTGGAATGCCTGCCTTAGCAGCGTACTCTAGGAGATCGTTTCGGCCAGCGAAACGCTCGTAGAATTCTGGAAGACGCCATGGGGCAATGACTTTGATGGTTGGTTGGAGAGCATAGAATGCGAGCTCGAATCGAACTTGGTCGTTACCCTTTCCAGTACAACCGTGAGATACGGCAATACATCCTTCCTTTTGGGCGACATCGATTTGTGCGCGAGCAATAACTGGACGAGCAAGAGATGTACCTGATTGTCAAACTAATTAGCCTCAACTCTCCTTAAATCCTCTTGTATAACATATGTGTGACTCACCCAGCAAGTATACGTTCTCGTAGATGGCGTTACATTGAACGGCAGGGAAGCAAAGCTCGTCGACGAATTCTCTGGATATAATATTAATTATATTCTCCAACAAAGACTAACATGCTTGCATACCTCTTTAAATCCTCAACATAGCATGCAACAGCTCCGATCTTCAAAGCCTTGGCCTTGGCAGCTTCAAAGTCCTCTGCTCTCTTATTAGCAAGATATTACTTTCCTTAAAAAACTGGAAAATATCATACCCTCTTGACCAACATCGGCCATGAAGCAAACGACATCATATCCCTTCTCAATCAACCAAGCTAAGATACAGCTAGTATCCAAACCACCACTGTAGGCGAGACAGACCTGAAGTCGATATACATCAGCTCAGGACTCTTTTTGCTGTTATATGATTCATGAAACTGGAAAGTTCAATCTTACCTTATCCTTTGCCATTTTGAAGTTTGTATATGTGAAATTGTATGAGTAGGTAAGTAAGTTGTAATTGAAAGCTGGTTTATATCCTTTACAAGTATGAGTAATGTTGGTTTTAGTGTAGTCAATTGAGGGGATGGGCTCAACAACAACAATAATTAATTACCATGGTGGGGTCAGGGTCGAAATTACGCGCTTCCTTTCTTTATCAGGCCAATTTTTCTCACCCCACCAGCCACACACCAGCCACAAAGATAACTAGATAAAGCTAGTTAATATTACCAGCCTTACCATTTCCCCTGTCAGATGTGGCAGTTGAAGGGGAGATAGCCAATTGAAATGTTCTGACCAAAATTCATGACAGAGTCCTTATCAGGAGGCGAGAAAAGAATTTTCGTTGCTGCTGCAGCTGTTATCCGATTTCGCTGCCAATCCTGCTAGTTCTGAATATTGAAATTCCTCACGCATTAAAGCCATCTCAATTAACCACTTGCATCAAATTGGCTGAAAATGAAAGGCACATAGCCATAAATTTCTGAAGGGGTGGGTGTTTGAAAATGGAAATGTGAAGCTCTATATTGGCATAGAATCTTGATGAATATTACACAATGCTGCAAAAACTCCAGCAAGATAGTCAATCACCACGTTTGATATCACCCTGTAATTTTGCAAAAGCACCAAGTTTGTGAAACTGTCTTGATTTCTTAATCCATCAAGATGAACTACTTCATAGGGTATCGACGATGTATAGTCGCTCTACGCCCTCAAGACCACTGGCTCCTAATTAACAAAAACACTAAAACAAACCACACCCGAGAAATTATCAACCTTGCTACGAATAAATATGATTCGACATCGTGTTGCCACTAATGCAAGATCAGTAACCAGCCCGTCGTTTCTTCAAAGAAGCAAAGTAGGTAATTGCATTAAACTTCTATTCCTCGCCCTCAATTGGGGCCTCCTCTTCGTACTCCTCCTCTCCCTCAGAGATCGAGGCATCTTGGTATTGTTGGTACTCGGAGACCAAATCGTTCATGTTGGACTCAGCTTCAGTGAACTCCATCTCGTCCATACCTTCACCAGTGTACCAATGCAAGAAAGCCTTTCTTCTGAACATAGCAGTGAATTGATCACCGACACGCTTGAAGAGTTCTTGGATGGAGGTCGAGTTACCGACGAAGGTGGAGGACATCTTGAGACCACGAGGAGGAATGGAGCAAAGGGCGGTTTGGACGTTGTTAGGGATCCACTCGACAAAGTAGGAAGAGTTCTTGTTTTGGACGTTGCGCATTTGGTCCTCAACCTCCTTCATGGAAACCTTACCACGGCTACACACGATTAGTATATATTCGGCTACAAACGGGTAATATAGCAAACTTACAAGATAGCAGAGCAGGTCAAGTAACGACCGTTACGGAAATCGGAAGCGGCCATCATATTCTTAGGGTCGTACATTTGTTGGGTCAACTCCGGAACAGTAACAGCACGGAAAGAGTGTGCGCCACGACTGGTCAAAGGAGCGAATCCAACCATGAAGAAATGAAGACGGGGGAATGGAACCATGTTGACAGCCAACTTTCGGAGATCTGAGTTAAGTTGACCAGGGAAACGGAGACAGGTGGTAACACCGGACATGACAGCGGAGACCAAGTGGTTAAGATCTCCGTAGGATGGGTGGCTGAGCTTCAAGGTTCTCATGCAAATGTCGTAAAGAGCTTCGTTATCGATACAGAAGGTCTCGTCAGAGTTCTCGACCAATTGATGGACAGAGAGAGTAGCGTTATATGGCTCGACGACGGTATCAGAAACCTTTGGCGATGGAACGACGGAGAAGGTAGCCATCATACGATCTGGGAACTCCTCACGGATCTTGGAAATCAAAAGTGTACCCATACCAGCACCAGTTCCACCACCGAGAGAGTGGGTGATCTGGAAACCTTGAAGGCAGTCACAGCCCTCAGCCTCACGACGAACGACATCAAGAACTTGGTCGACAAGCTCAGCACCCTCAGTGTAATGACCCTTAGCCCAGTTGTTACCAGCACCGGATTGACCGAAAACGAAGTTGTCGGGGCGGAAGAGTTGACCGAAAGGACCAGCACGGACGGCATCCATGGTACCTGGCTCCAAATCGACGAGGACGGCACGAGGAACATACTTGTTGCCGGAAGCCTTGGATTTGTTAGCGAATACGCTTCGTACTGCCGAAGTTGTGTGTATATACCTCGTTAAAGTAGACGTTCATACGCTCAAGTTGGAGATCGGAGGTACCATTGTAGCTGTAAATAAACAATGTCAGAAATGCTTCAAACACGGTAAGGAACTGTAATATTACTTACACACCAGAGCCATCAAGACCATGCTCGCCAGAGATAGTTTGCCTATATCATGTTAGTATTGAATCTGAGATTGTCGCGCAGCAGAGCTTTCGCAAAGTCGTACCAGAAAGCAGCACCAATTTGGTTACCCTGAGCAAAACGTCAGTAAATTTTGTTAGCATCGGTCGAGTTGAGTTGACTTACACATTGGCCGGTTTGAAGATGAACCTGCAGATTGAAAAGTTACATGGTCAGCGATATTGATACTTTTGAAAAATATATAGTGGGGTGCTTTTCAGGGGTAAAGTCAACGCGTTCTGAATAGAGCAGTAGAAGCTGTAGATGAAGAGAGAGATATACATACGATCTCACGCATATTGAAGGTAGATTTAGGATTTTGTTTTGAGGAGTTGAGGTATGAGAGTTTGAATATTGAAAAGTCGAGGTTGTAGATAGAGAAGTAGGAGGTTAAGGATTGCTGAGATGTCCTTGTGGATAGTGGAGTTTGTTGTTCACACCGCTAGGAAGGAGCAATCGGTAAACAAATACCACACTAGCGTGGATTAGTTTTACTCAATAAAGTTAGTATGTCGGACGACGGAATATTCTTAGTCACGTGAAATAAAACGTGCGGATCGAATTTGTGAGGCAATTCACATCAAAGACGCTGATATCTCCCAGTTGATACATAAGGATCTCTTTGTTGACGGTACTGAACTCATCCATTACTTTCTGTGAAACATTTTTCATCATGGAAGCAGAAATAAAGACCTTCTTACCTAATATTGATCCGGTTGTATCGGAATATTCTGTTGGGTACCTCACCCACGCATCAAATGCATATGTAGAGGCAGACCAAAATGGTCCATCTCCATTATCAGAAGCAGCTGCTTCTATCTCGGCGCTCTTACTATCAGCTTCTGGTGATCCAAGCCCAGAAAACAAGTCAAAGATCAATGAACTAGTGGGCAAATGGGTACGAAAATTTGATGGTAATGGACAAAATAAGCAAATTTCTTCTGCTGCCAAACGACTAGATCAAGCCATCCAAGTTGGGGCTCAAAGAAATATGTCGTCTACTTTGGGCGTGTCTCTTGGAGGTGTTGATTTGGAATCTGCAAATGTTAGAAAAGTGGAGTCGAGAGTTGACAGGAAGAAGTTGGAGAAAGCTGAAAGAAAGATTGCTGCCAAACAAAGCAAGAAGGAATTCAAGGCCGTCGAATATGAGGCTTCTAAACTTATTAATCAACCTGATGATGCCCAGTCATATGAAGAGTTCTTCATGGCTGTCAATCCTTTGCAATTAGGATCAGGTCAATCGACAAAGAGCAAGGACATTAAGGTGGACAATATTGATGTTTCTATTGGTGGTTTGAGAATTTTATCAGATACAAACTTGACCTTAGCTTATGGTCGAAGATATGGTTTGGTTGGTCAGAACGGTATCGGAAAGTCTACTCTATTGAGAGCTTTGGCAAGGAGAGAACTGGCCGTACCTACCCACATTTCCATTCTTCACGTCGAGCAAGAGATTAGTGGAGATGATACGCCCGCGTTGCAAGCTGTGCTTGATGCTGACGTATGGCGAAAACACTTACTTGCAGAGCAAGTTAAAATTTCCAAACAACTTGCAGATATGGAAGCAGAGCGATCTTCGATGGCTGATACCTCTGAACAAGCAGAAAAGCTTGACAAAGAGCGTGAAGGTCTTGATCAGACCTTGGGTGATATTCAAGGCAAGCTTGCGGAGATGGAATCTGACAAGGCTGAATCTCGAGCTGCAACCATTTTGGCAGGTCTTGGTTTCTCTCCCGAAAGACAACAATTTGCTACCAAGACATTCTCTGGAGGTTGGCGTATGCGTCTCGCACTGGCCAGAGCCCTGTTCTGTGAACCTGATCTTTTACTTCTTGACGAACCGTCTAACATGTTGGACGTTCCTTCCATTACTTTCCTTGCCAACTACCTCCAAGGATATCCAAGTACAGTTTTGGTAGTATCTCACGACAGAGCATTCCTAAACGAAGTTGCAACCGATATCATTCATCAACATTCGGAACGTCTCGATTACTACAAGGGTGCCAACTTTGAATCTTTCTATGCTACAAAGGAGGAACGCCGCAAGACAGCTCAACGAGAATATGAGAACCAAATGGTGCAACGTGCTCATCTCCAAGCATTTATCGACAAATTCCGTTACAACGCTGCCAAGTCCTCAGAAGCCCAGTCAAGAATCAAAAAATTGGAGAAGATGCCAATTCTCGAAGCCCCCGAATCCGTTTACACTGTCCATTTCAAATTCCCAGAGGTAGAGAAGCTTTCTCCCCCAATTGTCCAAATGACCGACGTATCCTTCGGCTACACCCCCGACAAGCCTCTCCTCCGCAACGTCGACCTAGACGTTCAACTCGACTCTCGAATTGGTATCGTCGGACCCAACGGAGCCGGTAAAACCACTGTCCTCAAACTCCTCATTGGAAAGCTTTCCCCAACCGGAGGACTCATCTCCCAAAACCCTCGACTCCGCATTGGTTTCTTCGCGCAACATCACGTCGATGCCCTCGATCTAACCACCAGTGCCGTCGGCTTCATGACCAAAACCTACCCAGGAAAAACAGACGAAGAATACCGTCGCCACCTTGGCGCCTTCGGTATCACCGGTATGACAGGTCTACAAAAGATGGAACTTCTATCCGGAGGTCAAAAATCCCGTGTAGCATTCGCTTGTCTCTCTTTACAAAACCCACATATCCTCGTTCTTGACGAACCGTCCAATCACTTGGATATTGAAGCTATGGATGCGTTGAGTCAAGCCCTGAACGCATTCCAGGGTGGTGTGTTGATGGTTAGTCACGATGTTACGATGTTGCAGACAGTATGTACGAGCCTTTGGGTTTGTGATAGTGGGACGGTGGAGAAATTCCCTGGGGATGTGCAGGCATATAAGAGGAGAATCACGGCGCAGGCAGATGCAAGCGGTGTTGTACAGGCTCATTAGTATATCTTCAAACTTTTATAAGCTGCCAATAAAGCCGAAATATTTACCACAAGCTTCGAATTGGGAAGTCGCATCATGGTCCAGTTTTTGGAGTCATTTCCTGTCTAACATTTCACAAACCTTTCTGCCGAATCTAATACCCCTTTTTTCTATCCACCAAATTGATCAAATCCCTTCCCTTTTCTATATTCTCTAAATTCTCTTCCAAAATTGCAAAGCTTCGCTCTGCATACGTGATCCCTAGTCCACTCACGTGCGGTGTGATAGCCACATTGTCCAGAGCCCATAACTCATTATCCTCGGGTAATGGCTCAGGATCCGTAACATCCAACGCAGCACCCCTCAAACCTCCCTCACTCAATGGCTTCTTTAAATATGTAATTAGATCTTCCTGATTAACAATACCACCTCTCGCAATATTTATGACGAAAGCGTTTGTTTTGGAGCCCAGGATTTCGAATTCGGCAGCGGAAAGGAAGTGACGGGTCTCAGGCGTCAAGGGAACAGAAATCAGGAGAACATCGATATCCTGCTTGAGGAAATGGTGCAAACTAGCTTTATCGAGTCCAGAATACCATGCAGAAGGAATCGTACCATCTGCATCACCAGTATTGGGAACGATATACTTTCCACTATCTTTTCTCGACTCGGGAGTAGGACGGGGCGATGCCGTATAGGCTATGACATCCATACCCATAGCTTTGCAAATCCGCGCCGTCTGTCTCCCAATCGCACCATATCCCAAAACACCTAATCTCTGCCCCACACAATCTCTCATCGCGCCCAATTCTTGAAAGTTCCCCCACACGTGTTTCTTCTGCCATTCAAGCATAAGCTTCTCCCTGTGTGAATGGCTAAGAATTTGCATGATAACCCATTCTGATATCTGCGGTCCATGGACACCCGAGGAGTTCGTAATGGGAATTTCCGTTTCGTTCCACACGGGCGTCTGGCGCAATCGATCTGTGCCGGCGCTGAAGAGATGGACGAGTTTGAGATTTTTAGCTTTCTCGGCCGAAGGGGGGAACGATGAGAGAGTAACGAGTATCGTTGCATTGTGCCATGTTTCTGGAAGAACGAATGAGCTGGTTAGGAATCTGATCTGCGAGATATAGCATGTAGAGAGTATATGAAGTGGTATCTTACCATCCGGGACTTCGAGGGGCTCTAATGCCTTGCCTACCCCAAAGAATATCTGCTTATATGTAAATTGTACATTATATTTCTGACGAAGCTTATTCAAAATCTTAGGATCCTCGGGGAAAGGAAGAAGACACAAGATATGTTCTTTTGGTTTCTGAGCTTCACCCATGGTTCTAGAGGCTAGGAAAGGGAGACGATTAGTGGCAGATGTGTATGTATGATATAAGATATAAGATAAAAAGACACAAGCAATACTAGAAGCTAAGGTATAAGATAGAAGCAATTGCAATATCAGAAGCTAGAAGTGCCGCAATGAAGCTTATATACATGTTTTAAGAATCCGATACCCACTAGGTATGCGAATATCGGTTGAAAAATCTAGCATTCGTACGTAAGGGAACCATATTTCATGGGAACGATTAGCTGATATTTGTCACAATTGGGAAGTATTTCAGATTTATCATCCAAAGTTGCGTGCTCACCGAAGTCGCATCCACTCCCGTCATCCACTTGCCTTTCTGAGTCTCTCTCTAGTAGTCAAAATTACCCCGCCGCGCCCTTAGAGGCTTGAGCGCTAAGATAAGATAAGAGGATGCTTGAAATTTCCTGCGAGGCGGATGACAGAAGAATGCGCATTTATCACGATGTATTTCCACTCTCAAGAGATTTAGAAGATGTAGCAGACGCTTATGTCCGGGGAAGAGCATATGAGTAGAAATCCAGTCACCACATGTAATTTTCACTCCGATAACATTTGCCCGAAAGGTCGAGGGACAAAGCCAAGGATGTGGATTTTACTTTATTTCGATTTTCGAAACACTAAAGTTACGAGGTGAAATTCTATTGAGTAGGTTGCTTGCGAGCCAATTCATCATGTTCCTCAATATCTTGCGCTTCCCAAGGATAACAAATCCATACATCCTCCACGGTTCTTGCAGCGAGATATCTATTATCTTTCAACATATCCGCAGGGAGCGTACCCTTCTTCTCCTTATTCTTGTTCTGTTGACGCAAAAATGTTAGTAAATTTCCTCCTTAAAGATGTATATCCAAACCCAGAAAGTTACTCACATGTAATACGAAGACAGAGAAAACAGTCTTCTCTCCTTGACCACCCAACTTTTGTCTAGCAAGCTCGACATCCTTCTCCAACTCCTTAACAGCATACTCCAAAGTGGTTCTTGTATCATCCACTTCATCGACGATCAAAATCCTCTTTCCTACCAAATTCTCCATATTACCCAAACTATTCAAATCCAACCATTGAGTTCTCGTAACCTTTGTGCCCAATTGCTCCACCTCTCCGGGAGTATTCGAAGAAGAAGGGTGTGTAGAAGGAAGTTGTTCGTATAGCGAAAGCCCGATAGCTTGGATGGGAATATTAGGACTTCCGGGCTGTTTTAAAAACGAACGGAGGATTCGCGCAGGAACATATCCGCCACCACCAATAGCAATCATAAGTTGAGGTTGAAATTCATCGAGAATTCGTGGTGCGGCTTCTTGACATAGTTTGTGGACCTGGAAGATTGTCAGTGTGCGGTTTTGCTCGGAGGGGCAGGATTAATGAGGTCAGAGGGGCATTTTTGAGCTTCTGTTTTGCTGCATGCATACCTGGTTATAGGTCACATATTCTTTGACGACCATCTTTGATATGATTTGATTTGATGTGTGGTATGTGTGGTATGTGGAAAATGTTATTACGATATGTGTAATTTGAGAAGAAGATTTAAATATATTCACAAGACTTTTTTTTTGGGATTTTAAGCACCTGCGTAGTTACCTAAAAGTTCAAAAAATAAAATGATTCAGAAGTTTGTGATCCTAGCCCGGGGAGCCCTTGGCCATATGCCTAACTAACTAATCGACCCGGACTTCGCCTGCTGCAGGAATTTTAATCTCACACCGCTTTGTTCACTAACTGAAATATCACTCAGTGATTAGATGCTGGAGAAAGTGAATGAATCAATAAATAGAGTGAATTTATCTTTGGATATCAGATTCAGATACCTGCTTTGCTCTTTCTTTGAAGGTATACATACTTTCACACTCCCATTGTGCTATACATTGGCTAGTCTTTCAAAAGCTAATCCTTAATATATTTCTTCTAGATGACGTATGTGTATTGGCTAGTGTAACCCTAAGTCTTAATTCATATAAGGTTATATTCAATATTCATGAGTGTGTAATCTTGACGCGTTTCATCACCGAGGAGAATTTCGTTCTTCGCGTTCTCATCTCCTTCCAGAATTTTTAACAGATGGATGGGGCAATCTATCCGGGTTCGCTATCGAGACTTTCCTGCGTAATATTGATGAAGAGGGACCTCATTAGGCGGTAGCGCAAGTCGAGAGTGTGACGCATAATGCGATTGAAAACGTCGTAGAAGTAGGTGGATCGGATGGAGTATTGGCCATTATGTATGGCTCATGATGATGCATTGGAGGAAGTGACAGCTTTCTTTCCTGCGTGTGCGAATGCTTTCGGAGGAAGTAGATGGGTTGAGGAGAGTTAGATGGTTGTTCCTGAGAGAGTTCATAAAAAAGTCGGGTTTTGTTCTGGAAAAATTAGTTAGACACTATGTAATGAGACAGCTGCAGCATGAAATGGCAGTAATATCTTGGGATATTGCACGTTCATAGTACATAAGTTTACATAACACAAGCGCTTCCCTAAAGATCCAGATCACAATCACGAAGGCTAGCTGGAAGCAAGTCCTAACATCAAGGTTCTCATATTAAAAGGACTTTTTTTTAGTGAAGATGTGAAATAATGAATTAAAAAATCCATAGACAAATAAATAGTATTGCATATCAAGGTAAAAGGAGAAGCGAGATAAGATGAAGCGAGATTAGGCATATGAGGCAGTTGGAATGAGAAGAAAGAAAAGTGTCCGTTTTCCTTTGTTTGACAGGAAGGAAACTACGGTCTGAGAAGTTGATTTGGTGCCATCGATTGTGGAGTGGAGGTTTGGGAGTTTGCATGTAGGTGGTGGGATGTTTTCTTTTACGGTAGGAGAGGGATGTCCGTGGGGTAGAGGGGAAAGAGATGATGAGGTAGATGATTCATAGTATGTGATGAATGCTGCGTACCTACCTAGTGTGACAGAAGTGAAAGAAGCGAATGATGGAAGAACGAAGCTGTTGATTTCAGTGAGTTAGGGATTTGAGTTAGGGTCCTGATTAAAACTCTCTTATTGTAACGCTGTGTGAAGTGAAAGATGTTGAGATGCGGTACAACGTGAAGTGAAGTCGCATTGAGACTTGTGTGAATGATGGATATATCGTGTAGAAACATACTGTTACAACTTTGAAACGAAAATGGGATATCAAGCCATCCCTTTAGTATTTCTACCCGCCTATACGAACTGCTGCACACTCATGTTCTTCCCGCGCTACCTGCTTCTATTTTGCCTCAGAAACAAACACTGCGTCGTACGGTATTGAGGTCATTAACAGATTCTGAGTATTTCAGTTGCCTGTAGTGTGATGATTTAATACATTGATGTACAGTAGTGTTTCGGCGCTTTGCGATTGAATTAAGAACAATATAAAATTGATTCAAAGGCTGAACATCACCACGATGACTGAGGCCGCCGCAGACAGACTACAATTCTGTCTGGGCCGCTATTTTGTGTCACCTTCCATGCCACCAAAATCTGGCGTTTCAGCATAGAGGTGTGGTTGCATCTCAGCTTTTCATTTAATTCCCGAATTATCCTTCGGATCTGTAGACGTGGGGGGTTCCGACCTACTCAACATGGTAGGTGAAGTGCCCCGCCCACGAGATCCTGATGACGAGATTTACATTTAAAAAAGCAACTTTAGAAGCTCCTCTTGTAACCTTTGTCATGCCAGTCCCACCCCAGAAAATTTGACTACTCATTAAAATAAAACAATTTTCTATGAATGTGTTTGCAATCCTAAAATAGTTGCAGCCGATATATCAATTCTGTCACAGATCTTCAAGATGCTACATGATCTACACTTATTGGTATGATGCAGTCCTAGGCAATCACGCGGTTGGTTGTGTTGACAACACCGCATTGGAAACGTCAAAAACAAATAAACCGGAGGCTGCTATGTGGCCACACAGCCAGATGTATCACGAAAAAGCGCATTTGGCAGGCAACTCTATCAAATGTGATACCCCGCACTTGTGTGGTTGTATTGGTACCCGATATTTGACTTCTTTTAAGTAACTGCTGAGAACTTTCCTTTCCCATATATTGTTCACCAGCTTCAGAAGTATCTTTTGCAACAAGCCTTCGATGTGGACCTGATTCCTACAAGCCCAGAAGCCCGATTGTTATACAGAATGATCATGTGGATAGACTTGTCTAGAAAGACGGCCGAAATACCGACGATACGCGGCATGCCAGCCCATTTCCAGGAAATATGGATAGAAAGATTGCTCCCTAAAATGAGGGAATCGTTTCTCCTACTATTGCTGGCTAGTCGTTGCCATCTATTCCTATCTTCCTGCAGTGCGCAGCTCAGCTATGTAATGGAGCACGATGAGTTGAAACATTGATAGGATAGATCTTATCCTGTGATGCAGTAACGCATCTGCCAAGACTCTCGCGATGGCTTTTGAGATACAACTTTATGGGACATGCGAAACTAGAGCTTTCGCTTCAACTCACGATACTCCCCACTAACGAGAACGCGAGCGAGCCAGCCGCGACAGTTGGGCGTTTTTAACCCGAAGAAATGAAAGAAGTCTCTTTTCCGAGGCTTAAATGCCTTGGCTCGAGTTACTATCGCCACAGTGCGGCCATGCTCATCGATATCTTTTACTCCCTTCCGCTTTACGAGGAACAAGCTTCGCAACGATTCAAATATGTGATCATGAGGATCAAGAATTAAACCATTGCTACTCTGCTTTTCTTCTTGTCAACATATAAGATTAAGATGAGAGATACCACACGTGGGTCACACATGCAATTAGGTTCACGATGTGATGCGCAAAATATGATAATGTGTTTCAAGTGGGCTGAGTCCTAGGCTTGAAAAATGGGTGAAATTCCGACAGAAAGGGCATGGATGAAAATGCCACATGGCGATACCCACCCAATAGAAAGAAGATTCTATATTCTTTTCCTTTCATACTCTTTTGTCGCAAGCCCTTCACCACCCAAGGTTTATTCGGTTCGGTGACATAAGGAATTGCTTGGTCTGGGATTGGTTGCTCAATTGCTGATTGCATCAATTGATTACAGGGTCTAGATGTTCAAGATTGATCTTCTCATAATCTGCAGGGCTTTGTCCATTTGTTTTTGAGACGTAGCCAATACAATTCATGAGCTTGTGATAACCGACCCCAGGAAATGGGGATTTCCCCCGCCATTTCAAACATCCACCATTGCACTTCCTCATATACTAACGCACTTATCATTAACACCAATTTTCAAACAAACTAGCAAATTATTCACTAGCCATCTTGGAGATTGCCCTAATTCCTCCCTCCATTCAATTATGTTTCCAATTTTCCAAGCAGATCCTGCAAGCCAAGAGCTATCATACATTCACAAACATTTGGATCATCAAGCTTAGGATGCTCTTAGATCCTTGCACATTTCATATGTAGAAAAAGGGATATTCCCTCATTTCTTTGTTTGTATGTACCTGAGATGTATTTGATATACTATCTTATTTTGGTGCCCCAATAACCAAGACCCAGCCTACCTTGACGTCTGAGCACTAGTGCTAATAACTAAACCCTTATCAGTCACTTTTCCTCTCTCTATTAGCCTTCCACTTCTTGATGCTGATTTCACCTCGAAGATAACCTCTTGACAACAACCTCAGCTTGTTCTACTTGCCATCATGGCGACCCTTACTACGACTTTGACTGAGTCGATTGCGACCGTCACTTCGACGATTGCAACTGCCGTCACTAAAGCCAGTAGTTCGGCCAGCCCTACTTCAACAACTCGCGCCACTCCTCAAGGCGGGATTTTAGAGGGAGGCAATCCTACAGTTTACAGTCCCTCAAATCCCATTGTTCTGTTCATCATCCAGGTATGTCTCCTTTTCCTGATGATTTGCGCTTTCTGGGGCAGCGTCATGGTGTAACGTGGGGTTGTTTTGAAGAGTGCCATGCGGTTTATGCAGGATTTGATCTGCAAGGTGCCAGATTTGCACAGCAACGACACTCGGCCAACAGAATCATACTATGCGCGACAGGAATGGGTTTAGCTAATCTGTGTTTAACACCAGGCCGGCATCATCATCATTTTTTGTCGTATTCTTCATTACCCGTTGTCTAAACTTCGACAACCTCGAGTTATCGCAGAAGTAATAGGTGGAATCATTTTAGGCCCTTCAGTCATGATGCGCATTCCTGGGTTTCAAGAAACCATTTTTCCTGTCGCCTCTATGCCAGTTTTGAATATGGCCGCCAATCTCGGATTGATACTCTTCCTTTTCCTGGTTGGTTTGGAAGTTAATATGCGGCTTTTTCTTGGTAACTGGAGAGTAGCTCTGAGTGTAGGACTTGCCGGAATGATTCTGCCATTTGGCTTGGGTTGCGCCGTTGCTTGGGGCCTTTATAATGAATTCCGCCATGATGCAGGGACTGTACCTATATCATTCCCTGTCTACATGCTATTCGTTGGGACAGCTCTTGCGGTACGACATCAATTTCAATTTCTTCAGACGTTTACTGACATCCACGATAGATTACAGCTTTCCCTGTTCTCTGCAGAATTCTTACGGAATTGAAACTTCTCGCTACACCTGTCGGAGTTACAGTTCTCGCTGCTGGTGTCGGAAATGATGTGACAGGCTGGATCCTTTTAGCCCTTTGCGTTGCACTGGTCAATAACGGATCGGGACTAGCAGCACTATGGGTGTTGCTTGTTTGTGTTGGATGGTGTCTTTTCTTGGTATTCGCTGTTCGTCCAGTTTTTAGATATATTCTTCGCCGTAACGGAAGTCTCGAAAACGGCCCCTCTCAGGGAATGGTTGCTCTCACAATATTGCTTGTTTTGACGTCCTCTTGGTTTACTGCTGTCATTGGAGTTCACGCTATCTTTGGAGGTAATGGCAAATTTATCTTGAATAATGTGGATTTTACTAACTCTGTCTCAGCTTTTCTCGCTGGACTCATATGTCCTCATGAAGGTGGTTTTGCTATTCACATCACGGAAAAGATTGAAGATCTCGTTGCGGTACTACTTCTTCCACTTTATTTCGCATTGTCTGGCTTGAGCACCAATCTCGGCTTACTCAACGATGGTATCACATGGGGTTATGTCATTGCAATTATTGTAGTCGCATTTTCTGGCAAAATTATTGGGGGCACGCTTGCTGCTAAGGCTTGTAAGCTTGTTTGGCGTGAAAGTCTCAGTATTGGAGTTTTGATGAGTTGTAAAGGTCTCGTAGAATTGATTGTTCTTGTAAGTGGAATTTTTACAAGGCGCCGACACAGTCCATTGCTAACATCTATAGAACATCGGTTTACAAGCGAAGATTTTGTCTACGAGGACATTCACTATATTTGTCGTGATGGCACTTGTCACAACCGTTGCCACAACGCCATTGACAACCGCGTTGTATCCTCCCTGGTACCAGAAGAAACTTGATGCCTGGAAAAAAGGAGAGATAGACTGGGATGGAAATAGACTTCATCCGGAGGGTGAGGAATATACCCCAGACCGCTCGTTGGAAAAGTTGGAATCCACTCAAATTCGACGACTCCTTGTTTATCTTAGACTTGATAGTCTTCCTAGCTTGTTCACCTTCATCGCACTATTAGGTGGGGATAATACTAGTACGATTACCAAAGTACATAGGTCGAAAGCCGAGTTAGAAACAGTGGATGAGGATGGACCACCTTCGTCATCGAATGATTCCAAGAAACAACCACTTGAGGTTCATGGTGTCCGGATGCTAGAGCTTACCGACCGTACATCTTCAGTCATGGCCGAGGTGGATGAATACACCTATCGTGATCCCGTAGTCAACGCTTTCCGTACCTTTGCTCAGTTGAATAACGTCGCTGTCTCCGGGGGAGTTTCCGTTGTTCCCGAATCGGATTACGCCGAAGCTTTGACCACACAAGCATCAGATCACTTTTCTGACCTAGTTCTCATCCCTTGGACTGAACCTAGTACTCTACCGATTAATGAAGCCCATCATGAATCATTCTCTAGCGGCCTTCAGGATATTTTTATCCAAAAGACGCTGGAGATAGCTACTTGCAACATTGCCATTTTCATCAATCGTGGCTTTGGTGGACCAACTTTAAGAGAGCCCCGCAATCTCTCAGCAAGTGCTAGTCGACTCAGTCTCCGCAGTAGTAGCCGTGCAGAAAGGATTGCTCCCATCGCGGATCGTAGCCATCATGTTTACTTTCCATTTTTCGGTGGTGCTGATGACCGTGTCGCTCTCCGTTTCGTTCTCCAACTTGCGCAAAACAGTAATATCACAGCCACCATTATTCATTTTATCACTCCTATTCACAATCCAAAGACTCCTGAAGTTACGCATAGCTCGCGCCCAGTTACTGCTTCCGGTTCGCAACATGGTGGAAGTTCCGGCTCTGGGATACGTATTACCGAGCGGGTGGACACCGAGGATCTTTACAATGCTGCTGCGTCTGACACCTCCCTTTTACACACATTACGAGACTCCTTACCTCAGGCATTGGCTAATAGAGTCGTCTTCGTTGATGTCAAGACTACAACACCATTAACCGATTGTCTACATCACGCAAAGGTGGAGATGGGTCAAAGCCCTCGAAATGCAGGAGACTTGATTGTTACAGGTAGAGGCAAAACTTCCATAATCAAGGCTTTGATTCAGGAAGAAAGTGCCAGTGGAGAGAGTGGAAAGGAAATGAGGAAAACCATAGGAGTTGTGGCGGAATCATTGGTTAATAGTGGAGTTAGAGGGAGTGTTTTGGTTATTCAAGCTGGAGGTTCCGGTTTGGAAAGCTGACAAGTTGATGAAAGGGATCAAGTAATTCCCGATGATATTCACGATTTATTTTATGCGACGTTGATTTAGCCGGATATACAATTGGGATTTAGGCGCATATGGAACTTCACTATAGGATGGGTTTAGTGTTTCTGGAATACAATACCTTGCGACGCGATATGGAAGGACAGTCCTGATAGATTTTTCATCATATCTAGTTGGAAATACATATAGTTGTTTAATTTGACGATTTTCACAGGGCTATTTTATGATGGCGTTTTATCGTGGTTTAGATTATGGTTAATGCATCGGACCTCATCTAGTCTAATTTAGCATCATGTTAGATATTGAATAAATCGGTGATATACCCATTGCTTGGAAGTTATTTGACGTTGTCGTTTCCACCGTCGTGTTTTATGCTTTCCTACGTACAGTCGTTGGAGATAGCTAGTATCTTAAGGATCAAAAGCACGATTAAATCGCTGGTGAATAGTTCAAGATTTTGCGGCATCATACTTGTCATATTTTCTTGGATGCCCCTTTTCCATTTTTTTATAAAAAAAAAAGAAAGCCTAAGGAGAAGTAGAGAAATGTAAAGAAATGTAGATTTATAACTATAATTATAACTATCATTATTACATCCTTTAGACTTTTATAACAATATCTACTCTTCGCCGCGCTTGTTTTTTGTAAGATTATATGAATATCGCATGTAAGACTATAAAAGAAGATATCCTGATTATGTAAATGAAGTTCGAATGTTCTATGTAAGGGAGTACATCTAGTACGTATTTAATTCGATCGATTCTTGTCGTCTGGAGTTTTGTTCTGCGAAGGTAGCTGTGATGGGTGGAGTTGTTTTGGGTTTTGCGCTTTGAGGTTTGAGTTCTGGGGTGGATAGATGTGTTGTGTTTTATAATTAATATGAAATACTATCAGTGTACTGTGGAAATATGTTGATAGAGGAGTAGTGGTCAAGGAGCATGGGATTGTACGGATAGTGTTCCGCTGTCTGATGGTTGGTTGGCAGGTTTGGAAGATGCTTTTACAGATGTTGCGATGGTTAATAGGCAATAGGAAGGATGTGTTGTTGTGTTAGCTATATGTTTGTGATCATTGGTGTTGGGTACATTATCAAGTTATATGGTTGACGAACTAATATCTTTCTAAAAATGGGAAGGGAGAGCCATAGGAAGATGTTGGTTCGTCAACCACATAACTTGAGAGAACTAACTCAATTACGAGCACATCTCTGTGGAGGATCATTGCAGGGAGCCATCAAGCAAGAAGTCTTTTATAAATCCAAGGGCTTTTGGTAAATGACGGATGAATTGGAAATGTTATTGAAACGTAGATTGGAGCAAGGCTATCATTGCATCGCCTACCAAAATTTCCATTTATCTCTTGTTAACTAAAGCAGCTTGAACCTTAAAGGTTGTGCGTATCCATGGGAAATTAGCTTTAGATATCCTCCTGTTACCCATTTCGAGACTCCTATATAACTCCTCTTTACCAGCAAACTCAGTACCATGGAATTGAAAAGTTCGATCAGAATCAAAAATGTAGTCTCCTCCACCTGTGCTGCTAAGCTCCCAATGCTGCCGCATCTCCATGTTGTGGTCTACATGCTGTAGCTCTGACGGTGCATCGACAATGACAGCCAACGTTTTCAATGGAAAACCATTAGTTAGTCCATCCAGAAATTGATCTTCAGGCTGATCCTTTAGCTCTTTCTGCCATGTCTCTTCAGATATGGCGATGTTCTCGACGAATGACCTTGCTGAAAAATTTTGATTGACCAATTCAGGATATAACTCGTCAAGGTAATAGAGTTCAGTAAAGATTTCGATCAAATCGTCAGAGGTAACATATAGAATATCACTTTCTGGGTTGAAGGGACGTCCAAAGACAAAGTGTCCTTTGTTCTCCTTGGCAACGAAACCTTGTTTACGAGCCCAAGCGGTAGCAATTTCGCGGGCCTCGTGATTGACAAAAATCAGAGGTGTATGAAAGTGAACTTGATTCAAGAGATCGTGACGAAACTCCACACGCAGATTGAGGTTGTCATTTTCGTCATCATATTCGTTATATGGGTCGGATGGTGTGAGATATAGAGGGTGCCAGCAGCCTGTTTTGTAAAAGTATAGAGCTGTGTCTACCTTCTCCGGTAATGCGTTAGACCAGATTTGATTACGCAGCTCTGGTGCGAGGTCCATGAATCGAGGGAATGAAGAGAGAGTGGTGGCAGTTGCTTCTGACATGATCTATTTGGATATCTTAGTCAGGATTTGTGTTTCATGCTGTAATTTACAAGATATCAAATTATATTTAGTGTTTAACTGTTGACAAGAGTTCGAGGAAAGGAGTCTCGAAATTTGAGAAGCAGTAAGTCTGGTTTTGGTGATTATTTTATAATCTGGCATAGAAAAGAAGAAGATAGCTTGTAAATAGAAAATGTATCAGATTACATCTTGTAAGGTGTAAAGAACAAGTAGTCATTTTATAGAATAGCTACGATACGTAATGGGCCGTGCTGTACCACTATGCCACAGCTATACAGTCATACAGTCACAGCCACAGCCATTGTCAACTCCGCCGTTTCGCTTCTCCATAGGCTTACCCAAGATGAAACTTCCAACATCACAAAAACTGCTGAGAACCGCATTAAGGATTTAGGTATCAAATGTGTAATTATTTATTTCTTCCAAAATTTGCATCTCAATACCAATTAAAGAAGATTCTTGTATGATTTCTCGAAAGATAAGGCCAGGCTGATTTCGGATAAATTTAGGCGAGAATTAGTTTTCGGTCAAGGTTCAGTTCCTTTCGCTTGAGTTTTTGATTCCTTGGATCTCTTCTTCCGTACGGTGAGGAGTAGTTCGTTATTCTTTAGTGTAGATTAATTGATTCAATTCATCATGCCTTGAGTATAGAATTAAGTAGTACAAATATATCGTTAGATTCAAGCTGCACGTAGTTTATTAGCCTGTATATCCGCCGGTGGGTGGTGTTTATATAGGTTATAGAAAACTGAAGAGATGCAAGATGATGAGAGCTTAGACTACGAGGTCTCAAAACAGTATGGCAGGCTTATGGATACATACTTTATTTTGGTTTCACCTCCCGAATATCAAAAACAACAAGATCGTAAGGATGAATCATTCACAGCAGAGCTTTCTACAAATTCAATCGTGCAAAAAAGCAAATTGCTTTGTAGTATCGAATCAAGTGGTCTTTCTCCTTCATTTCCTATCATGACATCTCGAGGCCTAAATGCCATCATTAACATATCGTGAAGATCAACCATCTATCATGACCTCCTTACTCATAAAATCCTGCGAAAAACAAATCACTTCAAGATCATACCTCCTTTGACCTCCCTTCTTCATTTTCTATAATGATCTCTATAGGCAGCTAGCAGGCCATGGAAGGAGTATGAGAATTATCATCAATTCCGTTGTGGAAAAAAACAGTCATTCTCACACGTACATACACACACACCCATATTCATTTCCAACTAATCCATTACACTTAACTCTTTCCTACACTTCCTTTACACATTTCTTGCCATACAGTTTGTTCCCCAATACACAAACGCGCAAAGTGCACAAAAAACACTAGCCATCCACGTTAGAACCTTTAATTCCTTCAAGATACACGCACTCAAAACTCTATCATTCGTATTCCTTGTGTCGCCAGCGCGAACGCCACAACAAGAATTTCACACAACTGCTAAAACGCCACCGGTGGAATCAGCACAAAAAGTAAGACCAGAGCAAAAGCTCAGCAACAGAATCCCAGATTTCCAAGTCCAGGTCGTTATAAACGGCATGCACGAATGATCCGATGAAAAATACCAAGCTGAAATAAAGAGCAACACGTAAAGTCACCTGTGTCGTTTCTGACATTACTCAAACCTCTGTTCTTGATGCGGTTAGAAATCAACAATCGCTTGTTAATAAACATATTAGGAAGACTACTCGTAAACGATGGGATTTTGCTGGGGGAGTTTGTGGATTGTCTGCTAACTTTTCTCAGTGATGATAGTGTTTTGGATGATGATGTATCTGTACATATCTTCTAACAGGTTTTGATCACAGCGGAACGAACTACAAAATTCGGTTATTTAGAAAGGTGAAGGAGTTGTCATGGGGTTTAGTAGACGTCGTTGTATGAGTTCTCAATCGCAGTTTATGCTTGGCCGACTGTGTTGGGGTTTTATGAACTAGATACTGAAGGATTTGGAATTGGAATTTGAATGATTTGATGCTAATATCGATGAACTCATATAAGATTGAGACGTGAGGATAGTTATGTTTGTGATGATCCCATTACAATCCTTATTCACTACAAGAGGCCAAATTCGAATAGCTCAAGAGTAGAGTTTAAAATTAAAGACTAAAAAACACTTTTTCCAAGAACAAATTGATATCTTTTTGGAACACGAAACGGGTATTGTTTGACTAGCATCATATCAGGTGTACATATCTTAAAGGGAGATCATCTAAAACAAAGTAGGCGAATAGAAAAAGGGGTATGAGATCAAAGAATATCAAAGTGTTTTTGTAGTTTTCCAAAGTATAATTTATATTTAACATAGATAAAAATACAATATCTGTGAAATTTCCGCAGCTATTTCATTTGCACACAATAGACTTCAAAGATGCCTTTAGATATATCAATATCCAGGACCAAAATATAGGATCTTACGATTACATTTATTTAACCGATCAACTCCTTTCCTATGATATAATTACAATACAATACACACAATATCAGTATCACCACAAAACCCTCATGTATCTTTATCCATTACTATTGTAAAAGTGGTAGGTCGAGATACGTGCGTCCTGATAACATGCTGTGAGGGGGAATTGAAAGAGAAAGCTGAATTAGATCACATCGTAATACGTTACTTATAGAGAAAACAGGGTTTACAATGGTTTTGGGGTTGATATTATATAGGTTCAAATATATATGTGTAGAAGGTTGATTTTTGTAGAAAGGAGAGGCAAAAGCTCTTCTTTTATATCTAATTACAAGAAATCATATAATTGACTGATTAAAAACCTCTATGTATTTGGCCTATAATTCCAACTTTCTCACAATATATTACTAAAGATGAAATTATAAAAACTGATGATATGAGTATTATAGTGATACTGCTGGATATCTAAAGGGTTCTGCTTCTAAGGGTGAAGGGACGGCAGACACATATATATACGAATGATTATATCTACTACTTCACATGAGTATCACACATCAATTCAGGAAATCTTAAGTAAACAGCTTCAGTAAGCTACTTTAGAGCTTTAATATATTTGATACTCTTTCTCATCCTATTCCTTTTATGCTCAACAGCTATCTGTTTCATTTCCCTCTAATCCCCTTTTGTGATTTTCCCCAAGGTTCCTTTTATTTCCGAACTCTCAACATGCATAGAACATATACATCATGGGTTTAACAAATACCTCATGTCCAGTCCATCTTGCCCTTATCACAATGCCTACTTTACTACCCAATATCCACACACTCTGATTCCCTATTCAATCTTTCGACGCCCACCCATAGCTCCCTCAATTCCTTTCCAATTCCACAAAGCAAAAGAGTTAAAAAAAAGGCCTGAACTCCCCGCTTTTTGCTCCTATCTCAAATACCAAGAACCATAACCATCGAAGACTTGCAATGCATAGAAATTCCTCGCAAAAAAAATAAAAAAATTACGTAAAAGAAAAGAAAACCCTTGACTCAAACAAAGCCTGCTTCAGAAAGAGCCACCTAACTCTTCTCATCTCATCTGATCTTCCTCATCATTTCGTACACTGATATAACATGTTCATACAGGGTCACTAACTCTCTTATCTGTATCCTTAACGCCGCCAAAGGTACACTGCTGTGTTTGTCCATTGATGTTTATCGCCGAAAATTAGGGGTGAAAGTGAAGTGAAGGAATTAGAGGAAATACCCAGGAAGAAATGAGAAAAAGACACATTCCACAGAAACCTTGGAACGAGAATTTGGCTCACTTTCCGGCGGTTCATTCGGCTTTTCGTGTTGATGTGTTGATGTGGATATTTGTGAGAATCCGTTGATGCATTTGTAGATGCAGCAAAAAGAGTAAAAGAAAAACATTATGATATTTTGATTCGTCGTAGAATTTATGTCTTCAATGCATTCATAATAAAATGACATATGCTAATTGATGAATGCTGTGGTATGAAAGGGGCGTGCCATTAGAAGGAGCATTCTCTGGTTGGCAAAAAGGTCCAGGAAATGTATGCCAGTAGCAAGGAAAATGTGAATAATAGAACGTTTTATGGAAGCTTGAACCCGTCGCTATGCAGAAATGAAATTAAGACCAGTATTAATCGACCCTGTGTATGTACAAGAAGTCGTGTCGGCGAGAAGAAATCTTCTAATTGAAACACTTATTTTATGTGGTGGAACGGTATGTGTTATACAACAGTCATCATATGCATTCGTTGACCCAAACTTCTTGTTGGTGAAGAATCAATCGAGCCGCTCAGCATAGAGTTGTTGCTATGACTTCGAGGAAGGTGTTTTGGAGGGGATGACATTGGGTCTGTGAATACGCGAGTGAAGGCCGGGCTGGACTCGCGATGGGGTGTAGACACTGGACTTTGGATCGTGCCGTCGGTTTCGCGAATGATGTCGGCCAGTTTTCGACTCAAAACAGAGGCACGATGAACCAAGTCACGTAGACTGGTTGTGTCAAACGGCATTTTGTTTGAAGATTGCTCAGCCATGTCTGAAAGCAAAGGATCCGAAGTAGAGCGGTGCTGATGCATCGTTTCCATGACCGTCCGAGCAACCTCAGCTGCAGTCTTTGCACTTGAAGAACGAATAGGAGCCAACGGAGGACGCAAACCATCTCTAGTGGGAGGGTTATGAATGACAGACCCAGCTCCAAAGATATCATCATCGGGTGAAAATACCGAACGTCGTCGAACAGTACTACCGTCATAAATGTGTCCGGATGGTTTGCCAAAACGGTTCAAAACCTCCACGGGTACATCTGGGATAGCGACATCGTCGCTGCCCGTGCCACGATCGATGAATTTGTCGTTAAAGTCGTGACTGACGGAGATAGATATAGGAGAATGGGGAGGTGATAAAGTAGGATCCTCTTCATCTGGCACAGCTAGGGCAATAATTCCTTCAGCTTCCTTCCACAACTGTGCCGATGGTCCATTTATTAAGTCCTTGTCCCGAGCCAAAAGACGTAACCTCTTGAGATCTTCGACGAGCAAACAGACTTCTCGAATCTGGCCAACATGACCAACGACATTGGCCTGGCTTGCTTGGATCGCTGGAGGCACGAACATGACGCTGTTCTCAATATTATCATTACCGTCCTCAAGGCCACCTTCATCATTAGATTCGAATTCGAAATCATTATCCCAGTCCTCACTAACCCCTTTCGCACCCAAACCCCAGGTACCGAATTTCGGTGTCAATTTCGTGTGGTCGCGCTGATTGTTGAGATCCGGAACTACAGGAACACTTTGACTCCTAATATGCAATGGTGTGGGGCCTTTCCGCCCGACAGTTCGTCCGCCTCGTCCGTTGAGGGCAAGATGTTTCACATGTGCTGTCCTAGGTCGAGAGGAACTTCCCAGTAGATCTTTCTCCGATGTAGATGGTTCAGACCAATCGAATAAATTGCTCTTGGGTCGTTCAGCATAATGATTACCGTTCGTGGAACCACTATAGGTAGCTTCTACAAGTGCTCCTCGGGCTATTGGACTGACCCGACGAACTGCCAAGCCATTGGGTGGTGAAAGCTGGTTTCTAGCTTCCATGTTTTCATTATCTTCATCTCGAGTCCAATCCTCATCCTCATCATCATTATCCAAGGTAAGTGTGGCGAGTTCTTTTGAAGCGATAGAAAAACTGGGCGGCGAGGCGGGAATAGTCTCATCTGCGTCTACAAAACGTGCCGATTTGTTCATGGCCACCTCGACAGAAATCTTTGTAACTTTTACCGGCGTTGCTTGGTTTTCATCTTCCTCGATAATACGGTGTTCAGCCTCACCAAAGACTCCATTAGCCATCAGATCGTGAATTGAAAGTCTCTTTGTCTTTGCATGGCAGTTGACACTTGCGTTAGTCGGGGGAGACTCGTCAAACATTGAGTCAAGAGGCGTATTTTGTGAACGTAAACTGCTTGTGGCTCCCGACCTAAGTGAATCATACACTGTCTCACTTTGGAAATCCATATCTTCATCTTCGCCAGAAGCGAACCCCCTCATCTCATTATCTGAACCAATCAAGGTCGAAGCTCGGTCTCCCAATTCTGACATGCCATGTTTCGAACTCAAGGTACCGTAATATGGCGATGAACAATTTGTTGATCCAGGAACCGCAGAAGAAAAAGAGGTTGCAGCAGCCTTAGACATTGGTAGAGGTGAACTAGGACTTCGAAGCGGGGCTGACGATGAGGACGATGGCATGCCCAAACGAGCCAGATCGAGGTTAAAAGTTGATAGCCGATTGAGAGGTGGCAATGGCGAAGATGTGTTTCTTCGTGGAGCGTAATTGAAATGGGTAAAAGGATCCATTGGCGATACCGGGGAAAAATCTTCGATTGGAGAGCGAGGCTCTCTCTGGAAAACCATTTGATCCATGGCAAGTCGACAGTGGTATGGGGTTGGACCATTGGCAGAAACAGACAGCCTTCCCGTATTCAATGGAAGAGGTGCTGACACATGGCGCCTGCCAGCCTGTGTATTCTCTGTGCTACGTTTTTTATTCTTCAAACTTCCTGTCCTAGATATCCATGTGGGTGAGCTGAAGTGCATAGAGAGTGACCGCCTTAAGGGTTTACGATCTTCCAAATCGTCTTCGTCTTCCAGAGGTGAGCTTGGAGGTTCTTCCATGGTACTTTGATCAATTGGCTCATCGCAAGGAACGCCTTCTTCGTCGTAATACCCTTCCATTTCTTCAGTCGACACAGTGATTAGGTGTGGTTTTACCAAAGTCGGTCTAACTGTATGATCTGGCATAACTCGTTTTGAGGTCCAGAGAAAGTTATGCACATTCCCATCTCCTGATCCCCCAGTGGATCTTTCAAAGGAAAATTTGGTTGGTCGAGACTTGAAATACATCCGCCATGAGCTGCGCGGTGATTCAGTGAATTTCCTTAATGGCGTACCTTGTGTGGATACCGTTGACCGCCTTAGGGCAGTGGGACGCGCTTGTGTATTCGTTCCTGGAGCATCTTCTATGAATCGCTGCTGCAGCGTAACCGAACGCTGATGACTGGTAGCTGGTCTCCGTAAGGTCGGTACCTGCGACTTTGACCCACTCGAAACTGTCCCACTGCGATTCCTTTCCGACGTTTGTCTCTTTACCAGTTTGTTCGGAGGTTGTTGTGTCGGACTGTCCCGAGGGGGTGACAGTATAGGTGCCGCAGATCCATTGGAGAATGTAAGAGAAGGCGATTCTGGTGCAATACTTGATCTAGGACTACTATTTCCCGATATTGGCAGAGATAACTTCCGAATCCAGGAGCCGCGAGAGGAGGCAGAATCCCTAACAACTTCTTCCCCCGAAACCTCATTGTGCCCATCCCCCGATCGAAGAAGTGACCATCTTCGCGCAGCGCCATTTTGCGATGTTGTGGGAGAGTCGAGTCTCGCATTTGAGGGACGTCGCAGGAATGTTGTCAAGGTTTGCGAGGTAGGGGTAGATGAGAGACCGGTCGCATCAGGAGCATTGCGACTTTCTGGAGTAGCCATCGTAGAACTCGTAGGGGGTCTTGAAACGGTAGACGGTGTACCTAAATTAGAAGAATCGTCCACATCTGTAACAATATCTCTAGGTTTCCTTTTCTTCGAAGAAGTGCGAGAGGGAGGAGTCGAATGGTCTGGTCTTCCCAATGCCAGGCCAGCAGCTGCGACACCGACGGTACTTGAAGCAACAAGCTATAAAAAGGAGAAATAATTATTAGTTTTGAAAATTGTAACTTCAAGGGTATGAAGAAACATTATCAGGATGTCGAGACTTATGCAGGGAGACCAATGGCTGAAGTCGAACGAGGAAGCATAAGATATCATTTAATTCAAGAATGTGGATGGGACTTACACTGGGAATGGTCTTCATCTTTCACTATTGCTCACCACTGCCAAGAAGGAGAAGAAGTAACGGAGGAAAATTCGTAATCGTCAAGAACCTCATGAGCATCGTAAGGATTCCATACCAAGCGGAATTTATCGTTTTGGGTGGTGAGGGAGGTTGAAAGTAAGAGAGGGTGTGGTAGCGGGTGTGTGTGTGGAGAGTTCTTCAGAAGGAATGGGGGTTTGGGGGGTGGAATTGCTCCAAAACACCCAAGTCAACGGGCAAGTAAATAAACACTAAAAGTCCAGATGATAGAAGTTCTTTCTTTTTCAATGTTTCGAAAGTAATAGTAATTGTGAAGGTTTTTTTTCTTCTCGTTTGGTCGAAGGGGTAAAATGTAATGTATGTAATATAGTACGAATTCTTTTTGCTTATTCTCGAAAGATACGTAAAAAGGGAAAGAATTGAAAGAATTGAATATGGAGTGGTTGAATTGAATGTTCTGAAAATATGTGTGTGTGGTACCTAGTGGTATCTGGCAGTGGTAGTAGTAATAGGAAAAGAGTGTGTGATACAGTACGGTAAAAGTTACAGACGCACCGAAGTTGTGAGGAGGAGGATGGCGAAATTGATGTAAGTTTGGATGTATGGATGTATGGATGTATGGATGGATGGATGGATGTAAGTTTGAATGTATGGATGAAGATTATGTATGAATCAACTGCCCCCCGCGTGGAATGGAATGGGTGAGAAGCTGAAGGGAAATGATGGGCTTTCCAAAAGAAGTATGCAGTCTGCTAGGTAAGCTATGCTATGTAGGTAGGTACATGGAAGAAAGGTTCAGGTTACCAGCTACAGCTACCCAGCAGTTCGCGGTTTGCGGTTTGCGGTTTGCGGTCTGCGGTATGCTATGCGGTATGCTATGCGGTATGCGAAAAGCTTTTGGTTCGTTGAACTGTCGAGGTAAAATAATATCTGCCATCCAAAAGCGTTTTTGGAATAGAATGGATGGATATCCGGGAGTTAAGTCAAAAATGGAAAAGCAGCATTTCATTCATTCAATTGGATGGCTGGTGGAAATGTATAAATTAAACCTTACACTACAGCGACTATACCTTTTCCTTACCCGTACTACTAAGATACATAGTCTTTCTAGACCTCGCCAAGCTTAAATCATAATTATGGGTCTTATCCCTACGTAGCGGATTCTTCATTGCACATTGACAAGCATTATGATTTATTAAAAAGTGTGAACTGGGTGATCCACTTATGTGCCTTGAGCCTATTGGTTCAAATACCATCGACCCGCGTTTATTTAAGTAGGAGGTCTTTCCTTGTATCTTGTCTAAAGCGAGGTAGGTACCATCAAATATGATTGAAAATAAAAGTGCCTGATCATTGGTTGTGGCTCCTTATCCAAGCTTCAATTTGAGCTGGAGAGACTAGGAATGTACCTAGTACCTACCTAGTACCTACCTAGTACCTACCTAGTATATATCATTTCTTTATTATTATGTGGTTCCTATGGCTCATGCAGCGGTTGACCATAACAACCAGATCTAGGATAAGAAAGTTCCACCATTTATCCATCCATACATATAACTCGTCTAATCTCACATCCCATTGCATACGGAAGAAGGGATACTTGGATACCTTTTAGTCCATTTTCCCAATTTATTCACTATCAAAAAAAGATGCAACCATACGAATACTCTCCTCCGATTGATCTCACTTGCGCACCCAAGAACCAAGATTCACCCTTCACCGTCCTGAAAGAATGTCAAACGCAAGACTAGATCGTCCATACGATTCTGAGTATCTGCACCTATCCAGTGAATTAGCTTCGTCACTCGATTATCTAGACAAGAATACAGGAGAAATTCCCAGCTGAGATGAGACTATACACATGTTGAACAGACATTCGTAGATGTACTTAACCTCCAGTCAAAGTTCATAAACATTGAAGGTTTCGATACTTCTGAAGACTGCCGACAGAAACTAATAATGGACTTTCCAGCAGATATCTTAAAGCATTGAAAATATCGATATCTTGAAACCTTGACAGCATCAAAAGCCTCTCACAACACAAACATTATGCAGGCTGGCTGGCCAGTTTTCAAGAGGAAAGATAATATTCGCCTTTAGTTTTCGACCATGTTTACATCCTGAAACAAGCGAGAGATATTCTGGGGTTACCGAAAATATCAATGGTACAGATCTGGTTCACGAGTCAACGAGATCGTGGAGACCACTTCCACCATACAATCATTTTGCAATTTCCTCTCCTTTTTCGATATACTGAATTACATGAAAGTAACAAGTTTACATCTATCTGGCTTGAGATATCACAAAAGTAGAGATCTTCCTTCGCCAAGATCATGAAGTTACGATACTGCATTCTGTTACCCAGGCCCGGCGCATGCTCTAGATATTACTACGGTCAGCGTCGGTATATCTTATGAATATCTATTCATCCGAAGTCTTTTATATAACACCCAAATTCGTGCCACCACTGTGCAACTAATCCATATGTTTCGCGGGAAGCATGGGAGAAGACGTGATTGATAGTACAAAGTATGCTTGTTTCAGATGCCGACTAAATCATTTTCCGCCGTCATGCAGCCAGCTTACGGGCTTTTCGATATGTCCATTCGACAAGGCTCTTTTGGGATAATTGAATCATTAAAGTCTTATTATTGACAATTAATACAATTTCATTGATTGCTATCCTTCCGAAATGGCTGTCGTTTAAAAAGTAAACTTCTTCCGAATATGATGACTTCTATTGTATTGTTATGATTTTCCGAATATGAACAATTCCGAACAAGGCTCAGAGCCGTTCCTATTACCAAACACCAGGATAGTCTTTTCAATGGATTATGGATTACAAATGGCTGGATAACTGATCGATGCTGTACAGGTTACAAACTAAATATTTAGTTGCTTTAGATGCCTTTTAGATGGGAATTGTAAGCACGCACGGGCTTCAAGGTAGCCAAACCCCCAACCCCTCTTCATGTGAGGGGTTGTGATCATCATGACATCGGCTTGTGCATTGAGCAATGAGGGGGAGGCAAAAAAATGCTCGGAGTAATCACCAGGTGTATAGGTAGGTATTCACCATACCATTTTGTTTGATGCGAGATAGCGTATACAGCCTGCCAATCTGAGGACTTGGGGACGGGAACTTTGCTTGATTGATTGCTTGCTTGATGCATCCATCGCATTGCTGGGAGGATCCTTTTACGATGATGATGTATCCCATACCCAAAAGAAAAGCAAAACAAACGAATCGCTCGATATCATTTGTTTATTGACACCCCAGAAACCATCTTCCCCGTCATTGTTGGTAGACTCGCGTGTTTGATTGTCCAATCAAGGAGTATAGATGCAAAAGATCCCATTGCCGTACCGCTTCTCACTAACCCTGTCCCTGCTTGCATGTCGCCATCTTCGAACCAAGATTCATTCTAGGAAGTACGAGCGAATAGAGTAATGCGCCGGGCTTTTCAGCTGATGGCTTTTCGATTGATGTCAAACAGGAGACCTGGTAGCTCAGTTTCAACGGATAGCTTATCTTGTAATCTTCGATCTCTTGTCGACATTGTTTTTGTTCTGTGAGAAAGAACAAAATTGGTCAAAGTCCGACTATCCGAACAATATGATTGTCCCCAACGGCGGGCACGCATGGACAATATGCTAAGTGAGAAATGATGGAAGGGAAGCCTTTCTACGCATTCTAGCGGACATAAACGAGGATAAGGCTAAGATCCAAGAATATGACATGATGAACAAACAAGTGCGGCTTAGAATGCTGTACCTTCAAGGTTCTTGCAAGAGGGCGAGACATTTCCTTACAACCCACTGCACGCTTCTTCCTTCCAACATGGTATTCATTCCTACACTGACCGAGTTGCTGCCTGCTTCCTGCTTCCTGCTTCCTGCTTCCTGCATCATCATTCATTCATACATACATGAATGAATAGATGAATACATGAAAGAAACGCAAGCTCTGAAGATCTGTACACGCAGTACTTGATACTCAAAACGGCACCTCACACATCGGAACAGTGCAAGAGTCCCTACATAACCAAAAACTCCCATGTATAATTTTGCCGCCGAGCTAGGTCTACCCTTCCACCTCTCTCCCTTCCTCCCTCTCTCCCGGAATTTGACAACTGACAACTCATACCTACATAACCATCATCCTTTCCAAAATTACGTCTGCACGCACGCCACGGAAATCTATCCGACTCCATCAAAGCTCTGTTTTCAATGGATAAGTCTCCGGGGAACAAGCCTCCTCAGCAAAAAAACACAGCATCTAAATACTTGCCTCTTGAATCCTCCCAGAAATATAAATATCATGGGAAAGTTATTGGATAGTTTATTTTTTGGTAGCTCCACACTCATCAATCATCTGCAGCCACACACATGCATCTCAATTCACCCAGCTGGCTTGGTACGAAGCGTACCTATTAATATTCGTACCGTAGATTTTATAGCGGAATCGCGAAAAGATTTCGAGATCCGTGGATCGATCGTACGGAATAGGAAAATGGGGCTTCGGCGACATACTGTATGTACTCCGTGTTATTGATATGTAGAGATTTACCTTGCTTGCATCGAGGAAAGCCACTTGTGGATATTATTAATGGGGATTACCAATTTTCGCACTCGGTTTTTATGGAGAAGGAAATGCCTTGGTTATTGAATCTTCTACCTACACTAGGTTTGAGAAACTCGCGTTTGGTATAATGCGCGTTATTTTCCGTGTCTTTGACATTTCGATAGAGTTTCTTTTTTTGCCAATTGGGATGAAGTCTATCTCATGGCGGTTTCTCATCTAAACTTACTATCAGACTATAACAACCAATATGCTGCAATTAGAACATATCAGATGAAACAGTAATTAACGATATAACGCATCAATTTAAGCCGTTCCTCATTGCCGTTGTGTAGGTATTCAAGTTAGTTATTCATATCGTGCCGTCTGGGTATCTGTACCTAAATACCTAACTGTAAGGTTCCTGATGTACACATATCAATCTGTGCATCACCGCCTCTCCAATTTCCCATCCCCAAGGTATTTTTTCCAAACCGTCTATAAATCAGCCAATCCCTCAGATCAAGTGTGCAGCACCAAAGCTCATGCAGCTGCAGCTTTCATCAACGATCAATCCAATAAGGATTTGCAAATTGCGTCATAACATTCTAATAATAAGAAACCCAATGCATCTCATCTCACTACGGCATCTTTCCCTCCCTTGCATCCAGAAATTCATTAGTTTTCCGCCCATCTATGGCCTTGAGAAGATGATAATTGGATCGCGACGCCCCGTTTTCCGAAGAAAGGGAAGAAAATTGTTATGATTGAGCTCTGGGGAAATGAAAAGAGGGCTTCATAATCCACCGTTGGCATGGGAAAGATTTGATAACTTTAGCTACCTACCTATCTACCTCCCTATCTACTACCTACCTAGACAGATGGAAGAGGAAAATTAAAATTACATTTTATCAACGTGTCAATTGGGACTATTATCGCAAAGGTCGAGACTCTCCTGGCTGGTGAGAATAGATTATTTTGCCGCCCGTGCCTTTTTTAGACCAATCGTGAAGCCATGTATCGACAGAGTGTGTATAGATAGAATGGGCAAACGAGCAAATAAAGATCGAATGGATCGGACAAACGATCGAAACGACCGAGTTGAGTTGATGGAGGGTGCTGTAGATGGTAAGATCTTACAAACAACGTGCTGTTTGGCAGCGGTTTGCTTCCCATGATTCATTCCATCAAGTTGTATGCTTCATCGCGTAGAGATTGTGCCTCTCTATATATCTTTCTCAGGATAATAGATGATACATAATCCACCACCCCGAATTCTATGAATCTATTAAGAATGTCACAAAGACTGATGCCGGTACTAGGTAAACACTGAAGAATTGAAGAAGCCTTCCCAATAAACTCCACCTCCAATCAAACTTAACTGATCCTTTCAGAGGCATACTCCGTACATACCAAATATCGGCCATGCCGGGTTGTCCAAACGGAAGTGGGTTTCTTGCCTTGGCAAGCACCAGGGCCTTGTGGTCGTGCAATACTGTGTTATCACATGATTGTTATACCACGTGCGACAGCTTTGGGGGATTTCGTCCGAGGTCTGGCAATGTCATGGTTGTGATGTTACTACTACTTTGTATTTCCGGGCATTTGTTCCTGGGTTTTTGACTGTGAGATTGATAGGATGCACGGCATGTTGGGAATGTGAAAGTATGGTAAGGTTACAAGGTGTTTTCGGGAGCAAAGGGTATTTATTTATTTGTATCTGTATCTGTGTCTTTTATTCATTCTCTAATTCGAAACTGCATGATATCTCGATTTCCGGAGGTCAGGAAAGAATATCGACTTGCACCTCTGCATGCTTCATTGTATCTCTACTTCATTGTTTGAAGTTAGTCAGCCAGCCTTTAATCATCAACATATTTTTTATTTTCCCAAACCATCCATCTCATCCAGCTCAGCTCAGCTCAGTCCTACGTCCCACAAAACCGCAGTCACGACCATCTTCTCGTACCCTTATCCCGGACTTTCAACATGCACACTCTTTGCGCGCTCCTCGGGAATCAAACGTTACACCTCCCAAGCACATAATACTCTACGAGCCTCCAAAACTCAAGACGTCCCCAACTACACAGCTAGAAAAAACCCCTCAAATGAATACCGCAGCACAAAATAAAGTACTCGTGTCCTATAACCTCAAAATCATTCTCTCAACACGGCCTACTTCTCGTGCAAACATGGCATTCTAAACACAGCATGCTTCATTCGCGTGCTCCTGACTCAGTCTATGAACACATATGTAGAGTTATAATACAGTACCTCAAGCAAATGTACCTCTGTCATACCCAAATCTCAGCATCAAATCTGTGTAACACGACCCTGATAATCCCGTCAATCCGTGAACCAAGCGGACGGGAGATCCCTTGCCAGAGCGAGCGCCGTTGTCGAGATTGCAATAAGTGGTTTAAACCTATGGGGACTTCGCAAGTTCGTGGGATTTTAATAATAAGTGCACGGATTGTGAAATTGGCGATGGTGCTTCGGTGTTTTGGTAGGGGTTTTCGCTTCTAGATTTTGGGGATTGTTTAATAGCTGTTCCGCTTTGACGTCGTGCTGGGTCGTTGGGATGGGTATGGTATAATGATGTTCGCGTTTGTTTCAGCTTGTCTTTGGATTTGTTGGCAAGCGATTTGCAGGTTCTGTGCAAGATGGCGGTGTACATGGTGATAGTGATCTCCATGTCGATGTTGATGTTGATTTCGGTTGCAGCTGATAATGGACTTGTTGTTATAACGTCGGATCGTGGTTTGATGTTGATTGTTCAAAGTTGGACGGATTTTTGAACATGTATGAGCTTATAATGAATAACCATAATAATCGCCGGTCAGGCGAGAGATGTTGGAAATTCGAGCTGCAGAGCCTCCGGGAATGTAGGATCTTTACATTTCTTTTACACTCGATCAACATGTGTTAGTATACATTGATATCGAACATTGGGTTGCATCAATTATGCTTCTAACCTTATATACACTGTGTTTCGAGCTCCAGTGACACTCGATAGTGACCATGTACCTATGTAACTATGCGTAGTCTCATTTTGTCATTCCAGTGCTCATTGTCACCAATGTTGGAACATCCGCGATATCAAAAGACTAGGTATCGCTATGTATTTCTTGTAAACTGAGATGTCTTCTGCGCTACTTTACGTACAGCTCTGTCTCCGCATTCTAAAAAACCGTTTCCATTCTCATCATGAAGCTCTCCATAAATTGGCTCGTTTTCCTCCTAGGCAGCTGGTTTGCTTCAGTACAGTCTATTTGTCCAACAATCCTCGAGCCAGCATATCCTGCTCCATCTCTAGCAGCCGGGTGGTCAGCTCAATTAATCGCTCAAGGTCTAACTAAACCACGTACCATCCTTTTCGATACGAATGGAGGCCTTCTAATTCTCCAACAAGGATTCGGTATCGCCCATATAAAATGGACTGATAATGGAAGTACATGTTTACAAAATCCAGTACAGACAATTGTTGTTAGTTCTACTGTTGTATGTCCATTCTTTTCCAGTGTCGAATGTGCTTGGGAGTTGGCGTGGTGAAGTGCTAATATACTTATGGCTCAATCATGGAATGGCTCTAAGTAATGATGGGAAAACCCTATATGCATCATCAAGCAACAATGTCTACGCATGGAACTACACGGCAGCAACCGGCACAGTAGGAAGCTCCAGCCAAATCATCATAACAAACAGTACGTCCCCATCCCCTCTCCCCATCACCCTAAACCCACAATCCGCAAGTGACAAATGACGACCCAACCACCCGCTCCCTCCTCACCACCAAACTCACCCCAAACCAACTCCTCATCTCCAGAGGCACAACCCTCAACATCGATCCGGAAGCCGAGCTCCTCTCCACAGGCCACTGCCAACTAAAATCCTTCAACCTATCCACACTAACCCCCGAATCCACCCCCTACAACTTCACCACCTCAGGTCATCTCCTCGCAAACGGTCTGCGAAACTCAGTCGGTCTAGCCGAAGAACCCCTATTCGGCGGTATCTATTCCGTCGAAAACGGTCCCGGAAACATGACGCGTAACAACATCGATATCCATCTTTATAATCCAGGCGAAGAATTAAATTTCCACGGATATTTAAATGGGAGTACGGAGAATCAAGGAGCTAATTATGGATTTCCGTATTGTTTTGCTGTGTGGAATGAGACGGATGTAGGTGCCGGGTTGCTGGTGGGCGAGCAGTTTAGTATGTTGCAGAATGTGACGAGTAATGATACTTGGTGTAATAATGCGGGGGTACATGTTGCGCCTAAGTTGACGTTTGCGGCGCATTCGGCTCCGTGAGTTTGTGGGCTTTTCTCATGGCTTTTCGAGAGGTTTGGGATTTGGGTGTTAAAAGAGAAAAAAAGGATGGAGGAGATTAGGGATATAGAGGTTGAATGGGATAAGCTGACTTGATTTGTAATTTTAGGTTACATATGATATTTCTAGCAAACGGAACAGAAGCTTTTATTAGTTTCCACGGAAGTTTGTAAGTCTCATTCCTTCCCCCTCATCCCCCCATCCAAAACCAACTAATCCCCTCCTCCCCAACCCAGAGAAACCACACCCCCAGTCGGCTACCGCATCTCCTCTATAACCTTCAACCCCACCACCGGTCTTCCTACCTCACCCTCCACATCCACAACATCCACTAGCGACATCATCTCAAATTCAAACTCTTCATTTTGTCCAGCCAATTGTTTTAGACCCGTTGGTATGGCGTTGGATTTTTTGGGTAGATTGTTTGTTAGTAGTGATGCTACGGGGGAGATTTGGGTTGTAGTTAGGACGGGGAGTGTGGGGAAGTAGCTAGCTTGAAGGAAGAGCGGCTAGAGGGTGGTTAAATGAGGATGAGAGTTGTGTTGGGGGAATGGAGAGGGTGGGTGTAATGGGATTACGGGAAGGAATTATGGTAATGAATCAATAGTATGTGGATGCTGCTGGTATGGATTCATGGCCAAGAAAGGAAGTAAGCATTTTGCTCATCTATCCGTAGAATAATTTTGATTTAAATGATGTGTGATAAATAGCTCAACGGTTTCCGACATATGTTTATATAATCTGATCACTTTACCATATTAAAAGTATCAGAATGCCACTCCAAGAAAATTCAAGACGGGAGATTAACTTTCAATGATATGAAAACAATATCGATGGATGAAATGAATCACGTGCTAAGCTTAAGTTTGAAAGAGTATGAAGTTGACAGATCCGAATTGCGACATGGTAAAGTGTTATGAGACCTTGACATTCCTTTTTTCTCAAACACCGATACACCAAATAGCCACATCCCTACCTCTATCTCATTTTCGGTAATAATAACCACTGTTAGATTCGGTAAACTAGTGAACCTGATGAATTTAGCGGCGCGATACCAACTCCTATTAAAAGTAATCACCAAACTGCAGAATCATAAGATTACCTATGACCGAACACACATTAGTTACAGACTAACAATTTCATTCTCACCCACGTATAAATTTGGGACAATTCCTTCCCTTTCGTTCCAATTACATCCTTCCAAACTTGTTTTTCGATAACATATCAAGTACCAGAAAGATTTAACCATTATCCACAACAAGATGCATGGCCACATATCGAATATTCACCCCCATCGATGCAGAAACCCTCAGGGAAAGCAATCACCTAAAGCCAGCATATGAAAGTAGACTACAAACATCAGCCATCATCGTGAAGTCCAAGCTTCCGCCTAACGCAGATAATACGAAGGATTAAGGAAGCGCCATCTTCGATTATACTATCATACCCGAGTTCTCGTAAGCGGGGAAACGCTTCTGCATATCAGGTGGACAGCCGAACGCGCCAAGAAGAATCTGGAAAAGTTAGCTGCAGACACAGGAGAAAAACGAGCCCACAGTCCCTAGGGTAACTTTCCGGGAGCATGCATTAGGGCATATCGATGTATCAGAGGTTGAAGAAAGTCCCGAAGCCTGGATGATGCATTTACAGAGGCTGAAAATCACGACTGTGCTCATAGATGCGATAATGGACCCCGAGCATACAGATATGAGGTTGATGGAATCCGCGCAATAATAGGTTAGAGAAACGACTACGCTCACATATATAGAGCTTTCTAAATTGTGGAAAGATAGCGCATGGAGAGATGAACAGAGGAGGAACCCCGCAAATAATGCTGCATTAAATTTACTAGCCGTGACAGCGTTGGAGTAAAACGACATCAGCACACATGCACCGCCACCAGGTTATCGTCGTTTACACAAGGCGATTCCGAAGGAGTGAGTGGATTAAATTTTGTGCCGATAGAAGCGCCTTCATAAATCATTCCGTGCTCCGTAAGAGTTCGAACATTCCAAAAAAAGCCAGAAGAACAAAATATCTTACTTACACCTGATCTTGAAGGTCGCCAAGTTATACTAAAGTTATATTCGAAGACACAGTCCATTTCCTGCTTCAATAACGCAGTATACTGTTCCGCATAGCATGATAGAGCGTCTACAACATGTATTTATTTCCCTTTGGAGATGCATAGAAAGAAAAAGTTTACACTAGTCGATCACGCCAGTGGCCGAAGGAACCTCTAGCTGATATTCGTAGATATCCTCTAATCATTGCACCTATATCAAAGGCAGGCAACCAGCGAAGCTGTAACTTTTCAGCACGTCACGATTGAGAATCTGCTGCATATAAAAGATAGGCAAGCACAACAGTATTTCTTTCAAACACAAGCTGCTTTGCACGAGCTCGATGGGTACGAGACGAAGGTCGTGACAAACATGATGGATGAAGAACTTCGGACTGATAAATGTTTATTGAAGTCCGTACGGATTCTGAAGTACTGCTCAGCTTACAAGCCTGTATGAGGATGGTGAAATTGTCCAGGAGCTTCAAAATATCGGTGATTATTTAGGTTTCAATTTTGGAATTATTTTCGAGGAAAGACATACAGCGGGCAGATAAGTTCTATTTCTCAACTATACTCAAAACCCCCTCCTTGAGCAGACTCCGAGTTTGTGTGAAGAAAGAATTCGAAAGTAAGTCCGTATTGCCATCTAAACATCATCGCTGCGCACCACCACCATGAGAACTCTTGATATCTTTTGACATTAATAGAGACGACACAAAGCACTCAGAAATAACACTCGCCTCTTTTACCACTAAGTCTACACTGCTAATCATCCAGGTCTTAGCTGCTCCAATGCATTTCCCGTAATATTTACACAACGAATTGCGCGGAATGATGATTATTCTGCTTAAGCAGCATACATACAACAGGAGCGTTACGGATACAAGGAGCAACGAACGGATTCTAGTGATCAATCTACTATTCATGCAGTCCTCATAAAATATCATCTCAATCCTCTGCGCGACTTCCTGCTTACCAATGTTTCAAGATGACCGAATATCAAAGATGACTTCATTCGGCACGGTCTCTCATTCATCCCGCATAGGTCGCGGCGAAGGTTAATTGCAATGGCATCAGCCCTTTGTGTCAGTGGTGGTTGACAATTTCGTTTTCCTTACATAGGAAGCTTAGATGTGCTAGCAATTGTATGAATGGGAAGTAGAATCATGTACATAACTATCAAACAACTGCAGGTCGCACACACGGAACTATTGGTGTTGAAGTAGAGCAGATACATTGACACACACTAGCAATGCGACCAAGGAGGTATCATTTCTATATTACGTATCCACCGCGACCAATTTACTTCACTCGTGTACAAGTTTCCTCCTTTTCATTTCCATCTGCCTTCCTCCATTCCTTGCTCGCCATTTAACCTTCCACAGATCATATCCATTTCCATCCTTCAATGCGACTAACAATCTTCCTCATGCAAGATCTACGCAACCAATTTTCAACCACAAGAACCACAACTCGCGAATGACTATGAAACCAATGCCAAATTACATAAATAAAAACAACTATGCTAATCCCTTATAAAAGCTCGCCTTTTCCCCCAATGAATCGAACACCTGCAGCGCTATAAGAAGATAATGCAACAACGCATATGATTATGGATTTCAACAGCCTAACAAGTTACTCAACCACGGCCCGTTGAATTGCGGGCGTCATTCAAGCTCTGTTCACTAAACTTTGCCCAGTGAACATATATTTGTAAGCCAAACCGAATATATTCCTTGAAAAGAGAAAAACACAAATTGTAGGGTATGAAAACAAAGGAAAAGATTTTGAGAAATAGGTCATCAACGTAAGCCGATGACACTCATCTCCAACGTCCACACCCTTCGAATCCACACCTTTAACTTCCCCTCTACACCTTCCACATTCTCCAATTCTACCCCCTCCCACCAACATCTCCTCGCAGGTTTTCTCCAAAAAAGCAGAAGCTTTTGTGCCATACCCACAGCATTACCACCCATCTCGTTGCCACGAATATCAGTTCGGAGACGAGCTAATGCGAGACTACATATAACAGCTTTGTTTGGCTCTCCTGCTCGATGACCCCAATGATCATCGTGGTTGAAACCCCTATTTTCATGTTAGTTCTATACTTGCCGATGATGTTAATGCAAATGGACATACCCAGCAGTTAACATTTCAATCAAATGCTGTTCTGTTGTGCCGGTTTCCTCACTTCTTCTCAAGCCGGAAAATATACCATCTTGTTTCAACAGTGCCTTTCCAGCCGCTCTTTTCACCTCAATCATTTCCGGTTGTTCGATATCAGCTCTGGGAGGAATCGCATAGAAATCTAAGTCTTCCCTCAAAACAATTATGCCAGCTCTATCCTGTAACATCTCCCTGGCAGATCCTGCCATTGGCTCAATTGGTACAGTATCTGTTTCTTGTCCCGCGGATGGTGAGTTTGAGCCGGATGGAATCGTTTGCGCTACGTTGCGAAAGAACTCAAGCATGTATTGTAAAGATGCAGGATCGTACTGAGAGAAAGTGTCAGCTATATGCATGTCTAAATTTGACAGTATATTGCGAATAAATAATGGAGTATCACGGACATCAACCTGGAAGGCATCCCCTTCATGGTAGGTACTCAAATGGCCATCAGGTAGTAGCCCATTGGGAAAGAGTGATAGGAGAACGAATTCGGGAAGTGTTAGAAGTTCATCTCGAGATAGTGTGAATCGGGTGCCGCTAAATTTGGAGATTAGTCTACATCAATTCACGAACTACATATTCAATGTATATCATACCGAAGGTCCATGGTGATATTCTCATCGGCGCCAACATCTAAAATATGTCAATAATTATTTCATCTAACAATTGATGAAAATCAAACTTCACCTCCAAGAGTATTTATAGGTGCTGCACCTTGCTGCACTTGAGTAATAATGCTCGCAGCTCCTCCGGCGGCCGCCATCAGATATGTAAAGCCGTCGAGCGGACTTGAACCTTCCGAATATGCAGGTGGTGGTTCGCTTTCGTCGTCTTTTTTCGAGGATTCGCCTTTATTGTCCTGTGGTAGTGCAGCTTTTGTTTCCGCCTCGACGTTTGTTGAGGAGGTGGAGGCTTCTAGAGCTTGTCGATTTGGATCGGACGCGACAAGAACGTATTCCGGAGCAGCAGTAGACGTAGATAGAGATGCGCCTGCTTCAGTAACGGCAACCTTGTAAGCCTCGACAGCTTCTGCGGTTGAGGTATAGAGGGAAGAAAAGGGCGGGGGCCGCGGTGAGGAAGGCGTCGATTGTGATGGTTCTGAAATGGGGTATCTAGGGGGTGGTGAATGACTGCGATCTAGCTCTTCCTTCAACTTCAATTCGTGCTCTTCTGCTGTGATATTATCTAGCCCAACGGACGGACCGTCGATGGCTCTCTGCGTATTGGACAACGTGGTTGCTGAGATTTTGGAAGTGGATTTAAAACTTAGATTTGATACAAGGATTAAAATTAAATTGATTGAATTCCGGAAATTGTTGTTTGGCACAGAAATATGAACCAGAGAATGAACAATCGATGGTGCGAGATGGTATTGAGTGTTGTGTATAAATGATCGTGATCAGTTTAGGAGTGTTTACATAAGGAAGAAGTACCATAAAGGGCTTAGCGCCATCACATAATGTCTGTGCATAACTTAAATTAAGTGCAATGATTGGTAGCCGCAGGGCGCTTAGAGGTGTTATTAAACATCATCATTATCTAGCAGATGAAGAAGATATTGTATTGAAGATAGGTAGGGATATTCATATTTAGATGCCCGTCTCTTTGTACCACGTGATTAATCACTATCAGGTAAGATACTGGCTACGAGAAATGTATACATATGCATGAGTTCGACTACGCCCATATCTAAATACATATATCTGGATACTATTGGATACATAAATTCGGATACTCATATCTGCACACACTTACCTCCATACAGCTCATATTTGGATACTCATCTCGGAATATCCGTCGATGCACAATATTTAGGTGGATCCATAAAATCTATAACAATGCATAATATTAGCTGAATACAGGAGACCTCTGCTGCTTTGGATTTCCAATAAGCGAGGCAGTAGAGGCAGTAGCAGCCGCAGCTGACTTCAAAAATGCAATAGTCGGTATAGTGCGTCCTAAATGCTGCTTTATTCTCAGCTGAGCAAGTATTGTATTGGTTAGTAAGCCTTGGACGCCCAAGGTCTTTGGAGATGTTGAATTCGGTTATAAAATAGCATTGGATGGGATGAGAGGCGGTGGACTTACATTTGCCTCAAATCAAGTCTCATTCCAGCATGTTGGTCATGCGGACGCCTGGCCTGCTTATTATATAGACAACACTATTTTCCATTTCTCAAGGAGTAAGGGTAGTCTCGAATTTTTTGACCAGCTCCATTGTAGGTGTTGATGCTGTTCATGTGACCAGTTATGGGCGTTGATGGTGTTCCTACCTTGGCTATGTCGCAAAGTGACTGAGCAATACGTAGTTTCAGTCATTTAGGAATAATAAGCGGAGATCAACATCATACTTTTGCTTTTTCAGGACTTTTAATAGCGAGATGACCCCAAAGAATGCATCACCATATCGTGGAATGGGATGAGCACAACTCGGCTCCTGTAGCAGTAACTTCATACTTCACCTCGTTATCTGCATGCGGAAGGGCTGAAGATCGAATCTTCAAAGCACATAGAGCGCTTCCATAGCTATGTCTTCCATAGATGCAAAGTCATGACTTCCTAAGCTTTATTTAGCTGCAACTAGACAGTATGGCACCCACCAGGTGGTAATTTCCATAATGCAGTGAGAAGGCTCAAGGTGTATTGTGAAATATCAATTTCCTTAAAACCCGACAGAGGACCCTTGATATAGACAGCGATGCAGCTACTCAATGTCGCGATACTTTCCATAATGGATATCCAAATAATATTTACCGAAGTAGCGGGCCTAGTGGGCGTAGATCTACATGAGCAATACATATTTTCGTTGATATACACACATCGCATCCTAGGCTGCGCTTCTCAAAGTATTTTGGCAGCAACATGAATTAACTGTCCGCACATGTGAGCGCGGTTAGCTTGAAATTTTATCTTCGGCAGAACGTTGAATGTGACTTTATTTCAAAAGACTCAGGATCATCCCTAGAAACAAGAAACCTTGAAACCTCGAACTTGAGGGAACTTCTCATTTAATTCTATGTTTTACAACCCTGACAATCTTCACTGTGTGCACAATTTCTCTAAAGCTCTGAAAGAAGATGTGGATTTAAAAGGTCTCAATAAGAGAGGAAACTCGTAACCATGCAGTTGCAGAGCTTAGTTTCGCGTCAGCGAATGTGGTAACGAGCACGTCACATCTCACGGCGCTACGACTTTCGATCACAATAATACCACCGAAACTTTTCTAGTTGGAACGGTTATATCTTCAGATGAACCGAAAAGCCAAAAAAAAACCCCACGGGAACCTGCTTCTTATGGCTCTAAGCCTGTAAAGGCTTGAATGACTCATGCGTCAATACAGGTTTCGTAGTATGCATTGCACCGTACCTAACGTTCCTCTCACGTGAAGTGCGAATTCCTATCATTGAAGCAATACTTTCGGTGTCAATGACTAGCGATGCAGTAGAATTTCATCCCAATACTTATCAGCCAAGCCCAAGAAGAGCTTGAAGGGATCCGAAGTGTTCGCCATGCCACTTCATAGCCAAATTGATTTCGAAAATAAAATACAGGTGCACGTTTACCTCCTCCAAGCACATAAAAAGTACCGGTACTACTGCGAATGAATTTTGCATCGAGAAATTTGATGCTTCAGGACATAGTAAGAAAAGTGATGACGATGATTTCCCTTTTAATAGAGAGTGGGATTCATGGTTTAGAAGTCACGCTCCCATCGACCTCCGCAAAATTTGGCAATGAACATTCTCGTGGTAAGATTAACAGTGCAGTCTTGATGCTGAATTCGCGGCACGGGGTCTAGGGCTAACATTTCCCCTGATTTTCATCGTTGATAGCTATCAGAAGTAGGAGCAGATCTTATGAAATTTGCAAAGAGAATCGTTTCAGTTGACGTGGGAAACTTGGGTTCTAAGAAAGGATGGATGGTGAATTGCCAGCTAATAAATCTTTCATCCATCTACTTTACGAAGCGGAAGCTTCGGTGAATCTTTCACGCGCGCAATCAAAATTCACGTCAGCTCCGAGGTGAAGAGAATTTTCTTTTCAATCACAAGGAAATGATGTGGCGAAAGCATGTTTTCTAGAATGGCGTGTTAGAATCGCAAACATGGAGATAAAGAGATGTGACAGATGTGAGAATCTACTTCCCCTCCATACTCAGGCTCAATTTCAGATCAGTCTTTTATATATATATATACATATTAATGTAGCGGCTGTCTTCATTTCAGGAAATCATTTTCCTGCAATGTAACCTTGAATACGTGCGCCATGTTCTTTAATCAATATTGTTGTTCCTGGTAACCTCTCAAGAGCTTCAAGTTTACATGGACAGAATCACGTTGATTGAAAAAAGACGTATATCTATATCTATATCCATGATTTGATTAGGAATAGACGTGGACATACGAGATTTTTACACCGGTCTGTGTTAAAAGGCGATGGGCTTACAATGCAAAAGTAGAGGCTACCCAAAACTAAATAGATAGATATCTGCAAACGTGCCCGAATAACTTTGTGTCGCACCCTATTTCAGGGGTTAAAATTGGATCGATGTGTGCAGTAAGATATGACAAACTAAAGGGGGATTATAACAAAGAGTGTGAATCATTTGAAGAAAAGCCAGGGCAATGTGGGCATAGAGTGATATGATATGGGGATTAGCTTCCTTGTTTGCTATTCTTTTACAATGGGCGCCAGGGCTGACTAGACCACCAAACACGATGTGAGATCTAAATGCAGGATATATATGAGGTGATGTAACTTGAGCTCTTCTACAGTACTAACGATGTAAAAAATGCCACTACGGTAACTCCTTCTAAAACATAGCTTCTCTACCAATTAATAACCGAACCAAATTTCTCAATAATAAAAAACTTCAAAAACTTAGAAAATCAAACCTCCTCCACACCTCCCCTTCCTTCTTTACTCTAGATGTGCTACCCAAAAGCCTGTCTCAATAAACGGGTGCAAATCTCATGTTCCCCATCTACTTGGCTCCAATTGCCAGGAGAGTGTCATTGATTCCATCAACAACAGGTTTTAGCCCCAAAGGAGCCAAAATTGTCGAAAGAAGTTGACGTGCTCGGAGAGTCATGGGTGTGGATGCAACAGTCTGGTTAATTAGCGTGTTAGTGAAGATTTCCTAGGTATGTGGATGGGAAGAAGTGGATGCGAAGATGTGGACTTGCATCGTATTTGTCTACAACTACGGTAGCTGTAGAGCTTTGGTTCTCGCCCGCGGTGTTCTTGAGTAGCCGTTTAGTATGTGAAGTGCGTTAAAAGGCACAATAAGTAAGGCTTACAGCGATAGGAGCCGCCATGGCGAAGGGAAAAACGATTGCTGTGGTCAGGACTCTTTGGAGATACATTTTAAACAATCGAGATGGCTTTGTTATGGTAATTGGTGCTGTAATGTACAGTGATTTGATAGCTGTGAAGATTGAATGGAAACAATTCATATACAGTCCTTCTTTATATATTCTTGTCCAGAACACTTGAAGGATCGCGAAGCAGTCATTTCCACCGTTCAGCTTCCACGAGGTCCAGCAAGGAAGGGTCACCTACAAGGTTGAACCCCACGAGGAAAGTACATGCTTCACTACAAAATCTCTGTGTATCCAACTGAGAGATAATCGTAGCCAATAATTGGACTCTGACGACATGCCATCTGCTTTTTGGAGAAAATATGGTTTCCCCGTTTTGGTGCTCAGTGACATTGGTACGATGAACTCGTACCGGCGATCTGGTGCTTCGAGGGAAATCGTTCGTTTCAGATGTTGGTGTGCTCGATTCATCAATAATCTTCCTTGGAACACAACACTTAGCAAGTAATTTATTTGCGCAATGTGATGAACTGCCAACACGATATGTCACCTTATGGGAGTTGTATAATTGGCCATTGAACCACTTGATTCATCACCTTTGGTGGAAGTCGAAAGAAGCCCTTGGCTTCTGTTTGGCAAGCTGACATTGATAGACCAAGGGCAAAATTGAATGACAAGCTGGCAGAAATTTATCATTCTTTGGATCTTGACGCCACATCAGGGACCAAATCTGAAAATTGTGAGAGAAGTCATCCACAGAAAAATGCCGGGACTGAGAAACATTTCGGCCATTCCGTACCGAAGTTTCACTCATATTATCGGCCGAGCAACACTATTTTACAGCCGAAAGAAAAAGCACAATGCTAGACCAAGAAAGGGACGATTTTGTCACCAAAATCTATCGAGGCGATAATTCCCAAGTTAATTTCAAGGTCATCCTGTGGAATACTTCTTGAAGCCTCTTGTGCTATGAGATTCATCCCTTAAATGAGGTAGCTACACCGGGACGTGGAAAATATTTATTAGATTGATCCAGTAAGAAGAAGATGGCAAGAAAGCTCGATTGGTACAGCATTGGAAGTGTGTGTACTATGTTCGACATTAATGTAGAATCTCAATGTTGTGTCCGTCGACCTGCCATGATTGCTGCTATTAATGAAAAAGTTTCGATAAGAGCGAACGAATTCTAGCCATACAGCATGGGAGAAAATGGTGACGGAGGCATCTCCGTAAGTTCCATTGATCATGTTCGTGCATGTTGAATGAAAGGGTCGTTTCTTTGTGGTGGCTGTTAGTATAGAGTAAGGAAAATGATATGTGGTGGAACATATGGCTTGGGGTATAGATAATTTGTCGCATTATGTTTGTTTGCTTTGGTTCGTATCGTATGTATTAGTAAAGTCTTACTACGATAGGTAATAATTCATTATTCATAATCGATTTGTTCTAATCTTCCTATAAGACCTACTCGCTACCTAGGTAACTAATACAGTTGCAGTATAGCCGATGCAACAGAAGCATTCGATAGACGATGTATGCTAGGCAAGGGGTTTTCTGATAACCTTTAGGCTCTACTTGCTTGTAGCAGCAGATCCTTTGTGACCTATCGAGGATTTTTCTGAGAACTTTTTGACTGGGCTGGAAGGGGGAAGGAGGGGCCTACCCCCAAGTATTTATCTAATGCATCGTGTAGATAACCCGACCCCAGTATAAGACTACTTCCCAGTCACGACAGTCCATTTCAGCAGCACCAGAGACCATCTTTCGCTGGCTTCAAGCCTTATGCATCATATGATTCGAGGGGAGCTTCATTCGAATATTTCATTCACAAACGCCTTCCATGATGGTATCAATCTACCAATAAAAATACAGTAATATTAGTTTGTGTTGTAACCGATGAAATTAAGTTTTTAAGGGTCATATTAGATTCAAGGCTTTCGTTTATGATCTGATCGTCTGTATAACACCTGTGTTACATAGGTAGGTAAGTCTTACCTTAGTTTGTTCTAATCGATCAAATGATGATTGAGAATGATGATATCGATGCTGCCAATGCTGCCGCTGCCGTGCTGTGCTGTGGATATAGATTATATGAATAGATACTATCCAGTATTACCCATAAACTATCTGCTACTCGAGTATTCCTGAGGAGCAGCTAATTTTGTGGGACTTTGTGATGTCATTGAGAAATAATATTTCGTCATGTAACTCAAGAATTTCCTTGTTAGACATCAACTTGTCTAGAAAAAGATTCCCCTTTAACAATGAAAAACTCCTTTAGATATATATTGGGGAAACCAACAACAATTGATCAACAATAAATAATGACCAAACACGGATAAATTCGCCTCTTCTTCACGTCCCCACCAATTACAACTAAACTACTAGAACATCCTTTCAATTTTTATTTGGTTATGGTATTCGATACAAATTTAGAGAAAAATGCCAAAAAAATGCCAAAAAATGCAAATTCAATCATTGGCCCAAAACAAAAATGGCAAAAATGGCAAGAAACCCACCCATCGGAGGCGGACCTCCTCACCGGTGATTCGTCAAAATCCCATATTTTGATCGGAGGTATCTCCACAAGACCCTTTTTCTGGAGTCTCACCCAAAAATCTATGAGCAACCTCACAATTCTCAAGTATAGAAGTCGTCGCTAATCCTGGAATATCATCACTTATTTTCTTCAAAAAAATTTCATCAATTCCGCCAATCATCAAAAAAACTACCTGTCACAATTGTCAATTATTTTTGGAGAAGTACTACCGTTGCAACCATATCTCGTGGCTCTTCGGCCGAAGAACGACTTCGACTTCGACAACACAACACAACATCAAACATAGCTTGGATAGCCACCATTCAGTTACAACCACAAGACAGGGTAAAAAACTGTATTGCACTGTTCTTCCATGCTGTTTGAACCACCAGGGAAAATAGAAAGGATACGGATGCCATAAAACTTTAAAGAGATGTGGCAAGACGACTGTTGGGAATTCACGATATAAACTACTGCAACTACAGGAACTATTCGCAGCGGCGGCCGATATTCGCAACCCTCGTGTTGCTATGAATCCCGACTCGGTATCTAGTTCTAATTCCGGAACGGCTCCAACGCGGAAGGATCGAGGACCGATCGCGAGTCAGGTTGGTACTTATTTGCTACCCACCTTCATCATTCTCTCCTTTTCGATGGGGTCCACTACTATTTTTCCGCGTGTATAGTCTTGGCTGCCTCATGTTACCTTATATATTATAAATGGTGGCTGACATTCAACTTCTGAAGGCTTGCGATGTTTGCCGACAACGAAAGCAAAGATGTGACGAGAAGCGACCGAAGTGTGGTCTTTGCACACGTTTGAAGATAGAATGCAATTATAGGGAGCCCGTGCCGACAAAGTAAGTGCCATGAGGCATATTTCAGGCCACTTGATATCACCGAGGGGATTCGATCTACTTTTAGTATACTCACTTGTCTTGACCCTGACTGAGAGCGCTATAGGAAAGACAAAACGATGGTTGAAATCCTGGATCGAGTAAAAAGTATAGAAAATAAACTTGATCGACTTCCTCAACGAGTCGTAGGAGGTACATCAGATTCTAAATCATTTCAGACAACGCCTGCCAATCAACCGTCGTATAGCGAGTCCTTCAACTTCGATTCCGAGGGACATGCATTTTCTCCTACGTTTTTACGCCCTTATGAACTTAGTCCTGGTCGATTGGAAATAGAGACTAAATATCATCATTTTACAGCGTCCCATAAGATTTTGACATGGCCTGCTGTACAACAACTTCTACTACAAGCAGTGTCGTCGAACATTGGTGATTTGAAAGACTTGGAAAAGGGGTCAGTGTTCATAGTGCGAATGCAGGCTGCACGGCCTCCGTTATCCTTAAATGTAGACCTACAAGACAAACCTTTTGTGGGCATGCAGTCGTTGGCGAGTAGAGCTGTTGGAGGCTCGCGAATAACGTTCCCTGCTTTGTCCCGGGAAACCATGCATCAACTGACAACGTCTTATTTTGATACATTTAACTTCCTGTACCCCTTCATGGATAGGCAAAATTTTGTTTCTGACACTCTTACAAAAGTTACATCAGAAGGCTTCGATGGAGATGTGGAATCTGTCCTTGCATTGCTAATTTTCGCTCTCGGAGATGTGGCACTCGAAGGTTCCCGCGGTAGTCCTGTCGATATTTACCGGGGCCGGCCAAGTGGCGTCAGGGGTGGATCAGGGTCATCTAGACCACCAGGATTAGCTTTTTTTAATGAAGCGTTGAAAAGAATCGGCTGCATCTTTACTGACTGCAGTCTTGAGAATGTGCAGATATTTTGTCTGACTGCGTGCGTCCAATCTCATAAAAACAAAGCCTATCGAACTCGCTTGTTGACTTCTTGCCTCAGATTGTACTACCAAACCTGTTGCCGCCATATGGTAATTATTAGATCCAAAATCTTTTATGAGTGGCAGTTGATGTAATCGTAGGAATTTTGGAGGTCGATGGTTTCTGCTTCTTCGTCATGTAATATACTTATCACGTCGTCAGCACACTTTTTCATTCTTCTTTTCTCCAAAAGTCTCTGACCGAATTTTAGGGACAGCATTGACTGGAAGTCTCCGAAAGGCGACCTTATCAAACGTGCGTATTGGCATTGTGCTACCATGGAGACGTAAGTATCCATACCCACAATGACACTCCAGAACCCGTGCATCATGCTAAGGAATGGAAGAACTCTACACCTCGACATGGATCTACCACTCACTTCGATGATGAATCTTGAGAAAAAGGTTGAATTGCCGCTTTTTCTAACCCCTTTCTGTGAAGAAGACTTTAAAGGAGATCAACAGACGCATTGGCAAGCCCACAATTCTTCAGTGCTGGCATTACGACGAATTTGTGTTCAGATACAAAATGGAATCCATGAGAGTAAGCACATAAATCAAAAGTTATATTCACTATTATCGAATGAAACTGACTCCTTGAATAAAGTGGCCAATATGGACACTAGCTCCCCTTCCACGGATGCTTTCAGCTTCCTGTCCGCAAGTGGTGTACGACAGCTCGCATCCTAGCTAACTCAATGGCGCGGCCTCCTCCCCAGTACCATCCAATGGGATGAAGATGACCCCGCGAGTTTTCCTGGCGCGCAGACCTCCGGACAACAAATTGGGAACATCGATCCGAATCTCACATCACTAGCATCACAGGATCCGGGTTCAGCTCTGTTTTCTACTAATATCGACGAGGAACCGACTAGGTATCCTTATGCGTATGATATACAGGTGGCCGTATTGAGAACTAGGTTCTACTATGCCAAATACATGGTTTATCGACCTTTTGTGTACAAGGTTTTGCATTTTCCAGAATTGGTCACGCCAGAGGATGCCCAAAACGTTGCAGAATGTCTACGCGTATGTTATTCTAGCCTTTAGCCTTTACTCTTTTCTCGTTAATGTCACCACCACCTTACACTTCTATTAACACCCCATATCAGTCTTGTCTCCTTTGGCCCATCCTGCTCTCCCCTCCATCTCGCAGCAAACGCCTCATCCCCTACCTCTTCACCTGGTCTCAAATCTTCCTTAGCATCTTACTCATCGTGCATCTTTCGAAACACAACACGATGCTGAAGGATATTTGTGAAAACATGTGTGGGGAACGGTATCACGAGGAGATTGAGGACACGGTAGGCCTCATGCTGGATTGGATTCGGGATTTGAAAGATGCCGAGGATCCCATTGCCGGTTGGTGCTGGAATATGCTGAGAGGTATTTATTGGTAGGTTTTTCACATCCAATTTGTTACTGGACTACTATCCAACTAGACACCTCGAACGTGGGTGTAGGTGGGGTGCTCGGGAAGAAGAGAAATTGATAAGTGAGGTCGAACAATTTGGACCATGTAAGGCGAGTTGTGTGACAAGCGGTAGTTTGGAATGGGGATGGATCTGTGGGGTTAATTTTGACGTTGTGATGGACTAATGCGGTGGATAGATGAAGGTAGGAAGGTATGAAGGTATGCATGAAACGAACGAACCAATGAACGATGTCATGACATGATGAAATTATGATCATGAAGAAAACATATAAATATATATAGCCATATTCATTTGTCAGATAAACCAACCAGCGAAAATAGGCCAATCCAAAAGATTACAAGTCTCTAAGATTACGAGTCTATCCATTTACATCCCAATTCGCCTCTCGACCCCAAAATTCATAAGGGATATGTAAGATAACAACTTTACACAGGTGCCTACCGTGACAGAGTTCATAGCTTGGACTCCTTTCGTCGTACGAACGTATCGTCTAGTAAGTAATCAGGGTATCTCTTTGCTCCAGCCATGGGCCCCGGAAGTCTCCCTATTTGCACAAGATTAGTATGAATGCCTTAACGAAGATGAATGAAAAGCAGAAAGTGGGTAGGTTTTTGAGAAAATCCTTAGACGTACAACTCCCGCCATCAATAACCAAAACTTCTCCATTAACGTAGCTTCCTGCGTCGCTGAATATGTATACAGTCCCATCCGCAATTTCCTTCACGGTACCATATCTCCCCAATGGGTTTCTTCTCTGCGCATCACCGCTTGCTTCACTCTCCTTATCGCCCAATCTTGCCATTCCTTCCGTTCCTTCTATGGGTCCTGGCGTAATAACATTACTTGTTACTCCTCTAGGACCATATTCCAAGGCGGCCGTTGCAGAAATAGCATCGACGCCTGCTTTTGCTGCCGCTACATGTCCTTGCAGCGGCGTTCCCGTAAAATGGAAAGCGGCTGAGATAAAAAGGATGCGGCCGCCGGTGTTGGGGTTAGATGCTTTATTTGGATGGGCAGAAGCGGATTTTAGGAGTTGCGGGAGAGTGGCTTTGAGAGTGTTGAAGGAGCCGAGAGTGTCAATCTCGAGTACTGTTCGGAAAGCATTGGAAGAAAGACCATCGAGAGGGGCAATAAAGTTTCCCGCCGCTCCGGCGCTGTTGTAGTGGTCATGTTAGAACTTTTAATCAATTTGAAATATAAATTAGAAGAGAAAGGAAACGAAAGGCCATCATACATCACGAAATCAATGCTTCCTAGCTCCCTCACGCATGCCTCTACTGCATCCTCCAAACTCTTTATGTTCCTCACATCCACATTGCCAATTCCGAGAACTTTAGATCCAGGACGTGCTGTTGATATGGATTTGGCCATGGATTCAGTCTTAGAAGGATTGCGTCCGATAATGCATGCGTTTGCTCCTAGGTGAACCATTGCGCGGACTTGGGCGGAACATATCGTACCTGCACCGCCAGTGCAGAAGACAACTTTGTTATCTGAAGGACAGAGACTTAGTATGTATTATAAAAGGGACCTATGTTTTAGGAATACACACCAAAGATACCATCGCGCCAGACGTCGGAGAGGTATTCTGATCGAGGTAGAGCCATGTTTGTAGTATAGCGAGAGTAACGAGGGTTTGGGATATATGATAGAATTGATAACCGACGAGCCTCCCTTTGAATACTTGTTCCAAATAATGTGTTCTATTGCAGAGCAGAGCTTCAGAAAATTAATGAGAGAAGCAAGCTGTGGAAATGTAAATCCAACATTAGACCAACCTACCTAGGCAGGCACTGAAGCAAAGTGAGACAGTACTAAAATCCGGGGGTTTGGATTCTTGTGTGCCTCGGTCCGGCTGTCATTTCACAAGTTCCGGGAGCTAAGGATGTGATTATATAATCCTCCGAGCCTAGAAAGTTTAGACAAGGATCTTCCCTTTAGCCTCCAACTCGCTACCCACCTCGCTGACTGAATCGCCAAACCAGCAGCTCTAACTCTATCTCTATCCATCATATCACATTGGCTTTGTGTGTGTATTGAACGACTCTTAACTGAAGTTATACTTGGGAGGGACCTTTGTACGCGGCAAGATGTCTACAAGGACTGTGTCGACTTTAAAGTTTGTGGGATCTATTTCCCTGGGCTTACTTACTGTAAGTTGATCGCATCACCCCACCAAGGTTGCCAAACTTTATCATTCTCTTCCCATCTCTCTATTCTTAATCTATGATGAATTCATAGGCCTAACAGACATGATCAATAGGGCGTTTCCTACACTCTCTCATCCCTCACAATCCCCGCCTTCCTAACCCTCCCGTCTGCTAGTCTCGCATCTCGTTCTTACAGCTCCCTCACCTCTCTCGCCACAACCCACACTCGTGCTCTCACCTGGATTTCATCATGGTCTTTCCTTCTCGCCTTCTACTTCTCGCCTCGAGGACAGAAACACCCTTATCTTCTCTGGACATCTCTATTTGCTGCCTCAAGCTCGATGGCCGATAAACTAGTCCCACTCGCCATGGGTTCTACAGGTCCAAGACGTATTGCACAAAAGAAAAAGCCAAAGAAAGCTATGAGTCCCAGACAAATGGATGCCAGTTATGAGGTGTTGAGCAAGAGTGCGGGGGATTATGAAAGTGCGGGGTTGGCTAGCAGTGAAGAGGAGGTGGATGATAATGTCAATGGGGAGGAAGTGAGAGAGGAAATGGAGGGGTTCATGACCAGCCAAGTTGTCAGGACGTTGGTTGCGGGGTTGGGATTTGCGATGAGTGTTGTGGGCATTTGGGGGGATGGAGGATTGACAGAGGTCATTTTTGTTGATGTTGTGTAAGGGGAGAAGTGGAAAGGCTTTGGATATGGTTATGATGGACGAAACGAATGAAATATATGAGAATGGCGATAAGGTGACGGGTTAAAATTGATGCGAGTCGGGTGGTTGGTCTCAAAGTCTGCAGAATGGAATGGGTTTGGCGGTTTACAGGCGCGATTGGTGGCAAACAGCACATTCCCGTTCTTTGGCTTACATAAGGAACCAGGAAGGCCGCTTGGGTTTAAAACTCTCTCCTCTCTCTAAGATTGAAGCATTTTGCGCTCTCTGTACCATTCATCTACGACCTGAGATTTTTTTTGGGAATAATTGTTGAAATTTGTTGAGCTTTATGAAATACATGTTATGATTGGGCAGGAAAAAAGATTGTTATCTATTGTTAAATGGGCTACAAAATATTCCTATAGCTTTGATATTGTACAAGTAGATGATTTTAGCAATTATTTCTACATCGTTACTATTATCTGTCCCAAAGGCATTATACAAATCACCTACTCCAACGTGCTCAATTCGATCATCTGATGTTTTCTATTCTAGCCAACTCCGTCTCGAATAATAAATAATACACTTTTGCATAGGTATGCTTTCATATTTGGCACCTTTCGATACGACCTGAACATTTTAATTCTACCTACTAGGTATGCAGAATTACTTCGGCTACGTACCTAGTATCGCCAACTAGCTTGTAGCTGTTTAGGTATATCTGCTATATATAAAAGATTGGAGGAAAGCTATGCGGATGCTAATATCCTCATTCATTTGAGGAGCCCTGGAAACTATCTTAGATAGATTCTTATGGGATTTCTATAGCGGTTGTTTATCTATTCACAATCTGGCCGTATAGCGATAATATACAAGATAACATACTCCAGTATCCTGCATCCTGCACCTGGCACCTGGCACCTGGCACTCTAGTACTATGGAAATTCTGCATCCCAATCCACTACATCCTGATCCATTACGTTCCAATCTATTACATCCCAATCCACTCAACCCTTTCCCCGACCCTCCAGCTCAAGCTGCCTCCTTACAAAATTCCAGCCATTGAGCACATGCAACAGGACAACTTATTCATTAGCACATACTCATCATAAAAGATAAGAAAACGGGAGATAGATTATATATATATATATATCATAAGAGGGTTCTCTGGCGCTGTCTTGAGGAAATATAGACGGACATTATTTTTCATGCGGCAGAAGTAAATATTCCTATTTTGTTTTATCTTTTTTAGGCAATAGGAAATTTGGGTTCGAAGGGCAATCTGGATACTCATCCTGGTGATCAAAGGGTCGGGTTAATATATTCAAATGTTGAATTGAGGTAATGAATCCGAGTTTCACTTGTTTGATGTCATAGATAGTATAGAATTAGATGTCCGGATTCAGACCTGAATTTAAATGTGAGAACCAAACGGAATATCAGGTGATACTGTGATGAGATTGGACAAAAACAATGAATCAATGAAGAAATAATAATCTGATCGGATAGCCCAAAGCTGTTCTCCCTTGTCCTATTATCTTCTAATCTCCAATTCTGGAAGCTGCAAACCTGATAGTTCCACTCCCTCAATATCCCTCAACGCATCCTCCAGCCCCTTAACCAAATGTAAAAGCTGGCGATCTAGTCCCGTTCCCGCCAATATTGTGACACCAAACGGTAGACTTTCCATTCTATCAATACCATATTTATAAGTCCCGCAAGGAACCGCTATAGCTACCAGGTCCAAAACATTAGCAAAATGCGCAAAAGCACCTAGCTGTCCATTAATTCCAATTGGATCCTTCTCTACTTCGTCAATGGTGGGATGGAAAGGAGTAGTAGGGACCACCATGACGGTTAATTCGCCGGAATCATCATCTAATGTAAGAATGTTTTCGACCATTCTTTTATACTCGGCTTGTTTATGGAAATCCTTGAATACATCAATAGCTGTACTAGAGCGTGCGAGTGCACCTTCGAAGACGGAGCGAATAACAGGGTGGAGGAGTTTTTTATTCTTCTCGAACCAGCCTCCGGGTAGCGTGGTAAGTCGCTCTAGGACGAACGTACTGTCGTAGAGAAGTTCGTTAGCTGATGCGAAGGGCGTCCAATCTAACTCCACTTGTTTACCACCTAATGATTCAAGAGTGGCCACAACACGATTAAACTGCTCGCGGTAGATCGGGATGCAGACTTTAAGTGCAGAATCCGGTGCGGTGCCAAATCTGAATGTGGGTTTTGCATCCGTGGATAATACTCGCGATGAAACATTGAATGGTGGAGGTTTGGCGAAATAGTCATTTTTATCGAATCCCTGGCAAACTTTCCAGATTGTTTCCGTATCTTGCGTGGTGAGGCCGAGGAAAGAAACGCAGTCCTGATGGAGACACGCTGGTGCCACCCCCTGAGCTGAGACAGTTCCTTTAGTAGGTTTAAAACCAATAAGGCCATTAAAGTTTGCAGGGACCCGAATCGATCCTGCTGTATCACTACCCAAAGAGAATGATACCAACCCTTCACTAACACTTACCGCACTACCGCTACTCGACCCGCCAACAATATGAGATGGGCTAAAGGTTGAGTGCAAGATGCCATATGGAGATCTGCAACCTGTCATGCCAGTAGCTAGTTGTTCCATGTTCGTTTTGCCAATAAAAAGAGCACCAGCATCAATGCATCGTTGATAAACTAGCGCTGAAGAAGTAGGAGTGTATGCGAGGGCTGGACATCCAATCGTGGTTGGAATGCCCGCAATGTCGAAGTTATCCTTGACGCTAAAAGGTACACCCCACAGCGGCGGCCTACTGGATTTATCTGGCCAACGCCTGTCCAGCTCACTGGCTGCAGCCATAACGTCGGCCATGGATTGAAGTTGAATCCATACAGACGGCTGTACCTTCCGATATGCCTCAATACGGTCATAAATAGCTTGCACTACAAGTTGAGGTTTGACTCCAGCTTCGTAATCAAGTATAAGATTGGTTATATCAAGACTTGAATCCCAGTAATCCATTTCCTCTTCATCATCAAACTTTCGAAAGGTTTGGTGATCCGTTTCTTCTTCAATGTCACGTTCTCGAATCATACATAGTTCTTCGCGAATATAGGGATCGTCGTTAGTACTCATATTGGGCAAGGTCATTGAAATTGGACCCTGAGAAATGGAGTCGAACTTTCCAAAGAAAGCTAAAGTAGAGATGGCGCTTCCCAGTAAAGTGGAATTTTCTCGTTTTCGCCTTTGGACAGTCCCCAAGTAGTTAGCAGAGTTTTGGCCCCTCGTTTCTCATGTCCGGGCTGTGCAGCTATTCAGTGATGTTCGATGAAGTGAAGGACAGAAGCTAAGCCCAAATAAACTATCAAGGATTGAGTAGAGGACCTCTGATAATTCATTACGACTCAAGCAAGGCATCGGCTATGTGATTGAAGCATCACCCACTCGCTACATCTAGCTGAAGAACCATGACGAGCAACAATGGGAGCGAGTTATCAAGCAGGTAGCTAGTCGTAAGAAAAGATCGTCGACAATTAACAAAGTGATACCACAACCAGAATCCAAAAAATATTAATTCATAAGGTTGTGTAGTATTTGGTGCGTGAATTCCGTTATTTGTGATGTTGTTTATAATAAGTAATGAAGTAGTATGTATCATATATATGTATGTACCTTGGACTTTTTCTCTCTCCAGCCCCGTGATCTGTATTATGTCATTCTGAGCTAACCAGAACTGATGATATTCACATGATAGAATCCCACAAATCGTGGGACGGTTCTAGATGTTTCTTGGCCCATAGAGAAATGGATTTGAGTCATTACTTCCGCTTATGTAACGTAATATGCTCTGCTTGGATTCGCTGGTTTCCGCCGGCATTGCTATATAAGCCACAAAACGCCACAGTGACGTAGGCAACGAGCTACCCCTCTCGTTGTTGACCATATTGATCTGCCCACTTTTCAGTCCTGTTTCCCGTTTCCATTTGCATGCTACAAATACAATCAAAGGGCCACGCGATAAAATTCGATAAAAACATCAACTCCTTTGCATTCCACTACTCTACAATCAAAATTTCCTTCTTTACCTCACCACAACTAAACAACAATATTACAAAAGTACAACCATCGAAAAAAATACCACCAACATGTCTGCCAATACTGTACATGTCGAAAACATTTCCCCGCAGACTAGCGAGAAGGAAGTTAAGGACTTCTTCAGCTTCTGGTGAGTGGCGACTCCTTTTCCTAAGCGCATATTTCCGCTATGATACCTTGATAACTAACATCGATTTAGTGGCAAGATCACAAGCCTTGAACTTGGATCTGTTGGAGAGACACAAAAGGCTACCGTTCAATTTGAGAAGGAAACCGCTGCCAAGACCGCTTTGTTGCTCGATAACACCCAGCTTGGCTCTACTCAAGTCAAGGTTAGAAGTTCGTCAGGCTTCAATGAGGACGATGGAAACCATTATGCTTCCAACGAACAACGTGACAGCGACGAAATAACCCAGGAGGAGAAGCCAAGAAGCCGTATCATCGCAGAGTATCTTGCCCATGGTTACGCTATTGGGGACACCGCCGCTCAACGAGCTATCGACCTTGATCAGAAACATGGAGTCTCTAGCCGCTTTCTCAACACCTTGACCAACCTCAACAACAAATATCACGCCACTGAAAAGGCCAAGGCCGCTGATGAGTCTTATGGTGTTACACAAAAGGCGAACTCCCTCCTTTCTGGTTTGACATCCTATTATGAAAAGGCTGCTGGAACCCCAACTGGTCAAAAGCTTGTGAATTTTTATACACAAACTTCCCGCCAAGTTCAGGACATTCACACCGAGGCTCGCCGCTTGGCAGATATTAAGAAACAGGAAGGCCCCCAAAAGGTCCCTGGTACCGAGAAGACAACTTGTAAGTGTGGTTCAGTTTCTGGAGAATGCCCATGTGCCCCTGGAGCTTGTGCCTGCAGCGATTGTGGCAAATCCGATGTCAAGAAAGTCCCAGGTACTGATAAAACAACCTGCGGTTGCGGCGGTAATACCTCGAAGTGCGGCTGTGCTCCTGGTCAGTGCAGCTGCAACTCCTGCCCCAAGGCTGAAACAGAGAAGGTTCCTGGTAGTGAGAAGACAACTTGCAAGTGTGGTGGAAACAGCAAAGACTGTCCATGCGCGGAAGGCCAATGTGCTTGCACTGGATGTTGCAAATAGATGTATTTCTTTGTTCATTTCATTTTGGGTCAGGGGAATCAAATTTGTATCACTAGTCTCCTGCTGACGTAGTTTTCTTACCTAGCTGATTCAGCAGCTATCGTGGATTCAACCAAGGTTGCACCTCTCGAGTCTCAGTCAGAGAAGTCAACCTCTGCTTAATGGTTTTTATGGGTTGGTTTTTATTATGCAATCACAATCTTCGGGGCTGGATGGGAATGGTTGCAAAAACGGATATCAGGGATGAATCATCAGATTACTATGGTTGGCAATTTGCAAGCGATGCGTTGGGGTTAGCGGAACATGACATGACGGTTAATGACCAATTTGCGAGCACCAAATTATGAAGTTTTATTACCATATTCATGTGACGCAGCATACATAGGCCGTGATCGTGATTGTGATCTTATTCCTGTTGGCTAGATCTCAAGAGTATTCCATACGTGACAACATTACATGGACGGATAGGTTGTGCTGGCATTATTGAGCACATCCATACTTTGTCACTAACAGATGATTTTCTCCGAGAGTCCTGATTCGTGTTTGCAACCGTGATTAAATATCAAGCAATCTGTCATCGAAATAAATTCACAATGGCAATCATTTCACAGCAGAGAGATTTACATCATGACGAATTTATTTCATTATCTCTTCGGATATTTCATGACGGTATTATCTCATCTCCTTTCATATTAAATGTGCATCTCCCTTGAACCTGCAACTAATATACATTCCACTCAATATCGCTTAACACTCTAATATCCTTCCTCTAATTCTGAGTCTTCGAGCGGGTCTCCTCTGAGTGGTCATCGAGAGGTCCCTTTGGGTTGGAGGAGAGGTTCTGTGGAAAGTGTGTCAGTATTGGTTTCTTCTATAGTTCCTATTGGCGTCCAAGGAAGAATTCAGAAGTACCTCGAGATCAGATTTGCTATCTTGTTGGTTGTTGCCTCCTTGGTTAATTCCCTTGGCGTCGGATGGAGCATCTTTTTGAGCACCGGATTGGGTCTCCGGTGGTGGTGATTGACGTCCTTCAGGCATGATGTGTGCGTGTTTGTGTGTTTGTGTGTGGACTATTCCAAGGAAAGTTAGTTTGAGTAAAGTATGAAATTTAGAGTTGGCATCGGGTTATTTGATATGCAATAGGAACTAGGCAGTGTGGAGAAAGGGGTAGCGACGGCGACAAAGCAAACGGTTCGGAAAATATATACTAACTGCGATGAAGAGATACGTTTGCAGGATTATGTTGTAGGTTTGATATGAAGTTTGGGAGAATCAATCAAGCTTCTCATTTCTATATACCCCTCTACACGCTCCATACGTCATAAGGAAGGTTGCGCCACCTCATCCCTGGTAACTTGTAACTTGAACTCGGGGTGCGCAACAGTCATGTGACTGTATCCGGCTAATATCACCAGCCACACCCGAGATTAGCCCTCGAGCTTCCAAATTATGCGTTATCAAACATCCTCAGTATCGGTACCTACAGCCTCATATGACAGCCTCATATTTGTTACCATTAAATTAACTAATTGATTCACCAAATTTCTTCTGTACAATGGTCCCGCAGTATTGAAACCTACCAACTCACAAACGCGTATTTGACAATCGGCTCACTGGAAAGTCAGTCATGGCACCAGATTTAAACTCAGTACCTCCATCTCCTAGACCTCAGGAGGTTGTAGCCTCTCCACGTCTTACATCCCGTACTCCCTCTCGACGCACTTCTCAAGCGATGTCTTCACCAAATCCTCCTTTATCTACTGCTTCTCTCAATATTCTTCCTTCAAATCAAAGTGCTGTCGCTGCGGCTTCACCCCCTTTAATGTCACCTACTAATAATATTCTGACATCCGCCACTGGTACAATTCCCGCTGGTGATAATACGGGTGTAGGAATGGGACCTGGACCATTGAGACATCCAAGGCCCTTGACGGCTGCGGATTTACACCTACAATTGGAGAAGGAACAGGAAGCTGTCGTATGTTCATTTCGGTCGCCTGCTTCATCACATTCTGGTGTAAATACTAATTTCTGCAATGCGATAATAGGTGAATCGATTAACTCGGGAACTCAGCATGCTCCGCGCTGCTCAAAATGCTTCCGTAGTCTCGAATACCTCATCAACCTCCGCAGGCCATCCCGATGCTTTGGATAATTCGAACCATCTGCTCTCCGGTCCCAATCACCCAATTCCTTCACATCGTCGCCATCACCGCACATCGTCCAGCACTTCCACTCGAAGCATTACTGCCACTGCAGGTAGTATCAGCACAGCGAGCGGAATCGCAGCCCCAGCGGCCCGACGCGTTGATTCTCTCCCTCAATCTATCTCCCTCAGTCGTCAAAATTCCATGACTGGCGTTCAAAGATCCGGAGCTAGTAGTCCTGCACTATTGAGCGGTAGCTTTGGACACGCTGATCAATTCTCGCATTTCTATCACCAACAACGACCTGGTATGTTACCACATCGTGATTATTCATCGGGTACCGTACCAACAATGAGTGGTAATGCTGCGGGAGATGTTGGTAGTGTGACAAGTGTGCCAACAACAGGAAGATATGAAGAGGCGGCTTTTCAAAGGCAGGAGTTGGAGAATGTGAAGAAAGAAAATGAGGCATTGAAGAAGAGGATTAGAGAGTTGGAGAGGACGTTGAGGGAGAGGAGACAGAGTGATGCGAGTTTGACGAGGCCAAGAAGTGAAAGTGTTAGTACGACAGCCAGTATGGCGGTCGGAAGGGCTAGAGAGGGCGTAAGGGATAGGGATGCGACAGAAGATGAGAGTGTTAAGGTTGGGGAGAGTGCTAGAAGTGGTGGCTTGAGATGATTGGAGTTTGGTTGATCTGAATTTGATATTTGGGCGCGAGGATTTCTTTTCCTTGGTGATAACAACGAATAATTGCGCTTGGGGTTCGATGGATAGGGGAAAACATGGCGTATGCGTAATTCTTTTATTACATGGTCTGTTTTTCTCTACACATTACGAGATTGAGAAATATTAAGTTTAAGCTTAGGGATAAGATTTAAAATGCAATCAACTCTTCTTCAAAAAGTCTTTCATGATTGGCGAACCTTATTGCTTGTTTTAGCTGCAGAACTTACTTTAAATTCTTATTGTCTCCTTGCTCGCCGATGACCCGTCATTTTAACCATTCCGAGATGTTCTCACTTACACCAAGTTTCCGTGTTGAATGCGCAAACCCAGATACTAAATGCCACGCCTCAACGAGAAAGTTCACAAAGAAATCAATCAATGACTACTCCAACCACCATCAACATCAATACCAGCTCCGGTTATAAAACTCGCGCGATCAGAAAGGAGGAAGACGGCTGTATATGCTACTTCTTCTGGGAGGCCTAGGCGTACGACAGGACTACGGTTGAGGATGGCGGATTTCTAGGGTGGGGTGTTAGATATCGTGGGGAGTGGAGAGGGGTGTTGAAGGAATGGGCGTGGCCCGGGGGGGATATAAAGAAGAGGAATGGTGAAGAGAGGTAGAGGAGCGGAAGTTACCTACTTCATCTTCGTTTCCTAGGAAGGTGGCTACCATGGGCGTGTGGATAAATCCGGGACAGATACAGTTTATGCGTATACCTTTGCTAGCATAGTTTGTGCTGTCTGTGCGAGTGAGGCCGAGGACTCCTGTTGGGGGTTAGTTGTTTGCTGGGTTGTTCACTATGGGGAAAGGAGGGCTATGCATACCATGTTTAGACATGGCATAGGGTGCTGAATTAGGTAATCCGAGGTGGCTAGCTATCGATCCAACGTTGAGGATGGAACCGCGAGTTTTGAAGGGCAGTCCAGTGCTAGGGTTTCGAAGTGAGTGTTAGGATAATGTTTTGGGTTTGTAGATGGGGTGCGTGGATGGAGTTCTTTCAACCATATGTGATATGGTCTTTTCTTCTTCGGTCAGGGATAAGAAGAGAGGTAAATATCAAAAATGAACTGATAATTGCTTGGAGAAGGATTCTCGGTTGCCCGTAGTGGCGTCTTTAATATGTATGCATAAAACACCCATATGTGTAGGAATAGAGCAGATGATAAGAGCAAAGAAAGCGCAGCAAAAAAGAACATCATATAAACATACCAAACATCTCGCTCTTCCTGCTTCAAGAATTGCCTCAGTTCCGCGCGTTCACAAAACCACAAACCCTTCAAATTGACATCCAGAACATTGTCTAGCGAAACGGATTCCGCATCCGCTGTTCCAGTTCGCTTTCCCAAGACTCCAGCTGCGTTGAAACAGATATCTATGCGTCCAAATTTTTGGATCGTCTCAGACATTGCACGATCAACTTCGTCTTCTACAGAGACGTCGTAGGAGAGGGTAAGAATGGTCGACTTTTTGGGGAGGGAAAGAAGGTTTTCGGTGGTTGAAATTAAGGGGACGGGTGAGAGGTCGATGAGCGCAAGGTTGGTTACTCCATCGAGGATTAGTTGACGAGCGACGGCGAAACCGATACCGGATGCTGCGCCTTCGAAATGTTAATATCTTGAATAGGTATCCTTTGGATATAGAAGGAGCTTTTTATTTGCTCAAGAGACGAGGTATAATGCATACCGGTTATGAAAGCTACCCTGTTAAGATAATAATTAGCTAATAGCATTTTGTGCCATAGTATTCAGAAAGACTTACGTATCAGGTGGAAAATCTGGCATTTTTACGACCTTGTTTTTTTACCTTGAGGTACAAATGTCAGGTTGAATCTAGACAGGCATACTTGCTGTTGATATATACCTAGAAGTTGTGGAGTGAGTGAGCTGGCGAGTGAATCACACTACCCCGCATTGCGCCTCCCACATGCCGCGGTCAAATATGATATATTTTACCCAACAACCTCAATTTCCAATGGTGCAATGAGGATTTACTAGTCTTTCAATTTAATTGGTCTGCAGCACCTTTTTCATGAAGTTTTTTTGGGACAAAGTTTAACGTACAACACTGTTTAGGATACAGATCGTGATTTTAAGACATGTAATACTGATCACCTACTTTGATCGTGTTACATTTTTTCTGCCCCGTTATATATAGCGGGAAAACACGGAAAAAGGACTAACTGGGCCAGCGAGTTTCGGAGAAAAGATTCCATGAAGCATTATATCATAAGTTACTTGCATCAAAACGTGACTACAGTACGGAGTGAGATCATCCACTTGTCTAGGAGCAGTGGCCTAGAGTCATTGAAGCATGAGGCTCGCTGTTTCGGGGTTTATATTAACTTCAGAAGCGTTGGATTTGCGATATGCTTAGACACTTCTATGCGATCAATGTTTGTATCAAAAGCAATGCCTCCAGTAAGTTTTGCCTGCGGTCTAGAGGCCAAGCTTTTCCTGTTTGGAAATCTATAAGCTTTGAAAAATCCTTGTAATTCGGATGGATTTAACCGTGAGGTGAATGTAACATCCCAAAACGGGGGAAAATGCCAACACTGGTAGGAGAACCCGTAGATGAGGTAGCCTTGCTCTTTCAACATTCCCTACGGCCCGACCGCTGAGCCTTGCCCCGTGGCTTTTACAACTCACAAAGCCTTAAACTTGTCATCATTGATTCCCCAGGCTTCAGGAATATGGTTACAAATCTCTAAAGCATCGCGTGCCCACCGTTCGAGCGATAATATAAAGCTACTGCGAGATAGATACCGAAAGTGATGTAAACATGAGGCGCAAATTCGTATGACCAACGGATTGAGGAGTTTGAAGACGATGGCATAACATCGATCCTTAGCATGGGAAATCGAAAATATAGAGAAGCTATAGAAAGAAAAGCATGATATAATGATAAAGCAAGGTAAAATCAACAATCAAGAGGGGATTAAACTATTAGTGAGGTCACTTCGCTCCTGAAGAAGGCTTCTCGGTTACTGGCCAAGATACAGTTGCAGCAAAAAACCATACTACTGGAATTTACTAGAGATCCGATATTGCGCACAGACAAAAATAGTGTACCTGCCCTGCCAATAGACTACTGCTTCTTCATCATGATGTAAACAAGGTGATCGATTTTGCGCAATGGACCTGCTGAGCGTCTTCTTGAGATGTAGATCATAATTTGTAGAAGCATCACAAATGATATGTAAGACTATAAACCTTTTCAGCCCTACGAAGATGCCCTTACGTTTCACCGAATCATTTCTTCTCAAATCAATGTCCATATCGGCTTCTAAATTAGCCTTACATCAAGGTTGACAGGAACTGTGGGAATGATTTATGAAAACCATTGAATCATGCCAAGAAAACTGTGTTACTGCTACATCATGGAGGGAGCTTGACTACTTCGTGTCCAAATTCCACATACATGGGGGTGGATACAAGGGGGTGTATCTGTCCCGGTAGCAAGTGGATGCCGATGTATGATTCTCAAAGTTCAGGTCATATAACTATATACCACATGCCAGATAGACATGGCATTTCCCTTTCACTCTTCAGATCTTACTCTACCATTATCATTGGCTTCAATTTCATCCAAAAAGTATCATTGAGGTGATGTCTGCAGAGATCTAAACTTTCAGCCTGTTCTCTGCTTTCCTCTCTTTCGTCCACAACATTCCTCAAATATATATTCTCGTGTATAAGTTTTTGAAAAGACCTTGAAGTCCTGATTACCTCCGAGCATTTCTTTCCTACATCATTACCAAGCACCAATTGACAAGTGAGTTCATGTCACAAGGTCGGTGCCGCCTGCTTTTTTAGATTTTACCATTTCCTTGTTTTCACCATAGTAATGGATTTCACTCAAGCTGTATATAGGGATCATAATGTGGATCCCACCTTGCCGAGTATCTCAAGGTCTCCAGGTGGCATCAACAAGGCGGGAAAATGTGATGGCTAATGAAAGAGTTCAGTGAGCAGCTAGCCTTTGGTTCGCCCCGTGGCCATTGCATTGACTGCTCCAGACGAGAGTAGAGAAGAGTTCTCGTCTGAAGGTGATTAATAGTTCCGAACCATCCCCGTGCAGCAAATTCGAGAACTTCCACTTCATTTGGTGCCCACCAGCAATATTCGCCTCTTTACCTCAAACCAACAACATACCCCACTTCTTTCGCTCCCAACTCTGAAATGATCTCATAGCCTCAAATCCTAGACCGATTTCCCGGAACTTACCCACCGCCTCCCACATTGGCAAATTTAAATCATTTAAATGTCCCGTAAACGGTTGTGCATCTTCCAAGCCTTCGTTCTCGAAACCGGCGAAACGTTTGCAAGCCGAAGAAGTAGATGATACGATTCGCAAACCCGAGGTCACACCGGATGTATGAATGCGCACATATAACGTGGCATCATAGATAACCAAACGCTATGGGATCTATTCCTTTTTCGCTTTTGGAGAAAATTACTGAGTTGAAGGGAGGTTAATTTCTGATCCTGCATTTTCTACTACCTTTTCTCAAAATAAAAGAGCGTTGTTGGAGCCCCGCATCACATCGCGTCCACGTCTCAATTATGAGAAAAGCAACTGCGTGCTCATGTCCAGGAAGCAATGCAGAAGTTAGATATGATTCCAGAGTCTCGCGAGGCAATAGAACTCCAAGAGTGTGGATACTTGAAGTGAGGGAAGCGGCTGACGTGCGAAATTTGGCCAGGAATAGTGATATGATACCAGAATTCGAGCAGGAGAAAAGAGCGACGTTGAGATATACACAATGTTAGGACGGGAGCGGCCATTAGCCAGAAATTCGTTCACGGTAATTCTTGAATGGAGGGATCTGATAGAAGTAGTCAATGTCGGTTGAGGTAAAGCCCCCTTCAAAAGTAATAAGCGAAAGTACAATGACTTCAATATCTTGTAATATGGAATAATTATTGATTCCAACTGTCTGTTTTATACAGTACTCTACATAATCCTTCTTACCCATGCAAGAAATGCTGACCATGGTACCCACATAATCTTGCCGCCCCGGAACGCCATGCTATGTATTTAATACAAAAGAGGGAAGAGTTTGCACATCCGTTCATCCGCAGGGTAGATTGGTTCAGGTTCGTTCGACGTCGTCCATCACTTCAGGTATATATGGGGATAACATCGTTTCTCAACCGTCTAATCGTCCAAATCTATCCGTCCTGTAACCCATCAGCCCCGCACCTCAACCACTATTATCACCGGTCCTTAAAAACCTTCGGTTTCCACCCCTCTCTTAGCTCTGCTTCCCTCTCCAGCGCTTCCGCCTTGACCTTCACCTCCCGCTCTAACCTCTCTCTCGCCCTCAGCACTTTACTTTGCAGGTAAAAACTCCCCCCCTTGCTCGGGTCATTCGTATCGAACAATTTCTTAAACCGCGACATGACATCTTCCATATCCATCTTTCCTTCTTTCGGTGGTTTTACATTGAGGATTTTGCAAGCTTCGTCTAATGTAAGACCGTTAGAGGAGAAAGCCGCACCGCCACCAGCAGAACCAGATTGTTGCGCTTTTTGGTATGCTGAGGAGGCCTTGGCTTGTTTCCAGGATTCTGATATGGCGCGGCCGAGGACCCGTGAGCCGGTTATGACGACTTGGGTTATTATGCGGTGGGCCTTCGATGAATTAGTATCCAATTTTTTCATATTCGGTATGAAAGGATGGCATGATGATTGTGAGAATTGCATGCCAATGAAGTTTGTGGGAGTTGTGAGAAATTTCGCATTGTATACATACCATGATGAGGAGGCTGCGACTGTCAATAACAGTCCTGGTCAATTGAAGCTTGGATTATGGTAAAGAAAGATCGGTCACTGTTCACCAGAAGGCGGGAGATAATGTGAATTATATCTCCAACTTTTTCCCGGAACAACCTTCCGCCATCGGCCGACAAATACAGGGTTCCAGAGAAATCCATTCATGCCTAAGGCCAGTAACCCGTCATCAATGCTCCAGCTAGCTCGTGCCTCCAAAAAAGACACCTTAAGAGACCTGAACAACAAATACTCAAAACATTCACAAATGCTTCTCCTTGTTCCACATTAGCGTCCCAAATCACTAAATTCCATATCGAATAACCTGCAATACAATTTCCACAGCATCTATCCTCCATCCTTCAAAAAGATGTCACAATTCTATTCCTCCCCTCCCCCCAATAATCCTTACGGCGCATCCAATACGGCAGCTCAAAACCTCCAATTCTACCCGTCAACCTATACACCCGGTGCCGTCTCAGGCCATACCACACCACAGGCCACATATGGATATGGCATACCTCCTGCCGCGCAAGCGTATCCTGGTGGTGGAAGCGGCGGATTTGGATTCCCTGGAAATGCCCAGTCGGGTGTGAGTGGACGGATGGGAGAGAGTGGTGGATTAAGAACTGGGTGGTTGGCTGCGTTTGGAACGGAAGGCTATGATGGCGAGCCACCTTTATTAGAGGAGTTGGGAGTGAATTTCGGTCATATCAGGGGTAAGGTATGGTTATTGTTTCAATTATTGTTTCCTCAAGCCAAGATGATTTCTAGATGGGATGCGCAGATGCTAATTTGAGTCAAAAGACATTGGCAGTACTGAATCCTCTTGCGCGCATCGATCAACACATAATGGACGATTCTGATCTTGCGGGACCTATACTCTTCTTCCTATTATTCGGAACCTTTCTCCTATTTTCGGGAAAAGTACATTTCGGATACATATACGGATTGGCACTCCTCGGATCCTCCTCACTCCATCTAATCCTCTCGCTCATGTCACCACCTCTTAACACCGATCCTAACTCCCAACAATCAGTCGGTCCCTCACATCTCTCTTCTACCCTCACATTTCCACGAAGTGCTAGTGTGCTGGGATATTGTTTATTACCCTTGGTACTCACGAGTGTGGTGGGGATTATTATGCCGATGGACGGGCTGGTCGGCTATGTATTAACCACATTAGCGATTGTGTGGTGTACGTACAGTAGTAGTGGGATGTTCTGTGCAGTAGGGAGAATGAAGGGAATGCGAGGATTAGTAGCCTATCCTCTAGCCTTATTCTACGTCGGTTTTGGTATTATGGGAATCTTTTCAAGCAGGGGAGTAGGTACATTAGGGAAGGTTGCGGGGGCATAAGTGCATTAGAAGGGGTTGAAAGAAGATATCTGTATATCTGCAGGCGCGCGGAGCTTGTGGGGCGTCGCGGTCTATAAAATGGCACGGTATGAAAGATCCAGTGATAATTTATATGGTACAGGAATGGAAGGGAACGGTGGGTCGGAGGGATGGCATGGTCTGGGATCTGTAAAAATAAGTTCTGCCTCCTTGTACAGCATAGCTCAAAGTATTCATTCGAGGGAAGGAAAAGTCATAGGAGCGGGCAAACAGATAAAGAATGAAAAGATACCCCCCAATGTTTCAAATCATGTGCAATTACTTTACAAATTTCATGTCGCACGTATTAAATATACAAAATCGGTTTGGCGTTCTACAAATGGTGACAGTTCACACAATATGGTATAATACCTCCTTAACCGCCCATGACAAAACCGAGTTTCCCCTACTATGCCGAACACCATATTTGCTCCAAGCCCAATTCCAATCCCAAAAGCCCGGCCAACTCACCTACTCCAAGCCCATTCTGGCATCATCACTGATGCCCCAATCCGTTGCCCCAGGCCTCGTAAACGGCCTTTCGTCGTCCACTTCCGATTGCAAACTCATGCTACTCTTCCTACTTCCCCTTTCCAACCTTTCCTTCTTCAAGCTACTTTTCTTGCTACTGAATCGCCCACTCCTATTACTGGTCAAACTGGCATCATCACGATCTGAATACGGAGGCGGACTCCTCGATCTCGAAGCTGAGAGTGATGAGAGTCGCGTGCGAACAGAGTTTGAATCTATGCTTGCAGATGCTTGAGTTGGAGTTGGGGAGGGCGTTATTTCTGTGCTAGATGTGACTTCGACAAGCTCGGCGTCACGGTACCATTTCCTTCGGCGTGTATACTTTCCCCATCCGTCTTGCCCACGACGACCATTTTGCCACTGTAGGAGGTTAGCTCTATGTACATTGGTTGTTCGAGGGATATGAATAATAAGTACTTTGTTGTCATAATATATCCACCCCGCCCCTCCATCACTCTCAGCCTTCGGGTTAGAGCCGCCTTCATCATGCTCGGCGGCTCCTTCAACACGCCAGCGACTACCTTTAACCCATCTCCATCTCGCCCCGCCACCCTCTACATCTGGTAATTCAAACTCTTCTTTTGGAGGAACGGGATTGAGGTGTTCGTCTGTCCAAGCAGATCTCTCATAAGCAAATAGTGAAGTTGTCCATCCTAGTCCAACCCATCTGCGCTGGTTTTCATATATAATGAATGTAAATTTTACCCCCGGTGCTTCTTGTCTTCTCTTGATAGCTGCATCTGCTGCTAGAGTTGCGTCAGCGGAGGAGGATGTGCGCGGTGGTAGAGGAGGTTTGCCATCGTTTCCACTGGTGGCTGGCGATAGCTCATCTGTCAAATGTAGGCCAGTTATGGCAGTACATATGCGGCGAACGAGAGATGATCTCCATAGGATCGTTCTGGCTATTCGATTCGGTCGAGAATGCCAAGTCAAGAAGATTGTCCCTGTTACCAAAGCAATACGTCTTGTGGTGATGACTTGTATAGGTGGGAGAGTCAAAATGATCCATATGGGTGTGACAAGAAGGATCCGTATCAAAAGCGTTGTAAGTGCTGGTCGAGTTGTAGCAGAGGTCGCAGTTCGTTGGGTTGATAGAAAATCCGTCAATTGTAATAGAGGATCCAAAAGTACATTGCATCTTGACGTAAATATCTTCAATGTCTCCACGATCTCATCCAAAGTTTTCTGATGCTTGGTATTCGTCATCTCCGACTCGACCCTTTTATGACCTTTCTTCTGTTTCTCTCCTGTCCAGCTAGTTGATGATAAAGGAGAATATCGTCTCGAGTACATCCCCAATATTAAACCAATAACCACCACCAAAGGTCCAGCATATCGCATTACAACATCTCCGTATAGTACGAATGCCCAAAAACTAGCGACTAGCAAGAAGCTCTCCCAAGGATCTCCACTCGTCCATGTTATTAATCCTGCAAGTTTATTGAGAGGTAATAGGAAAGGATGCGAATATGCTAAAGCTCTCGTAATTTGCGGAGGAGTCGCTAGCAATAAGGGGGACTTTTGATGAACGAGTATAGTAGATCTCTGCTTATTGGCAGACGAGGCATGTGATAGAGTGACTGGAGAGAATGCAGCTATTGTCGGAGGGTTGGGATCAGTAGGAGTTAAGGATCCGCCATGGCTATCTTTTCTTGAAGTTGGAGTACCAGACATTTGATCCAACCAAGGAGTATCCTATTGATCCAGTTAATTGTGCTGGGGATCTTGAGGGATGGATTGTTGGGAAAAGCTAAGCATGGGGCAGAAGTTGGGTAACATACGAACGCAGCCATTTACCTAGTATTCACAACGTCATTTCTGATAACAGGCTATGTGAGAGAAGGAAATGGTGGAGGAGGATCAACGGGCTGCCGTTGAACACTTCCAAAAAGGGAAGTATGAATGTAATAGACCGTAGTTGATTGCAACAATGATAGAGAGAATGATCTGAGATGAAGTAGAGTAGAAAAGTTATTGATTGACTCCAGATCTACAATTGAAACAATAGAAGGAATGAAGTGTTGCCAAACCGTACTCGGCATGAAATCCGGGGTACAATCACATGTCACGATCAAGTGTCAATGAATGCAGCTGTGATTCTCCGAAAAGAGATACCGATAGTATGGGTAGTAGGTTTTGGGGATCAGGACGGATGTTTGGATGTTAAAGCAAGAGGATAAGGACTATTTTCACTCATATCCGTACGTAGATAAGTATCAAATACTCCCGAGGTCCGTACTGTGAAAACCGAAGTATTCACCACACCGCATTGCACTACCTCAATCCTTTTCAATTATCTTCACCGCCTTAATCTTACCGCACCGCAGTATCTAGATTGGCCGTATCAACACCAATGCACTAACCTTTTGACGCTTTATCCGATCGCTTTTACATGAAACTTCTTCCATCAGACAATTCAAAACTCAACCTCATCCTTCCTTTTGCAAAATGTCGCGTCAACCACCGCTTCCGAATGGCCTTCCTCCTCGACCTTCCGCATCGTTTTGGGATAGAGATAGAGATGAAAGAAATTATAACCACAATACACCTGAAAGGAATCGTCGCGACATGGGAGATTCTTATCACCCGCGTCCTTCACAATACGACAGTTATGTACCCCACACTGCAAACCGCGATCGCGAAATATTTCAATTTAATGGCCGCAATCCTCCTCCACCAGGCTATGGAAATTATGCTCCTGGTGTTCAACCTCCTCGTCGTCCTGCCGGAACTAGTGATCCTTATCGTATGAATGATGGATATCGCCCTCCTCCCCCTGCCCCCAGCTTTGATTTCCGTTACGATGCACCACAATCCATTGATTTCGAGCATGCCGATAGATTTCAATCTCGCGCCCAGGGCCGCAACAATTATTCTGGCGGTAATAGAGATCAGAATGAAGATCATCTTCGTCGTCGACGCGAAAAAGATCGACGCGACATTCATCGTGGTCGTGGTGGCTACCGTGGTCGAGGTGGTCCAAGATTGGCATCAGACCGAGTTTTCTTGAAAGGAAAACGCTCGCCTACACCTGAACTCATGCCAGGTATGAATGAAGATGCTACTACTGATGTTAAATATAGAGATGTTCGCGACTTATCCGACAGTGATGAAGCTGAAATGGACATGTCGGATGACGATGACAATAACGATCAACCTAAGAAGAAGATGCCCCGTACTGGTGTAAAAACTGCAGATGCTGACAGTGTGCCAAAATGGTCGAACCCCGATCCTTACACGGCCCTTCCACCACCAGGCGAATCTGACCGGAAGAAGAAGGATGTCGTTAAGCTTATTCGAAAGGCACGTGTTACATCAGGTCAAGAAGGCCCTACCAAAATTGATGCCGCTCAAGATGACTTTATCTCTTTTGATCTTGGTGCTCCCGAAACTATTGATAGTGAAGAAGATGAATACGAACCGCGGGTCTTTGATCAGTCCGAACCCGGCTCAGCTACATCATTCAGTCACCTTGAAAACATTCGAAAGTTTGACACGCCACAGCAACCACAGAGCCACGCCAGTGAGACCAGAGAAGTTGCCACTCAACCAACGAGCGTCAACAGCGTGCCCATGGATGTGATCCAAACTCCGAAGAGAGCATCCAAACCCTTGGATCTATCAACCGACCCCGCTTTAGGTAGCAGGAAGCGTACCGCTAGCGATGTGATTAAGCCTCCACCACTTGTGAATAAGCTCATCCCTGGTAAGCCTCCCAGATCCAGTGGCGTCCTTCTTTCAGAGTGGCGTGTTAAGCCAGGTATGGACGACGCTCCTTGGCTCCAGGACCATTCTGATACGTCTAATATGGGATTTTGGTGAGTGATACATCTCGTGAACGCCATCTCAAAGCTAATACTACTTCTAGGTTACATAAAGAAATCATGGACTTTTACCATTATGTCAAACCTCGCAAGTTTGAAGAAGTGATTCGACGGAGGTTGCTTGTTAATTTGAGGGAGAATTTTCGCAAATACTATCATGATGCTGATATACTGGCTTTCGGCTCTTTTCCCGCAGGCCTCTATCTTCCTACTGCTGACATGGATGTCGTCATGGTCTCAAACCAGTATATGGATGGCGGATATCCAAAATACAACAGCAAAAGTCACATCTGGCGTGTTAAAGGGAATGTTGAAAAAGACCGCCTCAATACTGGTAGAATTGAGGTGATCGTCGGTGCTAAAGTGCCTCTTGCAAAATGGGTGGATGGCTTTACCGGGCTGAAGGTTGATATGTCGTTTGAAAATGACACAGGGCTAATTGCAAACAAGACTTTCCAAGAGTGGAAGGCTCAATTCCCTGCAATGCCCATATTAGTTACCATTGTCAAACATTTATTGGCAATGAGGGGCCTGAATGAGCCGGTCAATGGTGGCATTGGAGGGTTTTCTGTTACCTGTCTCGTCGTAAGTCTTCTACAGAACATGCCACAGGTCAAGAGTAAAACTATGATACCAGAACACCATCTTGGTGAGGTCTTGATGGAGTTTCTCGACCTTTATGGTAACGAGTTTAATACTCGCACCACTGCTATTTCGACGAAACCTCCTAAACTTTTTCCAAAGGTGAGTACTTTTCTCCATCGATTGTGCTCTGAGACTAATCCATTACCAGTCTTCGGCTCGTGACCTCTATAGAGATTTCGATAAGCCGAAGTTTTCTATAATCGACCCAAACAATTCCAGCAATGACATTGCAGGTGGTTCAAAAAACACTCCTGCGATTCAAGATTGCTTTTCTGCTGCCTTTTCTGCTTTGCTGCAGAGCATGAACGCATTGCAAAACGCTGACCTTGAGACTCGCCGAAATCAAAGTCTTCTTCGATGTATTATTGGTGGAAACTACGAATCTTTCAAGCTTCAAAGAGACCACCTTGCCCACCTACATGAACAGCTGATTGGTCCAATTGAAGATGAGTAGTCTATGAATTCACGCGATATTTAGGGCTAGAGCCATGTAACACCTAATTCATTTCTCAGTACATTCCGCGTCGCTGAGTATGCAGTACATAGGGGGTGGTTATTTTATTATCAAAGGCGTATGGATAAAGTCGATCAAGATACCCATTTGGCGTTCAATGGACGGAGAGTCATTGACTTGTAAAATAGCTTCGCAGATTCCTTCTTTCCTTGCTTTTTCATTTTAGTCTTGGGAATCTTGAGTTGCGGTGGTTTCGATGATTGTCTTAACTGACCTCAACCTAGATGATCGACACGAGTCAGAGTCAATGCCATCGATCTTCAATGACAAACAGACCAGGCGCTATCGATCAGTCCAAACATGATACGCATACATTACATTGAGCGCAAATACAAATTCTATTCCTTCATGCTGTCCCAAAAATTACTGACATACTGATCTCAATGAAGACACCAAGTATGATACGATACACTAATCAAAGAATGTAGGCATTCCTTTCCAGGTAAGGAGGATGAACACAAATTCACATAATCCAGTCGGCGATTTTGATTGAGCCTCTTTTGGTTCATTCAAGGTTGCGCAACGGCTGGGTTTCTTCTCTTTCGACAACCCTTTCTCACTATAGTCGTGCTTGGTGCGGCTATGGAGAGGAGTCTATGGGTGAAGAGAAGCATGAATTTGTAGAGTCAATGAACTCGGGCGATTCTTGTTCTGCGTGGGCCGGTATCGATCGATATATCAACGGGACATAGCGGTCAAGTCCTGTTGGAATGGGATGGTCAAATCTTTGGGATATTTAGTGGTTGGTTGGTTCATTCCTTGTAAACAGGGTTTGGCGTCGACAGCTGGGGTGAGCTGCATAGTTTTAGGTTTGGTTTTTGGTTCTTTTCTCTTGGTTGTGTGGTGAGTAGAGGGAATTGGGTTATTAGGTGATTGTGGGACGGCTTTTGGTAATAAATGGAGATGCTAGGTGTAGAATTTTGGGAGTGTGGGTGTATATTGGGTATGAGTGCGGGTGCAAGGAAAATTTATGGTGGGGATTGCAAGTGAGTGGGAAGGTACGATATGAGATGATATGATATGATATGATATGACATGGGAGGGTATAGTGGAAAGTGGATTAGCTACTTGAATAAGCATCCTGAGACGGCGATGGGGGAAGATGGTATTTATTACTTTTGGGGTGAGAAAAACTCTCCTGCTTTTCGGGGGTTTTGGGGAAGGGAGGCGAGGGGTGGGAGGCGGAGCTCGGGGGTGAAGTGATAGAAATGGAGATATTTATGGAGTAAGTTGTGCTTTCAGGGTAGGAATGGTTTGATTCCGCTGCCTAAAGAAACACGGATTGGTTTTTATCTTTATTTTAAATGATGTTTAGGTTGTGGATGCAGATTGTGGGATGGGGAATAGGGTTGATTGAAAAATGATCTAAGACTTAAAAGCACTTAAGTTACCTAGTAGACGGGTCAAATAGGAGAAGAATCCATTATAGTCTCACGGAGCATGGGTCATAGCATAGAGTATAGATTCAAATAGCTGAAAATAATTGTATTTACAGAGAAAGAAGTAAAAAAGAAAGAACCTAAGAGCCTAATGAGTGTGGTATACTTCTTATATAAAGAAGTATAAAAATACATGAAAGGAATACAACAACGGAAAACAAACGACCTAACAAGGATAAAAAAAGTGCGAGTAGCGAAAAACCTAATTCCCCCTCCTAATCACCTAATAAATGGTAAAATTAAGCACATTCAAACCGACACTGACAAACATGCGTATCCTTCGGCTCACCCAACAACGGCCCATCAAAACAAGCACAATCATCAACGGAATACCGTTTTCCTCCAAAAACCCACCTGGGAATCTTAAAACCCCTCGTCTCATCAAACACATTCTGCAGAACAAGTGACTGATCCCAGCCAGCCGCATCCACATAAACATTCTGCACGAGTCCATTGGTGACACCGCCGATTTGGACGCAGGTATTGGAATAGATGGTTGCGCGCGCGTAGGCGACTAGGTTGTTGATGTTGGATAGGTCATTGTTGACGGCCATGGTGTTGGTGTTCCAGTTTAGGGTGCATGTTTGGGGGTTGAGTTGCTGGGTGCACATGGGTAGGAGGGGGGTGGGGCGCGTGGAGACGAGGGCGGGAGCACTGAGTGCTGGAGTGAGGAGGGCGAGGAAGGGGAGGTAGTTGGTGAGCTGCATGGTGGGTGGTGGCTGTGGGGTATTGTCTGTGGTTGTGTTGGTGAGATGTATTATTTTGTGTAGATTTTAAACGTGATGTTTGAGGTATTTCTGTAGTTTTGAAGCTTTTGCTTCGGTGGAGCAAAGTGAATTTGCTGAAGGCCAGGCTATCATATATACTTATAGGGTAACAAAGACATGAAGCTTGATTAAAATAACACCTTCTTTCTCTTCGACACAAAGCTGCGGAATATCTATAAATGAACGCTTGTTAGTACATAAAAAGGAGGGAAAGAAAATCGACAAGGACTTTATTAAAGTCAAAGAAGACGACAAAAAAAGGTTAAGGTTGATGAATTTATACATAGCCTGACGGACTAAAGTAGTTTCTGGTCCTGTGCTGGAGACGTAAGACTTCGATCTCTTTGATTTGCTACCTGAGTGTTTCCCAATCCCAACTAGTGTACAATCCCAAATGATATAGATGCTAGCTAAAGCATTGAATAAAAAGCTACAGGTATCGAATTAAATTTTATTCGTTGTTGACAACTAATTTTCTCAGTCCCATTAAACCAATCCATGCAGCTTCCTCGGTTCTGATTGTTCGACTTCCTTGACCGGGGCACACATTTACCCATCTATCAAAGACATCTTTTGCTTCTGTGACACCCAGTTTCTGTAGTTCTTCGTCGTTTTTCACGGCCACTTCTAGACCTGCAACTCCTCCAAACACCACCAACAGGTGCTTGAACTTTCCCACTTTCTGTTCCTCATCGTCATACAGACCTTGAACATCAACACCTCGCTCAGAGGTCCCGATAGTCATATCATAGCCTCCATCATACCCACATTCTGTGAATACGTCGCTTAGACAGCCGGCTCTCCGAACATTGTATCCCCAGTAATACCCACGCTCTTCTCTTGGTTCTTCTGGACGCACAACCTCTGCTTTAATAACGTCATAAGATTTATCCTTGGCGGCTTTCTCGGCCTCCAGGTCGAATTTTAGAGTAACTCTATTGTTCTCCGGTATTTGCTCCGGCACTGTCACTGGTATTCTCAACCCGGCCTCCACGAATGTTCCATGTTCATCCGCACCAGGTAACGTAGTACCCTCCCGATACATACACCACTCATCGGCTCTTAGATGATGCGGTAAATCTATACTTGGCAGTGTGCCTGCCGTCCTTAGGTTTTCGTGCATTGGGAATAAATACTTTCGTAAATTTGGAGGCGTCTCGAGATAGCTGAGTAGATGGGTTAGGAAATGATCAGGATCTAAGGTTCCAGTGTACTTGTCTTCCGAGGGCGCTTTGGGCTGAATGGTAGAGGGTTGAGAAGGCGACTGGCGGGGTTTTTTGGGAGACCGAGCATTGCCATCGTTAAATACAATGACTTCATCGACGCAAAAAACCGCAACGGCGCGAGCGATATGGCCCGCCATAGAAGTTTTAAGGTCATGACTTTGAGCGCTGAAAAAGTCAGTATAGTTTTATCATTATTGATATACAGAGAGGCAACGTACTTGGAGATAATACTTCCCGGCAAAGCCACGCTAACTGTCCAATCTCTGCCTTTTGTAGGTTGAAAGAGCGCTGTAGGTTTCGAAGTGTCAACCGCAGCCGGCGCGGTCACTTTCCCATTCGAAGTTTGTCCATTGGCAATGGCAGTGGCTTCGGCCTGACGTTTTCTCTTCTGAATTCGAATATGTAAGCATTTCTGTATCCATTAATCATATTAAATTGAGCATACCTTCGCGTTTGTCTCTCCTCTACCCATTTTTGTAAATATTTTGGAAGCTTTGGATTCTTTCAGAAATATATATTTAGGCGGTCAAAATTTGTCAAAATAACCCGGCAGAATTTTATAGTCCGTGCGCGATAAAGAGGACCAGATCTCCACTTAGAGCTTCCGAAGCTCAATCAATCAGTAAGCAACATTCATCTGGCAACATTCTGACAACTAAACCAAACAGTAAACAAAGCAAACCTACTTGACATCCCCTCAGAACTTCCAACTGATCAGGATATCTATAAGAATGGCGATGCACATCGAGTCTTCTATGCAGTTCAGCAAATTACTGGGCTCATCAACTATCGTAATTTCGGATTGTAAGTTGGTATCATCCTCCAATGCGATGGATGCACGCCACTAACAATACATGTAGTTTATGCAGACTGGTGCGGACCCTGCAAAGCTATCGCTCCAACCTACGAATCTCTAGCTACAAAGCACTCGAAGCCAAATCGTGTTACATTCACAAAAATAAATGTAGACAACCAGCAGTCCATAGCTCAGCGATATGGAGTTAGAGCGTAAGCCCAGACCCTACTACCTTCATTAGACCTCGTTCTCATAATTCTGTCAGCATGCCAACCTTCCTCATCTTCCGATCCGGTGCCGTGATTGAGACTATTCAAGGCGCAGATGTTCGCAAGCTCACGACTGCCATCGAGAATGCTGTGAAACTTTCTGGCGCTGCGAAGCCAGTTTATTCCAGCGCGGGGCGAACACTAGGCGGATCTTCCCCTACAAGCTCCAGCGCGATGGCAAGAAACTTCAGCTTTGACAGGCTAGTTCACAATATTATTGCATTTTTTGGTTTGTACCTCTACTCGCTATTCTCATTTGATGCGTACACTGCAGCCGAGAATTCGCCTTTCAATATCCATAAGGTCCCTACGGCACCTGCAGCAAGATCAACTGGCGGACGAACAGGAGCAACGACTCAGGCCGGGAAAAAACTAGGGACTATTGCTGATATAGCGGGCAAAGACTGAATGGAGGCTGGATGAAGAGCGTGGAGTTTACGGGGCGCTATGGGGCGCTACGGGGCTGGCGCAATATTCTATACAACCGTTCGGTTAGGTTACATCCTCGTGGCTCTTCTTGGTGCAATTGAGTTGTTGAGCAAGAGTTATGGTAGAGAATTCTATTTCAGCCTAGTTATTTCTGTTCAATCGTGCAATCTCACCACCTGCTTTCTGGTGCCAATGCACACTTAGCTGACCCTGCATCCTGACGTGGCGTAACTGCTTGACTCCTTTCCTCTTCTCTCCTCAAGGTACGTTGTGTTAAGGAGAAGATTTCATTCTCCAGTCCATTTTTGTCCCTGAATCATGACAACGAGTACTACTACACCCTACGCGGATATCCTAGGATGTAAACGAGATCCTCAATGCGTTTAGGCCGCAAATACATGCGTTATTTCTTATTCACCAGAGGTATCGGGGGAAGTGTCGGGTTTAGTAGTTAGCCCTTGTCTTACCCGGATCATCGGGTAAAGTATCGGGTTTAGTCGTTATCGCTTGTTTTCAACTAAATATGGGGGCAAGTCTCGCCGAGGCGAAAGGGCCGGCAAACACCACCAGACTCAACAATAGAGAACATCAAGAATGAAAGGAATTTTATGACGATTTCAACACTCAAGCCAGTAAACAATATGGTGAGAAAATCAAAATATTTACAATTGGAAGCCTTCTGATAATACATTTCAACAATTCAATTCAAATTAATGATTGCATGATTGGATGTTTAAATGCTCTGCATTTTGGTTTTTGATTCATTGCACGGTCTTCTTACCCCGCCAGTGTGCATACCATTCGATTCGTGATTTTTAATCAGTGAACTATAACCATAGGACTTAACTTAATCTCCGGGTGACGTCAAGTCCATTTGCCTATATCAAATACATATAAAAGCACGAGTCCCCGTCTCAAAAGTAACTGCCTCTTCACCCTACACACCATACCAAAACAGCAAAATCCTCTTCCTAATCCAACATGGCTAAGAACATGATGAAATACACCAACCTTGGTGATTCCGGCTTAAGAGTCTCTCGCATCTGCGTGGGCTGTATGTCCTTCGGCAGTCCTCTCAGCGCATTCGGAAGCTGGGTCGTCGACGAAGCTGATGCCCTCCCTATCATCAAGGCATGCTTTGACTCCGGCATCAATTTCTTCGACACAGCCAACGTCTACGGCAACGGAACATCCGAGGAGATCCTCGGAGCCGCCATCAGACAATACTCACTCCCACGTGATAACCTTGTTATCGCGACGAAAGTCTTTGCGCCGGTTGGCAAGAGAAAGGAGGAGGGATGGGAAAATCCACTTTACCTGTCGCCCGATGAGAGAGATGCGAAGGGCTATATCAATGCCTATGGATTGAGTCGTAAACATATTTTCGATAGTGTGGATGCGAGTTTGAAACGCTTGGGGTTGGAGTACATCGATTTACTACAGATTCATAGATTTGATGCTCAGACACCAGTGAAGGAAACGATGAAAGCATTGCATGATGTGGTGCAGAGTGGAAAGGTGAGATATATTGGTGCGTCTAGTATGTTCGCGCATCAGTTGTTGGAAATGCAGTATACAGCTCGCTTGCATGGATGGACGGAGTTTATCAGCATGCAGAATCTGCATAATGCGGCGTATAGAGAGGAAGAGAGAGAGATGGTGCCGAGCTTGAAAAAGTTCGGTATGGGTATGATTCCTTGGAGTCCGATTATGATGGGTTATTTGGCGAGACCTCATGATCAGGCTGCAGAAAGTAACAGAGGAAAGGCCATGGGCGGAAAATTCATGGGGAATGAATTGACGAAGGCAGATTTAAAGACCAATGAGAAGATCCAGGAGATCGCGAAGAAGAGAGGAGTTAGCATGGCGATTGTGGCCATGGCTTGGAGCTTGGGTAAGGAGTATGTTACGGCACCTATTATTGGAATGGGAAAGATTGAGAGAGTTCAGGAAGCGGTTGATGCTGTCAATTTCGAGCTGACTAAGGAAGAGGAAGCGAGTATTGATGAGTTGTATGAATCCAGGAACATCATTGGATTCTCCTAGGTTCTTGATAGGGTATTGGATATTGGACCGAGAAGTGTTTGTCTCGATACCTAGATACTGGCGATGGATGGATTTGTACTTGAAAGTTCTCTACTAAACCCAAAAAAAATCATACTTCCGATATTCATAAATCTTTTAAATTACGAAACATGCACCGATGAACATGGCGATAACGGGCTCTCATGTTGATGTTTCGTTGTGCAAATGACCTCAAAGTTCTATGTATCTCAGTTCAAATAACACGATAAATAAATGTACAAAATATAGGCCGTGATGCGAAAATAATTCGCCAAAATACGTTTAGACCATCAAACCATGAGTAACTCTTGCTGCAATATACCCAGGTCTTCTAGAAGCGGAATTTTTGCTCTACACCGTAGGAAAATGATCTCGGGTAGGTTTATTTGGTGTGGACACACACTTTGCGCTCGATCGAAGTTAGGTTACATAGACGGCTACCTTGGCAACCTCGACAACGTGCTCATGACAATAAACTGATGTAGTAGTCAATCTAGAACACCTAAGTAGTTAATAGCACCATCAATAAAAAGTAGGGTTGAATATCGAAGTTCACCTGTTCTCTTGGATCTAAAGGTAGGAAAACGATTCTTAGCTACTAGCTAGCCGAGTCAGAGCCTGCCACGGCTGATGGAAACCCCCTAAACATCTCTCCGCGGCAAAAGGATCAATCCGTTAAGGGCCGAGGGTGACTAATCCCAAGCGTTCAAGCCGTAGAAAAGGTGGTGGTGCTCTGTAATGAGGGGTTTTGCCTCTCAAGATCTGCAATAGAAACATCTGCAGATGAGTTTATTATCCAAAACTGTTTGAAATGGCTCTTGGTTGTAGGTAACGTTAATGAGGATGAAGTTGCTCCTTGTTTAAATGCGGGAGAGTAACAGGGCCACTTCCAAAAGATAATGCCGTTGTCCCAGCTGTGATACCTTTGAGAAAGGGGCTATTGCATGATTTTCGTGACTCTAGCAACCTATGAAGCGCCTTGCGATTCGGGAAACGAAAACTGAACCACAGCATCTGAGCTATGAGTCTCCAGGGACTGCCTTTAGAACCTCACTAAAAGTTATCTCAAAGTGTAAAGTAATTCTTTGCATTGATTCCACGGGAAGTAGGCTGTTTTCTTCGACACAAAGTCGTCCAAAATGTTATTCGGATTGCCTGCCAATTTAACAATATTTTCCACGCGGAATATCCCTAATGAGATCCAATTAATAGTTTTACGGTATTGTTCATTCATCGATCAATAAACATTGAGGGAAACGTTGTTGTTATGAGTCTATTTTTCCCTGACCGATGTGGTTATGCAAAATCCGCTTAAGATTTTAGGGCGAGGGTGCCAAAATCTCTCCCAAAATTCCTTACTAAGATAACAAGTTTATTTGCTATTCAACACATCGAAACAGAATAGCCGTACATCTACTCCTCATCAATTCCTTTTCCATTGGGTATCAGCATTTTCAAGCCATATGATCCGTTGTGATTTTATCCATATTAACTAAACTTTCAGTATAGAAATTTCATACAATTACTACAAATTGCCATTCGAACCCAACAATTCGGAATTTGTTGCCAAGACAATAGGATTTCTTAAGCCATATGCTTTGCAAGCTCTATAGGCAGCATATCTGAAACAAAATCTTGGGACCAGAAATTGGGATTGCTTACCTGCTTCTCCGCAAATGGTTTCGCTGCCAGCAACATATATGTTACTCCCTGGTGCTCCTTTACAGAGTACGGTCGGTTTCAGTGGATCCTCCTGCACCCATTACCATCAATACATTATACCCTTTCTCACATCCTGGAGTTCAAAAGTCTTTGAGTGGAGTTTAGCTCCAAAAAGCTCCATTGTATCCCTTCTTATCTGGCAAATTTTTACATTTTAAACCATTTTATAGACTATGTCCTCTTGTCCAGTGATTGATGCAGAATTTTCACGGTTCTATGCAACATATTAGTCCTGAATACTTTAACACAAAAAGGAGTTTCGCAGCTCGGGATTCATTGCTTCTACTTTTCCAACCTGGAAAGTTTTCCGTTATCAACCCCCTTATCAACAAGTGTGCTGTATCAGGCTGTCTTTGCGGCTCAGCCTCCTTCACTGCAGCACTGCCAGCCCTTCATCGGGCGCTTATGATGGCCGCGCCGAAATGGAGTAACACGATGCTGAGGTTTATCCATCCAAAATACAAGGTAGTTTACCGCGACGATCCTGAATCCTTCCAGAAGGAGGGTTCTGAAACGATCTGTTGGATCTTTAAGAATAGAAATTGTGATCTTCGGTTCTAGCCTCGGCTAAAAAGCCTAACTCACATATTCTTGAGGTCATTCTGAATATTAAACCAGAGAATCTTGTAACAATCTTTTTATCAGTTGATTAGAGATTTTAGCTTTCCACTATGTGTGTCAGAAGTCCAGAGCAGGAGTTATCCAAGATGACAACTGTAACTATATAAAAATGTTCAAACGTAATCGACATTGCAGTCACGCATATCACACAATGCTTAGCCGGACGCAGCTTTACCTGACCACAGTTGGGGCCAAATCCTTCATTCACCATGATGGCTAGGGCCAATTTCATGATCATAACGGTTATATGTATCCATATTTTTACTGCAGTAAATAGTTCTGGTTCATGTCTCTGCTAGGTCTGAAAACTAAAATTGCGAGCTTTTCACATTTCTACAAAAATACGCACACCACGAAACTTATCTGAAATCATACTTTTAAATTATATGCGGGAAAAGCTTCAAGACAGCTAATTCAAGATGATTCTAGGAGCAGTCTTCTCGTTGGCTCTCCTCTCCGCTACTGTCACCGCATCTTCAATCCCAATATGCATTAAAGACTCCAGTACCACAACCTCACTCACTATATCCTCTCTGTCAAATTATACCACCCAGTTCTGTACGGAAATATCTTCCAGCAATTTTTCATCTAATGCCAAGAACTATAATACAGGTCCTACTTCGACTTCTATCATTTCGCTTAGCTTTACCTCCGACACAACTAGTTGTCTTGGGGATAACTCTGCAGCTAACTGTGAGGACGTTTATAAACTCCTTTTCTCCACTTGTAAGTTCTAACTTCTGACATACTTCCTTTGAAGTCTTGGGCTTGAAAATAGGAGTACTAACAAATCCAAAGGCGGGACCAACAATTCTACAATCACGGGATCGGGATCTATCAATTCGGGATGCGGTATATACAGCTTCCGGCTTACAAGTACGAATCCCAATAATATGAATGCAACGAATGCCTCAAGTAAGAGTGGAGGTGGCAAGACAAGCGGGGTTAGTTATTGTATGGTTACGGGCAGTGTGCTTTTAGGTGTTGCGGCCGTTTTCGGATGGTTTTTATAAAGAGTCCTTTTCCTTTCGACGTCTGGACCCTGGGTCTCCGACTTATCTTTGTGAGGGCGGTTATATTATTGAAAGCTGGTCTTCTTTGGTGTACCATGTGGATGTATGGCTATGTATATATATATGTTTAATGGCGTGTTTGATTAATCGATGGACTTTTGTATGGATAATACCTGAACTTTATAGCGGAATCTGCTTTGGGCTTGTTAGTCTTCAACAGAGCGCCTCTTTTCTTACGTTCGCAGCAACCACCAAATCCAACTGTCTATTCATACTGCTGGAGAATTCGTCTCCCATTTCATCTAGATCTTTCATACTTATGATTCCATAGAAGTGGTAGAAAAAGACGGATTGAGAGAGTAATACTCGAGGTCATATCACTAGCACCACTAGATAGATAAGCTAAGTTCATATGTCCCTGAGACCGTTTTCCTCTTACTAGGTGTTCCATTCGGAGAAAGAGTATTTGTGTGCAAATAGCCTTTTTTTTTAACAGGTAATCCCTACACTTGATAACACTAGCTACTCGATAATGTGTGCACACACTATGACATAACACGACAATTTCCTGCAGCAAGCCTAATTGCGTAGAACCATAGATCTCGGCAAATGCTAATTCCTGAAGACACTCATCTTCAAACCCCAAAGTTTTCAAGTCTGGCCTCCTGATTACCCTAGCGCGCACCATTACTCGCTACTCTCCGTAGACGAACTTTCTTGCCAGCCCCTATATCTATCTCATCTCATAATCCAAGACATTAATTGTGTATCTGGGATTTCCATGTACCACACCTAAAAGAGTTCCTTATTGTCCCCTTAACATCACGTGCATATGGCATTCAAATCCCTGCAACCATGTAACCCCCGATGCAATCCGCGATGCAATCCATGCATTAGTCTCCTCTTCACCGCCAGAAACTCCAAAGGTTGTTGATCTTGGTCGCATAACTGCATTTCGCCGACCTGTCAGCTTTCGTAGGAAGAAAATCGTGCAAGCTTATGCAGAGTTAGAAACGAACCATCTTCCTCTCTTCCTGCTCCAGAGCCCACATTTCTGTCGTGCATGTATTTATTTGCGGATAACTTGGGGTTTAATATGCGTGAGTGAGTGAGTGACTCCACTTAGTTCTACCTCCAGCTCCACGAGTTCTTACTGAAATCCTTATCGATTGGATTTAAAGCGGGAACCAAACCACGGAACGGGACGTTAATTGAACAGAGCGGGCGAACGGGCAGTACTTCTCGCTAGGGTTTGAGCTTACGGGATTCATTCACTTGCTGTAACTTGTAATTTTACTCAATTGCTTGCTTGTTTTCATTGTTCTTGCGCCAACAACTCAATTCCATCCACTATTCCTCAGTTCTCCTCTCCTCTCCTCTTCTATTCACAATAGATAAAAAAATTCCCAAACTCCGCAAAGATGGGTTGGTTTGATGGCGCCTCGGAATCAGGACGATCGCACTCCTCTCGACACCATTCCTCGTCGCATTCGCATTCCAAGAAAAAACATCGTTCTGCCTCCCACTCCACTCATCACAATAATTCCTCTGGACTTCTCGGAAGTGCGCTCGGAGGGACATCCCCAAAATCGAACCATAGTCATCGCGAGCGCTCGAGAAGCCGTACTCGAGGCTCCGGAAGTATTTATGGCAGTGGAGATGCGAAACATAATTCCAGTCGAAGCAGTTTCTTCGGTATGTAGCCCTCCACGTATTTCTAGAAATCTTTGTTACTACTTTTTTGTAAATCGTCCTCGGTTTAATCCTATTACTCCCATCGCGCAATATAAGTATAGGTAAACTAACGATTCGTCCCCATCTAGGCCCCAATTCCCGCTCCACATCCCACTACAAACGTTCTCCGCGCCCAAACTACCTAAAAAGCATGTATGCCAAACTGCGCCAACTCCTCCGCGATCTCATCTACTACATGAAACGACACCCATTCAAAGTATTCATGCTCGTAATCATGCCCCTCATAACAGGCGGTGCACTAGCAGGACTTTTAAAGAAATTCGGGGTCCGATTACCAGGCGGATTGGAGAGGTTGATTGGAGGCGGAAAGGGAAAAGGAGGCGCGCCAAGTGCGTCTCTGGGAAATGCGAGGAATGGGAGGAATGGGAGTTATGAGTATGAGAGGAGTAGTGTGAAAGGTAGTGGGGGTGCGATGGAAAAATTGGGGATGTTGACTGGCGGGGTGGACGGCGCGGGAGGGGTGATGAAGTTGGCGAAATTGTTTATTTGATGTGGTATGCGGATGAATTATGCGATGACATGACCGATGAAATGTTGTGATTGGATGAGGATGGATCAATTGGGTTTGATTTGGCGTTTACATATTTGGATTGATTAATTCCTCCCTTTGCCTTCTATTCCCTTTTTTTTACTTTCCAAAAGAAATCCTGCACTTTCTTGCGGGAATAGATACCATTTTTAGGACATGAGTGTGGTTGGTTGTGAATGCAAAGGATTTTGAGTCTAGATGGGACCGCGTAATGTGATGAGGTAGTGCCATCAACATGACTTCTTGGACGACCTGCTATGTATGAGAATATTTCTGACGCCGTTATTTCTTCATTAGTTTGAGGGCGTATGTTTCTGCCGAGCTTGTGCTCTGTGATTTCTGGCCAGTAAATTGGATACTTCTTCGCTTGCCCTAGTGGTCCTGAATATGTGAAGTTCCAGTGGCTCCTATGGCCTATTGATTTTCTTCATTCGATTCCTACTATGTTAGCAACCCATCGTCCACCCCTTCCCGTCTCGCTCTCTCCACCAATAAAATAAATCACTCTCACCACACATCATGTGATAAAATTAGAAGACATGGTTCGTTGCATTGCTTTCTGAATATCTATATACATAATCTGACCTGTCCCGCTACTAAATCAATTCATCCTATAAATATCCTGTTAGCTCGCTGTATTGTGTTGATTGTATACCTTGATCCTATCACCCCAAAACGCCAGCCTCCTTATAAGTCAGTTAGTTCATCAACGCGTAAGACATCTCTTCCAATTCGTACAAATCATGATTATGAGCCCACAGCATGACTGAAGACCTTTGCGGCAAGCTGACTTAATAGCCTAGCTTTATCACCTTGAGGAAGTTCCTATCCCGCCAGAGGATCAGCACAATTCTCTGCCATCTTGTTCCAACTTTCAATCCTACCCCGAAAATCAACTCACCTGAAAAACAGCATAAACACTCTTTCCCTTCGCATCCCTAACAGCCCCTAACCTGTTCCCCGCTACCGCCCCGGCCAACATCCCCGGGAAATTTGCAACAATAAAGCCCATGGCCCCTCCACTCAAACCCCCCAACATACTCCAGAATGTCCCGGTAGGTTTATTGTTATCCTCTGCCAGCCCCTCCTCCCTCAACATCTCTTCGAATACATCACCAAACTGTGCGTCTTCAAACTTTTGTTCCTCCTCTGCATTCTTCGCTTTTGAAGAAAATCCAAAACTGGACCAAGGGAATCCGCCTGGGACACCTCCCGATCCCCTAGTCGGATCGGGAATTTCTTCATCGTCGTCCATGGAGGTTGAGGCAGTAGAGGCGCCGGAGCCAAATCCATGATAGGAACGTGCAGCGTCATAATCGCGACGACGCGAGGGTTCAGAGAGGGTATAGTATGCGTCGTTAATTTGTTGAAACTTACGGGTTCTCTCGCCGCGTTCGGGGGAATCGGAGGGTACGCGATCAGGGTGCGACTTTAGAGCTGCTCTGTTGGGGTGAAGGGTTAGCTGGTGCATGTCAAGGAGGCAAGGGAATGGCTCAGTACTTTTTGTAGGCGTCACGGATCTGTTGCTGGGTTGCCGTGGAGGATATGCCGAGGACGGCATCTTGCAGGGAGAAATTATAAGTATGGCTGATATCAGAGTGGGAAATCGGAATAAGAAATAACCGTGAGGTTGGCGAACTTACAATAATCTGATGGTAATGACATTCCTGCAATTTTTCAGGGTTCAAAGAGGTGCGATACGTAAGAAGAGTCAAGGTAATAGTGTAATTTTGTAGATTTTAAACAGAATATGATTTGTATAAAATACTTCCAAGTATGCGGATTCAACCGAGGATATGAGAGGTGCAAAGGACACCTCGAGATTAGAAGTTTGAGTGGAGTGTTTCGATAACCTGCATTGAATTGACAGGTCAACGTGCAGCAGCGTCATTGAGGTGGCGGATGTGGCGTAAGGAAATGTGGCTGGAATGTGAAAATCTTAGCATCAACCAACTGAATGTTTGCAAACAATTATTTTGTATCAAGAAAAACCTGAGGACATCAGCGCAATTCGATATTTTGCAGCCTTACTTCTCTTTCTTTTTTAATAAATGAGAGGATGATCCCGACTGTATCTCAAGGAAAAGTGCACACGTTTGATGTGTTTTTTGGATTTTAAGAAGGGTCTCATCACTCTTCTCCAGTTTTTGCTGTCCATACAGCCACGACTCGACACGTCCAAATTCCATTGTCTCTGGGGGACGGAATTTAGAGTCGGTGAACTCGAAAGAAGTCGCTCATTACTCAATCTTCATTGCTGTTGTAAAGGAAGAGCAAGTGTAAAACCTCGAACTCAAAGTATTCATCATTATTTCCATCCCGTTATGTAGCTTTTAAGGTTACAAATCGATAACGCCATCTTTCCAGCGAGAGCGGACCGAGAGATGAAAAACCCTGATACCCCACCTCCCACCATTTCTAAACCCCGGTTTGTTCTCTACTACATCCTACATCTACATCTTGGTCCAACTTTTATAAAAACTTCCATTGGTTCTGACACTCTTATATCCCGTGCCTGTCACATTTCAACCTTTCGCAAAATGTCGTCGAAATGTAAAATTCACCTCCTAGATGGAGGTCTTGGCACTACTCTTGGAGACTCCCACCAAGTACAATTCACAGAAAAGGAACCTCTCTGGTCTTCTCAACTTCTTATTCCGACACATCCCCATGGTCCCAAAACGCTCCTCGCTACTCAAAAGTCCTTCGTGGATGCCGGTGCTGATATTTTACTGACTGCTACTTACCAAGCGAGTTATGAGGGATTCGGAGGATCTGGCTATGCTGTTCATTCTCGCTCATCCTCTGATTCCAAGAAAGAAGATGGAGATAAAGAACAAGTCAACGAGATTATGAGGAGCGCGGTAGATATCGCTTCCAATGCATTTTCTATCAAAAAAGATTCCAGTGGCAAAATTGCACTAAGTCTTGGTGCATACGGTGCAATCATGACCCCAGGACAGGAATATACGGGAAAATATGATGATCAACATAAATCAAGCGAACAGTTGAGCTCGTGGCATTATGAAAGAATTTCTGTTTTCGCGAGGGATCCAAAATCTTGGGACAGAGTTGATTATGTGGCATTTGAAACCATTCCGTTATTGGAGGAGATTGAGGCTGTAAGGAAATCTATGGGAGAAGTAGAGAGATCGAATGTTGGGAAGACCAGAAGCAAGCCGTTTTGGATTGCATCTGTATTTCCTGGCGAGGGAAATGGCTTGCCGGACGGAAGTTCTGTGCAACAAATTGTGCAAGCAATGTTGAGCAAAAAAGATGGTTCCCCAGTACCATTTGGTATTGGTCTGAATTGTACCAAAGTTGGGAAAGTTGAAGCTCTAATACTGGACTTCGAGCGTGAAGTTAGGTCTTTAATTGAGAAGGGAGATATTAGTGAGTGGCCATCTTTAGTAGTATATCCCGATGGAACAATCAAGGGAGAAGTCTACAATACCTCTACCAAGGTATGGGAAATTAGGGAACCACCCGGAGAAGAAGATTTGCAGTGGGATGAAGCAGTTCTAGAGATTATCAGGAGGACAAGGAACAGAGGTTTGTGGAAGGAAATTATTGTGGGAGGTTGCTGCAAAACTACACCAAGGGAAATTGGGAAGCTGAGAGAGAGGATCGATCGGTTGGATAAGGAATAAATCGAATACAATAGTGAAAAGAGACCTTATATTCTAACCGCCCGTTCAAATCCTTCCACATCTCAGTCTTTTAGAGCCTGACAAGATTGCAACCATTATCGCAGCCACACCCTACCTGTTCTATGTCACCCATCAAGTGCTTTAACGCAAACTCATCAACCGTCAGCATTCTCGTTTACTTGGTTTTCTTCCATTTCTTCAAGATCTAGTCTTTTAAAACGCTCATCATAACGTCACTCCAAATCGCGATTTTTACGATCTCTAACTCACAATCCAATCTCTCATCCAATTTGGCTCGTAAGTACATGTCATTCTGTCTTGCCTGACACTTGGTGTCTGACTCCACCTCTGTGGAGGTGGTCTTTCAAGACCATAACTCCTTCGTCGCCTTCTCCGTTCGTAATACCCTCGCACCAAATGTCCAGCCTGGTTTGTCTACGATTCCTCAAAGACGTCGCGAGCTGGGCTTAATTGGAGTATTGAACACTTGCGGTCTAACCGAGGACAATTGGTAGTACTTCGCACTGAAAAGTCCTCTGGGCGCTGTCATTAGTGACGACGACACGGAATCTCAGCAGGAGGTGAAGGTGTTCCGTCAACAGTTTAGCTTCGATCACATCGAGATGGTCATCAGTCAGATTACCAAAACAGGAGCGAGGAAAGACTAGGTGACTAAAATAAGGCGTGATTTTAAAGCCTCCGAGTTCCATATGATTTACATCACAGGCCAGGGAACCAGTTTCATATCTCGCACTTTTGACACATGCAATCTAGATTCTTTAACGGTGAGGTGCTAGCACCAAGAGCAAGGCCGAAAAAGCCAAGACGGCAAGCGGGACGGACAGAAGAAGCTGGACACGGGACCTAAAATGTTGCAACCAACAATTGCAATGTCTTTGCCACGGCTCTCAGGAATGACGTTCAGTAGATGGTGTTTCCTAATCTCCAGGATTCCATTCTAGTGTTGTTAATATCGAATCCGTGCTTTCCTATTACCTTTTTCTTCGCGTATCGATTAGTGTACGTATGAATCCAATAGGCGCCGGAATTCGTTAGACTTTGCCTTTTCCCGTCCACTTTCCTTTCCGTTCGCTGTATCATTTTGGGTTCAGATTTCTAGTAAGTATTTTTGTCTTTTTGATTTGTATAGCATGTTTGCAAATTTTTTGGAATTGGGACGCTCCACATCTACTGTTTCTCCCACAGAAAATATCACCCACTATAGTCTAGATTTGTACTTACCGTAAGTGTAACCCCAAAGTTCAGCCATCCACTTTTGATCATTAATGAACAAAGGCCGAAGGGAACAGCCCTGAGATAAGTATAAGCACCGAAAGCTATCAGTTGAGACTACCTATTTATCACTTTCCCAAACCTTTTAGCGTCTGCTGACTGGACTACCTTTTAATTCTCGCTTCAGGGATGGGGCATGAAAATTCGAGGTATCTTACGATTTTGGTAACTGTGTGGCCAGTGGTCAATTAGTTGAACTAGTACGATGCCAGTGCATTGATTGATGGCTAGTTTAGTCTGATGGTTCCTAAACTAAATTGGAAGTTCAACTAGTCGAAAATTGGGAACTTTGAAACCGTTCAGCTAGGGAAACTGCCAGATTAGTTTTGTGCAACTTCGACTGCCAGTTGAACCACGACCCCATGGAACTGTCGGTGGATTTCAATCACTAGCTTCTCGGTTGGTATGAGCCAAGCATTCTGAGCTGGAAGTACGAGTTTTAATTTTGATTTCAGATCCTTGAACGTCTGCCAGATTCCTGGTGACCTAATTGAAAATGGGGTTGTGATAATCTACTCGCCAGGGCTTCAATCGTAGACCATATACACGATTGAGGGTGTTGCTTTATTGTTGGCCTCCCACGGCTGAGTTATAATCCACGCTCATTAGGGCCCCTAAGCATATCCCAGGATTGGAGTAACGTCGCACCTCCTCCTTCGCAGAAAAAATTTCAAGTTACACAGTTTCAACACATTTCAAATGTGGTCCAACATACAGCAAGAAATAGGGAACGAGCCTTATTGCAAGTGTACAAACATGCAATACAGAGTCACAAACGGATAAAAAAACGTGTTGGATGCATTGCATCAATACAGTAAGACGGAATATATTAAGCTGTACACAGCCGGCGAAGATTCTACTCCGCTGGGTTTACCTCGACGAACGAGATTCGATGCCGAACACTTCACCTCTGCAGGATGCAGTATATGTGTTCAGTAATAGCACGGGGCATGCATGGGTGCCACGTGGTTTCCATCTGTCTTACATGTACCTCCTGCTAATAGTGGATCAGATGTAAACCCTCCGAGAGGTCGAGTTGGGAATATCCCGGAACTGTGGATCTTAGTGCTTACTGTGCTCTATGCATGTATCCATCCCTCCACGTCAAGATTTGGTCTGAGGAAAGAGCGGTGCCAACAGATGTTTGCAATGGGTATGCATATAAGTAATGGATTGGATGAGTGGCATTGGATGAATTCACATTTTCATATAACTTTTTTCCCTATCGACTAACCGGGAGTTTGACGAGTAAAATTTGAATATCTACCCACCGATGGGTGTTACTACTTGATATTTTTTAGATTATTCGTGAACTGCACAGTCTAGAACTTCCAGCTCTCTTGCTTACTAGCCAACGCCTTTAATCTCATAAATCAACTTCGAGTATTGGTCCTCGAGAGCTTCCATAAAATGGTCGTAATCACCATGCCTTCATCGCATCCAAAACAAGGAGATCATGACATCCCAAGCCTACGTCAAAAATCAATCCAATCCGTCAAAACACTCCTCTCACCACGCAATCCCCGACAATTCTCCAAACTACTCCAATTCAGCCCTCTCAAAATCTCTTCATCTGAGCAACCCCTCAAATCAACCCCAGCATTCCACCTCTTCCGCGAACTCCCATCCGAAATCCGCACCATGATATGGAGTATCTATATCACCTTCCCACGCATCCACATCCCCATCCCCAGCACCGACTCCACACCATCAAACCCCTCACCTCTAATCCTAACCCGCGCACCTCAACTCCACCCCTCCCTCTACATATCCCACGAATCGCGCTCGACCTACCAACAGACCTGCTGGCTCGAAACCCTCCGACGCATGCACATGCGCACGCGCACAGGAGTGCCCATCTCACATCCCCCCTCTGCATCATTCACCTCGCATTCTTTCATGCACTGTCTCGAAGGAAACGAGATGATAAATTGGGACACGGATATTTTCTGGTTCAAGGGTATTTCAACCGTCAAGAGGTTATCGGAGGGGAGTCTCGGCAGTCAGATGAAGAGGTATGAGGATGTGCGGAAGGTGGCGTTGGACTATACGGTGTTGGATTATGAGGAGGAGAGTGAGCATTGGAGGAGGAGGTTTAAGATTGGTTGGTATGGGTTGGTTTGTGTGTTGCATTTGTTTGAGTACTTGGAGGAGGTTTATTTTGTGCTTGATGCGGAGGGGGATGTGAGAAGGGATGTGAAAGGCGATGTGAAAGGGAATGCAGAGGTATCGTTTGAGATGGTCGACGTAGAGGAGAGGGTAAGAAGGAGATTAGAGGGTGTCAACGCGAAAGTAGGTGCAGATGGAGATGGATTGTGTTTTCCTCAACTGGATGAGAGAGGTGTGTATCCAGCTCTAGAACGTCTATTTTCTCGCTGGGAACGATGTCATGGGTGGCAGAAGCCCAGGGTCCAATTTGTTTATGCTAGGAATATTGGTTGATGATGACTGTGCATATTATTTCCAACAGGACATCAGGCACGCAGGCATGCCATGTCGTAATAATAAGATGGGTATACTTCATTATATATTCATCCTCGAGTGGAAAATAGATGGTCAACTTTTCATCCTGTCGAGTGTCCACCATCTTCAAATACCTGTTCAACAATACTATTTCCAGCATCATATCTTATTTACTCTTACACACACACACACACATATATATATATATACCAAGTAGTCTTCCATCTGCCCGTCAAAATTATTCACCCATCCATCCATCCATTACATTTCCACGAAACACATGATAGATAGGTACTTTTTTGTATAGTCAATGTCACGGATAACTCTATCAAAACTATCCACTTTTCTACGCGGATCGAATACACATCCTGCTACATTTAAATACCTGAGAGGTATATAATCTTACATGTAGGTAGGCTCTAGAAGGTAAAGATGCGGAGATATCAATTATTGGGAGAGGAGGAAGGGTGTAGCAAAGTCGTCATTCCCATCTGTAACAATAGGTACTGTATAGAGTAATACTTATTACTTTTAGTGCGGAAACCTCAGCCAAGATCATTGATAAACACGCCGACTCCCAAGCGAAGTAGAATATGGAAAAAATCATCGCAAAGACATCTATTCTCCTTTTCCTCAAATTTAAAATCATCAATAAATAAAACAAGCGAGAAATGTAATTCTAATTACATATATCATCATCGTCATCATCATAATAATAAATATATAAGAACCAAAACAAGTCTATCCCCATTCGCACCCCAAATCCCAATCTCCACCCCCCCAAGACCAATCCCTCAAGCATCATACCTCTGATTACCCCTAACGACATAAATCTCCCCAACGAGCACCGCACAACCGACCGCCATAGAAATCGCCACAATAGGCAAATTTACCCTCGCGAAATCCAATCTCCTAACATGAATATGTTTTCTAGCCAAGATATCCCTCCAGAGCAAACCCGCAAGCGAAGCGCTAAAAGCGGTGCTAAACGCACCGTAATTCACACCTATAGCCATGGAATAGACGGTTCCCCAGAAAGCGCGGTCGCTGATGGGGAGACCGTTGTTGTGGTGGATGTCTTGCCATGCTTGGACGACGCGACAGAGGAGGATGGTGGTGCCGATGTTGGTGCCTGCGAACTATGGGGGGTTGGGAGAGTGGGGTTAGTTGGGAGGGGTACTGAGTGTAGATGTGAGAAAGGAACTTACGTTGCAGAGAATGCAGGAGAGGAATCCCATGCCGCCGATTGCTCCGACGGTGCCTGTTTTTTCTACCCAGTGATCCCAGCCATAGGCGAATACGGGAACCCATCCTTTGGTTACTAATGCTTGGACGAGAACGAACATTGAAAATGCGAATGGGACGAGGGCGAAGGGGAGATGGGATACTACTGCTGTGACGGTGGGGAATGTTTCTTGACTCCATAAATATGCATCCCCAAAAAGTGAAACTAGTGTTGTGTGTCCGCGCTGCTTTGGAAGCTCGACTCGTCGAGAAATTTGCTCGGAAACTGCTCGTTTATCTATATCTGATTGATCACTTGATTGTGGGCCTAATAATTCTGCTCGTGGTGAAGGGATTCCTTTGGGAACTGATTCTTTCTTTTCATCTAATGTGCTCATTGCACTGGTCGAAGAGCGACTATTTTGTAAATTGTCTTCTTTTGGGACGAGTGTCGATATAGACGAGCCTAAAGGATCACTCAAGTTTGTGTTTCGGCCACCCAAGTTTTCAGGTACCAGAAGCGTAGGGGTACGATTATTTTCTGTAAGACTGCCATCTTCCCTCTCCAAGATGTTCATTTCGACTTCTTCCGGCGATTTCGTTAGCGCCAGAGAAGCCCCATTGCTGTTTCTAGAACCTTGCTGGTCTTGTTCTAAGATTACTTGATTCGCCTCTTGCTCTACTCTAATCGCTCGCTCAGCTCGGGCAAGTTCAACTTCCTGTCGTCCTTTGCGAGCAATCTCCCGTGTTTCGTGCCGATTAATCCATCCTAGCGAGATTTCCCAAACAAACATCACAAAAGCCGCTGGTAAAGTCACCCAAAATACTGGATGTTCCCCATTACTCTGACTAATCGCATTGATAACCAAGACCACAACGAGGGTTATGGCCATCAGAACCGCTCCAAAAGCTGCTCCTTTTTTATCCACAAAAGGATTCATAATTTCTTCAAGAGAAAGCTCTTTATTTTCGGCACCATCGCTTTCTTCCCCTTCCCCTTTGGCATTTGGAATATTCGGGTTCACAGGCTTCTTAGCTTTGGCTTCCTCGGAAAGTTCGTGCATTTTGATTGATAATGGTATCAGAGCCTCATCGGCAAAGACGATATATAATAAAAATGGAAATAAGACGATTGCTGTTACAACCACTGGAACGATCATGTTCGCAGTATATTCGATAAATTTTATACCAAATGCACCAGCCAGGACAAGATTGGTCGGATTGGAAGAGACGAGAATGGCCGAAGCAATATTGGCGATTGCGAATTGAGTAAAAATCCATGCTCTTGGGTGAATAATGTTACTCGATACTCTGGTCAAGTAGGCCAGGAATGCGGTACCAGACAAGATGATGGGATCGTTTCCGATAAATGTCCCCAGACAAAAGAAGAATACGTAGAGGAAGAAGAACAGTCTGTGCCCAACTTTACCTCCCTTCTGAAGTACCTTGAACGCCAGGTATCTGATGAGGCCGGACGCATCGATTGAGATAGCAATATATGCTAATGTGATGAAGAAAACCATAATATCAATCGGATTGATACTGTTTGCTCCAACTGTCCCATCGTGTACTTCTTTTCGACCTATGGCCAGAATAGCGAGTAGAAACAGATCTGCTATCAAAGGTGCCGTTACAAAGTTCAAGGGGAAATTCAATTTCATGAAACGCGTGACTTTGCCACTTCGGTCGTTTTGGTGATCATTTTGAGAATCGTCCCTTGGTGATATTAACCGCAAATGACTTAGGACATCTAGAAAAGCATTTGACGGTTTCCGTGGAACATATATTGGAATATGAAAGGGGAAAAGGACAACGATATCTGTGCAATTCCAGCAGAGTTAATCACCCTTCAAAAAAGAAAAAGAAATGTTTTGGTGAAATATTCTGCACTCACTTGTTAGGACGAAAATGATGAGCGTCACTATAGATCGCCAATCCTTGATTTTATTGGTGTCAAGATCCACTGCTGTCGCCATGATGAAAAAATCCTCCTTCTTGACCAAAATATCACCACGAGGGGAAATGGTAGATATATATCCTCAATGCCTTTAGCAAGATAATTCTGAGAAGAGGAATTTCAGATGACTCTCAGTTGATCGTGCAGTTTTGTCCTGCAGCTGATTCAGCGACAGGTCCCTTACAGCCCTGATGGTGATGTTGACTGCAGTAAGACTTACATATGGGCCCGACTTTATTATTCTAGACGCGCATTGAACATTGAATAAAAATATATACCTATTGGGCAGAAATCAGGTAGAGTTCAACATGGATAGAATGTTTTCCCGCAATAAACAGACCTGAGAGTGCCCTGATAACTTCAAAATCGCTCGAGACTTGTAAGATAAGGTAGAATTGGAATCATCAACCCTTTCTATCTTTTTGCCTGTCTAAACACAGCCCATCTGTAAAGGGCCTTTTGAAGCCAAGAAACATGAATATCGCACGTGGATAGATTCTCGTTGTGAGATGGGTAGATTTCAGTCGCCAATAAGAATCGAAGCAGTCTCAAATGTAAGTCTTAATTGGACTGTAGACTCTAGGTGTACATTATAAGATGAGGCTGTGTTGTGTGCCCATTTACACGTATATAATTACCCTGAGCTATTTGGGAATAGGGCTGGTGGCTCAAGATTCAAGATTCAAGAATCTTCACAGGCAGATTGGAAGAAAAGATGCCAAGGGATTAAAGCATCAGCTGTGAATTCATTCTCACACCGCACTTACGTTTCGATCGTCAGAGTATGGGATATGAATGACATCGCGTCTTCTTCCGTCATGAACTTAACTTTACATTGATAAGAAGAATGATAACATGAATATGGTATATCGTACTTATTCCTCAATGAATTTCTCATAAAATCCAGACAAAATGAACATCAACAACTTCAATTTCCAGCGTAAATACGTACGGGAGAGGAGATCAAAATGATGCCATGACGTTCCTGCCAACTTTCAACAATGATATGTAACTTTCTCGGCCCACAACCCAATGAATAACTCGACAATCTGATAACCGATAAGAACGTGTGGCTCATAAATGTGTGGCTAAAATCTACATTCATTCCAGCCACATTAGATAATCCTCCAACATAACCACCTACTCCCCTATCCAATAGACGTATGAGGAATCAAGGATATCTCCCGAGCACCTCATCTACCCTCCGGACAAAGCAAATCCAAGCATGAATAAGACATACGAACATCATTCCAAATTCCAATGCGTCTCAGCATAGGCGCACTCATACGGCAAATCCAGCGCTTTGGTTCCTCGCCTTGGTCTGCATCAATATCAAGCCCTACAAAGCACATCAAAATCGACGATGAGGAACGGGGTGTGAAGCTCCCACAAAACCCATCATCATTCCCCATGGCGAAGATGATATTCGTGACTCTCCTCGCTCTCCTCACCTTAATCCTCCTATCCAGCTACACCATCTACAAACCCCCACAATTCCTCATCAACCTCCTACAATGGAAATACCCAGACGTGATATTCCACGTCCCACTCACCAACACACAGCGCGTCATCGCCCTAACAATCGACGATGCCCCGTCAGAAGAAACCCCCCGAATCCTCGACCTCCTCCAAATCTACAACGCCAAAGCCACCTTTTTCATCATCGGAAGCCAAGCCAGCTCCCACGCATCCCTAATCCAGAGAATCCACTCCGAAGGCCACGAGCTAGGAAACCACGCCTGGGCTGACGAACCCTCCATCTCGCTCCCGCTGAGCGAGCTTGAACGACAAATCACTGAAGTCGAGGGACTTCTCCCGGACAATCGTCCGATCACGGGATCTAAGGTTCCCCCTAAGTATTTTCGGCCCGGGTCTGGGTTTTTCAATAGTGAAATGGTACAGTTGGTGAGGGATTTGGGATATCGTCTCGTGTTGGGGAGTATATATCCTCATGATCCGCAAATTCATAATGCGAGGATTAACGCGAGACATGTTTTGAGTATGGCGAGACCGGGTGGTATCATTATTATGCATGATAGACGATCGTATTCAGCGGCTGAGATTGAGTTGGTTCTTGGGGGTTTGAAGAAGAGGAAGTATAGGGTTGAATCGCTTGGGGGCTTGTTGGGGGTTGCAGGAATCAATCAACCGGTTTAGTTTGGGCTACGGTTCTAATAGACTCATCAGCTCGATTTAAAATTAGATTACCATCTTACTTTCTAATGTTCATCTACGGTCGAGATCTTTAGCACAGCAAAGCACAGCAGATATAAATAAAATAAAACTCAAAACCCGTAGCTACAGCTAGCTATAAGAAACAAGGAACAACAACCCTAGCATCCCAAACGCGAAAAGTCCACCAAGTAGATAGATAGATAATCAAGCTCCATCTTATCCATCCCATCCCTCCCAAACCAACTACAAAAACCCAACCACTCCCCAACTTCCCCAACTCCCCCAACTCCAAATTCCCCACCTCCATCCCAATCCGCTCATACATACAAACAACCAATACCCAAAACCCAATACCCAATACCCCATCATCCAAATCCGAATTCTCATCCGAATCCGCATCCGCACCCGCATCCGCATCCAAAAATGTCAACCCTCCCATCCTCTTCCCACCTCTTCCCCTCTCTCTCTCTCCCCTGACAATCATATGATTCACATCGTTAAGAGAGTGAAAAGAAGAATAAAATGCCTACCCACCTACCCACCTACCCACTAAACCAACTAAACCAACTACACAATAAAATATACACACAGACTTCTTCTCGGTATACGAAGTAATGATATTGAACTAAAAGGGATTGGTACGCACTCTGGTGAATGTTGTGGTGGGGTGTATGTAATCTTATGTTTATGTATATTATTTATGTATGTTATGATATGTGTGTTATGATGATATATGTGTGCGTATGTGTTCTATTAATAATAGCCAGGGCAGGAAGGAAGGGATGAAAAGGGGGGAAGGATATAAATGTAAAGACTAATAAGTAGGAGGTTAGTTAGCGTGCTGCATAGCTTTGACAATTTCCAAACTGTACTGGATGAAGCTCATGACGTCAATAGACGTTCATCACATGACATTACATTGACAAAAGTAAGATGCTCCGTGCAAAGAATAAAGTATATCTTGAATACGATGAATTCTCATTCATCACCACCATCGCCACTATCGCCACTACAACTACTAGAATTTTTCATCACCATACACAACCACGATATCTTACATGACAGGTATTGCAATACACTATCAGATTTAGCTGTACATCGCCACTTTCTGCCCTCTCGTTCGCCTCTCAACAACACATCAGCTCTCCTTAAAATTTAAGCATTATATCCAACCCAATACATGCCCATACCATAATGCAATATCTACCACGCCTCCTCTTCGAAGATATCCACTATGCATGGTAAGGTACACCTACCCATCACCCCCAAACTATTCAAAGAAAAGAGTTATAACTCCGATCATGCAAGATCAAGGTCTAGTACAGTACAGTACAATGCCATACTATGACATTAGTTTTCGCCAACAAGAAAAAGTAGTAGCAGTATTGTTATCAAAAAACAAAAGTGGGTTGAATTCGAGTAAGGAGAACATGAGAGGTAATTTTGTGGAAGCAAGTCCAGAAAAATGTAGAAAGGAAAAACGCCAGACGCGCGGGCCAAAATGTCGGGTTTTATATGAAGAATGACCCATTTCCACGCCGCGCAAGGAAAAAACCTAGCATATGTAACAATACAGGATATTGTAGACAAGACATGAAAATGCAGTGACGCTAATATCAATGAAGGAAAAATAAGAACATATGGTGACAGTTGGGAATGCGATATTACAAGTACAGAAAAGTGGGGTATCATATTCGAGTTTTGGTACCAAGGTTCAGCCAGCTCATGTCTGAAGGGATTGAGGATGAGCTTTGTTGCTGAACAGGTGGTGGTGGTTGAGGTACTTGAAGTGAAAAGTTATCGCCTCCCGAGGTATCTCTGTTTGTCGTATACACGCTCACAGTGTAGGCATTGCTTGGCCTGTTCCGAGATGGATCTTGATGCCCCATGGCCCATGATTCTGGATCATTTACACTTTCTGGAACCCCGCTCGAGTATGCATCAGATTTATCACCATAAGATGAAGTGTTGCTGAGGTAAGAGTCCGGCCGAAGGCCTTCAATCTTGCCAGACATTTCTGCTGCCATGGGAAAATGAGATCCAGCAGTAGATACAGTAGGACTATTAGTTGCTACTCGGTATAGTGGAGTATCTCCTGGAATGGGAATTTTTAATGGAGGCACTAGCGAGGATGCTGTAGTAATTTGGCTTGGACGTCTTTGAGTATTAACCTGAGTTGGTAGCCTTGGATCGGAGTACTGTGAAGTGGCGTCTTCATCACCATTGGACGTATTCCGTTTTGACTCGCCAAATCCCAGGAAACTTGTCATTGCACTTCCACCAGACCAATATCGGTTCCAGCCTGACGACCTCCTTGTACTGCCTCGTCTCTGCGTCCCAGGATTACGGGGTCGTGGCGTAACTGTTTCTTGACCGAATGAAACCTCTTTTGCCAATGCATTTTGAGCGAAAGACTGGTCCGGTGGTGTAGTATGATTTATCGCAGCTTCGTAGTTCTTGTCAAATTGACTGCTCGTGCCACTTCCCGCACTCCCATTGCCTTTATAATCTCCTCTTCGATGCCCCACGCGGCCCATTAATATAGCCATGGATGAATATGAGCCCTGGGATGCCGACTGTCCATGCCGCGGCGGTGGCATTGACGAGTGCATATCAGGTGGAGCTCTATCCGAAAACTCTAACCCATCTTTTTCAAGGGGATATCCATTTGCATGTGCATTTTTTAGATTCCTCTTTTTCTTTTGCCATCGGAGGAGAATCAACGCACAAACGAGCAGGAAAGCAATTCCCAGTATAGAGCCCAACAATGCAGCCAATGCCTTCAATGGAAACGCGTCGCTATCATTATCGGTTGATTCACCTGAAATGGCAGTAGAGTTACCTGTACTTGTACCTGTACTTGTAGCTACAGAAGAAGTTGTACTCGACGATAATGTTGACGGCACGATGATTTGTTGTGTGGGAGGTTTCACCAACATTGATGCGGCATCAACCCAGGCATTTTCTTTCGCTTCGAATATGCATAGAACATCATCTTCATTTCCACCCGATATTACTACTTCCCCATCTGCACTCATCGCGACAGAATAATTCGTCCTTGTGGATGTCGGAGCCAGCGTACCATTATAAGCAGGCCAATCAGCCTCTGTAAGACTACTCCTCTTAGCTCTTTTAGTAGCTGTTTTCGTCGCGGTGCTTGTTGACACAATGGCTGCCGCACTTTGCACTGGATTTCCGCTGCCATCAACTAAAACAGTTCTGTTTACAACATTTGGTGCCACAGTCATGTCGAAGGTGTAAAGATTCTTGCATCCATCGTCACCCGTCACGACAACTGCTTTGACTGCCGAAGTATCGTATATCGGGGACGCCAAGCTGCTGTTTGAGTTTGCCCAGGATGTCGCTGGATCGAATACCATCACGTTAGTATTTGTGACAGTGCCACCAATATAGATTGCAGAGCTCGATGACCATGGAAGTAAAAGAGGCTGTATGCCGGCAGGTGGCGCAACAGCACCATTAGCAGGCCCGAATGACAGAACATTATATGGAGGCGACGCTGCTATTGTGAAAGTCTGAGACGATAGATCTTGAGCACCATCTTGACTTCCTGCATACACCAGAATGGAGTCCGACGCATTCAAGTAGATAGCACTGTGCCATAATCGATTTTGAGCGACTAATACTGTAGTAGTTATAGTTTCCCATTTCCCATCTTCAAAAGTATATCGCTGAAGACCAGGGTATTGATCTGTAGCATTACTACTCGTTCCGCCGACGATATATAATGCATCCTGCCCGTTCGCAGGTGTCGCCTTTACACAAACTCCTCCCGTCACTGATTCTCCTTGGGGTAATTGCGTCCATTCCGCTCCTTCAACCAACGATAGCGATTGAAACGCTTCGCTGTTGTATGTGTATAGTGTGTTGTTGTATAGTATCGAACAGGAATCATCCAGAGGATATTTCGGTTTTGGTAGAGCCATTATTATCTTGCTCAGTGGTGATCGTGTTCATTCGTTTTTCAGGTCGCCGGGCAGGCCGATCGACGCGACGAATAGTAAAGGGTTCGTCCTCGTTTGCGTTATTTATCTTGGCACATTATGAGCCAAGTGAGAAGGAGTGAAAAGATGTTAATCAATTGAATTTTCTGAAAGGATGCTGTCGAAGCGACGAAACGAAATATCGAAGACCAGGTCTCGGCTGGATTGAGATTCGAGTCGTCAACGACGGGTGTGTCTTCAAGCAGTCAAGCCGCAATGCTTCATCGAGGGGTACGGAAAGCCGTAAGAAATCACCGTCAAGATGGCCAATCGAGTCAAATTTGGTATGAAGAATCAGTTCGTCCTACGAAATGTAAGGTATTTGGCAACAGATCCTCCGAAAGTGTGGACAAGCTGAAACAAGCAAGTAAAGTAGATTAACAGACCCCCTGCTGCAAATTTCTGCGACTCTTGAAAAACAATGAATGACGCCTCACGAAGGAAAGAGAAGCTGCAAAGAATGCACAGCAATTGAAACAACGAACGGTACTGTACAAAAAAGTGTGGCCAGTATGGCAACTGGTCAGATCAGTATGGTAATTGGCATCTGCAGCAATAGGAGTTGGCCGGATCGAATAATCACGTCCGCTTCCCGGGGGGAGACCAGAATGGTACGAGCGAGGACCCGCCCGCCCTGTTTTGATCTACACAGTATTAAAGCCGAGGATGTTCTGTTCCTGAAGCGCGCATGCGAATTGTATAAATATGCGGTATATGCCTCGTTCCGAATGTATTATCAGAGATAGAAACTATATTGCAAAAGGTTCCAAATTTCTTTCGATTATCCGGTAAATTGAAAGTATTCCTAGAATTCCAAAAAGAAGAATCAATGATTCCAAGCCTAGGACAGGAATGGGATTTCAGAAGTCTCAGGCTTTGGGTGGGATTGATGGTCTTGACTGGCAAGGAGTTGAATGGATGAAAGGTTCTCCAATTTCGTTTTCGACACGAAAGACGGGGATTTATTTTGGTATGACTGTGGATGGGTATGGGACCTCTGGATATGTGTACTGCTGTATCCGACGCATGCGATATGCATGCAATAATATGTATAGATATCGATACTTTAGTGGAGAAGGGAGAAGATTGCTGGTACGTTTGTATGATTGTGGAACTCTGTATGTGTTTTTGTTCGTTATAACTTATGGGCCGTTGTCGTTATCCATCAAATGGAATGAATGGGTCGTGAAGCTCGTTGCCCGATTCCTGAATCTTAAAGAGGGGAAAGGATTAATGAAAGATAGATACTGCAGAGGCGCGAACGGGTGAATGATATTATTCAAAGACTGATAAATAAGTAGTGGATCGGGAAAAGAGGATTTCGAAAGAAGAGAGGGATGGAAGTGATGAAGGTGCACAAACGCCAAGTAAGCAGGCAGATAGAGTAGTTGAAAGGAAAGATGGGAAAGTTACGAGTAGGGGTGTAAAAAAGGGAAGGATCGATAAAGGTATTTTTTGCTCTTACAAATGAGTGAGAAAGGGTGGTGTTGAGTAATGTAATGGGCAGAATTTTGAATAATGGCGATATCTATATCTATCTGAGAGAGGTTTGGATGAATGATAATACTGAGAGTGAGTATGTATGTATCTAGGTATTTTGTGTAAACAGTACAATCAATATCTCGGAGTAGACGCCATGGATTCAACGTGAATAAATTGATAGTACGGTAAGATCTCTTTCTCTTTCTCTTTCTCGTTCTCTTTCTCTCTTCCCCATATTTTCCATTTCTCTTCTCTCCTCCTCTTCTCTCCTCCTGTTCACTTCATTTAATCATCTACCAGCAAACCAGAATAATATATTTATCATGTTGAGTCGGCTCGTGATTCCCTTTTCTTCCCCCCTTCCACCTTTCCAGCAGAAAAGGTTGAAGCCACCCCTGCTTGAGCATTTCCGTACCTGCTTTAACCAAAATTTGAGCAGTTGCGAATCTCCGAGCTAAGCCTTGATAAGTTTAGCTTGACGCAGCACTAATCCGAATCAGGGGTAATCTTTTGTTTGAGACTTTTTTCTTTTCCCACCCTGCATGAACATTCTGAACATTCTGAACATTTTTATGGAGTTTACAAGACTTGACAATCCACTCTTCATTTTTAGCGCGCCAAGCTTTCAAGGGTGTTTCGTCCTATCCCGTTTGTTCATTTTCCAATTCTTTCTCACTCCAACTTCACTCTTTTCACTCTTTCCACTCTTGCACTCTTTCACTCTTTCCACTCCTCCACTCCTCCACTCTTCCGTTTATTAAAAAGTCACACAGTATGACAAGTACGACAAGTTCACTCTTCCAAACTTTGCGTTACTCAGCCAGCTCACCCTGTCATCCAATCTAACTTATCTAAGTCATAATATATTTACACTTTGAACAGCATCATCATATCTATTTTCGCATTGACCTATTACTTTACCAGAACATTGTACCGGCACTTACTGCATTAGACCATCCGGATACGACAACCCTTGACGAGACGATCAATAAATCAAAAACGTCCGTCCTCCATATTCCATCTAGAATATTCTCATGGATAAACCTCTTCTCTCTTATCCGATGTTTGAGGGATCGTGTCTCATTTCTACTCTACAAGAATGCTCGTATCTGCAAATAATGATGGTGAACTTATAAACAGATCTTGCGACTTTTCGAACCATACGTGGGATACGAAATGGATGAAACGATAAAACAAGAAAGGAAAAACGCCCAACAGATTTTGCAAGACCAGCCTTTGTCATCTGTTTACGGAGTACAAGTGCATTTCAATCACATTATCAAAATGCTATGGCTTCACTGATCCATCCCAACTGTCCTACCATCATCCATTGACCGAGCGTGGGCGAAGACGAGGTGCTTTTTTCCCTTGCCATCATGGCCCTAGTCGCTACCATATCAGAAGTTCCAAGCGCAATCCATCCCCTTATTTCATTGGCTACCCCATCCACTTTAACCTGCTGTGATGTGCTCAGACTAAATGTAGGGGATCACTTTGTTTCAATGACATATATGTCTGTCGAATTGTCAACCGCCGACAAGGATTTGCAATATATAGTGTGTATGTAGTATGTGCTTCGAAAAGTAATCACACTGACCGAATGAAGGGGACATTGGGACAAGACCATCATCACCCATCTTTCAAGATTTTTGATGTAGGCTGGCTGTAGCAGAGATCACGGATGTGGCTGTTGGCTATGGAAATTAATTGGTTAATGCTCCACACACAAGCATTCTTTTCGGAAAATTTTCGCCCAAAATACGAAAAGTTGAGTGTGTGCTGCAGATGAAGTCGATGCAGTTTCTTTGCACAACACCCCTTCTTTGATTTGTCACCGTATATTAGGGAAGTTTCCTATTTCTCGAGTCAGTGTCAGTCTCACCACTTTCTTTTTCACTTCATCTATCATTACATCACTTTCTTCAAAGTTCAGACAGTCCGAGTGTGAATTCAGAGCATGAAAAGGACATACATGTAGATGAGATGAACCATCAATGTATTGGCTACAGTCAAATATTGATATCTCAAACAATAACCTTAATCTAAGCGCTGTTGGGCTGCAGAATTCATTGATTGACCATTCCATTCAACAAGGTGTGAAGTTTTTGGTGTTCCTTATCTTCTCTGGAAGCGCGCGGCCATCGAAAAGAAGTTGAAGACAATATCTGGCATGTGATTGGGTATGAGCTTCACAATGTGCCGAAATGATTATTGAGAAGTCCGCTATGTTCATGATTCATTCGTGAAAAATGCATCATTTTTCTGATCTTTAATATTGGAGATCTATTCTAGTGAATCGATCTCATGCGGATAGCTCATCTGCGGAATGTTGCATCATCACGTGGAGTGATAGTCTCATGTCTTGCATTTGAGGGTTATCTTTAACGTTCTACAAGCTTATACCATGTTTGATGATGGCTATTGTTGTGACACTTGAAAGTAACGTGCCAAACTTATCTTGAATTACGATAGTCTTGGCGTCACGCTGTTCATGCGTCTCTACTAGTTCGGTCATGGTGTAATTTCTTGTGGCTATGCCAATCTTAAAGCTGTTCTCGTGTACAATTAGGTCGTTGGGCTAATGGATTCTTTGGACACAGTCCCTTTGGAACATTAATGCATCTTATTATTGTTATTGCAGTCACTCGACTGACTGAATGTAGAGCTGGAAGATTATCCAAATACTATATATCAATTGTTTATTGAGTTTGCCAAGTAAAAACAAGGCTGCTACAGTATAGAACTTCCGACATGCGGAGGAATCTTAAGATCTTCCTGATGTTACATAGAAATCGTATGAATTACATCTACCCATGCGCAAAATCTATGTATGACAAAAACAAGTACGATCTAGATAGAGAGAAAAAGGGAAGGGATATGGTCTGATACACCATGTAACCATAGCCTATCTAGCCTCTACAATGTTACTGTATGAAAATCTCCATCCAGCTATATAGAGCACTTTAATCATTGAACTGTTAGAGCTCAAGTTTCTCATATTGTAAATACTCTATACCAGAACATCCTCTTCCTGACAACTTATTAACCAATTTAATTCAATGCCCATAAGTAAGACTCCAACAGTGAAGTCTTGGAATAAAAAAATTAAATATCACAAAAAGTAACAATTGTAAACTCTGTACCCATCCATTCATCCATCCATCTATCTATTTATCTTTCATATATAGTTGCAAAGTAGTAAAAAAAAACAAGTTCTTCTCATCTAGATAACTTATATATATAGTATATAAAATTCATCAGTTTTCAATTTTTCATTGTTGTTATATCTGTATTATAAAAGAATTAAAATTGTAAATTATATATATAAAGGTTTTCAATAGTTCAATTATATAATCTTTTGTAATTAGATAAAAAAAAAAATTTGTTTTCTTCTTTTAAAAAACAATAAATTTTTTATATACTATATCAAAACTTAAATCATTCCAATTTTAAATTTATTATAAAATCTATTTTCTTTATAAATGATTTATTATAATATAATATAATCTAATTAATTTTTTATTTTTTTTTTCTTTTATAATATATTAAGATATATATATCTCGATCAATTTCTTTTATAATATATATATATATATATATTTATATGTCTAAGGAAATACATATGGCTCATTTATATACATGAGGTTTTTATTTTGTAAGTCTTGAGTTCTGGGTTCTTTTATATATGTGTGTGTGTGTGTGGTTTATTGTTTATATAATGAAATGAAACGACTAGGTCTCTTATATATGGGGAAGATAGACGGTATGTTTAATGCTTAATGCTTAAATGATTAAACACGAAGTTGATTATAGTGAAGTTGGTTATGATTGATTATGGTTGATTATATCTGAATGTGAGGTTGAGGTTGAGGCTGAGGTTGGGAGGTTCGGAGGTAGATATTGAGATATTGATATGGAGATATTGGGGTGGGAGTGTACTGGTCTGTCTGATGGTGATTGTTGGATTGGTTTAGAAGTAAGATCTTAGTTGGCGGAATTGATCAATTATAAAGATATAAAAAGTCTAGTAATAGTTGATATATTAAGCTAAACTCTAGACTAGAAAAAACACTAATACTTATAATTATGAAATTCAGATATATAAGAGAGGTGTTAATCTGTATGAATGTATAAACTAGATAGATATAAATATATTCTAATCCTATCACCCTAGTCTCTCTCAACCTCTTTCTGTACTACTCGGTACATACTGAAGTACATACACACAAACAAGTAAGCCATCCAACTAAAACACAAACCACACTAAAACACACTACGCACATCTGGGTTTCGTCTACAAGCCACTTACTTATATATCCACTCACTCATTTATATAGGTATCCACATTAACTCACATATCACACCTTTCAAGTTTCACTACAATACACAAAACACAACACACAATATACAACATACAATAGAACTAACATTTCCTCTCCTTGATATACTATCCTATCCTATACTATCCTATACAAAGAAGAATCCTACATACATATCGACAAAAAAAAAACAAGTTTGGGGGAAAAAAAGGAAAAAAAAAAATGTTAGAGAATTTTGTGACGCTAAATTGACGCAAGGAAATCGTTATCTTGTGTATAATTTAAGACTTATAATGCTAATGTTGCAATGGGTATAGCATATCATATCGTTCTCTTTTCTTCTCTCCTCTCCTCTCTTTCGTCCAAGGCTCGCTTGCAAGCTGTTTGGTTGGATGGTGGGATGAGATGAGATGGGTTGAGATGAATGAGATGAGATGGAAAGGTATGTGTGTATGCTTCATGTTATGTATGAAGATACGGTATTCTTCCTCTTCTTTCTTTCTTTTCTATATTTCTTTCCTTCTTTCACGTAAGCTCCTCACGCTTTAATTCCACATAATCATCTAATAAGCCATCCCCCTATACCCCCCCGAATTATCACTCCCAAAATTCATATTCGGCACCGTAGGTTGACGACTCTGATGAGCCGTTCCGGCCACTGGCGCCGCACCCTCCACGAGATTCTCCCGACTGCGCGAATACGGGTTTGCGGGCTCATTCATGAAACTTGAGGGTTCGTGGCTTTCGTGCGTGGAGTGTAGGTAGGGGTGTTTGGGATCGGCGTCGAAGGAATGGATGCTGGATTTGGAGTCCATGAGCAGAGAGTTGCGGGCATCGAGTGGAGTGAGGTTGTCGAGGTCGCGGTTGAGTTTTTCTGTGGATGTTAGTTTGAGCTTTATTTTTACTGGGAAGGGGAGGTGGGAGGGAAAGACTTACCAGCTTCCTTACGACGTTTACGATGGGGGTTTTGTTTGATGATGGAGATGACGGCGTTTACACCGATGAGGATGGCGAGAGTACCGGTAAGAACTGATTGGATGGCGATGAGGACGACGCCGGTGACCGTTTGGGTGGTTTCGGCAATGCCGAGTTCTTCGACAAAGACGAGGATACATATTACGGAAAGAACACGGACGACTTGAACGAACATATTAATTACGTTTGCGGATCTTCTCTCATATGGACGACTCCAGAGGAGAAGGGAGAGCACTGTACACGAGTTAGGATGAGGGGCTTATGAAGATGAATTGAAGTACTTACTGAGACATTCAATGATGAGCTGAGCAACAGTTTGAGAGAGACCGTGTCCATCGCCTGCAGCTAATACACATCCTTTTGCGAACATGTAAATGATAGCCGGAACGAACAACCACCAGAAATCCTTCTTGTAATTCTCGTAAAACATGCTGTATTTGAGCCAATTATCCTTCTTCTCATATAATCCCGATACATCTCCATCTCTCTCCTTCATGATCTTTGCCGCCGTGGAAATCTTGTAAGCAAAGAATACAAGAACACCAGTAAAGATAGTTAACGTTACAGCCGCGAGTGTTTTGGCGGCCCAAGAATCTCCATTGGTGAATTGGAATATACAGTAAAGGACCCATGACCCGTATAGAGCGAGGATTAATTGCACAGTGAGACGAGCCATGGTTTGCCAGTAATGTTTTCGGAATCCAGTGAGACTCTCGGGGAAAGATCTAAAGAGAGCCCAGGTCTCGAGGAGCACCTTGAAAGCGAGGACTGCGACGACAATGGCAGCGATAATACATGCAACGATAAGAAGAACCGTCATGAAAGTGTTGGCTTGGGGAACGGAAAGTTCTTCGACGTAGGCTTTGATTCCTGCCACTTTTTCTTCGATAATCGCCGCGGTATCGGTGGTGCCACTAGAACTATCTGTTCCATTGACTGACGTCACAACATCTCGAGCGTACAGGACAGAGCTCGAGAATAATGATCGTCTGGGAGTATCAGTTGATCCATCCGCAAATACCAACGTAGCATTTTTCAAATACGTAACGCTATCCCCAGTCAAATTACCTCCAGTAGCAGCTCGAAAACTATCAATCGATTGCTGCATTGCGGTCCAAGGGATAAGCCCAGTACTGAATCCAAAGTTCTTGGTGAATTGTCGATAAACCGGAGGATACTTGACGGACATCATTCCGTTCATAGCCATGCCTTGAAACCAAGTCATACATTCCATAAACGAAGGACTAGATGCAGCTGTACCTGCTCCACTGGCTCCACTGGCTGCAGCACCGAGTGCAGAAACTCCACCGACCACAGCAGCAGCTCCAGCTACAGCAGCTGCAACATAGGATACGGCAGCGACGGCGGTGGTTTTTCCATTGGTGACATCTGCTTGCACGCAAGCAACCTCGGCTAAAGTATTCAAATCCTTGAGTTCGATCGTAGCTACAGCGGAAATATCGGGTATCGAGAAAGCGATCGCGGGAATCATCGAGGCATATTGATCTGGGACGGCTTGCGTTCCGGAGGCAGCAAAAACTCCCACAGGGACTATGATGAGAGAGTTAGTTTTTGATCGTTTTTCTGATTTGATAAAAGGAGACAAAACTTACCCGGACATAATTGCTGTATAAATGTAGAAGAATCACATGGGTTGAAAGACTTTGAATAGACTGAAATTCCATACGCAGTAACATTGATTTCAGCGCTCACATTTTGAGACCGAGTACTCGTTCCGGCCACATCGAAGGTGATAGTCTTCGCGTCATTATCGTAGGTAACAGCCATCTTCTGCACCGAGATAGTCGAATCGGCTAGACATGACGTGTAGCCTGTTGTCGTGAGGGTTTGGCCTGCGAGAACTCTGCCCGGCAGAGCTCCCAAGAAGATTAAGGAAAGAGTTGAAAAGGTTGAGATTGGCCGTAACATCATGGCGACGGTGTGAATTGGCACTGCGGAAAACCGCCTCTGTATACCGCCTGAAATCCCAAATCTCGTAACTCCAAATGATTCTCTATTCGAAGTCGATATTTATTATATTATAGTGGAATGATATTCCAATTGTATGTTGAGCTGTCTCTATGATTAGGTGTCGAAGGTTTGGGGCCTCGACAGAGAGAGAGTAGGTGGAAAGCTGTGTAACAATAATGTGGCCTAGGGTCTACCTGGAACGAATAGAAGTATGGTCAAAGCTGTAGAAGCTGGTCGTTATTTAACAGGTGCAAATATAATATTCAAGATTGAGGCAAAAGAGCGAGTGTGTGGGAGATTGGAGATAAAATGAGGGTTGGGTGAATATGGCAATGATTTTTGGGTGTATAAAATGTGCGTATTACAGATATGAGTGGGATAAATGATTGTATGAAAAGAGATAAAGTAAAGAGGCAAGAAATGAGCGTGCGTGGTATGAAGACATTAGAATCAAGGGCTAACGGAATAATATCTCTATGCGCAGGGGATGAAGCATGAAGCATTGAGGATCTCTGCTGTCGAGAAAGAAAAAAATGATTATTACTTGAGTCTGGAATCGCCAGGGGTTTCGCCAGGGGATGAGCGGTCCCAGTGGGGCCGTGGGCAAGTTAGACCAAGCAGGAGTAGAAAAGCTTGGGGACCAAGCCGAAACCGACAAGCTTTAGCTCAGGGGTAAAGATTGACTGAGCCACCTTTACTGCTTTCTTCAGGAAACGTCCATGGTTACTTGATAATTATTGGATGGGAGCTTTCTAGAAAGTTATAAAGTCATCCACATCCAGGTACCGTTTCGTGAGTTTGTTGCTACGATTGGTTAAGTGTTAAACGTGGAGACGATGGAGTTCTCCATTAAGTTGTCTTTTCTCGCTTGCGGTCCTTAGTTCGTAACAAGAATAGTAGTTCGAGAGGGACTTACGAAGCTTGGTTGGTTATGATTCGGGGCAAAGAAAGAGGGAGAATACAAATACTAGGTACGTATGCTACCATAATCTTCCATCGCCAAATGGTGATATGAAAATAGAACATGACTCTTTCCTTTATAACGGCTTGAAGTATCGTATCCTTCAGAAATGATGAAGGAATGATACGGTGAGAAAAGAAATCAATTCACAAATATTCGGCAACGTTGAAAATCTCTCACGACAGAAACAGAAAAAGACCCACGAGGGATTATTTCTGGTTTGTGTTTCCCGGACGGAGTATCTGGTGATAACTTGACTCTGGTGCTGGTGCTTTCGAATTCCAAAATCCCTATGGTGATACTGAACATGTCTGATCTTCTTTGCGTTGGCAACGATCATGGTATTATTGGAAGGGAAAAGCCCAGGTCCCCGGGAAAATCCACGAGATTCCAATAATGAGAAACCTGTCCCATCCATTTGTCATGGAATTAAGGTCTACTTCGGACTGGACGAACCAATTTCTTTGTCAAAGTAGAAATAGTGGAGTAGATCATAAAGTCATAGAGAAAGAAGCATGTTCGTAAGATCACAACATACGGAGTATATAACTTGAGATGTTTTGCATAAAGCCTCAGATTATGCTTGGACGATTATCATGCTTCATTTCAGCAGCATCAATGTCGTGTAAATTGCGATCAGGAGTTCATCGGAAAGTGTTACAATACAGTAACACATATGAAGCTCTCTCCATACTCCAGAATCAGCCAAAAAGGAAAAGCAGAAAGATGATAGCGGAAGATATAGATTCATTCATATGTATGTTGTTCTGTCCGAGAAATATAAGTGATCGAAAATGGAAGTCATTTATTTAATGAAGCCGATATCAATGTTAACGTTAACGGCCAAATTTCACCTCAACAGGGATACAGACCACGATTTATATTATCAAATCTAAGGTTACCATTCCTATAAACAACCTGGCTAATAAGCCTGGACAATGGATTTCTTAATAAATTCCGACAGATACGAGCGCCACAATTATTGAAATGTAACGGTGGAATTATCTTATGTAGCATTAACAGGGTCAGTAGGAAAATACATAAGATTCCTACGATGCCACATTGTCAGCTATATACGACCGACTGATTCAACATTCAACGAAATCTGTGAGCATCGGAAAAAGGTTGAGTATATTTATATGTTGGATGATTTCTTTCACATACGACCATAGACTGAGGAGAATTGGGCATCCCGTCCGCTCTGCCATACACAAGCCTCAGATCGGTAGATTAGTAGTTGGGTGGGTGACCACCAGCGAATCCCTACTGTTGTATGTTTCTTTTTTCTTTTTTGGATTTTTTAGTTTTGGCTGCCCAAGTGTTTTTTAACTGTTTCTCCTTTCAAACGGTCTCATTATTTACCATGACTGTTCACCTTTAACGAGATCCGAGCATTTGGCTCGTGGGGGGATACTCAAGCTTCTGCAGATTGTCATACTCTTGGTGAAAATGATGGTCAAAGGATCATTACTTCAATCCTGAACATTAAATCTTAATCTTAAACGTTATATCTTTTATCCTGACTTGTTGCAAGCGACTACTCTTTTTAATCTATAACTAAAATCTCACTATATATACACTTTAAACATGAGTAATCTTGAAGGTGATAAACAATCTACAAATCTACTACAGTATGCATGATTAATGGTCTGTGCTCCCACCAGCACCACACCCCTCGCTTATTCTCAAACCCTCCTCGAAAACTCTTTAAAGATTTTTCACTCTTCACCTTTAGGAACAAAATTTTAATTAACACTCAGTGTCTCAACAAACATCTATCATAGCCTGCCCGGCTAGCTCAATCGGTAGAGCGTGTGACTCTTAATCACAAGGTTGGGGGTTCGACCCCCCCGTTGGGCTCAATTCCCTTCATCCAAATATGAAATTTTGCATTTTTGACCTGCTGGGCTCCACACGCCTTGAAATCTAAACATGCATTTCCTACTTATTATTCTTTCTTTCCCTAACTCATAGTATCCATTACCATTCCTCTAGTGCAGAATGCCCCGCTGGATCCATCTAGCTTTTGTGGATGTTCCCGACACTTTTTCTTTTTCCTTCTCGAGTTTCTCTTCATTCGGCTTTACTATTCGCTCATTGCGCATGCAAAATTTGAAGGCGTGTTGACGCTTAATGTGTTCATTTAAATGTAACATGTATGAAGGACAGATGGCCGAGTGGTTATGGCGTGTGACTCAAGCTCTATGGCTTGGTTGATGTAAAATCAACTAGCATTCTCATGGGCTTAGCCCGCGGGGGTTCGAATCCCCCTCTGTTCACTTATTTTTTGCAATCTTCGAGTAGTGAATTCTTCTTTTAGGGATGTGGGAGTGGGACGATGAGATATTTCTTTTTAAGAAGGTTATGGTTGAGTTTTGGAACAAGCGTTTGTTTGGACATTGATGGATGAGGAGGTAGTGATGTGGTCGGTATGAGTCTTCATGCTTTCTATCACTTGTGTTGTTCGTTTTTAAGACTGTGACAGGCGGATTGGAAGCTCTGCTTTATATGCTTTGACAGTAGAAGATATAGATGAAGTGGTAAGTATTGCTGTTAGTGTTTGCATAGTTGTCTGTTTTTTATGTAAGGCAAAATATATTGTCGATACAATGCACATATAGTTTGAAGTAATCAAGCTTACTTCGGGAAGAATGATCAATATCTCCAAGGAGAGTAAGAAGTGTCAAGGTAACGCGGGGCTATATTACTTGGATAATCGGCATCCCCAGTGATTTATATGTGCAAAGACTATCCAAGTGCTAGAGTAGTGATCCTTTGATCAGTCTCCCCGTTTTAAAAGTACGGCACAATCATTGCATTGTACACAAACATCTAAAAGCATCTATCTATACGGAGACATAATCAAGTGAGTCTTCTAGCCACTCAATATCATCTATCATTAAAATCCATATAAAGTCACAGAGTGAATCACTATTTCCATTCAAATGTTCTCCAATGGTGGGCACGAACAATCTTCGAAGCGGATGAGATGAGGGCAAATTGATCGTCGTTCAAACCATTTGAACTTCTGCAACTCACCACCCAGGAATAGACAACAATCACCAAATATACCATTCTTTACTATACACACATCCAAAGCCCCAGTCAAAACACTGAAACAGCAACAAAGTGAATCCAAAGCGTACTAACATAAGAAAATAAACAACACACAAAGATTTACTGCATAGGTATCCGACGCATCCCCCCCTCTACTATCTCGAACCTCCCAAACCCCTCCCAAAACTTCCATAAATTCCAAACTATTCACTGCCCATCCCATCCTATCCTCATTCCCGTAACCTCATTCCCCAAATAACCTCAACCCCATCCTCCTCACCTCGACAATCCATCCACATCCATATCCTACTCTACCAACCCACCACAAAAACCTAAAATCCAAACTCCAAAACCGAAACAAATACTCAGCCAATACACAATGTGACTCAAATTCTCAATACTCACCACCAAAGACCACCAACCCAACAGTAGACGACTACTTCAACCGCCACCAAAAAAGCATCTTATTGCATACCCACCTATCTTCCTATCTACTTACTACCAACCTCCTACATACAGCAAGCCCCCGATATCCATATCCACCATATTCACGCCCACAAGAACAAAAGAATAAACAACCCCAAAAAGCCAATATAACACCACCACCACCCACCACGACCCAACTTCCCTACCATATTTTCCACTAATACGCCAGCCACACCTTTCAAAAAAAGAAAAAAAAGTCTAGATATTTAGTCTTACAAACGGGGAATCACCACATCTGAGTATACAGTGTTATGGATATATCCTACCTCTATTTATTTAATCATTATTTTCTACTGCGTAATTATATTCAAGTTTCAGGAAATATTAATATGTAAAGACATTTTTGGTATTTTCAATAATGATATTTATGGAAGGCAGTAAGAAAGGAATGAAGGAAGGAGGGAAAGTTGTCACGAATAACAGATTTAGGATGGAATGGTGGGGTAGGAAATTTTGGTATAGATATGACAAGAATAATGATACAGATGTGATGATATACAAGATGACCAGAACACAGTTAACATATCCACCTTATAACCAGAAACATGTATACTTGAATAATTTACTCCTCATCTTCATCCTCATCCCCATCCACCTCCACATAACTCTTCCTCTTAGCCGCAGCTCTACCACTCTGTCTCGCCGGTTTAGCTTTCAAAGCCGGTTTCTTCAATTTATCATGGGCCGATAAATCAGGCATGCTTAAATCATCGTCCTCAATCTCATCCTCATCTTCGTTCGAAACGCTCGCACTAGGCGTTTGAACCTTTCTCGCATTCTTCTTCTTTGCCGGTACGGATGCTGCCTTCTTCTTAGCAGGCGTACTCTTCTTAGAAGAGCCACCAGTTCCCCCTGCAAACCCATCAACCTCCACCTTCTCGTCTACCTTAGCTTGTGCACTCTTGACCAATTCTACCACTTCCAACACATCGTTTAAACACTCTGCCCTCGCCAATTTCTTCTTGACCCCTTCATCAAAAGGCATCTTCTTTCTTTCAGTAATCTTTTTCCTCGCCTCAAAATTTGCAGGTGTAGGATGCTTGAACATCTCCTCTTCTTCATCCCCTTCGGGGCCTTTCTTCTTGATTTCTCGCTTCTTTGGCGTCAGCCATTCTTCCATGCCTAATGGCCAATATACACGGTTATCCTTTCCTCCCATGCCAACTTCTTCCTCAGGTATTATATCCTTAACTGGTTCCTCCTCTTCCTCAATTTCATGACCAAATTCTTCAATCTCTTCATTGATTTGCTTCTTGGTCTTTTTCTTCTTGGGCTTCTTTGGTAAAACGCGATTATCATCGTCTCTCTCATATGGTACAATATCATTAAATCTTTCATATGCCGGTAATTTGAATGTCCTCATTAGTTCAAATACCGCCTGCTCTTTATCCTTCGCTTCAATCATTAAATCCATATCATTTGCACAAGGCGGTAGTGTTGCTGGTCTAGGATTATGCTTTCGTCTCTGACGACCAGTTATGGCCTGGGGAGTCTGTTCGCTATAATGCATTTTCTGCGTCATACCTTTTTTCGTCCATCCAGCTTTAATTCTAGGGAAAAGATTCATGATGTCCTTAGTGCCTTCACGTACTTGACTAGAATCGAACATGATGTTGTGGTGGTGGAAATCGAGGCAAAGAGGAATATTAAGCTCTTCACAGATTGGAAGGAGGTCATGAACAGTCCATGATACATCGTCGTTTTCTAGGACGAGCCGTTGCTTGATGGAAGGTGAAAGCTTAGCATAATTTTCGCGGAAACGATCCAGTGTCGCAGCTTTATCGCCAAATGTACCTCCCATGTGTAAGATCATAACTGCATCTCTATCGATTTGAGCTGGTAGTTGAAGTAGTCCGAGCATTTCATCATGATACTCGAGGTCTCGAACCGCATTTGCAATGACCTCTGGACGTGGCGAACCCAATTGCGTGAACTTTTGCATGCTTGTCAGTGTTTGACTTCCACGACAAAATGTTTTAACTTACTTGTCCAGGATGTGTGCTGACTCGATGTCCCAATTCAGCTACCACTTTCCCAGCTTCCGCAAGAGCTTCGCTAGCAAAAGGGGCAAGCTTATAGCCATGCTCAGCATGACTAGCGAACGGAAACATTTCCGAGCTCAATCTCATGAATTTAATTCCATACTTCTCATTCCATCGGAACATTTTTGGTAGGTCTCGGACATTTGCCAGGCACAATTCTTCGACGTATCGCTGTCCCCGCTCAAAAGAAGCTGGCTTTGATTTATCTGGTCGATTCTTGGTTGCATGCTCAGGCTGCGAAGGATCTTTCAAAGGATGACGATGTTCGAGAATGGAAGCTATACGGCAGGTCCGAGACGTGAAGACAGGAGGGTTCGATGATCTGAGATAGGTATTCAGACATGCCTGGATTTAAAGGTCAGTCGTTTGAAGCTAGTGCAGTGACGTAGAGACTTACATATCCTAGTCTTCCTTTCCATGGCAGAGGTAAATAGTCGCTGTTGACAGGAGGTGGTCTCCTCGCTTCCAGTTTTATAGCATCGGCATCGTCCATCTGCCCTTCCTCATCTCCATCGGGACCAGCCCCATTATCCCATTGATCGCCGTCATCTTCCTTTTTTATTTTCTTCACCGTAGCCTTTTTAGCTGCTTGTTCCGCTACAAAAGCTTTTATTTCATCCGAACCTTTCTTCGCAGCAATTGAGCTCTTCGTCGGTGCTTTCTTCTGTTTCTTAGCAGGTATGGGCGCTGGAAGATCATCATCAATATCTGAAAGTGGCGAATCGCTATCCTCATTCTTGACAGGATTTTTCACACCGTTCTCCTTTGCCGGCGTTGTTTCTACCTTAATTTTCTTCAAGTCAAAAGACTCCCCCGAATCATCAGCATCTGGGCTAGCGCGAAGTGCTGTCTTGCTATCTATAATATCTGCATTGTGCTCGGGGTTTGTATCAGGTTTGCCTCTGCGAGATGACTGTCGCGACGGTCTGGCAGGTGGCGGCTTGGTTGTAGTGGATTGACTCTGAGGGAGGATTTGAGTCGAAGTAACATCGACACTGGGCGTGGTCGCCGCTGAGGATCTCTTTCGTTTAGGTGGCATTCCTAGGGTTTTGACTTGAAAAGTGCCTTGATGAAGTGACAAATTTCTGCGTGCAATGCCAGAGCTGGCTCTTTGAACTAAAAGATATGTAAAGTGTCTGCCGAGGCGCAGCTGAGAAAAATGGGAAATAAACATTCAATATTGGAATTGAGATTGAGAAAGGATATATGAATGAAAATCTCCTACCTTGAAGGTGTATATGTAGCTACCTCTCTCGCATCGAAGGCATAACTTCAATCGGCCATGCACTTAAATCGATAAGCTCATGGCTAGAAGCTCTTTTTTCATGGTCCTAGGTATCTGAATGAGATGCGCGGATCGAAGCTAATAATCATGACGTTGAGAATGGTTTAGCTCCCCGCATCACATGACGAGTCCTTCCTTGCTTCCAAGTTTAAATTTGGATATATTTCGAGTTTCGAATTGCGTTTCAAAGAGATCTATGACTTTGCATAGCAAACTTTTAAGTGAGCACGATGAGAGGCATGATTGGATCCATCCCACTTTGTTTTGAGCATGATTGTCACGTTCCGTCAAGTTCTGTTAAAAACTAATCAATTTGTCAATTTCTGCCCTAGATTCTCCCTAAAAATCTTGCTACAATCCATAAATCTTGGCCAAGAATGGAATCTTCTTATGGAAGATTATATTACTAATTAAAGACCACCACTGCGTATTCAAAAGGAAAGAGAAGAGATGCGGTTAGCAATCATCCTTTTATGTATCGTGAGGTTTGGCCATATAGTTAGATTGCCGCGTTGTGCGCGCGAACAGCGTCCTTTTCATCATTTTGATAATGACCGTGCTGTGTATCAGTGGTCCCATGATGATGATCAGCGTGCTTTGAAGCAAGTGTACCGTCGTTGTGATGAATGTTATCTTCATCAATGACTCCACCAACTTCACCAGCACCACCGACGGGAGCTACAACCTTGAGATTTCCAGCTTCAATGTCCTTCGCTAATTGATCCAATCTCGACTCCTTTGGAAGGGACTGCCATGCGTGCAAACCGCTATTAAAAACGGCGTCCATTTCCTCGAGTGTTCTGCCTTTAGTCTCGGGTGCCGTAAGGAAAATGTGGATAAAAGCAAGTCCGTTGAATGTGGCAAAGATCATGTACATCTTCCAGTTAATGTTCTTCAACAGAGGGGGAACCGCGAAAGCGAGGACGCAATTCCAGAACCAATTGGACGAGGTTGCAAGAGAGACAGCCTTTGCACGAATCTTATTTGGGAAAATTTCGGCTGGGTAGGTCCACGATGATGGTCCCCAGGTTGTTGCAAATGCACAAACGAATAGGTATGTCATAGCGACGATGGCAGATGATACACCTCTCTTATCGTGAACAACCCATGTAAGGTTTTGGTTCTGCTCAGTCCGAGTCCTATCTGTGTTGTTGGGTTCGCCGTAGCCTGCTTGGAGTCCACCAGCAATGAAAAGAAAGCTCATCATGAGAAAGGAACCAATGAGCATGGCCGGGCGACGTCCGAAGCGATCAAGATAGATGATTGCAGGTAAAGTCAACATCACATTTAGAATGTACTGAATTGAGGCGGTGACGAGGGGGTTGGCAATGTTTGCACCCTGCATAATGTCTAAAAGAATCGTTAGTGACATATCCTATCATACCGGTCCTTACTACTCACAGACGACGTAGTACATCATGATGTTCATTCCACAAAGCTGAGACCACATTTGGATAGACATTCCCAAGATAACACGCTTGATCATTCGTGGGGCCACAAGCTGCTTGTAAGAGCTGATAGCTTCCTCGCGTTCGAATCGAAGTGCCTCCTCAATCTCCCGATATTCGGCGAGAACCTTTGGGTGGTTGACATCACCGCCACCATGAAGGTTCGCAATGACCTTAATGGCTTCTTCCCATCTATCCTTGGATGCCAACCATCTAGGAGATTTTGGTAAGAAGAACATGCCAAAGAACAGAATAACTGCTGGAACAATTTGTATACCCCAAGGAATTCGAAATGCAGAAGTGGGTTGGTTCTGTGGAAAAGAGTTTTGTTAGTAAGCTAGCTCTTCCAAAATGACATCGGACTTACTGGATTGTTCGCGCCACCTCCAATTGTCGAAGCACCATATTGAATGAAGTACTGAATGAGAATACCCCATGTAATTGCCCACTGTTGAAGGGAGACAACTCTACCTCTAATTTCTTTTGGTGCAATCTCAGACTGATAGACAGGACAGATCGAAGAAGCAATACCAACACAAATACCAGCAATGACTCGACCAACAACCAACATGGCTACATTGACTGAAGCACACTGAATACTGTACAGACTATTAGTTTCGTTTAGATAGCTGTAAGTAGAAACTTACATTGAGCCAAGAATCCAAATGACTGATGCGATTTGAATACTTGCCCGCCTAGACCATTTATCGGCGATGAAGGAGGAGGACAGAGCACCGATGAGAGATCCAGCAGGCATAGCGCAAGTTATACCTCCTTGACCATAAGACTGAGGATTATTAAAGTATCTAACGTATGCTTGCGTTCCAAGAACACCAGACATACTAGAGATGTCGAAGCCGAAAAGGCCACCGCCTGTAGATATTACTAATTGTTCTTGCCTTCCAATCGAGAGGAACTACTTACCTATTGCGGCGAAGGCGCAAATAACATAAACATTAGTAGTGTACCACATTATGATTGAGTGAACGACTCCTCGATGAAAGTAGTGTTGAAGATGGAAGATATATCAAAATGTAAAGGCGTGTTGTTGTATTGTGTTATGTTGTAAGTTGGATCTTTGAACCTAGACTTTCGAACTCTTAAGTAGCAACGAATTTGAGCCACCTGAGGTGGGGCAGTAGGCAATTTACCAGTCCATATGCTGCCGTATTCACTAAGTCTTTTGCTTGTCCACACGTGCTGATCAAATCCTTAAGTTTGATATTGGGATAATTTGGTGAATGAAAGACCCACGCTCCTACAAATTCGCTAATTCGCTAAAATGCGCCAAAATACGGTATGAGTAGAATTAATTCGCTATAATGTGAAACGGTTCAAGGCGAGGTGCATGATCTAGCTGCATTCATCCATTCGGGTTTGATTACTACATTCATCTGTCCTCGAAGTAAATCTGGGGTAATTCCCCGGCGAAATATTAAAATTTCCGTAGCTTTGCGGTACCTATGCTGCATGAAATTAACATATTAAATTCTGCATGAATACGAGAGCTATCTACATATACAATGCAGCTAACGCAAGTCGTAACAACAAATTTACTTCAAAGGGTTCAAATCATGGTGCTACATGTAAGGCAGCGATGAATGTTAGCATCAAATCGCTACATCGGGAGATGAGATGATTGGCCAAGTAAGCCAATCCTTCCATTCAGACTCTTGTCCCATCACTGCTAAGTCTTCAAACAAACACCGAAGACACACCGCTGCGGCTTAAGCCACTTACACAAATATCTGCCATAGACAATGCGGGGCATGGAAGAGCTTAAGAATATCAAAAATTGATGACGCAAGTGAAAGAACTGTGTCGAGTAGCTAGCCTATGTAATTTCATATTCTGCTTTGTGACACTCAGTGTGATTCCTCATAAAATAGTGTCCATCCAATCATTAGCTGGATTACAAGCTGTGTAACGTGCTCTTTTAATACTTGTTGCAGTCCTCATGACCCATGAAAAAGAACCCGGCAGCTTGTTCTTGGACAAATATCGCGGCGTCTAACAATAAATAACATGCACCAGGTATTTGAATGAGTTTCTATTAACCAATCAACCACAATAAATTCACCTAGCAATTAAAAAATCCTGGCGGAAATAGTGAATCATCCCCATGATAAATTGCATATGCTGGCAAATCCGAAGAAAGCCACAATTGTGAACAAATCTCCAATGCCCTGGTAAGCTGACCAATAATTCTGCGACCAAATACTCGGGTCGGGCTTAAGATTATATTCTGCGTTAAGAGACACTTGCCAATGATAATTTGAACACAAATGACTTTAAGTCTAGAGCGAATGCATCGCATCGTACATATAAGGCTGATACACGCGAGCATCTTAAGGGCGAGGTGACAGTTCCTCAACTATATTTTTTGGTTCCTTCCACGCGAGTGCAACGTATCTGTTATGAATTTGTTTAGTTTGACGACCCGAAATATTTGAAGTGAAGACCGACTTTGTGTGACTTCCTCGCGCTGCTAATTCGCCCTTACTATTCGTGAACTGAATAGACGTATACGCTAACGTCTTTCCGACTAACTTATGTTAGAGATGCGAATTGTAATATTGGTGAAAAATACCCCACATTTGTCACAAGTTACTACCGCTTTCAATACATCTCCAACTTTACCACCAGAATTGAGGTATGTGACTGGACTTGGATTAGATACCGGAATTGGAACTGTATTGCAGGCATAGGACATTTACCATTCAAATCAGTAGAAACACCTGTGGCATAAAGACCTCTTGACGCAACAGCTAGTGAGCCACCTAAGTCCACCATGCTAGCAATCGTACCTCCATGAATGATATTTAAACGGTTCTATATGGAATAAATGAATAAGAGGGCACCATGATTGATACAGCTTCCTTACAGTATGCTCCTTCTTGATATCAAGCTCAAAGTTCACACGTCCTGGCTCTGCTCCTGTGACTCGAAGCTTTTCAAAGTCAGTTTAGAGACTTCAATGATATTCAAATTAATAACAATATGCCATTGCACCTTACATTTTCACCGAAAAGTCTACAGTTGAATGTCAGTCAGGATTTTTGCAAAACCGTTTGCTACGACGATAGCAGCAAGAAACGTTCTAGATTTATCTAGTACAGAGAAGTACAATGTTACATAATGTTGAGGAGGTCCGATGGGCAGCAACCTTTAACTAGTTGTCCTAGATTGATTCAGACACTAGCTGAAAGTCCTTCGCTCAAAATCATAGACGGCTAAACACTTGTGATGGCTCTGATCCGGAGATGTATTATAAGAAGTGACAACCAAAGAATGTATAGAAAACAGTACCTCGGCTCAAGTCCCGACGATTCTTGAAATGACTTCAGAACCTAAGCAAAAGGTAGTGAAATCAGCATCAGTACATTTTTGGTTGTGTGACAGCCACTCACTGATCTCACGAATCTTAGTGCAGCCATATTGGAAGAGTAATGGTGAAGTTGAGATGTGGATATATAGATTAATAAATGTCAATTAGATATTAGATAACTTTACTTCTTTAGATCCGTTTGCTCCCGGACCGATGTTTCCCCGGAGGAAACAAAAGATGGTGGTGGTCCAAGCTCAAAATCTCCACCATCAGGCTACTTACTCCTGCGAGGCTGTAGAACTTCTTGAATTTCTTACCAGCAATGATGAATTCATGATATCTACGGACAATACGAAATAAGTACTTTTAATATGTCTGTCTCAACTCTTGCTTCGTTTGAGTACCTGGAAAGGTTACCAGGTACAACTTTTAGACGACTATATCAACAACCTTCCACTTCTTTGGCCATTTTTAGGCGTATGCTCCCTCATCTTGCCAAAACCTTTGTAATGGCACTACTCTATATGCCGAAGCCTTTACCTCTCACAGCTCTGGATCAATGGGTGCAACCAAAGAGCAAGAGGTCTGGACTCTGGCTTAAGATAATGTTACATGCTAAATTGTTACAGGCAAAAAGATCAAGCCCTATCCTTACTATCGCGACTGCATATTGTCGATATTACTGCGCTGAGCCGAGAAGATCCTCAGACTGTAGCTCTGACTAAAATTTTTGGAACTTCTCTCCGACTGGCACTTACTGGTGGAGGGAATCATCAATCTTTTGGAGTTCCTTCGTCCGGTCACATTGCGCCACACGTTGATATAGATTTCTTGGATGTACATGCTCGAATGCAATGGGAAGGGATCCTACATTATATGGTCAATAGCGTTGCAGCAGGCTCGGGGCAGGAAGGAAGTGGGCCGGCAGGTTCAGTTAAGAAACTACTCGATGCAGGAAAGTTGGTTACAAGAGGGCGAAGTGTGGGTATCACTCAAGCTGGATTCTCATTTTTATTACAAGAAGCGAATGCGCAAGTCTGGACTTTACTTCTTTTATGGATTGAAAATGCCGAGAGTATGGGAATGGATTCCGTTGATGTACTCTCTTTTCTATTCATGCTAGGTTCCCTTGAACTCGGACGTGCATATAGCACCACGACCCTCACAGATGCTCAACACAATATGCTCGGCAACCTCATCGACTTCGGGCTGATTTACCTCCCTCCTTCCGCTCCCACACAATTCTTTCCAACTCGTCTTGCTACGACCCTCACCTCAGACGCCAGCGCTCTTCGTACCGTATCGGCCGGCTTCGACGCCGCTTCCAAATCAGCCGCCAACCAAAAGGGTTTCATAATTATCGAAACTAATTACCGCTTATACGCCTACACAAATTCTCCGCTTCAAATCGCCGTCCTCTCACTCTTTACCAAACTCAACACTCGATACCCCAACATGGTTAGCGGCCGCGTCTCTCGTGATTCCATACGCACTGCCATATCTCACGGTATCACTTCTGATCAAATAATTACCTACTTATCCACCCACGCGCATCCGCAACTCGTCAAAGCCTCTACTGCATCTCATGGAGGACCAGTATTACCACCTACGGTTGTTGATCAAATACGTCTCTGGCAGTTAGAAAATGAGAGAATGAAAGCAGTGCCGGGGTTTTTGTTCAAGGAATTTGACGGGCAAAAGGAGTATGAAGGGTGTGCGAAATATGCCGAAGAAGTAGGAGTATTGGTTTGGAAGAATGATGCGAAGAGGATGTTTTTCGTAACGAGAGTGGAGCAGTTGAGGGATTATATTAAAGCGAGGAAGATAAAATAGGGGCGGAAGGGAGAGGAGTAGAATTTTGACGTTGGGACATTGGGGCGAACTTTCGAATCTAAACTGGCTCAAAGTTGACCCGCTGCGTTTTCATGGATAGACTAGTTGGTGAAAGCTGAAAGCAAGTCGACGGGGTGCATAGCGAGACGACGCAAAGAAATCGGAGATGGCTTAAGCGAGAAGATTTTGAAATCCAAGGTTTACATGGAGAATAAGGATCAATATGGATTGCATCAAAGGGAATGGAGTTATAACGAATAGGCTAGGATAGGATGCATAGCGCGGCGCTTCGGGAGTTAAAATGCTACAGTATTAATGTATCAAATATATATGAATAAGTAAAATACAATTTCTATTCAAGGTATCCATACAATTACAACAACAGCTTGGAAAATTTTGAAGCTGCAGTAGCTTGTTTTATAAAATAAAAGGTCTGTATATATGAACCAAGCATATATATTAGTTTGAAACCCCATCTGAGATGTCCAGTATTACATCCTCCATAAATAACACTATATAGATACATCTAAACCTCAAATCTTAAATCTCAAATTTCAGCCCAAAATCAAAATCATATTAAAACAACAAAACCACTTATTTGTCAATCCATCCAATCAACCAACCAACCAACCATCCAAACAATATCTATCTAATACCACACCACCAAACCACCTCCTCCAAACCCCCTTCCACAAATATAAAATTACCCGCCAAAATCTACTCTTAAAGAACCTAGAGAACCATCACAATATCATAATCATAATCATAATCCTAAAATTGTATCATCGTAAACTACCGCTAGATATTCCATGTATCATTTCAGGGCCTAGAAACCCGCCTGCCCGCCCGCCATCCAACCATTTATTTAGCCATCCGCCCGCCCATTCACCTGTCCATACATCCATCCACCCATCATCCATTAACCAATTATCGAAAAGATCCATAAGTAGCATCATCAACAAATCCGAAAAGTTGTAAAAACATCAAAATAAAAAAGAACGAAGAGTGAAGCAATCAAAAAGCTGTACGTAACCAAACTAGTGTATCTTCGAACCGAGGAAAAAGCGTAAACTTGCTGCTGTAGATATCATCGTATAACTCATTGTCCAATATCCCTCCCATGAAATCCCTCTTCATGTCAAATAAAGTCTAAAAGGTATGCTATCATAAAGCTCACAGGAAATAGAAAAAGAAGTACAGCTTCCGCCCGCGTGGAAACCCGTAAGCTCAATCCGATCCAACCACGAATTCCTATGTGATCAACGCCATTTATTAACCCATTTCGGCTCATTATGCGCTTGACGTAAAGAACGAAATGTTTTGATTTTCAAATGGTAGGAATTAAGTAAGAGTAGCCAACATGGCTCTAACCAATTTTGGTGGAGGTGCTGTGAAGAACAAGCTGGTTAGCCTCATTCACAAAAACCACCCATCCCAATGCCAGGTGACCCACCTCAATCAGGCAAGACACCTAACGATAGGCATGCTTGGGAACACTGATGCTCATCCTACCTTTTCGGTCCTTTTCGATCCTGACACCTCCTTCAGGCTCCACGATTCTCTCCCTTCTCACAATGGTCACATCTCTTCCATCGTGAATCTCATCTTCGTAAAGTACCAACTGGCTGTCACTGTGTCGGGCACCTTCACGACGAAGACGCTCCGCGCGACGTAACTCTCGATTAGCCCGTCGATCCGCTTTGAGGGCTTCCTTCTCTGCCTCGAGCGCTTTGATTTCAGCTCGAATTGAACGTTCATCTTTACGATGACTATGGGAGCGTGATACGGTCATCGCACCAATAGGCTCTATGCGTTCAATGATTTCACGCTTTTCGTAAAATACACTCTCTTCATCTCGCGATCGAGGGCGTCCTTCCAGTATGACAGGGTCATGATGGTGGTGAGTGTGGTGGCTATGGTGGCTATGGTGTGAGTATGTGCTTCTTGCTGGAGATGGAGAACGCTCCACTATCCTAGTGGTTTCGTGAATCTCAAGGTTTTGTTGAGGGGGCGGTGGTGGTGCATATATAACTGGTGGAGGTGGTGGTGCGTACACAACCGATGGAGGAGGTGGTGCCCATTGAACTGGCGCTGGCGCCTGCGGAGGTTGAGGTGCATAGTGCACTGGCTCTGGTGGTGGAGGCGCATAGTGTACTGGCTCTTGTGGAGGTGGAGGCGCATAGTGTACTGATGGAGGTGGCGGAGGAGCGTGGTGTATTATTGATGGAGGTGGCGGGATATTGAAGACCTCAGTACGTTCTTCGATTATGGTCCCAGCTTCTGATCGGCCACCGGACATTTCGAGTTCTGGACCAACGAGGTATGTTGTTAGAGTTGTCTCTACCTCTTTCGTCTCCTTGACATTTTTTTCTTTTGTAGAATGGGGTTAGGGGCATTTTGATGCAGCGATCAAAAGGGAAATGAAAAACAAATACTTACTCTCAGCTGTTTTATATTGTTCACTTAGTTTGATAACTTCATCGATATTCTCTCTTCCAAGTGCCTTTTGAATGATGATAGTATCACCCTGTTAAATCAGTATAAGTTGCTTAGTGGATGAATGTTGCATTGCTCACCTCTTCTTCGAAAGGGTAGTCTAAATCAATGATAGCTTTCTTGCTGACCAGTCTAGCTGGCATTCTTGTCTTTCCCTTCTTAGGAAACTCACTTCTCACTGATATGGTGGTACCACTATCTGACGAGCTAGCACTCTCGCTTCGAACACTTCTTGTAGCGGTTGAACGACTTTCCTTGCTGTGACTTCTATGGCTTCGCCTTTCGTGACTTCTTCTCCTTCGTCTAACAATTTCCCTTTCTCTGATTATTTCGGGGTAAGCTCGGTAGTCCTCATCGCCATAGAAGTCCGGTTCCGCAACCTTGATGTCCTCGTAATCTCTTTCGGCATATCTTCTAGGTGGTGGTAATCCTCTCCCCCTTGGCAGTGAAACAGGTGTCAAAGGAGGCGGTCTTAGATCGGGACGTCTGGCAGGAGGACCGTATTCATCCCTCTCCATCTCCCTTTCTCTCTCGTATCGCACCAACGGCTTGCGGTCAAAGGTATCAAGGGAGCTCTGTCTTCTCAAAAATGCCGGTCTGCCGCCAGCTCTTCGAGGCGGAGACTCATCTCTTTCCCTCTCTCGTTCTCTCTCCATTGTAATGGTTGTAGGTCTTTTTCTTCCTGGTTCTGGTTCTGGTTCTCGTTGAAATCTTGGTGAATCGTAATAATCTCGTTCTTCATAATGTTCACGTTCCTCTTCATATCCTCGTGGACCTCGACGTTCATAGACATCATCATAAGATCGTTCTCGTGTATGACCAGCTGTAGCTCGAAGAAATCGTGAATCTCGCTCTTCTCGTTCTGTAGCAAAACGAACTCGGTCGCGCTCCGAAACAAGTCGCTCAGTATCCCAACGGTTAGCCCCGCCGCCACGGCCGCTGCCGCCATAATTGCTAAGGGCTTCCGAGGAACTACGATAAGGATCTCCCATTCTAGACATGATGAGCTAAATTTTGATTTTCAAAAATCCGATGAAACTGTCTAGAGATGGTGGTGTTTTTTTCTCTTCAAATTGTGAAAAGATTTGAAGAGTTGTGCTCAGCTGAGAAAAATAGATGTCTTATGCGAAACGACTCAGTTGATGCAATGTGAACCTCGTACCCCGCTTAAGTGATCAATAACGTGGTGGGCGTACGAATTACGATCAACCCAAGCAACAAGCAAGTGCGAATCGATCCAAAAGACGTTTGATTTCCGGCGATGAAATATTGTTAAAATTTTCACGGTTAGAAAATAATAAGGAGGCTGGAATGTAATATAACAGCAATAATAAACTTCACAAAGTTCGAGACTTCTTATTATTACTCGGTATTGAGGTCCTTTCGAAAAAGGGAAAACGGTGGTGGATATTATTTCGAGGATCTTGGGTTTTGTGAGTGAGACTGAGAGACGAGAAGACAGGGCATAGAAGCAGGCTTCATCAAGAACAGGTTAAGGTGACGAAGGGTTCAAGGATTCGCTCATGGTTTAACTTTCGCTAAGTAAGCTCATTGGGCTAGAGAGTAAAATTCCCATATGCAGTTTTGCTGCCCAAAGAAATCATTACACGTGAAAACTTTCTCACTCCACCAACATTGGACCCTTCCCGTTGACTTTGGTCCATCGTTAGAAATCGTTAGAAAGCTTCAAGCACGTTGATGGAGTTGATGGAGTTTATGGAGTTTATGTGCTTTGCTGGTCTTGCACCGGTCTATTGATTTTCTACTTCGGCAAGGTACCTGGGATCCATTCTCTGCATTCTCTGAGTGACATTAAGTGGACTTTCCGACTCTTTTACTCATCCGATTCATTCATCTTACCTTTTCCCATTCCCATTGCAGTTTGATTGGATTGTTGGCAACGTTGTCGGCAGTGATCGAGAAGACACTAGGTATTACCGGCGAGAGTGGCTTCACAGGGCACAGGGCTTTGGCTTGGGGTCTGGGTGCTTTCTCTCAACGCCCCATATAAAAGATTTCCAGGCTTGGGTGACGTAGATGGCGATTAGATTAATTTCTTGTGGCCGAGTATCGTACTTATCGATGCCGTGTACCAGTCAGTCCCTGAACCTGGCAAGATTCTGAGATGAACATTGAGGATGGGTATTGATAAGGAAGGCTTGTTGTGGTATGATTGTTGTACATTATTAGATGAAAGTAAAACTCCAATCTATTTGTGATTATTCAACGCCCAAAGACTCGAGCTCGTAGCTACCATATCTTTCATTGAATCCTCGAGTCTCCGATGTCCCGAACTGCTTAGGTATTGTAGTTTCATGAAAACGTTGCTATCCGGCCCGCTCCACCACGCTACGATGGAAACAAATTGAAAGGATGCGAACTCTAGCTCATTCCGAGTCTATTCATATGGCTATTTCGACGATACATCGAGAAGAACCATTGTCGATTGAAGTTGATCATGGCTTATGTGTCGCATACAAATACTTAAGAGTCTCCAAAGATTTTGAAAGCCACAAACGAAGTATCAAAGATTTTCCCGAGAGTGTTGAGGATATCTTCTTGTACAATTGGCCTGCGAACCTAGTCTTTAGTTGATCTCTGGCAACCGCTGGTTCGGTTCGTCAAATCCTCAGTACGAGTTCAACGTCTCTTATGGATACATATAAGTATTACATCTCGAAGAGAACCTGATGATAGCGACCTGCATCTCATCATCTTCAGCCGACAAAAGGACGAATAATCGAAACATATCATTGTTGCAGAGTAAGAACCATACCTACGCTTCGCAAGTTTTGAAACTCAGGAATAACATACTTGAATATCTAACAGAGAATTATCAACTTCATGATTGCGAATGCAAATGCTTGGGGATTAATTTGAGGAACGAGAGAGCATCGCAGTAATTCTTTCACGTTTTTTATCAAACATTTAAATTGAAAACCATGTTAAGACCTACACTCAATTCGAATGTTATTTCACTGAAATATGCTTAAGGCGCTCCCGAGACGTGGTCAGAGACATGATGTGTTGTGTCGGAATTTAGACAGCTTTTCGAATCGTCTACCTGTGAAAAGATTTTTTGTCATCGCATTTAAAATCAAACAGCTTTACTAAGGATTTACTGATGTGCTTTTATTGTCGCTACCAAACTTTCAACGTCCTTTTATACATCATCTCAAAACCCTTCAGAACATTCATTAGCTGTGCATCTTCGACTGGCCTCCCTATTCGACTTCTGCAATACAGTTTCGCGTACTTCCGCATATTATTTATCATTGCAAGTTCTTCCGCTTTTCCAATCACCCGAAATCGCCGGTTCTAATAAAGTTCTCCACTAGGGTAAATAGACACTCATAACATTATTGGAGAGCTTCTACCACGGCGCCGGCGGCTTTTCGATCTTCCCCGCATGCAAAATACATCGTGGAGAAGTTTAACTTCCAACCGGCAGCGGAACAAAATGTTCCGTCTGCAATCCGGAATAGAGAACACCATTTGCATACGATTTATACTTTGGAAACGGTTAATTGTAGAGTTACTGTTGTGTGGCGGGGGATATCTTCTGACATGGTCTGAATTTGTTTATATCTACCCCATAGACATGGCTAGATGTATTATACTCCTGTCAGTGGGGAACGACCTTTAAAGAGGTGACTATTTGAACCTGTTCATATATATATATTGTTTCTCTCTGGTATCTTCTATCAAAACTTCTGACTATCAGCATTAAAATCATACACCTTCCGTCAACATCTGTGAAAATGGTCTCATCACGCTTCACCACTGTGCTTGCTGCCACATCTCTTCTGGCTTCTGTCCAAGGAGCGCCACTCAACCAGGATACTCAGAAGCAATGCAAAGCGACCTCGAATTGGCCAGGTTGGAACAAAATCCAATATGCATTTACATTGTGAGAACTGCAGCACTAAATAATGTTCGGATGCATTTACTGATTATATTAGTGGGGATTCATACTCAGCGAGCGGATTTCAGACGAACGGCACTCAGCCAACACCCACTAATCCCCTTGGAAATCCTACATATCCAGGTTAAAACACCCTCAACTTACATCTAGCTAGCTCTAATTCTGATTAGGATATACTGCTACCAATGGCCAAAATTGGGTTGACTTTTTGACTGTCAAATACAACAAGTCTACAGTCTTGACGTATAATTTGGCGTATGGAGGAGCCACGATCAACTCTGATCTTGTCGCTCCTTATGAACCACAAGTCTCCTCTGTCGCCGAGCAAATCGAGAATGAATTCTTTCCCGCTTACGCAGGAAAACCAGACGTAGCTCCATGGTCATCTGGAAATACTCTCTTCGCTATCTTTGATGGTATTAACGATGTTGGAAATTCGTATTACCTTGGAGCTTCAGCAACTGCAAACCTTAATGAAAGAATAATGGCCGTTTACCATGGTCTGGTAGATGAACTCTACTACATCGGCGCTCGAAATTTTGCATTCCTCAATGTCCCACCCGTTGACAGAAGTCCGTTGGCAATTTCTGGCGGAGCAACATACCAAGCTGAAGAAAAGCTTGACATTGCTGATTGGAATAATCGTCTTGCGGAACTTGCTCAAAGTCTGAAGAGGACTTTCTCGGATGTTAACGTATTCACAGTTGATGCCAATACTCTGTTCACCCGAGTATTAGACAATCCAAAGAGTTTTCCCCAGACTTCTGTCTATCAGAATACTACCGCGTATTGTGTTGCTTATGAGAAGTAAGTTTCCCCGTTTTCCGCTCCATTACTGGGGTCGGTTTTGGCTTGCTAATAAAATAATTGTAGTGGTACACCGACACCAAATTATACTGATCCATCTTGTTACATCCCAGTCAACGAGTATTTCTGGTTGAATTCGTTGCATCCTACTTACCCAATGCATGATGTTCTTGCCCAGGAAGTTGCGAAGGTCTTACAATCGGGTCCAAATGTTTGTTAGCAAACACTTTGCGTAGCGAGTGTTGACCTTTGAATATATACAAGATTGCAATATCTGCTACCCATCTTGACCAAGGTAAAATGCTCTGCATCTCACCTCTCGAATGTGACTCTTATTTGCATGCCGCTTGATTGATCTGTAAGAGACTTCGACAAATACCGTATTCCTCATTCCTCGCATGTAATCTTCCTCTTCCGCTAAGTGCCCTCGGCCATTGATGCTAGTCATAAATCGATTGTAGGAGGACACGATGTGACACTTTGCGAGATATTCCCAACGATCGACCAAGTCCAAAGCTCTCCCGAAATCGCATCTTGATTTACATAACAAACTTTCCAAAACAATCAAATGAATTTCCCTTCCCTATCATCACTTTCCTATTCCTCATCCACATCACACGAAGTCTTCCGGAAATTAATCCCTAATTCGTATCTCTCAATTCGAGGGACTTCATAGTCACGTGAATCGGGATTCTATGTCTAGATTAGGTCTAGAAAGTCCCTATCTCAATCCTTATCGTAACCCTCTCTCCACTTTTCACACGGCGTTAGAACAGCTATCAAAGACATCGACCATGTTATTGGAAGAGCTAGGATTTGTTCATGCATATCCAGCCATACGATAACCTTCACAATACTCTTTTAGAAATGGAATAGAATACCCTTTGAGAAAAGTTGCTTGAATTGAGTTGTCGTGTCTTGACCCGATTGATACAGAGAGTCCGGCTTACGCACAGGTACCTGACATTCGGTGGAGATACTCGATGAAGATATATAGTTGACGCTGGAAGTTTCCCAATTACCTTTGTTTCTGTATATCGTTCCTATTGTTCTTTCTCTTGTAAAAGCATCATTTTAGTCTGAGATTCTACCAAGGAAGTTCACGATTTCAATTGCATATCTCACTGTACATTTTTCCTTCAAGTGACTGTTGCAATTCGTCACAATGGCTAATAACAGACTTCAATCACTCGCACATCACTTCTCTGCTACTTCTCCTCCACCACATCCATTCGATCCTCTCTCCAATGCAGAAATTGAGAAAGCTGTTCAGACCATCCGAGCTGAAAAGGGATCTGTTCATTACAATGCCATCACACTTTATGAACCCCGAAAGAAGGAGATGATGAAATGGCTTGAAAGTCCAGAGGTTGTTCCAAGACCAAGGAGAATAGCAGATGTGGTGGTGATTGCGCCAGGTGGTAAGGTCTATGATGGTTTGGTTGATTTGGCAGAGGGAAAGGTGGTGAAATGGGAACATATTGATGGTGTACAACCTTTGGTATGTGTATAATCCATGCTAGAATCTTGTGCAATATACTTGCGACATTAAAGCTAACAGAAAATCCAGATTACCATGGAAGATCTTCAAATTGTTGAGCATGTTGTTCGAAAAGACCCGAAGGTAATCGAGCAATGTATTTTGAGTGGTATTCCAGCGGAGGATATGCACAAAGTGTATTGCGATCGTAAGTCTCATATCTACCTCGTTTACTCCCCTTATTCTAAGCGATTATAGCATGGACCATTGGTTACGACCACCGATTCGGTAATAACGTTCGTCTACAACAAGCGCTTATGTACTATCGACCTCACATGGATGATTCTCAATACTCCTTCCCTCTCGATTTCTGTCCTATTTACGATGCAGAAAAACAACAGATCATCCACATTGATATCCCAGAAGTCCGAAGACCAGTCAGCAAGGCAGCACCAAACAACTATCACCCAGCAAGCATAGAAAAGGAAGGGGGATACAGAAAAGATATCACACCAATCAATATTACACAACCAGCTGGTGTATCGTTCAAGGTTGAGGGTCGTGAGATTAATTGGCAAAACTGGAACTTCCATGTTGGATTCAATTACAAGGAAGGAATTGTCCTCAACAATATTACATACAACGATAAGGGAACCGTTAGACCAGTATTCTACAGACTTTCTCTCGTAGAGATGGTCGTTCCTTACGGTAACCCTGAACATCCTCATCAACGCAAACACGCTTTCGATCTTGGTGAATATGGAGGAGGATACATGACTAACAGTCTCTCCCTCGGCTGTGACTGCAAAGGTGCAATTCATTACATGGTACAGTTTTCCCATTTCAACGGATACTTGGAATTGTTTTTAACATAGATCAAATTAGGACGCTGCCTTTGTAAACCGTGCCGGTGAAAGTACCACCATCAAAAATGCCATCTGCATTCACGAAGAAGATGCCGGCATCCTCTTCAAGCACACCGATTTCCGCGATGATTCCGTCATTGTAACCCGTGGCCGTAAACTCATCGTCTCCCACATCTTCACAGCCGCCAACTACGAATACTGCGTATACTGGATCTTCCACCAAGACGGTACCATCCAACTCGAAATAAAACTCACCGGTATCTTAAACACCTATTCCATGAACCCAGGCGAAGACACCAAAGGCTGGGGAACCGAAGTCTACCCTGGCGTCAACGCACACAATCATCAACATCTCTTCTGTCTACGTATCGACTCCAACATCGACGGACCGAACAACACCGTCTTCCAAGCCGACGCCATGCCCGGCGCCGGCGCCGTCGGATCCGCCGAAAACCTCCACGGAAACGCCTTCTTCGCCCAAAAAACCGAATACAAAACCGTCAACGAATCAATCAGCGACTACGACGGCATCACCTCACGCACATGGGAAATGGCCAACCCCAACAAACTAAACCCGTACTCCCACAAACCCGTCTCCTACAAACTAGTCAGTCGAGAAGTCCCCAAGCTCCTCCCCAAAGAAGGCTCTCTCGTCTGGAAACGCGCCGGCTTCGCCCGCCACGCCGTCCACGTAACTCCATACTCAGACGACCAACTACACCCCGCCGGCCGACACGTACCTCAAACTTCCGGCGAGCCCAGCGCCGGTCTTCCAGAATGGATCGCGAACGGCGAGGCGAATATTCAAAATACCGATATTGTTCTCTGGCATACTTTTGGCATTACGCATTTTCCCAGCCCGGAAGATTTCCCCATCATGCCTGCCGAACCTATGACGTTGTTGTTGAGGCCGCGTAATTTCTTTATTAAGAATCCCGCGTTGGATGTGCCGCCTTCGTATTGTAGTACGCCGAGTAGTGTGGCCGCTAGTAAGGATGGTGCCTTGAAGAGTGTGTTGAATTTGACAGATGGGGAGAGTAGGTTGGTTGATGGAAAGAAATGTTGTGCGTGAGTGGTGGTAATTTAAATGAAGATGGATCTGGATCTGGATATGGATGAATGCGAGGGCTTTTTATCTATTCTATATTGTATATAAGGATTTGCTTTGGGGGGTTTTTGGGAATACTATTTTTATCATTTTTGTCTATGTTATTTGATTTCTCTACATTCGCCTGGCGTGCATGATGTAGCTTTTCGCTTCGTCTCGTGCAATTTTTCCTTTGGCAAAATATGAAACTGTATTTTACATGTTCAAACGTTTATAATTACTACTGCTGATGATCTTCCCGTTCTCCTCTCTCGGATATCGGAATAATCAACTGTAGCTACTATATACACAATGCCTTGGTGTCCATTTTCTCGCCTCATCTTATTGTATCTGTGTTGAGCCATTTCGTAGCGTGTCATAAGGTTGTCATAAAATCGTATTGTCGTATCTCATTCCGTTGCATCGTATCTTAGTGTATTGTATTGCATCTCTCATAACCATTGCACCCAGTCGGAAAACCTTACGCATTGAATTCCTCCTATATCTATTCGTATTGGTAAGTCCAATATCGTTCGTTCCATCAATATGCAAGTACCTTCCACCACCCCCGCAGCCGAAATAGTAAGTATGTTAATACTCCAATATGTCAATCCTTGCTCTTACTACATCCAATCTTCGATCCATAAATTAGATAGAATAATCAGTGATCCTCCCCAACACTTCTACCACCTCTCCTGAGACCGAAAGCACTTCGCTTTCCCATTCCAGTTCCTCGTCCATTCGTGAGACTTTTGTTTCCACTGACACCATCACTAATGACCCTTCCCATTCTTCCAAAGAATCCCTTATCATCAGGATCATTTTTAGGCATCAAAGCTTTATTCTTCAATGCAGTGGCATATTGAATTTGCCATTCCCGAAGGCTTTTCTTGGCTGGGCTTGTACAGCACAATGATGCAAGAAATATCATGACTTTCTGAGCTCTTTTGTCAAAATCTTCAAGAAAAAGTGCTGGAGTTGAAAAGGTGAGAACAGTCTTGTATGATTTTGCTTGGGTCTTCTTGAAGGACTTGTCTAGGAGTGGGGCAGGTGAATCAGACTTAGATGGAGAACTAGTCCCTAGGAGGCCCTTACCACCGCGCTTATAGTGAGCCGATGGCTTTTCCCGTTTGATATCGCTGTCTCGTGGGGCGGGAAGAGGATTCATAACACAAACATGAAAATCATCACTCTGGTATCTGTCGGAGACAGCTTGAAATCTACCGCACCAATAAGCAGAAGGTTGGGCGGTATGAACTTGGAGAGTATTCGTAGTAAATTCTGGGATAGGAGAGTATTTTGTTGTTGAAATAGTGGGTTCGGCAGCACGAATTGGATTCGAAGTTGACCGATTGCTATTGAGCCACTGAATAGAAGATGAGTTCTTGAGTGTAGAGAAGACGCCAAATGTCTTTGACTTGGGAAAAGAAGCAGATCCTACTTTTGGTTCTGGAGTAATTTCTGGCACTTTAAAAGCGATGTGATTAGGTCCTGGAGGAGATGTTCTACCTGTATGAATTTGTGGCAGTGCCTCAACTGGTGAAATATATTTTCTGCGTGCCCGACTTTCCTCCCCTTTCTCTATAGCACGTCTCATGGGGGAGTGTAGATGACGACGGCTGGCGGGTCTGAACTTGGGTCCTGATTCTAACGTGGGACTTGGAATCCTTGAGGATTCGCGCTCAGCTTTTCTTTGGCTTCGAGAACGCGGTTGGCTGATGTCAGTACTGGAAGCAGACGCTGTCAAGGACGAGCTAGCAACGGTAGGGTTGCTATATAATGGATGAGGATAGCAATTGTTAGCGTTCGCAGATCCACGACGGCCGTGCAAAACTCTTTCATGCAGCTCACTTCTTGGAGCAAACGGAACCGGGGGGGTATTTTCATTCGAGACCGACAACTTGTTTATGTTTGGAGATGAAGCTGAATATGACAAATTACCGAATTGGCTACGTTTCGAGGAAGCGGGAGCTGAAGACTTTTTAGCAGAAGGCTCTGAAGACTCTAGGAACTCTATATCCTGAGCTGTTAAGTCGGGTGGAAAATGACGTTTTTGATAGACAGTGTCTTTTGCATTATCGATGCGTCGAAGCGAGGATAGATTTGAGCCTGGCGGAGTTGGGATGATCCTACGTGCGGCAGAAGCTGTGGTTTGTGCCGTATAATGAGAACGCAAAGGTGGACCAGCTCGGTTTGGTGAAGGGGCACCTTTTGTGTTGTTTACCCGTGTACGTGAGGATGAAGTTGGGCCCCTGGGTTGGCTCTCCAGACGAGTGCGAGGGGACAAGGTTGGAATAGGTGAATTATTGGCATGTGCCCGTAGGGCTGACACCGGGCCAGGTAAATTGCTGACATTGTGAGGAGAGGAAGCTGTGCCACGAAAGGTTGGAGAATCAGGAACCGTCCTCTTGACAAGAACTGGAGAGGTTTCTACTGGCCAGGGTGTGTTTTGGCCAATGATTGATCCCCGCTCGTACGTATAATAAGTCCGCTTCGATGAGGTATAGTGAGTATCACCTTCTGCCAAGAGAATCGATGGAAGAGCGGGAATGCGACGATTATAATTGGCCATGTTTGGTAATTTGCTCTATACAACAACAACAAAGGCGTTAGCATGTAAGTTTCAAAACGTGCATAATGTGATAAGAAATTATCTCAGCTATCTCAAATTTGCATGGAAGTCATTTTTAGAAGTGTTTATTGACTGGGTATGGAGCAGCCAAATGCAATACAAACATGGAACCAGATAACCTCGATGGTTGTGAAAGTTTTATCCAACTCCCGCTTTCTTAATATTGATCTTCTCCAGACAATTGAAAATGAAAAGTCGATCTTACCACGATTCTCCGCTTCTCTCCCGTTTCAAGAGATTAAAGACACTTCAGAGCCTCTTTTATCGAATCGCAAGTCCTATTCCAGAATATGGCTGTGCTTTGATCGAGCAAGCAACAATTGAAGATAGAAGCAAGAAGGAAATGACAAAGATGGGAAGTATTGAAAAGTTTTTCGGGACTTTGACAGGTGAATAAAATTTTGTCCCAAAAGACGTTATCATATCCTCGCCGTTGCCTGATGCCGAAACATCTGTGATTGGGAAAAGTTCAAACTCGAAAAACCTGATATCATTCATGAAAAAGAATGTAGGACTTAGACTATCATTGGGAAGACTGATTGAAATAAAAATAAGATAGGAAGGAAGTATTACACTTCCGTGAAATTTATCCAAATCTACCAATAAGGAAAGACTACGGCAGGAGCTTTCTTACAATGTGACTGCCATTGTCATATATCTATACACTGATGATGAAGTTACCAACACATCACTCACTTAGCTAATATATTAATTCAATTCGAAGAATTAGGATAACCTTTAAGGACTTGAATGAAATTTACAGGATAGTTTTTAAAGAATTGGACAGATAACCTTCAGGAGTGTATATATATATATGTACTGACCGAGTCACCAATGCTGCTTTATATTTATGCCCTTGGCACTTGGAATTAATTAGTTGACTTAATCATTATTGTATTTGTGGTCTGTTATCCTATTAGCAAGCTATAGCACTGCATGCGGGTATACTTCATTTCCCTTCATTTCCCCCTTCCCCATTCCATCCTTCGATATCGAACTCGAACCTCATATCAGCTTGACCTCTTTCTAATGGATTGCCTTCTTCGTCAAACAGCGACCGCTCTATAAACGTAACATGTCCTTCCCAATTTACGAGTATGATGGTTTGTCTTTGGGTACCATAAACGCCAGATACGATGTTATTATTCTCAGGCTTTGGTCTCTGCTCCTCCTTAAATTTAATCTGCTCTTCTGCCACTTCAACCCGTGAATCTCCGCGTGGTGATGATGCCCTTCCGACAGCAGCTGCGATTTCATCTGCATTTGGAATTTCCGAAGGTGACGCTGCATGGCCGATGGTAGGTATAAAGATCGACTTTCGAAGTTGATAGATATACTCCTCGAAATCTTGACTGTCATCTTGCTTAGGAAGTGTATCAATGTCCAGAACGGCGTACAATTTCTCAACTAGTTCCTCTTCCCCTAGGCCATTTTGTACCACTTCTTCCACAACCTCCAGCACCTTTTCCTTGCCAGACTTGATTTTGGGCCAAGTAATAGGATCATTGTAGGAAGTATTGCTTAAGCCATAAACCTCCCCTCTTCTCGCCGCTACCCAGGGCACTTGGTCTGGAGCTCCACTTCTATTTGAGATGATTGCCAGAGGCTCCATTTGGTTATCAGAGGATCTTTCTTTCCGCAATTTTCCGCAAACCAACGAGAACCCACCAACACCTTTTACCCCGTCACCTTCTAATAGCCTGTGTACAAATTGCTGGGTGCTCTCATCGTTATCTGCCGTTAACCAAGCCGTGACCATACCGCCACGACTCCTGGTCCCTTGTACAGGATGATCTTTATCGTGGGTATCTGTTTCTCGATAATTCGTAAGGACCGCAAAATTCCCTGTCTTTGTAATCCCTAACCATGTTCCTTGCTCGGCGCGTTGTAGGTCCCGACTTGACAGGATTTCTTGGTGATGGGAAGACCACCAATGTGGTTTGCTTGTCGGTCGAAGAATGAACTCATCTCGATTGTCAAGAATTATAAGTGCATAGGATGGATGTGCGGTAGTTGCCAGGACAATACACATACTGGCGGCTGTGATAGGTATGGAGTGTAGATAATGTAGGTGATATTGAAGAATGTTGGAGATGGCACCTGCGAAAGTTTAGTGGAAAAAGAAAATTAACCTAACCTACCAGAAGGCACGACCCCTTTCTTATACGAAGCTATAGGACTTCTGGGAGATTCTGTTGGGAGGTGCAAAATTGAAGAACCTCAGCGCATATAATTTGGCGCGAATAATATCAGCCCATCAAGCTCATCAATTCATACAGATGCTTTTCTGGGCGGTTGGACAGCAGACAGCAGATATACGGAACGGGGTTATGCAGATTTACCCCATGATCTGTCAGGTCAGTTCTTCAAGTTAGTAGTTAGTCATTCTCGGGCGGCTCCATGTTTCCGTAGTGGGGGACCTCACTGACTATGGCTGGCTATGCTTACTCCGCACTGCTGCACCCACCTAGCTCTTACCTCTGTGGGTCGGGCACTGCACTGTTGCACTCCCTACAAGCAAAACTTACAAGGCTGCGGTTGTATTTGGTAGCCCTGCATTCCCGCACAAAGCTGCATAGGGCATCGATCCAACAAGTGTCAGTATTTTGCCTATGAAGTTCATCACATCACTGTTTCCATTCATATCAAGGAATACACAATCCCATGGTGATTCCGTTCCTATAACCCGTAGCATGTCTTAGGCTATTTCGGCTATCAAATATGGGCACCTGATACCCCGTAATAATAAGAAACACGCTAAAGCCTTCTAACCTCAAAGGAATCCTAGAGCTTGACCGGTAGATCAGCATCATCGCTAATACATCTGTATCTCCATCTCCGTTCCATCTCCATCGCTTCACCAACCTACACATATCACATATCTACACATTCACCGTCTGTACTCCAAGACTATACCTTTTCCACTATCAGACTCGACTTCGTGTATTACCTAGTATACCTAGGTAACCTTTCCAGCTTTACAAGAGGCAAACCTCTTTGACGAACCAAAGTGATCATGTTCGACACATTCGCAAGGCTCTTATCGTGAGTATACCCCGCCTTCAATGGAAGTGTTGATACAGAGGAACGATACATCCTAGAACTGTACTAAAATTCTTCAGTTCTATTCCTACCTTTCTTTTTCCAGTTTTCGCGTCCTACAAAGCTCTAAAGACCTCGGATCCAGCATTATTAACACCATGGCTTATGTATTGGGTGGTTCTTGCGATTGCTTTGTTCGCTGAATCTTGGGTCGGATTCATACTAGTTTGGTTTGCTGACGTCTCGTTCTCTTGAACTACCCATGAAAGATTCTAACAATTTGCTTCGACTCAGGATCCCTTTTTATTCCTGGTTTCGCCTCGGTTTCCTCCTCTACCTTATCCTTCCTCAAACTCAAGGCGCAAGGGTCCTCTACCAAACACATGTCCATCCATGGCTTCACAATAATGAGCTCGCTATTGACGATTTAATAGCCTCCGCTCATGAACGTGCGAAAGCGGCAGGTGTGACATATCTCAATCAAGCAATAGAATTGATCAGACAGCATATCTTTGGTCTTCCGCCTAAAGAGCCAACACCGCCATCAACACCTTCAGCTTATTCGTATACACAAAATCTCATGGCGCGCTTCAATCTGCCATCTGCTAGACCTTCGTTCCCATCGAACCCTATCGGGGGTGCTACTAGCACTGCAACTGATTTTTATTCGCTCCTTGCCTCGGCAGTAACCGCTGCTACCTCGTCCAACGCTGCTACTGGTGGATCTGAAAGTCGAGATTTGTCGAACAGTGGAATGTTAATCCCACCTCATGTATCTGGAAATGAACGTATAACCTTCATTCAAGCACAACGTGAACGTCTTTCAATACTTCTCTCGGCATTGGATAAAGAAGCGCAAACTTTACAAAATGAAAAGCGCGTCCCTAGGAATATATCTAGTATGTCATTTGATGGCACTAGCAGTGAAGACGATAACCTCGATCGACCAAAGAGCTCTATGAGTGGCATGACCTCGAGAAAGAGTGAGCCTGATTTTGAAAAAATTGATGTAGATTCTGGGACGGAAGAAGTTGGGAATCAAAGAAGAGCAGCAGAGAGGACATCCAGTGCAAACTGGATGCCGTGGGCATGGGGGGCAAAGCCAACTTCTCCAACTGGCAACTTCTCCAATGATAAAGGGAAAAGCTCAGGTGTCGATGCATAATTAGTGCAGTGACTTGATACACGGTGTATAACACATGAATATTAAGAGGCTGTTTAATTAGGTTTTGGGAATTTGGGATAGACGCATATTCCGCTGATTGGGACAAGAGGAGAATAGGAGCAGTTGGTACTGTCTTTTCAAACTGGCGCTGGATTGAATAACAGGACAAGGTAAAGATTGACGATCGCAAGTTTTGATACATTTACAAATTCAAGTGAGAGTTTCTTCCTCACAAAACCCTATTTTTCTATTCGATGAGAGGACTAGCCTTTTTGCAGTTCCTTCATACAACCTTAGAAGGCTTTTTTAGTTCCTGATGCAAAACGATTTCGAATTGCGCGAATAAATAATTCAGGATGGTAAACACATATCCATATTTCTAAAGCCCCGTACATCTGAGCTAGCTATCGTCATCGACAGTAAAGGGCTTTGCAAAGCGAACATGAGATTGCCTACCTAGTACTTTCTATCATCGTCCCCTCTCCACCTCTTTTCCCTTATTGCTCTCACTTTGGTAATTCGAGATGGAATCGATATTATTTGCTTTGTTTTATCGATTCGACTATATGATTTCGAGAAACAGTCAGCTCAATTTATCTCCCTTTAGGTATTGAAATATAATAATATTTTTATTAAGTTAAGAAATCTTGGATGGATCTTTGATGAAGCGCTTTTTTTAGTTGTGTGTTTTTTGCAAGATCTTGGGAAATAAGTATGATTACCTAGGTAGGTAGGTAGGTAGGTATGATTATGAGCCGTGTTAATATTTTGCTGGGGATTGTTGTTCGGTGGTTGCTTTCTCGTTGTATAAAATCTCTTTTGGATAGAGAACTATTGTTATAGGTATATAATTAAATGAGTTTTGATCGTTTTGGATGGATTTATTAGATTGATAATGTGACGGAATGTCAATCGTGGGTAAATTGGTTGCCATTGCGCATGCGCTCGTGTGACATCTATGGCTGAATTTCTTAGGGGGACGGGAAAGGTGGGCTGTATAATCAAGCGAATGAAAATGTCAAAGGGAATATTTAGTTATTCGAATTTAATCCGACGAATATTATCCAGAATATCTTGTTCGGATATGTATAGCCCATTATATATCGCAGAAATTATATCACACGTTCCTTTGCATACCTCGCCAACCGAGCCTTCACCAAGCGCTCCTCAGAAATAACCATCGCCTCTGGAAACCACTCCGGGATTACAACCCCTCCCTTCACAGCATCAAACGCAAGAATCATCTCCGCCAACGCCTTCCCACATAACCAAGCATGAACCATACCCTCCCCAGAAAATGCCGCTGCAGCCCATTCAGCTCCTTCATGACTAGTTTGCGTAGTTGTAATCCTGTCGGTCAAAGACTCAGGGAGTGCTCCAACCCATGGTAATCCATCGGTGCTAAACCCCATATTACCCGTCCACATTGATTTCACTGCCGGCTCGTGAAGCGCGCCCCAGTTGTCTGGTGCGAAGACAGCGCCTAGGACACCGCGCAGGTGGATATTGGCGTACATGTTTAATTTCGAATCTTTACTAATGCCAGCTTCGTGAATTCCGCCATTTTGTGTTTGTGCGTAGCCGCCTCCCATCATCATTTCACCGTTAGAGATTGAGCTGATGGGAAGTTGTGTTAGGTAGTCGAAACCATGGGCATAGTTGAAAATCCAGGAGTGGTCGCTTTGATGTTTGAATTTATCTCCGGGTGGTTGGGCGGACATTTGTCCGACGATGGGAAAGATGCAGCCTTTTATGCCGGGGACGAGGTGCCCGATGTGGGCGTTGGTGCAGTGGATTACGTGTTTGGATTTTATTGTTCCGCGGGGTGTGATGACTTCGAAATAGTGTTCGTCTCCATGGATTTGGGAAACGCTAGTGTTTGTTTCAAGGAGGAAGTTTGATGGGAATTGTTTTCGTAGGTGTGCTAGAAGACCTGTGACAAATTTGTAGGGCCACATTGCACCTGCAATACCTGTCACTGCTCCAGCAGCATTTGGTATCCCGAATACCTTCAAATACATTAGCAAGTGAATCCTGATGTTGCAAGTGAATTCAGCTATTAAAGACTTCTAATTCCATCTCTTCAGACTTTTGCATCGTTGAGAAGAGGGACACTTTGCAATAATAAAAACTCTACCTTCGCCAATTCATCAGCTTCAATGAAACCCCATCCTTTGGAATCACTTGGCATATCAGTCATGAAAACCTCTATATCTTTCCGAATATCTTCCCAAGCCTCCTTGTGAAAATACACACTCAAGAATCGTACTTTACGAACTTGTGATTCTTCAGTCAACCCCAAATTTTCGGCACTTTTGATCAACGCCTCAAGATGGGAAATTCGCAGTTTGTGGATTTTAATAGCTTCATATTTACCCAAACGTTCTTTAAGCATGGCATATTCCTCGCCAGTTTCCAAAATGTGACCACCGTTTCTCCCCGTGGCACCACTACAGCTATCTCGAGCTTCTAGCATGATGACTTTCGGTTGAGATGACGACTGGGTTTCTGACGGACTAGCCTTCTCGAGGCCCTCTAACAAAGCTTGTGCTACTGAAGCTCCTGTAATACCCGAACCAATGATGACGTAATCCGCGATTTCCGGGAGATGTTCTGACTGTACGCTTGCAACCTCGGGATGTGGCTCTTTCATCCAAAATGATTTCGTTGTATGAACTTCACCTGGAATTCCAGGATCTGCGAATGCTCGGTCAAGAGCTTCTTGCCTTGCTGCAAGTGGTATGTATGGACTACTAAATTGAGTAACGATGAATGACATAATTTCAGTTGACTGGTCAATTGATAGAAATTGAATATGCGAGGTCTTAAACAAACTAATTGTTGAGTAGTGTTGGGTACCAGAGTTTTGTCTTAATTGTAATAAATTGAGTGTTTCAATGTGTATCTTCCGGTTCGTATAACGTTCAAAGTTCCCGAGGTGATGCGAAGCTTCAGTTGTATATCATCTGCATCCCCCACTATTACATAGAGTACTAATGAGGAAGGTATATGCGGCAGACCAATCTTATCTTCAAACTAATCCCAACTTGCCTGAAGTTTCCCCGGGATGAGTGACCATTTATTCACGGGCCGATCGAACTCGGAGTTTTTTCTAGCCGAATCAATGGGTAGGAATTGAGTAACATTTTTTGGATCAGCCTCTGGGTAAATCGCTTTCTTTTCAGGCACGATTTAACACTCGAGTAGGTACATTAGTACTATTTTCCCTCCAGATGTGATTAAAAGGCTAATCTCAATTCAACGTTTGAAAGCAATCTCATCAGCGTTTACGAGAATGCCAGTCTCACCTCCACAATGAACTATCTTTGCAAGCTCTGTATCATAATGAAGTCGTCGTTCAAATAAGCTTGTACCTGCTGTGATCACTTTCACTCGGTGTCATTCCATTTTAAATAAAGTAGTGCCAAGAAAGAAAACGCCATGATATACATGAGAGCCATTTCACCATAAGCCGGCGTGAGTGCCGTTAATGTGGGTTTAATATAGCTGAGACGGCGTAGAGTTATCATCCGGTTGCTTTCAATCTGGGCTTCCAATGAATGCTCTTGTCATAAAAGCTCCGACGACTATTTGAAGTAATCACGGGTCATTCTGAGTCTCAATATTTCGATATTGAAAGCCCGAAATGTCTACCATGAAAATGACTCCCATCCGGTGGAAAAGATATTTTCACTCGAAGCCAGGCCACTTTAAACTGCTATTTAAAAAAAACTACCCATGAAATGCGAGAAGACTAGCAAAACTTCTAGATCGTTCGCTCATAAATTCAATAGCAGGGGACTTGTTTTGAGCTCATAGCCTCTAATCTGACACCGATACCACATCCTATAGATGCGTCTTTGGCGCTTAACAACAAATATCGGTCTTGTCCCAAAGTGCAGGCGTAAAACACACTGTATGGTGTTCTTATTATGGAAGAATCCCTTCTGAGAATATGCACAAAGCCGAGACCAGGAGGAAGGTGTAAGGAAAGGAGTTTAACACATATGCAGCTCGCGCATTGAGCGAATAGACTTGCCCATAATTTACCTGCAATTTCAGTGTTCTATATCAATACAAAGGCTACTTAGCGCTGTGTCATGATATTCCTGTTTAGCTTAGAAATTGGTGAAAAGTGGTATTCCGCCCGCCAACTTCGATCACCTGGGAAAGGGAGCACTTCAGCAAACATTCAGCGAGCCACAGATGTGATGAACTTTAATCCAAATGTTTAGCTGAAGATTGTGATATGGTGGCCATAAAATTCGAAAAAGAACATAAAAATGTTCTAGAATCACCCGGGCAATTCATTGGCTGGCTTGGGCACATAAGATCGGTAACGTTTCTAAGACAACTGCCAATCTTCACCGCCTTTTTTGTGGTATGGCGGGGGCGGGGTCCTCCCACTCCATAAAATTTTATATCAAGCCTCAACCTTATTAATGTTTTATATTCTAACCATTTATTCATATTTATTCACCCTCTCTTGACAATCAGCAAAATGTGCATAAACTAAATTGTGTATTGCAACTATTTACTCTCTGTATGTAAATATCGGCTTCTTACATATAAAAAAACTCTTTACTATATTCTGCCGTCGCTCACTTCAATTACATTTTCATTCCATTTCACATCCACATTTCGAAACAGGAAAGCGCAGACGATCGAAAATATGGCTGGTTTAGAAGCCATTAAATATGGCAGAGGAAGGCTAGAAGTTCTAGATCAGTTAAGACTTCCGCATGAGTTTGTGTATGATCATGTCTCTACTTGTGAAGAGGCATTCGATTCAATCAAGTCGATGCGTGTGAGAGGTATCTATTGCTCTCTTGTCAGTCGGACATCATGATGAGCTTTAATGGCTAAGTGTTTATCAGGAGCCCCAGCAATCGCGATTGTGGCAGCTCTTGCGCTGGCCGTAGAGCTTCATCATCAAAAGGATGGTTGGTACTTCTTGACGATTGACTCAAAACAGTATTTGCTAAGTAGCTAATGCGAAATGTTTCAGGTTCAAAGACGAAACAGGAAACTGTGCAATATATCAACAAGCGTCTTGATTATCTCCTAGGTAGTAGACCTACTGCCGTTGATCTTTCAAATGCCATCAAACTTCTCAAACGAGTTTCTCAGTCTGCTGCCGAAGCTACAAATGCGTTGGGTGACAGTGCTGCTTGTGCGGATGTCCGAAAGGGATACATTGCTGCGGCAGAGAAGATTTTAGAAGATGATCTCACCACCAATTTGGCAATTGGTAGATATGGAGCGGAATATCTAAGACGACAACAGATGCCAATTGGAGGTGAGGAAGATGATGAGGATCCTTCGAAATTTTTTACAACGAGCCCACCATGCACTCAAGGGGCACCGGACAGGACATATAGAAAATTGAGTGTTCTCACGCATTGCAATACTGGGTATGTTATTCGATCTGCCTTCTTCCATGCCAGAACAAGGAAAAAGTACTAACAACCCCATCTTCAGCTCCCTAGCTACTTCAGGTCACGGTACCGCCTTAGGTATAATCCGCAGCCTGCACAAAATGAACTACCTCGACCATGCCTATTGTACTGAAACTCGACCTTATAATCAAGGCTCCCGACTCACTGCTTTTGAGCTTGTTTACGAAAAGATTCCCTCTACACTCATTACCGATTCTATGGCGGGTGCTCTTTTCGCCCGGATGAAAGAAAGCAAAAACATATCTGCTGTCATTGTAGGAGCAGATCGCGTCGCTCGCAATGGTGATACTGCCAATAAAATTGGAACTTATTCTCTTGCCGTTCTTGCAAAAGCTCACAACATAAAGTTCATAGTTGCAGCACCTACAACAAGTATAGATCTCGAGACGGTTTCAGGAGCAGATATAAAAATCGAAGATCGAGCTCCAACAGAACTTACACAAATAAGTGGAGCTGTAGTAGGAAAAGATGGACATGTAGATGTGAATACGACGGCTAGAGTGGCTATTGCTCATCAAGGAATTGATGTTTGGAATCCTAGTTTTGACGTTACGCCCAGTATGTATATTGATGCGGTCATTACGGAAAAGGGAGAAGTGGTCAGGAGTTCAAAGGGTACATTTGATTTCAAGACAATTATGCCGGAGCGGTGGGCACAACAAGTTGAGGGGAAAGAGTTGAGTGCTCAGACAAATGTAAAAGCACATGTGGATGATGGAACACAATTTCCAATGGAGAACATCTGAGAAGACAAAAAGAATGTTTGCCTTTGATAAGAACTTATAGTAGCTTGTTTTGCATCTAACATCCTAGATTTGGTTGACAGAGATCAACTCGCTTAAAACCCATTGGCAATTACTTGTATTTTCTATGAAATCACTACATCTAATAAACTCTGATCATAATCATCGACTTTCCTCACAACGAAAATTCATTGCAAGTGCTTCTGGAAAACGAGTTTACATCTAGAAAGATTAGTTTAACATATTTGTGCAGTCAATCTACAAAGCCCGATTACTGTGTATCATCTAGTCTAGCCCAGTTCTCTCATTGGGTTTCTCCATCTTTTTTTTTATCCTAGTATTTCAAATGATATAGTATTTTCTCATTTGAGATTTTTGCATACAAGCTTGCATACAGTGTACTTATCTGACTATGCTATATATTGTACTCAGAACTCTTATATGCAGAAAGCTTCCTCTTTCCAACTAGTCGACGTACTATGAGAATCTATTTGAATTTGGTTTAGTATAATCTGAAAAGCGTCTAGAAATCTATATCTATTTCTATTTCTATTTCTATTTTTAATTCATTTTCATCTCTATTCTCAAGAAATTCAATCTCCTCATTAAGAAGGAAATTCCACATCCGAGAAAGAAAACTAGATTTAATTCTTCAAAATATTCTTGTATTCTTCCCGTGAGATATATTCAATAAAGAAAACTCTATTTTGTTTTGTTTTTTTCGCATTCCATCCAATATCCCCACCTAGAATATCCAAACTCCCCAACTCCCAAACCCCAATCTCTCTCTTTCTCTCTTTCCCTCTTTCCCTCTCTCCCCCTCTCTCACACATGTACACCCCATCCCACACCCTTTAACCGAGAAACCCCCCAAAATCAAGAAATGCAAAAAGGAGAGAAGGCGAATAAATAATTCATCGGAAGCCATTCCGACTCCGACTCCGACTCCAACTCCGACTCCGACTCCAAAATTCCCTCTGTAATTTTGTTGATAAGTGTCTAGAGCTTGGACCTATGATATCATCTTCTATCTCCTTCCTCAGATACTCCATTTCATCCTTCTTTTAATCTAGTTTTTTTCTTTCCTTAGCACTTGAGATCTCTATCAGTCTCATCAAGTAATTAAAAATAAACACAAATATCAAAGTACACCACACCACGCCATACCAATCAAATCATATAAATCAAATCATAAAATATATTGAATGCATCAACTAATATGCACATTGATTGCAATCTCGCTACTTTGCAAAGAGGAAATCCCCTGCATCTAAAAGTGACATCATATCATCCATCATATCATGTCATAAAATGGGAGATGCGCTCGCTTCAGCTTCTCTCGAATTCCGAAAATTTCGTCTTTCTCCCAAGCTTGCATTCCCTTTGCATTCCCTTTGAATCCCCAAAGATTTCTTCCCTTCCAGCACACTGGTTCCAATTTTCCTATGTACATCAGAGTAGTGCCTGGAGAGTGAATATTCGCGCTTATAATATAATCGGATAAGTTAGAAAAATATATGTATATATAAAAACGGATGATCATCATCTTCCAGTTATAGAATACTCTGAAAGGTCTTTCAAGAATACATCCACATCTGCCTGTCAATCCAATTTATCTTTGAAATCATACAATGCAGTCTCATGTCTAGTAACAAGGGCAGTATGTCATAAAAACCTTTCAGGGAATCATAATCATGAGTGCCCTTGATGCCCCAACGACTCCAGGCTCCATCCAAACCTAAGATCCCGTACGCCGAAAAAAAAAGACCCACCGAGAAAAATTTAAGCAGAAATGTCGATTCTTGTTCTCCCATATACGTGCCACGCCCTTTAAGCTGTTTGAAATATCTGAGAACCAATCAACAATTAAAATTGTCTCTCACGACTGGTGCGATTCACAATCTCTCCCGCCCTTAACAAGGCATTGATAGGGTCAAGGTCGATCTCTTCCGCGGCCAAAACATAATTATTTGCCGATTGAGGATGCGAACTATCAGACGTGTGTTTGTTGGATCTGCCCATTATACTATCCATAGTGTTCGAGAAACTCTGGGGAACTTCACTGTATCGTCTAATCGGTGGCATTGTAGTGGAAAAATCCTTGATTTGATTGACTATTGTATTTGATTAGCTACTAGTAACTTATGGTAAATGTGTAAAGAAAGCTGGGGGATACAAAGAAAACATGATAGAATTGTCACGAACCATTGGTACATTGTTGAGATCCGGGTAGAGAGTTCTGGGGTGATAAGGATGGATGACCCGATAGAAATGGTAATTGGCCGTCGTAGCTTCCAGATTTCTGAGGATACAATGAAGGAATGGGTAGAGCTCGGTTTAAATCTGGTTCTAATGGTGTTCGAGGTCCCGCGTACATAGAGGAGTTACTAGCTACAGAGCCGGAGGATTGTACGGTTGATTCCGAAGTAAGTGATGGCGGGGGAGGATTTTGGTTACTTTGGGGGTTGCGGCGATGCTGTTTGGAATCGTTCGAATTCGAATGATCTTGCATTGCGGCAGTGGCGGGACTTGATTGACCGAAGCGCGATTCGATGCTATTTGCGTGGGTCATTTGTTGCGCAATGCTGCCTTCATCTCGATGATCTTCTCGCCACTGCTGCGCTCCTGGGCCCAAGATAGACTCCCGGTAACCGGCAAGAACCTTCGGCGTATCGATCGGTGATCCTCCTGACCCTAACATAGCCTCGCGATAACCAGGGAGGACCTTCGGCATCTCGGTTGGTGACCCTGGACCTAGCCTACTTTGTATTCCTGGTACTTTATGACCATTCGCCGGGCCTGGCACGGTGGGTGTCATGACAGCGGACGAGGGAGAGGTTGATGCATGCCATGGAGAAATCGATGATGCCGAGGAATCTACGCGCATGCGACCCAAGGAAAATTCTGCCCCGGCCTGACTGCCACCACTGCTTGCTGTTCCACTGCTCGCTGTACTAAAATGGGCTTCGAGTTTGGGCCTTTTCGTAACATCCATCTCAGTCGCTAATTGCTGGTTCTGCTTTTGTTTGAAATCGGCGAGGTATTGCGAATAGTCTTTGAAACTCTGTGTCTTTTTGTATTCGGCCAATTCGTTATTGTAACGCTCTTTGGCTTTGTATGCCGATTGCTCATATGGTTCCTTCTCGGCAGGTGATAAATTTTGCCAATTCTCCCCTACTAATTTAGCTATTTCCGTGAAGGATAAATTTCGCCCCTTTAAATCTTCGCGCATTTTATTCGAAAATATGACATATGCCGATGGTGGTCGCTCTGGTGCATTCTCGTCTGTTTTGGGATGCCTTCTATACTTTCGCTTCGCTCCATGCGGTCCACTACCTCCATCCTTAGCGTCTCTCCCCCCTCCTACTTTTGGTTCATCTCCATGAGTGTCACCTGGCGTTGTGCTCGAGGGAGATGCAAGAGCTCGATCTGAAGACAGACCCCTTGAATTGGCAATCTTCCTCTGAAGTTTCCGACGATGGCCGAGTTTCACACCAAGGGCATCGAAATCGGACTCCGTTATGTCCAGTATTGTGTCCCATGTATCAAACCCTTGCTCAAGAAAGCTGTGGAGGTAATGAGAGATGCCCAACTCCGCAAAGATTTCTGACAAGTCAGTCATACAGCAGGCTGCCTCTGGATACTCGTGTCCAGAGATATACGTGAGAGTTTCCAATTTCCAGTTTCTAGCTTCCCGCCTCCTAGGATAAATGCCTTCTCCACCTAGTTGCTAAAAAGTCGTTTCTGGTTTTAGATGGCCGTCTTTCGGATGTAATGTTAGCTCCACGATTTAGTGGTAAATAGATCCCCTGGAAGGTTGTTGAGATGTAATCTCCCTTTATAGTGCCAATATCTGGTTCCTTCATAAAGTGACTGAAGGAAATAAATTCTGCTGAAGGGCTAAAGTTCGGATGTAGTTTTGACCACAAGGGTGTATCAACTTTCTCTTCCCTATCATAAAGCGCCGTCGTCAAAAGATCGACAGTTGAAACTCGAGAGCAAAGAAAGAGGCGTCTTGAGAATGAACTCTATCGAGATGATGCTCCAATGAGTTTATTCGCTGAATGTGTCTGATCGATAGAGCTTGCGGGAAGCGAAATGGAATCAAATGTTGATCTAAAAATCGATAAACTTGGGGCGGGTCTTGCTGTAATGCGTTACTTCACATCAATATTAGCCAGAAATTCTCGCGGCAGCTAAAACATAGTGTTCTCATAAATATTTCCTAGTTGCCACGGTAGATCAGCCGTGGCGTAGAGACATGACTGATGAATGGGAGGGGCAAATTTAGGGCAAGTAGAGTAGATTATTTTGAGAAGTATGAGAAGCTAGGTAGGTTGGGTAGTGTAAAAGTACCTGGGTAGTGTGTAGTAGTGGGTCGTGAACCTTTATCGATCGTGTCAAAGAGTTTAACTCCTACGGTGGAGTAGACGAGTAGAAAGAAAGATGAGGTATGAGCGAGATGTCTCGACGAAAGGGATTCGATTTCAATATAATTCGAGTGGTTGAATAGAGAAAGGGGACAGAATAAATGCGTGTCAAGGAAGAAGGGAATAGATGCGATTCATGCGTACGTGTATGCGAGCGGGCGTCAATTGGAAAATGAAGAAGGAATCCGAAGTGATTTCTGGATACTGGGTATCGAGTATTGAGTATTGAATGTTGAGCAGGAAATGAATAGGGATAATAGTAGTAGTCGTAGTAGCAGTAGTAGCAGTAGTAGCAGTAGTAGTAGTAGTGGTGGTGGTGCTGTGATATAGAACAAATACTAAAAGTAGAGCCTAGTACGTAGCGGTGGTGGAAAAGATATAAACAAAAAGATGAATGATGATGAAGGGGAGGAGGGGAAAAGTAAAAATTACCCAAGAAGGTATAATAAAAGATAAAAGAGGGAGAAAAGATTGAATACTAAATATAAAAACAAATACACCACAAGTTAAAAGGAAGGAAATAAATTAAAGAATAGGCGTCTTCGTTGCTTATGCCTGAAAGGATCTATTTTTTCTTTTCTCTTTTTCTTCTTTTGTTCTTTTCTTCTTTTCTTCTTTTCTTCTTTTTTTTCTTTTCTATTTCATAGACAATTCTTTAGATGAATGAAGTGGGCGGATGGGATGAGAATGAGCGATAGGGAGAAGAGTATGGTAGAGTTGTAGGTAGGGTAGATTGAAGATCCAAGATTCGAGACGGCAATCATCAATTGTGGTGAAAGAAAAAGAATTTGCGGTTGGGGGGTTCATCGAGATTGGAGCAGATGACTAATGGACATTAATGCATGCGCGGGGATCCCAATTATATTGTGCACCGATCCTCCATTTGTTTTTCCGATTCACATTCACTGGACTTGTGACGCTAAGGGAGAAATGACGACGAGAAAGGGATCCTCTATTCTCTTTTTCATCCTTTTTCGTCCAATGTGTGCAAGGATATCGAGATTCCCATCCTTTTCCTAAAGAGTATGTATGTACTATGTGCTAAGTCCGTATACGTATTGCTAGTTCAAAGCTTTGTATAAATGGGCAAATAAAGAGTGTACGATGGCATCCATACGAACTTTGGACATTTACTACGGAGTATGTGCTAAGGCTAACTAGTCCGCCATTAGTTTCTGCTATGGTATTCCAGTGCCATGGTGCAAGCGAGTGACTGACTTGGGAATGGAATCATCAGTAGGCAGCCCAGATTATTCCATCCGGTCATTTCATCAATTCCGTACTCGTTGTCCAGACTTAGCAGGTAATTTGTCCCATTATCACATTTTATCAGATGTTCTAAGGTTTAGATGTGTAACATCTATGGAGTGGACGTAGGCTTGATTACCCAATCATATATTAGTCACTAGTTATTACCTAGGAGTAGGAACGCGTTCCCATCCACTCCTTGCTTATTACTCCATCCAGTTAGATAGTCAGGCAAATAGCTAAGGCGACTCTCTATTCTCTTTTTCACGGAAAACTGAGTCATAAGAATCAGGTATCTAGGCAAGTACTGACTCCTAACGACAGGCACACCTATCTCCTAGGTAGCATGTTACACATGTCACAGAAGGATGTCTGTGTCCGTGTCCATGAAAATACCAGTAGCTGGGTTAATGTGTCTAGCCAGTGGTAGGTCAATTGATTCATTCATTATTGATCATCATGTCTTCAAGCAAACAGGTCAGTAATTGGAGTTAAACAACTACCTAAAGAAGAGACTTTTCACAAGCTCATTATTTGTTTCGTCTAATACAACCACGTTGGTTAGAAATTGATACATACTAGCCATGAATATCTCATGTATGAATCTTGCTTATGACAATGCTAATTTCGCATATCTATTCTAGATATCCCTTTGAAAGATGGCAGAAATCTCCTTGGCGGTGGCGTTTTTCCTATCCTTTTAACACCGATATTCAAAGTTAATATCAGTTTTTGAAAAATGCCATTTCTCATGACTAGCGCATAATAGCATGTCACTGCCCATATCTATGGCGATGCCGAAAATCTGTAGTGTAAGTTCAATCAAAGAACTACAGGTACCACAAACCAGATACTGCATCTGTCTCCGAACATAGAGCTACTGTGTTTACCCGGCTGATTGGAACCGAGCTTGGGGCGGAGTAGTTTCTATGGGTATATTCGCTTTGGTTTAAAATGTCCATGCGGATATTCCATATACTTACTCTATGAAATATGCTTATTATCCCATTTCTTCTTTTTTTGATGTTTACATTCTTCATTTCCCGTCTTCCAGCTTCATCCTTTTCCTCCCGTTGCCTTTAGACTTCCCTTTTGCTCCCGAGGCCCGCTAGCAAGTCAAACTTTATACTTTTCCACGTGGATTCTATACCGTTAACTAACCCAGGTTCTAGTTTACCATCCTAGGTAGGTAAATCGACTAAATATCTGAAAAGCCACGTTTTCCACATTGACTACTTCCGCTTGTTTTTCCCATTACTCGCAAGCCACTGGCAAGGCAAGTGAACCCGAAAGTTTAAAAGCTGTACGACCGTTCAAAAGTTTACCAAGCCATCCAATATACCTAGTACTTATTAGAAATGCGATCTTTCATGTCATCTGTTTGTTCAAATATCCATATCCATATCCATGCCTATGCCCTATTCCATTGGCTGATACTGTTGTGTAGCCAATCAAATATCGGATTAAATGAGCACATAGGTGTAGCCAAGACAAAGCAATCGTGTCGGAATCGGAAAGTTTCTCCTACGGAGAATGAATTCGATGAGCTTTACATCGAGATCGTCATGTGACGGACATGTTGAATTTGGCTTTGCTTTCTCTTCGACTATTTGGTCTCCGTCTGAAGCTCCAACGAGAAGTGGCTCAGGATGAGTTATCACTTTTGGGGTTGGATAATTAATTAGCCTGCATCAAGTAAATTCTAGATCCTGATGTTGATGTTGTAGGAGTACCAGACAAGCAAAATGTTGAGGCATGTATGTATGTGTACGAGTATTGCATCTGCACAATTCCATCTTATTTACCCTCGGTATTCCATGTGAGCATGAGCAAAGTTACCTTCTGCATCGTATGATTTGGTCTAAGCGAGCAAGCGAGGCTGTAACATCATTATCTCAAAACGAATCAATCAACCAAAACTTATCGATAACGAATCCCGCCTCTGAAACTCCCTTATCCCCTCACTCTCTCAAGACACCCAATTTGTCCAATTCACACTCAACAATTCAAAGTCAAAAAGAATAATGTCTTCATCAAGCGATACTAAGAAAGAAAATGTCGAAAACGGTGATGTTTCTTTTTCAGATGCAGATGTAGCTCAGGTATGTCAATATTTATTCCTATGTATGATCAGGCACCACCATTGCCAATGTACTTCCCTAGCCTTGCGTCTTCTGACATGGCATGATGCCTGTGTTAGTCGCAGATCCTCTCATGATCCATTATGTACTTCTAGATTATCTTATTGATTCCTAAATGGGAATCTCAAATTTTCTCGATGCGAAAACACGTCTTGGGTAGAGAATCCCATTTTTACTCCCGTCCCACCCAGCCCAAGTCACTTGCATTTGTGAGACCCCTGTCTGACGAGCACCAAAATTCTAGGCCTTTAAAGAACTTCAACGTGCGTTTTTCACCAACTGTTCATAGCCACACCTACTCTTTCCATCTGGCTATATTCCTCTGCCACGCGACTCCCAGAATTCTAGACTCGTGTCTTTTACACCCAGTCCAGCTGAATTTTCGCATGCTTCTGCCTATATACTGTCATTCGCGTTGAGCCATCCCTGACAATTCAATTTTATAGGAGGTGAAAAGACAGCACAGATGCTCGAATCCAATCTTGCAGACCTCGAAAAGAAGATCGATGATCTGTTAGCGAGCTTCGAAGCACAAGAGTCGGCGGCGCAGGCAGAGGCTAAGAATGGGTCCAGTAGCCATAAGGAAGATAGAGACGAGAGTGGTCACAAGAAATCTTGAAAGGTCTAGATATCGCGCCAAATGTACGGCTTACATCTCGCGGCTAAATCTGCATGGAGATAAAACTTTTCTATATCCAGAATTGCCAAATACCTTAGGTCACATCGTCCTCGTTTGCTACACCCTTGGCATGTCCCATGGGTCTGTGCCGCCGCTGCGGTGCGTGGAGTCGGTGGATGAAAAGTTCCTACGGAGTTCCAGCTCCACGATTCGGTTATTAGATCTTGTTTGGGTAAGGATCTGAGAATGTTTGATGCGAGTAATGATATTGGCGTACAATTTAAGAGAAGAAAGAAAAATATACATAGTATTGAATTTTGTGTTCCTATGTGTTTTTTTGATGTCGGTTTTCAGATCGCAAATCCGAGGTGACTAAAATACATCAGATTAACACACAGTTGAGCAGTACCTATTCCCCTCTGTCAAGCAAATTTCTTTCTGGAGTCATGAGGAAATAGTTGCGTGTGTTGTGCAACTAAGTACGTCCTTCTGTCTCTTTACCTCTGCACCTTTAGTATCAACGGGCCAGAAAATATCTGCTTTCTTTGCCATTGATGTGGCTAGGTAATGCCAGCCAGATATATAGATAGGATTACCATAGAGCATCATGTCTTTTACGGCAGGTGTCCAATAATCCGGGCTCATGAGATCTCAATGATTGAAAGCAATTTGCAATATTTTAGATGCAATCCATTATTCAAAACAAATTCGGTGTTCCAAACAGCTTGAGAGATTTCAGTTGAATTCAGTTTGGATGCTTCTGAGTGTTATACTGGAGTCCGGGCTATTGAACCCTTGCTTATACAACTGAGAGGAAGATGACTTGGCCAACGGCAACGCTCTTCATAGCAATTTTATGGCATTGCTCTTTCTAAATATCAAGTGAAACTTGCGGGTCCCGATTCTCCTTTACAACATACACTACCTAAGCGAAAAAGGGGCCGATATCTTTATATCCATAACGTTCGCGAGGATATTGCTTGCCAGTCGAACTTTTCAGGTAACTTTTTCCTTTTGAATATTATACCGGGTAAAAAACGGTAGTTTCATTTAATCGTCCCGAAAAGCGTGCTTTTCATTTTTTTTTATCGAATTACTATCCAAATTGGTTGGGAGCATTGATATCATGAGATTTTAGCTTTCGATTCTAGCTTTGGATTCTAGTCACCTCTCTCGTTTAGTCAAATTCTTAACCAGCCAGCAATCTATGCTCCCAATCTACTCTTCAAAAACTCTCGCAGGCCTTCCATGACTTCATCCTCCACGCCCCCCTTCTGCCATGTTAAACTAATTACCAATGGTCCACCTTCTAGATTTACAACATTGCATCCAATAGGGGCACCAAACACCATTCCACATTGCGAGAATATTAGTCCATTAAGTTTCAAAGAGCTTTCCCTTGGGACTTTATTCATCCTAACCACTCCAAGGTTAGATATCTCATATGTTTCAGACCTTTCTGCTGACAACCCCTCGCGACAATAAGACTCTAAATCGACTATCCTTTCAACATTCCTTATTTGTGAGACTCCTCCGGCTTCGACTCTTTTCAGCTCTGTTGAGATCTCTTGGCAAACCTGACTTCCAATTGCACCAATCAATTCTTCCTCTTCGACAGATCCCTCTCTCACATGGCGTATACTATTCAATAGACCGGCATTCCACTTTGTTACTATAGTCGAAACATGGTTCGCTATTTCCGTAACAGGAAGCTTGCTAAATTTACGCAGCGAGTAAGGCGTACAAGCTTTAAGGCCAAGTTGGTCATTTGTAGCTGTTGTACGCGCAAGGTAGCTGACGATTAAACCATGCAAATATCCTGTGACAGTAATTTTCAACCGGTGGCTTGTATCTAAAACTGCTTGGACTCGTTCTGGAGGAACGGTGATGAGAAGGGCAAGACATTTGTATGATTCGATTGTGGGCATACATGGGAAATTTCCTGACCATATTTGCTCTTCTTTCTTGTCTGAGTTGCTTTGTGGATTTGTTTCAAGTGATTCGTATCCTGGAGGACTGATATCCATAGCATTCTCAATAGCTATTGGTCTTCCCACAGTTTTCGGTACGATATACGGCCATTGCACAACATTCATCTCAAGTGTCTCCACAGTAGCCGCTGACAATTCCCCATGCAAAGTCCTTTGGAAAGCAGCACAGCTCAATCCATCGGCAATAGCATGGTGTGCAATAAAAAGTATATAAACTCTATAGGCCCCATCTTCCATTCCATGCAAAAGCACACGAATCCTCCACACAGGTTTTGTTTCGGGATCTTGGAAAAGCTGCTCGTGAGCGTCTCCTATCTCCTCACAAACACGCTTTTCCTCAGATTTTTTCTGCACTTCTGCATTGGGAAATCTACCCAAAGAGGATATTGATACAATATCTTCCAAGGATATTTGGGCAAGTCTCTTGAAACGTGCAGTGGGATGCGTGGTACTTGAAGAGGGCAAGATACCGTAACATAGAGACGGATGTTTCTCTATTGTTTTCCACAAAGCACATTGGATGCGCGAAATCAACTCATCGATGGCGTTGCTAGTGATGGCATTGGAGTTTTGGGGCGTGTAGCTGTAGTAGGAGGTTACGCCGCAGGAACGGTATAGACCTTTTTCGTGACGGGTGGCATAGTAGTTACCGAGGATACCTGGGGTGCGGTTAGTTTGGTGAATTGTGTTTGGTTTGTTTGGGAGATTGTTTGTTTGTTTGCTGTTTGTTCTTCCGGAGTGGAGGAGTTTGATTTGTAAGGTTTTTTTAATCTATCTATCTATATCTTCCTTGGCTATCTAACATGGTCTTCAAATTGAGTTTGGTGAAGTGGAATGTGAATGTGAATGCGGATTGAGGATTGGGGATTTAGATGAGAGTTATGATTATGACTCACCGGCTGGAAAGATCTCGTTTTCCATTTTATTTCAAAGCTGGATTGAATTTGACTTTGGATATGATGTGGTGTAACGCATAAGATAGGATAAATAAGCTTTTGTCGTTTTTATCTGGAGCGGTCCCAGAGCAAAATAGGATTTTATATATGATGGAATTCGGTTTGGTTTGATTTGGTTTGATGTCCCTGATGCTATTTATCCGTACTCGTTTGGATCTTAATCTTACCGCTTTGGCAGAACAAGGGTTTTGGTGGGGGTTTGGACTTCAGTAGCTGATATGCTTGTAGCTGATAATTCTAATTTTCTTTCTATCAGTATCGGTATCAATATCAATATCAATATCAATATCAATATCAATATCAATATCAATATCAATATCAATATCAATATCAATATCAATATCAATATCAATATCAATATCAATATCAGAATGATATAATCTCGACGTAGAAAAAGTTTTATCATTCTGCCTGCTTAAGTCTTGTTTCTTTCGTTCACCTCGATGTTAATTAAGACTGACTCCAGAGTAAGATTTTACATCAAATAGATTGTTCATGTAACTTTGTGCAAAGACACACACACTGTTGTATTGCAAGCACTAAAGAGATAGACACGATTTTGTAAGATTATTTAGGTTAAGGTTACTCAAATTCTAATTTTATTCTACTGGGTTAAACTGTTGAAATCCTCTATAGGGAAATCAGTATTTATATGTTTACTGTGAGTATTTCGGAAATCTTTGGATCAGTTACTCACTCACTCACTTACTTCTTGTCAATTAACCAAGATCTAAACTCATCGTCGTCATAAAAACGTGGGCAGAAGAACTTTCTTGAACGAAGCCCAACAGATCGATTTTCTATTGCTCTGAAAATTCGAATGAGAACTGTCTGTCGAAAATGCATCTATCTACGAACAACAGATATGTTTTCCGCATTATTAAGATTTTGATTCGAGTTGAAACTGCATTTTCCGGTGCCATGATAGTGTAAGTAATTACATGGTTTCCAAAAGCCGAAATATTAATACTGAATGAATGATCATTATCAGTTTTGGAATACATATACGACGCAGAAGAGAGTATTCACCGAGACTTGAGACTCAACACTAATTAAATTATCATCAAATTCCAAAATTAACCGCCCTTCTCTCAAGCTACCCAGAAAAACCAAACCTAGTCAGTCAGTCAGTCAGTCAGTCAGTCAATCACCCAATAACTTCAAGCCAACATTATCAACTAACCCGTAACCCTAGATCTGGCACCAGAAACAAGTATCCAAACCCCCCTCCTCCCAGTCAAACCTCCTCATCCAAGGACTACAAACAGGACTACCCACCCGTCTTCTCCCAGCCCTCCTCTCCCCCCTCCAATCCACAACTTTCCATCCCCCTTCCGGTTCCTCATATATCTTACTTCTTCTCGTCTCTTTGATTTTTCTTGCTTTTTTACACTTACTATTATTACTGTTAGTAGTACTAGTACTATTATTCTTTGCTTTCTCTACTCGTGTACATCGTGCGCATATGTTTAGACTCCACATTGTGCTGTGATTTTTACGGCCGTTGGGTTTTCCGCAGTCGGGGCGTTTTGATGTGTGGGTTTGGGGGTTGGTTTTTTGGAGGAGGAGGAACTCGAGGAGGTGGATGCAGCGGCGGGTGTGGTAGGTTGTGTGGGCGCAGTCGTGGTGGGTGGTGGTTGTTGTGCACATGGTTTTGGGGGAAAGTTTGGCTTTTACAATTGGTGGGTGTGTGAGTGGTGGGCTAAAAGAATTTGGGTTTTGGGATAAGTGATGATTTGATGTGATAGGGTGGATTTTGTTTGGGTTTGAAGCTGCTTTGGTATGGGTTGAGTTTATGGTAAGATATGTACTGGTTGTGAACAATACCGTTGTTCTGTGGTCAGGTCTTGTATTAGAATGTTTACAAAGAGAACAAGGTTATCAAAGGTAGGCTTTGAACTTCAAAGAAAACGAACAAAGTGATGAAGATTTATATGACGGCAGAATTTCATACAGAAGATTCTTCTGTCGTTCCTTTATGTTGTTTCGTTGTTGCAAACACTAACTTAATTTTAAGTTTTTGACAAAGGATTTAGAATTGTATACTAGGTAGATCAATTAGGTTGAAGATTTCGATTGTGTATATGCAGGCCCTGGGTTGTGCCCCAAACCAGTAGATAGATAAAGTATAGAAGGGAAACAAAAACAGAACAACAATTTCTCTGGAGTATTAATTTGGCCAGGCCCCCAAACCCTCACTCATCAATACAATTATTGGCAACTCATACTCCATTCAAGGAACTTCAGAGCAACCCACCAAATAGATTCACCATGTGTAACTGGATCTGCACCTTTGAACTGTGTCCAGCGTGCCGGGGCTGGAAGAGAATCATCGCCGAAGATGTTCTCTGCGAATACATCGCCTCTATTCGCGGAAATCCTCAATTTTGCTCATACTACAAAGATTATGATAATATTATTGTATCTGAATCGAAGTGCGAGTATTGTGCTAATAAGGATGATGGAAGGGAAGCGGCTTTTGATTTAACAGAGTTAGATTCGATCCCAGACGTACCCCACCCCCCAGATTTAGACTCAGACTTACCCCCAGGCCAAGATTCAACTCCTAAATCTGCGTCGATCATATACTCAGATTCGGAGTATGAAGACGAAGATGATACATCTGAAATTTACACTCTCGGGAAAGCGGTTAGCATGTCAATGACAAGGTTACCCATCATGAATGAGACTGATGCAGATGCTACAGAAAAGGCATCAGGAGAGGTATCAGAAGAGGTATCAAAACAAGATAGCATCTCAGAGTTTGAGAGCACTTCAGATGTTTCGGAAGTCGACTCAGCCTTCTCGGATGAATATCACCATGGATGCATGAGAACTTCCATGACAGATGCAGTCCAGTCCGATGATGAGAACTTGTTCTTGATGGAGGATGTTTTTGATGATGAGGGATTTCTTAACGGAGTACCACAGCTCTATAACCCATTCTGTCATAAGAGAGTTGAGCAGTTGAGAAAAGATTGGCTGCACTGATTAGATTGATCTTTCTTTTTAAAATATGGGATAATAAGGATGTTTCCAGACGGAGAATTATAGCCCTCTACCCTATGCTGCGCTTCAGAATTGAAAAATTGAGTAAAGAAGTATATTAGATTTGCTGGTACAATCAATATCAGATTGAATTTCTTCATAGAATATAAGTCATACAAGAGTATTTTCCTTAAAAACATTGTGCCTAGTTTTATGTGCGTGAATACGTATAAATATATGAATGAGTTTAAAAATTGTGAACTGAATTAAACCCTAAACACTTCTTCTATGTGTATATAAAAATAAATATAAGTTTCAAAAATATGAATTGAATTAAACGCTTAACACAATATCTTTAAAAAGTATAAGACAAATGAAACCGATCTTGGTTTGAAGGCATCCCTTGAAAAACGCGATTCGACATAGATGAGAATATATTAACTACCACTTGGCGAAAATAAAGTCCCAAACGATGTGGATGACTTTTCCACCGATTCTTCTTCACATCATTGAGAGAGCATGCAGAAGCGATCTAGAGAAAAATGGGGCTTTGATATATACAAGTTATCAATACCTCAGGTCTGTCTGATTATCTATGGAGATCAAAGGCAAAAGATCTAGATATACAACCTAGATCTGTAACTGCTTCATGAATTGGTCGGTTCTCATGTAGCCCGCGGTGATCTAAGCCTACAGGCTACAGAGCACGTGCTTTTCCTTCTAAATTCTAGGCGCTTCCAGTCGATCATGACATAGTGTGGTTGGTATAGTATCTTTCAAGGCCTAGCCTATCCAGTTTATCCGCATTGCATGATATGGACTTCCATGTTTGTTGCGGAAAAAACTCCTAGAGAAGGATGAATGCCACAGATAAAGGGAGGTTTGAGGGGACTAAGTGACGCTCTTGAAGTCCGCCCAGGCGTTCAATGAGTCACCAGGTTCTTGGCCAGGTGGATATAGGATTCCCCGTCTTTAGCTTTAATTTACTTCAATCATCAAGATTGATTATTTTTAAAAGTTTAAGAAACATATTCTCTTATACACTAACTAACTCAACAAACTTCTTTGTTTGAAGAAGCAGAAAGTCCGTTGCATCCGAGGAGCGAAGCAAAGATCTCTCGTCTCGGCGTTGATCTGAACGTTAAGGACAATGAATGCAAGGCGGGAGCATATCTTTATTGAAGGACTCCCTATGGCAGGGGGCTAGGGGTTGCAGCTTCTCGAAGGTCCTTTGAACGTCGGACCGGCTGTAATAGTTATGATATCATTAGGCAGTAAAACACGCTATAATATATATATCAGGGAAAATTGACTACCATTTTAGCTATAGGCACTGGGAAACAATCCTAATATGATAGAACTCTTCCGCACTTCCTGGATAGCTTTCTGGAGTGGACTAGTAGCCTATTCAGTGTCCAGCCTCTTATAAGCACTAGAATCACCTAACATCGAGGAAGAGTACTGCGGGTGTGTCCCAGACTCGCAGTGGAGGAACAATCTGGATAGAATCACGACCTCCTTCTTAGCTTGCTCTGCATTGCATCGCAACCATGATTTATTCCCTTCCCAAGTGATGCCTTGAATCTCTGCACTCGCGTCATCATCGTAGCTTGGTTTTCGAATAATGTGAAGTATATAACACTCTTCCTGTAACTAGTTTCGACGGACGAGGAGCGATATGTTGCTGTTTCCGTTTGGATCTTCGACCAGCATGTCCCATTTGCCGCCCATGCAACGAGATCTAAATCCAACTTTGATCTTTTCCACATGTTGGTAAATCCCAAGGTGCTGTGAGACGATACTTCATGGGACTTTTCGAGCCACGGTCGTATGTGTTCGAATAACATTTCTTTATCTCCTCCTCATCCATCTCGCTGCCTGAAGAGTATTCCGTAGCGGATTTGCTATCCGTCATCGGAGCTCCAATGTAGGCTCCAGCTGTTCCGCTTCGTTGTGTGAAGTCATCTTGTGATTTGCCTCGCAGAGTCTATTGGCTGTGATGAGTATTAAAGCACTAAGGAGTGTGAATAAATGAATTCCGAATTACTGAGGGTACTATTTATAGTGCTATTCCAGATAAGATATTATGCAAGATAGGTGGTTATTTCTTGTTTTTATTGTATCGTTCCAAAGTTACAGTATTTTCAGCAAGCAAAGGCCAAAAGATGCGGGGTGGCTCTAGTTATAGAGGTCCATTGGGTCCGCCAACTCCTCTCACTTAATAACTTATGAAATATTCGAGATGAAAAACATTTCAACTGAGCTATTAAATCCGGAATAAACTTAGATTGATCTATAGGAGCGGCTCAAGGTGTCCGGTATGACCATGAAATACCCTAACGGACTTGGAGGTACTTCCTACATGAACTTTCGAGTTTTCCGGGAAGGAGCTTCTGGAAGGGCCTCAAGTTTATATGCAAAGAGAAACATGCATACATACATATTTATTATGCAAATGACAAAAGACGAGACTTTCAATGCATGAAGAACGGTATGCATGCGAAGTATTTCTAGCTCTCCTGATCAGGGTCTATTCTTGATTATGACTATAAAACACGAAATGCTAATGGTTAAGAGTGTATTTTACTTCGTGGTAAAGCAAGGTGTTCTTTGAAACTTCAGCTCTAGTCTACCAAGAAGTACTGCATCAAATGCACCATTGTACACGAGCAAAGGAATATCAAAAACGAAGTCTTGCTCAATGGACCCTCGCTTTCGCCAAAAGGAGTTTGCACTGGGCTTGAGGATAATTATGAGGGACAGCCGAATGGAATGACGTTGTAGGATCATGTCTACGAAGAACCTCAAATTTCGTACGGGAAGCCACCGCATTGAAACAAACTAGCATTGGTTCATCGTGGGGTAATGAGCAAATATGGAATCTACTCAAAAACGTAGAGAGGCGATGGCAATTCACAACAATACCTTGATGATAGAGAGATTCGTGGATGTTTTCCGCTTAAGGCTACTAAGACATTGGAACCAAGTTGGAATACTTCGGAGAAGAGTACTAGCCTTACTGATAAAGTCACGAAGCAACCTTTATGGTTACCGGCATACAGTAGAACGTCGACATATGAGTTGATTAAATCGATGAGGGAATCAAACTGGTATAGATGCCACTATTAGCATCAATCAACAGTACGTATCGTGTCAAAGCCTCTACTTGATCGAGGCAGAAGCTCCAGATCAAATAGATGATGACGGCAAATTCGTGAAGTCGGGAGAGGAAGTAAGATTATATAGAAAGAAGAGTTGAAAGTGGAATTTTGGTCGGATTACGAGTAAACCACCATAAGATAAATTGCTTCTGGAATTAGATACTTATCCTTATATTCCAAATCAAGATGAACAAGGACAGGTATTAGCAAATAGTCTTAGGAGAAGCGAAGAGGAGATAGGTTTCAAGAATTGGTTCTTTCTTGGAATCGATTCTTGTTTGAAACTTTTCAATAGACATGGCTAAGAAACCATTTATAGTATTTCACTGCTCCCACTAAGAGTATCCAATCGTCTGTCTGAACTGCAGTCCGAAATAGAAGTTTTGAGTCTTGTCAAATGGTTTCCTCTAGAACATTCAAATGCATATAAAGTAAGGTTAACCAAACCATATAAATGAACAAAACAACTATGGAAACCTAGGCATCACCTCCCCAAAACATGCACCCGCCTATCCATTCCCCTTCTCCAAGCTACACATCAAAAAGCAACCCACAAGTAAAGATCTTTCTTGCTTGCGAGGGCAACCGAGTCCCTTCTCCAGAAAAATAAATGCAAAAAAGGAAGAACATCAGCCTCACAAACACAAACAACACTTTCGTACCCATTACCCATTACTCAATACTCTCAGAGCCACCAAACTCCACTTTCTTCACCAGAAATTTAAAAAATCATCAGAGAGAATTGAGTAAATGAAAAAATATTCAGACATTAGGATATACTTACACAAACACTATTCAACCAACCACCTATCCAATCAACAACCTACCTGACCTTACTTACATAAAAAGCAACAGAGACCTAACCTTACATCTATTTATCCACCTAAAGAAGAACAAGGGAAAAGAAAAAGGGACATAGCACTCTATCTACCCTCTTCCTCTCTCTATCTATATCATTATTACAACGTACCTACTCATCCATCCATCCCCAACAAACCCCAAAAAGATCCAAATCGAAATCATTCCCTTTCCAAAAAAATTCACCACAGACCCCAAATCCCTCCTATCCAAAAAGCAAAAAGAATATGAATCCGCCCGGGGTCGAACCGGGGACCTGCCGCGATAGAATTAATCCCGTAACAGAAATTAAATTGTAAGGCGGACGTGATAACCACTACACCACGGATCCTGAATGTGTTGATTTATGATTTTATGTATTTAGTTTTGGGCTAGGTATTTAGCTGCTTGGGTTATTAGTAATGGGAATGGGGAATGAGGTGGAGAATGTCGGGGTTTTGTTGGGATATATGTGGGGTGTTGTTGTGTGAGGGGATTAGATAGAGAGTTGTTTTGTTACACCTACTTCTAGAAATAGAGAAAATGATAATATCAATTATAATTCTAGGTCTGTGTGATTGATTGATTATAATAAAATATAATTAAAAAGAAGCTAAGTATCAACTCGGTATACTCGAAATAAAAAAATGAAATAAACCTAAAATAAATAGATGAATACCCATTCCCCCCATCCCATCCTATAATGCATCCATCCATCATGTTAAAACTCCTGCCAGTACCTTTCCTTGATCAATCAATCAAACTTGTCAATAAACACCCTTCGATCTCCCTGAATTTCCTGATGATGAATCTCTTCCCAGATTATAGCATTCATGCCCATCCAGATTGACACTCAAGTACTCCTTCAGACTTCATTCAGGCTTACCTAAATGCCGTATTGAATGCTCAATTTCGTGTGCGATTTTCCGTCCATGACGTGCCGTATTATTTGATCAATAAAATCTTCTGCTTCCATCTTCCAAATAGTTGGAATCTCTTTCCTCCTCCCATTTATTCTCAAAGTTTTGTCTCTCCCATCCCTGGTTTAATAAAATCATCAATATTAACCCGGTGAAAGAATGATATATGTCCGAAAGGTAACCAATGTTGTGCCAATACATCATGAGAAATCATTATGAGTTCCGTTTCGATGAATTTAGCTATCATCAGTCAGTATGGAGCCTTATAGAATTCCTGAAGAAGGAATAAATACAGTTTCGATATCCTTGATTAGCAATTTGACCACGGCTCTTTACGATTCTTGCACCAGGCCATGCTTGCTCCCCATGACGAACTAAGCCTTTGTCACTAATATCATCAGCGATCCAGGAAATTTGACCTCGAGGTATGTTTGGATCTCCAGTCAATTTGATAGCGCACAGGGAGCCTTTGTAAATCCTTGCATGTCTTTTCTTTGCTTCCCACGCTTCAGGTGTTTCGTCTTTTCGCTCCAATATATTTGGTTCGTCGTTTTTCTGAAATCCATCTCGTTGATCTAGGAGTAAATATTCACAACCATGCCCTGAATAATCCCCGACCTAGAATTGTGATTTTAGTCAGCAGGTGATTAGAGAGATGTTTCTTTGACGAAATTTGCTAAACCTAGCGTATGTATATTCGGAATTGAGGCTTTCAACATTCATGAAACTATGAATTCTTGATACTACTTGAACCATTTCAGGTAGATTTGATCTAGCCGGATTTAGTGCCCTAGAACAAATCGGGATATGAAATAAGTTTGAGAATCAAGAATCTCTCGTTTCGGGGGAATTCCACAATGTTAGAGACCCTGACCAATTTTTCATCGATAAGACGTGATAAATAGTTATAAATTGTAGATAGGTAGAGACTTAAGAAAAGGTGATAAAAGCTGCGGGATTAAATAGGATATTGAAATATTTAATGAAGTAGGCAAACCTTCCGATCGATTGTTGCGAGCATTGATGTGAAAGTCCAGAGTTAAAATGAACAGAGGAAATGAATATGAAACTTATATCAACTTACAAAAATACCTCTGAAAGGCTTATTCTCTGTCGGTGTGTATAATCCAAAGTCAAGAGTTGACCATGTTTGGATATCTTCTCCCATTCGTATCTGACCATTCATCTCCAACCAGAATCTAGTTCGAAAAGATTGCTCATTGATTTGAGAACGATCTTCGGGTCGGCCCCATGTAGCTCTAGAAGACTGATCACAGACGGCAGAAAGATCTACCCGAGATTTTGCTGGTACGTTCGGTGGTGGCCATTTACCCTCCTGCGGTCCGTTGGCGAGGTTTTTACCTCCCAACGATTTTGCCAGTATGAAATTTGTGAAGGCACGAGAGCCAGGATCATCACTCCTCACCAAAGGTAGCTCACCCTTGAGCCTGCGCTCAGCCTCGCCCATACCCGATAGGGACCGATGAGAATAAGAATTGACATCTAATCGCAGACAATACTGAGACAAATATACCCTAGGTTCGAAACAATGAACGATGACCGAAATATCGTCCTTCCACGCACAAAATTGAGGTGGTAACTTCTCAGTTATGAGTCTGTATAATCCGATAGAACCAGTCTCGGGGTGGTACTTGGAGATCAATATTTGTCCGTAATTCCGAGAATCGCTGAACCATAACTTGTTCTTCGTAAGGAACCAATGAGGGTCATGGGATTTATAAAGCTCCTTAAAAGACTGACATGGGGCAGGAGAATCCAGGTCGACACCGGGGACGTTCTCTTGTACGAGGCGTCGCCAAAGGGAATCAGTTTTTGCCACTTCAAATAATATTTTACATGATTTGCCTAATTTCGTCAAGTCGCAGGGCGAAAGATATGAAGCAATTTGACGAAGAAGCTCAACCGGAAGGTGAGTTAGGTTGAGTTGAGTTCCATTGGAAGATCTGATAGCTAAAGTCGGGAAGCATCACTATCAGCTATCATTCTTCAAAATTGGTACCGGAATGATGATCCATGCTTAATTAGAAGACCTTGGAACGACCTTGTCATTTTCCTCAAAGGAAAGATGTAGCTCGGAAGCCAAGAACACCAAACAAGTACAATGCAACAGAGAAAGTACATACCCTGGAACACAGCACATTTTGGTTGAGATGACTTGGGGGACGGTACTTCTTGGGAGGAAAAGAATTTACTCATGTCTGGACTTTCCACTCCCTCGACCAACTGCAAAGTCGATTCGATACCAGGATCCAATCGACCATGCAAATATTTGTCGCTGTTCTCCATTTGATCGACTCTTCGTTAAAAGAAAAGGACCTCTAACTTGGAAGGTGGAATGGATTTTAAAGAGAAAAGAGGAAGGTTTATGTCCTTATGACCACACCAAGATCGACTCGTTGCAAACTTATAGATTGTGCAAGGAGATATGGTTGGATATGATGAGATGCCAAATGTGCTTTTGAAAATGGTTTCCTTGACGTCTGACTCTTATTCGATGATGATATCCTGACTGATCATTTGATAATGCTCGCAAGCATCAAGCAATCCTATCTCTTGGTGAACTATGATAGATTTAGGAAAGCAGAGGCTAAATGGTCAAGTTTCTCGAATTGCACTGACCGTTACTTACTCAGTATAATTTACGGGCGGAAATGGTGTATATTGTTTATTGTTTGTGTGAATATTAATGGGTTGATGAGATGAGCTTCCTATTTCAGATCGATGTCGGGATATTCGTCCGTTACTGTTTCAATTTCAATGCACTAGATGAGAAAGCTTAATTTATGCGATCTAAAATAATCTGGTGGATTTCATAGGTTGAGAGTTGAGACGGCAGCCAAGGGAACAGGGTGGCCGGGTAGCAAGCAAGATAGGATAGATAGTCTGTCTACCTACCAAGGTATGTGGGATGGGGAGGTGTAGGTTTGAAAGATGGATGAATGAGATGAGTGAGATTAGTTGAGGTTATAAAGGAAGAAAAGGATATTATTGTATATAATGTATGGATTGTATGTATTGTATGTATTGTATGTATTGTATGTAATGTATGTAATGTATGCAATATAATATACGTAACATACGTAATGTATGTGTTGTTTGAACTCGACCATGTAGGAGATATTGAATTAGTAGAAAAATCAACAAAGGTAAGAAACATGGTCGAGAAAGAACTAGACAGGTACTTGGCTCACCGGTCCACCAGTCCACCAGTCCACCAGTCCTGTATGTACAGCGGTTTCTGAATCAATCAATCAATCAATCAATCAATCGAATGAATGACGAATTATGACTTACGAATTGAAATTTCTTGGAGCTGACGATGACAAAAGAAACCCTCAAGCACAACCACCTCCACCTCCACCTCCACCTCCACCTCCATCCAACCTGCAGATTACTAAACCTTAATGATCTCGAGAGTCGAGACTCAAGCGAGGTAACAATGATGGCTGATAAAGGAGTAAAATAATTATATAGTCTTACAAGTAGTAGCAGAAACTTTAAGTTGAACCAGATACATTTGGGAGACGAGAATAATAATAGCAAGTCTTACGGAGTGCATCGACCTTCTCAATTCAAGGGTAAATAATTCCCCCGCGAAAATGTTAATATTCACATCATATCGGTGGACGGTTGGTATGTACGGAGTATCAATGTGTCTTCCCGTGATTATGAGAAAGAAAGTGACAGGGAGATGACAAGACTTCTAGGTTGCAACTTTCTCTGGCGTCTCATTCGTCCATACTATAAACGGCTTGGAATGATAGTTGCTTGGAAGTGGAATGGAATTATCGATTTCCTGTAGCTACCTACCTAGATATCAATCACTGTCACAATCATATTGACGACTAAAATCACCACGGCCGTCCCACGTTTTCCTTTCAGCATCAAGCATCCACCCGTAGTAAGATTACTACTCGGTATGTTGTATACCAGCAAGTTTTGCAATCTCTTCCCGATCATCACCCGCAGATCTCGTTTGTATTGGTATCGGCACACCATGCAAAACGATAATCATGCCACTCAACTCCCAAATCAATCCCCCTTCTACCACCACCACACTAAATCCGTAGCACCGCCGGAAACATTTCCAAATAGATGCCCTCGAACAATTTTTCTATTTAGAACAGGAAACTCCGATGTCGCCGTCCTTCCTCATTCTTTTACTCTCCACGAACTATTCCTCTTGCATTCCTTGTCATACCAGGAACCCAGTAACTTAAATCTTCACCGTGCCACCCTTACTAGCAAATCCCAGCGCTTCCGGAAGGTGCTTACAGTACCGTGGAGAAACGTGATATTGTTCCTCGTGGCATGACTGGGATGCAGGTGTGCATAATGATAGATAGTAACATTGATAGTACTATGGAGAAATAGGAAGGCAACATATAGACGGATACGAGGAGTACAAAGACGGAAGATGGGACGTGGAGCAGAAGAGCACCACATCTGGTTCATTGTGTATTTTGTACTCTGGAACTAGAATGTCGGTATATACTCCCACTTTTCGACAACAAGCTTTCCCTACTTTGTACCTAGATCGATTCGTCATTCATGATCTGGGAAGGATGCTACGTTGATAGACGCACAGTAGTTTCAGATGCGACGAGATAAGATTATGTACTCGGGATACCTATGGAGACTAATTCAAAAGTATATATGCAATACCTTAGGGTTAATAGGTTAACTTACCGATAAGTACCCAGATAAACATGGGGATCATCCAGTCCAGTGACATCCTAGGACTCGCTAATTCGTAACCCAACGTTGACCACTGAACCTTGTTCTAAATCAACAATTTTATACTACCTACCTTTGGCCTTCTTCTTGACAGAAAGAGGTCTTTTGAGCTCCTTCTCTATCGTTTCTACCCGAATTAGGACCTTTCCCCTGCTTTTCCTGTGATGTACTTGAAACAAGAATGAGGAAAACGCACACACACGGCTCAAATGCATTTTTTGGGAATAGCTTCATCTAGACGTTGGTAATCAAATTGGATCCCTATCGAGAAGTTGACAACTCCGGGTGGATGGAAGTAGATGATCTGTAACTTTCCGATAGACTCTTGATTTTGAAAGACTGCTATTAAAAGACTTACGACATCGAACCTATCATTTGACAAAGATACATACACTCATATCCACCCCTAACCCCCTTCCCACCAATCTGACACCAGCAACCACCGGCGTCCAAACCCACATAACCAAATCCCGCCACTCCAACCTAGCAAGAACAAAACACGCGGCAATCGTTATTTCCCAGGGATTTTCCTCTACTTCTCGCCTGTTGAGAGCACTGGGTGTTAAATGATGGGGATGAGGAGATTACGTGGATTATGGCTCGGAGTGGGAGTGTACTGTTGAAAATTTAGAGGAATGGGGTTCAATTACTTGTACGGGTAGTGAGAAGAAGAATCGTACGAGACGGGATAGAAAGTGGATGGTCCTTTGATGAACAATTGTGCTTCAATTTTGCGATTTTTGACATCTCGCATGCGTGCATGCACTTTTTTACCCACATAAAAAAAGGCACCCGTTGTGACCATTCTGTTAAATATCTCAAATAAAGGAACCAAGCTTAGAACAGGAAAAGGGAACAAAAATAACTCCATCGCTCCGTTTTAAAACCAATAAAGTTCCTCCGACGCAGGTGTATCTATCGTTCCCTGCAAATTATCACCATTAATCCACATATCTAGGTCCATCCTCCTGCCAATTACCTGCTGGTGTCTCCGCTGCATATGCACCAGGTGTGGGAGCTCCCGCATAATATCCTTGTCCTGGTGTAGGTGCATCCATTGCTTGAGGTGTTGGAGCACCCCAATAACCTGGAGCTGGAGTTGGGGCTGAATAAGCTCCCGGGGTTGGGGCGTTCATGGCAGCCGGTGTAGGAGCGGAATATCCACCTGGAGTCGGAGCATTCATTGCAGCCGGTGTAGGTGCCGATAAAGGACCGCCAGGGGTTGGAGCATCGTAAGCCGAACCCCAATTGTTGTTGTTGGATGAGCCAGAGTTCCAATTGTCGTTTGAATTATTTGGTTGATAGGCTGGAGTCTTTGAGCCCCATGCATCTCCAGAATTACTGCTACCGCCATATGCGGGAGTTTTAGACCCGAAATTATCTGATAAGCCATAAGCTGGGGTTTTGGCACCAGATGACCAAGCAGGAGTTCTATTGCCACCTCCATAGGCTGTCCGGCTACCGTCATTTGCATAAACGGTCCGAGATCCATCATTCGCCCAACCAGGTGTACGCCCACCATCAGTGGGTCCAGACTTCCAGGCAGGCGTTCGTCCACCTTGGCCACCACCATGAGGAGCTAAAAATGTTAGTAAATTGTAGAAGATAAGACGCGATTAACTTACTTCTCCCCCAAGCTGGAGTACGCTCAGGAGGGCCACCCGGCATTGGTGTTCGTCCACCCGCACCAGCATCCCAACCTGGACCAGGGGTCGCACCTCCAAAACCACCACGGCCTCTTGGAGCTCCTCCTCCCCTACCACCACCAGGTCCACCTCTGAAACCGTTTGGATCTATCGATGCACCACTAATCTTATCCTTGAATCCCAAACAGTCCTTTGGCACACTGACTACCTTGCTCTTTGTATGCAGTTCTACCCTGGCATTGGTGTCTGTGGTATCTTTGACAATGCCGAGTAAACCCTTGTATGGACCTTTCCGGATTGTCACCGTCTGTCCAATAGACTTATCACGGCCAAATGATTTTGGTGGAAGCATCTGGCCGTTATTTTTCGGATTCAGCTTCATTGCTGGGTTCATAGAGCTAAGATCCGGTGAAGATGAGGCATTTCCAGCGATGCGTCCTCCCTTAGCAGATACGCTTTGAACGCTAGTTGTTCGCGCAACGAAAACACCGGCATTCTCGGTCAGTTCAGAGCTCTTCAAGAAAAGATAGGCGCGATGAATGTGTAGAATCTTGCCAGATCTACCTTCTCCCCCGAATTCCTTCACCCCATCCTCCATCTTGATCTCGGCACCATTACGATCTGTTGCCACTGCATTTCTTCGTTTTTCAAGTTTGTTGGAGATTTGAGATGGGATAACTGTCCGGTTAGAGCCATTCTGATCAAGAACGACAAGTGATTCGCGGTCAACTTTGATAATACAACCAACAGTAGATGGATCTAATTGAACCAAGTCCCATAGCTCGTACTTTCCTAAAGCGCCACTGCCACCAGAATCGCTCGCCTCTCGAAGATCTTTGCTGAAAACGGTGATCTCATTGTTGCCCTGATCACTCAACAAAGTGACACGATCTTCGATGATCTTGACGACCATACCGACTTCATCCCTAAACCTACTTCCACCAATCACTTTAACGTGATCACCCTCACGGAAACGTTTGCGTAGACCCTTGATAGGGATTTCGATGGTTTGACCCTTCAATGCTCCTTCAGATACAGCCATCGTGACAATATCACCTGTAACAGATACTGCTTTGCCAACGACACCTTTCTGTTCACCCTCGTAAACTTCAATAACATCGCCTGGTAGGTAAGAAGCATTTGCCGTACTTGCTTTCAAGCTAGCAGCAAGAGCATTTAGGTCCAAGTTCTCGGTGCCATCTTCAGCACCAGAGGCAAATCTTGTAACTTCCTCGAGGGTTGGATTGACATCTTTAGTGATAAGTGCTTGAATTTTGACCTCCTTCTCGCAATATCCATTGATATATTCCTCATTAAAGTAGTTCCAGGTCTTCGTGTCCGGTCGGCCTTGCAAATGTTTTGCATGTCGTTTCTTGGCTTCGGCCTCACTGAAGAGTCGTTGGGGCGGACGTGGTCCAGCCACTGGGCGCTTTCTCTTTCCGTCCACTGCATTGGTATCCTCATGGAGACCATAATCGAGACGAGGTACATATCTGACACGTAGTTCAAGGCCAGTATCGGTAACTTCCATAACCTGAGCAAGATCACCAGCATATTTTGCTGGACGTCTAAGTCGTACATAAGCTCCAACCTCTACAGTTGGACTTTTCGTAACCCTGAGAAGGTCTGGCATTTCCTTAATCTCGACTAACTGCATTTTCGTTCGAGGATAGACATTCATAAGGCCATCCATAGCAGTCAAAATATCGGCCTGTCGTTGGGCTTCGACATAAATGAAGCCTTTCATTGTAGATTGCGTTCCACCACGTTCAAAAGCGCAAGTAATCGCAAGTTCCTCTTTGGTGCCAGTTCTCTCTTCGATGCGCTTCATGATCGAGAAAACGGCCTCTCTTTCTTTTCCTTCTTTACATCTTACAGCCCAGATACTAGGATCATCGACACTAGGAAGTAAAAGACGTTTTGGAACGACCGCTGATTCTCCACTGCCCCTTGAGGATCGACCTTTGTTCGCGTATCGTTGTCGCAAAATTTCGGCTTGCTTTTCCGCATCAAGACTTGCTTCCATTTCACGTCTCCTATCCAAATCTCGGTGACGCCTGTCATCTGTCTCACCACCATCAGGAAGGTCTGCCATATCATCTGGGTGTGTGTCTGCAATGAAAGTATCCTTCATTTCGTTCAATTCATCCTCGTCATCCTCATTTTCATCCTCATCTTCATCCACTTCGGCTTCAACATCGAGGAAAACATTGCGACGGTCTCTGCGACGCTTACGGCGGTGTCCCTATAGTTTGCCATTAGGTGGGAAGTCCTGGTAGATATGCCGTGAGGGAATAGTAAGTAGGAATTTATATGCAAGAAATACTTACCGTAATTTCCTCTTCGTCATCATCTTCTTCCTCTTCTTCATCATCTTCATCATCTTCATCATCATGGGCGCGTGCAGCAGTATCATCGCCCTCGCCTTCATCATCTTCATCCTCATCATCGTTAGCAGCACCGCCCGAGTTCGTTTTTCGCCCACTCGCTGGGGCAGATTCATCCTCAGAGCCATCTTCATCTCCTACTTGATGACGCGAAGCTTCATTTCGTCCTTTCGCACTACTTGTATTGTGGTCTTCATCTTCGTTGTCAGAAAGATCCGCAGGTTGGGGATTGAAACTATCGTCCTCTTCGTCGCTTTCATCAAAGGAATTATTCAGTAAATTTGAAGTAGACATTTTTAGTACAAAGGTTGAAAGAAGAAAATGTGCATTCGAGGGACGAATGAATAGTATTTGTAGTTTTTTCTTAAAAGAGACAAATCCCAAGGCCAATGGATAAAGTACAATCCGGGCGAGGCAAGCTAACCTTTGTTTTAAATGGCCTCAGCCTTCCCGACTTCGAGGGATCTAACCAAATTAGGTATAGACCAAGTTCATATCGAATTACCTAAGCCAATTGGACTTGACTGCCTACCAAGTACCTAGTACTTATAGGAAAGGAATTTTGATTGAAAAGTTTGCAATGCTGATATCAAAATGCTAAATGAGCATTTTGTTACTGCAGGCTGACCAATGAAACAGAATTATAAAGGTCTCCCCACACTCATCCTATTCTTAATCCTCAATCTAAGGACATGGAAATACTTATTCAAATCCATGCACATGATTTGACTCGAGTTTTTCGTCCGGAGAGTTAAGAGCCGTATTGACAAATAGTACAGCTGGAGTAAGTTTTGTAGCTCTTTTTTATATGGGTGAAATGCTGAGCTGTGTTTGAGTTTTGAGCTCTGAATTTATCTAGCTGTGATTTCGAATTAAACATTCCTGTTGCTCATATCATCTCATGCACATTTCACTTATCCTTCCTTGCCCCGGAAAATTGATCTATACAGAAAAATATAATTCTACTTGATACTCGAGGTTTTGCTAAAAGGAGCACTCATTCACCTGAAGTTTCATAGGCTCATGGTAAACACCAAAACAACAAATTTTTCCTAATACCACTGTAATACTTGACCTCGAGTTCCTGACAACGTAATTTCAGCGCCCAAAGGCAGTCGATACTCGCCAAGTGATCATGGGTATGACCGCGGCTAAGGATCCCATGTATCAATGATATCCGTTAAGAATTGTTAACACATCACATCCCAGCAAGGATGAAATTTCAAGCTTCCGCAAGTCTTGGTGCTACGTCGCTTGTTAGCTATGATATAGTTGCAGCCAGGGAGGATTTGAGGATGGGGGGATAGTACTCATGCATGCGACGGCTGGAGGGCTGAGATTGATGCCTGTACAGATAGTAAAGCATTTGAAGTGAAAGTTATAGCAACTGCTTGCATAAAGGAGAAACTAGAAGTGGCACGCATATTTGGTGCTCATGAATGTGTGGACAATTCTGGAGACCAAGAATGGCGGAAGAACATCTTAGAGCAAACGGGTGGTAAAGATGTTGATTTGATTTTTGATTTGGTAGGACTAATCGATTTGAGTCTGAAGTGCTTAAGGGATGAAGGGCACATACTGGCCGTTATGTTCGCGGGTAGAGAAGGAAATTTAGAAAAGGTAGCTATGCATAAAGTTCTTTTAAAGCAGGCGAAGATCATTGGCTACGTAAGTACCCATTGCATAGATTGATTGAGGTGAAGTTATTGATTGCCGCATTTTGGAGAGACAGATGGCCTGAGTCCAGAAGCGACATTGCAACCATGAAATAGGCCCAATGAGATGTCGAAAACAGGTCTCGCGAAGCCCATTGTATTTGATCATAACTATAATAGTCTGGAAAGTGTTGTAAAAGCACTGGAAGACCTGAGCGCTCGTAAAGTGTGGGGGAAGGCAGTATTAATGGTATGGGGCGTCGAAGGTGCCAATATTATAATATGACCAGTCGTGTTCGAGTATCTCATCAGAGAGCGATCCATTGCTTGATGAAAAAGTTCGAACCCTTTGTGAGCGATTCAGTTTCGGCCATGTGACTTTGCTCGTATTTGCGGTTCTAAAGTGACCAGTCACCTCACACCTATCATGCATGAACCCCACTGAGTACAATATCATAAATACTCGGATATTGTAGATGCGATCTCCAGAAAACCAAACTCCAGGCTTTTGATACGCGATAACGTTACGCTCCCATCTCAAAGCTGACTTGAAAGCCCATCAAAATCACCAAAATCATCACAGCTTCACGCCCCAAATACCCCTACCTCCGCTTACCCCGAGCCAGTCGCCATTCCCATTATTGTTCAAATTGCTTCGAGGCGCCCAGCTGATGTTTCCCACTTCATAATCACATTGCCAACTAGCGGAAGGTCCTCTAGAATTATCCGGGACCGGTGCACCGTTCATGCTAGGCCCCGCGGGGAGACCAGTATTTTGGCTCAGTAGATCCCAGATAAGAACTAGAGAATCATCAGCCCCAGAAGCAAGGGTACCTCTCCTAGATGGAGACCATTCTATGCAATTTATAGCTGCCGAATGACCTTGTAACTCAAGTAATGCTTGTCCAGGCTGTCGAACATCCAAAATACGAATGATGTTAGAATCTTGTGAGAAAGTAGCAAGAAGATGAGTATCATGTGGTGATGCAGCTAGTCTTAGTAGAGGGGGCGCATAGGACATGGTTTGCTGGGCTAAAGTCGGACTTATTCTGCCCCCACCGGGGCTCAAATCTATAAGAACAACATTAGTGAAATCCCGAAGACTAATTTTGAAATCCATACCTTTATCATCCTTTGACGTCGGCTCATAAATGATAGTGCTATGTTCCAGACTTCGAAGGTCAAACATTCTCACGCTACCATCCGCTCCACAACTAACAAAAACATCCACACTATTTGCACAAAATCTGACATCGAAGACTTCTTTGTCATGTGCAATCAATTGCGTTTTGGCCGTTAATGTGGGGATGTCCCATATAGTGCATGTGGTATCTATGCTTGAAGTAATAATCAAACTAGGTGATACAGTGTTCCAATCCAAAGAGGTCAAAGGAGCAGTATGCTCCGGTGTCTTGGAGTTAGAAAGTAAGGCTAGTGGTGTAAGTTTACTGGGAGGTAGGTCTCGGCCAGTATTAGAAGAACGTCCTCCGATAGTATTGCTGGGAGTTGCAACTGGAGTCTCAGATGGGAGAGACCACAATCTCAAATGGTCACCAGAAGTAGCCAATAAATCTGTAGATTGTTTTTGAGTAGAAGGTGGTTCCCACAGGAGCCGAGTCACAGGATACGAATGTGTTGCTTCGGCGATCTTTGTAAATTCAAGACCATATTTTGGGGCACCAGGCACATAGGATTCGGACTGAGTGGGTACGATTTGCGAATCGAGAATTTGAATCTGACAGGAAATATTAGCATTGGCAAACGCATATATTCTCTAGCTATAATGAAATCGATAAACTTACGAAGTTATGGCCGTCTTCTAAATAACTTCCTATAGCGACTTTCCCGGCATCGTTGTTTTGCGCTGGCCATTTACACCAATCGAACGCATATAGAGCCCACGGTGCGAGGTAGTTGCTGTTGGTAGGCGTCGCGCTGGTACCATCATATGAATATGGATTGGCGCCAGGTACGCCTTCGGCAAGTGTCGAGTCTGCGCGTGGTCGAATGTCCGCAAGGCCTAGCGGGGTATTGGATACAGTCCTTTGTGAATTCTGTGGTGTATACTTTTGTGTCGGAGAGGAGAATTGATTTTGCTCAGAACCTCCCGGCGTGGTCGCTTGAAATGTTGCAAAACCTTGGCTGTCAAACCCCGCCGCTGGGCTTGATCGAGTATGATTGTGCGAAAGACCTGTGGTTCGTGAGGGGGTTGAGTACTGATCTTGCGATATTGTAGGTAATGAAGGTGCTGTATTTGTGGAAAACGGACCTGGTCTACCTGGTTGTAAAGCACCAGGATATTGGGATATGTCAGGAGTGGCTTGCTCTAGGGCTATACGTGCACCACTTGCACCGTAATCTCTTGGAGATAAATTGCCTCGTTGCGCAGACATACTTGAATGCAGCTCGTCCGCGTGTCGAGTTCGCCTTGGTGTTTCGTGTTGTTGGGATTGATTCATTGAGGTATTGTTTATATTGGTCGTCATAGAAGAATTTGGATGCGGTAAACCAAATGTTGTTGGTGGTGCTGATTGTCCTGCGCCAGAATTCAATGAAGGCATACCAAAACTACCTAGATTTGCAGCAGCCTGTAATATACCTCCTGTGGTAGACGTTCCAGGTATCGCATTCTGTTGCGATGAAGACGAACGAGGATTTGAGTGAATATTAAAAGAATCAAATGGCATGGCGTAGGGGATTTAATTCAATGTCAGCAATGAGTGGCTTGCTTTTCCCACCTGCTCGAAGTGAGACTGACTCTGGATGCACAAACTGCCCAATGGGTGGGAAAAGAGAAGGTGGGATAGAAAAGGCCGGAAGTGTAATTGGGTACACAGAGAAGAATGATCGTGGGGCTTTGATTTGATTAGACCGCTAAAGATTTAAGGTGTTAGTGAAGTGGAAAAGAGCCTAAACATCCCGACAAGGCTGGTTTAAACTTATTAGCCTGTACGATACTTGAGTACCGACCAGACCACCCTAACACATTTTATCTGTACTGTACTGACTGTACTTATTGTCTGCTCTCGGTACATTTGAACACTCTCTTACAAGATTGTTTCCTCTTTGCTCTCCATTGTTTTATCTCCAGGGAAGGTTAACTTTCCATTCACCTTCACCTGGATCGAGGTGCTTTATTGTGCGGGCGATATACCTAGTTGTCGATCATGTCACAATCCCTACTTCTACTCCCTCAACACCCCGCACCAGCTACAGCTGCTACACTCAGTGCGGCTTACCATTCATCAATATCCGCAGTTCTTTCAAGTCTCAAAGCTTCCTCATCCAGTACCAAGCTTACAATCGCGCTCGCATCTTCAAATTTCCATGACCGACTGAAAGCCCCAAGATCACAAATTTACAATGAGGCAGAGAAGTTACTGGGTGGTGTTTACAGCTTGATTTGTTCTATTTGCGCCAAGGAAGAGGTCAATATTACATCCAAGTTACCTGGAGCTGTGGATTTCCGCATTATTTTACTGGATTACGATTCCACTCGTTTTCTCAACCAGAAGAACTCTGGACGTGATGTGAGTCTTGGGATTTTAGCTGGTGGTCCCATCGTTGAACTCCCTTTATTTGCAAGTACGCGACGTCATTGGAATAAAATATTCTCAGTGGAAGGCGAGGGAGGACAGAATTTGCTTGGAGACTTTCTACAATTCGCAAATAGAATTAGTCCTCCTTTACATGCAGAACTTCAAATGGTCGGTGGCGGAGTGAGCATGGTTCAAACTATTTCCCGGTCCATCCAACCAAATTCTTCCACCTCTCATACTGTGGTAGCAGTAGGTGGTACGTTTGATCACCTTCATGCGGGGCACAAGCTTTTGCTTACGGCCACTGCACTTTTACTACAACCAGTCGCCAGTTCTCAGGACCCTCCCCGGAGGTTGATCGTCGGTATTACAGGGGATGAATTGCTGAAGAACAAAAAGTATTCCGAATATCTGCAAAGTTGGGAAGAACGACAAAATGATGTCGCTGAGTTTCTTACCTCGATTCTGTCTTTCACACAAACTTTTGGCGAGGAAGCTATTCAAACAGTTCCTGTGGAAAATTCGAATGGTCGGGCTATACATACGAAACTCAACGCTTGCTCGATCACCATTGAGTGTGTTGAAATTCAAGATCCTTATGGGCCCACTATCACTGATGAAACGGTAACCGCACTCGTTGTATCCGGAGAAACTAGGTCAGGTGGACAAGCAGTGAACGATAAAAGAGTCGAAAAGGGTTGGAAGGCACTGGAAGTCTATGAAGTCGATGTGCTCGACGCGCAAGCTGGTCTCGAGACCACCTCAACATCGGACGAATTTGCTTCCAAGATTAGCAGTACTGCAATAAGGAAGCAGATGGCCGATCGCAAACCAACCTCTTCACTCTAATCAAAACATTACCCCGCGAGATCTCGTTCTGCATAGATACCCAATCTTGGCCGGAGCCTATATGAAGGAGGAGGATGGATATATTACCGCTATTGTCCGAAATAAGGTTGTAGAGTGATGTCTTCCATGCAGAACTCCGGCCCAGTATTGAGCCAACTGCGCCGTAACAATATGCACGTCATTTACAGAAATTCAAAGTTTATGCACAGGAATCACCATCCGACAGGGTTCGCCGTCTCATCTATACCCGTTACTTTGTCTGGAACGCAGCTTTCGCTCTTGACTCAACATATCAATAGCGTCTGGGTATCGATGTCCGCCACTACCACCTTATGGCACCATTTTCACAATCCAACCACGCCCAGATTCCATGCTAATGATGAAATTTCCACATAAGAATTCGGATGAAACGTCCAACGGACACAATTTCCTAAAGGTGCGGAGAATTATAGAATGAATGTTGGTCCTTCAAACATCCCTTTTCTCGTGTGGTGCAATTGAGTTAAGTTATGCGGGGACCTTGAATTAAGCGCCCGTTATCCAATAACGTTTCTTGCGCAAATGCACAGGTTCAATTGGATTCAAGCCCTTTCCAATAATTGTGGAAGGATTCACCCACACTAAAAAGCGCAAATTGGCGTCTTTCACTCGACCAGGTTTATTTTATCGAATAATCATTAATATTCGGCCAAAATGGTGGAGAGTTGCATTCAGTTCCATTCTTATTTATTACAATTTAACAAGCCGTTCGTTCTCGCTCTCTGCTCTTTTTATCCATGTTTCGCCTTGAGACTAGGTCATGGGCATAAGCAGACAAGAGTAACCACCTTTTTAACCCTCTAACCATCGGGTGAAACTTTGCTTTCTTCTTATAGGTCCCTTTAATTTTAATGTTAGCTTTTGAAATTCATCGCATCGTATTCGTCGAGATTCGATACCGATTTTAACTGTTTTAACGGTATTTTAATGGTGCTTTCATACCTACATCATTTAGATGCTAGATAAGTTTATCTTGATCTAGATAGGTAGTTTTGTCTAGTCCGTATAGAGTCGACACACATTTCAGACCTACCAGTGCTTGGGCCTAGGAGCATTATCCATCTAGCCACTGAGCCAGTGTTTTCCCTTCTCTGACCCGTAATTCGTTCGCCAGACACAACCATGGCCAAAAAAGACGATCCCCATCACTCCACTAAGCTACGATTCGCTGTCATTTCATGCAGCCATGAATGGGTACATCCTTGCAGGAAATCTGTATCCTTTTTCGTGTCAAATTATATCATCTTGAACCGTTTGAACCTTTTCAATATTCCTCCTTTCGTCCCTGATTGGTATTTATACAAGATCACATGATCGTATTTGCACCGACCGATCGGTAACCCACAACCCGCTGCAGGAAAGCCATAAAATCATTCTGACCAACCAAATTTAAAACAAGCAATTTATGCGCATCAGAATAAAATTCTATTAAATATCGGAGAAGGATCCATCCACCATCCACACACATTTTGTCAGTCTCTCAAGTGATCCCTTTAAGATGCATCGACACGTCAGAATTTCATAAAACCTGGCTGCTCGACCCTTGAAAACTCCATATCCCATACATAGAGTGCCGGCACTCAATCTCACTCCTTATGATGTAACTATTCAATATTCGTTCATTATTTCACTTTATATCCTTGTCCATTCTCTGAATAACCTCAAGAATATCCTGTTCTTACGCATTCGCTATGTGAGGTAACACTACACTTGAAATATTCAACTTTTCTGACCTGTCATCATAGAGAAAGTGCCGCATTTCCAGCCGTATACAATCATTGTCTTTCTCGAGATGGAAGAGCTGAAATCTATCGAGAAACTCCCGGATGAGATTCTCTACCGAATCCTTTTGCAATTACTTTACCAAGATTTTGACTTAAGGCCACCATCTTGGAATCCATGGACTCAATCGCCGCATGTGCTCAATTTTTGCTTGACGCAGAGGAGATTCTACAGGGCATATTCTCTATGTAAATCGCAAACACCCGAGTCCAAACTTACACCTATATACAAACTCTCGAATGAGATATTAGAGAATATACTTGAATATCTCGTTCATAATTCTGGAAAATTGATTCCTATTGACCATAGAGCCTCTTTAAGTGTAGAGAGTTTCCAGTCTATGCCACCACAATCGTTAGAGGACACAAATATTACCACAACTCTTGTATGGGATTTCCTATTTGTTACCAAACATCAATCAATTTCTGATGAAAACTTTATTAGAGCCGTACATGTAAAAAATTCTACAGTTTATTGCTGGGGAGACAGTTTGCCCGTGTCTCCATTCGATGCTCCGATGCTGGTTTTAACCGGTTACGGTTCTTAGTGGAAGAGCGACCTCACCTGGCGAAACACGTTAAGAAATTCTCGTACATGATTCCTGTTTTTTATCACCGAGGTATTTTCTGATCTTTTAACTACAATCCGCATTTCAACTAATCCATTCAAAGGTCTAAGTCAACTTCAGATCCTATTTGACGAGACTCACGCCGCGACACTCACTTTGGAGAGACAAGTAAACCTAAAACAAATCACTAGCAATACTCGTCAAGTCGATAGATCTCGGCCATCGCTCAAGCAGCTTCGCACAAAGCTTGATCGTAGCCGCAAGGATGAGATTACCATTTTTCGAGTACTATCACGAGCCCGGGAGCAGGCCACCATTATCAATAATAAAATTGATGTACAGAGCTTACTCCACGCTTTTCAATTGTTCGACCACCTTCAACAGATACGTCTCATGAGGGTCCAAGACAAAGTAGATATAGATTGGGCATCCTTCCTCCGAGAAAGACGCTGGATCGCCTTTTCTCAAAACAACAACAATAACGATATAAGCGATCCCATTCTCTCCTTAGATCTCGACCCCTTAGAATGGACAGTTGCTTGCGAGCACTCAGCTCGAGCACTCGGCTACGCTTTTCTCGAGTCCAAATCCCCTGCAACACGTTTCTCAAGCCGTTTCGTCAATCCACGTATCCCCTTACTTCTTAACCCACATTCTCATCACACAATCTCTACACTAGCAAATCGTCTCACATGTCTGGAAATACAAATCCAAGAACCTTCAGATGATAAAATGCATCAACTTTCTAGTCTCTTCAATACTTTCTTCACTTCTGCTCATCAAATCCAGGGTTTACATGTCGGGTTTCCTTCCAATAGACCTCTAACTCATGTACCGCTCGAAGCGGTCTTCCATCATGTTACGTGGAATAATTTAAGATATGTAGGGTTCGGGGCGTGGCATCTGGAAAGCGAGGAAATTATTAGGCTGTTGAGACGTCATAAATATACGTTGAGGAGTGTGAGACTGAGGAGTGTAAAGTTGAAAGAGGGAAGTTCGTGGATAGAGGTTGTGAGGATGTTAAGGAGGGAATTGAGGGAGTTGAAGTGGGTTAGTTTGAGGGGAATTGGGTATGTAAATGCAGGTGGAAATGGGAATGGGAATGGCGGCATTGGAATCGGAGTTGGAGGAGCAAATCAAATAGGAAATCCCAATGTAGGCAACGCCGTGGACATTGACGACGATAGCGACGATAGCGACGAAGAATTAGATTTCGAGGATACAGCCATTGGAGATCGCACCTTAAGTCACCACAGTAGCTCTGTTCATTTACCTTCTTCTTCTTCTTCTCCCTCGAATAAAGGTAACACTACAGACGCGAGAGAATCGGACAAAACAAGAACAAGAAGCATAGAAAGCAGGGCGGCAGTTGGAGCAGTAACGTGTGAATGTGGGAATGGATTCGCGATGCAAGATTTGGGCTACGGAGGTAGTGAAGGTGTGGTGTTGAAGCATCATTGGAAGTTTTGGGAATTGTGGGCTGTGAAGAGATGTGCCGTGCATGATTCATGATGTGTGGTTGGTGGTGGGTGGTGGGTGATGGAACTTGGGCTTTGGAGAGATATTTTGTTTGGAGGGCTTTGGCTTTGGGGTATGATAATTTATGGGTGAGGTCGTTGGGTTGGGGACTGGTTTGTAAGTATGGTTTAGGTTGGAATTAGTACGGTGGGTGGATGGATGGATGGATGGATGGATGGATGGATGGATGGATGGATGGATGGATGGATGGATGGATGGATGGATGGGTGGACGGATGGGTGGCATTTTGTGTTTTTTTGTTTTGTGTTTGAGGGTGTGAGATTATTGTGATAGGGTTAGGATATGTGGGCGGGCTTGTGGAAGGAGGATGGGGGACTTTCGATTCGAGATTGGCTTTTTATATAGCATTATATCATATCATATCATATCATATCATATTATATCGTCTCATCTCATCTCTTCTAACATGCAAGAAAATCTATAAATTCCTAGGACGCATAGCGTAAGAATAGTACTTATGTTTATACTTCATTACTTCATCGCTTCATCACTCAAACCCAACCAAGTAACACATCAAGTAACACAATCGAATAAACCATAGTACAGTCTGTCCTGTCCTGTCCATTGGTATCAATACACCCCCTTTCCCAAACAAACCCCATCAAAACCCCTCATGATCAGTATCATCATCATCATCACCATAATCACCATTTCCACGCCCATGACCATCATGAAGCTGCGCTTCTCGATCCACCAACAACTCCTCCAAATGCTTTTCCTCATCGCTTTCCTCCTCCCTACCGCTATCCTTATCCACATCCACCAAAGCCCCTACCCTTCCACTTCCACTTCCACGGACGAGGAAATTTTCCTCCTGTCTCGCTAGATCCTTTTCTAGTTCTTTTAATCCGTCGTCGTCTTCTTCTGCTTCTGTTGTTTGTTCATTTATTAACTGTTTTTGTTTTTGTCTTTGTGATTGTGATTGAGATTGTGTAGTTTTATTAATATTTTCGCCTTTGTTTTCGTCATTCTTCTTTTCGTCATTACCATTTCCGTTATCATCATCATCATTATCGTCAATCTCCCCACCCATAGACTTCAATGCTCCCCTTAGAATTCCTTCTCCTTGCCTGAAAGCTTGTAATTCGGCGCCTATAGCAACAACCAATAAATTCCAGCCCTTAGTCTCCGCTACTTTTGTCGTCTCGGCAAGTTTCCCAATGACCTGCTTCATTTTTCCAATTTGTCCCTTTAATCCATTTACATCGCCTACCTTTCCACTCTTCATACTTTCCCTCAATTCATCCTCAAATCGTATCACTGTCCCCACGGATTCTTCCCAATACTTTGCTCCATCCTCCAATGCTTCTTTCTCCTTTTCTACCTCTAATTTCCTTTCTTGCAAAGAATTTATTTCTTTACTCCACCATTCCTCTGCCATTTCTAATGTGCGGCGCTTAGGTGGAAGCGTCATAAATCCTTCTTCATCTCCCATACTGATCGATACCATGACTGGTGGTCTAGTCAAAAATTCCTGGACTTCGGATTCTACCTCCTTTAGAGCTCCACGGTAACTAGATAATCGAGATTCTCTCTGATTAACTCTCTCTTTAATACGTTCTTCTAAACAATTCTTTCGAGCCTTCATTTGTAACAATCTATCTTCCGTTTCTCGTATCTCGTTTGCCACAGCCCTCTCTTCCGTCCGCAGTTCGGCTATCTCTCGATCTTCTTCGGATTTGCCTTCGGAAGATTCAATTCTCTCCCTATCCAGTGAAGTCGATCCAAAGTTTGTTGTGTCCGCTGAGATGAACTCCCCAATTTCCTTCTTGGCCTCTTCGATTCTAATCTTCCAACCCTTTGTTTTCGCAATACACATCTCTCTCCTTTCAATTTCTTCTCCTAACAAATCTCCTTCCTCGCCTTTAACGTCCGCCAACTCACTCATATCCCTTAATAATCCTTTCCTCGCCGCCTTCAATCCAATTGTCCTTTTCTTCGGTTGCCTAACAGGAATTGTCTGCATATGTGCTCCATCTTTACTCCGACCCCCTTGACCACCTTTACCCCGTTGTAACGATCTCGTCGTAGGCGTGCTATTTCCACTTCCATCTCCCATGTCACCACCCCCTCCACCAAAACCTGCCAGTAACCCCTCACCCTGCGCATCCAGCAACATTTGTAATTCTGCCTGCAAAGCCCTTTCCCTCCTTTCCAATCCCAATAAAGTATCGATTTGTACTGAGCCTCCAACACTACCCCCTATGGACTTCAAACCTCCGACGCCTCTTCTCGCTTCCCTCACCAAACTTGCTTTCAAACTAGGACTTCTACTACCATCTAAACTTATTCCCATCTTCCCGCCCATTCCCAAACCCATAACGCTTCCCGCAATGGGCGGGGGAGGAGCGGCAAATTGTATCCTCCTTCCCTTCGCCTTCCCATTTCCTTTCATTTTACTCGCAGATCCTGCTTCCGAGACAGGTCGAGGTGATATCGTTCTCGCATTTGTACTAGTAGGGGATCGAAGGTCCCTATAAAATTCCGGTGGTGGGCTTGGCGTGATTCGAGAAGCTGAAGGGGGAGAGAGATCACGCAAATTAATGCCATTATGCGAATTATATTCTCTTGATAGAAGAGGATGTTGCTGATCATTCGTTCCCGAAGAGTTGCTGAAGAATGAATTGCGGGAGCGGGACATTTTGATTGCGTGATTCGTGGTCTTTGTGCCGATGTTTATGATATCGTAGATGTGATAGGTTATTCAATGTTTCGTTGTTCAAATACGGATATTTTGTAGGTATAGAATGTGTTCATGGTTTAGGCACTGATGCCGTTAAGTGACGAGATCGATTGTAAAGGTCGTAAGTACCACTAGCCTGCTTGAAACAGAGAAACACTAAGAGTAATAGAAATTTGATAGAGCTGCAGCTACTGGGTTGAAAATGCAATTGTTGCATAAATGATCTGAATGATATGAGCACATGTAGAAGAGTGTGAATCAAGCTCGCTGGAATTTCCACTTCAAACCATTGAACAAATTCCCAACTAGGTAGGTAGCAAGATATCATGCAAGTTGCTACGACATTTATCACATGCGATAGGATAGACACGAGGTCAGCCTTGTGAGGGACGTGCGCAGGAACGAGGCTGAGAGCTGTCAGGCTATCGTAACTTTTTCATCCTTCCAATTCTTATTGTCCCAAGTCCAACTTGTAAAGAAAAACTTCATGAAAGGAAAAAGGGTTTAGAATGAATCGAGCTCGCTATTGAAACATCACGCTGTCAAGAAAATCGATAGAATATCATTAAAAAGGCACATTTGTAGGCGTAAAGCATTTGGTATTCTTCTATTAACAAGGCAGTACATTCTGTACTATTGCACCCAATCCGTGACCTTCTGGTTTGCTTGGTTTCATTATCATAACCGTTAGAAGCATGAAAGAATGATAAAACCAATAGTGGTACAAACTCGAGAGGCTGTACAGTAGCATGGAAGCTTGGTTCAATGCAAGGTTAGGGTGGATAGTTTTTAAGAGTTGAACCAAGATTCATGATAGTAATATCTTATCTTCGTCCATAACTCTTTAAAGTTGTCCCAAACCAAGGTTCTCTGGCTCAGCCTTGATAACACGGAGACTAGAAATAGATGCGTTAGTAAAGTTGAGGACCGAATTACAATGATTAAAACTTACGTGTTGGTGTTACCCATACCACCCTTCCATCCTTGAACAACGACGACGCTCTCACCCTGAGCCAAAACCTTAAGCTTCATAGCCTCAGCAATACCCCACTTGATTCTTCTGTCAACATCCTCTTGCCAGTTGACCTTGGAAAAGTCTGGCTTCTCCTCAGCAAAGTGGAAAGGATAGACACCACGGTACAAGTGACCGTATCTGGATGCGCTGGCATTTCGGGTTACCATGAAGATAGGGCAGACTGGTCTGTACTTGGAGAGAAGACGTGCGCTCTCTCCACTGGTGGACAAGACAATGATGGCGCCTGCGTTGATATCCAAACTGGCACGGACGGCAGACATGGCGCATGATTCAACAACGCTGACTGGTCTTTCGGCAAGTTTGCAAAGTTCCTCGAAGTGAGAGACATATGCGATAGAGTTCTCGGCGCTCAAGCAACATTCGTGCATCTCGTTAACGGCCTCATTAGGATAGTTTCCCTTGGCAGTCTCTCCAGACAACATAACACAGTCAGCACCATCGGTGACAGCGTTACCAACATCACTGATCTCAGCACGAGTTGGTCTTGGGTTGAGAATCATAGATTCGAGCATTTGAGTAGCACAGATGACTGGTTTTCCGGCCATGTTGCACATAGCAATCATCTTCTTTTGAGCAGCGAAAACCTCAGCAGCTGGGATCTCAATACCCAAGTCACCACGAGCAACCATGACACCATCGGTCTCCTTCAAGATCTCAGCGAAGTTGTTAAGACCTTGTCTGTTCTCAATCTTGGCAATGATTTGGATGTGCTTTCCATCTTCACCGAGAACTTTACGGATGGCCGTGATATCCTCACCACGACGGATGAATGAGGCGAAGACCATGTCAACATTGTTCTTGACACCAAATCTCAAATCGGCTTGATCTTTCTCGGACAAAGCAGGAAGATCGACATCAGTGTTTGGGAGGTTGACACCCTTGTTGGAAGAGATCTTTCCATTGTTTCTTGCGCGGCAACGAATGGTCTTGTCATCAACAATCTCCAAAACATCGAATGCGAGTACACCATCATCAACGTAGATGATACGTCCTGGCTCGATAACCTTGGTAATATTCTTGTAATCGAGGTACCTGAGAGATGGCGTAGTAGATTAGCGATGGGAACTAAGGCGCCTGTAAAGTGTTGGAGGCTTATACGTACATGTTCTTGTCATCACAAGCAGTAGCATACTTGTCATCGGTGGTAATGTTGATCTCTGATCCAATAGAGATAGGGATATCAGCATAGCCAACTGTGCTACCAGTTCTAATTTCTGGACCCTTTGTATCTAAAGCGATAGCGAGTTGACGACCAGCTTGGACTCTCTCAGCTTCACGAGTGTTGTCAATAACGGATTGATGGTATTCGTATGAACCATGGGAAAAGTTCATGCGGACGACATTGAGACCAGCGATACGGAGCTTGTTGAGAGCCTCAACAGAATTGGTCTTAGGACCAATAGTGCAAATAATTGAAGTACGGCGATAGTTCTTGGTAGGCTTGAACTCAGTGTTGAGGTTCGCCAACCAAGAAACCTTGGACGTTCCAGTACTTAAGTGATCCATTGCAGTGGCCATTGTTCCAAGTTATGGGAGGGAGGGAGGAAAGGTTGAAGGTTTTGTAGGTAAGATTCCTTTTGGTGGGGTTGGTACAACTGCAAAGGGCCTTTTTAATTCGTCAGTTTGAAATGTGAGCAATCAAATTAAAATTAAGGCCAACAGTTGCCTTGAAAGACTGGAAAGGTACAAACAAGAAAGTTTAGAGTGATTGAGATCTGCGGGAAAGGGAAAGGGAAAGGGAAAGGGAAAGGGAAAGGGAAAGGGAGGAGTTTGGTGTAGCTTTGTGTTCCCTCCAAGCGTGTTCCTTGGATGAAGACACGGTCAATGATAAAACAACCCAAGAATGCCAATGTTTTGAGCTGAGAATCAATACGGAGTACAAGCACAAGAGGTATTACGGTTAATACCTAGAAAGGTAAGAAGTAACCAAGGGCCCAGGTAGATGATATATCATACACGGAATGGAAGAAAATGAGATGTAAACTTACTTTGCCAACTAACGTCGAGTTGAGAATGAGGAACGAATAGAATAAATGTAAAAGACCTTGTGGTTGTGTTGTGAAGAATTGATGGATGGGAGGAGGGGGAAAATGATCCCTTTTACACAAATACCCTTCAAGAAACAAATCGTCCCCTCATTTTCAAGCCAGCCCACCATGAGCATCCATATCCTATCCATCTCATCCCACTTCACTTTGATGGATTTGCTTGCTGCTTTGACCCCACCTCACATCAACACGTTGAATTTAAGGGTGCAAGGTGCAGCAAGATAGAGTAGTAGCTCCACGATAAATGAGTTTTTTTATGAATGTCACATACTATGAATGGCGAGCCTATGATGGTACCTAGTAAGTAGTAGGTCCATAGTAGGTATTACTAGACAGCCAGTTTCGATATACGGAGTACTCGGTGCAAACTGTTCCAAATAGTCTCGCAGCGAGGATAAGATGGATTGATACAATAAGACGCTGACAATAAAATCCAATATGGACGATGCCTCAATCTTCAGTCTGCAAAGAGGTTCAGAGGAATAAGGCTGGCTGTATCTGTCCATGGATAATAATAAGATGGAGAGAATGGACACTGAACCTTTTTATTCTCCTACCTACGGAGTACTAGGTATATGTACCGAGCACTCTGTATATCTATGTCTATGTCTATGTCTACCCGTAGATGTATCCATGTCCACCTCATCTAGTCTGCACGTAACATATAAAAAGTGGTTAACTCTTCTCTGAAACTCTGATCCTTCCCACATCAGAATGTTGAATCGACAACAGCTACCCAAGTGTTAAAGGACCCTTGGCTGATTCGTTGGCAGGGTAGGATTTTGGTGAAATCCCTTACAACTGGATGCTGGGCACTTTTATTTAGTCTTTTAGATACTCAGGTCCAGCAGCCCACTAACCGTAGGTTATACCAGATGTAGAACTAGTAACTTCTTAGCTAGATTGGGATTCGGCCATTCTTTCGGTGCTGTCGAAGTCAAAATCTTTTAAAAATCACTTTTGGGCGCTCTACGCGTCGTCCGTTCTCCCGCTGTCCCCTCCTTCCGTTGTCCCGTTCGAAAGGAAATGCGATTCGGCCTGATGTTGATGTCTAATATTGCAGGCATGAAGTAAGGCATAACTTAAGGCACTGAGTAAGGCATCAAGTAGGGCATAACTTAATGCACAGTTTAAGGCATAATTTAAGGCATAATTTAAGGCATTCAAGGCATGACTTTACGCAGTGTGTTGGGTAATCTCCGGTAGTGTAATCGCATTGTTGACGGTGAATGGCACCCGATGACTACCAAAACTCAAAGTCAGCTCAAAACATAACCATAACGAAACAAATCAAGCAAATCACAACCCAACCTTCCGCACGCCAAATAAGATTCGAGTTTCGGATTACTACCTTCTGCTTTTCAGTATAGCATTTCGGAAATCGTATAAATCTCAACTCTTCAACTAATAAATATGGTGAGTTGGTTCATCCCCCCTTAAGTTTTCAGGTCTTTCAAAACATGAGAACCTAATCAGCCCAGTTCCTCAATTTACTAACATTTGGACTCGCGGGAAAGCTCGGAAAACTTACTCATTATGCATTTGATGCTGTCCTATGTAAGTAACTAAACCTTTCCCTGTTCGCTGTCGCTGATAAGCTTACTGACCGTTCTTGAAACAGTCTCAGCATTCTTGGCTGGTATGAAAAGATCAACTGGTTTAACGTGTGTTTACCCCTATACTTTCCTTTGCGACTGTACTGCGCAATGATCAACTTGCAATTCAAATGCAGCATGTGGACTTCTTGATCCAGCGGTGTAATAGGAAGTTGGACCAGAAGGCTGACAATTCCCGATTCTTCGGGACTCTAGACCCAGTCTTAAGAAAGATGTGAGCGAAAACAAAGAGCTCAATGGTTGGATCGAGAAATATCTTGGAGTTGGTGAATGGGTTATGGATCAGTCGGTAGCCATCGCAGGGTCATCCGGCTTCTTCGAGAGGAAGAGATGATTCAGACATTCGATACCGATGTACGAGGAAGGAGACATGCATCTCGGATGCGCCTAGGGAACGACTTCACGGCAGATATCTTGCGGCTCGGCGAACGATTGGAGTAGAAATTCCACGGAGTTTTGGGCGTTTTTTTGAGGACATGTCTGCCTGAGGGTGGTGATATAAGGACGATATGGTTAAGGCGACGGGTGGTATTCTCTTCTATGAGTTAGGATACTTTTGCAGACAAAGGGAGGGAACGAAAATGTAGCTTTAAATACAGAAGACGTATTGCCGACTATGTACATTTTCTTGCAGAGGGCATCTCCACATCTTGTTGACCCATCTTCCGAGGCACCAGCCGAAAATACCCGAATCGAGTTCTTTTTCGAGACTTTGAATACATTCTTTCTCCTTCCTTTTGCTTTTCCCCACTCTCCGCTCTCTCCTGGGTCTTCCTGACCTCTTGATTCTCCACCGTGGCTGACTCGTTGCCCCTCTCAAGTTTCAATTCGTTTGACTACAACTACAAAACTTCGAAGCTCACCACATCCATCTATGGACAACTTAGAACACTTAGGAAATCACAAAGGCTATAAATACGCTTGTATCTCTATAATTGTAGACATGACCTCATATTTCAGCTCACATCGAGCTCTGTGTCTAGCTTCAGGACTGACAAAAGAAAATACTTCAAAATAAAACAATTGCCTTTCGCCAACAGAAACCAACCGAGGGGTTAAAGCTTGATGGTTGGATGACTTCGATCCTTTGGTGTGTAAGATTATTACAGCGAGAGACCAAAGGACTTCAAAGTAAATGATATTGTGGATCGACGGGATACGAATAAATATTTAAGATGCCGGCATTGAATTTTAGTGATGAATAATATCTGATGGGCTACTAGCCGGAAGATCTACAGGCCGGCGCGGGCCTAAATTGGCCGGCAACAGCCCTAAATCCTAGTACCTCATCATGCTCCACACTTCATAAACTTATCCTCGACCTCGACCATACCTCGCATCAATGGCATCCTAGGTAGTTTTCGCAAAAGTTTATTTCATGATGCCAAAAATAATTTCATACAACTTAGCCATCGGATGAGATCGCCCATCCTTGGGAAGCATAATCGTCATGCTACCACCACCAACTCTAAGCTTCACAATTCCCTCTATCCACGATAATTCCAGTCTTGATTGTCGCATCTACCATCCTCCATGCTTGGTCCCTACTTCTATCTCCCAGGCTATACCATGGAGAAAGAGAGCCGCCATCGTTGCGCATCCTTATGCACCCTTGGGAGGAAGCTATGATGATCCTGTAGTGGATTTGGTTGCTTCTACTGTTTTGAAGCAGGGATTTGTTGTAGGGACTTTCAATTTTCGGTACTTATAACTATGCAACTTCTATAATGTTATTGGATTCTAGTTTTACTTACTATCCATTAGTGGTGCCGGCTCTTCGAAAGGACATACTTCATGGTCTTCCCTACCTGAACAAAATGATTATATATCATTTATCGGATTCATCGTAACCTATTTGCATCACCTTACCGTGCCCTATTCGTCCAGTGCACCGTCATTTACACAATCTGATCCCCAACTCCAAGACCTCGCTCCTATTCGGTCACAAGGCCCATTGGAAACTACAAATGATAGTTCTTCAGGTAAAAACACGCCTGCCGGGTCGAGTCCTGGAGGGTTCGAAGCGCAGCCTATTCTATTACTTGCGGGCTATTCATATGGAACTCTCATCACAATTAACCTCGACCCGAGCCTTCTGGCTATTCTTGCTCCATTTCAACAGCCAGTCTCTGGTAGCCCGTTCGCAGACATAAGATCTCGAGCACGATTCTTAGCCACTCAACAGAACGAGGTAATTGAAACTGCATATTCATTACTTCGAGCGGGAAACCATAGACGAGGCCGTAGTTTACAATTAGGAGAACAGATGATGGATCATAAAAATCGACTATCTAGCTCGGGGGTTAGAATGGGTGGTGATGAAGATATTAGAAGGGCTAGTCATGATCTACATGGTTCCGGAGTGAGACGATCATTCTCCGTGGATGCACCATTAAAGGTTAGAAAGAGCGTAGACAGAATCAAGTCTCTCGTTCATCATGGGTCTCCAAAAAGAGGATGGAGCTATACTTCGATGCCTATGGGTCAGGATAGCGATTCAAATGCAGAAAATTCAGATGGGCATACTCCTGATAGGAAAGTCGAATCCGCTGGTAGCCTTGGGGATGATATCAAACTTGCCTACTTACTCATTTCCCCTTTACCTCCTGATGGCATGATCAACAACTTAGCAAGTATCGGAAGTTTCAAACCGAATTTTCTATTCGGGAAGCAAAACCACAAAATGGAATCCGATATTAAGTTCACAATTGATCCTACGCTGGTCCTCTATGGAACTGGTGATCTTTTTGTTCAAGCCAAAACTTTTGAACGTAAGTGAACTGATCAATCCATCACCTAAACTTGAAAGAACAGGCACTAAGTATTAGCTTACAGGCTGGACCGAAAAATTGTCGGGTATATGCAAAGGTAGAGAACCAGGGAATGCGACGACTTTTAGATATGAAGAGATAGCCAACGGGGAGCACTTCTGGAGGAATTCTACAGCTGCAAGGGAACTGAAAGAGAACATTAGAAGGTTCTTGGTAAAGATTCTTGGGTGAGTTGCTTAGGTAGATGTTATAGGGTATTAATGATCAATGGTAATGATAATGAAATCACTAGATACGAAGATTTCTTTTGGATCTTCTCTTCGATTGATTGTCCTTCGGATCTGATGATATATGATTCCATAGCTGAGTTCATACCAAATTATGACAACCACAATACAGCGTTAACATGCATAGCTTACGCTAAAACTCGTCGCAACGGTGAGTTCTCTTCATATTACGGAGTACAGGATGCTGTGATGTTATATAGTATAACAGTCTAATGATCTATATTCTTTTTTTTGAGGTAATAATTCTATTTATATTTATACTCATACCCACCCCTATATTCTGAAAAGTTCCAGGGCATTAGAGTACGTAGGATTGTTTAGATCTCGATGTAAATAGGTAGTAGAGGGTAGGGGATGAGCGAAAGGGAATAGGCAATAAGCGAAGATGTGTTAGGGATTTGAATTGGATTGGATTGGATTGGATTGGAGGGAATTGAATGTTGCAAGGTTGTAAGGGTTATATCCAATCTAGATCTATTATAAGTGTATTGATTATTGACGAGATGAGATGATGATATGAGGTGGAAGGAGGGCCTGAAAGTACGGTCTACAAGACTGACTTCAAAGTAGATATTTCTTTCCTCTGCTCCGTTCGTTTTGGTATTCTGTGAGGATTTGCAAGGTGCTAGGTGGTTGATGACATGGGATGTTTTTGTTCACCTGGTGGGTGATATTCTGTTTCTTGGAGTGGTGTGGAATTCACTTGTGTGATTTTAATGAGAGGGGTATTGGTAACTCGTTATAGCATGGTGTGGATGTATTGGTTTAGTGTGCTGGTGTTGTAAGATCTTAACTTGTGTTTGAGAAATATTGATTGGAAAAACTAGCTGCATTGTGTTGTGGGAATGTCTACATCGAGGAGCTGACTATTTGGTGTAGAAACTCAGATTGGCATTGGAATTCGTTGACAATTGTAATCATACATGAGAATCTAGAAAATGATTGTGAAGGGCGATGAGGCATTAGTTAGAAAGTTTAAAAAACTTCAGAATTGTATGGATATTCATATTCATATGAGTTCATTTGTATATATCACTCATTGACTTGAGGCCTAGAAACAATTTCCTTATAATTTTGATCATCAAAAATATGATGATAAATAAGCTTACCACATAACACAAAAAGATTCATCCTTCAACCAGTAAACTAAGAATAAGGATTGGCAAAATAGTACCAGTAAGCCCCAAGCAATTTACTCCCCTCAATATAATTCTTCTTGTCAAGTTTCTCATTAGGACCATGAGCCCCATCATCAGACATTCCTACCGGTAATAACATAATACTCTTATCACCCAACGCATTCTGTAAATCGAGCGTGACTCCAATACTACAGATTTATCAAACCGTCAGCAAACGACCCTTCCACAATAAAACAAAAACCCACAACACAAAGAAAATCTCAAACTCACCTTCCTCCCTCCCTCGTCAAATCCGGCTCCGTCTTATAAACCCTCTGCGTAGCCGCCTTCCCAGCCCTAAAATTCGCATCATCAGACGCTCCAAGCCAATACGGAGCCGATTCTCCGAATAGTTTCACTTCGCATTTATTCTTGCTTCCCAGCTTGTCGAATTCTTGCTCCAGATATTGGATTGTGAGATCGGTGACGGTTTGTTGGTTCATGTATGGGACGGTGCGGATGGAGAATTTGGCGGTTACTTTGGGGTAGATGGCGGTTGTTTGGTCCGGGCTGGAATCTGCGCCGGTTATGCCGTGCTAATGGGAGGGGGGGAGTTAGTAGGTGGCTTGTTTGTTGGGTAGATTTTTGGGGGCGGAAGGAGGGGGACGAGAGGGATGAGAGTTATATGTGGAAATACGAGGAAGCGAAGGGGAAATAGGAGTTGAACATTAGAAAGTGCGACAGACACGAAAGAAAGGAAGGATAAGCTTACAATAGTAAGAGACGGAAACCTAAACCGATGCATAAGAGTATCCTTCGGATCCTCATAAATATTCGCCTGACTCCCAATGGTACCCTGAAAATCCTGCGTAGTAAACTCAATCGTCGCATACTCCTTAACCTCCTCCTCAGTCACACTCTCCACCAACTCATTAATCCCCGGAATCAAAATCCGTCCCTGCGAATCCACCAATTTCGAAAGAAGAATAATCAAATCCGTCATAGGTTCATACACACAACCCCCAAACATCCCACTATGAAGCTGCACCCCCGGATGCTCAACCGTTAGGTTAAAATAATTGATTCCCCTCAACCCATACGTTAAACAGGGTTTTCGCGTCGTAAGCCAATAATTGTCAGATATGCATGCTGCGTCTACATGTTCGAATATGTGCTGGTTGGACGGCGATGATGCAAAGGTGGAGAAGCCTGTCGATCCAGATTCTTCCATTCCTTCGAAACAGAATAGGAGATTTACTGGTACGTCGATGTTGGCTAGTTGGTAGGCTTCTAGTGCGTTGAGCCAGGCGAGGAGTGGTCCTTTGTCGTCGGTGGAACCACGTCCGTAGAGTTTTCCTTCTTTTTCAGTGAGGATCCATGGGTTGGTTGCCCAGCCGTCTCCTGGGGGTTGAACGTCGTAGTGTCCGTAGATTAGAATGGTTTTTTTGTTTGCGTCGTATTGCTCGGGGTAATTGGCGATTATTATATCCGGGAGATCGAGGTCGGTGCTGGGTTCTTTTCCTAGTGGATACCGATGTACTGATGCATGTAATGCCTTCAGTTGATTTTCTAGAAAATCCGTCATCTAGTAGTTGGACATGTGTGTTAGAAGTCAAGGTTGATAATTTTTCGAAGAAGTGAGAAGTCTATGCATACAGCGACTACATTTTTGCGTCCATCAGCACTTCGGTCTGATGAAATTGATGGGATCTTGACTGCTGCTGCGAGTCCTATTCTTGGGTTAGAACTTGTACTTTCCACAGTATGCAGATGCTGAACCTACGGTCATTGACGATATTATGCTCCGGGGCAACGGCAGCAGCAAGCTCATCGATCCTATATCAAGGAGGAAACACTCGGTGGTTAGTAACAGCTTCAATGGTTTCTCATTCACTAATTCTGGTACGTACTTGTTGAAAACGAGATCCAGCTTATCGCTAGCCATGACTGATTATAGACTGAATGTACTTTATACTTAGTACTTGGTTAGATAATAGAAGCCAAGAGTTTAATACACAAAAATTGTGCTTGAGAAAGAACTTCGTGATTGATTCAGTTCATGAAAAATCATCACACTTGGGCAGAATTTTTGATGAGATATATAAACAACTCCCTCCTCATTGCACAAACAGTCCCTACACAAAAGCCACAACCATCCATTCCATTCCTTGATGACGATAGTGTTGAAGCTCTCCACTTCAATCCCAAGACAAATAGCTTTCAGCTGCTAAAGCAACTCAAATATCCATCATATCACATCAATATCACACCACGCGACAACACATATCCCAAGTAACACCTGGAGATGCCGGGATTTTCGATATATCCATCAATTTGTGACAGGTATAGTTCAGATGCAAACCGATTACTCAGTAACACAGTGGCATCCAATGGTGTTCAACGGGTATGTCGTGGAATAGTGTTGCCGAAGCTGCGGGGTATTGTGTAACTATTAGAACACTCGGTTGATAAAGCGGGGTATTTGGTGCTACTCTATTGTGGTAACGGTGGTGTTGTATGATTTCTCTTTTGCCGTGTTAGCTGGGATATGGAGCTTAGTGTAGAGCTGATGCTGATCTTTAGGCATTGGATAATATACGCAGATTGATATTGATAGACACCAGCTTGAGTGTATTGAGTGCATACTACACACTTAATCTTTGAAATAGGCTTAATTAATTTTGACTGTGGTATGATAGTCAAAGAACAGTAAATCATTCCAATAATAGCTGAATCTGGAATCCCCAAAAGGAAATACTCCGTATGAATGTAACCTATTCCTAGTAGCTATCCCCCGCCTCAATGTCTGGGATAATCATAAGGAAAATCACTACTCGTCATTTTCCGCGCAGAATACACATTCTTCACATTCTCGATCTCGATGAAATCAGTGATATACTTCGGCGCAACTCTCTCTCTTCCCTCTGGTAAATTAATCCCCCCAGGGATCGGCTGACCAAGTTTCTCCCAAACTGGAATTGCTCCCTTCTAATGCTCCTTGTAGAGATTTTTATCTTCGACTCTAAGCCACGAGAAAGTGAGTGTGAGAGTTTTGGGGGTTCGGGGTCATCCTGATGACAGAGATGTAATCTATAACTTTGACGATTGGACAAAGGTGGTTCCAACCATCCGTAATCTAGAAATTGATAATGTGCTTCATTACCCGTTCTCTTTCGGCATGGTTGTCACCAGACACTTTCATCAAAGTAGCTGTGCCATCGAGGACAGTATTGGCAGATGTGAAACCGGTATCAACCCCGAGGAGCCAAGATAGTGGCTATGAGTCGTGCTTGCTGCGACACTGACAGGGATTTCAAGATCGCGCTCTTGAAATCCTTTGAGACGTTCTAGGACGGGTTCCTTGACATGGCCATGCACATACAAGGTTACGGGGTCGTTCCTGTATTTGATGACTTTGCTGACAAGATAACAAACAGGTGGGTACTCGGCTATATAATGCTATAAGGACTTAAACCGTGAGCACTTCTCGCAGCAAAACGAAGCGAAAGATGAAATTTAGGGCTTCGCTTTCGTCCCCAATATTCGGATATGAAGAAAGGATTTCGCGTGTGGTATTTTGAATACATACTCCCTATTGAAGTCCACACCACATATCTTGCACGCTGGTGAAGTGAACTGCGATGCATCATCGTAGATGCGTAATCAGTACTTCCTTTGCAATACCCCGTCTCTTTTCATTCCTACTTCCTGGAAAAAATTATTATTACTTGACAGTCTATTCAACTCAAGCCAGCAATACTCGTGCATAATTCAGATATATCATATTCTTCTATTATCTATTATTCCTGGTCTATCAAAGCTGTGCGAGCTTTCTAGCTGTCCAGTCAAAACATGTAATACGAAAGAAGGAGAAAGACAATGTTAGACTTGGTTGAGACCCCACGAATTTGATGCCCAACCCCTCTCTGTAGATAGGCAATCAGTTACTTTATGCTTTGCACAGAAGGAACACTGAAAAGCTTTCAATGCTTTAATTCCAATATACACATACATAAACCGTTTGCAAACCGTGGGGGGCGGGGCCATTTCCATCCACATACATCATGTTTATCGGCGCTAACACGACATGACGAGCGTTAGTGTTGCAGATTTGAGTAGGAGATGCAGACGGATTGAATTGCGTGCATATATCAAAATTTACGAAATCCACTAGAAGCGTTGACCCCATCATGATCGAGATAAATAGATGCATACCCCGCAGTATTGCTTTTTTTCTTGAGAGTCCATGAAGTAATTACCATTTAAGCGGCTTGTCATATTAAAGCTGATATGCTGTGATACTGAAATGGTATGAAGCGCGTCGTGAAACTAACGCAAGGGGCTCAATGAGGATTAGCGAAAACTTTTCCCCGCAAGCTACTTATTGCCCCTCAACGTCTCTTCTTTTCTGGTGTAACGGTAACGCTGCAAGTAACAGCTTCCAACAACTGTAGATATGCAAGGGTATTACAGCCGATGAACAGTATTCATCTAGATGCAAAGTTCAGCTAGCCACTAGACTCGCTGATCAATCTGATCTGCAACGATGTCGTCGGAGAAATGAATTCAATTGCCTGAAAGGTCAAGAATTTTTGGCACTCCCTTACCGGCAATGGCATTGTAACAATTCTTCCCGGCACTGCAGCCAAAAAGTTTACACAACTTCCAGAACACATGCGGTATACTACGACGACAATGATCTGTTGGTGACTTCTTAGCCATCAGTCCTCTTTCAACCATCCGCATTGTTGCAATCGCTGTGAACATAAAATTATTACGTACAAGACCTCCGATTTCGTCTTGTTGATGTCCAACCCCTCCTTGAAAAGATCCCGTTCATGCAAGCACCTGCACTCATTCGTATGACTGTAATGGGAAATGAGTGTCTCTTCCGAGCAGTTTCTCACAGAATGAAGGGTATTTAAAGGCTTGCTCGAAGCCAGATGAATTCAAACTTCAGGTCTACAACCTTCACTCAATCAATAAACTTCTCCCTTCAAAATATACTACACAGAAAACAGACGCACCAATTGTCTCACTTGAAGTGCCTTAATTGAATTCTCAACATGCCTACATACGCTCCCATTGTTAACGAGCTCCGGGACGAACTCCTCAGAGAAGTCGATGATCTCGATACTGCTGTCAGGAATGCCTTGAAATACGATATTCCAGACATGGTCACATATGGCATCATCTCTGGAAAAGGATTCCTAGATTTTGCAGACTGGTTAGTTCGAGGTTGGATTCCAACCGAGACCACTCATGGTCGCGATATTTATTACATCCTTTGCATGTTTTACTTCGTCCTCGCCCAAGATCCTTTGGGCGTTCGACAGACCTCCATTCTTCCAAAGAATGTCGGCAAGCCACTCACCCCGCTGTCTGACTGGCTCGTCCGTTATGCCCAAGAAATTGGCAAATTTATGGACCAGCCAGAGTCATGGAATGAAACTTCTTTGACCAGCTACCGAAACTCTCCTCAGTACCGTGTTTTCGAAGCGGAGGACCCAAAGAACTGGAAGACATTCAATCAGTTCTTTCACCGCAAGCTCAAGGAACCTCGTGAAATCTGCTCACCGCATGATGACCACATCATAACTTTCCCTGCCGATTCCACTTTTGCCGGCGCCTTCTCAGTTACCGATGAGTCTGAAGTGATACTCAAGAACCTTCCCTGGAAGGTATCAGATTTGCTCGGTAAATACGGCAAACAAGAAGTTCCAGGTTCGAAAGACAAGACCACATATGGAGACTTGTTCAAAGAAGGAGTTTGGACACATTGTTTCCTTAACACCTTTGATTATCATCGACAACACGCGGCTGTTTCGGGTATAGTCGAGGTCGTCGACGTGATCCAAGGTGCTGCATATTTAGAGGTACTGGTCAAGACAGATGAGAAGGCTGGAGGGCACAACTATCTCCAACCTCGTCGTCGTATATCACCAAACATGAAGAAACAGGATCCAGCTTCAATTGTCACTCTCGACGCTCCTGACACACCAGGTTATCAATTCTTACAAACTCGCGGAATCATTATCATCAACAATGAGAAATTGGGTCGAGTTGCTCTCCTACCTATTGGTATGGCTGTTGTTTCCTCTGTCGTGATGAATACAGAGCTACTCGGCAAGACTGTCAAGAAGGGAGATGAGATTTCTCACTTTGCTTTTGGAGGGTCGGATATTGTGATGGTGTTTGAGCAGAAGGCGAGAGTTTCCAATTTCCCGGATCTAGAGGCTAATGAGCATTTCTATTATGGAGAAAAACTCTGCAAGGCTCATTACAAAGAAGATATTCCATCTCATCTCAAGAAGTAATTTGCTTCGAATTGAAGCATAATACACGAGCTTATTTTTTATTGTCATTTCTTCAGTATTGAACTTAGTACTTAGCAGACTCATCGTCCTGGACCTAGCTTAATGTATTGACTATGATCTGGTTGTCAAACAATTCTCCTTGACTGGGTGATATTCTCCCTTTCCATAAAAATTTCTTCCTTCGCACCGCGTGATAAAGCGGCAAAGAGAGGGAAAGAGAAAAACATACAGAAGCATAAACACATTTCTAGGAAAATCTGAGTTTGTAGCCACACCACTGTAGATACTTTGACAACTAGGGGAATCACTGCTCCCCCTTTTACCGTATGCACACATGGCAACTTTGTAATAGAAACACCCCAATAATTGGTACTGGTCACCTTAAAGTTGCTGCAACATACTGTGCTAAATTATGTAATCTGAGATCTTCATCTCCATGGGGATTTAACAGCTATAGTGGCACTAGCTCGCGAAATTTTAGGGGCTCACTCAAACTACCTTGATAAAGATATCTATAAGACAGATCCAAACGCACGTATCGATATCAAAATCTTGCATGGAAAGAGAAACGATAAGTAGCATGTGAAATTGCAAAATACGACTCTAGCAAATGCCACAAAATAGAAATACAAAGTCAAAGAAGTGTCCAGGGTGAAACGAATCCCCGCAACCACAGATCAAAGGTCGCGACGTCAGAGAGCCCTGTCTTACTTGCTTGCGCAAGAAAGTCAATTTAGGAAACGTTTGTAATGTACTAGTAGATTAAAGCTGCATAGTACATCAATTGTCATATTTGTACGTTCCATACAACCCCGAAGGAGTGAGAGGTAAGAAAGGGTGGAAAGAGAAGCGCGTTAAAAAAAGGTCTGATACGCACTAGCCACAACGATGGGCAAGTTGTATATGTATATATATAGGTGATTGACAAGGAGACCAATTGTGTCACTTACTTTCATGGTAGTAAATGCTTGCTAATGGTCTTCACCGTACCTCCTGATTTGCCTGATCGGACCTCCATTGAACCAGGTCGAGATATTGACCAAATGGGGAAATGAGAAACAGAAAAATGTGCCAGTAATAAAAGGAACATACAATGGGTAGCCACCTGAAACTTGTCGTAAAATGAATTCTTGATTCTATTAAACACCTACCAGACATTAAGACTTCGCCAACCTCGCTGCCTTAAACCTACTAACTTTCTTTGGACCTCCCTCTTCTTCCGTAAATGGCACGATCTCACTCTCCTCCTCCCGAGCGAAGCCACCTTGTTTGCCAATCATCCTGTTCCTCATTCGATGATATTCAGTCGCAACTTCTTGGTGTAATAACTGCGGATCGAATTCATCAGGTGCGGCTGCATTGGTGTTGAGCGGTACCTCCCGTTCGATAATTTTGGGTGCAAGTGTGCGGTTCGCAGGACCAGTGGGAACTGTACGAGGGTTTTCGATTGCTGGTGCAAAGGAAATTGGTTGAGAAAAGGGCTTGGGAGTAGCTGGAGTGGCAGGAAATAGTTTGAGATGCGAAGAATTTGTGGTAATCGATGTAGCATTCGGAACAGCCTTAGTACTATTACTCAACGAAGCTCGAGAAGTTTTGAAGCGGGAAGCCTTCTTCTGTCCTGGAGGTGCGGAAGAAGATTGACCTGGAGCTTTTCTCTCAATGATATCTCCAACTGGAGCAACCTTAGTCTCCGCCTTCGAGGAAGAAGCGATAGGCTTCTCAGGAGCAGGTGAAATATCTAGTTCCTCTGCAAACCTGACGCTCTTCTTTGAGGAGTCATCGGTAGTAGAAGATTTAATAGGGTTTGACTCCTCCAACTTCTCCTTGCTAGATGTTGTGAGAATTCCCTCGCCAGCATCCTTCGTATCTTTACCACTAATAGATATGCGTCCAATTCCTTCTTGGACCATACCGTAATCATCCGAATTTTTTCCAACATTCTCCATCATTCTGACACCAAGTTTTTCCTCGAGTTCAATCATACGCTGATGAAGTTCATCATTCACAACTGGACGAGTCGATTTGCCAAATTGATCCTCGTCGTCATCACTATCAGAATCGTCTGCATAGTCTTCAGATTCCCAGTCACTGCCATCTTCTAAATTTATTTCTGCCACCACAGATCCAACTTCTGACATTCCATATTGTAACATATCTCGCCGCAAAGCTGCATCTTCCGGAGATTCATCGGCAGGTATGATGGCGGGCTCAGATGAAATTTTCTCCGATTCTTTGGCAGACTGCATAAGCTCTTCGAGGCGCTTTGCAGCTGGGGATATTGCTGGTTTCAATTCCACGGACTCTGTCTTTGAATCGTTTGTAAACTTCACGCTCTTTTGTACAGGCTTTGGAGATGTGGCGAATGGTTTGGGTCTTGTGTTGACAGTCTTAGTTTCCGTCGGCAGGGAAATAGTATCGACATGTGTGGAAGCTTTTTTAGATTGCGCATCATCTCCTACCTCCTCTGCAGGAAGTGATTCATCCTTTGATGCCGGTTCAATTATTCCAGCCTTGTGTAATACTTCCAACAATTGTGGTTTTACATCTCCAGGCGTTGATAATCTCGAAGAAATGACATTCCCCTCATCATCCAACTCCTCAATGATTTCCGTTACAGGAAGCCCCTCCTCATTTCTTACGTCCGGAGTACTAATGATAGTTGCTTTTGCCAATTTCTCTTCTGCGGTTTCGATCTGCTTCTTGATTGTGTTGATGTTTTGCTGAACATAATCCAGTCTCCGATCCAACAAATTTACGACTTGTTCAGCCGTTCTCTGAGTGCCGGTGCCGAGTATTTCTTCGATCTCTTTTCCTTTAACCAAGTCTGCTTCGTAATTTCGTGCGATCGATATGAGTTCATCGCGATTTGGGGTAGGATCGGCTGACAGGATTTCTTCTTTCAAGCCATCATATTCAGCATCCCAAGTTTGCCAGTGCTGCAGTGATTTTTGTAATTTTGCGATATTATCCTCAAGTTGTTGCCGATACTTCTCCAAGTTGAGGAAACTATCTTTTATTGCTTGTGCCATGCTCGTATTTGTGTAGATTCCTTTGGATGTTTTTTCGAGTGCAAGACAAGGCTGCGGAGGCTGAATGATTGTTTTTTTTCGCGCCTTTCTCGCTTACACTTCTAGCTCTTGATTTTTTCTTCTACGGAGCAGAGAGGGGTCGTGGTGGGCCGGGTAACGGCTTCTACTCCGTACGTACCGCGGATGGTTGATTAGTCATATTAACTTCTTGACTCAACCGCATCATTGATCGGGATTAGAAGTTCTAGCATATTGATGGACTCTTTCAGCCGTATGACTGGATTCTGGTATATTCATGATCATACAGATATGGGACTCACAGTTAGTTTAAGTGTCTTAGCTGACTATAACCTCTTGACATAGCCTCACTTACATCGGGATATATCCCCCTGATCGTATATTGTCAGCAATCCTAATCCAGCTACATTCCCCTTCTTCTAGTAGCTAGAACGACGAGAATGTCCATATCCGATAGCTTCAACAGCAAGAGTCATGACGGAGGTATGGTAGGAAGACTACTAACAATATGATTGGGAGTAATCAACTTGAAGATGACATGAATTCAGAATGTGGCAAAAGTTTAAGCTACCTTAATGAGCCCGGTCCGGAACATCAGCACATTGCCTAAAATTTGAAATGCCGAGCGCTAAGGGTGAGGTTTTGAGAATCTAGGCTAGTGAGGTGCTTAGCTTACAAGCTTCGGCATCTACCAAACACCAATCGTGAAGGAGTATACCTTCATACTCAAATCCTATAGTTTCTAGGCTTTCGGCAGATGATATCAATAACCATTTTAGTTCACTCTTTAGAACTACTAGATAAGGAGGATGTCCTAGCATCGGCATATTCAACGACTCTGCCATTAGCTCGTCTTACTAGTTGATAGAAAATATGTCATAGTAGTGGCCGGTTCAACGGTTTTCCCCTCTCCTGACAACCCAACCATTCCTTTGACCTAATCATTCACTAAGGAGTTACTAACCTCAACTCAAGAACCTTTGCCTCCCTAAAATCCGATCACTCAGCAATGAACTAGCCCTAATGAACTACAGTATGTAACACTAACATGGGAGCTTCTAGATGACCATTTACTAGATATGTCTAACTTTCAGGTTAAGGTATATGAACGAGTGGCCGATGAATCAACGTTTGGTTGAATGATGAGGGGCCTTCTATGAATTTAATATGATATGAATGACGCTCCGCTAGGCCACTGCCGTGGAGGCTTTTTCGCTTCGCTCTAGAAAATAAAGAAGATCCTCGATTTGAAGAGGAATATTGGATTCTAGAGCGAAGCGAAAAGGCCTCCACGGCAGTGGCCCAGCGGAGCGCCATGTTCGGATGAATTCATGACAAGGATTTACATATATGCAGTTGAAATGATAGAATCCTAAGCAGTCATAGCATCTAGATAATTTTGAAGAGCTAGAGGACGTTTTTGTTATTGCCAATTCTGATCTTAAACTGGCTGGAAGGGAATTTAGCCTAAAAGACCAACTGATTCAGGAGTATCTACTGGTAGGAAGAAGCATCGAGTTGAATCGTTATTCATTTTCCTCTTAATTATACTAGAGATCCTAGCCTGAAGAACTAATTCACTGCCGACGCTGGATTTGGACAGTGAAAAGGGCTATGAGGTTCTAGATATCAAGTGTATTTCGAAGTCGGAGAGATCTGGTGGATGTTGTGTCGATCACATACAAGTTCGGCTAGCTTTAGAATATCAGTGGGAGATTCACCAAAATGTATAACTCGAGTAGCGCACAGGGATTCCTACATAAATCTCGTCTCCCGCTCCCAACCCACGTCTCTCTTATCTTTCGTCGCGTTTTTATTTGTTTACAATTTTCCATTCACAAACAAACAATCGAACATTCAAACATTAAACATTCAAAATTCAAAATCATATTCAAAATTCAAAATCCACAATAACTCGTACTTTTCTCAGCTTTCTCGACTTTCACAATTCGATAGATTCAATTTCAATTGATACGATTAAATAATTCAAAAATGTCTCGCAGCAATTTCGAAGACACTTTGTCTTCAATTTCAAGCTCACAAAATCTTCCTCAAAGACCAAAGAGTCGTTTTCAATCCAATAATTCTACCACGTCCTCTGGTGGATACGAACTTAATTTTAACTCAACAAACACTCAACACCATACAGTCAGTGACGACTCTCATAACACTTTGAATTACTTCGATCCCGATAATTCCGCTGAGCAATGCACAATGTCGACCGAGTTGGAGATTGAAAGAAGGAAACGCAAGCAAGCTCAACGTCCTGATATTAATATTCGCGATACCGCTAAAAGATATAATCGATGGAGCCCAAGAAAAGAGGCTCAGGATTCTCCAATCATGCAACTCTACGACAACGCTTTCGAAGACTTCACCGGAGGATCTGTTCAAATTAATGGAACAAATAACAGTGCTAAGTTGGCTTCCAAACTCGCAAGATTGGACCAAGATAACACACCATGTCGACTTTCAAAATCAAAATTGTCTGAACGATTGAATTCAGTCTCGAAAAATAACTCCAGATTCAACATTAAACCCACAACTGAGAATACGCAGCCTGCAAATACACCAAGGCGAGTTGTCAAGAATATCATTGATGACCATGAGTTTTCCTTGGACCTTTCTCACCCAGTTCATAACAAGGAGAACATCCTCCCTAGACAACGACCTTCCAAAATTCCGGCAGGCTCCAAGCATGAGAAGTTCGCTCAAGCTGAGTACAATGAAAGACAAGTACTAGCAGAGCTCGAAACTCTCATCAAGGACCACCCAGCAAACTTATCCCACCGATCTGGCAATGCTCCGAAAGCAGCCAGCCCCACCTTTACCATGTCCACCACTGTTAATGGATCATTCGCCATTCCTGAAGTCCAAAACATTACCAAGTTGGTCGACAACACAACAACTTCATTGCCCAAGAAGGTTGAAATTCTTGAGCAACCCGCCGAACCTATGGGGAAAGAGGAAGTCGACATTTATCGATCCATTGACGAACTTCAACAACAAGTGGCTATGTTGTTGAACGAACGAAAGGAGCGCGATTTTGTTATAAACTCTCTCCAGAAGGAACGAAAGGAACGGGATTCTATTTTGTCTTCTCTTCAGAGCGAACTGGTTGAGAAAAGAGAGCAACATGCTGTCATATCCACTCTTCAAAACGAAAAAAGAGCACAGGACACGATTATATCCACTCTTCGCACAGAAAACCATCATATGGCTGAAACCATCCATCAATTGGAAAACGAGGTTAATACACATCGCCTCGAAAACGAAAAGATATCTACTCTTCGCACACAAAATAATCACATGGCCGAGACCATCCATCAACTAGAGACCGACAATCGTACGCAGCGCATGGAAAACGAACAGATGATGAAGACTATTTCCAACGCTGAGGCTAAAGCGAAATCTCTTCAAGCAGAAAAGAAGGAAATAGACAGGACCTTGAGCGAAATCTCGTCCACCAACGAGGAGCTCAAAAACGACGTTGAGAACATCACAAAACAACGAGATATGGTTCTTAACCGTTACAAGAACCTTGTCGAACGATTCGATACTTTACAACGTCCAGCGAATGCTGAGACATCACAAGCAAAGGAAGATAAAAACATCAAGACATCACCTAGCCAACATCAGAAAAAAGATGATACTTTGAATGGTCAGAAAAGACCACTGAATGAGGAAGTAGAAGTAGAAGAAGAAGACGATGATGAAGATGCAGATGAAGATGCTGATGTTACAATGAGGCCAACTATGGATCCTCAATTAGCTCTCGAGAAGATTATGGAGAATGTCACCAACCAAATTGAGCAATTGTCTGCTCAACATACAGCCAAAGCGACAGAATTACGTGCTTTGGATAAGAGCAAAAATCTTAGATTGAGAAGATCACTCGCGGAATCCTTGAAGATGCTTGTCGATCAGATCTCTTCACACAGCGATTTTCTATATCGTTTGAAGGATGTTTCTTATGCATTTAATTGAGGAGAGAGAGGTAGATAGGATTATATTGAAGTTGAAGGATTTCTGACACGGGGATTGTGTATGACGCTTTTGCTTTTCTTGTTTTTGTACATGTCCTTTTTGTTTTTTTTGGGTTTTTTTGAAAGGAGTTTGAAGATATCAAATGCACCAGGCATTGTATATGGGGGCTGCCCTCTTTGTTTTTATACTTGCTTTTCAATTGGGGTTTAAGGAAACGGAAGATGGAGTTTTGCTTTTTTACTTGAGGTTTTTTGGTTTTCAAAGGAGTCAGTTTAGGAAATTCAGTATCGATACCACATCACGAAAGGCTTGGGTTAAAATGGGACAAAACGGATTACAATTAGCATTATTAGCATAAGATCAATGAGAATAAACATTAAAATGAACAGCCTTGCCCAATCTTGTGATCATTTTTTTTTGGTTGGCTCATCCTTATAAAGTGTTTCTAACCCACACCGTTTCCATCACTTTTTCCTACACCAGTAAAGAAAGATATATACACATATATGATTCGAAATACGAAGTAGAAATAATAAGAGAAACGAATCCGAAAGTAATGAAAGGGGTGGAAGTAAGATTACTATCTATCCAGTTCCCCAACTCATGATAATACCCCAAATCCAAAAGAAAGTAAGATCTTAAAATGCAGAGAATTTTTAGCTTCTCGCTAGATACATAAGTTGGGAGATTTGGGATTTGGAAATTGGGAATTGGGGGCCGAGGGAGGAAACTTGGAAGGAGGATGTGGAGAGAGGGAGAAATTGGGTATTGAGTGAGTTTTTGGGTTGGGGTAGGTAGGATGGGACGGAATGGGATTTGCACTTTTTGAGTATTTAGGGTGAAGATATATGGACGTATCTATATAGAATGGTTCTATGGTACGATATAATCAAGGAGACAGGAATAAGGAGGGATTACCGCATCCGATATAGATAGGATATACATACTTGAATAAAACCATCAAAATGTCACACATAGTTGAGAATCAGAGCGTACAAGACACAAGCAAATTATGCAATTCATTTCCAAGGGGTATCAAAAATTATTCAATAGCCTTCCTTCCCTCCAACGCCAATGCAGCTCGTTCCATGAATGCATTAAATGCCTTGATCTGTTTTAAAATGCCCCCATCATCACTTGCACTACTAGCTTCAGATGCGACACGTTTAAGCATGAGCTCTGTATTTGACTTTCCATCATCTGTATGATCGGAAATGGATTTTCCTCGCTCAACTGCAAGCTCGATATCGTGTACTGTTGTGTTGAGTACCTCTCGTTGCTGTGCAAGGTTAGTGGATGAAAGGAGTGATAGGGGGATGAATTACCTGGGCATTATGAGAATCCTTTTCGTGAGCAATTCGGATCCCATCCATACGTAAAGCAACCTTTTCTCGTTCAGCTCTTACGCGAAGAATTTCCTCTCTTAGAGATAACTTCTTCTTCTGACCTTCCCGCAAGCGTTTCTCAAGAGAGTATGAATTATCAAGATTGATTGTCTTTGAAGAGTTAGTGATTTGACATCCATAGGACTTTTTACTTACATGTTCTAGAAGCCGGACTTGCAATTCCTTACTGAAATTTTCTACAGCTCGAATCTTTGTCTTGTACTCAAGTCTTTGAGCAGCATCCTGAGTTCTGACTGCATTTTCCCCAAGGGTTTCGAGTCCAGCAGTAACTAGCTCTTGACATATTTGACTAAGAACATCCACGGCATTTACCCCTGCTCTTGTCGCACATGGTATGTCAGAATTGAAAAATTCAGCATCGGAATCATTGTCATCGTACACGGGTCCCTTTGTTAAACGATGGACAGTAACAGGTATTGGGCTTCCTTCGCGGACCTTCTGCTTTTTGCTTTTCATCTCTGTCCTTTGAGTTTTGGATTTCGGAGGTGCTGGTTGTCGTTGCTGTACTGGACTGGTAACCTGTCGAACCCTACCGCGCTTTTTCTTTGCAGTAGGCGATCTCGGTGGTGCAGAATCCTCTGGGATAGATCCATCAGAAGCAACAACGTTCCTGGATATTCTTCGTCCTCGACTTTTCTTCAATATTACGGCAGCTTCGTAATCATCAATCGCTTCCGCTTGCTCTGTAGAATCCTCAAGGTTTTCTTCTTCATTGATTTCAACTTCCTCCTGCAAAGCTGATTTCCTACGAGATCGTCTTCGCTCTGGTACGACTTCCTCAATACTGTCATTGGTGGTATCCAGGTGGCCGGTTTCAGTAATTGCCGATTGATCTAGCCCTGAGGGTTCAGAAGGCGGCTCACCCCTCTTTCGTTTGTTCCGTGATGGGCGTGGTAGTATTTTGGGGGATTCTGTTGCGTCCGCCGTTTCTTCTTGTGGTGGCTTATCTTCCACAAACAATTCTTTATCGTTGCCTACCACCATAGCTTCATTCGATACATCTCTTTCGATGGACTCAACTGGCTCGGAGTGCATCTGGGGAGGAGATGGTGCAATCTCGATATTCTCTGGTTCTGGGACATTTTCCTTGGAGGATTCTAAAATTATTGAGTTTGGATGATCCGCCGCAAGTTGCTCTTCCTCATCATCCTCTGGCATATCATATATATCCTTTCGGGCTGAACTCCGAGAAGACCGCATACTTCTGGTGGAAGATGATGGCGGTTCATCAGTTTCTAACTTCCTTCTTTTCGCAGACGTATTTGCATCATTCCCAGTATTGGATCTCGTAATGTTGTTTGATTGTAAGCCCAGTATATTCGAAGATTTATCACTATTTCTGGTCGCAGTAGCTGGCGTTTGACTTATAGGTTCTGAAGGTAAATCGGCTTGAGTTTCTGGGCTCGCAGGAGCTTCTGAAAGTGAATTTGGAATTTCCAGAACTGGAGCTGGGGCTGGAGCTGGGCTAGGTGCAGCTGCAGCTGCAGGCGGCGCAGCAAAAGTTGGTAACATAAAACCGAAGTCGACATCTTTAACTTGACGTCTTGACAGCTGATTGTCAGTTCCGCATAATGAAGAGGGGCCGATTCTTAGAACTTACTGGGCTCCTCGTAGCCGTTGTTGCATGCGCTCTTCTCTAGCTATAAACCAATTAGAATCAATCAATTATAAGAATCAAGACGCAACGTACTAGACTCCATTTTACTTGATTGGGAGAGGAAGATACCTTCTCCTAGTCATTGAATTCGCGTTTGTCGCAGAGTAACGCGATCGTTTGACGTGCCGCAAGTGAGGTTGTATCAATACGTTCACATGTCTGCTAGCTTATCCCACACCGCGTCGCGAACTGTTGCTGTAGCAATTTGTTAGCAACCTCCGATATATTACTATGTACACGCCACATCATCCAATCATGCAATGTCCATCCAATCCCTTTGAAGTCGCTTCAATATTGTTAGGTTTGTATCTTTTCATTTTATCTCGAACCTCTTTCCAATCTTCAATTAATTTGATGTCGTTATGATGGATTGTGTGTCGGTTCCCTCCTTCTTCAGCAAGGCTCTTCAAGGAAGAAGTCAACCACAGGATCGAAACATAGCATCAAAAACCCCCAATCCCTTGAGTTATCCTAAGAGTTCTTTACGCTACGATCCGCAACTCTTCAAGAACCCATCATCAGAATATCGAGGATGCCCCTTCTGGGCATGGAACACAAAACTCGACAAGGGCCAACTCCTTCGTCAAATTGATTATTTCGCTGAGATGGGATTGGGCGGATTTCATATGCATGTTCGTACTGGTCTCGATACAGAATATATGGGAACAGAATTCATGGATATGATTCGTGCTTGTGTTGATTATGCCGAAACCAAAAAAATGTTAGCTTGTTTATATGATGATGATAGATGGCCTTCTGGAGCTGCTGGGGGAAAGGTTATAAAGAAGTATCCTGAACATAAAGGGAAACATCTTCTTTTTACACCTCATCCTTACGGCACAGTACCACTTGGAGGGTAAGTTATGAACCAACCACACTCCCCTCATAATCTGATATATTTTATCAACAGAGGCGCTCCCTCGTCAGCCAGAGCTAGCAGGAGTGAGAATGGACATCTAATAGCAAGTTATAACATCGAGTTGAATACTGATGGCACACTCAAGTCAAGTCGAATCTTGAAAGAAGACGAACCTGGTGACAATATCTGGTACGCCTATGTTGAGTCGAATCCTAATTCATCTTGGTTCAATGATCAAACATACGTCGATACTCTCAGTGAAGATGCAATGGCTCGCTTTATTGAAATTACGCATGAAGCTTATAAGGATAAATGTGGCGACAAATTTGGAACTGTTATACCCTGCATCTTTACGGATGAACCTCAATTCGCTACCAAAACACGTCTTACTCATCCCCGAGCTAACGATGATATATTTCTTCCATGGACGACTGATTTGCCTGAAAGCTTCCAGAGAGAGCACCATGCCAATATTGTGGAATTGTTGCCCCAGGTTATATGGAATCTTCCAGATGATAAACCAAGCTTATCAAGATATCGATATCATGATCATGTCTGTGAAAGATTTGTTTCAGCATTCATTGATCAAATTAGTCGTTGGTGCCGGAAAAATAATTTGTACCTAGATGGGCACATGATGGAAGAGCCAACACTTTACTCCCAAACTACAGCTCTAGGTGAAGCCATGCGTTGCTATCGAAATATGGATATGCCGGGCATAGACTTACTTGTTGATGGTGTCGAATACAATACTGCGAAGCAAGCTTCTAGTGTTTCTAGACAAATGGGTCATCGAGGTACAATGTGTGAGATATATGGAGTTACTCATTGGTACTTCACATTTGAGGGCCACAAAGGTTGTGGTGATTGGCAAGCAGCTCTTGGCATTACCTTTCGTGTTCATCACCTTGCTTGGTTAAGCATGGCTGGAGAAGGGAAAAGAGACTACCCAGCTTCTATTAATTATCAGAGTCCTTGGTACAAAGAATATGGTTATGTTGAAGATCATTTTGCAAGAGTTGGAGTGGCAATGACACGAGGGAAAGCTGTCACTCGAGTTGGGGTCATTCACCCTATCGAGAGTTATTGGTTATGCTTTGGTCCTGATCAAAGTGGTGATGAAGCAGGGTCTCGCGATCGTGCATTTTCCGACCTCACGAACTGGTTACTCCACGGCTTAATTGACTTTGATTTCATATCTGAGAGCTTATTACCAACTCAGGTGAGTAAGAATCAGGCCGGCAAGAAGCTGAGAGTAGGATTTTGTGAATACGACGTAATCATTGTGCCGAATCTACGTACCATTAGATCATCAACTCTCAAAGTTTTGCAAGCATTTTCGAAAGCTGGGGGTCATGTCATCATTGCTGGAAGTTCACCTGAGTGAGTAACAGCTTCATCTGCTATTGACCCCTTCAAGCCGAAATTGTTCGGTTATATGTTCGTGGTCGAGATATACTAATTAGGCCCTCTAGATTAATCGATGCCATAGTCCCGTCACAGAAGCCTACCATAAAACATAGTAACAACGTCTTCTGGAGTCAGCAAAACATTTTGTGTGCACTAAATGAATACCGTGATCTCCGAGTAACAGGGGAGGCTAGCTCCCCTGTCGAGAATCTGTTGTATCAGATGAGGGAAGATGGAGGGGAAAGATTTGTTTTCATCTGTAACACAGATCGTAATTCGCCAGTCACGACAAAGATCGAGCTGAAAGGCCATTGGGATACTTTCATAATGGACACTTTCAATGGAGAAGAAAGCCCAGTTCCTAGTCACGTTGAAAGTAGTTGGACACAACTGCAATATAAATTTGAAGGTTGCGCAAGTCTTTTGATGCGATTAATACCAAGGACAAGTCATTCTAATAAAGAGGTACTACCATTGGTCAAAACCTCGGAGAAGACACCTCTATTGGAATCTAAAGTTACTCTCGCAGGAGTAGAACTTTCAGAGCCAAATGTTCTCATGCTTGATTACGCATCCTACAAACTAGATTCTGATGAGTATTGGTCAGATTCCACTGAAGTTCTTAAGATTGATAATATCATTCGGGATCGACTAAGATTACCCCGTAAAGGAGCAGCATTCAGACAACCTTGGTCAGTCCCAGCTTCAGAAAGAGCTCCCAAGACACATGTCACCATGCGTTTCCTTATTAGATCAGGGTGTGATATTAATAGCCCAACAAGAATCGCTCTCGAAGATGCCAAAACAATGGAAATTAGTATAAACGACACCAAGTTGAATTTCCAAGGAGTTGATGGTTGGTGGGTTGATGAAGATATCCAGACTTTGAGAATACCGGCCAATACTATCAAGGAGGGAACGAATACGCTCACAATCTCTTTTCCATTTGGGATTCTTACGAATATTGAACGTTTGTACTTGCTCGGGGAATTTTCCATTGGCACCAAACACGGCAAATATTATCTCGAGCCACCCAGGAGCATATCCTGGGGAGATGTCACAAAACAAGGTCTACCTTTCTATGCAGGCAATTTAACATACATTTGTAATGTCTCGCTACCACCAGCAAGTCTTGACACAACTGTTTATCTCTCGGTCCCGGAGTTTTCTTCACCAGTACTCGTTGTCGCTTCAGCTGATACGGACCAAAAACTTGGACGTATAGCGTTCCAACCTCGAATGCTCGATATTACATCACTTGGACCAGGAACTCATAAGATTGCAATAACAGCTTTTGGAAATAGGTATAATTCTTTTGGGCATATCCATTTACCTGATGGAATTACGAATGGTTGTTCTCCGGATAGCTGGAGGAGTAAGTTTTCCTCGTTTCTCCTTTTTGCTCTATGACTATTCACTAATTGAAATAGCTGCTGGAAATTGGTGGACGGATAATTATAACGTGAAACCTGTTGGCATATTGGAATGTCCGAGTTTGAAGGCGGAAATAAATTCAGTTGACGCAATAGATGAAGGAGACGAGGAAGAGTGGGAGATATTAGAATAGGCGTGTGTTATGCAACGGATATGATGGCCGGCGCAAAAACAATTTCTTTATGAATCTACTCTATCTGGAGGGTTTAATGATCCAGGAGTTCTGAAAACTGTTCTTGACCCAGCAGAATCCATCCTTTCTAGTTCAATATCATGTGAAATTCCTTCTTCAATTGCTATCGCATTTCCAGTCGTTCCATTTCCAACATCAGCTCCGAATTCATTCTCCCGTTTCATTTGATTTTTGCTTTTTATCCAAGGCAGAAGATTAAAATATCCTCCGCAAGCAAAGACTCCACACCATAGAATAAACTCGGATGCATATATCACTATGCCAAGTATATCGAGATGTGGTTGGAAGACTGAGGTGTTAATATTGATTGGAATAGACGATCAAGGAGACAAAGACTTACAAATGGAAACTAGAGAGAAAACATCTCCAGCTGCATCAATGCCCACAAAAATGAATGAGATACCGCGGACAGTACGATGGGTGTAGATGTCATAGTAGTGTCTCAAAACCCCTGCAGACAAGAGAACAGCTGATAATACACCCATTAAAATGACAGGCCATTCGAGATCTCGACGTTGACTAGCCCAGTTGTAAATGTGAGTAGGAATAATCATTTAAGCTGATAGATAGCATCTTACCTTCAACCCTTCAACCAACGCTACCTCCACACCTGCAAAAACCATTCCAATCAACCCGGTGATCACAACACACTTCCTCAAACTCCATCCCTACACCACATAGTCAGTAATTCTCAGTAATCCATCTTCTTCCTCCTCTCTATCTCCCTGTCTCCCTTCCCTCCCCAAATCTCACACCGAAAAAAAAACAGAAGAAAGTCTAATAAAAAAGCACACCCACCCCACCATAAAACCAACACTGACCCCAAGTAACCAAACTCAACACACTCAATATCTGCGGCTGCACCAAAAGCGCAACGTTCAACCGCGACACGATATTAAAAGCGCCCAGGGGAACACCAGCACATGCCCATAACATCATCATAGATTGTTGAAGACCAATTGTATGGTGGCGTTTGTAGTTGAGGATTATTTGGGGGATGAGCTCTATGGGGGTTAGTTGGATTGGGATTGGGATTGGGATTTGAGTTTGAGTTTGAGGGAGGGTGTATGGGATATGTCGGAGACACGAACTTGTATGGACCAACATATTGCGCCTAGTGTTCCGAGGATATTGGAGGCGGTGGGGATATCCATTGATTGAGTTTTAGTATGTGTATGTGTATGTAGTCAGATTTGAGAGTTTGAGAGTTTACGGGATAATGGGAGGATTTATAGAGAATATATATATTCTTTTAAAGGAAATTGGACATCAAAGTCAAAAGCTACAACAATGCCGAAAACGGACCAAGCCGCTAATGAATCTTGGATGGCTCATGATCAATATGTGATCACCCAATCTTCCCTGTAAATAATGTACAATTCTGTTGGAAAAGGATTCTAGAGAGTATATAGAGAAATTTATTGAGTAGTGTTTGGAGACATAAACAGATTTGTGGTCCAGAAGTCTTCAAATCGGGTCTTTGATATGACGGGAGGTTTACTCGAGTATACCCGTCCCGAATAGTCTCGGTTACCTTTAGTTCTACATACTCGGAAATGTGACCGTTTGCTAGTGGTAGGGGGTAATACTAATCGTTTAACGAATCACTAAGGAATGAAGAAAATTGCTCACATTCCTCTACTCTAAGGTTATTTAACGGCGCTATACTATGGCAAATAAGACACTAGTTTCAGGGAAACGTAGACTGCCACACGTCTTCGAAGCGAGGCGTTCAAAAATTGGTTGTTTTCTTATTAATTCTTCGTATCTTCCCTCCGCAGCAGCGGCGGGGCTATCTTCATACTCCATCGTCAGGGATTCAATTTGACGGCAAAAACTACACAAATCAAGCTACTGAAGATATTGGTCCCAAGTATAATGAAGGGGTGTTTCTGAGATTCCTTAATGTATGAAAAAACATTTCCACAAACTGCTCCTGAACCTTCACAACATCTGCTTGCTCAATTATCGAAGTACATAGGACAGGAAGTTGAAGTATATGTAGACCGTAAAGTATTTGAGCCGTGAGATTTTCAGGAGGAACAATATTGCTCCGAAGGCGTGGTGCTCCTGCAACAACTGTTGTCTTTCTAAGACTAAGCACCCGGCACGCGAGTGTGGTTAGAGGTGCGAATCACACGCAGCCACCATGTCTTCATCATCTTCCACGGAATACTGAGAAAAACTTATCACTGATAGTCTCCTTACCCTGTTCTTTCCTTTGCCTTCGTTCTTCATCCTGTTTCTCATAAATCTTTCCTAACTGACCTGCAACTTGTTCACCAGCTTCAATTTCGGCCTGAATCGCTCGTTCCTCGATTTGTCTCTCGTCGTCGTTTAAACCTTCAAGTCGCTTTTTGAATGAAGCTTGAACCTTTGGTGAAAGATCAGATGCCTTGAGCTTATTATTTTCTTGCGCGGAATCTGATTGTCCAGTTCTCTTTGATATGAGTGGAGGAAATATAGGTACAGGTCTTCCTTCTGCTTTGGCTTCTTCAATCTGCTTTTCTTGAGCGATCATTCGGTGATATAAGGTATCGGCGTGCATTTGGATTTTTTCATCGACTTCAGCTGGACGATCATAGGTTGATAGGTATCCTAAAGCTTTGAGGAATTTCTATGCAAGTTAGTAGATAAGCCTGTCGCGCAGAGATCTAAAAACTTACACCTTGCATCGTATAACATCTCTCCAGTTTCCTATTCTCCTCTCTACACATAGTCAATCGAGCTTGCCATCCTCCTGAACGAAAACATTCATTAACATCCCATTGTTCCAAGGCGCAGTTCTCTAAAGCTGCTCTCCCAATCTCTGCTTTTCGGTATTTGTACCCTTCGATAACATCCTGAATCTTTTCGGCATCTGATTTAGCTGCCTGCTCAACTTCTGCTTGTGGTTGATATGTTTTCCATAAATGTGCGTAGCGACCGTCTTGGTATAAACTCTGCGGAGGAACATTGGGTTTGGTAGGATCTTCAGTTGTCGCACTTGTCGATGTGGGCTTCGACGATTTTGTTTGCGACGAAGCTGTTGTGTCCGTAGACTTCGCGGAATCGTATTTGACCGGTGATTCCTTTTTGAGAAACTCTCGTAAACTTGGATCAAGGTTCTTTAAAGGATCTTGAGATTTATCCTTATCACCATCATTTGAATCACCCCAGAACCAACCCATCTTGATATATTGCGGTTCTTCTTAGAACGCGGGGACCAAAATTTCTGGAGCTGGTCTAGCAAGTGGAGCTTGTGTAAAGTGCTGCTTAGTCATCATAAGTGTAATAAGGTATGGTTAATTTCAGAGAAGGGAACGACCTTTGCACGATTAGATATCTCACATACTGGAAGAAATCATAAAATACCTATGTACTGATGTTTTTAGATTTATTTGATGTATTGCTTAAGCTTCCCAACACAACGCTCCTATTTTCTACACTAAAGTTACCTTTACTCTATTGACTGCTAAACCCCTCTTCGGATTCTCACAGATCAATCCATCAACATCATTGAGACGGGCAAAATTTGGTTGATCAAAGAACAGAAAGCCCAGCAACCTATTGATCTAAGTATTAAATAAAAAGGCCACATATTAAATCCTCGATCAAGCATCAAAGCAAAGCGTGTACTAGGTCTCTCGAAGTGTATATTGGACCTAAAGGGTCATGTACTAACTCTCGAGATAAGATATATCATCCACCGCCCATATTTAGATATACAGGTCGCTAATCACTTCATTAATCAAATCAAGTGTTGAATTGACACTGTGGAAGCTTATGTCTAGTGCTTCCGCATTTCTGGCAGCCCTTCGGACACGTAAACATGCTATGTTCATCAGCACAACTCCTACAGCCACAATCAAAATACAGAGGTTATTCCAGATACCTTACTTCTTGACGTGGTCGATGAACATGCCAGCTTTTCTCCCACTTAGCCTCGTGCTTGGTGGAGTGATCATGTATGTAAGCCCAGCACTATCCTGTGAGGAATTTCCATCACTGAAGTGGTTACTAGTCACTCCAGCGTTAGCCGCAGGCTTCACAGCTACTTCCGAAAATCGCAAAGGCCGTCCTTTCTCGTCCCTAGCATCATTGCCAAGTTCTCTCGGGGTAGGCGAAGAAGTTTGACATCATGGCGATCCAGGGTCAAAAGGAGGGGATTGACCAATGGAGACGGCGATTGACTGCTACTAGCTCAACTCTTTGAGTTTCTGGTTTGTCGTTGTTTCTCACGACACCGTCATGAACATTGTGATTCCTTCAGCGGCTCGAGGCATTGCTCAGTTTGGAAAAGACATATTTCGACTGACAGGAGATCTCGAAGGTAAATCTACATTACGAAAGTCACAATCCTCCTCGCGTCACCTAGTTGTTCAAGGGTGAGTGAATTCTCAGGAGATACCACCCACCACATGCAAAGATCCGTCTCTTCGAGATGCATGTGCTATTTGAAGATTAAGAGCCATTATGGACTGGCCACTGAATAAATCCACCAGCCTGTGACTGCATCTCTTCCGTTCGAAGATTTCGATGACAGTCAAAGACTGCCTCGTAATTTTGTCTGCCACTTCGTATGCATCTTCCGTTAGGGAGTTTATCTTCTCTTAAACTATGCATGGCAATATCGGTTGGATTGTGAGTGTTCCTTTCTTCCTCGACCTCGAATTTTAGGAATAGCGTCAGATAATCATGCTGAAGTTTTTGAAGTACTGAACGGAGCAATTCCAAAGGACAGTAGTCCGGCCAAAGAATGAACTTAAGTGCACCCTCGAGTTTACCATTTCCGAATACATCAGACAAATCAATCAGATAAAAGTTTACTCATAATAACGGTAGTGGCATAATCTATATTCCCCTGTAGTAATGGTGAAGATTCTAGTGTCTATTGCCACGTCCTACGGTTACATCTGTTCAGTGCCAGGGTTGTGGAGCATGTATACCGAAATACCTAGGCTATGTTCATCACTCAGCAGGATTTGGAAAGTTAGGGCTTTATAATTACATATCACTCGGAGCGTTCCTGTGTGGAAGGTTATCTGGATGTAGAAACTCGGTTAGAGTGATAGGCTCACTAAGATTTCCTCTCTCTACCTCTCCCTCTTCGCCAGTAATGTTACCAATTGTATGGTTTAGGTGAGGATTTTCTGCTTTGCTTGCAACCATTTAATCGACAGGGACTGCCAGGAAATTTAATAGACCTGTTGCTGAAGGTGGTTGATTTTGGGCCCTAGATGCAACCATCACATTCACAGGAGCTGCTGGAAATGGATTTCGGTCCCTGACATGTGAGTGAGTTTGGATATTGCGACTAAGTGGGTCTACAGGCAATCTATCTTCCCTTCTCGATTAGCTGGACGCTCCGAAGTTCAATCTTGATTCATTTGACCGACTCCAAGTGAGTATCCAGTGTCGCGGTTGGGAATTAGGGCTAGATCAATTTGTTCCACCGCCATCGAGTTTCCAGGCAGACTACTGCTATGAATTTGAGACCGATTTGCCGCTAGGATTGTTTAACATTCAGTTTGGATATCTCACAAGACTAGGGTAAGTTTAGTGGTAACTCGAAGGTTTGAAGCAATATTAATAATAGCAAATCATCTTCGGTCATTATAGGAATAATTTTGTCCTAATCGTTCTAGAGATCTTTAGGAGATGCTCAGTCTATATATGAATCGATGTGCTTTTCTACTATGATAACGAGAACAGGAACTATTGGGAAGCAAGGTCATGAGCGCTGGTAGAGGATTGCCCGTAGTCTTACCCCTCGATGAAGATTGAGGTTATTATTCACGGTGGTCTGTAAATAACTAAATTGGTGCCGGCTGAGTAAGCACCGTTAGACAACGACATCTCCCAAATATGAAATAATGAAAATCCCACCACAAATTCAACAATAAAAAACTGCGTCTGGATGGAAGATATTTGGAGATTGAAAACAGTTGAAGTTATGTTCCAGTGTTGATCCTAAACAGGGAAACAACAGGATACCTTTACGTCCTCACAACATTAATGTTGACGATGTGAGGAGATTTCGCCGATATCTGGCTATGGCTCCTTATAATTTATATCTGAAATCTATTCATGTAAGGCATAAGTCATTATGACCAAAGTAAATCTTGCTATATTGCTCTCCCTCACTAGTATTATTCCTCTCTGGGGTGATACGGGAGGCGAACGGGGCTGAACTCGATGAAGCTGCTTCACTATTGGTTTTTAACAATACAGGACTCTCTATGGTCAACCTATTGAATCACCTGTCGGGATTTGGTTTGTGATGGAACTAGGGCCGAAGGATTCGTAGAAATTCTCCGAAAAAAGCCATGAAGAACATCCCGCGTATCCTGCGAATAGACTTCGTTTATCTGCGCTCCATGCCGGCAATTTTGCCAAACTGAAGCACCTAATTCTCTTCTCTTTTGGCTAACAGTGTGGAAATCTGGATTCCACTACTCAGCCATTCTCTTATCACATGACCCGAGAAATTAATGTTGGAAGTGGTAGCGTAAAGCCGGTATCTGTCAGAAGAGAAACTAAAAACATTGATCTTGTTACCAGAATTGGGATTTGGTCAAGTCTTGACTCTGCGATATGAGACTAATTTGAAATTATTTGAGATATGAAAACTCTTGATCATGCGACACTCATATCTTTAGCATAAATTTAATGAAGTGTTATTTTATCCGTGTAGTAATTGCTCTCCTGATCAATTGGTTGGCAGCGTCAAGTCCAACAATTGACCTTACATTGCACCATGGGTCAGATTATGTATGCTTTAGGTGGTTGTCATTGTTTTTCTCTCATCTTGTTGTTTTGTTGGTGTGGATTGCGAGTTGATCGATTATATTCTCTCTGTAATATGTATGCAAGCATCAAAAAAATGCAGAGCGGGAGGAACTTTTGAAGACTTTGAGAAAGTCTGGTCTGAAATAATGTAAGATTAATGTGTGTTCCAAAGCATCAGTGAACTGTGAGGATTGCAGAATCAACCTCCGAAAACCATCAAACGGGCCAAGCTGCGCGAGAACATATGGATCGGCAGGATGAATAAAGTTTCTGGAGAGAAAGACTATCGCCATGTTGGAATTTAAGTGAATTGCGCGGTGCTCAACTTAAAACTGTTCATATCTGGAAAATGGGCATGTTAGGTAATTATAAGCATACTTGAGGGGCCAATAGCTTTGCGAGCGCAAACACTTGACTACAATCTAATGTAGGGCAAAAGTGAATTAAGTTGTACTCAACTTCTTTTGTTGCATATCTGGAGAACATTGAAATTGACGTCATGTTCATTATTGACCCAATGGCTTTGCGAGCGCAAGATTGAAGGGAGAAAGCCAAAGACTAGCGGCGGGAGCTATTCGTAGTGCCGTGCTACTTTAAACGGCAAGATCTGGGGATATTTGAGGTTGATTGGGCAGAGGTGGGTTGAGAATATTTGGTTGCACATCTGAACAATTGGCCCCTTTTCAACATCCAAATTAGAGAAAAGAACCAATAACTTTGCGAGCGCAAAGGGGTCCAAGCTTTGTATCCATCAGATTGATAATAACCTTAAGGTGTGGTGGGGGAGGAAGGGTTGTTTGATGCAAGCACACGTGGATTTCCTATAGCACGACTTCTTAATTCACCTTCCACTCTTTCCTGTTCAATTTATGTTCAGCCTTGATAACGGACCTTGAGTTCAGCTATTATAAACTAACTACTAAGAAACAATAATATCGGAAACCGGACCAACATTCTGGGCAGTATTTTTGTCATGGAGACTGGACGAGCCACCGGGTTGGTACCACTGTCACGATGGAAGATGAGATCGACTTGGTGGAGTATACATGCGACTTCCGCGACCAACGAAGAGGTGGGAAGTAATTGAAGACTGGGTGGTCGTTGGGTATGAATGAATTCGATGCGACTTCCTTGACTAGTTGTGGAAAAGTTTGACGGGCTTGAAGGGAATTCGAGCTCGAACATATTAGAAAAGAACAATTTTCATCGATGATACTACATGAGAAGAAAGAGAAAAACGAGCAGCTGTGCTGGCGAAAGCTCGAATGCGACGTGTCAATCGTTGTTTACAATATGGGAACTGAGAGAAGGAAAATTCGCGGGAGTTGAACGGAACGGAACGAAACATCCCTCGGTAGATTCTTCAAGCTTGGCATATCATAAATGGCCCGCATTAGAAAGTCTTGAGAGAGTCACAGTAATCTCTGCTTTCGACTGTAGGCAATAGGAAGAACCCTCGAAGAGCAATATCGGTATGAAGATGGGGATAGCAAGCACGCGGTGGTGAAGTAATAACGAGAACCTCCGAACACGAGGAAAATGGCTACGACGGTGCCGGGCGAGAGCTCAATGAACATGGATACTGCATACATGATATGCATTAGCGTAGTTTGAACGCGTGGCACAGAGACCGTCTGATGGTTCGGAATCGAAGTTCCAGGCCTGGATTGATGACCTTGAATCGATTCACGATAAGACTTAAAATGGATTGGCTTGGAAATATCCATTCGGAAATATCAGTGAGACGAAGTGACATGCAGGTAGGACAAGAGTAAGGCGACGAGGGAAGACGAAAAGAGAAGAAACTAGGGAAAGTAAAGGAATGTGAAGAGGCATGAGTTCTTTGTGGGCAACCTGTAACAACAACACATCATCTACATAAGTAGTATCGGAACTAGTCCGTGTGATGATTATATCAGCACTATCAATTCTTTCTCTCCCTGCTTCAAAACAGGAGATTGCAGCGCGGATCCTTGTAAATATGAAGACGAACAAGTTTGAAACATTTCATCGCTCTCCATCACTGAATAAGGGTTAGAAATTGATATATGGATTCGCATTTCCTGCTTGGAGAGTCGAACCACGACTCAGTTGCTTCACTCACCAGACCATGGACCAGACGAGGTTTAATATGGCGATAGGCTAATTAAGGACAATCCAGTGTAGCTCCAGGCACTTGTTCGAGAAACGCGACACGAGGTGGCGCAAGCTGAGTAGAGCGATGAACACGAAACGGAAGATCGTTGAATTACATACGGCAGTTCTACATGTGCAACTGCATTCGTATTGAGATGACTGACTTTCACTAAAATCATGACGCGTTTCGTATTTTCTTTGCAATATTCTCCCAGGCTTCCACCTCCCTCACTCTTCCTGTTCCGCCATGAACTCCAAATAATCGTACAGCCTTTGGCATCCACCATTTCCTTGTGGCATTAACCTTCTCCGTATCTCGACGGAAGTTTCCCACCCCAAACCTTTGCTTTACGGCTTCCAATTCATAAATTCCAAGCCTAGTCACTCTCGGTTTCCCTACAAAGTTCATCGTAGTAATATCGACTTGTGCATCTTTTGGTGGATTCTTTGAGTATCTCATCAATAAATCCCGTGAAGTACGAGCAAAGTTGGGTAACTTTAGATGGATGTAATTGACAAATGGCGATGTTATATATGCCACGAAAATCATTGGTACAGCTCCAGATAATAGAACTTGTAGTTAGATTAGTTACATGGAGCAAACGAAAGCGCACGAGCTTGTCAATGCAAATCAAACTCATAGATTTGTACATTTAAAATACTCGCAAATATGACTTACCAGCTGGTGCCACCCATTGAGGCTCATCCTCTGAATAGTAATGTGCTGGTGCCACTACCAGGGTAAAAAATACAAATATAAAAATAGTTGTAACTTTTAAACAGCCAAGAAAGACAGTTCTCCCAGTTCCAGAATGATATATTAGCAGTCTTTCGGGATATGCTACTTTAAATCAGTTTGGATAATCTAAAATGGCACGAATGTACTGACCTGGTCTTTTGCTTGCATATTGTGGCGTTGACACAGGTCGTGGAGCTGCTACTAGTGGAGTTTTTCTTTTGATGGCTTGACTGGCATGTCTGAAAGCACCAGCTCGAACGCATGGAAATAACCTGTGGGTAGCAAACCCTCTAGGTCCGGATAATCGTGCAAGCAATATCATCACTGCTCCTGATCACGAGTGTGTTTGATATGGAAAATGCCGTGAATGAAACAATTGCAAAGCAAAATCATTCAATCATTATTCATTGTGTGCCCGGACGGCTGATCCAATAACAAACTAAATCTTAATGGCTCGGCAATTCTGTTTATGATATTTATTACCACAGTTGGATCTAACATAAAAATAAATTTGATATCGTAAGTTAGGCGCGCTGGCCGCCGCGGGCCGCGCCGCGCGCTCGCGGTTATGTACATACCTTGGGGTATCAGCCGAAACCTATGTAACAGATTACCGTTTGACCTCACAAGATCGAATCTGTTCATTCAACATTTGGAGGAACTATGATATTGAGAGTATCTGGCAGATAACAAGGAAAGGCGTTCGCCTTCTGATTCAGCACAATGATTTCTCAATACCTCACAACTTTGGTTCTCTTGATTTGCACCATCTTGAGTATCAACGTCACGGCATATACACCTTTATCTGATGAGACACTTCACAGTCTTCCTTCTGGTGGCGCAGATTTCGATACACATAATGGTGCCATTCTTTCACCAATTTTGATACCACGAGTTCCGGGAACTCCAGGGATTCAAGCCGTACAAAGGCATTTTGTTGATTTCTTTACAACGCATCTTCCGGAATGGACAATTGAGTTCCAAAACTCGACTTCGAAGACTCCCGTCACTGGTGACAAACAAGTACCATTCGTTAATATCATAATAACTCGCGATCCTCCTTGGGCAAAATCCGGAAATGTTGGAAGATTAGCTTTGGTTGCACATTACGATAGTAAACTCGCGCCTACAGGATTTATTGGCGCAACTGACAGCGCAGCCCCATGCGCAATGATTATGCATGCAGCTAGAAGTGTGGATCAAGCATTAACAAATAAATGGGCGGCAATGAAAACGGCAGGGGATATTGGTTTGGAAGAAGAAAAGGGTATTCAGATCTTGTTTCTCGACGGTGAAGAAGCATTCCTGAGTTGGACCAATGATGATTCTCTTTACGGTGCAAGGTGAGAAGGTAGCCTCGTACGATTCTAAGCTTTATTCTAACTCATCCAGGGCATTGGCAGAAACATGGGAAATAACACCTCATGCAGCTATGTCAAATTACAAAAACCCATTGGACTCGATTCACTTATTCCTTCTTCTTGATCTTCTCGGCCACGATACTCCAAACATTCCTTCATACTTCGAAACTACACATTGGGCATACAAGAATCTCGCAACTATTGAAAATCGCTTACGATGGCTTGGAATAGCTCAATCAAAAGTTAAGCACCATTTCCTACCTGATTTCGACCGGAGCTCCTTTTCTGGCGGAGGAGGTGTCCAGGATGATCATCTACCTTTCATGGCCCGTGGGGTGGAGATTTTACATATGATACCTTCCCCATTTCCACCTGTTTGGCATCTTATTGAGGATGATGGTGATCATTTAGATATACCAACAGTAGAGGATTGGGCCAAAATGGTAACTGCTTTTGTCGGAGAGTGGATGGATCTAGAGGGTCATTTCCCATCGCAGCCACAAGTGAAAACACAGAAGGAAAAAAGAGATACCATTTCTCATAGAAAGACTGAACTGTGAGTTGTTCATGGTCATTTCAGTAGTTTTAAACTTGTGTTAATTTTATATTAGTAACTAAATTCAGGAATATCACATTGGAGAGCCATTTGAGTCAAATTGAAACTTGCTTAAGCCGATGTCATTTGCATATTCTTCCCGCCCCTAAAAAAAATGTGCCAATAACGGAGGTGCACGAAGTTTCGTGAATTTCTTGTTCAACCCGCAAAGTAGTGAAACTCACAAGTTTTGGTACTTTTTTGACGCATGAAAATAATTGAGTTATACTCTGGTAAAGCGTTTATAATAGTCCCATTCTCTGATCATACATAAAAAGGAACGGTAAAGAACGATTCACCCGCCCATGATTACCTACATCACCTATAATCCTTGTTATTTAAGCTCGACTACTTCTTCATCTTCTCAATGCCCCTGAACTATATTCTTTTCCCACTTCTCCCTGTACCAAAAGCATAACAAAAAGCTTATTATTGACAAGAGCTGGGCTTTGTTTCCCAAACGATGCCGAAACTGTCTCAAAAAAAAAGAATTATTTCATCCATCGCTTGCATAGCACAATCGATCTTTCTAGCCTGCATGCGCCGCGAGTTCAAGTCCATCTTCAATTTCTAAACCTTCCAAGACAGGCAACTGGCTTTATTGCTGGATACTAGGGGTTGGTTCACGAAGTGGCATCAGTATACGTGATTCTTTTGCAGTTCAACGGAACAAAAGAAAATCTTGACTAATGGTACGAGAAGCTGAGATGGCCTCAGAGGTCCGACAGAGACATTTTCGGGCCAGACAATAAGTAGGCTTCCACATATGAGGCATTACTTCCTGAATTCAATGCCAATGACTTAATGCAACATCGAAAACACAGCGTTAGTAAATAAAGGCTATCAATAATTTTTCGTCTCTGATGAGCAGATTTGAGGAAACTCTCTCCTTTGAGACACATCTTTGCCAACCCCCACTCCAAAGAATCGCCTCGCCAAGGCAACGCTTCAGAGTCAATAATACTTTACCGAATTGATCTACTCTTAATAACCCCTCTTACTGATGTCAATTCTACGTAGCACGTTAATGACACCGGCATAGAGGAAGCAGGAACGTGCGAGAGAATTCCAATAGAATTATGGACCAATAATGTTTTAAAAACTGTGTAGCTGAACTTTGGGGGCAATTGTGGACAGAAGTACCAATATCAATAGAAGGCAATTTTGACAGAGAGGTGCGTAGATTCCTCAAAGTGCTTGGAGCATGGAAATATGGCGCAAAGAACCCCGAAATATTTCGAGCCGTCTTGAGGTATGGTGGGAAGGTCGTAAGGTCATATGGTTTAACGATGTATGGAATTTCATGATCGCGGTAAGATGTCCTCACTGGATATAAAAGGGTATACTATTTGTGGATTTCTGTGATGTGTATTTGATATCATGCGTTGGACTAGCTGTTTGGGTTTGGACTGACTTTGCTAGGAATTGATGGGTTTTACACGGTTTTGCATAGAGACCTCAAAGACTTTTTAGCGCAACATGAAATTTCGTATTCATAGAATACCAGACTCAATTCAAAAATATATACTCTGTATTTATAATTACAACGATACCAATTCCCCAAGTCCATAATGGGACGGAGATGAAGACAATATATACAAGCTAAGTGCGATACTAAAATGATAACCTAGCTGATTTCTTTCCGAGATTTCTCAAAAGATGACTTAGGAGAGGAGAGACGGATTCCACAGTCGATCCATGATTTGTGAGTCCCCATCAAAGTATGACAACGAACCCTCTAACCTCTGAAACCACAATCTATCACTTATCCTGACGCACCGGAAGTACAAGTAAGACCCTTCGAAGTATCCACGTTCGCGCAAAGGAAAGTAGCAGATCCTGACGTGGGAGCAACTGTCCAAGACGAGAAATTGATGTCACAAGTTCCGCTCTTTGGACAATCAAGATTGGCAACGTCCGGCGAATTTTTCGAGCTAGTCTTTCCTTTGAAGTTCGTAAAATGTACGTCCGTCACAGATGCCGTACTGGGATTACTCGCGCAGTAGCTTGCATCTTCACCATAGCAACTTTGAATCTGAGCTGCCCAATCGCTGTTTTGCACAGTAACATCATTGAATGTTACGTTGCGGACAACCGCAGTTCCATGTTTACTTCCTCCGGGGTATAATTTGATTCCAACGGCTTTGCTGGAGTTGACCATTGTTGCTCCAGTGACATAAACGTTCGTTACTGAATCAGTTGTACCTGCCTTGCTTCCAAGAGAACCGACTGAGATTCCGTGAGATCCAGTACAGGTAATTGTATCGACTGTGACATAGTCCGCACCAGGCTTGAAAGCTATGCAGTCATCGTCATTCGAGACTGTGATATGGTTCAAGGTAACATGGGTCGAGTCACCAACATCGAATCCATCGGTATTTTTTGCTGGTGCTGTTGATTTGGAAGCTGCTGTCATTGTCAATTGGGAGTATGCGACATTTGTCGAACCTCCAGTAACACTAAAGAAGACATTTGGCGGGTTCTTGACTTGGAGGTTCTTGATGGTGATGTGAGAAGATGCGCCGGTTATGTAATGCAATGTTGGGCGAGCATATGATGTGTTTTTGGCAAAATAGTCGTATGCTCCTTGTCCATTTCCATCTATCACTCCTGTTCCAGTGACGGATTGGATCGTTGCGGTGTTGATGCCATTCATGTAAAATATCGCTCTTTTACCTTCCCAAAAGTTTAGATCCTCAGATGCCTTCAGTGTACCTTCGATATTGAATGTACATCCAGCACATCCAGTAAAGTCGAGGACGCTATTGATTGAATATTGGACACCGGCTGGAAATTGGATGACGCCACCTTTTCCACATGATTTGATTGCTGCAGTGATGGCTGGAACGTCATCAATTCCTGAATTTCCAGCAGATGCAGGAGTACAAGTAGCTCGTTTGGCGAGACTGACACCGTTCGCTTCGTTTCTCACAGCAGTTGGTGATGCATATGCAGAAGAGCAAAGCAATATAGCTAGCTGTAAGGTTGAAAATTGGTAAAGCATGATCGCTGTATCAGGAGTTTCAATTGAAAAGAAAGCTTAAGAAGAAGCACGAAATCCTTCTCGTGGCGGATGGTTCCACAGTTGTAGGCAGCTCAGTAGGCTGTATTAATCACTTACTTATTCAACCCCTTTTGTGGAACATTTCTTCAACGGGAATGATATCATGCATGGGGCAGTCTCCGGAATGAAAGAAACGGCGACATATTTTTAGAATGTCGGTCTTTTTCGAATATTTCCACGTTTGCCCCGAAAATACGAACGAATAGAGAGGGGGAGGACTTCGGGATAACTTCTAAAGTGGGAGTTAGAAATTTTTAGTTTCTCTACTCTATCGGATAGATAGCAGTTATTTCCTTTTAAGATTACAGGAAGCATCTCATACAAGTCCACTATAGCGACCTTCTCCACATGATCTGCAATTGGGACGTTTCTCTTATACGCGGGGGTGATTATTTGGGAGCATTTTGGTGTAGCTCGTCAATTAAGCCTAAATGTGCAACACGGTGCCCATGTCCACCCACTATCGCCCCTTTAATACCCCGAAAGCCTAATCTGATATCAGCCTAAGACATGTGGAAATTGAAATGCCGAAAGTGCGGAGCCCCACAACGTTCCTTCAGTTGCATGGGGGACAGCTTGAGTTCTAGATTTCTAGCAGAAAAACAAAGTTTATTCTATTCATTAACGAGCTAGGAGAAATTGAAATGGAGTTCGGTGGGATATCGGACGAAGTTCATGCCTCGGCTGCTCGCACCAAGTGGCCAATAATCCAAATGCTGTACTATCAGCGGTACATTTAGGACAGCTTTTATCCTGTCATCGATCGACGTCAAATCAGCTTCTTTGTGCTTTTGATATCCTGCTTCAAAAACAATGGCACCTCTTAAATATCTCAGCAATTTTCTAATTGCCATTTCCTTCTTTGTCCTTGCCATAGATGCAACCCCTCTCGTGCACAAGAGAGCCGGTCGAACCAGCGCTCCAGCTGGATGTCTAACTGTTAGAGGAAGCGGTACTCACTCCGGCGAGTATAGCACAGTTGGAGCTGCATTGAGCGCCCTTGGATCTTCGAAATCAGCCGCATGTATTTTCATATACGGTGGAACATACAACGAGCAACTTACGATTAAATATGGCGGAAACCTTACCGTCTATGGATACACCACTGAGTAAAACCCACCCTCCATGTTTTGCAGGCGGCAACTAACTCGTGCTAGTATTGGAACATATAAGAGTAACACCGTGAAGATCACACATGGTATCAACTCCACCACTGTAGGCTTGGATGCTAGTTCCACGGCGAACATCGTGAGCGCAAATTTCAAGGCGTACAATGTCGACTTCGCAAATACTTATGGGGCCGGTGTTCAGGTTTGTTTTCCGTCCAAGCTCACTTATACTCTAAGGAGTGAATGACTGATGTACTTCACTTTAGGCCGTGGCCGTAACCGCCAATGGAGATCAGCAAGGTTATTATGGGTGCTCATTTACCGGCTACCAAGATACTTTGTATGCCAAAGCAGGCAAACAATACTACTCCAATTGCTACATTGAGGGTAAATTCCCAAGCCATTTGATAAATACTCGTTGTAATTGCTAATGATGATAGGCGCTGTGGATTATATATTCGGTGATGCTGCGGCTTGGTTTGGCGAATGTATGTTACTATCAGAACAATCCGATAACCAAACACAAAAGTGACAGAATATTCTAACCCGTATTCTTAGGTACAATTGCTTCGAACGGAGGAGGTGCTATAACGGCAAGCTCGAGAACACTTAGCAGCGATAGCGGCTGGTATGTCATCGACACCTCCACTGTAAGAAATACAAGAAACTCCTCGTCTCAAAACAAACACTGATATCTCCTAGATAACCCAAGCAGATGGTTATAGCCTGACAGGAAAAGTCTATCTCGGACGACCATGGAGAGGCCTTGCTCGTGTAATTTTCCAAAATTCTGTCTTGACAGGAGTGGTAAATGCAGCGGGTTGGACTACTCTTGCTGCTGATGCAACACCGTATGTCTCTATTTCCCTAATTCTCACGGATAAAATTAACAATCTGTAGGATATTTATGGAATATGCCAATACGGGGGCTGGTTCAAGCACATCCGCCAGGGCTTATGTGAGTAAAATAGCTATGTTGCTGAGTTGAAGAAGTGTTACTTACTATGTTTATAGGAAACTGCTGCTAAGGGTACGGTTGATAAGAACACATTGTGGGGAAATACCTGGGCTTCCTGGGTTGATACTTCGTATTAAGTTGAGGTATAGCGAGGGAATTTGGGAAGACTTTTGGTTAAATGTGTTCCTTATTCCATATTGAACGGGTAGCACTAATCGTCTGAAAAACTGTAATTAATCTAATCACTGAGCTGAGCTAAGTTACGGGGAGGAACGGGATGGCTATTACAGCCGATCGACCAAAAAGGATTCCACCCAAACAAGAATTCTGAGCTTGATAAGCCTAGAAACCAAACAAGAAAATGGAGCTTACTGAAAGATTCCAACAGGTCGTCTAATGTGTCACGCCTTGTTGAATGTGAGATGACCAGTAGCTAGTTTTCCAGGTGATCATTTCTTCTCCAACTGGCGCATGACAAAAACAAACATATCCAGACAAATGCTCACCCCTTTCCTTATTTTCAACACGGCTATATTGAGCACCTCTATACTCTTTCATATCCCCAAGCGCTTCCTCCGAAACTACATAATACAAATCCTCTAGACCCATAAAAAATATTATTCGTTGACATGTGCCTCAATTCATCGCTGCATGGTAGTCGAAACGGTCTACAACTTTGAAATCTTTTCGAGTACATATCTCCGCAAGGTTGGAGATCGATCTGATAACCAGGAAATAATTGAGTAATTCTTCATTTGCTAGTTGTTGAAGTTGGACGAATAGGTCACCCACTCACCCACTCACCCACCCGGAGTCAAATCACTCTTCTTGCACATCTCTCGGAACATTCTCAAAAGTAACTCCGTGTTTTCCTTGAAAGTGAATTCATTTAGAATACGAGCACTAGAAGATGCAGAGTCTATTTCATCCTATTGCAAATATCTTCCCGGCTCTACCATTCCTAAACTTATGATTAGCTGCTGAATCCTCTATTCCGCCGAGGTTTTATAAGATTTGCTTTCTCTGCATAGCAATGAGATTTTCTAGCAGAACTCCCGGATGTTCCCTTTACGACAATCGTGTAAGCACGAATATGCACAATATGAAATCTGCCGTTCAAATGGTCAGTCAGGCAACTTTATAAACGCATCGAAACTTCCAAAGGTCATGTTAGAGCGAAGATATTCCTTTCCTGGGAAGGCTCGTTGGAGATATCAAATCCATGAAGTTGCCCTTTGGAGAAACGTTTTGGAACAATTCTAGAAGCTAGTTCCTATGTTTCTGAAATTTCAGTCTCGTGTCGGTGTTCTTTTGAGGACAATCAAACTTACGCATTACCAATCCTCATCTCTGCATTGCAGAACCTATCTTCTTTCTTAGGAGCCAAGATCAGGGGAATAGAGGTATGAACTAGTTATACCAGGCGCATGTTCCACAGCAGATGTTGAAAATGAAGTCCGTATACTCATATTTAGCTAGGCTTTTTCAGTCACCCAGAATTAGATATTGAGGGTAAATACCGTGCCGAATTTCAAAAGCCGCGACTAAACATACAATCCTCCTGAACCGTGTTCCTTTCAATTGTGATCTGACATTGCGTATGTTCGCCCCTAAGTTGGGATAAATTCATGAGAACTTTTGGATGTACTTATGACAGTATGAATTGAAATTTGAGAGGTGAGAAACTCTTGGAAAGGTACTGTACTATTATGTGATTCTCTCAACCTTGAGTCCTGTTGGTCAACCAGTTTAGCATGGCGCTCTAGATCTTTCGTCTATCAAATATCCTCACGTATTTACATATCAAGATCAGGGGACCGACGACGTGCCTTTGGATCAGGTCGTGACTTGTAGCAGGTATGTTCATGAAATCTCTCCCTGTGCTCTCGAGAAGATGTAGATCTGATACTCAATATCTTTTGTCCTAATTAATACTCCTTTTAATATCATGCTGCGCGACGAGGAAATGGTTGGGAGCTTCCAAATAACTTTCTACTTCACGTAGCGGTTTTATGGTTGCAAAAGTAATGAACAAAAAGCCATCACATATTCAAAGGGGTAACCGGAAGTAGAATAAAGTTAGTGTAAAACCATGTTAAATGACGGCATAGAATATGCACTTGAGGGATGGATGCCAGACAGGAATCCAAGCACATCCGCATTGACCTTGGATCAAGGACCCGGACTCACACTCGGGCAGATCCGTGACTTAGCTCCTCGGTAGGATAATTGATGTTCACTAAGATAAACGAAGATAAGGTTCATAAGCTCATCTCTTAAAGCGCATTTCCTATTTATAAATCTTGTGCAGCTGTCAGAGCACCAAATGATCATCGAACCATGTTATTTTTCAAGAATCTCCACTTATCAGGTACTCTAGGATTTTGGAATTAGTCGTCCCATTTTTAGGGCTGCGCTGCGTCCGCTTTGATATGGGCTACTATGTTCAATTATAAAACGCATAAGCGAAATTTATATATACGGTTACCCGCAACAAACGACTATCCGAACAAGGTTTGCGGCTGATGTCAAGTCCCGAACTTCAAACTAGTCCATAACCTCATCTCATTTCAAAAGTAAATGCAGCTTTAAACATTTGAATGAAGGCTTGATGTCATTGATGCCCTGTGCTCGCGAAATGTCCATCTGACGTCGTTAGATGAACAGAAACGAGAGAAAATGATAAAGTTTTAACTAATTAGACAAACCCTTTTCCTATTTCCACATTCCGTCGGTTGTGGCCTTCTACCCTTCGACCCTTCCACGGCAAGGAGCCCCTAGGAAAGCGATCAGCCCGAGTCTTTCAAGCGTAGCCAAGGTCATAGCGATGACGTTAGCCTGTGTGTATAGAGACAAGAGTATTGATAGCGACCATTTAAGCGCACGAGTTTCTGTTCCTGAAGCTTACATCGCGCAAATATGGAAGGTATTTTTGTACGGCAAGCACTTGAAGGTGCTCTTCCTCCACCTGCTGGAGTGACTCCAAATTTCATCAACCCACCCAGCATTGCCAAATACAATTTTCTCTGTCAAATTGTTTGTATGCCAGTGACCACTGTGTTCGTCTGCATACGCTTGTACACAAGATGTTTCATACATAGAAAGATCACTGGAGATGACTGTAAGCTTTCTTATCTTTTGCTTTGAGATCATCAATTGACTTGGGAAGATGCTTGCATAGTTGCTTGGGTGAGTCGTCCATTGTACTGTTTTTTGAGCTCCGAGGAAAATCTAAGTAGGCATACAGCTGGGTTCTCTTATATATTCTGGAATGGCATTATCATGTGAGTGCCCAAGCAAGAGAGACATGTATAAACAACTAACACAATTTAGTAAACCAATATGGTGCCGGAATCCATCAATGGGACGTTCCAGCTGCAGATATCAAAAAGTTTGGAAAGGTATGTTAAAGAAACGCAAAAAGCAAAACTAATCGGTCTACTGACGCCTTGAGCCAAGCTAGTTTACATGACTCAGATGTTATACGGACCGGAAGTCTTCGTTACCAAGGTCACCATTTTGCTCCTCCTATCTCGAGTCTTTGGCGTCAAAGAAAATATGTTGTGGGCAGTCCGCGTCTTGATTGGCTTCATGGCACTTTACTATGTTCCTGCAACAGTCGTGAAAATATTCATATGCTGGCCTGTTGCTCATTTTTGGGATCCTTTAGCTACAGAAGGCAGTTGTCTTAACGGAAATTCCATATACCTTGCGGACTGTGCCATGAGTATTATTAGTGATCTCACTATTTTATTTCTACCAATATCAATGATTTGGAGTCTAAAAACTCGTACTATGCGAAAGATTGGCGTCTCGGCTGTGTTTGGGGCTGGTATCCTGTAAGTACCCTCCACTATCACTGACAAAATCTGACGATTCCGAGCAGAGCTTGTACTGCAAGTGTCTTGCGCCTGTATGAAACACTTCATCTTGGTGGTACCCTAGATAAAACTTATGGACTGGTTCCAATAATCCTCTGGAGGTAAGTTGATTTTCCTCTCCGTCATAATCGAGTATTGGCTCATCTACATACACAGTATCGCTGAGATCAACATCGGCATCATCTGTGGCTGCTTACCGATACTCCCCTCCTTTATCAAAAAGACCTTCTCTGCGATCCCGGATTCCAATGATTCCATGGAGAACGGCATTTATTGCCGTATGGGACGAATATCGAAACCGAAGCGCAACATTGATGATTCGATAATGCAAACGCAAACGAGGCCGGAAGATTCGAATGAAAGGCTACCATTGGGGCAATCTACAGTTGTGCAAGTAAACTTGGGCGATAATACATGGCAGGGCGGCGGTATAATGAAAATGGTAGAAATTGACCAAAGGATCTGATAGGCTGAATCATTTTCATGGCAGTAATTTGACTCTTGTAGTTGGTCAGTAGCTTGGCTGCAGCTTCGCAGCAAATCTCTTATACTTTTGGTGAGCCTAATCGCTTGGCTTCCAAGACTAATGGAAAAGTTTTCTCATGAGTAAGGGGTCGACGGTTTTATGATAACATGCCGTGAGGTAAGGTTCTGGACTTTTAAAAGCTTGTACAATTGTTTTATCGTATTTCTCTGAATGAGCAAAAGCACTTGCCCGATTTCGCCTGCTATCCTCTAGCCAAATTGTAAGCCAGCCAAGTCTCAAAGTGTGTGCTGATCCTTCTTCTCAGCCCTATGCGTGGTTTTGGGTATCGCTGAGAAGAGTATAGCTTTTGTCGAATGTCCTGGTGTTCCCTTGAGTTGAAGCAATAGGTAAGCCGTTCGACAGCTACAATTCCGTTTGTTCGAAGGCTATTTATTGACTTCCGCGCCGGACAATGGTCCACTTCTTCCTTGAGCTACAAGCCTGAGCTCCGCTTTTCATAAACTTCAAGAATTTTCCATCTTCTCATCCATCAATCTCATCATTTCATCCTCCTCCTCAACCTTCTGGTTATGACCATTACTCGTACCATTACTCGGGCCCAGCCCCCTATTCCCTAATTCCTCTGTAATATCATGTCTACTAACCATCATTTTCTCCCCAAATATTTCTTTTCCTTTCCGTGCCACCCCTTCTAAACTCCTCATCCCTACTACCAGAAATCCCAATTCTTCCCTATCAACATCGAATACCTCCCACCATTCGTCCTCTGGCATTTTGACACCCTCTTCTTTGGCCGCTAAATATATTGCTGCCACTGCTAATGCGCATGGTTGATGTGTTAAATATAGCATCTGCGGACTCAGAAACGCTGTATTCAGGTATTGTATTGTTTTCTTGGCGACTTCTTTCCCGCTACCCTTTTTATGTGCTGATGAAAAAACATCGAGAGTTTGCAGGTAAGTAATCGCAAGAGGATGTGGAAGAGCGACGTGCGTATTGAAACTCAGAGCATTCAGGATTTGGCCTTCAATATTGAGAAGTCGTGTGCGGTAGGTGACATAGGCAGATTCGGAAAGATAGTAGGATGAGGGATCATTTTTAGATATTTCAGAAGCTGTGAGAGACGCGGATTGAGAGAGGAGGTAGGCATATACATTTGTTATGCTGCGAAAAGAACGAGGAGAGGCGGAAACTTTGGCGGCTAGGTAGAGGGTGGCTGCTGATACGTCCTGGAAATGTTATTTCATGAAATTCATGGCATACAGAATGTCAATTGATCACTCACACTGAACTCATATTGCATCAAATTATCTACGAGCCAATATCTATAGAGAAGAACATTCGCTTGAGCTGTGATATCCTGGGGAAGTCGAAGGAGAATGCCTGCGGCTTGTGTAAGTCGCGCGGTGTAGAATCGAATGCTATCTTGAAGTTCGGCCGGGAGTCTATTGTTAGATGCATTCTGGTATAATTGTTGAGCCGTTGCCAGAGGATTGTAAAGATGTGACATGGTTGCTTGTTGTAAACAAATGATGATGTCAAAATCCCAAGGTCGAGATATGGTTCTCGAAGTTGCAGCCTTTCGCGCAAGGCTGCCACTTTTCAACCACGAACCTCTATCTCTTTACGACTGACGAGGACAACTCACTCTTAAATCATTTAAATCTTATTCTTGATATCTATCAATTGTTACTAGAGTTGAGGATTTTTCTATTCTTAGCTCAAATATCAATTAAAGTTCTACATTAGCTGGTTGCTGAGAGCTAGCTCTTGCTACACAAAGTTAATTGTCGAAAATTCCATACCCTTGAGCAGAGGAAAAGTGACTACCGGTATTGTACTTAGTTGCCCAAAATGCCCTCTTGGTTCATTTCCCAGCTTGTCAAAAAGTCGAGGATAATATCAACCGCCCATTCAACAGTATTCTCAACTGTGTCATCGACAGTGGTTCTTACAAACACTCCATTGATGCATTCCTTTCCGGTCTCTTTCAACAACCAACTGAACGAATCCTCATAACCTTTCCAAACAACCTCGTCAAAGTATCCTTCCGATTTCCACATTTGGCCAGGATGTCTTCCACCAGCAGGAAAATCAACATACGGAAATCTACTCATTCTTCTTTGCTTAGCAACATCCTTGCTGGTAGGCAAGAACAATTTAATATCAAATTCCTCCATCAAAGCTTCCTTGGACAAGGTACTTTCTTCCTTCATTCTTGTTAGCTCTTTCTCCATGAACGTAAAATCTTTCTTGGCTATCATTTGCAAATCTTCAGGAACCTCTGCAGAAGGCTTTCCAGTGTTTTCAAGGAACTCCAAGCTTCCGTGGTCGGGAGGCTTGGATTTGCTAAATAGCAAAAATCCTTCCACGAAGACCCATCCATTGATATTACCTGCAACGTTTTCCCCATATCTAGAAGCCTGCTTGATTGTTGTCAATGCCCTATGTTCTTTGATTTTCTTGCGCATGCTTGCGATCACTCCGGAATATTGCTCCACAAGTTTCTTCTTATCCGCATCTTCTTTGAATCGAGTGATCTTTTGTGGTTCAATTTTTTTGATATGCGTGGCTTGAACTTCCCGAAGTAGATTGCTAAAGTTAACTGCTTCTATGCAATCTGTGTTTGGCCCGACAACTTGTACAATCCCTTCTCCTTTTGTGCCAGTACAAGAGTAGGTGTAGACTGGCTTTTCATCTTTCTGGGCAATGCTTTCTTTCACAAATTTTTTATCATTATTAGTGCTATTGAATTGGACAAATGGACAGTCTGCTTTTGGAATGAAGAAAGAATCCTGATGAATAGTGGTTGTGAAAGGGGTGATAGCTTGTGAATTGCCTAGATTATCTTTCTCAGACTCACGTGAAGAACTGTTTTCTGTTGATTTGTTTTTGGATGAGAAAGCAGAGAAGATTTCTGAGAGTAGTAAGGCCAGTGTTGTTTTGCCTGATGAGGTGCATCCCGAAATAGCTACAGTGAGCGCTCTTGGGGTAGATTGGTTAATATCCTCGGTCGTTTCAATTTTATTTAATTTTCTGTTATCTAATCTCTTTAACACTGTAACAGAGGAAGAGTTTTTTTGTGGTAGACGTGGATGATGAAAAGGTAGGTTTGTGGATGAAAAACCTAAATACTCCATTTTTCGAGATCTCGGTCGAAAACGAAAACTGTAGAGATCGAAGATCGAACTGGACTGTCTTGGGCCAGGGATAACAAACTTTCCTAGGACTTGCATTACTTGGAGTTTATCTGTCGTGGAAAAATGTAAATATGATAGATAAATCCCAATTACCTCTTGTGAAGAAACGAAACAGCAATGATGTGATAGTACCTGGGGCTTTCCAAGAGTTGGCTATATATAAGAATTGTGTTTTAAACAAGGAGTCATAGTAAGGCAGCTCTTGAATAAGGAGAATTAAATTTTGACTAGTGTTTGCTCTTTTGGAGAGTAAATAAGGAAGATGAGGCTCTCAAGGTACCGCTTTGTATGAATGGTGTAGCATAAGAGCCGTAAATAAATATGATTATTCAAATCCTATCAAAGTCTACTCTCTATTTCTATTGACAGTTCCACAAATCATTTGAAGGAATACAACACAGGTTTCGGCCCTCAACATTAATTCTTATGCTCATTCACTCGATATATCAACTTCTTCAAGTTTCCACTGTCCTCTGTCTGTCAATAAGGATGCTCGATTTGTTTCACAGCAGCTTTCTTTATTTGGGAGCCGCGCCAGTAATTCTTTTTAGATGTATGAGCTAGAACCATGACAATGAGCTCTGTTCCTATGAATAATGAATAGGCTGCGCCATTGGGCATTCTCCACACTACGTGTCTTAATCCTATAACGCAAGCATAAATGAGAAGGGGGAAAAAGCTAGCTAAAAAATCAGCTCAAGCTGCATGTTCAGGAATAACCCCAAGTGCGAGAATGAGATGTAAGCTTGTACAACACTAATTACCGTAAGACAATTTCGTCATCACTAAAATTCTGCACTAATACTTCTGAAAGATAAAGCCTCATCATCATACAGCATTATAGATGGGTTAAAGATGTAGAAATAAGAAGAATTTAGCATATACGGCGAGGCGGGCGACAAATGAAAAGGAGACTGATTGTGAGCAATCGTATGATCAACAAGGTTATTATCACGCCCATCCCATCTCTTTCCCAACAAAATTTGCTCTTATTTATTTTATTAATGAATCTGAAATAGGTATTTCCTTGGACCACAATGCTACTAATATAGAATCCGTAAGCCCATTTGCGATAGTTTCTCTATGGGTAAGTCACATAGAGGTTTCCGGTCAACTTAACTTGTAGTCACCAACCACATGCCAAAAAATTCATGGAAGCTTATTTCATTTATCTGTACCAAGCTATTCAAAAATACTAGATCTAGGAATAGCCATTCATACCACAATAAATCACCGCAAAATTATCATTGCCGAGGTTAACACAACTTCTGCATCGTCATGCCTTCGCTGATTCATGAAGGAGTTCCTACATGATCGATTTACCCGCAGACTAAAAATCAAACGATCAGCTGGGATTTTGCAAGCTGTGAGAGTTATAGTAATGGGAGCAGGATAATGAGAGCTTTGCAGTGGAGAAGCCTGGTCCTTACAGTGACATCACCCAAGCCAGGCACACACAGAATCCGCCTCAACAGAGCTCTTCACCGGAATACTACCGGGCTTGGAGTATGAGCCGCTACAAGGAAAGGGTGCTGTAAGCAGCAAAAAGATAGGGACAAGAATGAGACTGAGCTTATTGAGATGAGACAAATTGCGAGAAAAAGAATTTATGGACGATGAATCCTTGCGTTGAGAAAAGAAGAGTTGCATGGATTGACGTAGGTCAATGTGGACAATCTGACTTTTGATTATCCAAAATAGACGTATGAGATGTTGGGATCGAAGATTTGGAGTTAATCAAGAAGATTGGCTCCTAGATTGAGGGGGAAGGCATAAGTTAAAATTAAAGTGCAGTGGGGAGAAAGACTCAGTCTAAGGCCGGCCCAGTTAAAGTCATTCCATCAATATGAAGTGAATGAGTTTCGCTGAAAAAAGCGGCGGACTTCATGCTCTGCTATTCTATTAAGTGAGGCTTGGGTGAATTTCAGCCAAGGATCCTCAGTGATTGGCTTGGTGAAAAATCTTAAGATACAAATGTGCATGAAAAAAGGCAGCTCTCCAGGGAAAAGTAGACCGGTACAGATATTCGTGAGGAAATGAGACGGTGCTCATATTTGAACCGACCAGGCAGTTAAATTCTTCCCTCCGTCAACTCAGATCGGAGCAGGGTTTCCAACAGTCGGGACTTCACTCGAACATAGAAAAATTCCTAATGTGATTGCAATAATTGTAATATTGAGGCTTTTTAGAGCTCGATACTACAGTCAAAACCCACATCTTCTGGGGCGCGGCTTCGAAACTCGACTTGGCAATACTCCACACCCAAGGGGGAAAGAAGATCATTATAACTTTCTAGAAGCTTTGACTATCACTTTAGTTACCCTTGCTCCAAACTAGTGGTTTATCAGATTCCGGTGACAGACGTGGCAATGTCACGGCATAGTATGATGCCAGGTCTTAGGATCTATACGCCGCATACACCACACCAGACCTTACTTCCTGCTACTCGTCATTACTACCCTGTGCTTTTAGATTATCGAACTAGAAGCTGCATTACGGGAACCAGCAATGTTTACAATAGGAGTGCCGGAGCTATGAAGTGCCGAAAATATTCAGATATGCAACGGAATGACAAACCAGAGCTAGCAGTGCCAAGAGCTTTCAGACGCAATTGATTTTAAGCAAACTTTTGTGAAACTCTAGACTCTTTCTTGCGGATACAGAAGCTGGTTGTTATCACCGAGCTATACATAGCAAAGCAAAAATCCTACAATTCGACTCCATATTTCAGTTGTGGCCAATTCCCCCACTCTAGGAATGCAATTCACTTCGATCCACCCCCTAATTTTAACACCCCACTAGCTGAAGCTAACCGAGAACACAAACCTCCACAAAACACAAATCATGAAATCGACACATCCTCAAAACTCTAACAACCAACAATGAGATACATGAATTATATTTCAAGGATGTCAAAAAAAGTAACCCCGACTCCGACAATAAATCAAGAATATGGTAATTCACGACCAAAAATCCAAAATGTCATGCAACAACGGCGAATCGAACGCCGACCTCCACCTTGGAAGGGTGGAATCCTAACCATTGGACCATTGAAGCTAGGAGAGCGGAGATGATGCTCGATTTGATGATGCGGACTCAAATATTTGACAATATATAACTTTGCGGTTGAAAGGTGGGGATCTGTGGAGCTAGATGGGTTGGTGCATATCAAATTAGTCATGCCCATGCTTCAATATCAGGAACTTGAGATCGGAATAGTAGGACTGCAACTTTAACTACCTGTTGACAAAAAGGTTGTCCTATGCTCGTGGGAAAAGTTAAGAGCTTTTAGATACATTGTGGCAGGACTCTTCTCGCTAGAGTACCTTCTCAACTGGTCATGAACGCTCACTGGCAGTTTCCTAAAGTTAGAAACTTTCTGCTAGATTTTTCCATGATTTTCTTTCCGAATATGAGCATAGTTTATCTCGTAACATGAATAATTCATACTCTACTTTTCGAAAGCATGCATGATACATTTATTCTTTACGTATGAATATTGGTTGATAGGTTGGGACCCCTCATACATTTGAATTATACCCCGGGGTCTAATTTATCAGGTTCTGACAAGCATTTTTGGTTACTAGTTTCTTTTCCCCTCGAAAGATTTACACTTGTTTTCCCCGTACTACCTGTACCGTCGGTTCGCCTGCTCAATATTCGCAATGATGATCCTTCAAGGTCACCGTTCCAACTCCTTGTCCTCGCAGGAAGAATACAAAATTTCTGAGTCTCAACAAGCCAACCAATTTCCTCCAAGAAACCTCAAAGCATGGGCACGCGATGCACCCTACACTTCCCACCGACAAGCTAATCTCACGCCTTTCAACACAATGCATATGCCTCGTCTGGATTCACCTGGCAGTCAAGAACGGCGCTCGCACATACCTATCTGGGAGCCTCTGTACATGGAAGATACTCCAGATCAAAAAGAACAGGGCGGTAGACGTCAGAGTGGTATGTCGGTGGATACCAATAGCTTGAGAGTGGATTTGAAGAACCCCTTCTCTGCAGCTGATGGAGATGATGGTATAGATCATGGTTGTTGTGCTTGGAAGTTGTGTTTGACATTTATGACTGCCAACTGGATGTCTCGTGCGATGTGAGATAATGATTCGAGTATTATGGTCTGCTTAATAATTTGGTATTCAGAAGAAATGGGGAAAAAGGTCACTGCACGTATCAGATCATCCGTTTGGGGCACTGAATAGATGGATTGGTTACTCCCCAGAATATGGTTAATCACAGCATCAGAGTGGAAAATTGATGATGGTTTCTCATGTTAGGTGTATGATACTAGAGCTGGAGACTCATTAAGGAAACTGTCGGTACATCATGTGATCAACCTCGAAAGGGAGGCCGTACATAAAGGGAGCCGTGCGACTAGTGCCTTCTAGGCCGTACCCCTTTCAATACAAATAGGTCCCTCTCCTCTAGATAGATAATAATCATTCATGAGCATTTACCAAAACAAGAATACTATGCACTGCATTCGTATCACCGAAGTGATACCAACAGAAACACACCATGTTATTTCACTCGATCTTGCGCACTCATATTGTGAAAGGAGCATTGCCTAAGGTTGAGTAATAAATGCCTATTATTCCTTCGCCGGTTTCAACGCTAGCCGTCACTAAAGTGGTGCATGGTGAGCACCTTTAACTCCCTATGAGCTGTTTCACGGATGGATGTTTTCTTGGGGAGATAGTGAAATAATTTTTTAAGAAATTACTACCTCAAAACTGCTGAGTCTTGCATGCAGCTTCAATCATATCATCCACCCGTGTTTGCGGAAATTCTGAATGTGCTGAACAAGTTTACCTTTTTGGCCCAAAAAAAATCTCTGGGACACATTTGCTCCTTCCATACATTGAATGCATTTTCTACAACTTTCATACCGAAACCTGATTCTCTATCTGCTCTAACCCTACTAAACATCGAAGCATATTATCTCTAGAAATTTAATTTCAATGTTAAAACCTTTCCTTACTGTCATCTATATCGTGTTACTAGTCCGCAATAATTTCAGGACTCCCATTTCCCTTTTCGGCCGAAGATCTGGCAGCAGTTAAAAAAGAGCGCAAATATAAGAAATTTTCTAACATGCAAGAAGAGTTTGATGGTTTTATGAATTGAGTCGTCAAGGAGTGCAATGTTCGTATTTCCTCTAATAATAAAGGAAAATTTATTTTCTTATTATTTATATTAAAACTTTTATTGGGTCCGTTTCAGGAGGTTTGAGGATACCTGAACCACCTAATGCACATCCTCATGCATGTGCAGTAATCAGATCATCAAGTTCAACAGTGTGTCATGTTTCAACCCTTCGCATCAGCTGTTTTCAAAGGCTGTAACTACATTGATAAGATGCTGACTATTTTCTCGCACAGAGAACTGGTTCCTCTGTTCCTATTCGCTTTTTCATACTATCCATTACACTGAAGACACTCGATACTTTAAACACCTATAAAAGCGATCTTAGGATATGGGGCAGACGCACTATGCTATTGTTTTTTGGACCGGCGCGGGCATCTGTTTAATCTATCGGACAGAAATAGTAAGTTTTCCATCCTGGTCTAATCTCTTGTATCAAAGACAGCGACTGATGATAGTGGCCAGCGAATGTGTAGCAAAATAAGCAAATCAAGTCAACGAGACAGTCAATAACAAAGAGTTTTACTGTTGCGTGGTGAAAACCAGAAAGCCTTAAGCCTGGTCCTGGCCAGGTTTTGGTGGATTCAACTTGAATGGGCAGCAATGCCGATATCGAGTTTCCATTCTCGGTGTTAATCAAAGCTTCAAATCAATGGGACATACCAAAGAACCTCTTTATTGTGTCCCTAAATTACCATAGCTCGGCAATCATACAACTAGCTACGCATAAACCAAACTTCATAAGCCTCAAACAGAGTCTTTGTGGTCTTGCACTTTAAACAGACACGTCGCGACATAAACTCCTAGGTATCCCAATGATCAATAGGCTATTCTTTATCACAACACACTTGTGCAGCTACTTCCTTGACTTTGACTGGCGACTCATCAAGCGCGTCCAGAAACTACGCAGAATTCCATAGTTCGATTTTACCCTCATAGAAACCCTACACAACATCACATTCTCAAATACTACTCTGTCAACTTTATTCCGGTCAACTTCTCGGGATCACACACCATTCTACTTGGCCTATGGCATAAATGGTGACCTAACCCAAATTAGATACCCTATAGCAACTTCTTCGATTGTTTTCGCTATTTTAATACTATTATTCTCCATTCCAAAACAAGTATCGTAGATTCTTAGTCACATTCCTAAGAGTGCAATATGTTGTCGATATATCGTAGATTATGCACATCGAGCATGCTGCAAACTTACACCCTCTCGATTCACTCTTCTTTGTTGGCTTTCTCTTGTGAAAAGTAGCAGGTTGACTCACACAAGTGAATATGGTGTTTTAATCGTCAACTGTTTAATCGAGAAAAAGGCCTTGGCAGCATTTCCTTCATCTACCTTCTACCAGCCTCCACAATAACTCAACTCCCCCTCAGTTTGTTTCAGAGAAAAGAAGCCGTAACTACCCTGCAAAATCCTAGTACGGTGATAAAATCCATCAGAACAGTATGGAAGCCATTTGAAGAACATAATTCTGAATTTTTGGTTGGATAGAAGTCGCAAAACGCTAAGCGAAATAATTTTTGTATTGAATATACGGCATCAGTAGCCTCAAAATATTCAATACAGCCCGCGTTAAGAAAATAAGAGCTTCCCAGTCTGCTAACAGAGAACTTTTTTGTGTACAAAAGCGCATTCTTGCTCCTCAGAAATCATCTCAACTTCCACCTTCTTGACACGAAAATTTTCAAAATCATTTCGCACCAAGATACCCTCTCAACAGTCGTACGGCTTCTACAACCATAAAACCATACAGCCAGTACATCTACTACAGCAGCATACACACATTAAGAATTCTTAACTGTTTATCGAGCACTTCTTCATTCATAAAAGTGCGCTTTCTCTCTGAGAAATCCTTCTTACCTACAACCTATCCACAAAACCTTTTCAACATCCTACACAAACAAGTGACTTAACAACATAATTCTACCAAGTATTAATTGACACTTCATCGTCTTTCAGCCAGGACTTGTTTATTAACTTACACTATAACTTAGTATGAACCTTCCCTTATCACAATTGATTTTTCCACTTTTAGCACCCATCAATTATTACTTTGCTCGCGATGACATCCTCCAAGGACATCCAGACCCCATTCGCCAAGGGCGCATCTATTGACAACAAGGACGCTTCAACCGAGAAGACTCCAGTCAACAATAACCAAACCTCCGATACCGCCGATACCAAATCTGTAAGTTTAATCTTTTTAATGATTTTTATACGCGAATACGTTCCCCTATTTCTTTCCCTTCTGCCTTTTCTCGCTTATTGTAGCTTGATCCACTTTTTTTGTGCTCTGCACACTATCCCTGGTAGGATATTGCTGATGTTAAGGTTTTGCAGACTCCCAGTACAATGGCACCAACTACAAAACATCTTTCCTCATTTAATAGCAAGAGAAGATCAGCTACCAGCAGTGATAAGGAAGAAAAAAGCAACGACTCATTTAAAACTATTAAGCGTACCAGAATTGAGGGCCAGAAGAAGACACCAACCTCCCATAGACCACCTTCCCGTGGTCAATCATCCAGTTCTCGAGGATTGACCAGACCTGAAGAACATTTGTTTGATATCCCAGGAGGCGCCGTCATGTTCGGCAAGAGTGCTAATAAAGAGGACCTCGAGGGATTTTTATCAGCTGTAACACCCTCCAAGAAGCTAATTGACATCAAGGCTCCTGCTCAAGTTGCCGAAAATAAGACTTTTAAATTTTCATCCCCAGCCGAAACTTCATCCAGCACTTCTTCTACTCCAATCCCTGATGCTGAAGAAGACGAAGAAAAAGTCTTATCTCCACCTTCAACTTCTCCAGCTCGTCTCACATCTCTCAACGAGATCATGCGCAGAATTTACAATGCCAAGCCAGAGGATACTAACTCGCTTGTTCTATGCAGAGATATGGCGGAGATCATGAATATTAAGGACTATAACTTTGCTGTGATGAGCAAAAGACTAGCCAAGTTGGAAAAGGATGCAGAGGCAAATCTGTCAGCCGCTAACGTTACCAATAGTGTCACATACAAGGAGCTGCTAGAGAAGTTCAACGCTTCTCAAAAGAGAGCTGCCATAGCAGAGAAAAAGGTCCTTCAGGGAGATCCTGCGGACAATAGAACGATGAGTCACCTACAACGCCAAATGAACGAACTTGAAGCAATCCACAACGATAATCTTAAAGCGTATGAAGACTTGGAGAGGAAGTATAACCAGACGTGCCAGACGCACAATGACAAATGCAAGGAGCCTAAGGAGGAAATCCATGGCAGGGAGCAGAGAATGGAAGGCGAATTCCAAAGAAGCTGCAATCTCATGGAGAACCACTACCGACAAGAAAACCAGCATTTGAGATCTGAGATTAGGAGCTACCAACTCGAAAACCAGCATTTGCAATCTGAGCTTGCTCAAGGCAGACAGTGGGCGAACAGTATCGTCAAAAGCTGCCCACACCCTGTCGACCGACTCATTGAAGCTGAAAATGCTCGTGACTGCGCATTCGCAGAGAGTGATGAGGTGGTGCAAGCTCGCAATGAGGCAGTGCGATCAAGTTTGGACGAATTACAGGAGATAGAGCAAGAGAAAGCTAGGATCCTTAAAGAACATAACGAGTATCTCCGGGGAAGAACAATGGCAGCTGGCTCTGAGGATGATGGCGTGCCTTACACTAAGAAGGATTCTGCCGAAAAGGGCCGTCATGATGGCATGTACAGTGCAAAGCCTCCTCATCAGAGACAGAAAGTCAGAGCTCAGAGCCCGGTAAGCAGAAACACATAGTCCTTCTCTTTGTACGATGACATTTTGGCTGATTTTTAACAGCAGGAGAAAAAGTGGTATCGAGATAATGACGCCAACCATGTAAGTGTTCCTTCGGTACCTAGTAGCTACTTGCGGGACTGACTTTCATCATAGCATTTTAGTAGTCATACAGACAATTACAATGACTCTGACAATGATGGTGCATCATTCCCACCTGCGGTTCCAGCAGCTGGTTTGGCTGCAAAATTACAAACTCGAAAATCCAGAGATCAGCTGCGGGAATACCAGCCAATAAATAGCAACTTCTCTCAAGGCATTCATCGCGGTTTTACTTCCACTCAGGCCGCCGGAAATTTCAGAACCATCTTCAAGTGCCCACAAAATCGTGGGAGCCGTGGTAACAATTGTAGCCACTGTGGCGAGCAGATGTTTTTTGAAGGTGATAAGGAATTTGTTTCCAAACAGCCTTCCATCACCCCACAAGAAGAAGATAATTTCGACGCTCTCCCGGACTATGAGTCAGATGAGCCTGTATCTCCTCCGCCGGAGCAGCCAAACAGAGGAGGCCGTAGCTACACTGAGGTTGGGGTTCAACCTTATGCAGCTATTCCCGATTCTCCCGTTTCGGACGACACGACCCCCTCACCAGAAGAAGAATGTTTGCATCCCATCATGTTTGAGAATAAATGCGGCGCCTGCGGTGAGTCAATGAAAGATGCCAGCAATGTGTCTCTTCAAGCTGCTCCGGTCGCTAAGAATAAGCTCGTTGATCCCTCGACTCGCAGAGGTCAATCTCTAGCCAAGAAAGCCGCCTGCCAGCATGTACATCTGGATAATTATGGTGTATGTGAAGCTTGTTTACAATGTCAGCACCTTAAAGTGAACGACGATAACGGAAATTGTAAATTCTGTTGGGCAAACGTGAATCATCCAGTTGCTACTCCTGGCGTTGCTGCATCTCCAGATTCTTCTACTTCTTCCCCAGCTTCTAGAAAGAGAAGAGATCGTCCTAGCATGTATTTTGCGCCAAAATCTGATTCAAAAGCTTGGTCTAGACCTATCAGAAAGGTCAAGGCCGTGACCAAGAATTCTCTTGACATCATGTTTCCGACATTGCCAGCTTTTCAACCAGCCCAAGCTAATCCTTTCTCGTCATTGGCTACCGCTTTATCCTCCGGCAACTCTAGATCCTCAGCAGCTTCCTTCTTTAAGGCTGCTCATCCCGGCTGGAAGGCCCCGGCCGTTCTTTCAAGTCCCGTTTCTCCTCCGGCGCCAGCTGCGCATTCTGCTGCTGCCGCCCTTCCTAAGTGTAGCCAGCCAAAATCCTGTTCTTCTTCTCTAGCTCCATCAAATGAAGAAACGTAGGGTGGCTCCAGGTAGTGGTAGCTTATATGGAGGGTGTTATTAAGGGAGATGCCGCGGCTCAGGAAAAGCCTTCTGTAAGAGTCTAGTTTGGGGTCTTCAGTTCATAAAATGCTAAGAGAAGAGCATTCCGTCGAATCGCTAAAGATCAGTGGGTACAACCAAATAGTGAAGAAGTGAGTCGAAATTCTAGCTTGTGGAACTCCATCGCCCAACCAACCTCGGCCTGAAATCTTCACTCTTAATTTCCATTGACATCGAAAATACAATGATCCAAGAACATTTCATTCTTGTACCTGAGAGAGCTAGGAAGCCTTAAGTATTGGGACGCTTAAGGTGGATTCAGCTCTAAAGGGGTGCCATGCAAGAAATGTTTGTTCTTGGGTCTTGTACCATTCGATGTTACTAACTCTCTAGTTGGTACTGGTTTAGTTGGTTTCCGAATCGTATTTACTCTGGCACACCTATTTTCTGCCTACCTCGCTCCCCAGTGTCTTCATCCTGAAAAGGATTGTCTTCCCGGCTCGGTGTATTCCAATTCCGCATTTCAGCAGCGAAAATTTACGCAGTTTCTTACCTGAAAAGGTCCACCGGTCCGGAGTCTCAACAATACTACCCAGTAGCGGCGCCTACTGTGAGAATATTTCTGCCACATAAAAACTCCACTAAAGCCAGCCTCAAAAAAACAATGGAAAAAGAAAAAAACCAAAAAAAAGTTTTCTTTTTCTCTTTTTCTCTTTTTCTCTTTTTCGATTTTCGCCTCGATTTCAGTTGCACTCGATTCTACCTCCTTCGTCCTGAGAAGGATCGACTTTCGGTTTTGTACCATGAGCAGTGGATAGCTGTGTGTTTTGCCATCATAAATTAGTGTAAGAATACCAATTAAAGGAAACGCCTTAAAAACAGTTCGAAAGAGAAAACCATCAGAAAAAAATGCACCCTTTCATCCTCATTCCTCACTCCTGACAATCCGTCTCTTTGGTCATTGTCACTCAACTTCGCACTCCCCCCGAAATTTTTCCTCTTCTCAGGAAGAGGATATGCGAACACTCCCGCAAGATGTCCTTCTCTACTTCAAATTCACAGTCCATTCACCCCACCCTCAACGGAGACTTCCTCCCATATCCAAGTTTTCGACGCCGACATTCGTTTGCCAGCGATGTCCGCGGAGAATATTGAATCCTCACCTCTAACTGTCTACCTTATCTTCGTGTCATACTCCCTCGAAAATCCATCGCCAGGGATATCAGTTGGGACCATTATCACTTTTCACTATCAAGAAACCTTCGAAATTGGCTATAGCTACACCTATTGGGAAATTTTCACCCATCTAACTCCATCTTTACATCACAATGTTTTCAGCATACAGGCCCGTTTGCCAGCGAAGCCTATGCTGGATATGAACGCTTCAAACTCTACCTCGATGGAACCATTTGGATATTCGTCATCATCGATTTCCAGCATGGTTCCTACCACTATCACAATTCCGTTTCGGCATCAAATCCTTTGAATGTTCCTTGCCAGCGGATTTACTTTCGACATTCGCATTACTCATCAGCGATGGCCATTACCGCCATTTGTTAACACCAATTCCTATGGACATTCGTCTCGCCAGCGATGTCCTCAGGGATATTAACACCAATCTCAAACTCTCAATACCGGGACTCTTTCCATATAGCTTCGCCTCGCCATCGATGTCTTTTTAGATTCCTTCTCGGTAGCCGATCCTTCTTAACATTTGCCTTCAACAACAGTGTCAACCCCGAAATTCAGTCGTTGCTGGTATCGGTGTAAGAATCAACACCCACTGATATCGCCAAGCCACAAAAAGAAAGATTGCTTGTTTCTTGCTTATTACATTTGCGTCCCGGAAAGGATTGCTATTCGGTTTCGGCGGCTTTCACAAACGAAACATTACCACCGTGACGAAATGCCTGATGTTGATGTTCACTTCCACAGAATACACAAAAAGAATTCAAAAACACTCAAAAAGAGAAACCCTTCCCAAGAAGAACTGGTGCGACCATTTCTTTGACACAGAACCTTCTCCATTCAAACTTCCAGCGTAGGTTCTTGAAATCACCAGGCTCTATACCACCAAACTCCTCCCATCAACCACAAACATCTTCATCTTTCCCAGTTAATCGAACCCCACCGATTTTTGGCCACACTGACAAGTAGTGACGACTACAACGGACAAATTTTCGGTATCGATTTCCCATCTCCCCATCTCCCATTTCCCATCCCCATTCATCCATATTCCTCTCTTGACATTTCCTCCAACATCTCCATCAACAACTACACCTAAATTTCATTCTTCCGAACTACCTCATAGCATTATTTCGACCCCACCTACTCATATCTGCAAGGGTCTATGCAGGAGTAGGTCTAGAAATAAATACAAGCACGGGGGCATGAGCACGACAGGAGAATGAAATTGTAGTTGTTGATAGTGATGAAGAAGGATTTAAGGGAGTTGGAATACTGGAATGGATGGGATGCTAGAATAGATGGGATGCTGGAATGAATAGATGGTGGAATAGAAGCACGGTACAGGGTCTTCTGGATTTTTCTATTGTCGTTTTGTGGAATCGGATGTTCAAGACAGGCGCAATATGCCAAGCGTCGCCGGAAGAGGACATAATTGGGTTAGGAAAGTAGGAAAAGAAGAAAAGAAAATAGTGGAGGAAAATGATACACAGCGGTACAAAAACAGTACCATTGCTAATTCCATTCTGGGGACGTCCCCCCAAGATGCGCATGGCTTTATTCCCTTTGTTCGAATGCGTTAATCTTAAATAATTCCATTTTCGGGACGTCCCCCTAAGATGCGTCTGGTTTTCATTTCCTATGTTCGAATGCGTTGAAGCTTTTTGAGTTTGGTTTAGCTTATTTAAGATGCTGAGACGACGAAATCAGCAGGTTGAAACCGGGATTCAGGACGGAGTGCTCATTGTGGGTTTGATCGATGGATAGGATATGGCAGAGTCAGAATCTTCAATGGTGCGAATGAGTTGATTTCTGGAATGAAGGCAGAGGATCCGATGTGATGGGTGGTGTATCTGCTGCTGGAGGATCTAGTGATGGATGGGTGGATGGATAAATAGTATTTAAAAAGCAGCCTGTTGCTATTGCATACAAGAGAGTTGGTTGGCGGGTTTTAGAACACGAGCGCAAGATATTGCAAGAATGACATTCCAAGCCCGGGGAGAGTCAGGAAACCTTAGGATTCGCCAACCTAAGGTGGAGTCAGCTCTAATGGGAAAAGAGGCTTTTCAGTGTAGGGTTTAGAGTTAAGATACGAGAGATATGATACTCCTTTAGTCTGATGATTTTCCAGACATGTTTATGGGAATTGAAGATTTTGAAAAGTATTTTTGTGTTTATTTATATGTGAATCTGTGTGTGAATGCGCATAGAGATGTGATTGTGATGCTATATATGTATATATGTGTGTGTGTGTGTGTGTGTGTATAAATAATAAGAAGTCAACTTCGAAGCCGAGGTATCTGAGGAGACTGAGATTTGAAGGAGCTTTTTAAATTTTCAACGTACCTGATGACCTGATTTGAAAGGGTGAAATATAATATGCCTAGTCTCTCAAAATCTTGTCAACGTCTGGTCGTTGCAAAGTTGTAGCAGCGAAGGATCTGGATCCCAATAAAATGCATGAAAAGGAAGAGGAAAAAGTATTTCATTATTCATTAAAGTATTAACCGTTACCCATTAACCATTAAAGTGTTTCATTCAACTCCATTCATATATTCCTTGCGTAGAAATTGCATGAGAATGCAAGGCGATTTGTTCTCTCGATCTCTCCTCACCATAAAATATCTATTTCAGCTCCTACCTCATATCATTGCTTCCTCAATATTCAATCTCCTCTTCAGCTTCCGTCGTCCTTCTCAATCCAACATCCCGAGCGGATTCTGGTCATATCATCACGTGAAAAAGTTAATCCACCAATTTCAGCGAGCGTGTCCCGATTTCCTTCATCGAAGCTCCGTTTCTGACAAGTGTTCTCCCTATGAGAATTCTTGTATCAGAAGCATGACCAAGACGGTCATTCTCATTGCTTTCATACTGTTTGCGAGCCATCGCGGCTCGGTCGCGATTCTCTCTCGATTATTCATCGTTCAAAATGAGTGTACGTGGTGATTCCTCAATAAACCTTCATTTAAACTGTGCATGCATCAAGGACTGAAGTCATAATGCAACAGAATTCTTTCATCAAGTTCGAATCTCAATTGGCCAGGGATTGGAATAGCCAAGTCCTTTCAGACTTGCACGCTTATTTTGATGTTCAGCAAAAGCCGAGACGGGCTTTGATGATTTTCGTGAATTCCATCTTGTCTGGTTCGAGACCGGTCTTCTATAATCGATTCCATGGCAGTCCTCATATATGGTATACAAAGCCTTTATCCACTGATCAAGTGCTGTTTCAGCAGCGAATGTCACGTGCAAATCACGCGGATCCGATCGTAACTCTTTCCTGATCGATTCGTACGCCTCAATCATAAGCAAGATCTCTAAGCTTGAGACTCTATTTCCTTGTTCTGTCGTATGATTTTGGTGAAGCGTGGCTGTTAACTTGCTTGTGAGAAGATCTGAGCAAATCTGGAGACTAATATCTTGATCCAGTTGTGAGGTCTTTGACGGTTCGTATGCTGGAGATGCCACATCCTCGGATTTGAATGGATCATCTTTTTCGTCCTCCTTGTATATTGAGCCGCGCGGTGAAAATCCTCCATCAGATCCAACAAGAGTTTCGGAATCAGAGGCTATAGATGGTGATGTAGCATAGCTTTTGCAAAGGTCCCGAAGACTCTCTTGAGATTTGATTTTCCTTAAAGTTCTCTTGGCGGGATTTACAGGTAAGTCGAGATCCAAATAAGAAGATATACATCGTTGCGGTAATACTGTCTGATATTCGCTGGCAAGACGTTCTGAAGGGTCGTGTTCCATGGCTTTTCTTTCTAATTGGCCAATGAAGAAAACAGGGGTTTTAGCTCTCCTTGGTAAGCTCTCCATATTCTCGATTGGGTAGATTTCGTCGGAAGAATAGATACTAATTGAATAATTTGATGGTATTCGATGGATTCGATTATTACTAAAGTTGATATTATTTTGAAATTGAAGAGGATGTTTTCGAGGTTGTACAATTGTTCGTGATTGAGTTGGTGAAGAGTCTTGTTTGTGTTCCCTCTCTTTCAGATCCAAGTCTCGACCCGCACAAGCATGCGCTACGTCATTGTTACCATCATCAATTGCTTCATTTTCTTCTTGCACCAAAGACAAACAGGATTGTACTCTGAAGTCTGTTGGAACTTCACCGTGTATAGGGTAAAAGGGAAGTTGATCCTTGGGTAGATCATTGAATGGAGCTTGTTTTTGAGGGCGATTCGTTTTTTTGAATTCTCTTGGCCTCGAAACCTTTGAGGTTTTGTCGAGGCCAAAAAAGCATCGGATAAACGACATCATAATGAAGGGGTCGTCGGTATTTCTCGCTTCTCATTCGCACAACCAACAGAGCGTAGATTTTTGAAGCAACAACGAACCTCAACACAGCCCTTTCTTCCAGAGTGGGGACTCTCAATTGAGTTATGTGCTAGTTGTTATTTTGTCCTTAGAGCTGAGAACGAGATCAACAGGATATTCCTTTAGATGATATCACCTTCGATCTGACAGTGTGAGACTCGAAAATTGAAAAGGCTGGCTGTGGCGCAACCATTTCATGGGAAAACCTGGGGATGAGTGGACGTTGTGCTTTTTTATTACAGCATTGCCATATACCTACTTGCGAAGAAGAAGTTGTAGAATTGTATGTGATTTGCCAGCTCATTCATCTTGGCTGCCACGACATTATTCGATTGCGTTTAGTGGCTGATAGATGATCTTTTTGTGGTCTGCTTCTTCACCGATTGTGTATGCTTACAGGTCAAACATCCTCATGAATCGCGTGGAAAGTGTGTGTCTTTTGCATGACAGACGGCACAAGTTCACTCTTCCGGTAAAGTCCATTGATATGGCTTTTTGATGAAGAAAGGAGGACAGTTCAAGTATATTTGAGGCTGGGAAAGGGGTTGAAAGACGGATGCCGGGGATATGCATTTCTTATCAAACTTAGTAACCTTAACCTTATCTAACGTGACACAACTTGAACGCTCAATTAGCTATGTCATTATCATTACCCTCACCATATCCTCAAAGACAATGAATATCGAAGTTACTCTGCATTATTATCTTCTTATGATATACGAAATTAAAATTCTTCCTTTTTAGCAAGACTACATTCAAGATTACCATGACTTCCCGTTTTGAATTCCGACAACGACACGAGCGCGTGGATGATTCAGATTTCTGCAACACTTCCAATCACGATGAATATTCTCCAGTAGCAAAGAATTCTGCTTATGGTATCTACTTTCAGCAACGGGCGTTGGAGTAGGCTATCTGCGCTAACACAAAGGACGGATAGAAGATTGATGGGATGAAAAGAGTAAACTTATGCACAAACTTCCAAAGCCACCACAAACTGCTCGATGTTGAGTAACAAGGAATCTAATAGCCAGTCGCCGACAACATCAAAGGGAAAGGCCAAGTTCAACGGAAGGTGGTATTAAGAAAGGTTTAAATCCTGCTCTCTTTTCTATTATTGACGTCCTCGAGACTTCATGGAACGTAGCGCATGTCAAACACACCATCTTCCAAGTCTTCCACGCGTTTCTATGTTGACCTTTCGAGTATTGTCGCATGGGCATGACTTTTATACCACTAGAAAGAGACTATTTTCCATCACTTACCGACAAGGCTGAAGGAGACAAAGTCAGGGTTCATAATTATGTGAGCATCAAATGCGGGGTCTTTCAGCTCCTAGTCTTGGTCATATCTTAGGTCATGTTTCTTACGAGCTCTAGCCACGAGAGGCATGGTTGGTGAAGGACGATTGAGAACTCACTTACCTGTGCCGATTATTTTCCGTCTGTTCTCATTTGTTATCTGCGACTCCACCAACATGTTTTCGAGCCTTAAAAGACTTGCATCTACACAAAAGGGCATTCTGAAATTATAGGGCTGAGATGCCTGAGCGATTTGGCGACCGCGGCTGTTACCCCTTCATCCTCCATATTTTAAGGACATTTTTGGCTAGTATTGATCTTTGTATGTGTTTGGTTCTATATGGATCATCTACTATTAATTATGTACGGCCCTCTAGTGAAAAAAGAGTACATACTTCATACATTAGGAGGCAGCAGTATCTTGACAGAGTTTGCAAGATCTTAAGATCTTCCCATCAGGTTACAAGCCCCGGGCCCCATTTCCTACCCTCTATACTGCAAGCCTCATCCATTATTCAGAGACTTCTAATTTAATTTTTTCTGCTTCATATATATAGCCCTACTTGAATTCGGAATGCTTTTCTTTTGAGGACATTGCTGTGCGATCAAATGACGCGCTGCTTATCTCGAATATAATACTTGGCCAGATAATGCTTATATTTCTATGAGTTCTCTGGTTAGCACGGGAAAGTCAGGACTTGGCTGTGAAATCTCCTGGACTTGCGTGGTTTTGTCTCGTCCGTCGAGCCGGAACAATGTATGTGAAAAATTCCCAGAAGCGGGATGGCTAAATTGTGCTAGGGTGATCCTTCAAACTTGCAGCTCTGACAATGCATAAGTCCCTATAAGGCAGAATCTTTGCATTCAATGTGCAGACAGAAAAAGGTTCAATCCGGCTTCGAGGATTAAACCGGGCAAAGTCACAACTGGTCACTATAGCTGCACTAAATGGCCTCTATACTTCTAAGGTCAGGTATCCTTGGGACAGTTCCAGATCGTGGAACACTTGTGAGAATGCAAGTAGATTTCAATGAAGGGCGCAAAAAAGGGTAGTCTGGAGATTGTAGTCAATCACTTGACTGCGATGACATGACATTTGATTGTGGAGGGAAGGCTTACGCTCTTCCGCGACTGGCACATACAGTCTTGAAGTTTGTCGGAATAGGCATTGAGCCGCAAAAAGGAGAAGAATCAGGATTCTGGGCTGACTCAACCAGAAAGAGACTAGCCCAACTGCTTTAGCTTTCAAAAGAAGGGACAACAGGGACTGCATTTATGTGGCACCATTCGGCGGGTTCATGAATCTACTCCGTGAGATAGAATGGACCGAGACGAACAATAATTGCCCAAGTTAGTCTTGGAGTCGGAGGTGATGCAGGAATATTTTGATTCAATGCTAAAAGTACAATTCCAGACACACAGCGCGTGAAATTCACATGATAATTCATTATCAAGTCTAGGTGTTCTCATCGCATATTTCCAAACACAAGTAAAAAAGAGCACTCACCCTTCTTTCTTTCTGCCCAGATTCGTTGCTTCGAAGACATTGCCGATACAACCTTGACTAATCGCCGCGAGCATGACACAAGGCTAAAGACCTGGCCGCTAAAGCTCTTGCTAAATTTCTCCTTCGGTTGGGATGCGGGAAGAAATAAAGGACGTAAGCGTCGACAGTTGTGCAATTAATTGCTTGATAATTCCATTCTGGCTCCAAAAAAATATCTTTCCCTCAGCTATCTTATTATACTTGGGTCACTTCCTAGACGGAATCCACATCTAAGGTATAGCATTTAAATAATCTTAATTTTTCTATCTAAGAACCAACAATAACTGCACATCGGAATGGCAAAGATTAAGGGGTGGTTACTCCGAAGCAATATATCGCAAAAGTAGCTCAAATGCTGCATATCATCTCATATGATTTAATCACCCCGATTATCACTCACACATAAGAAGTTACTGGGATGGAAATTGAGTTAGCGTGACTATGAAGCTGCATATATTTGTGTGTTCAGCGGCTGACCTCGGTACGTACCCTTCCCAAGTTCTTTAGCCGGCACTTATCCTTGTGTTACATCGCAGATACTGACTCAAAAAAGAAGATTCAATACACTCGCGAGAGCACCACCCGAAACTCCGCATCATACTCATCTCCAATTCGACTACATTTCTGGAAGCAACTTGTTGGGGAAAAGTTTTTAACAATTTTTCTGCTGTATGTGATGTATTTGAGAAACAGGCATTGGTGGCAGCTGGTTTCGGGACCTTGGCGAAGTAATCAGGTACGCGAGGTATCTCACACACATCTCACCATGAAATTATGTGAAAAAACTTAAGCGTCGTCTTTTGGTCATAATTTTGTCTCGAAAATGATCCGATCCGGTGGCCTATTTAGACCGTCGGCAATGATCATTTCTTCTAATATAGTTGACGTTGATATTAACTTCGGTATTAATCTCCGCGATGCTTAAGGTTGTGGTCGCTGATCATGGGATTTTGTCGCCAAAATATCTACAAGGGTCTAAGTTGGTGCCCTCCTATTCACTCTATTAAGCCACTTACCCCAGACGCCATGCTGCAGAGAAACCTACGAGCCAAGAATAATCGTAAACATCGAAAGTTCGGCATCTCGGGTCATTGACTGTTATGGACGATTGCAAGAAAGGGACATGACTAGGTCCACAAAGGGAGTCCTGTTCCCCATATAAAGGTGTGAGCTTGGAAGCCAGAGGGCACAGTTAGATCATTCCACAGAAATTTTTCAAGGGAACACTGCAATTCTAACTCGGTTAATTTTACTTGCACAATGTTCTTCCATTCTCCTCTTCTTCGGGAGTTGCATTTAGCTCCTTTGTTTCTCTGTATCTTCATCTTTACAAATTTAGTGGACTCTTTGCCACGATCTTCTACATACCAAAATCAAAACCAAAATCCCTCAAGGCAATACTCTAGTGCTATTCCAGAGTGGCACAAATATGTCAGAGCTCCTTCGTCTAGTATAATCGCCCCTCAAGGCGTTGCCAGCATTTCGGGAGAAGTCACAAATCCCGATGCTCTTCTTCAAAGAGGTGGCCAAGTCACGACTTTGACCAGAGCTAATGGATCAGCTAATATCCCTTCAATCACTATTGACTTTGGACAAAACATGGCAGGATACTTGAGCATTAACTTTGCTGGTGCTTCCAAAACTCCTCCTGGCATCCGGCTAGCTTTTTCCGAGAGGTTGGAATACATATCTAACGTCAGTGACTTTTCAAGGTCTAACCATGTAAGTCCACTTTCAGATGTTTGAGAGGGTAGCTTATATTAAATACAATCTAGGGCGATACAATAACTCCCGGATCTGATCAGGTATGATGTTCCATGTGCTTCTGATGATGACTCTTTTCTGATTGAGAATTATTTAGATCGCGGTCGCTAGTCAGAGTTACACTTGGACCGATGAACATGGATGTCAATATGGTACGAAAGTATGTGCAGATGGCATTCACGGTTTCCGATATGTCAGAATCTATCTAGACGCATTGCCTGAAGATGCACCATATACGGTACCATACGGAACGGTAGCTATTGATTACTTGAGTTTGAAGTTTTCGGGTGTCCGTGGTATACCAGATACCTTCACGGGTTGGTTTGAAAGTTCCGATGAGGATTTCAATCAATGGTGGTATGATGGTGTATACACCAATGACTTAGCAACGGACATTTTCACTCTCAACTCTACCGAGCCTCGAAATGCATTTAGCCTGACGCTCGATGGTAAATTAGTTCTAATGGATGGCGCAAAACGAGATAGAGATCCATATGTTGGTGATATTGCAGTCGCAGGAAAGACATTATTCTTGTCACATAACAAACCCGAAGCTTCTCGTAATGTTCTTGCTGACTTGGCGGATCATCAACGTGCTGATGGATGGATTCCTCCCGCATCTATGTAAACTTCCGTTCAACCTCTGTTTATAATCTTTATCTAACAATCAAATAGTGCCGGCTATGAGCTTCATCTTCTCGACTATCCACTATGGTGGATTGTTTCTAGTTACGATCTATTGATGTATACTGGCGACAACGATTACATTCGAAAATACTATCCTAATCTTGTTAAATGTCTAGATGTATTCTACCCATCAGTCACAGATGCTGGCACTAATCTCATCTGGAAAGGAGTCGGTGTCTCCGGAGATTATGGAGACTATGCATTTCTTCCTCGTGTTGGTCCAGTCACGTATTACAGTGCCCTCTATGTTTTTGCCCTTGAGAACGCTGCTGTTATCGCCAAATCTCAAGGACAATCTTCCGATGCTTCCCGCTGGCTCGCTCGCGCTAAAGTTGTATCCGATGCACTGAATTCACACAATTTCGATAACTCAGTAGGTGCATTTTTCGATGGAGGCTGCGGCAGCGGATTATGCAATACTCATGCCCAAGATGGAAACTCTATATCTGTTCTCGCAGGAGTTACGAACACAGCCCGGTCCACCTCGATTCTCAACTACCTCAACAGCGCCAATCGTCGCTTTTACGGTAACTCATTTTACGACAATGATGTTTTATCCGATGGTTTCTCTCAAAGAGTTTACGCATTTATCTCTTTCTTCGAAATATCCGCTCGATTCAAGACAAATCTCGTATCAAGCGCTTTCGACGAAATCAGAAGATTGTACGGCTGGATGGCAAACAATGATCCGAAAATCACCATGTGGGAAGGTATCGGAGCGAATGGAAGCGCATACCAAGGAGGTTTCACAAGTATGGCTCACGGATGGAGCACCGGTATCGTACCCGAAATGAGTAATTATGTTTTAGGCGTTATACCTACCGGGCCTGGATTTTCCACCTGGAGCGTGAAACCTTATCCGGGTGATCTGTCGTGGGCTAAGGGCCAGGTCCCTACTCCTCATGGTCCCATTACAGTGGATTGGAATATTAATTCTAGTGGTTGGTTTGTGCTGAGTGTGGATGCTCCGGTCGACACAACTGGAACAGTTAGTTTGCCTGTTCCATTTGGCGCTGCTGTGAAACGCGATTCTGCGCTCGAGATTTCTGTAGATGGGGAAACGGCGTGGGATGATGGTCCCGTGGCTTTTGATGCGGTGTTGGATGATAGTGATGGGTATGTTAGTTTGGTTTTGCAGGGGGGGACTACTCATACTATTACGGTTAAGGTTTAGTGATTTGGTTTGGTTAGAGGGCTTGGTTTCCTTTCTCTTTTTTCTCTTTCTTTGTAACTATTCCCATCGCGGGTTTATTGTGAATTGGGACCACTGGACAGCTTATTGGCGGGAAGGGGTTAATTATCAGAGCTTCTATTAAGGACATGATATGTAAATTATCTGGTGGATACGGTTATTGGGCTTATCGTTTGATGAAGTTATTTTCAACGAGTTGATAGCATGTTGGTTCAGATTGACTCTTTCACATACATTATCTGCTTATGTGGAAAAGTATACACTATGTTGATGGATCGAAGAAGGGACCTGGAGCATTTTCTTGCTATCTTGCTACCTAGGTGAATGTTAGAAGAACTTGCACTTCGATAATTATCGACCTAATCTTAAGATTACAATACGGACTATGAATCCTGTTGAGAAATTCACAAGATTAGCAAACAAATTCCTCCAAATTCTCCAAATCCAAATTTGTTGTTATTAACCACTAATGCTAGAGTACGGTCTAATCGCTTTAATTATCAGTATACTTAGACGACTTCTTTGTTAAATCTTATAGGAGCAATAATGTTTTTTTCTTCTTATTAATTTATTTCTGTATATAAGATCTTATATACTCCGTATAGAGTATCTCTATCATTTCTTTCAAAAAATTTCTTATAGAAAGTCATTATAAAGTAGATATCTCAGTATCGGGGCAGAACATTCGATATTTTTCTCCTTTGCAAAGGAGGTTTCTTTTAAGTAGTCGATTAAGATTTTTTTTTATTGTATATGAATTTCGTAAGATCTTAATATTTTGCTCACTACTTCAATCGGTGTTTTATATATCTTCTGTGGTTTTCTGATGCTCGGTTTGAATTATTGGTTAGTTTTCTGATATGTCGGAGGTATATTTTAAGTTTGAGATGTAATTATACTGATAGTAGGTGTAATAACATAATAGAGATAGAAATATACGATCTTAATGGCGTGGGAATAACTTCAGATGAATCCTAAACTCAATGTATAGGCAAGGAGTAAAGTAATAGTATAGATCTCAATATAATTCTGTATGAAATTTTTAATGGATAAACAACTCCATAGATATCCCTAGCATAAAGGAGACACCCAAAAAAAAAACTAAAATAAAGGCCCCCCACCCCGAAAAACACCCAGCCTCGGCACATGCAATACCACTATCAGCAAAAATCCACGCAATGACTCCTTACCATGCATGTAGATAACATCAACTAATTAATAAATTAATTAAGTTCTATTCCAACCTACATACCGGTACCGAGGTTTCGGTCTGCGGCTAAGCTATATAGGTATCTGCAGCTAATGTGTTATTGTGCTAGTGTGGATTATTATATTTATTAGGAGTATGTTTTAGTCAGCTTTATGTATGGACGCGGATATTGTAAGACTATCAAGGGATTTCGGAGTAGTGGTATGAGGATTTGGGAATTTGGGTGTGGTAATCTTATTGCATGTTATTTGTAAAGTTAACAACATATGCACATAGTGAAACATAAAGCTTTTGTCGCTTGAGATTTGAACCTGAAAGGTTAAAGGGGAAGTTCGGATATGCAGTGGAGGAGAGCGATATATCCGCAAGGTTACTGGCTTGTAGGAAGATTTATAGAAAGGGGCTTGTAATATTAATAGAACGGTTGATTGATTACCAATTCGGAAAAGAAAAAAAGTTTGACAAGATACGATATGTGCGAATAGTTGTGATGAATTCCAGGAGACCAGGTGAGTCTTGAAGATAATTACGAAAATAAATTTGAATCTAAATGGTATTATATAATGGGAATTTCTTCGGTTCCCCTATCTCGCTTTTCTTCTTATCCTCTAATAATAATCCAATGCCCTATCCCAATAACCAAATGATCGATATGCAACTAAAAACAAAAGACAGGATCTGGCAGTTTGCTGACTGCTCTTGGTTTCTGCCAGCCCAGCTCTACCAAGCTAGTTTTCATAGATTCAATCAAACCAGGAGGTCCACAAAGTAACACCTTGCTGTCGTCACTTGGCTTTGGGAATTTCTCTTCGACCATCTCTTTTGTCACATATCCTTGAGCCCGTTGCCAATCTTTGGATGGGTTGGATATTATGTAATGGACCCTGAAGTTCTCGGGGTATTTCTCTGCGAAACCATCTAATTGTTCCCGGAGAAGAATATCTTCTTCACTGTTGTTACCGTAGAGAAGAGTAACGGATGTGTTGTCCGTTGGATCTTCACATATTGCTCGAATTAACTTCTTCATGTCAGCTTGAATTCTGTAGGGCAGAGTAGATATTATTACCTGATACATTGGTGTAATCCCTGTTCCACCCGCGATCATTCCTATCTCCTTTACCATCCCTTTTCGATATCTCATGGCACCTTTTGGTCCACGTACCTCAATCTCATCCCCAACTTTGAGGTGCTGAAGATATTTTCCAGTGAGAAGCCCATCTGGATACATCTTGATAACCAATCGAAGTTCTCCAGGATCAGAGTTATTAGAAACGGGCGTATATGATCTACTAACAAGCTTCCCGTCAATCTCCGCCCGAATGCTAATATGCTGTCCAATTGGAAGACCAAGTATCATATCATCTTTTGGAAGTTTAAATACTAAATGATAAGTATTCGAAGATATCTTCTCCTTTTTAACTAAGGGCAACTTTTGGTAGTTCTCCGGCTGTAGATATCCTTTGACTTTCGTGATTGGCTTTGCAATGAAAACGGATGGTTTGAAATGCGATGGGTATGAGTAAGGATTTTTTTCAGATCCTGCTAGTGCCTTCTCGAGGTAAAGTCCTACTCCTGCCGCGATAGATAATGTAGCAATACTAGAAACAAGTACTCCTTTCCAAAATCCACCATGTTGCGCAGGAAGCCATCCAATTCTTGGCGATTTGGAATAAACTTCGAAGCCCAAGAAAAGCGCCGATCCAAGCGAGAAAATCTTAAGTCCAGCTCTACCTGCAGTTATGAGTGGAGCTTCGCTATTAAAATCTTGATCTTTGGATTTTGCTTTCAGATCTGGTTTAGGCATTGGTAGTCCTCTATCTTCATCTGCCTCATCAGGTGCACCTTCCAACCTGCCTATCAGAAATGCTTCCATCGTTTCTCGCGCATCAGCTGAGTGCCCAACATCTTCAAAAGCAACCGTTGAGTTTTGTCCTCCGACTTCAAGTAAGGAATCTGCTCCACCGGGATGATCCTCAAGGTAATTGGTTACATCGTAAACTGTGAAGCTGTCAACACATGGTCGGGAATCTGTAGACGCAAATACGCACCATTATAATGAATTATTAGCCACAGGTCATCCTTTTTGTTGTGTTTCTGAACTTCAGCGAGAGAAATTTGCTTGATTTCACTCATGATGATGATGTTGATAATGTGGAAGAGCTTGAGTACGGTTGAGGCAAGTTCAATGGAGAATCTTCTCCTAACAATGATAACGAATGATTTTGAATGGCGAGAGAAAGGAATGGCCAGGCTTTTGGGGACCGAAAAAGCAGTTTCGGCTTAGCTCCCTCGATGCCACTGATTACCTAGGTAGTTATTGAGACCAATTCCGAGGTCTCTTAGAGCTAATGCATACACGTCATTATATGTGGAGATAACTAGCAATCCGAGGTCTAATCATCTGTTTTTTAGCCAAGGAAAAGGCTCCCATGTCAATTACCGAGAAGTTTCAAAAGCCAAAAAGGCATTACCGACAGAACGATCAAACTAGCATGGATAAATGGCCCCACTAAGTCGATCTCCCAGTTCAGCGGCTCGGAAACTGAGATTACCTAACTCCATTTCAACCGGTCATTGTGAGGTTCTTTTGAACTTCTTATGGATATTGATCGTACGAGAAACACCTTAACTCACAAGTAAGAACTCACATTAAACCCCTTGAAATAAATCGGTGCAAAATCATGCCCTATTAGAATGGGTATTTCAGTGTCATGAAACTCGGGAACGGGATTAGTTCTAAACTTGACTTCCCGTTCATGTGCTGAAATCATGGCCAGAAACCTTTAAAATTCATGAATAATCTGAGATTCCAACGATTTCATAGGTCAATTGATATCGGAATATCCTGATATTGCGATAGGAGGTTGAAAGAGCATGTTTCGATCCCTAGCCCTTTATTGATCCATATCAAAAAGGGGCTTAGTGTGAGTCCTTATCTGTCAGTTTACGACGGTACCTAGTGTAGATTATTCGGCGCGTTGTAAATAAATTGGTGAAGAAACATGCCGAGGAGCCGCGGTCAAACTCGAAAAACGGGGACGCCGTTTAGATACCCGCAAGTGATTTACCAATGGTAACGCTGAAGAAGCTGCATGAAAGAATTTTTTCTAGATAGTTTTGTTATATTCCAGAATAATCGTCGGCCGTTCAGGGGCCCCACCACTTAGCCGGCCCTACTACGAGAAGGAATTAGCTTTTTTGGATAGCCCTCCCTGTTGATCCTTGTAAAATATATAAAAATAAATTCATTGAAACCAAGTAATATTCATGTTTTCCATAGCATGAAATGATAATGATCAATCAAGGCGAAGGACTATCCAAAGAAGCCAACTTCTTTTTCCAAAGATTGGAGATGTGTGATAATAGTGGAGAAGCTAAATAGGGGGGCGTAAATGGTCAACGATTTCTTATTCAAAGTAAGCTGATACCACACATCGACTGGTTATATCATTGAAGTTAGTCCTCGTAGTTTATCCGACTTGATACTTACTTCATAGCCCGTTTACACAACTGTTTTTTCATCTCTTCTCCTCATATACCCAAATCTAACATTAATATGGTCAAGAAGTCCTTCATTCTACTGGGTCAGCCAGCAAAGACGGCCGAGGAACTCGAAATTGATCTTCAAAATACTTTCGAGTACCTACAGTACACTGTCGCCCAAAATTTCTCGATTGCGGATCCATCAGGTAAACCCATCATGTTTTGAATAATCTACGGGAACTCTAACACACGATTAGGAATTTCGTTTCAAACCGACAAAGATGGAGTCCTTGATGATCTTGACAACTTCGTAGATGCTTCTTCGCCGATTGGTATCCTCATTGATGGAAACCAAGTCAGAGATGTCCCTGGGCCAACGGGTCTTCCCATCGCTGGAACTTACTATGAAGTGTACCCTGATCATCTCGGGAATCATCAACGTCTTTTTGATCAATATGGGCCGGTGTTTAAGACGACAGATATGGGTCGTACGGCTTACTATACTAATGATCCCAAGGTAGCCAATGTTTGCTTTGGAGAAGGAGGTTACTGGTCAAAAGTCATCACTTCTGATCATCCATTATATGGTATAAGAGATAATCTGGCAGGTGTCTTCTTATCCGATACCGATACCGAATCCTGGAAAGAAACGCACAAGTTCTTAGCACCAGCACTCAGTCCAAAAGCCGTTAGGCATTACACACCCCAAATGCAAAACACAGCTGAGCAGGCTTTCAAGGTGTTTGACGAACTGGACGAGCGAAGTGAAGCTTGGAATGTGTACCAATACATGTTCAAAATGGGTTCCACAGCTATCGGAAAACTGGCTTTGGGAATGGAAATGCATCATTTCGACTCGGTCGATGCACCTCTTCATGATCTTGTAAAGCTTGTCGGTCACAACTTGGAACTCAATAAGAAAGTCTCCACGATGGGAGATTGGTATGCTCACATGCCATGGGGAGCACCAAAACAATTGAAGGAGAACAAATCACAAGTGAAAGAGCTGATAGAAGAGGCTATCAGAAACGTTAAAGTTGGTGGAACTGAAGATTTGCCCATTCAAGACGCTGCTTTGAAGGCATCTTGTATTGTGGATTACCTCACTAGAGCAACTGATGAGAAGGGCAACAAACTGGCGGAGAAATATCGCACCAATGCATCACTAGTGGTCATAGGAGCTGGATTCGTCACAACAGCTTCACTTCTCAGTTGGCTACTATACAGTATTGCTTCATATCCCGGCAATCAGGAACGCTTGCTTCAAGAACTTGTTGACCACGATGTCACTGAGGATACAGAATGGACACCAGATCTTGCAAACTCGCTTGAGTTCCTTGGGACTCTCATCAAAGAAACTCAACGTCTCCACAATCCCTCCTACCAGCCAGGTCGTACCGCTCTCGCCGATGTAATTGTCCCAGGTGGTTACCGCATTCCCAAAGGATCCATAATGATTATTGGCATTCATCATATTCACAACAATCCCAAGATCTGGGACTCCCCAGCAGAATTTGATCCTGATCGTTGGAATACGGAAAAGGTGAAAACGAGACACAAGACCGCATATGTACCATTCGCGGCTGGTCCTCGCATGTGTATCGGTTTTAATTTCGCGTTGCAGGAAGTAAAAGTCATTCTTTCAATGTTAGTATATAGATATCAGTTTGAGAGGATAGGTAACGAGCCTGTGGAATACGACCCGTCATTTCAACTGGTTCGTCCAAATAATTTCTTTGTAAAAGCCAAGAGAAGGACGAGCTGGCCGGAAAAGTCGAAGAAACCAACGAGTACTTGAATGCTGTCATAGATAGGTCAGGTTGGAATTAATGTACTTTAAAATAGTAGAATGAGCAGCAATTGCAAGATATCTAATAAAATATCTAACCTCCGCGTTCCAGTTCGATGTGAACATCCATAAATGCCCAAACCGAGTTGAGTCTATACCAACTTTGGACTGGGCCAAAAAGAAAAAGTATAGTTGAAACTCTTTCAGCTATTAATCTAACCAAGTACCTGTTTTACTATCTTACAGCCACTCTCGAACCTATCTGCTGGAACATCTGGATAACACGTCACGTGCTACGAACTAGTCGCAAAAAGAAATTTGTTGATTTGAATCATGTGACTCGGTCTTCTAGAGCTTCCTCTTTCTTTTTCTCTTCTCTCTGTTCCTATCAAACTTCAACAGGCATCTCAATTATGAAATCTCAAACTTTTCTTTCCTTTGATAAATATTATGCCGGCTGCTATCATAGCTAACATAAACCTAGCGTACTTCAACAGCGACTCACCATAAATGTTGCTGTCGCAAGTTATTGTCTAGCAAAACTTGGAACTTTTAATGACTTATCAAAGAATGTCTGCAGCGGAAAATGATTCTTTGACTTTCACAACCGCAAACGACTTATTTTTCCATTTCAATGTCCTTGAATTGTCTGTATCCAATCAAGATCATCATATGCATTCGTCTCTGACCATTATCAAAGAATTCTAACAATGCAATTTCGCTACTCTATGGAATTGGAGGAAGTGGACAAGTGTCCCACGCAAATCAAAGATGTCGTCCTTGATACATCTTTCCGGTCAATTCTGCCGACAAAGGAATTGGTAGCTTCTAAAGCTCAATTATTCGATAATTTAACCGTGTATATTTCTCCTCGTCTTTGTTGATTTTTTTATCTATTCAGATAGTATATCCATCTCCATTTCCTGAACTTTCACAACCATCCTCGCCCAATATGGCAGCAATTCCAACCGGACAAGCTCTGAGAGATATATTCTCATCCTTGAAGGATTACTTCTTGCCCGAACCCGTTGAACCAGTCGAAGTTCCTGTTGCTCCTCGGAATACTAGACCCCTCTCGGAGCCGGAAATTTCCCAATTACGACGTGAGCAAGCGAACGCTATTGATAAATACTTTGATGAGGAATTAGACAAGAAAAATTTTGACGAACTTAATAACAAAAGCCGAAGTCTACAATGGATGCCGGACATTGAGCCCGAAAGTCCTCTTTGGCAAAAAACCCGTGCATACTATGCTGAGCTTCTCAGGTCCCAGAAGATATCCGACGTTCTTGATGATCACTTTGAAGAGATCCAAAAGATTCTGATCAACCCTCAGGCGTGGAGTAATGAGGTTCAAGCTGTTAGAGATCAACAAAGTAGAGAATATTATGAAAACATTGGTCCCAATGGACGTTTCGATGGACAACTCGATAATCTCGCCACAAAAATGACAATGGTTCACTTTGGTCTTCCTGTAGCTCCAATGACATTGAACAATATTATGGTTCTCACTCCGGAGTGGAGAGATTCCGAGGATGATGAAGAAGATCCCGCTCCTTCTCCCCCTCGAACACAGAGAATTGTTTATTCCGAGAAGCCTCTGGAATTCTTGGATTCATACTTCGAAAGATCTTTTGGATACCAAATAATCCGACGTTTGTTATCTAAACTTTCTTTATGATACATCTACTAACATAAGTAGGTCCCCGAGTAACCATGCGAGGTGGTGCTGCTTCTATTGAAGAATTAGATTTTGCAGATAGTAGTGATTGCGAATGGGGCTCAGTCGTTAATATGCGTGGCGGGGCTGGTACAGAATCTGCACTGAAAGGGCTCTACCTTGATCTATTGGGCCCAGGTCCTGAACACCAATCTCGCCGTACACATCTGACTCCAGAAGAATTCCTTGCTTCTGCGCATGAGCTTCTAGATTTCCCGGATGATGCGGACTTGTGCTTCAACCTTGATATTTACCGCCAGACAGATCCACGTAAAATAGACATACCACTACAAATTGCCATTCCAATATACTCAAACGCAAACTTTTCAGAAAAGTGGCCAGTAATTGAGAAAATAATTGGCAAAGTGGATCACGATCAACTCACTATCATAATCGAAGCAGAGCGCTTTGTTGGTGAACATACTCCTGAATTCTATGAGGATTTAGGTCGTTTGGCCCGAGAGTTTCCTGATGAGAGTAGGAAAGTATCCAGGCATAAAATTTATTCGTATTTTGGACAGAGAGAAACCACCCCAACGTATCTTGATTTCAAAAATAGCGTCACGAAACTTTTGAACATAGATCCGAGATCCAATTGGTCGTTCTTGGTTGATGTTCATCTTCAAGATCGCATACTACCACCAATACACTTTACTAGAATACAGTACAGAAACGATTTCCTCGCTCTCAGGGATGAGTACCTCCTTGGTGCAGCAAGTAACAACGCGAGACTCTTCGTTCGTCACGTTAGTGGATATGCGCCAGCACAACTAAATGTCGTCGAGCCAGCTGCAGATAACATTCAGATAGTTAGGCTGATTAGTCAACAAAGCAGAACGGAAAGTTATTGGAAAGTACCCTTGGACCTGTCGGAGAAGCCACACCCATATTGTATCAATCATCTACAGCCTACGTTTGTTAGAGCTTTCACTGCCATTTTCGGTAGAGATCGTCCTAGCCGTAATGTAAATCTTTTTACTTCACAAAATGGAAAGGACTTCCAACGTTACATTGGTACTGGTGGTATGGAAGTAACTTCCCAAACTTGGAACTGGCTTAAAGAGCGGATTGAAGAACAAAAGAGGAATCCACCAGCACCTGATGCCAATCCATTATCGTGCCAGCTCACTCTAACAGTTCCAATTCTAGGTCACGGAGTAAGACCTGAGGAAGCACTAACCCTCCACCTCATTGGTGATGATCAACAGGTCGATATGGTATTTAAACGGTGGGAATATCAGAAGATATACCATTACATTCTGGAACGACTGAGAAAGGTTCACCGTCATCGTCGAAATTCTACCTTCCCAGACGGTAGCGCTGTTGCTATGTGGTTTAGTGCCATAGAACGTGAGGAGAACTACCCATCCGTCATAATGCAAGTTCACAGCCATGATTCAGACGCAGAGATACGTCGAAAACTGACTGAGGCTTTCACCGGTCGTGCTCAAACGTTCTCGAATATTTGGTTCCGTCCGGAGTATCGAGTTTTCACCATTCAGGACCATAGAGAGCCTGCACGTATTTGGCAATGGAATACAACTGATGAACAACATAATACTTCGCTCGAGAACTTCAGAGAAAATGTTAGACAAATGTATGATGATTGGGACCCTGTTCTTGACTCGAACTTTGTCTTGATGGGGCCACATCAGAACCATGTGTTTGGCGTAGATCGGAGAACCACAGAGAATTATTGGAGAAAGTATATCTTCGATTGGTTCACTGAGACAGATATCTATGTAGAGCGGAGAGGCACGAGGACTTTTAGTAAGTTCCCTTAGATCAAGACTATGTGATCGACTAATAGCTTTACAGTACAGCCTGATACTATCCCATGGGGTTATAGACACACTCGTCAAATACCTCATCCTGCTCCGGTGGACCTAAATCCAGTGCCTGTAGCGCCTGTCGTCGATACATTTCAACAGCCTCGTATTAACAAAACACGACTCATTTTAGCCACCGCCGAAAAGACAGTAACTCCAAAATGGGAGACTTGGATGACAGATCAACATCGTAAAGATGCATTGCAACGTCGTTCTTACATTCAAGATCAATCTGTCATTGAACCTGGGTTTGATCCTTCAGCACCTACCTACGGTCCTAGTAAAGAATTGTCCCTGGGAGTTTCTATACAAACTCCTTCAGTTTATACGCAGCGTTTGACCCCTACTGATATCTTGCAACTGGCAGAGGAGAATCAGAAACTAAGAAATGGTCTGCTGGAACGAACCTACAACTGTTATGTCTGCTCAGTGACCCTGGCTGGTTATGAACATGCTGAAATACAAAGGCATTATGCACAGCATCTAATTCAGCTTCAGAAGGAAGGGCAATGTCCCCTTTGTGAGCGCGAATCTTGGTCTATTATGACCATGGAGCAGAAGAAAGAGCATCTGGAAACCCACCAAGTGGAGGCAGATACCGCAATGATCCGCAATTTTTGGAACAGCATTGAATGTCCCGTATGCGATGCCAAACTTAGTGGTTTTACAGCAGAACAAGTTCTTCGCCATATGGCGGATCATTTGCCAGGCATTGTCGAATTTTGTGACAAGTGTGGACTTCGTACCGCCATCTGTAATCACGCCGAACTAGTTCATCACAGATATGTATGCCTTGATAAACCAGATCGTGGACCACTCGACCTAGCTCCTTCATTCTGCCGCGATTGTGGTCAAAATCGTACAGCTGAGGACGAGGCAGAACGCGGTTCCCATGTCATCAACTGTACCGCTAGGAATCGACGAGTTCAAGATGAAAAATTCTGTACCAAATGTGGCATTGATAAGAGTGCGTGGGGTCCAGATCAAATTAGGAACCATGACGACCGTTGTACATCTCCACAAGGTTTGCCGAAGGAGTATTGCTTGAGATGTGGCACAAGATTGCTTGGTGCTAACGACGCACAATTGGATGACCACAGAGTGTACTGCGCCATTAGAACGAAAGAGCCGGAGAATTTAAAGCATCGAATTGAAGGTATGACACTATCATTAACTTTTCCTCACTGCAAATATCTCTTCAAAATCTTTCCTCCATCGATTTTTTTTCTCCGAAGGGTATCAAGCTGATACTCCTTCCTTTCTTCCAGAAGTTGAGAATCTCGTAGAGCGTATTTCAGTTCTTGAAGAGCTCGTAAAACGTATCTGGATTGCACGTCGTCCACTCACGGGTCGTTTGACCATAACTGACTCACCATACTCTATCCAGAGCTTCAAGCCCGCACCACAACGCTCAATCGCGTTGCGGCCAAAAATGCAGCTACTCTCTCCTGGATAACTAAGCGAGAAGGAGAGATCGCCGAAAGCGAAAGAGCATTAGCTGAGAGAGAGGCATATCTTCCACAAGGAGACAGACCATTAATTCCCTACACTGAAGATAAAGGGAATCTTGGGAGATGCCCTTGGGGTGTCCATGGGTGTAATTTCTGCACCGCTGGTAAAAGCCGCGCAGAAATTTTCCAACACATGTCTTCCCACTTTGATCCAAAACAAGCTCATCCATTCGCTTGTCCATTCCCTGGTTGCGGGAAGGGAATAGCCATTCCCGGCTCAGATTCCGGAACCAACATTCTAATCGAAGATCATTATCGTCACCGCAGCTATCAAGGCATCGCAGACGTAATCGGCGTGCCAAAGATATTTAAAGACGGAAGTACTAGAGATGTCACTAAACTCAAAGCCTTGTTGGAGCATTTCGAAAAAGCCAATGCAATGAATGCCCAAACCCTCGAAAGAAATCTCACCCCACTCCCCGAGCGGGGCGAAGCAGATTTTAGGGCGCCAGTAGCTCCTGGTGGAGGAGCGGGGTCTCAACAATTTGGTCCCAACGCCCCAAAAGCCGGCTACGCATATCAAGCATCATGGTCACCTTCTGAAGACGAAGGAATACACCATAGTATCGAAAATGATGAACTTGAATACCACCAAGACGACGAAGATCTCTTTAGACTCGGTGATTACGAACCCCCACCAGAAGACGAATTCATAAGAAAAACCCCCAGCAAACCTAAAACCCCTCGTCCACCACCCATCCTCCCAGTCTCCCCCACGAAACGTAAAGCTTCCGCTGCTATCCCAGAAGAAGAATTAAGTCCACCCTCTACTCGATCAAGTAAACGTATACGCACGGCAATTCAAAGCCCGAGTCCTGAATCTGAGCCTGAAGAAGAGGAAGAAGCAGAATCAGAATCAAAATCGGAGCCAGAACCAGAACCAGAGCCCGTGCTGAGAAAACCAAGTAGACGTATCCCGAGAAATATCTCACAGTCTAACCCGGACTTTTTCAAGTTCGGAGATGAAGACGAAGACGAAGATGTGGGTGAGGAGTTGGAGTTGGATGTGATTCAGGAAGACTATGAATAGGAAACACAGGAGATAAATAGGACGTCTAAAGATGAGGGGGTGGAAGGATCTGCAGGGAGTAGGAGACAGGGACCAACTTCACAAGGCACAAGGACTAGAACGAGGTCGAGCGGATAGATGAAGGGTTAGTTTAGTTGAGATGGTGGGGAGGAGGAAATAAAATAAAATTGAAGTGTTCATTGGTGGTTATTATGGCGGGATTTGATTTGATTTTTGTTTTGAGGTTTTATGTTTGATTAGTTTATCTTTTTTTAAAATTTGTTTGCGTTTTGTATTTGTACTTATCTTGCTTGCTTGGTTATTGAGTATATGATTATGATATTTTAGGTTCAAAGTTCTTCTGGTTTGATGTGTAATTATCGTTTTGTGGAGAAAAAGAATAAGAATGAACTGATGAGTTTGGGATCTGTGTTATGTGTTATGTGTTGCGTGTGAATTTGAATTTGAAATGGACTAGACTTTTGCTTTAACATGTAATCTTTATTTCATCTATCTCTAAAATGAATATCTTAAAAACTCCTTCGTATGCGTATATTACCTTTCCATCAACACCACTCTTTTTAAACCTCTGAAGGCAGAGTCATGGTGCATCCAAAGGAGGTGTACCAGCGCATACAGGTATTTCTAATGCACATATATGATTCCATACCACGGATTCATTCTCCCTTCCAGTGTGTAATAGACTCCATTACGAGACAGCCTTATTGTTCCCTCAAAAATCAACAATCACCACGAGAACCCAACCCAAGATTCACCGCCCCAACATCCCCTCGACTCTTCTCCACATTCCCCCTACTCTTCTCCCCATCACTAACCGCACCCACAATAGCACACTCCCCTCCACTATCCACATCCACATCACTATGAACCCCCTCCACCACATCCCCATAAACCGTATGATCCAGCAACGATTCGCGTGCCGGGCACAGCCAACTAAGCAGCGTATAAACAAACACACTAACCACAAAACCAAAAAGCCAATCAAAAGAATAAAGATGTTTCGCGCCCTCACTAATCCTTACCGTATCCGTTTGTATCCCCGTCGTCGCATTCGTCTGTAATCCAATACTATATCCAAGTCCCGGTAAATTCGGAGCGACAGCTACGAGTAATGCTAATAAAGCGCGCCAGTTAATTCCATACCAGTATTTGTATCTTCCGTCTGGATCGTAGAGGGCGGGAACATCGATGTGTTGATTTTTGACGAGCCAGTAGTCTGCGGCGAGGATGCCGGCAATAGGGGCGAGGAAGACGGCGTACCCGCCCATGAAGGCGAGGAATGTTTCGGCTGAACTGATGATTTTCCAGGGGACGATGACCCAGCCTCCGACTATGGCTGCGATGATACATCCACGTTCGATATTTACGTAGCGGGGAAAAAGAACCGTGAGATCATTTGCTGCGCTGATTGAGTTTGCTGTGATATTTGTGCCGACTTGTGCGATGTACCAAGCTGTCGCTGCGAAAAATGCAGCGGCGCGTCCACCGTGTCCTAGATCTAGCCATTTTGAAATAATCTCGAGGGGATCCCAGATAGGTTTTCCGTAGATGATTCCCGTGGCTGAAGTAGTGACGATGCCGATTGTACCACACAAGGTAAAAATCACGGGAAGAAAGGGAAGTTGGATGAATTGAGCTTTGGATGATCGTGCGTAGCGGGAGAAATCTGGTATGTTACATGATAATGTAGCCCATGTGCCCGTCACGGAAGACATACAAGAAAGCCAGAGATATGCTTTCGTGGACCCGGAGACTGTGGGTTGAAGATCGAAGATCGAGCCCGAACCGCCTGCTTTGTGGATACACCAACCCATGGTTGCAAGAGCGGCAACAGGGGCTGCGATAAGTTTTACACCGAATAGGTAACGGAGACGAGTAGGTGGTATGAGGAGCAGCGGGAGCTGGATTATCCAGAAAAGAAAATAACTATAAATCATGCTATTAGTATTCCCGTCCCATTTATTCTTACAAAACAACCTACCTTATCATTCCTTGCGTAGTAATTCCCTGTCCCTCCGCGATATGATTCGGTACATTCGCATAACTAGGCCAAATAGCCAAAATCATAACCGTAATACACTCTGCTCCATTAGCACCTTGAATACCCAGCCAAAACATGGCCAATATAGATCTTGAGATAATGCAAAAGTACGCAAAATAATATCCGAAAGATGCTCGAATTGCTACGGAAAATGGTATGTGGAGTTTCGCGCCGATGGCTCCATTGAGTACCATGGGGATTGCTACGCACGTTGTTCCTACTATCATCTTTTGATGTGTTAGTGTGATTTGATCAATTAGTTGATGAAGCTATGGAGGATAACTCACAATTGGAATTGCCTCTCGCCATGTTAATCCCACGGCTAAAATACTACTTGCCGTCTCCCAAGTTCCAAGATTAATCGTATCAGTTGCCCAATAAGCCATCCTATGTTTTATTTCGTCAATTATCAGTCCACTCACTTCAGTCATCCTCCATTCCATATATTTTAACCAATTTCCACTACTCTCTCTCTTACAACCATCACTCAAAAACCTCCAAACCGCAAACCCAGAACCAAAACTAAATCACACTCACCAGGTCCACAACGTCCAAGTCTGATCTTCCCTCTTGACCGGATCCATATCCTTATTAGTCCAAACATGTTCTGGCGCCAACGCACTTTTCTGTTTCGGTAGTTGCCATGCTTTGACCGACGTACATCGTTCTTTAATTTGTTTTCCGGTTGGAATATACGGTATTGAAGTTAAGGAACGCATTATCGGCTTATATCCTTCTCATATATCCAGCTTATCTATCAAACAATTCTTCGTCCTCAAGCCACGAACATGAAGGAGGAGCAGAAACAAAACGTGGGAAAAAGAGAAAGGGAGATAGAAAGCCTCGGTCTTTGGGTACATATATACATACTATGCAGTATGTAGTATTATCTCACCCTACCTACCATACCTAATCTACATACATAACCAGTCTTGCTGTTCAGATCTCCCCATCCCTCATACCGTATCTAGCAGCATGCGATAGATATCGAAGCGGGGAAGGATAAGCAGACAGATAAGACTCCATGCAGAAATCCCCGAACCAGGAAAGGAAGCAGCAGACAAGCTGAGATTATCAGCCGAAAATCATCAGAGAAACCTTGCACTTACATATCTTCAGTAGAAATTGTCTTTAGAAGGTAATTTTATCGAGGGTTTCTATGCACTTCACTTGAATGTGTATCTAGACCTTAAGTTTTCATCCCACCTTCGATATCGTATGCATGTTTTGGATCTTTCAGATATTGTCAAACGTTTACTTGAAGTGCTATTTCATGAGGCGCTGGGTAAATGAAGCTTGTCGGACGGATAGAATGTAAATCTGAACCTAAACTTAAACAACACCAAGTTCATCTAGGCGGGGAAGATAAGATCTTACCATGCATCTAGATTACACTCAATTTCATAATGTGTATTCAAAGCTAATTTCAATTTACGATAATTTCGTCAAATTATACTCGAATGAAATTTATATCAAATAATAAAAAATAAATTGATTTATATTTTAATAAAATTTCAATGAATTCTAAATTGCTATCATAAAGATGTAATTTTGAAAAGGACAAATTCAAATATGTTTTTATTAAGTACAAAAAATCATGTTTTTTTTTTTCGGGCACACGTTATGAAATCGGGTGTATTGATTAGAAAAAAATATGTTTTCAACTTAAACAGCCCACCCACATCCCCGCGTACACACAAACGCGCTTTTCCCAATATCCGACAGTTTAGTCTTATTAACCTTGAAAATATTTTAGACGTATGAAGTCCAAAAGAAATCACAGTAACAGTATATCGAATATCTATCAATTCCTAAAGCTATTAAACGTAGGTTATGTTTTGTGCCTATACTCTCCTTCATCATTAAAACCATCAAAATTTATCATGCACAGCACCATCTCGACTTTCTATTTTCAATAACCTCCATCACTAGTCCCGACAAAGAGGTTCATGGAATTTAATTATTCTTGACAAGTCACTTGTCACAACGAATCAATGACGACTGTTGTCGTAACTGCCCGATGAGTACCAGGCTATGCATTATTTTGCAAACTAGAATATTGGTAGAGCTGTAAAAGATCATGAATCACCTCAATTAATACATCACGCGAAATGATTGCCTCACTTGGTATGATCTGTTATACACATGTCTATACTATCACAATGCATGTCATCCTCTTCAATACATGCATGATGCTACCACCAAGGGATTGGCACCTAAAAACACCCTTGCCCCGAATGCGAATTGCTAAAATTACACACCCTTCCACTACCCTTGAATAAAATGACTTAGTCTTCTTCCCCATCAGAGAAATAGTCGAAATCCCTAGGTACAGGAGCTTCCTCGGCACCCTCTTCATCTTCATCAACAGCTGTCAAAACACCTGCTGCAGCTGCAGCTCCAGGGAAAGCCCATTCACCTTCGTTTGCAGGAGTTCTTGGGTAAGGAACGTCACCTCCCTCGCGCACGCTGAGAGCCTCTACACGCATATCCTCAAGAGTTGCACTCATGGCAGCCCTTTCAACCTCAACCTTCTTCACCTTTTCTTCAATCAAGACCTTTTCTTCTCCTGGCTGAGTATCAATCATCACAATGACACCTCCAGTAGGTTTCTTGACTGGCTTATAACGACCGGCTGGGAAACTGATGAACTTGAGTTGTGATGGAAGGACTCGAGACATGTTCTCGATCTCGTACCCGACCTTCTCCTTCTCAAGCTTTTTCTTCAGGGTTTCTGCAGGAGTTTCCTTTTCGTTTTCATCCTTCTTCTCAGCAACTTTCTCTTCCGCGTCCTTGGTTGACTCGTCTACGTCCATCTTGTCATCGGTTGCACTTGGAAGCTTTGGCGTGGTAGGCGTTTGATCAATATCCATACTTTCTCGTCGTTGAGCACGCTCCTTCTTTTGTGCTCTGCGTTTTGCTTGAGCAGTTGTTGATAGGACGGCTGTAGCGATTAAAGTTGGCGCATCCTCCGTCTTTACTTCTTGCTCTGGAGGGTAGTCAAAAAGGCTTGGTCGAGTAGCACTGTGGAATTTGAAACTTGGAATCTCCAATTCTTGGTTCAAGCCAATCATGGACGTAGGAGTGAAAGTCAGGGATAGGAAATGGGTGAATGGGAACCAGTACCAGTATTGAGTGAAGACTGCCATACCGACAATACCAGCCATGTTGAGGTTACCTGTTTGAGTCTGTAATCCAATTGTGCAGTTACGACCTCCAGCATCAATTATACCCAACGCCAATGCACAACCAAACTTGGCCATGGCATCTTCATGACGATCTGCAACAACCTTTTTCAAGGTTTTGCGAATTTCCGCAACCTTGGGATTCATTACCTCATTCTGTTGAACCATAATCATGGCGAGAGAGATCAAGGCACCTTGTCGAACAAAGTCTGTAGGGTCTTTCATCATAGGCTCAAGCAAATCGATTGCCTCGTCAAGACCGGTACCAGCACAGGAGATACCAAGAGCCATAGCAGCACCGTACCTAACATGTGGGTTGTAAGATTCAGACAAAAGCTCGACCATACGTGGCACACTTCCGGGCTTGCGGAAGAGAATGAAACCTAGACTCATGACGGCAACACGACGGACATCATCGTTCACGTCGCTAACGGCTACATGAAGTAGCTTGCGCACCGCCTTGTTGCTTCCTGTGCCGCAGTATGCCAAAGCGACGGTCAAGATACCACCATAACGAAGAGTTGGATCTGGTTCATTCAATAATGCTTTGATGATGTCATCAGCTCCTTCTTGTGTGCCGTACATAATTAATGCCATGCCGATAGCAAGACCCCGAACACTCTTCTCGTGTTGAGTTTCATGAGCATAAACGATCATTTCTTCCAGAACCTTCATATTACCAGTTCCCAACATAATGAGACCCATCGCAAGGCCAACAGCCTCACCATTGAGTGCAGAATCGCCGTAAAGAACGCTTTTCAAATCCTCGTAAATTTGTCGATTGCCTGTAGCCATACCAGCAATTCCCAACCCCAAAGCACCTCCGTGCTGAATAACTTCCTCTTGGTTCTCCAAAAAGGCTTTGTTCAAATACTCGAGCGCCTCGGCGCCATGATTGGCGTAAATCAACCCATAAGCATAAAGAGCACCACCTTGGCTATAAGAGGAACCTCCAACGGATGGAGCTCTTGGTAAATAAGGCTCCAACAATCTCTTAGCTTGGGAGAGGTTGCCACGATGAATGACACCAAGCGCAGCAGTAGCAGAAAATTTTGACCAATTGACCGCCTTTCCTAGCCACTCTAAATTGTCACGGAAGAATTTATCATTGGTTGTGCCGTGGTTCATGAAAGCATTGCAGAACGTAACGGCTGAGTGGAAGATGGAGTTTCGACCTTCAAGGCTGTCACGGACTTTGTTGAGGATGCTGAGGTCAGTGTGGTTATTTCGATACAAAAATTCGAGATTAAGTCTGATGGTCTCACTGCCATCAAGAATTTTTCGGATCGAATCATAAACCTTGATTTGTTCATCTGAGACCACTTCACTGGATCCTCCAGCTTGATCATTCAATTCTCCTAAAAGTTGATCGGATTCCGTCGCTACACAAGAAATCAGTAATAAACCTAGTCAAGGAAATAGAGTCTACTCACGCTCCTCCGCGGATGGTTCGGCATTGGTGGCCTTTTTGGGTAGAGATTTAATGACTTTAGCCAGAAATTCTTGAGTGCCGTTATCATACAAGTCGAAAGCGATCTGGTATGCAATAGCGGTAGAAGTTTGATCGTCCTTAGCCTACACAAGGTCAGTATTATACCAGGCAAGACTTGAATCCACAGAAGTTTTAGCCACTTCAAGTACTTACCACAAGTCTTTTTAACATTGTCGATGCCTCCTCGTCTATGTTAAGGTAGACGACGCATTTTGCGATTGCGAAATAGTCCGGAGTTGGTATATCATTCAGCAGATCCAAGATTAACTTCAGTATTTCTGTTCGAAGCCCTCTTTCTTGTACAACGCCCATGCAAATGTCCAAGACATATTCCATCAATTCCTCTGTTGGTCCAGCTGTGCCCTCGGGAAGCTTTGATTTCGACTTCTTCTCATCGTCGCTAGCACGCTTGATGACTCGTCGCAAGACTTCTAGGTTTCTAGCCTCTACTGCAATTCCAACAACCTGTCTGTATCTCCCTTCTCGTAAACAACTTTCAAAAAGTCTCTCGATGACTTTTTGAAGCGCAATCTGAGTAGATCGATCTGGTAAAATGGTGGAATCCGAGGTCTTGCCTTCTGAGACGGGCTGTTCCAACATGTTGTCGGCAGAGACTCGTGATAAGAGGGATTTTGATGGCAGAGTAGATTGCGAGAAAGGTGTCACAGGTGAAGTTAGCGCGGCGGCAGCACTTCCATCATTGATCCCGCTGGCGAATGTAGTTGCGAGAGTAGGTAGGGCACTATCATTTTTACTTTTTTGTGGTGCAGCATGATTTTGAGCAGATACACTGATATAAGTGTCGACACATTTCGAGATGATGGTTTCTTCGAATTCGCCTGATTTGTCGAGTTGAAAGAGATCACCAGCTCCGAGAGCAAATGTCATACTCTCATTGTATGCTTGTAAATGATAGTAGACCTTTGCCAACACCAAGGATGCTAATTGTCGCTCGGAAAAGGATTCATCTTCGTAAAGCGCCTCACTGAAAAGTGGCCAAATCAGTATTCAGTTGGTCATCATGATGGAGCTGCATTAATATGTGATATCTGCGATAGTGTGCATTTAGCTTACATTTGAGAAACAGAGCCTGCGACTTCTGTCCATAGTGTATCGATATCGTCATTCAAGGTTTGAAGGGCGAAAATCTTGAGCTCCGGCTCTTCGTCAGAAAGGAAGCCCAGGACACCAGAGGCTGAAGTCAAACTCGGCATGGTTGGTTAATGATTTGATGACCGTGGAAATTTGAATTCAATCGGTGGTTTATATGGGGATCTTTATCGAAAGGTCTCTAAGAGTTTAGAGAGTTGAAATGTTTGATGGATTAGGGTTGAAAATGAGTTATTGTGGTTGTGTACAAAGACCTCTGAGGTGAAAGTATCGCAACTCGCAACAATCAGGCACACCTTTTGGCACGTCAACAGCTTCAACCACGAATCTGGTCTGGTGGGAAAAGCGGTAAAGCTCGGCATTAAATCAAATGAAGTAAGTGGCTAACTATTTTAGGAAGCATCATCTAGTAAATCACGTGAGTAAGCTTAGGTAAGACGGAGCTTGAACTTTGAGCTGGTGAGCTGGTGAGCTGAAGTGGTAGAGAATAAAATGTTTTGTAGCCGCCCCCTCTGGTCGCGGCAACCAATCAGTAGAGGTTCTAGGTATGAATTGGGTCATGGATGGATGGGCAGGGCAGAATACACCATGAAATAAACTTTCCATTAAATTTTCCATTATATTTCAGATCAAAAAGTCAAATGAATGAATTTATTTTAGAATAAATCCTATAATTGAAATTTCTATAAAATATCAATATTTTGAGGATATACTTTTAAGATCATCTGCTGCCCTTCATTTTACATACACATTGCATTCCTCAATTCATCTCGATTCATTCAAAAAGATTTATCATGCTGTGAACCTTCTCCAAGGTAAATGATTCGTCTACCGGTGCTGAGATGCGAATACAGTGCAAGTGCAGTCAGTACCCAGTACCTCTCTCTCTGTACTAGGTAGGAACTTGTAATTCCATCATTATGGGAATTTGGTTCTGGAAGCTACAAACCACAAACCACAAACCACAAACCACAAACCACAAACCACAACTTATCATTGCCTCTCAAACCTTCTAACCAACCCCCTATTCATCCCAAAATATCCAAATCTCCAAATCTCCAAATCTCCAAATACTTGTCGATGACTTCAAAAAAATGTATCTGCAGTAAATTCATAATACTTTAAAAATTCCATTTGACCCATCTGCGAACTCTCTCCCCCCCCCAAAGAAATTACTCTGGCTAATCCCGCCGTTTCCCATCCATCATTGTTTGCGTAGTCCTAAACTTTTATTCTTGACAACTTCCTTTGTTCGAATGTGTTTGCGCCTTTGCGCCAACATCATTAACCCTTACGTTCGAGAACGAGATCGACTCAACTGTACAACGAATTATCAGATTGCCATCAAATGAACGCCCGGTGGAAGATTACAAAGGCTTATTGAGAGTGTAGTGCGTGGGGTCAAAAAAGGCGTATGTATATGGTGGTGGTGCTGGACAACGAATCGCAAACATGGACCTTCGTTCAATCATCAATACGGAAAATGGCGAAGGGGGACGATCCAAACAAAATGCGCCTACGCCGGTAACTCCAATCCAGACGGGTCCCCCATTAGGACAAATCTATAGGAATTATAGTCATTCGTCGCAGGTCTCGCCAGGTCCGGGCAAACATGGCTCACAATCACAAGAGTACGGTTCACAAAATGGTGGGCCTCATGCATCGCCAACTACCTATCAAGCAGCTCATCTAAATCGTCCGCCTCCTCCCACTCCCATTCAAGCCCCTCCTCCGAACGACCTTCGTTCTCCAACGGGTTCATATTCGGCCCCCTCTCCATATCGGCATACCCCTAGTTCATCAATTAGTGTTCCCGGTGCTCAATACCCATTCCCGCAAAGTCTCCAAAACCCACAAAGTCCTGCTCAACGTCATCATTATCCCCCGACCTTTCAACAGTCTCGAAGAGAAAGTTACTCACAACCCACTCCACCTTCTCATCAACAACAATATAATTCACAGATTCAAGGATCGCCCGCTCCTCCACAAACACCACCGATTGGAATTCCAGGGGCGACACATCCCTATCTTCAACATCAAAGATCACAATCTTCACTTTCGAATTCTACACCCACGTCAGCGCATAGTCAGCAGCAGCAATATCAAAACCAATTCACTCGGGATATTCCCATCGCCACAAATCAATTACCACCAAATCCATTTCCAATTCAGCATCAGCGACAACAATCTCAACAATCTCACCCCGGCACACCTCTAGGTCCTCCTCTAGGTCCTCCTCTACAACCACAGCGCCAATCATCTGGCGGGTTCGCACAACCTACAAGTCCCTATCAACAACGGGGAGTGCCCATAAGCTCTTTTACCGGTACTCATTTCAATCAAATATCTCCTGCCCCCGCGAACGCTTCGATCCCACCTCGATTGCCGACCACTCCACGAAGCGCTTACGACTCCCAAAGAACATCAACAAGCTCCACGCAACAGCGATCTATGGTCGAAAGAGAAAGGAGTCTCAGCGTGAGTCCCAAAACGCGTTTACCCAGCCAAACGAGAGGAAGTTCTATGGTTCAACAGCAACCGGAAGAATATAATAATTCAACGAAACGCAAACTGGAGGACCGGGAAATGTCTTTTGAAGCACCACAACGGGGTGAGCAATACGATGTTAAGCCAGAAATCAACGGCGATCATCAAGTCAGCTCTGCCGCTGCTTCGTCCCCTCAGCAACCACCCAGAAAGAGAACTCGATACACCGAGCCGCCGATATGGGCCCGAAGTGCCAAAGGAATAAAGGGCTTAGGACGTAAGATCAACGGAAGACATCAAACTCCTCAACCTTCAGCGCAGGTTCCGCCCGTTACATTAATAAAGCCAGAAATTAATGGGACGCGCCAAGCATCACCAGCGATTCCTCGACCTGCAGGGAATGATGTTGATTGGGATGGCCCTCTCGGCCCATGGGAGCCGAGCATATCTGGCACTCAGCCACGTGCCGAGATGACAAAGTTGGTGGCAGACTTTCTTTATATGAACGTCGTTAGTCGTGAGGACACACGGGAGTTGGCCAGTCGAGGCGTGGAGGTAGAAATTGAAGCGAAGCTGGGGCAGCTTGTCAGTAAGGAGACGAACCAGCGACTGACTTTGCCGATCCGTTCGGAAACAGTACTTATGGATAACCAGTTCATTGCTTTCAAAAGCACAATGACAGAGGTATGTTGTATATATTCCTTGGTATCGCCATGCTGACATCAGTAATAGTTCCAACATAAAAAGCTAAATGACTTTTTGAATGAACGTGTTAAGGATTGCTTTCCGAATAATCCCAGTCAGCCGAAACGACGAGTCAAGATCGACTACTTACACCGACGGGAGACGGATAAATTTTATGAGCTGCCTTCTTCAATGCATAGCACTTTACCTCCGGCTCTTCGGGCCTTGCTCAATCCTCGTTATACTGTCAAAGTTCGTGTCACTCACAATCAGAAGACCGGCGAACCTTTGGCGAAGATCATCAAAGCTAGAGTGGCCGACATGGATATCTTTTTTCCTAGTTTAAGTCTTGATTGCCGAATTAGTATAAACTTCGAAATGAAGTTTGACGGTGAAGTAGACGAACTAGTCTCTTCAAGTGACGGAGCTCAAAGGCCTGATCGTAACAAGGATCGTTTGAGTTACAAGCAATCACATTATCAAGTAGACCTTACTCAAGTCACTCAAAGCTTGGTATCAAATGTGAGTTTTCTTTCTGCTTGCTCATTAAAATCCGCACTAACACCGGCAGAATGTAACTCGAAGTGAAAAAGAACATGAGCTTGAAGTCGAACTCTCAGCAGCAGCTGTCATGGATCAAGGTCTCAAAGCTAGGAATGGCGAGCCAAATGATTACTTTAAGTTGGTGGAAGGTCTTATCGACAATGTTCGTTTATTGGCAAGAACTGCTTCAGTCAACGCCTAGAAAATCCCATTTCGTTCAACTGCATAACACCCCAATTTACTCGCAAGGCTTTACTTTTTAAATCAAGGCGTTTTAGGATAGGGAAAATTGAATGGCAGCACATTATAACGTATGTGTGGAAAGATGGCAATGATATTTAGGCGGCTATTTTTTATTTTCGGTTGAACAAAAGGAGGTTCCAAATCTGATTGTTGCACTTTTGGTTGCATTTCTTTGCATCAGTGGCTGCATATGAAGAAAACATTAATTTGTGGCTCACAACAAACGCGTCCCTCAAGTTTCTATGCAGGTGGCCTCTAGGAGGCTAGAATCCTGTGTTCTATTATGAAGATGATTCTGGGATGAATGATTGGGAGATGAACTATGATGATGATAGGATGTATGGATGAATAATAGTACGAGCACAAGGAGGGGAAAAGGAGGGGAGGACTTTTAAACTAGCGCCTTTTCGCTAGTCAGATACCTATTGTTGTAAATTCTACGTGTAATAATGTATGTACTTATCACCGGGTTTTTTCGTATATAGATAGTTCTTCCATTCGGATATTTTGTTCCATAAGGTAACGACTAGGTTGGTATGGGAAGTTTGAAAAGCGTTGGGCCTCAGCTGTTAGGCCATTGCAGTGCGAAGAATGAAAGATTGTGTCTGATAGGATCAGTGTCTTTCAAGTCATCGCTAGAGGTCTTAGTAGTAGGCAGTAGTCCATATTTCTCGATCTGGGTGATCAAAATTTGAAATATGCTGATGCTGATGGTTGAATATTGCTAGCGTATCATATATCGCTTAACCAGGGTCTTGATTAGGGTTAAATTGTTTAATTAGCATTGTGTTCAATTGGTATAGATCTTTATATTAACGCAATCTCTATCACAGTCATAGATTAACCATCATTCAACATCCATCCACCAGATCCGCGAATTCTCATTATTGGAACCAAGCTAGATGACGATTGTATTTCCTGTAGATTTATTTATCCTTGAGATACCTCGGATGCGTTCATCTCTTAGTTGGTTAGTCGTTCTGATAGAGATAGATAGATAGATAGATAGATAGATAGATAGATAGATAGGTTAAATACAGCTTTAATTTAGGCTTTCGAACAATTAATCAGTCTATTTTGCAAATTGTAATGCGACGAGCATTTCAAGCGTGATCATCGATATCATCGGTTTCAATTCACGCAGTAAGAATATATTGGTGTTTAGGTATTTATAGATCTGCATGCCCTGATCAGTTTCTTCCTATTCGAAGGATAGAAATGTCAAGTAGTCTTTGTCTTTGTTGCTTTATTTGAATACAGAAGATTTCATCATGTATATGATTAATTAAAGTGTATTAATTAAAATTATCAGATTAGAATAATTTCTAGTCTTTTCTTTTATTATTGAATTTTTGATTTATTTCTCATCTCTCTCTCTCTCTCTATATATATATGCTCTCGTAAGCTATACAGAAATAAGTAAACGAATCTTTCCGATAGCTATAGTACATCTCTCGAGATAGAATATCGAAATTCTAGAATACTATAGTATATGTATAGCTCAAGTGTCTTTATCGCCAACTACCTAATGATATATAAGATCTTAAGATTAAGATTATATACCATCTTTTATCTTACATCTTCCATCTATAATTTGTAATCTGCAATCCGGAACTCGCAAAACTTGAACACTATACCATACCATATCATATCATACAATACAATACAAAAAAGATATGATACAAACAGGGTAACAGGGTATCTTTCAACCAACTAAACCTAACCTAACCTAACCTTAATACTCATTATTCCATCCCCTTAAAACCCAAAATACCATTTCCAACCTGACCTTTCTTACCCCTCTTCTTCTTCTTACGTTTCTTACGACCACCATCTTCCTCATCACTACTATCCGCCTTTGCATCACTATCATCGCTTTCTTTTTCCAATGTTCTTTTTCCACTTTCCCCTATGACTTCATCATCACGATCTTCAATATCTTCTTCTTCTTCATCTTCGTCTTCTTCCTTTAACCGTTTCTCCACCTCCATCTTTCAAATCCAGCAACCACCTCCATATCATCATGTTCATCCTCCACCCTTCATTCCCCAACCCTCCCTCCACTCCCATCATCCAACCACTACACATTTCCCATAACTCCTCTCCAACTCCTCCGGCACCGCAACCATCGAATCCAAACTCTCCCCACCCACCTTCCCTCCGCCATCCACAATAATCCTCTCCGACTGATCATCCCAAACCCCTTCTCCCAAAGCGTAATAACCCCATTCCCATTCCCCACACAAACCTTCTCCTCCCATATTTCCCCTCGCCGGTAACCCCCACAAAACACTACTCAACAATTCCTCCTCCTGATCCTCACTCTTAACCAACACCCCCTCCTCAAATCCGTAACCGCTAATGTAGTCCCCCCCGTCGTAACCCACTGTTTACTAAACCCACTCGTGCTCATTTCCGTAGGAGGAAGTGGTGATAAACTAGATATGTAATCTTCGTGTGGATAATGCGTTTGTGCCGGTCTGCCTGATTTGAATGATGAGACGTCGCGGAGATCGTAAAGATGTAATGCGCAAGAATCGGTGGCGAGGAGAAGAGTTTGGGGGGATAGTGCATGGAGAAGAGTTGGCGGATCAAGTGCGTCGGTGTTCGAGTTTGGTATGCGGATTTTGGAGATTACTTGCCCGGTGGCAGATGCAGCTGCTTTGAGGAGGGAATCTGTGCCAGCGGAATAGAGAACTGGGTTTTGAAGTCAGTGATTAATCATTAAAACAATTTAAAAAATAAAAAAAAGTTAGAAACCCATTGATTGAAATCCAATCCCAAAACAGATCCTCTCCAAAACCAAAAAAAAAGCACAAACCTTCCCCATCCCAACTAAACCCCAAAGTCCTACAACTCCCCTTATGTCTCCTAGTCCTCCACTCCGTCTCAATCGTACTTGTCCCCGTACTAGTACCCGTACTCAGCACACTCATATCCCCATCCCCATCCCCATCCTCCAGCGCCGATTCCTCCTCCGCAGCGGGTAAACGAAAACAGTGAACATGACCTGCCGAGAGGCCAACTGCAAGAATGGGTTCTGTAGGATGGAGAGCTTGGGTGAAGAGCTCGGAGCTGAGGGGTAGGGTGCAGAGGTTTTCGAACATGGTTTTTGTTATGATTGGGCGTTTATGAGGATGATGACATTATTTTCTTTTTTTTTTTCTTGGAAATTTAGGGGTTGAATTGGAAAGATGGACGAAGAGAGGATTTTTGGAAAGTTCTTTTGGAATTTGAGGAGAAATAAATTTTGACGAGGCTAGGGATGGGATGGAAGGCTATGTTTTTTTGTGATGGGGCTCACCGGGAACTAAGCTAAGCTCCAATCCACTTGCATTGACAAAGGCTTTTCTATACCAAAACTCATTTATTTCCAAAAAATACCGACCTACGGTTTGGTTTAATCAAGCAAGCAACAAACATTCACCATTCACAATTAACCCACTCCTAAAACCAAAGCACCAAATAAAACAATCGGGTCAATAATGAATCAATGAATTGCAATTGCCACAGAATATATCCTTATCATCATCAATGCAATCAATGCAGCCATAGCAACATCACAAACAAGTAAGGTCACCTGTATCCGCAACCCAAACTCCCATCCAGATTCATAAATCGTCCAACTCCAGCTTCACAATCCACCATCAAATCTCCTAGCAAGTGGACTTCCTATCTTCGGTGCCCATTGTAAACTCTTCCTCCTGGCAGCCATTAATCTCATCATAACACTTTGTTCCTTGTCTTTTCTCAAGAAGCTTAATCCATCTCCCGGATTTCCACTTTCACTACTCTCACCCTCTCCGAAATTCACAAACTTTTTATTCCCACCCGGAGCTGTCATCTGTACCAATTTATCCTTCTTGAAGAAGTAAGGTGTTTGAGCACCTGGAGTTTCACCACCCCATAATCCCTCTTCCGCATATGCACTAATGGTTTCTGGAGCCGGCGTAGCTGGAACAGGACTTAACATCCAATTATCTTCACCCAATTCATCTACATCACCCTCCTCATTAGGAATAGGTGATCTTTGCCATTGTACTGATTCTCTTCTCTTTGATTTGAGTGTAAGTGGAGTTGTATCAGGATAAGTTAAGGTTGAATATGCAGATTTCGCAGGAACAGTTGAAGGAACAAGGGTACCATTGAAATTAGCAAGTGCACGAGGCTCCATACTCTTACGACGACGTGCACCACCTCGCGGAACCATGGATGTATCGACTGCATAAGCAGCTTCATCAAGCCATTGGTTTTCTCGTTCACAGCTATTGGCATTATTAGCAGATTATCCTAGAACATATCTCTCGCGAAAACTCACTCTAAAACCCATCCAACACCAACACAAGAAACAACTCCTCCAGTTTGCCTGGCTTTCTCGAGAGTCCTTTTTCCACCATCTTTGAAGACAATATGGGTAATTCCAATTTTGCTTCCATCATCACTGTTTGGATTCCACGACCAAGTCTTAACACATTTCGCTCCCATTTGTGTAAGCAATTCGGTGAATAGACCACTAGCATCAGCACCTTCAGTGGTGTGTACATCAACGAAGACTACAGCTCCCTTCAAAAGTGCTGCACTTAGATCAGGATGTGGTGTACGAGCTGGCGTGGCGTTTGTAAACCACGTTACAGTTTCGGACTTAGTAGGAGTAGTGAATTCTTGGCTGCCTGCACTCTCAGTGAATTTCTGACTCTTTTTTGATTTCGGTGTACTCTTGGATGGTGAGTATGGAGTGACAGTATTATTGCGAGATAACGGGCTAGATGGTCGTGCGAATGAAAGCTTAGAGATACTGGCGCTTCTCTTTTCTTGCAATGGACGCATTGGAGTTTCATGAGCATCTTTAAGCGGCACTTTTGCAACGGTATGGAATGTCCTTTCCGTCAAAACACGTTTGGGGGTTGTGAAGATTGGCGTGGCTGGTGATTGAGGTGTATAGGCTAATAGTGCAGGATCAATTGGCACTTCATTCTCATCTCCATATTCCTGACTAGGCTCTGAAGGAGTGGGCTCTGGCACAACCACATGCTCTTGGAAGTTGTTATTTATGATGGTTGCTTCATATTCTCCCTCTTTACTGCTTTCGTCTTGGCTCTCTTCGACATTCTCTTCTTGGCTTTCTTCATTTTCCTCGTCATTAGCTTCAAAAGCTTCAGGGTCCAACATCGATAACTCATCCGCTTCTTCTGCAAGGTCGATATCTTCCTCAAGTAATTCCATATCGTTGAACTCTGGCTCACTGTTCTCGGCCTCAACCTCATCGGAAGAAGTAGAATCGTTTTCTGCCATGTTGAGCTCGTCTCGAATTTTCATTTCATCCTCGAAATAACTACTTTTGGCTGGTGAAGCAACAGCAGGAGATGCCACAGCAGGAGATGCCACAGCAGGAGATTCCGCAGTCTTGCCCATATCGACATGCAATTCCTTTTCCGCTGGCTTTCGCGTGGGTGAGATAGGTCTATCAAGGTCGTCATCGCATTCACTAGATTCCTCAGAGCTCGCGGCCATCCAATCACTTAGCTGTTTCGCCAAAGGAGTGAAACCAATCTTCTCCTGGTTGAATCTGCGTGAGTATCGAGCTGATGATTGAACCGTTGCCATCTTGGGAGTTTTATTTGTACTATCAAACTTGGCAGGTGTCGCTGGAGATGCAAAATTGTTGGTAGTGAACGGAAAATCGGCAAGCGGAGTGGGTGAATATTCTTTAGCCACAGAAGCAAGCTCATCTTCTGAGTCTGAGTCGTCAATTGAATTTTTCTCTTCCCTGAGTTGGAATGAACTACCAATGTGCGTAGGAGGTGAACATGGTGGAGTGGTACTTTGAGCTTCGATTGTATCGACTACTTCATCTGTGTTGTCCACAGTCATCAATCCATCAAATTGTTCTTGAATATCAGCCGCGACAGGTCCTACAGGCTCATCTATTTGAGGAGGAAGTCCAACAGCTGACGAGAAAGCCGGGTCAGCAGAACGAGGTAAGATGGATGAAAGTCGACCAGAAAACTCTAGGACGGGCGTCGCCAAAGATTTTGTCTCCTTTGGCAATGGACTACCATTCGAGACATTGTTCTTCACGGCACTTGATGGAATCGGGGGAAACATGGGCCCAGGACGAATTGCGCTCTTCATTAAAGTCCTTGGAGTTTCAAATCTCGAGATCTTAAAAGTGCTGACTTTTGGGGTAGCAGCGAATATTGAGGCACTTTGATTATTTCTGGTTGGTGAGCCTGCTTCATCAACTTTGGTGGGTGATTGTGGTCTTCTAGCCGGTGATTGAAGAAGTGAAGTTTTCAGAGGAGATGCTGTTGTTGAAGGTTCTGGTGCAAATAAATTGGGCTTAAAAGGTGATCGCATGCTGTGTCCGAATTCGAATCTTTGTGCATTTAATTTCAATGTCTCTTTGAAAGGCGATGATTGTGGTGGGCGTCGAGCAGGGCTTGTCATTGTTGATGCATTGAAGATCTGGGTAGGTTCCATTGAAGGCTTGTCAGCAAAAGATGTAGCGATATCCAGTTTCTTCTCTGCAGTTTGAGGTGGTCGACGAGCTGGACTCATCATAGTAGACGCTTGGAAATCCAATTTGCCACCTTCGATAGGCTTTTGTGCTGCAAGGGATGTCGAGAAGTCGATCTTTTTCGCAGTATCGAAAATACTTCCAGGCGGTTTGACAGGACTTTTCATCAATGATTTCATTGGAGTCTTCACTGTTGTTGATAATTCATCCTCAGACGATTGTCCCTTGTTCGCATTAACTTGTGTCGCTTTCTTCGGGCTTAACGGTAATGGTTTCTCTACCTTCTCGTCCTGGCCAGGCTTGGCTCTAGCACGAGTTGCACGAGTTGAAGCTGTTGCAGATGATGCAAGCTTTCGAACCGGTTTCGCTCGTAGTCCAGTAGCTGTTTCTGCAGCCTTGGGCTTTGCTCTGGTTGGTGGTAAAATATTCTCCTTATCTGGTTCTTCAAATTTGACTCTCTTCTTTGGTCCCATTGCGCGCGAAATTGTAGCAGAAGGAGCTCGGGTGCGGGTGACTTTCTTTGCAGGCTCTTCAGTCACGGTTGGTTCTGATTCCGCTTGAGACTCAACCTCATCCTTCTTCGTTCGTCCTCTCAAGGATCTGGCGGCTTGAGGTACTAGCGCTTCAACTGTAGTTTTCTTTGGCCGACCTCGAGTGACTTTCGCAGGAGCCATGGTTTCCTCTACCTCCGTTTCCAATTGTGCAGCTTTCCTCGGTCGTCCACGAGTAGATTTTGGTTCTGGCTTGGTCTCCTCTGCCAATTCTTCGTTTTGCTCCTCCTCATCATCATCTGCTCTGGTCTTTCTCTTCGTACTAGTCGTACCACGGCTAATGTTTGCTGATTTCGATGCGGTAGGTGCGATTCTAGCTGTTTTAATAACAGTGTCTTTCGTTGACTTTGCGGCAGCTCGCGCGCGGGTAACACGTTTGGGGGGTGATTGCTCCATTGCTGTAAAATAAATTAATTTGTTAATTTTAGTAAAATTTGGATTCGACCGCAAAGAGTTACATTTGGTGTGATATGAATGTTTGTCGTAGATATTGCTGATTTTGGGAAGTAGGTAAGGAAATATATTTTACATTAATGCAAGGGCAAATATTGATAAACAAAACTTTTCACCGCCCACGGTTGCCAGATCAACGAGTGTATTGCCGTCACGTGATATAAGCATTGTTGTAGCAACAACGTCATTTTGCCTGACATAGGCCCTCTCATGACCTTTTACATTATACTATGTAAATCTTAAATTACCTACTGAATGAACATTCCAAGCCATACATCCAACTTACAAAAGCCAATTATCAGCAATTGTATCATCACCTGTATATAGCAGCTCTCTCTCCACCAGGAGCTCCCAAGCAAGTCCTAATACAGTATCCACTCTAGTCAAACCCCAAGAAGAACCAATTCAATTAGATCGAGCATTCAGACCACATTTCCCCAGAACCTAACCTAATCTTGTTATCAATCAACTCTTAGAGAGACAGCCGGCGCCTCATATTATTAAACATCCCACTCACTATTCGATGAACTTTAACTTTTCTCTAGGTAGGTAGCTGAAGATACTAGGTATTATTGAACATGCTAACATCTAGTCTGAAATAACCCAACTATTCCAACGGTTCCTCAGGACTACCTATTGCAACGGTTCCTCAAGACTACCTAATATCATTCAATCCTCAAAGAAATACAGATGCGAAATATAATTACACTCCCGTCTTTCCTCATTAAAACATCGATATATACAAAATACCCACATCATCTTTTCCAATTCTCTTTTATAACCCAATCCCAGAATGTAATTTCATCCTCATGCAAACACAATGCATGCAGCAGCAGTTACAGCGACAATAACGCTCATGAATTTGCTTCCTTGCAAGGAGACACCAGAAGAAGACGCGATATACGCGGGATCGTAGTTAACTTCACTAGTATTCAAAGTACCATTCCAACAGTATTTGTTGAAACAGGTGGTGCATGCATCGGGTACAGAGGTATTGGTCTTGTGAAGTGAGCGGGAAATGATAGCACAGCCAAGACATGTTGGCCAATCTGGATCGATGGTACCATTAGCCATTGTGGCGACCTCGTAACCATTTCTAATGATGAGGTTGCGTTCCTTGTTAGTGTACTCCGGGTCAAAGGTCGATACATTGGAATGGTAGATATAGGGGGCATTAGGAATGTAAACGATCAAAGGTGTCTGTCCCGTGGAATTTGAGGGATCACAACCGAAGAAACTGGGACGTTTGTTAAGTCCAAGATTGACGAATGTATTTTGACCAGGAACTGAAGGGAACGCCGTTCCGTTTGCAATAGTTTCATTTTGAGAGCGTTCCCAGGTTGCAACAAGAGAAGTTCCGTTGGGCCACAAGTACTCGGTGTCTGCGGATGAGTCGATCGCGAAGATTACATCCACTTCACGGATAGGTTGAATGAGCGGGTAAAGAGGAATATTCTGGCCATCTTCACCACCATCGACTAGATCTAGTTGTGTAGTTTGGGCGTTTCGATTGGTTTCATTGTTGTATCCGTAAAAAGGGTTAGGTTGATATTGCGCTATATCATTGTTGGTGAATCCTACTTTGTCGAGAATGGCGGTGAGGGCTTCAGTAACAAAGCTTGGAAGTGAAGTTGTGTTGGCCTGAAGCAAGAATTGATTGAAAAGAGTGGATGAAGTACCCATCACGTAGCCGACCTGATCAAAACCACGAACGCATTGCTGACCGTCCGGAATGGCTCCGGCGGTGAAGTTCGAACCAATGTATCGCAGTGGTGCAAATGCATAAGTCGTAGGGTCCCATGAACCCAGCTCAAATGGATTAAATTCGTAGACAGTGGAGTTGAGTGATATAATCTCGGTGTATGGCGAACGGCTATCAGCAACGAGAAAAGGCATTGGGATATTAGCATTTGCGAAGTTGTCCTCTAGCGCGATTGACGAAAAGGTGTAAGCCGGTCCACCATCCGTCGCATTAACAAGTTGGAACGATAATGCACGTCCCCAATAATCCGTGACGGAGGTGTTGAAATTGAGCGGAGCATTCGCCTTTCCTTTAACTTCAGATTCGATGGTACTATAGTAATCAGCAGTGCTCAGGATTTGAATGCCATCATCGTCAGGTCCTTCGAAGATGGAGTTATCAAAATTCCACACGTCGGCACCATCCCGTAAAGCTTCGACGCTGCTAAAGTTGTTGGTATAAATTGAACCGACCAACCAACCACCACCAGAAAGGCCAGCAAGATAGGTGGTAGCTTGTAGGAGACCTCCAATCTGTCCAGTGTTGGTCGAATTTGTGGTTCGATCATCGGCGGCAGCAAGAAATCCAGCACCATTAAGCATTGCACGATAACCGCCTCCAGAAATTGCTATACCAATATTTGGTAATGTGGATGCATTGCCTGAGACTTTGTTGATATATTCAGCCGCATCGAATCCGGAAATGTTCATCCTTTCGAGGAAAGTTATCATGGGTTGAATAGTATTATTTCTTCGTAGTCGAAGCCATGATGTTTCATTGGCGGATAATTCATTGGCTTTTCTAATCGTCGGTCTCGTATCGGGACAGTCAACCGCTCCTGGGGTGTAGCTTCCTGTTGGCGAATCTGGTAATGCACGCTTCAGAGCTACCATGGGTGCCGCCAATACTTCAGCTGCGACAGTTTCCGGGGATGCATCTCTGGGTAAAACCAATTGACGAGCTACACATGGGTTAACCAAATTTGAACTTGGGAACTCTCTTTGGAGTAACACGTACCATCACATATTGAAGTTAATGCAATGGAAGCGACTATCGCTCCAAAGCCTTTCATATTGTCTTGCTACCTGTAGACAGGGAGGTAGGGTATTCAAGAACAAATGAAAAGTAAAAACAAGATCAGTTAAAGGAAGAAAGAGAAAACAAAGATGAGAAAGAAGATTTATAAAAAAATAAAAAATAAAAGATATTAAAAAATAAACTCAAATGGCTTTCTCCTTCCTCCGTGCTTATCGGAAGATGGTGTTTTAGATTTAAAGGAAACACTCAAAAGGTAACGATGAGCACAAATCCCACCGAGGCTTGCTTGGTCCTTTTATATGTCCAAATGACGCCGGCCCACGCCTCTCTGGTGTTAATGTTAAGCTTTCAGTACCTTGCTAGTAAATTTGCACGGGAGGGAGATCTACAGGGAGTCAGGAACGATAAGTTGTATGCAAAATTCCCACCGAGTCGGTAAATTCCGTTTTTTTGTTTGTTTTTTGTTTGTTTTTTGTTTGTTTTTTTGATTCGTTGAATACCTAGGGAGGTAAGCAGGTAGTTGTGGTAGTTGTGGTAGTTGTGGTAGTTGTGGTAGTTGTGGTAGTTGTAGTAGTTGATTAAATTATTATTATTATTATTAGATCTAGGTAGATACCGGGTAAGATCTTAGGAAGGAAGGAAGGAAGGAAGGAAGGAACAGGAGATTTGAATTGATTCCGTCCGTATTGCGCTGCGACGGTAACGTTAACCTTGCGAGGCGATGTAACCAGATTTTTGATGTTGTTGCTGTACGAATAAACGAACTATTGTATCTTCCGTTGCCGTACCCTCACACTCACTGCACAGGCTACACATACAGCTTGCTTGCTGGTGTATTTTCCAGCCTTGTAGAAAGTAGAAATGGTTTATGTGGGCGGGGTGGGGTGTCTCAGGAACTGCGGTCGGTGACTTAAAGATCCATATATGCCGTAGGTACTGGTGGTATCATTGCTAACTCGATTCTGCAATAGTGAAGTTGGAAACGTTGATGGGCCCGGGTATCTCGGGGTTCCTAGATTATATATGCAAGGGGAGTATTGTCTGTATGTATGTACTGTGTTGTATTGTATGTATGTGCTAGAGGAGATAGGTATGTAATAGTGCAGGTATGTAATAGTGCAGGTATGGAATAGTGCAGGTATGTAATACTGTATTGTATGTACTGGAGGAGGTATGTGGCTACTGTAATACAGACGGAATGCGAGATGCAAAGTGACAGAAGCAAAGTGACAGACAGACCAGACGCGTAGATCTAAAAGCCACCACTTTGGCCACACTGCGCTGCGGATTACCGGCTTTGAGGAGGTTTATGGAGAATTCAGTCAAAGTCCGCTTTAATTACCTAGGTACTTAACGTTATTGACTCGACTGGGGCGCTTGAGTTGGCAACAGATTCTGCATAAGGAAATGTTTATTCGGTGCACAATTACCTCGTAGTCTGATGAGGTGTATAATAAAGTAAATGTGGTAGCATGTACAAAAGTAGGTAAGGTTATGCAGACGCGATCCTCCACAAGGCGCAGCAGTCAAATGAGCTGAGCTGAGCTGATATCTATCTGTCGAATGGGGCTGGAAACAGAGAAAGAAAAGACCAAGCTTGAACTTGAATGCTGAGTGAGGATGGATGGATGGATGGATGTTTTGAGATGACATTACATTACAAATCCTGTTGAAAATCCTTTGTCCGTTTCGTTTGTCGGTTCTCGAGTCGTGCTTGTGCCTGTATGTATTTCTCGTATGTATCGTATATCGTATTCCCGTACTGGCACCGGCATTGGGTATGGTGGTGTTGTAATTATATGGATACCACATATCTGAATTGACATGTCTTGTGCATTCAATCATGGATACCTATGGAATGCTGCATCACTGATAACATGGATTTGATGGTTAATATATTCGAATTAAACATTTTCAGAAACTTGGGAATTAATGACTAAAGTTCTTGATTGTGTATCTGCCTAGTTTGTGCTATTGTAAAACGGGTGCTTGGGTGCTTGGGTGCTTGGGTGCTTGGGTGCTTGGGTGCTTGCGTTGATGCTTTGAAAGGGAGAGGAGAAAAGAATCAAGTCCGTAGGAGAAAAGAAGTATCCCGTTGCTGTTTGCAGTAGGTGGGGCAGGGCAGTTTGCTTCCTTTTCCGTTTGGGAATGTTTTCGGTAAACATGTGAATATTCGAATATTTGAATATTCGAATATATGAATATCTACAGTCAGTCACCCCCCTTTTTCTTTATCCACAGAGTAAAGAAATCTCAAAGCAAAACCAACTAAAAGGATTTATTATTCTTTCTTTATTATTATACTTTATTTGCTCTCTTGATACATGACCCCCAGCCACCATAACTATTGGCCAGCCATTACCATGCGCGCGCTTCTTCTTGCCCATGTAATCAATCTCTTCTCTTCTCACACAAATAACTCTGCCTTCGCAATCCTCATTCGCACTTCGTTCGCATTTCTCAACCTCCGATTCGTCAATTAAATTTCACAGCACGCTGTCTCGTATCCGATGCGATCTGATGTGGAATTGGTTGTGTAACTCTTGTATGCAAGTCAATCATCAAACAAAAACTGCCATGCGCCAGCCAAGCCACTATAATAACCATAGGTTACATCTATACAGCCATACATTATGCTACCGTTCATGACTCATCTGCTAACTCTCAATCTCAATGAAAATGATGAATATGATAAATATCGAGTCTAGATCTGTATATTAACCAAAACAATCCACGCTATCATTATCATTATCACTATCATTATCATTATCATTATCGTTTGCCGAGTTTCGCTTTACTTATCATGAAGCCGGCTTATTAAAAGACAACAAACAGCCAAATGGTGACCCGGGATTGCTTCCAGATCTTATCTTTCTACTATCTATATATTAATCTATGCTACCTGGCCACCTCCTGGCCCCAATATCCAGCACATACTCCATCCCTTTCCACCATCTAGACATTCCCACTTACACAGCATTTGAAGCTCAATATTATAATCGAAGATGAATATCTCCTTTTAATATGATGCGTGTCGGTAAGCGTAACCATAGTAGTAACTACCTACTTATCCACTAGAAAGTAAAGTTCTTCAAATTCATCACAACCATCACTCATTCATTTCGTGTCGATAAGCCTCAATGCCCAGTAAGCCTCTGATCAATTCAGCATTCATTCTGTCCAGTTATAATTCTTGAGGAATCAAGTGTCCTCTTTTCTCCTGGCTCAAATCAACGCCCGTCGTCTTGAGGTATACGTACTCATGTTCGTCATTGCCGCCTGTTCCGTGAATGAATCAGTCACGTTGTTGGGGCTGATCAAAGACGCCATATTAGTATACCTAGACTGACAGGTGTGTCACCTCCAGAACGGTTTCCGGTGATCCTGGCCTGAGCTGGTAAAGTCTCACTAGGCGTCAAAAGCTTATAGGCATACTCGTGGAAACATTTAATATTTCGAGTTCTCGCTTCTGTCTAGCGAAATCTTGTCACGTTCCAAGATGCAAGATGAATAAGTGTAGTTTCCTACTCGAATCTATCTAAGGGTACTCCATGCTTCAAATCCTATATTGCGCTTTTACTGTGATCGGTTGTGCATTGAGGGAGGTTCAACTGCAAGCTGACATCGCTACATATACACAATGCAGAACCACATATATTCTGGTTCTTCAACAAGCTCTGTCTAGGTTCGTGGCAGCGATGATATGTTGGAACGCTGAAGGCATACCATTTGAGCCAATATCATTGCTCACGATGAACACCGCAAGAGTGTCGAAGGTTGCTACAATTCACCTTGAGCACATCATCCAAGATAGTGCAAATCACACTCTCTACGATTCCATCCATTTCTTCCTTGATCATTACTCATATCGTAGCAACCACCACTAAGCGATAGCTGTATTGGAATAATTAGAAAGTATAATGATATCTGAGTATTTTTAGTATTCTCTTCAATATATTTCTGAAAACTTTTTATTATTATTTCTTAATAGGAATTTAAACTAGGTATTCATTTTTATTCCCAATCTCAATCTCAATCTCAATCTCAATCCCAACTATTAATTCCTCCTTATTCCTATTCTGAAAAAAAAAACCTTTTGATCACTTCTTCCCGCTTCTAATAATAAACGAGTTTCAATGAATCTATCCCTTTCTATCTTAAAGTAAGACCGGAGAAGAAGAGGGAAACTCAAAGACTACTGCTAGAATTAGTATTAATATGAGTATTAACATTGTCTGTCCTACCAATCTGAATCTCATAATCGAAGTCCATATGAACAATTCCCTATTATAGACATAGAAGTTGACTGGAGTCCAATATACAGAACAGATAAGATTAGCCAAATATGGAAGTAAATATAAGGAATAATTAGTGTTGAGGCAGAGGTATAGAGAATAAAACTGTAGAGCTTTGGAGGGAGTTTAATATGAACTTATAGTTGGAGCTGATCATTTTGATTTAATCATAAGTATAAGTGGGCATTTTTTGCATCATTTGGATCTTTTAGATAGTTTTATGATAATGTGTATATACTGCAAGGTATTGTGTTGAGTTGAATGATTATTCGGAGTATCTATTTTTGAAAGTTTAATAGTATAATAGTCTTATATTAAGATTCTAATCCATATGAGTATTGTGTTTGTGCAACTTCAATGTATAGGTGATACTTTTTTAATGTATATATTGAAGTCGAGGATTATAGTTAAATATCCCAGCAATGTTGAAGAAATTCCATGTCAAAAATTGAGGTTCAACAAAAGACAATCAATAATCATCCCAAGTACACAAGTAAAATCTTCATCACCCAAAAGCTATCCACACAAGCACAACACAATGCCCACAAAAATCAAATAATTAATAATATACCCTATAAAAAATACTCCGTAAGAAAATATACAAACCAAACCAAACCCGACAATGCACAACCCTCATTTCAACGAAAAAAATTCTTAAACCCCTCCACAAGCATCGTCCTATTCCTTCCCTTCCTCTGCTGCGCTTGTAACAAATCCCCCGCCACCTCCTCCCCACTAACATCATCATCCAACATCTTCAACAAATGCAGCATATTCTCCTTTCTCAATTCCTCTCCATGCGCCGCCGTCACAACCGGTAATGCTAATGAGCTTTTTCCCGACGGAGATTTTGAAACAGTAGAGCGCTTAGAAATCAAGGAATCGGCTAGCGATCCCTCACTATTTTTACTTTTAAAACTTGCAAGTCGTGCCATGATTGGACTACCGCTTGTGGAGCGCGCACCATTGGTACTGGCATTGCTTTCCTTCTCGTCGATAATAACTGCAAGGCGAGAGCTATGTCTTCCAGCACTTGTATCTTGCGATAGGGAGTGTTCGAGATCAGGTAATGGCATACTATCACTTGAATTATGACGAGCTTGGCGATTGAGAATCATTGGTCTCAGACTATCCATCTCGGTCGCTGTGTGGTCTTCGCTCTTATGGAGGCTAGCTATACTACCTGTACCCGAGCGTTTCGTAATGCTAGAAATACTCGCATGGCTAATTTTACGCATCATGGAAGACGCGGATGCGCGGACTGTGTGTTCTCTGTGGGGTTTGGAGCCCATGCCGGGATAGGGGATGATATCGCGCGTCCAGACATCTGCGAGGAGGGTTTCAAGACGCACGCGTTCGGTGCGTGGAGGAGCGAGGATTGTAGGGCGGTGTGGACCGGCTAGGGATTGGGATCTGTTAATTGAGAGTTGAGAGGCGGAACTGGAGATTGACGGTTCAGTTGTCGCGCTTGTGTTTCTTACGATGACGCTGCGGGGAATGGTGGTTTGTCCTTTCATTGTTGTTGCTCTGTGGATGGACTTGCGGCGAGCAATGGTGCCTATTTTGAGGTAGGTTAGTTGTCTTGTTGGAATTACTACGAGTGAGTGAAACATACCTGGTTTTCCATAGATTGTCCCCATTGGTTTGATATCAAGCGACAGAGATGCTGTCATTTCTTGTTGAACAGTGCTATCACATTGCTTGCCAGAACGATCAATAAGGCGGCTCTTCCACTCCAACTCCTCCTTTGCTGAGCATGCACTCATAATAATTTCGAAGAGTTGAGAAATATGCTCAAAGACTATTTTCCATGAATGAGGCGCCGTGTGGCATTGTAGACCTATCCCATATGTTAGAAACTATGCAGCACCGTAGTAAATCAGATAGCATCAAGCAAAAATATAATTGCCTACCTTTACCATTATCAACATCCTCCACACTGAGCTCACTGATCGGAATACAAGCTTGAACCGCATAAAACTCATCCTGATTCCCAGAAGGCTGGGCAAGAACGAAGAATTTCTCATACAAGAGAGCTATAAAATACTGTCCGGTGATATTGTGACCCGCAATAGTATCTTTCGTCTGCCAGCAAGCATGAAGCACACCACACAAATGATTCTGCTCCAGGGTACGAATCTTGTCGCGAGATCTACTTTCCGGCTGCATAACATTAGCAAGAAAGCGTGCGGTTGGATTTCAAAGGCGTACTTGACTTGTAAATACTAGATGGTCCTGCAAGAGCCATGTTCTCGACATGGTAGTTACTTTTTGATGATTGCCTGCCGCGGAATTCATCGTCTTGTGCAATTCTTTGATTCGGAAAAGAGTCGTCTCTACAGTGGTTGAGGATTCCGGGCAATCGCAGACGGGGCTTTGTTCTAGGAGACGCCCAAACAAAACCTCGTATCTAGCGATGCGATGGATCGGCTTCAATATCGTTAATATCGACCGCAAATTTTAGGGAGGTCAGATCCTAACCTTGATGAAATAATCCTCGAAAATTCTCCCTTTTTGTGAGCCACTCTTTCGATTATCCGTAGAGACGATCATTTCCTCAGTCGACCGGATTGCTTGATTAAAATCTTTCCACTCATCTGTTGTTCGATATGTTGTATGGATCTGCTTCATCACTTCCTTGTGCATAATGCCATATGATTCGTACAAGAACAAGCCTGGGATCTGCTTGTTATGTTTTAGTATATATACCATCAAACAAGGTGTAGAGTCGAACCTTTCCACAAAAGACCTTTGCAATCTCTCCCGCTACCTTCGGGTCACCAATGTGTCGGCCACGGCTATCAGTAGACTCTGAAGCAGGTACTTCTCCCAGGCTTTGCCATCGCTTATGTCCTTTAACTGGTGGATGACTTGGTAGATCAACCAAGACTACTCCAGAGAATTTATTGGTATTTGCCACAACTTTGACGAGTTCATTGTAGAGTTCGTTATTGTGGGTCCATATATCTTTGAGCGTGAGAGCAATGGACTTGCGTAAGCTCTGCGAGAGAATTGGAATCGCGAGTAAAAGACCATCGAAAACCTGGTAATGTGTCAGTAAAAGGCTCAAGTAGAGTGGGCTTCTTGTCGCATACACGTATGAGAGCCCGAATATCATCTAGATAAACCTTCTCGGTGGAAATAATTTCCTCGATGACACCTTGACGTTGCTCCATGCGTTTGAGAACATCCTTATCCATGATAAAGCCGCGTGACAAGCAATTTGCATTATCTTCGGATGCTCTTCCCTGTAGGATTGTATTAGCATTTGAATTGTCTCCTTTCGTATTTGAAGAGAAATTCTGGCATATTCGCAAGTTTGTGATAAGAAGAAGGATACTTACAGCGTACGATGCTCTACTGCTGTAATCGGTTCGCTGATGACGAGAAGAAACGCCAGTCCTTGAACGTGGTGCAATACTGAAGCTCGCAAGACTGGTACCTACACTCTTCATATTACTCACAAAACCGAAAGAGCTGCCCGATAAGGATTTTCTGTGGCCAGGTCGGCTTTCTGTTGTGTTGGGTCTTTCGAATATGCCCCCTTCAGTTCCATTCCTGGGCATATCACAACTGGTGGCTTTTCTATGTCCACCTCGTCGCTTGATGGTATGGAGCCATTTCTCGAAAGGGTTTGTTTGAATTGTATTAACCGGCTCTTGGGCCATAGGAGTCGGGCTGTCTAAGGAGAACCGGGCGTGACGAGCGGCTTTCTCATCTAAATCATGAATAACTTGTAAACCAACTTCAGCCAAGTTACGCATGCTGCTAGAAACTCTGCTTCCTAGACTGCTGTTTGTCGAAGACTTGTCTCGGCACCTGGTTGAAGGCATTGTAGTAACATGATTATCCGAATATTGATCGTCTGCGCCATCAAAAGAGAATTGAGCGCGTGTAGCAGCTTTTGCATCAAAGTCGTTAACAACTTGAAGCCCAATAGAAGCAACGTTACGCATGGTATTGGAGACTCTGCATCCAAAACTGTCTTCTTTGGCGGGTTTATCTTGATAGCTGGTGACTGGCATTGTAGTGATGTGTTCCTCCGTGGATTCATGATCCAGACTATCAAAAGGAAATTGAGCACGAGTAGCTGATTTTTCGTCTAAATGATGAACAACTTGTAGTCCCACAGTAGCCATGTTGCGTATGGTATTGGAGGTTTTGATTCCGAGACTGCTATCTATCGAAGGCTTCTCTTGGTAGCTAGGGGTTGGGGCTATATTGACCCCTCCATCCACACATTTATCTTTGGTGGATGAGTGACTAACTTCGGAACTGGTATCAAAGTAGCCACAGATCATTGGCTGCCTTGGATGCTCAGGCGTATTTGATTCCATTTTGATAGGCTTTTGTAGATCTATGTATGGACCGCCTGCGAGGTGAGGACTATTGGCGAGATTGGAGGCTCTTTGTCTGTTAAATATCAATTTCTTTGCTGGGATAGGTTCTTCGATGAAGTCCTCGACAGGATGCTCAATAAGTACACCTTCTTTGGTGAAGTAGCTGATTGTGTATCTGGTGCCAAAGGTGATGTGATCTTCTGGACAATATTCTTCTTCGTGGAGGGCCTTGAAAGAGGAATCAGCTGTACAATTTGCATACCAATTCTTTCCGAGTACTGGGACTTCCTCGCCGAATCTATCTTTGGTGCTGCTTGAGGGATTGAGAATGATTGCTCCGAGAAGCGCTGTATCTTTTGGGTTAGAGGTACGAATGCTATCCACTGTGTGAGCAGGATTAATTAACGCGTGAACAGCTCTATCCCCCGGTATAAAACTTTCCATAATATACGAGTGAACAAAATTGGATCAAAACTGAATCAAAAAGGAGCAAAAGCAAAGGGAGCAAGTGGAGCAAAATGTAGATACAAAATCGTTCCAATGGACCAAGAAGGATTTGCCAATGTGGAGTTGTGGAAGTTTTAAAGATGAATAGTAGAAATTTGCTTCAATATCTCAGTAAATACAAAGGGAAAGAATATCTCTTAGGATTCAAGTCAAGACGGGAAGGGTCGAGGGGTGTTTGTCCTACTCTGAATATAACCGAGGGGAGGCCCAAATGTAAGTCAAGTATGAAGTCAAATTCATTTTCCTCTAAAATAAAAACCTTAATCAAAACACTACATCAGGCCAAGAAATAGATAATTGAGAAAAAATCCAGGGCCAGAACGTTGACAAAAATAATTTGTCACTTCCTCGAGTATCATTTACAGTTTTTTGACAAAATCAATAACTTTCATCTAGGAGAATCTGCATGATTACACATAGGTTCTTTGGTATTCCTTGCATCAAGTTCTATATGATGAAGTTCACAATCTCACTAAGTATTATGTTATAATTGTCGCACCAAAACCTTTCGCCATTCGCTCAATTTGAATTTGGCTGATTGCAATGGTACGACGTTGGAAGTATCGATACATTCAGCGTTTCCTCTACCCACCGATCAGTTCTCACTTCTCAACAAATTTCACTCCTGCACTGTTATGAAACGCCTCTCATGAGAACCAACTTCCTTCGCAGACTCCTGGCTTGTGCCAAATTCGAGACCTTTCGTTTGGACCTCAAACTCTTCTTTACTAGCCACAAGTTCTGTGACTGGCAGCTAAATCATTATAGCCGTTCACCATGCCGCAAGGATCTCAAGGAACAGTCCCTTCCGAGAGATCTAAACGATTTACTATACTTCGACTACCGCTGCTGGATCTAACTCCGAAGCTGAGCCCCGACCATCGAAACACATCCTGCGGAGACAGTTCCTAGAACCACGAGCAACCACATCGCTGTTGTATAACGCAGCCACTGGCACACAGCCGGTCGGTGGAAGTGATGGCTCTTTGAGACACGTTCAGCAGCAATATCATGGCATATTCTTATATAATACACAAAGAAGGACAGAGCTTATGGTACAGCGTATGATAAGCGTTCCCAATTCAGTTCCAGGCCCCCATATGCAAGGACAAGACAGGAGGTGCTTAAGGATAAGGGGGAATAGATGAACACAGTGTTATTGTGTGTCTTCAGACTATTCATGATGAAGATAAAAGTTCTTTTGAATGGTACTGTGGTTCATCCATGGAATACAAAGTTCTAATACCTTCAAAATGAAGGAAGTTTCAATTGGCAAACTTGCCATCCTTTGTGGCCATATTACAATTAAAAATAACAGGTATTCGTGAAATGTATGTCAAAGCGATTCAATTCAAGTACATATGTAGACTATGATCACACTTGTGGTTCATCACTTTGATTGATGTGCTCAAAGACTTGGTTGACTGAATGAAGAAAACAACAATAATATTATGCGGAAGCTTGGAGATTTGGTAGGATTAGTCATCATTGCAACCTTACATTGGCATTGGATGGCCTGACTTTACCCCGCCATTTTTACACAAACGCGTCCATCATCGCAGCCTGATCTAATGTGGTTCACAAGGCTGAATGATTTCGCCTTGGAAAATAAATATCAAGCAGCAACTTAACAACAAGAAATGGGATTACCTTTAAAGATGGAAAATCTACATGCGCCTACAGTTCCCTCAGGCCCTACCTCTGGTCCAGCAGCAAATGGAATGCAAACGGATGGCCTCACATTTTCTCAACTCCAGGCTAAGAAAGACAATATAGAAGCTGAAATTAAAGCTTTGGGTGGTGTTCTCGACTCGGCAGGTTATATTTCGAGTCGCATAGGCTTCTGCTAACATTTGGCAGCATGGTGTGGATATGACTACGCGGCTTCTGACACCCGATGGTTTTCCCCGAGCAGATCTAGATGTTGCACAAAGTAAGGTATTCGAGCTCTAAAAGTGCCATCTAGACTAATTTCTCCTATAAAGTTAGAACCACTAGATCACGAATAATCCATCTCAAAAATGACTACAAAGCGCTTATGAGCGTTATCGAGAAGCATATCCATGAACATTTTGCGAGACTTGCCGAAGACCCAAAACCAGAGGAGCCCGTCGTCGGCGACGCGCAGGTCAGCGAGATTATAGCTTCTTTTGACGAGCCAGCACCCTTAGATTTACCATTCGCGAAAGTCAATAGTGTTGCAGCCGGTAGTCCTGCTGATGATGCAGGTTTAAAAGCCGGGGATAAAATCAGGAACTTTGGGTACGTCAATCATGCGAACCATGATGGCTTAAAGAGGGTTGCAGAATGTGTACAAGGAAATGAAGGTGTATGTTTTCTGAATCACTACAAGATACGCAAAAGCCTTACTGATCTCTACCCATAACAGCGCGTGGTTACCGTGAAAGTTTCCAGGGATTTAGGACGCCAAGAGTTACAATTAACTTTGACGCCACGAAGAAATTGGGGAGGTAGAGGTCTTTTGGGTTGTCATATTCTGCCATTGTAGTGCAAAATCGTGAATGCTATTCATGATATTGCAGGTGCTATTCCAGCGTAGGAGTTACAAGGCAGGCGTTTGGGTTCTGGTTGGATTGTAAAACGGAGCGAGTTTGGCCCAAATACTTTCCGTGCCAACGCATAAGGTTAATTTAGGCATCTTCGGGGGAATATTCATATAATACCTACTACCTAGCTACTAGCATAGCAAATCCTTTCTTGAGAAATGGGGTTTTATTTTGTCAAAGTCAAAGCTACATGGCTTGTTAGAGAAGCGCTACTGATGATGTAAGTGGTTGACCAGTAGCTTCTTGAAAAATATGCATTTGGAACCGCTTATAACCTTAGTCATATTCGATATATCGTACAAGTACTCCGTACAAGGAAGGGTGATACCTTTGTTCTGATGGATTTGATTCACAAAATGCTTTTAAATTCCACTAAACTCCACTGTTTGTTCCAAGGTTTTTGGGAGTGAATGAATTTAGGCGGCAGAATAATACGGAGATAATGTGACTCAACTTCTCGATTTTTCCATTTTTCGCTTACATAAAGTTCGCCCACCGCTTTATTCTCACTAAAGTTTTGGTCTTGTAGCAATCAAAACATTCTCACATTCTCACCATCCTTGAAGACCAAACCATACTCCACCACGTCCACGACGAATTTTCAAAGATAACAGGTACCCCTCGTCCTTTCCAGCTACGCCAGTCGTCGAGTTTATTTTCGCATCAAAAATTTCATTTGCGCTGACACATTTCATCAATAGTGTCGGCATCTGCGAGCTCTGTGCATTTAAACTTCTACCTAAGGAAAACATCAAGGAATCATGGCAGAACCTTCTGCTCCAGCAACACCAACCTTCAAGCTCGTGCTTGTCGGTGATGGAGGAACCGGAAAGGTAAGCAGATTGAGGTTGCGGATGATTTCATTGCCCTCGTCATTGTCGAGTTGGATGCCATAGTCGCGAGATTTGCGCCCTCGTCCCAACGGTATTGGCGAGCGATATCTCGAATTAAAGACTAACCATCAAATAGACCACTTTCGTCAAGCGCCATTTGACTGGTGAGTTCGAAAAGAAATATATTGCCACTCTCGGTGTCGAAGTCCACCCACTTGGGTTCACTACCGTATGTTGCGATTTCCCCACCACGATCCGAAGCAAAGTTTACTGACATCCGCAGAACTTGGGAAACATTCAATTCGATGTCTGGGATACTGCTGGACAAGAGAAGTTCGGAGGTCTTCGTGATGGATATTACATTAATGGTTTATGTGGTATCATCATGTTCGATGTTACTTCCCGTATCACATACAAGAACGTTCCTAACTGGCATCGTGAGTTTCTCCGATTTACTGTCCTAAACCGTCCTCGAGCTAAATATTTCTGAATAGGTGACTTGGTTCGTGTTTGCGAAAACATCCCTATTGTCCTTACCGGCAACAAGGTCGATGTTAAGGAACGAAAAGTAAAGGCCAAGACCATTACCTTCCACAGAAAGAAGAACCTCCAATACTACGACATTTCCGCCAAGTCAAACTACAACTTCGAGAAGCCTTTCTTGTGGTTGGCCCGCAAGCTCGTTGGTAACCCGACTTTGGTATGGATAGAACTCCTTCTCTGCTTAAAGTGACCTGGCTAACATGTACTAGGAATTTGTTGCTGCACCAGCCTTGGCACCACCAACTGCACAAGTCGATGAGGAGCTCTTGAAGGTTTACCACAAGGAGATGGAGGACGCCGCAGCTATGCCACTTCCAGATGAGGATGACAACGACTTGTAAACCGACCGCAATAATGTCCAGAGGACCTTCGATCATTTAGCAGTATCTTAGATCGTTCTTTTTCTCGGTAGTATTTGCATTTCTCCTGTCGATCGGTTTGCGGATAGAGGTGGATGGCGCCTCCGTCTTTCACTCGGGCAGGGCACATCACAGGCCAAGGGGTATGCTGGGGTGGATGGATTGGGAATTTTACGAGCGATGAACATCTTGAGATGGAATTAAAATTAATTCTCGAGATATTACTGCCATTGGCAGCTTATGTAGCTAGAAGCATAAAATGCCATTAGTTCTTTTGACAGACAGCCTTGCGAACTTAAAGCCTTGTAAGGGCCTTGTGTGGAATCATGTGCCTAAAATGTGATCGGACATGACCTCGGAATGTCACCGGAGGTATCTAGGTAGTTAGCAGCATCTCTCGGCCATATGCCAATTTCATATTTCATCTCTACTCAATTACCTTTGACTAAGCCAGAGACGGAAGCTCGGATTCAGATTTTTAAGTTCTTACTATTCCTCATCACACCGTTGCTTATCGTCAGCCTTAGGTTCTAATTTGTCCTACAGACATCTCCGAATCAGGATACACGAGCATTGCATTGATATTTCAGCCAACAAAACACCACGCCACGTTCTCACCACATACAAGCCTTGAATAGAAGCTGATAGGTCTGTCCATGCAGTATCAACTGTAGAACGAAAATGATAATTTCTGTTTCTCTTATCTATCGACCTTGGCACTTCCAATATCTATCATTGGATCTGCAACATGATGATGCCACCCTCGTATCTTCCACTCGATTCTATTGCGCAGGACGGTGATGAAGTCCCGCTGCTCATCAAGTGGAGTATGATGCAGGCCCGTTGCGTAGTAATGAAGAGCTAGAGCACATCAGGAAGGCCGTTAAGAAAACAACAATCTCGAGGCGTTTTGGAACACTTATAAATATCGATCACCTCGAAGCTATCCATAACATCTGTTGATGATATTCTCATTGATTATACTTTTCGTATATAGAAAATGATCTCCCGAATAACAGCAGGATTGGCATTGTTCACGTTGGTGAACGGTGCGAAAATCACTCAAAGGAACATACAAGCTAATCTGGTAGACCGAGGAGTTCCAGCAAACGCCACCGGGGTAAAAACTCTCGTTACACCTCAAAACATAACGATTCGTTATAAGGAGCCTGGAAAGGAAGGTGTATGTGAGACCACGCCTGGTGTGAATTCGTACTCTGGATATATCGACCTTGATGCGTACGTGAATCTTGGCACTTGACACTTTATAGGAATTGCAGTCACAGCATGCTAAGTGATTGCAGCAACTCACACACCTTCTTTTGGTTCTTCGAGGCCCGAAACGACCCTGCAAATGCACCAGTCACACTATGGCTGAACGGTGGACCAGGTTCCGATTCTATGATTGGTCTCTTTCAAGGTATGCAGCGATTCAGACAATTTCGTAAATACAAGCTGACATTTTCAGAGCTGGGCCCTTGCAATGTCACCGCAAACCTCACTACTGAGTTGAATCCTTATTCATTTAGCGAATATACAAATTTGTTGTTTCTTTCTCAACCTCTAGGCGTTGGATTTTCGTATGGATCAGAGGGTGTTGGAAGCCTGAATCCAGGCAAGTCGATCAATGCCACATCCATGAAGGTTGCTAATTTCAGTAACAGTCACTGGTATCTATGAAAACGCTTCCTATGCTGGGGCACAGGGAAGGTATCCTGTCATTAACGCGACAGCTCTTGATACTACAGACCTTGCAGCTGTGGCCGCTTGGCACGTGCTGTAAGAAATATCTCTTCTTAGCTGGTGACATGGAAACTAGCTGGCCATGCTTCAGTATTCCAGATATTTTCCTCTGTGTCTCTTTTATTCCATTGTATAAGTGGCATAGCTAATGCTTATTTTTTCTAGGCAAGGATTCCTGGGTGCTTTACCCCAACTCGACCCGGCTGTCAATCTTACCACGAAAAAGGAATTCAACCTATGGACGGAGTCTTATGGTGGTCACTATGGTCCCGCTTTTTACAAGTACTTCTATGACAGAAACCAGGAAATTGCAAATGGTACTATTGCAGGCGTCCACCTAGACTTCAACACTCTTGGTGTTGGCAATGGAATCATCGACGAATACATTCAGGCACCATTGTGAGTCAAATAAATAAGTAGTTATCTGAAATCACCAACATCTTCTAATCATGTGAAAAACTAGTTATCCTGAGTTTGCCGTAAACAACACATATGGCATCAAGGCTTATAATGACACAGGTATTAATGCCCAATGGAACATTTATTGTCCATACTAATTCATCAGTCTACAACTTTGCGAAATTTGCTCTGAATATGGGTAACGGCTGCCTTGACCAGATTAACTTGTGTCGCGCGACAAACTTGACGACGGCTGCGGATCAAGCAGTATGCACTGAAGCCGAGAATATCTGCAGAGATACAGTGGAAGGAGTCTACTATACGTTTGGAGGACGAGGAGCCTACGACATTCGACATCCTTATGGTTGGTTTTTTATTTCGCGCATTCTCAGTCCTTTTCCTTAGATTTCAAGAGCAACGATGTAGCTTTGCGCTAACAAAATTTTCCAGATGATCCAACTCCACCAACTTATTTTATGGATTTCCTAAACTTAGCTTCTACGCAGTCTGCTCTGGGTGTTAACCTAAATTACAGTGCGGATTCTAATTTGGAAGTTTACTATGCTTTCCAGCAGACTGGAGATTTTGTCTATCCGACTTTCTTGGAGGATCTAGAATACTTACTCGCAAACGACGTTCGAGTATCGTTATACTACGGTGATGCTGATTATATTTGCAATGTAAGTTTAGCCCGAAGGTTAAGAAATCCAAGTTAACACAGGTAGTGGTTCGGCGGAGAAGCCATTTCTTTGGCCGCGAATTACACTCACAGCGCTGAATTTGCGGCAGCAGGTTATGCTCCTTTCATAGTTGATGGAACAGAGTACGGAGAAGTGAGACAGTATGGGAACTTCAGTTTCTTGAGAGTCTACGAAGCAGGTAAGTCATATATTCCTATACCCCGTTCTCTGTTCACTTGCTAACTCGTATGAAAGGCCATGAAGTACCGTACTACCAGCCAACAGCAAGTTTAGAATTTTTCAGGCGTACATTACTCAACCTCGATATTGCGGATGGAAAATCGAGGCTTACTAGTAATTATTCAAGCTCAGGTATCGCTTCAGCCACCCATACTGAACCTTTTGTCGCTTTACCATCACCAACATCAGGTTATAGTACGGCAGCTGCTGGGCTACCTAACTGGCAAAGATAGAATCTCTTTCGAAAGTATAAATTGCCACTAAGGATCCTTGTATCGGGAAGTGCATGCAGGTCACGTGTCGACGATCAATTGCTTTTCATGAACTTACTCGAGTAAATACAAATCAATATATTACCAAGACTTCATGAAAACTTCATGGAAAATTGGCTGTGAAATATTCCCAAAATTTAATCTCTTAAACAAACAGATAAAATTGCGTGAAATGATTAAATTAAAATAATCATAAAATATGTCGTGATGATAACATCTGTTCTGGGGTAAGTGGAAATTTCTTAGATTCTTTAGATTCTCGCTTGCGTCGCGGTTCCCCAAACGCGTCAACCTCATGCATACAAATTCTCCTATCTCTAACTCCTTTTTACTCCCCATCCATTTTATTTGCACAGGAATTGGCTTTTTTGTTGCGGGGACTCATTTTCCGTTACCCTTTCTTCAATCATATATTCACTTGGTATGAATATTCGTTAATATGGACGATGCGACTCTACCCCCGATGCCTCCCCCCCTCCCTGAACCTCACACTCAAACTGACATTAACCCTCTACCTAAATCTATTGATCCTCAAATCCGACCTCAAATTGAACTCCAAGCCGAACCTGGACATGAACCATCTACCTGCTCAGATATTAACGAGGAAACGGAGCCAGCCAACTCTTCCCACGATTTCACCGCAACTGTTCCTCTGAAAGAAGAGATCCTTGATCATGAAGGGAAATTGGAGGGCGGGAAGCAGAAGAGGAAACGAACTAGGTATGCGGGATGAAATGGCGAGGCCTTCGACAGCCAATTGTCAAAAACCTCTGATCCAAACCCGGGATGCTTGCCCTATTATGTATAATAGCAGAGTTGTGTGCTGATAAGTCTGAATCTACAGCCCGGAAGACCAGGCATTCCTGGAAGCCGAATACAAGGAAAACCCGAAGCCGAATAAAGCAGCGCGTGCGGAAATCGTCAAGAGTGTTAGATTAAACGAGAAAGAGGTTCAGGTATGATTATTACTGAATTACTTCTGTACGTTATGACGAGACGCGTCTCGGCTGACTGGCGGATCTTTCTAGATATGGTTTCAAAATCGTCGCCAAATCAATCGAAGAAAGTCGCGCCCACTTCTCCCACATGAGATTGCAGCATTTGGCCTTGGTATAAATCCTCTGTCTTCTGATCCTGCATCCGCAGTCAGCTATAGTAGCAGCCAAGAAACAGAGGAGCAAAACGAATCTTTTCCGCCACACGAGCCCTTGGACATAGTCGATAACGAGGAAGAGACTATACATGCACGGGACGTTCAACCACTGCCGCCATGTGAAACTACTCCAACGATTAAACCTACGGAAACAATTGCGGAAAGGGCTGAAGATTTAAAATTGGAAATCAAGTCCATCACTCTTGTCTCAGAGACATCCACGAATGGAACTCGCTCTCAATCTGTTTCAGAAGCCTTGTCGCAGTCGTTTTCCGCTACACCTGGATATTTGGCCAATCGATGGAATAACGTGAAGCTGTCTTCAACCCCTGTCGCTGCTCAAAGTGTTATGTTCACAACTCCTGCCATGTAAATATTTCCATTTTAACCTGTCTATCGCCGATGAGCTACTGACAAATTGCCCCTAGTTCTCGACAAGTTTTCCCATCATCTTGTCCTGAGAGGATCACAACAGATACAACCCCTAAATCTCGTGTGCGTCTCTCGACTGGCCTCGATGGTAGAGCAGAATTAGTCGAAGGAGAAATCACCCCTCCCCGCCCGCATGCTGGACGGCCTACATCATCTTTGTCAAGTGTCATTCCGCTGAAGCGCATGCGGAGCTTACAACGTAGCCGCAGTGCTTTGCCTCTCGGATCTTCGTCTTTCGGTGGCGCTTTTATGCCTCGCTTACCAAGCGGTCGCTCGCGTGATGCAAGAACTTGGGAATTCTGCGCTGAAGGAGAACCTCGTGATGAGCTCACAACTCAGGCTGAAAATGAGTCCAATGGTTCAGCAATCGCGGCTATTAGTCTTATCCGCTCGACCAGTTGCGGTGCTTTGAAATCCAACCCTAGCAAACGAAATACGCCATCTCGACCGAATCCGCAAGGACAGAGGCCTAAGATGGGTCGTGCTTCATCAAGTGTTGCGAGAATGCAGAGTGGAGTCAAGAAACAGAGACAGCCTGCTAATGATAAAGATCCATCGATGAGATCTCCATCAGAGGACTCGGACAAGGAAAATTGGATACCACATCAAAACGGCGTTAACCCACGTCGACGACCTGCTCATATTAGGAAAGAGATTGAGATACAACCGAAAGGAATTCTCCAAGAAAATCTCAAGATTCCCACTCATGCAGACTTCGGCGTTAATGGAAATAAAAGAAGAAAGAGCGCACATGCTGAGGCTCACGTTTACGAGGATACAGAAACTAGAGTAGAGACCCCAAAAGTCCCTGATGATGATGTTACGCGTTTTATGCGAGGCTCGGCGAGCCCGAGTAAGAAGGATGATGTCGACTGTATACAAGGACTTCTATCACTGAGTCAAGGGAATTGGCGGTAATCAGGATCTGCGTGGTCAATGATATGAGAAATGAATGTAACGATGCGGCGCCATACCTGAGCTTGGTCGTTTGGGGTACTGGTCAATTTTTGGGAAAGGCAAATAAAATTGGTGTAACGGTGTGGTGTATGATTATTATTTTGGGTTTTCTAACATTGGGAAGATGCGAGAAATGTTGAGTTAATAGGGATAAATCTATAGTGCGAATTTACCTACTTGCGTAAGTAAGTGCTTTTGTTGATCGTTATTTTTGAAGCCTTGACAGAGGAACTGGGATGGCTTTTGACCTGTCGGCTGAGGTACTGTCATTTGTTTATTTTATGACGGTCATTGAGGGAATCCCCTTTTTGAATTAAGCGAATACAGCAGTTACACTTGTAATAAAACTACTATTATTTGATCATGTTCAGACACTAGTCATGTCATCGGCTATATTAAATATTCCCATGCCATTGCCTAAAGACCTTATGAATCGTTTCCAATTCACTACATATGGTGCAATAACTATTTTAATTCCCTTTTGATCTCTTTCTAATCTCATGCCAACCATCTATTTAACAACTACACAATGCCTTCCGACCAGCTTCAATTTATCAACACAAATTCTGGCATATTGGGTGCAACAAACAACGCTCTTGCTATGCCACACATTTCTGGGATGCAAGCACCACTGCAAGAACTTCGGGCACTGGATTCTTACATTGATGTTGATTTTGCTCAGCTTTTCGGTTCTTCTGTGTCTATCTCTGATGACAAATCTGAAATTAAATGGCCAATTGATAAGCCTAGGTCGCCTTTTGGTGACGGACATGAGATTAATTCTGATACATTCGTGGAGAATGAAGTTATTATTGATGATGAGGAAGAGATTGATCCTCTTACCATTATCAGAAAACCATATGTGCTGACACCAGAATCATCACTTTCCGGTTCCAGTTCTAGATCTAGCTCTACGTCTGCCAGTACGACTCCAAGTCTGAATATGGATAACGCAGCCCAAACTGTAGTCATCTCTAGCAGTGGACATAAAAAAGTCACATCTGACAGTACAATAGTTCCAGATATCGACGATCTTCAGCACCTACGGAAAAGAGATACCTGCAACCAGAGTGACAAAACTACCAGACCCAGCACCCCTCTCGCAAATCCAATAATCCACATTCCCACAACCCGCATTGAACTTCGAGCACTCTACGAAAAGTTCCCCGATATCTGTCCTAGCATTCCCGCTCCCCCACCCGCTTTCTTCAACAGAGTATTCAACCAGAAAACTTATCTCGAAAGCGTACGATCACCACCAACCTCACCGCGTAAATACGGCCAACCAGATTCCCATCGTCTCGCCGAATCTTTTGCTTCCAGAACACCTCTTCCCATAAAAGTAAACATGCATCCCAGAGTCATAAAAGAGAATCTGCGAGAATGGTACCAAATGGAAGGATTCATGGCCAAATGTCGACGCGACGAGGAACTAAACCCGTATCCACATTTAAATCTGAATTCGGGATGGAATCGCGCACGAGTACAGGGAGAACAATGGCATGATAATTTTAATCCGTGGCAGAAACCTAATAAGAAGATTCTGGACGTGGTACAGCTGCAGGAGCAATTTGCGAGGTTTTCGTGGAGCGCGCAGGTCGATGCGATTGTAGTTGATGGTTGGGTATTGAATGGAGTTTTTGGGAGGATTTTTGAGGGTGTGGATTCGGAGAGGGAGAGAATGGAGGGATGTGGTTTGAAGAGGGTCCCTGGGGCTTGGTGGGGGAGAAAGAAGAGGATTTTTTATGATATGATGGGGAGGGGGTTTAGGGAGGAGCTTTTCATTAGGAATTGTTTGATTTGGGATCGGGTGAAGGTTTGGGCTTCGGAGGGTATTGGTGGGGAATATGGGAAATTGAAGCGGAAAATTGATGTAGTAGAGGAAATGGCTATCGAAGCAAATGATGTGAAAGAGACGCAGATTCAGGAACCTCGCGCAAAGAAGCTCAAAAAACATCGACGAATCGCACAAGTAATGAGCGCAGCATGGCGCTCCAGGAGGCGAGATCAGGAAAAGAAAGCAGGGCGATGGACTGATGGGACTCCGTTGCAAAATCGCATGTGGTTGGAATTTCACTGGGTGTTGGATGCGCCGGATTATCATGATCGACGGTTTTTCGATACGAGAGATTGGCCCCGCGTTTTTGCCGAAAGGGGTTGGTCTGGTGTTACGAAGTATCGCGTTTGGACGGAGTTTTATCATGGTTGGGGTCCGTTGCAGAGTTGGTTGTTTAGGTATACGCTTGCGGTGCAGAGACAGTATAGGGTTTTTAGGGAGGGGCAGATACAGATACAGAGGGAGAGGGAGGGGGAGGGGAAGGGGAAGGGGCAGCTGAGGAGGCAGTTGGAGTGGGTGGGTGGGAACGGGGATGGGAATAGGGATGGGGTGGTGGATTCGAGGTATGGGTATGTTGGGTACTATGGATGAAATGACGGATTTGTGGTGACTGGATTGGGATATGATATTTTTGAGTTTATGGAGGATTTGAAATCTCCTGGGTAATTCGATGATTAGATTATGTCTGATCATTTGGGGCGTTGAAATATTATGGGATCTTCAATGTGCGGGGCCAATATACAAACAATCTTGAGTTTCTCATGAAGTAGACAATGGGGCGTTGGAAATGCGGAGTATTTTATAGTTTGGAACAGTTGAGGATTTGCGTGGTGTGAAATTTCAGGAGGGCTAACAGGTTCATCGGCTATTCGGTCTTCTTAATATATTACGTTGGTAGCAATTCGAATTCAAGGGAGTGCTTTAATGAATATTGTGGTAGAAATGTGGTGATGTTCGTGCACTCGAGTGAAATGTAGATATTGAGATATTGAGAAGAGCATTGTATGACTCCCCTTTGCTGGTTTAAAGTCATCTAGCAGCTATGAGATGAATTTTAAAATCTATATTCCATTAAACACATTGAATCAGCTCATTCTGTTATATATGAGTATGTTGTAATGATCTTCCTGTCACTACCGTCTTCACCCTGAGTAACGAACTTCTATATCCCGTTGATTTATTTATTATTATTGTATAACATTACCTATCCCGGGCATACTTTGATAAATACCTAATGCTTGATGGGGGTCTGTAGGGCGTATGGAATTTATGTCAATGCCATCTTCAATGAAGAAGTTGAGTGTTCAATGTTTGAAGGGATAAAAACGCAGGAGAAACTCATCCATGCTGGCGTCATGATCGTACTAAAGGTATTTTTTCCCCCTGGATTTAATAACTTTCAAAAAGTTTCTAGATGAAAAGTATTAGAAAATTCAGAACCTTGAAACCCGAAATACCTTCTCCATCTCTTGCACAAGCCAGACCACTGGATACTTATGATAATTATTTCCAATGGTGCTGGGTTCTAACTATGGGCAAGCAGAGGTATTTTTCGCCCTCTTTTCAGCACTTAAAGAAAACTTAAGTGTAATCCGGTGCTAAGAATATGGATGGCTTTGAATTTGTACACTACTAGTATGTGGAGATGTAGAACTCATTGATATGGCGAGCCCTGACCTAACATATAAATAACTGATCCAAATATACAGTATCGGGGCGCTCGGAAGATCCAGATTAATCCAATTCAAAGCCTGGTCACAAAGTTGACACCGTATCAATTTGTGACTCCGTGGCTAAAGTCAAGAGAGACACACAGATATCATAGTTTTTTCCCTTGGAAAACTCCAAACTCTGACTACATTACTTGGGACTGCATTCTTGGTTATACCGCTCAAACATTACTTTTAGTGAGCTAATAGTAGGAAGAATTAGGCGTCAATCATAGTGAGCCTTCCATAATAATAATTCTAAGAGATTTTTAGCTCTCTCAAGCCCTAGTTCTGGGGGACTTTTAAATGATTCGGAACTATGAGCTATAGTATCGAAATGAAATCACAAAAACCACGCCAGACATAGAATATCCTTCTGCATATAAAATATCTGACCACCGCCAATCAAGCAAACAAAGATGTCAGATTGCCAACACTTACAAAATAAAGAGCCAACAAAATGCACAAAGTTCTTGATGTCCTATAGGTATATATCGACAATCATTCTTAAAGCTACAAATCTGCTGATCAACTAAAGAAAAATTGCTGTTCTTCATCCTCATCCTCTCCTTTTGTGGTCATTTGATTTGAAGGTTGCCCGTACGCTGACCTCTATAAATGGACCTGACCATAACAAGAACTCAAACGTCCAAACCAAGATCACATCAAATACTCAATACAGTTGAACATCTAATACACGTGAAGTTTTAATGGGAACTAACCATTCCTCGCGTCTTGAATTCCCTTTCATACAAATGGAAATCAATCCAATATTCCCAATTTTACGATCATGACGCCTCACACGGGCCTGGGCAAATGATAGGGTAATTACTCTAGAGGTATAAAAACCCCCGGGTAGGGTACGCTTGCTCAGCCCTGGCCTCACATGCCTTGCTCGAAAACCTCATATCGTATTCCGAAACGATACTCTCCTATTATAAACACAAGTACTACACACAACAAAATCATCGCAGCTCGCATACGCATCAGAAAATAAAGCATTAAAGCTGGAAAGCAGTGAACGGACATAACACCGATGATTATAGATCTGCAGCAATGAAGTAGAAAGAAGGAAAGTGCTCAGGACCATAGAAATCGAGACCTTCCACTAGAAAGCTAGTTATACAGTAGAGCTGCTGCAGCTCTACTGTATAATAGGCGGTAAGAATCTAGAATCTAGTATTTAGTAACTAGCACCAAACCAAACCAAGATCATCTCTAGTAAGAACAATCAGAATCTTCTGCTAATCGATCAGCTTCCAGTTTCCAGTAGCCAGCTGAAGATTGAAAATTTCTGTTAGAATCATGTATATAGCGGGATTACTTGTATAGCTGCCATCGCCGTGCATGTAACAGCATATCTGCTAATTTCAAGATATAGAAAGAAGATTTCCTCTACTAGATTCTACTTTGGGAACTAGAATTCTCCGACCACCAGACCGTATCAATTTTTCCGAATCATCGTATTTAATTTAGAGTGGAGTTGTATTCCGGTTTAAAAGATTTCGGCTCGGCTCTGCTCTCAATTGCAAAACAAATAACGTAAAACGCCTCGCCTCGCCAAGAAAATATCCGATGGTTTTTCTGCACATACTAGGTAACCCTATGCTTATTCATCGCGTATGCATCGAAGTACGTACTATGTACTAAGTACCTACTAGCTAGGTATATACTTCGTATTGTAAGCGTATATCCCTATTGGCTTCTCATAACCTTAGCATTCATTCAGTCCGTATCAAAATCTTACATCGCATCGCCACAAACAACAACAGCTACTTATGTACGTATGTATGTATTAGCCGGGTATATCTATTGCGTCGATACGAAGAGAAGAACCATGTATACTACCTAGTATTTACTATTTATCCTTCGTATATGTATGATACCCCTCTCGAATAAGCGAATAAGGATTCCGATCTCGATAATGGAGTTTGTGGAGTATAAGAAGTACTAATACGCCGTTTTCCCATATTCCCATCCATAAATCCCAAGGTTCTCAGTGATAAAAACAAGAATCGAATAATCAATCTTCCAACATCTACCATCACACATCACACATCACACATCCAACGTCCACAATGATAATCCCCAATTTTCTTTCCCTCCTCCTCCTAAGCGTAACAGTAACACCAAGCACGAGCTCACCCCTCCCCGAATCCACACAATCCGTCACGCCACCACCAGAATGCGACGTAATTCCTACATGGGAAGTAACGAATTTTATCTGGTTCAACTCATCGCATAATCTAGATTGTGTGAACCAGGTTGATATTCGTGAGTATATATTTACTTATTTATCTCCCTACACCATCTACCATCAACCCTCCCCTCTTCCCAAACCCCTCACCACACCCTAACTGACCCCAACTAACCAACCCCCAACCCTAGCCAACGTCTGCGTAAACAGCACTCCCAACGGCCTCACAGGCTGCGACGGCAACCTCGGTCCTTGCACCGAATGCGGGCTCAACGCATGCCTCACGGGACTGCCCCTCCAACCAGCAGGCTACGGCCCACCAGATGACATAAAAATATCCATCAACACGCCACTAGAGTACACATCCTGCGAACAAACCAACCCGGCAGGATTCCGTCGGTACGATGTAGGAAACGGGATTGTGTTTTGCGCGGGGGTAGCGTATCGCGTTACATTTATCGGGGATAGTAATCCTAGTTCTGCTGGGAATGTGGGACGGATTGATTATGAGCCGAATTATCAGTGGGCTTGTACGAATGGGAGTGTGATTCAGGGGAGTGGGAGTGTGGAGTTTGAGATGGATTGTTCTTATGATTCGGGAAATAATGCAACTTGTGTTATTCCTGATGGGGAGAATGTTGTTATTCCGCTTTTGGCTTATCAGATCATTTAGACTAGACAGCTTTTATAGAACTGATTTTGCAATAGAAGGATAGAAAAAGGAGTCAATATCGCATCGAATAGATAGTCCAATGATCCAAAAATCCATGTACTGCATTGCGTTTCGAATTATTTCGGTGATTGACAGAGATGGTCACCAGCGATAGGCAGTGAACTACTGTAAAACCTTTCCAAATTTTCCTATGCTCCCTATGTATTAATGTATATATCTGTTATTAGAATATTATGAACTTAAAGATCAAAAAGCTGTCTAATATCCCTCATGGTATCATCTGGATTCTTCACGCTGTGACCAATTGTCCTCTTGTCCTCATAGATCTCAAAATCATTTCCTCCCTTATAAGTTTTATCTCCAAAGAAATGAATAGTCGTATACTCGATACCACCTGGGCGTTTCGCATCATTCTCAAGATGTTGAAGACAGTATGTCTTGTCCCAACCAGTAGGGAAGACATCGAAGGAAATTTGACCACCGATTGAGTAGCTGTATGCAAAATATTAGCCTGGTCCATCCTATGTATTCTAGAATCTCCAGTTAAACTCACGTCAAGTCCAAACCAGTGAACTTCTCTTTCAAAGCCTCGATAAACTTCTCTCTAATATGATGCTCCTTATCATAAACCTCATACTCATTTCTCTCCACAACACTAGCATTTCTGCCGATTGGACTAACATTGATCATGCCATTTCTGAATTCAATGAATGTTCCTCTCTTTACTGGAATATCCAAATCCGCCACATAATGCAAGATGAATTTAACCAACTCCTTGTATTGAGTCTCCCCGATCCATTTAATGAAGCTATTCGATTGAATGGGAACACCGCTCTTGAAAGCTGTGAGACCGTTTTCGGCGAAGCAGAAATCGAAGAGCGAAGTAACGGGTATCTCAGCTGTGCCGAGTTGTTCTTGTTGCTTGGCCATGTCGCTGCCACCTACATACCCGATGGCGCATTTTTGGCGGAGGGCAGCAAGAAGGGAGAGCATTTCAGCGGAAGCGGACTATGGTTTCAAAGTTAATTGAGACATAGCAAAGGATATAGAGAAGTTGGGAGTAACGTACCAACCGCGCAGGCGAGAGAGTTCCATCAACATCAAAGAGACAGATGGTGTTTTTGATGGGTCTCTCTGCGAGAGGGGGAAAGCTGGCAATGATTGCGTCTGTCATTTTGAAAAATGCTATTCTGGGGAACTGGGTAAGAAATGAACGAGAGGAATGATATTGAGGTTCTTAAGAAAGTTGACACTTTGGCGGTCTGGTTTATTTACCAGGGGGAACGAGGGGCATTATGTGGATGACAGGGATGAGCTGGCTAATGCGCTAACCTAGCGAGAACCACTGGGGCCCCCAATACGTATAACTGCAGGAGTATCTTACTTTATACTGACCTACATTCTTAGAATAATAGACATTTTGAATTAATAATATAACTTTACAACATCTATATTCTGCAAACATTTAAAAGATCTTCAACCACATGTTTATTACATCTAAGGCTTACTAACAGTCACAAGGTTACAATATCACATCATTAAATTAAACTCTATTAACTTAAACTTATAAAGTAAAACATCTATATATACTACCGCACGAAACAAAGGTAGACAGATTAGAACATAGAATTCAATAGAATAGCTACTCCAAAAGACATCTATACTCTTCCTCTCCTCTATTCAACCAATCACTTCACTCACCCACGCCCTTTTAAAAAAAAATAAAAAAAATAAAAAATCAGAACTCAAAACTCTATACGATAGATATACATTCAAAACTTCATAGTTTCTCCAAATATAACTTATCTAACTAAATAATCCATATATCAAATCATTAAAAGGTGAATATATATAGATACATATATACATACATCCAAAAAGCATTACTTGTTATTCCATCCAACTATCTAGTATAATATTTATTATTCAAGATACCTAGATAACCTTAGCTAACTAAAAATACAAAACCTCGCTTCTACCATTCCCAATAGCCAACAACGAACTCTCTCTTAAACTTAAATGCTTTCAAATCCATCGAATAATAAGATAGATAGATAGATAGATAATCCATTAAATATATCAAGAGTTAAATAAATTATGGCAAAGTATATCTCAACAAATACATTTCGTCGCTAATACCTCTCTCCCTCTCTTTCCCCACAGCGAATCAGTACATCCATCAATACATCCATCCTCCTCCTCATCTACCAAACTCCAGGCTCGGTATGATAACAGGACCATATTTAGTAGGAGGACTAAACCCTCCATCCCCTTGCACCACAAAATCAACCGCCAGACTTAACTTTGCCAATCCAGCATTTCCGCTGCGCATACTTCCATTTGCACTCATGCCTCCCATGATTGCATCCGGGTCAAAAGCTACAAATGCTACGTAGTTTCTTCTACCCATTAACTTCTTCATGTCTCGTGGTCCACCATTAGTGTCTGTTTGAAATATTTCCATCATATCTTCTTTGGTATCGCTGACGAGATTTGTGGTTTTGACGCCATTTTGAGGAACGTAAAGTGGTTTGTTGTTGTGAAGCATTTTAAGAACATATGATGGAGGTGGAGCGGCGACAACTGCAGATGCGATGATCTGATACATGGTTTTGTGGTTAGAGGGATGAGAAGGATCGTGGACAAGACCTGCGCCGCAACAGTTTACGTCTAGGGGAGAATCAGTAACTTGTAATACTTTGATAGATGCATAGACAACTTACCGCCAGATAAAAACGTCATCCTAATCCCTTTCTGATGGGCAATTCCTTGCAATGTCCGTATCAAATATGTTCGCTCCAAATCCTTACTCTCATGTGTCCACATATCTCTCAACTCATCCGCAATATCAATATCACCAAATGTATTCAGAACACCTCCCATCAACCCCGATTTCCCTACAGCCTTTTTGACATGGGAAAAACCAGTTGCCACGGCTTCTTTACCTCCCACCACTCCAGCCACAGAACTCGTGACTTTACCGAGTAAGTTGTATGTGCTATTAACCGCCTTCTTACCCGTGGCCATGGTATGTGCAAGACTTTCTACGGCTTCAAGTCGTGGATATATCAGAGGCACTGATATCATCCATATACAGTGCTGTACACTTGGAGGTAGAGTGGCTACTTTAGGGAGGATGCCTTGATAAGTAGGACCCGCGAGAACCTGGCGTTGAGTACGTTCTGATCGACAATCAGGACCTACCACAACGACTGAAGGTCCTAGATATTTAACAAAGTGCCAGCCAGTTCCCGTGATTGTAAATAAATCAATGTCTGTGCTAACATTTCGAAGAATGTCTACTGTAGTGTGGTGTTGGAATAGGAGATACATCTCAATACCAATACGACCGATGTTTCTGAACATATTGGAATTTTGCATATATTCTGGATAAGAGCCGTAACCATCAAAACTTCAAGGTATTAGTAAAAGTAAGGAAGGGCAACGGCGAAAACTTACATATCATGATCATCAATCTGTAGTATGTGAGGAATTTGAGCAAATGCCTCCCTCAAGTATGGCTGATCAAAATGACTGGTGTAATAATGGAAGTAAGCATGCGAGACTTCCTCCTCGTGCCTTGCTGTCCATGCTGCACTTCTTCTGTTCTCCTTGCCACTCATAGCAAGCCATTGCTTCAGCAGAGGGATATCCTTCCATAATCTATCACCATAAATTTGATCTCCTAATCCCAATTGCACATGGAATCCACCACACTCTACATTTTTTTGTAAAATGTCTTTCCACATAAACCCAATGCCGCCGAGTTTTGAACGCTCATTGACTGTAGTATTCATAGCAAAATCATTACCAGAATGTGCAATGAATCTCCAATTTGTCTCGAAACGTCCAGCTACCAGAAACTCATATCGCGTGCAGCCTAAATGCGAGGTTATAGCATAAGTCCATTTATCACCTAGACCCTCTCCCATCTTCAAATCTATATCATAACGGTAGAAGACCCATCTTCGATGTGTGTAAATCGGGTTTGGTCTGAGCTGTCTGGGATTTGGCGACAAATCAACACTTTGATGGATATGAATGGTTGGGGGTTGTGGAGCATCCGTTACAAGCATTATTGTACCCAGCCATATACCGTTCTCCATATCCATATTTACGTATCTTAGATAAGGACCAAAATATACTCCATTCGTGGGAACAACTTTATACATGTCGACTCCTGCACTAGGTGGTGGTCCAGAAAATCCAGCAGTAGTTGGCGTGCCTGACGCCATACTCATAATACTTTCCGCATAGCCAGGTGTGTGTGGAGGAAATCCAGGTGATGCCATTCCTTGAAAGCCAGGAGAAGCAAGAGATTGTTTACTGAACATACTTAAGCCTGGGGATGCCATGGGGTTGCCATATCCACCATAGGTCGACAGAACTGGCGAAAGCGGAACATCATTCAGTGGAGTAGGGCCCTTGGGGAACTCCCATTGAGTGGCTTGGGTGGGGAGATGAATATAATAATACTGACCAGAGTTCTGATCAAGATGGGCAATCCAGCCCTCTGGAAGTGGTGGTGGAGATGTTGGACCAACACCTTGAAATGGAGAAACATTGGCAGGCTGAGCCGAGGGGCCGGCTTGAGTGGGCTGCTGTGGAATATGTTCCTGTCTTGGCTCATTTGCAAATGCAGGGTGGTCAGGATTATTTGCAGGTGTCGCTAAAGGTGGTGCAATATTTGGTTTTGGGGTAGTGTCTATAGCAGCGGGGGGATTCGTCCGCTGTTGTTTCTCGGCCGGATATGCTCGGGAGTTGGCACCAGGAGTCACACTAGAATACGCTGGCGGAGGCTCTTCAGCTGACATTTGCATACGCTGGAAGTCTTGTTCTAAAGAGTTGACCGGTGGTGCTGAACCTTGTCTTTGCGGTCGAGTAACAGCAGGTGGAGAGGCCGATGGGGTAATCTCATTCAACCCTTGATACACTCTAGGTGGTCCATGCGGGGCATTTTCTGGAGACTCCGTTGGAGTCCATGGTCTTGCGGGAGGGGATTGGGGCATTTGTGGGACAGGTGGCGGCGCATATTGATTAGCACGCTGAGCAGCGGCTGCATTATGCGCCTGAAGGCTACTCAAAGTTGCAGCACCTGCAATTCCAGATGCAGCATATCGCGCCTCTATGCCGCCTCCCGCAAGCTCGGTTGGCGGCTCGATGGGAGTTTCTGGTGGGGGCGGGGATCCTCTGGTTGCTCTAGTCGTGGAGGTTGAAGCCGTGGAAGCGAATCTATTCATGTCATTTTTCGGAGTTGGTGATAGTATCGAAGGCGTCCCATTTGAAGACGTGGGTTTAGCGATGGGTGGCGGATAATAATGCCTGTTACCCTCTGAGTACGCACTTGCGCCAGCTTGAGGGATTTGTTCCTTTGGCGGTAGTCTGCCAAACATTCCATCTCTATCTGAGGAGCCTATTTCTGGGGAAGCAGGCAAAGGCTGCGGTGCATTCCCCCTTCTTTCAGATAGACCTGGGCCAGTCCTCTCTGTAGGGCTTGTGAATCGTGGTGCAGTATCATATGCGGCTGGCCTACCACTTCCTCCAGATGTTCTATTATCTTGATCGCTCAAGTCAATTCTCTGTGGGACTTTTCTTCGATCGTCAGGATAAGGAGGATTTGGTTTTTTCTGAAAGAGGTCATCGTCATCGTCGTCATCAGGATATGGTAAAGGGCTTGCGGAGCTCGAGGCACCTGGTGGTAAAGGAAATGTATGCTTGTTCGCAGGGGGTGGGGATGCAAATCGACTTGACGAGCTGGATGCCGCTCGATTTCGGGGAGGGCTTGTCGGCTTCACAATCCTCAAAGGTTCTATGGCTACCGTAGGACTATCACAACCGTCGCCGGGACGTTGCATGAATAACTCATCGCTGGGTTTCCCAGTACGCCTAGCCATCCTGTACAAAATAGAAAGGTTCCGGCAAATAAACTCGTTAATAGGGTGCAAAGTCTTCTTGATATGCTTTCTGTGTTCAAGAATCTGCTGAATAGATGGTTGAAATAATAAGAGCCAAGCTCTTTGCCGGCAGGGCGGCGGGGGTAAGTTGCGTCAGGTAATAAATAATAAATATCAAAGCTTGCGGCCACGAAAAAGGCCTGTAGGGCAGGAACAGATAAACGATAAGAAAGCCTGTCGCGAAGATTCAACGACCCGCTGGAGATATCTTCACAGCATGAAATGAGAAATGCAAAAGTTCCAAGATAGAAATGAGTGCGGAGTGACAAAATAAAGAAAAAGAGCCTACAAGCAGGGAAATCCGAACTTGGTGAACAAGTTTAACAGGTCCGAATATTGTATCGAAATGAGTGAATCTGAACAGATGACGAATAGGAAGGGCGGGGAGCAGTCAAACCCGCACAACCCAGCTTTACCCTGCAAACCCAGTAATGGTGGAGAATAAGGCAAACACCCTGGCACAAAGATGGGCGGCTACGAAGCCTGATGGGGGCTTTTTGAAGTGCGTAGATGGTAGTGTGATGATGGCCTTGATGGGGATGTCCATCTACCTATCAAAAGTAACAAGTAACATGTTGAAATACTTGCAAGTGTATCCGTCAGATTGGTATGATTGTATTGTGTGATTGTGATGTGATCCTAGATGCGACGTGGTGGTGTTGATGTGAAGGAAATATGAAGTATATAGGTATATATCGGTCTGGATGGTAAGAGAAAGATGCAAGTAGAGAGTTTATTCTGATTTGGTTGCCGCCCAAACCAATTCGTGAATGAACGAGTAGATGGTAATAATGCCAAGCATCAAACTTGATTCTTTTTCCTCCCGAGTCCCGAGATCATCTATGCGATTTGCTAACTGTGTACGGATCCAAAGTACATGTTATAAATGGGCATTGTGATCTGTATAAGGTTGTCTCGTTTTGAAGTTAGTGACAATGCTCGATGTACTACCCTCACCTACATTAGATATTAGTGTATCCTCGCTTTGCACGGCGGAGGTAGGGGACATAGTAAGGGAACAATAGGACAACTACTCCATCGTTTCAATGTACATTGATCATGATGAGCATATGAATGTTGATTCCGAAATAGTGCATCACAATTAGCTAGCTCATCACATACGACACGTTTAGCTCATCACATACGGCACGTTTAGCTCATACTTCTATAACGCTTCGAGGTTAGATACAACAATCACATTGTCTTTTAGGATAGGATTCTCCGAGTCAACATTCGAGTATTCGAGCATTCGAGTATTGCATTGTATTCAAGAATCATGAGAAGTCACAACCTATATCCACAGCCAAACCTTGATAATAAAGCTTTATAGACAATCTCATAGCCGTATTAACATGCATAAATATATCGAATGCAATATACTGCATGTGCATTAGAATCTAATGTAGATAAATATAAATATAAATACCAATAGATGTAACATTATCACAACTTGCATCTACTTTTCTACCGGTTCATTAAAACGCGTAAAATCCACTATACGCGAACGCGACCACGCGAATTTCTACGAGTGCATATCAATCAATAACGCGACCCATTGATTTTTACTCACCATTACAACTTCCTCAGCTCCTTCAACTTCAAGTAAAACTTTTGTAATCAAGCAAGAACATACTTGAATTGAGTTATAATTTTCTGCAGACATCTTCAATTATGCCTTCTATATTAGGAAAACGAACGAGGAGTACAACAGCAATAGCAGGTACGAATCATCCCCAGCTCCATTTCAAAAACTTTCTAACTTTCATTCTATAGATTTCAAAGTTCGATCAACACGTGCGAAACGTCAAACGGGAACAGAAATATACAATGATGAGAATGACAGTCCTTTCATCACCCGTAAGAGGCGCGATGAGGTCGACGACTCCGATGCCGATTCTATGGAAATTGATGAATTATCCGAACATATACCCGTCAAGCCCTCCCCCTCGAAGCATGGAGTCGCAGGCAGAAAAATTGCATTGCCGAGAAAAGTAACAGAAGAATCATCGAAGACGGCCCAACCTCCTACTCCTCAAACACCTCGACATCGAGATGCGCTCTCCAAAAAAGTACAGATAACTCCTCGACATCGTGTCACTGTCACTGGCAAGCCAATGACTCCTAGAACTCCTCGGACTCCTGTAACACCTGGCGGATCCATCGCGACAGTATATAGCCAGGCTCGCCAAATCTTCACACGCAGTTCGGAACCTGGACGACTTGTTGGTAGAGAAGCTGAAAAGGACGAATTGAAAACTTTTGTACAAAATTGTGTCGATAAAACGAATGGAGGATGTATATATGTTAGTGGCCCACCTGGAACTGGAAAGAGTGCTATGATCAACGAAGTTACGACGGAGTATGAAGAATCGAGCATATTACACAAGACGTATGTCAATTGTATGAGTATGAAAACGTCGAAGGATTTATATGGTATATTGTTGGAGTCTTACTGCGGCGAGGAAGAAGTTCTGGAGGGTGATGAAGAGAAGACTTTGCAAAATATGTTTGTTTCGAGGAAGAGGACTAAGGATGTTTACCTCATTACCCTGGATGAAATCGACCACATCCTTACTTTGGACCTGGAAATTTTATACAAACTGTTCGAATGGTCGTTACAAAAGTCATCGCGCCTCATTCTTATCGGTATTGCAAATGCATTAGATCTTACGGATCGTTTCCTACCCAGACTTAAGGCCAGAAATCTACAACCACAGCTACTACCGTTTCTTCCATATACAGCATCACAGATCAAAAATGTCATCATGACACGTCTTAAGTCACTTGTTCCCGCCGATAGCGCGACTCCAAATTTTGTTCCATTCCTCCACCCAGCAGCCATTGAGCTTTGCTCTCGAAAAGTGGCAAGTCAAACAGGAGATTTACGCAAAGCCTTCGATATCTGTCGAAGAGCAATCGATTTGGTTGAGACAGAAACTAAGCAGAAGCACGAGCAAGAACTAAAAGAACAAGTTCTACTCGATAGCCCTTCCAAACGAATTCTCGAAGACAACATCAATCTGTCCTCCATTCCAAGTACTCCTAGCAAAAATATCCTGCGTCCAAGAACCCTAGCCCAATCTCTCGCAACCCTCACTGTGGAGACTGCTCCCCGCGCAAGTATTTCTCACGTCAACAAAATCACAGCCTCCACATTCGGCAATGGATCCACCCAACGTTTGAAGACTCTCAATCTCCAACAAAAAGCCGCACTTTGCGCCCTCCTCGCCCTTGAATCCCGCAATCGTTCCCAATCCTCCAATCTCCTCGCAACACCCTCAAAATCTCACAATCTAGCCCCAACAATCAAACAATTGTATAACACATACAGCATGCTCTGTACCCGCGATGCAATCCTCCATCCATTAACTAGCACGGAATTTAGAGATGTGGTAGGAAGTCTAGAGACATTATCACTAGTTGCGGCAGTCGATGGAAAAAATGGATCATTCGTGATAAATGGAGTCCGAGCAAAAGGGAGACCGGGAAGAAAAGTCTTCGGAACGGGTGTGGGTGTGGGTGATGAGAAGAGAGTGGCTAGTTGTGTGGGTCAAAAGGAAGTTGCGGCTGCGGTGGAGGGATTGGGAGCAGGGATTTTGAAGAGTATTTTGAATGGTGACGGGTTGGATTAGTGCTCTTTTTGGTATACGTAGTGGTGGTGGTGGTGTGTCGTTGTTTACGTCTATTTTTATTGCATAGCGTTGCGAAGTTTGAGCGCTTTGTTTGGATGACTATGCTGTGTGTATGGCATGGTAGGTTAGGCTATGCTATGCTAGGCTATGATGAAGCATTTATTCGGAGTATTATATTATATTATTACATAGAGTGGTCGGTCGGTCGGTCTATGGTATCATGACAAAAATTCACGCATTGGGAAATTATGGATAATAACATGAAAGGAGTCCTACTTATTTGTGTAGATATAGGCACAGGTATAGGTATAGGAGTAGGATACACAATCAATAAATCAATAAATCATTCAATAAATCATTCATTCATTCATTCATTATAATAGAAACTCACAAACCACAAACCACAAACTGAGTGTCAGATTAGTTTGCCCATGTGATTGATTGCATGAGTTTTCTATAAGGTATTGTCTAATTGTCTTTCCTGACACATATACGTATGTACGTATTATCATTACCTACCTACCTACCTACCCACACCCCAAAGGTATCAAATCCCCTATTTCCCACCCTGCTCCCCAATAGCACCTGCACCCAGAGCTCCACTTCCACCTAGGCGCCCTTTCCTCACAACCCTCAACCCGGCCACTAAAAGAACCAAAGCCTCCACCCCCAAAACAACACCCAACGTAACCATCGCCCCAATCACACCCGCTATTGTCTTTGAAATCCCATTGTTCTTTTCCTCTCCATCTCCATTTCCATTCCCGTTTCCGGACCCCGAACTCGAGCTCGAACTCGAAGAAGAGGAAGCACAAACACCCCCAGATTCCCCACAAACATTACACCAATCCCCCAAATCCCCAACCGCGAACCGATTCATTTCCTCCACGAACTTCTCATACGGAATCACAAGTTCACTTTGGCCAAATAATGGATAAGCTACAGGGGGGTTCTCAGACGCGGGACCGTTTGCGAAGGAGAAGCGGACGGAGATGGAGGAGAGGGGGGGATAGGAAGATGAGGTGTTTGTGAGGGTGGCGTTGGTGAGGAGTTCGAAGACAATGGAGGAGGCGTAGGGGACTATTTGGGTGAAGGGTTCTGAGAGGTTGGAGAGGCCGGAGACGCCGAAGAAGGAGAGGAAGGTGGCGTAGGCGCCGAATTGGATGGTTAGGGGCGTGGTGGAGTGGGTTGTTAGGGTGGTGTTGAGGGATTGGAGACTAGTGGGGAAGGGGTGTTAGTTGGTGGGTTTGAGTTTGGGAATGATGGAGATTGAGTGATGTGGGTTGGGATGGAGAAATAATGGATATGGAATCTCATTTGATGATTTTAGGCGATTATGATGGATGGATGATAGACTTACATTTGACCTGCCAAAGTCGATCCCGCAATCGCACGAATTGGCTCTGAAGCATTATACGCAAGGTTAAACTCATGATCGCTGGCTAGAGTTTGCAATTGAGAAAGTGTCTCATTCGTAAGAAGATCATCTGAAGGAATAGACGAGTTATGAATAGTAGAGACGTGAACATAATCATAAACTAGTTTCGTTAACAATACGCACGCATCATATAAGATTGAAACATCTTACTCGTATAGGCGTTCTTAAAGGTATTCGTAGCAGAACTGAACGTAGTATTGACTACAGGCAGAATACCCTGATAGAAACTCTTGGTTGAATTCAAGAGCCTTGTATATTCATCCGAGTAAAAATAATTATTAGAGCTCGTAATAGCATTTCCACAACCACTTGAGCCTTGAAGCCATGTAGAACTCTCAGAATTAGCACTGCTGGAAGCAGTAGAAACAGCATTTACGGGGATGAGTTGAAAACCACCCAGAGGTGCTTCAACACTTGTGCCATTTGCAAGTGTTTGACTTCCCAACGTTGCACCCACAGGTGGATATAAACCTTGCAGGAATCCAGCAGCGGAATTTTGAAGGACATTATCGACTGGTGCTTGGACATTCAATTGAGAGGCCTTGGCTATGTCTGAACTGATTTTGTAGATAGGAGATGATGCGTTGGAATCGATGTAGCGGTTTCGATAGTAATTTCCTGAAGCATGTACTTGAGCATAACCAAGATCTGTGAGAGATACAGGCGGATAGCTTTTTGTCGTGCGATCTCCGTGACGATGGTAAATGTAAACACCTAAAACAGTTTCTGGGGTGGATTCTTGTCCTTGAATTAAGGGCAGAAGTGCAGAAATAAAAAGAGCTTGTTTGGCCAACATCTTGAAGGTTAATGTACTAAACGAAGACGATGGTCAATTAAGCTGACAGGCCAAGCCTGAATGAAAAGAGTATTTACAATACTTTAAAAAAAGAAAAGAAAGGAAGTAGAACAGGACGTTGAAAAGTTGAGTAACTTTTGGACAAATGCCATGTTATGTATATTAGCTGTTTCTACACGTATTAGCCGGGCCCTTGTTATCATACATACTTACCTTCCTTATCTTTCAAGCACATCTCCTCGCAGGATCTTTTGATGTACGGTGTAAGACTATCATCCGGAGATACATGGATATCTAGTAATCAAACAGCATCAAAAGGTGCGATCGATATCCCAGTTCCCCTTAGTCTTCCGAGCTAATTAACCAATCAATACGTGTACCTATGTCTAAATTCTCTAATTCTTGGAGGGGTTTTGAAAAAGAAGCTCCACTCCCACTCCCACTCCCACTCCCACTTCTCCCCTCACTAGAAAATTTGTAAGAATAGTTCCCCACCTAAGCAACCATCAAAGTTCCAGAATCCAGATGTTCCAGAGGATGTTGTAAGGTTAAATTCTTCTTCTTCTTTCAGGATCAAATTGGGGAAACTTGTCCAGTTAAGGTTAAATTTGTCAATCTCTCCAATGTCACAAATTGATATGATTGAAAACTATTCATCATTTTGCTACACATGAATACCACGGAGTCCGCCTACGCCTTTCGATCACAAGCGGGGTATCTACATGAACAGTTCGCCGATGCTATTAGAGTCATTGATCGATAGCTCTAATAGTTCCCGTTACCTTATATCAAGCTTGAAGAAGCGCCGATTGGTCGCGGTTAAAAGCTTTTAGAAAAAAAACTACTCGCGCTAGGTATTGTCCGACATGCAGAAATCTTAAGAGAGTTAGTTATATTATGTAATTTATCTAAAGACTGAATACCAGTCTCGTTGAAATATAAGAACATGTTCCCAGCAAAACCCCATGCCATGGATATCCTCCCTCGCAATACTTTGTTTAACGCCAAAATCATATGGTATCTCCCGCTCATGAAATTCCCTACAATGAAAACTCCAAACCCACCCCCATTACATAAACGCCTAGTAGTTAAACTAACAGACTGTTTTGTATACTCGTTTCCACTTTGGCCATGCTGCTTTTTCGGCTCGCTCTTCTGCTATCAGCGCTGGTAAATCTAAACCACGCATTCCAGTCTTTAAATCCATATCCACGGACCTCATGATAGAAGTTCTGTACCAAACCTTATATCCAACATAGAAAACAATTACGATGGGTGCCGCTAAGTAAGCTATGAAAAAGCTTCGACACTGCTGAAGTCCCGTCATTGCCTCGTAGCCTGTAGGCCATGCACCCGTCCAGAATTGTGCAATGAGAATAAGAACATTAAATACAAATCCAATCCAGGAGCCTATGACACCTGGCTGAGAACGAAATGCCAATTCGTCTAGACTATGACCTTGAAGTCTCCAAGCTCGTCGAAAACGGATGTGGGCGAGACAGATAGATCCCCAAGTAAAGATCGAAGAGAGTCCAGACAGTGCTAGCATCCAATCTAGAACAGTTCCTTGCGCACCAGAATCCGCTGCATATGCGAGAAACCCAAGCGCCGAAGATACGCAAATAGATACAATAGGACGTCCTTTACGATCGACATAAGCTAAAATCTTTGGGGCTTGTCCCTGGTCTGCTAATGCTGCAAGAGTCCGGGAGGACCCAAATATTGAGGAATTGCCGACGGATAATACAGCGATTAAAATAACCGCGTTCATAATAGAAGGGAGTACCGTTATTCCGGCATTCTGAATAGAAATAACAAAGGGACTTGCGGCAGCATTCGCACTACCAGCAGTGAGGAGTCTTTCGTCGGTATAAGGAACGAGTAGTCCAACGAGTGTAAGCGAGACGATATAGAATAGAGTGATACGCCAGAATACTTGTTTCACGGCCGTTGGCAGTGACTTTCTAGGGTTCTGTGTTTCGGCGGCAGCGAGGCCAACCAATTCAGTGCCAGCAAAAGCGAAAGCCGCTGTAACAAAAACACTACAAAGGCCTTTGAAGCCATTATTGAAAGCGCCTGGATTATGCCACAATTGACCAGCTACGTAACCTTCTTCAAGGCTACCACCACAGTTGAGGGTTATGGCTAAAAGACTATAAATGCGTCAGCTTTTCATTTTGGATTGCAACATAGCTCCTGATCTGAAAATTAAGAGGGGGAAATGTCCCAAGTATTCCTGAACTAGCGGGGGATGCGAATAGACAATAAACGTACATGTATCCAATAATAGCTACGACCTTGACAATAGCAAAGAAAAATTCTGCTTCTCCGTAACCTTTCACCCCGAACATGTTTATGCCGATGATTGTGAAGAGGAAAACCGTGACAAATATAGCGTGGTTATATCGCTGCGTCGTGTCCCAAAAATCGATTGTGATAGATGCCGCAATAATCTCCAATGGAAGAACAACAAGCCATTGCATAGCATAATTCTATTTGATATGAGTTAGTTTCCCATGCCAACCACCACATTAACTAGAATGCCTCATACCCAGCCCATGGCAAAACCCCACTAGTTAAAATGTTAATGAAAGTTACCCATTTAAACAGTGGTGACACAACTTACAGCCGGATCCAAAAATCGTGTCGAGTATGCCGAAAACGACCCCGAAACGGGGAAAAGAACAGCCATTTCACCCAAAGCATGCACCGTACAATATAACATAAGTCCAATGAGTGTAAAGCATATAATAAGAGATGCAGGCCCACCAGTTGCAAGAGATTTGCCGGATGCAACAAAAAGTCCGGTACCTGTCCACGAAGACGACTTAGTAATTGTTCATCCAGCTTCATGTCAAGTAACTAACCTATTGAGCCTCCAATTGCAATCATTTGCAGATGCCTCCCTTTCAATCTTCTCGCAAGGGGAGAGTTTGCCGTTGCTGCCGCCGCGATCTTGGCGTGAAACACTCTTCCATTTGCGCCAACGACACCGGGCGGCGTCATTGTGAGACTTGGATCTCTTCTGAAGCTGTCCACAAAGCGACGTCCAACACCATGTTTTATGTGCGTTATTTCTTCGTAACTTGGTTCTCCGCGACCGCTACTGTAATCCGGAGTTGTAGATTGATCCTTATCAGGATAGGGCGAACCTTTTTCAATATCGTTCATCCTGAAACTATTCATCTTGATGTATTCCTGAATTCGATGCTTATATGATCTGGGAAGCTTCGACGACCTGTACTAAGAATATCGCTGATCGGTCGGCGGATACCTCCTCGGAGGGAATCAATGAGGCTGAGTTGTTTCGAGTGATCAGGAGAGCAACTGTTGGATCTCTCAATTAGTCGCCTGCGGCTTAAGGGTCGTGCAAGTATAATCGGACATTTTTCGAGTGATATCCTACATCATAGATAATAGGATGAGTACGAAAGTCGTATAAAGATAGCTCGACGAGAGAGAAGACGTCAATAATTCTTAGCTGGAAGGCACAGTTATCTCGAAAATTTAAGGCTTATCTTTGCAGGATAATTGCTGGGTGTGATTGGATGTGTTGAGCTTGATCTGAATACGGGACGCTAGGGCTTATAGAGATTATCATGCCTGTAACGGGACGAACATCATCAAACTGCAAGATTGTCGCAAATATGGTGATTTAAAAATGGCATCAAATGGTCCCAGATGCTTCAGAAGCTGCATAGCATTGTGTTTGGTGTATCACCGTTGCCAAGTAGGGAAAATAGGGGTATAAGATCCTAACTTCTGGGCAAATCTTGGTGTGCGAGCTGTAAAATATTGTACAACGGCCCGTCACACCGTCCATAAATTGTTTGAACAGCTTCACTGTCGTCCATATTAGAAGATAATATTGAAAACCATGTGACGCTGCCTCCGAATATCTTCCTTGCATATAATGCTTCAAACGTCGTCTTTTTAGAATTTGTCGTTTGGATCACCGACTTGTCAAAGCTGCATCAATTGAAATGCGAACCATACGTCTGTGTACAATCTAGATTCAAGCGATCAGCATTCTTTGGTTCGGACTTTGCGCTACTTAGAGAAAATAGTGCATATAAGTGTTCAGCTACAATGTAGAAACTGAGTCAATCACCAGATGCAATTTCATTAATGAAACCAGATGTATACGTGTAAAATGTTGTATTTGAAGAAGGTACTTCGGATACGGCGGGAAGGTGCATTCAGCTAGCTCCTTTACTATTGGAATGTACGGGGGTAGATCCGAGTAGATCCGTACATAGAAAGTACAATAGTCTGACCACGAGTACAATATTCGAGGAGCAGGGTCTATTTTTAGATTGCCCCGACTCATCAACGCGGGTAATGACGAGGAAGCCATTTAATAGCCCACTATTTAGATCTGATAAAAATACAACGAATTTACATGATTATCATCCATCATATACAATTTTCCTTTTTCGACTTCACGTCCCAGCATCCTTCGCTTCCTGGATTTTAACCTCCTTCACTTCGGGCTTTTTCTCTGGTTCTGGTAGAATCTTGCCGTCCGGTCCCCTGGGCTTCCTCTTCCATCCGGTTGACAACAATGGACCCATCTTGAACCGCGGGAATGCATGTGCTTCTGTGTTAAGGACTATTTGGTCCAAAGGAAGGAGGTCATTTGGCGAGAAAAGAAGATAAAAGTATTTAAGAGTTTCAGCCTTGATGAGGTCAGCAAATTTGTTAATAACAACAACAAGCAAATTATACTTACAAGCCAGAAGCTTTCCATATTATCCTTGGTCTGTGGAGGCAGAACATCAGCATCAGAAAGACTCGTAAAGCCACCACCCTCTTCAACGGCTGTATGGTTCATAAAAGACCTAAACATCTCCCATCCCCATTCTCTGTACATCTCGTCTCCCGTTATTCTCCACATATAGAATAGTGTTTCGACAGTTTCCGGCCTCTGAAGATTGTGGTTATCACTCTTCTTTATAATAAAGTCTTTCCGCCACTCTTGATTTTCAGGGTCATCAAAATTCGAAGGTGCCTCGTGTGGTGCACTTTCCGGCAGAGGAGGGCTATCAATGTTGAAATGTGCAATTTCGGGAGCAAGCCCGGTTGCCATGACCTTGTACATTCCCCAGCAGGTATGCGTCAACTCTCTGGCAAGTTTCATCTCTTCATCCTTTTTCGCGCTCCAACTTGGTAGCTTACGTGCCTCAGCCTCCGCGATACCACCAGTAGCGCCCAAGGCAATCGTTCCACCCATGAAACATACCAAATGATCCATCTTTGGTGAAAGAGAGCCACTCAAACCTTCAGGTCTCTCTGCAAGAATGGTAAAGCGCGAAGGGCTAGAGTACGTGATGAGATGCTTGCGAACTCCCTTGAGTGCCTCGTCCCAAAGTTCTTCATAGATAGGCTCTTCTTTTGAAGTTTGAAGATACTGTTTGATCAAATACTCGTAATATGAATCGCCACGGCTGCCCAAGCGGATGTTTTTTCCACGGAAATTTCCAGTACTAGCGTATATGTAGATTGGCAAAAGTCCGTCCTCCATGCCATTATCATCAATTATTTTCATAACCTTCTCAGCCTTTTCCCAGTATTCAGTTTCTCCAGTGAGTTTGGTAAGATATTTCAGTTCCAATTGCAACGTGGCTGCCTCTGCTGTAGATGACGCTCCACCGTCGTCATGAGATGGTACACCTTTGTTGGTCTTAAGATTGACACTGGCGAATGGTATTCCAGAAGGAGATTCAAAAGCGCCAAGCAATCGGTCAGCTAAGTCCCTTGACTTTTCCAGATATAAATCCTCTCCCGAAGCTCCTTCATCGTCTTCGGTCAATGGAGCTAAGTGTGGATATTCCGTAGATAGATAATGGGCGGATAGAAGGCCCCCGAGCATACGGATCGTAGTTTCAAATGTATTAACTTCTTGGTCTTGATCGTAGTCCAGCGAGTTTGTAATCCATTCTCTTGCATGTTGCACTCTGCTTGTCAGATTCATTAATATCATCGTATCCAAAGCATCCACAATTATCCAACCCATTCCGTTCGGGGTCATTTGCTTCCCGTGCTTCGAGATTGGATGGAACTCATCATATCCCCATGCATATCGTTCATATGCATCCCAACTCAAAATAAAGGCCTCCTTGACCCTTTCCCTTCGGTCCAACCAATCAATTGCCTTGGCCGTCTTTTCAGGTCGCTGCAGCCATGTCCATCTGTCTTTCGATTTTTCTTTCGTCACGTCATTAGATCCGAAGAACCCTAAGAGGTATAACACAAAAACCACAAATGCAATGCCTCCGAAGACAATGCGCCGCCGCTTGTAAATAGGCAATGCCCTCCTAGAGGAGGCATATGAGTATGGCTTGTCTTTATACATCGGCAGATCCCTACTTTCACCAAGGAGGTTTCCAACCCGGTCTTGTATTCCACTAATTACTCCTCCACCTGTGTTTGCAGTCGATGATCTCGCGGTCATGCCAGAGGCCGCCCAAGCTCTGTTTTCCAAATTCCGCTGAGGGTCTGTAAAAGAGGGGACGTTCTTCGGTATTGAAAAAGTGGACATCTCTTCAACAGCTTGCTTCCCAGACTCAAAAGCTTGTTCGCCTACTTCTTTAACCCTCTGAGTAATGTTTGAAGCCGCTTGTGTCGCAGTGCCTCGAAGGATGTCGAATGCTGGGGAGCGGCGTAAATTAAACGGGTCGCGACTGTTCATGGAAACTTCAAAATCATTTCATTGCTGGAAGGAGCGACTTTAGAAAAAACAAAAGAATACGGAAATTTAAAATACTTGAAGCTTGTTAAGTGTCATCGAGAGATAGATATAGAGAACAGTACACGTAAGGCGTAGTACTTACCGAGCCTTGGATTTAATTACAGGCCTTCCTTTCAGCCCTGTAACCTCAACTTACTAGTACCGGGGAGGTAGACCTTGACATTTTGGAGCTTCAATTTTCCTTCAATGGACACAATCAAACACCACAGTATATCAGTTTAAGATTGATCGAAGGAATCAAAGTCCTGATGAATTAAATAATGATGTCTCGACTCCATATAGCATGATTGAATAATTATCGGGGTTATTCGTGTTCTTTGAATTTACCTATGGAATAGCTTTTAGTACGGAGTAGATACTACGGAGTACCTAGTAGGTATAGAAGAGCTACCCTTGACCCCTTTTTTTAATCAGGGGGTAACTAAGGAGAATAGCTACAACTTCATAGTCTAACAGCAACTACCGGATCCTCACATTTGCAGCCCATGCTTTTCTTCTTTTCGACTTCACGGTAATAGTAAAGCAGATCTACTTTTTTTCTGCATTTATGAAGAGTTTTTCGGACGGGTATATCAAATATTCATATACCTGCTATTAAAGAAGGCATTTGCATTTGGATCGATATTAGTTCTTGCGCTGGATAAACTCTTTCTACTGTAGCTAGTGCTAAGTCATCATGGCGGTATATCGCGACGAGTATCGTCAGTGGCCATTTCTCACGGAGGAAGAGTTCGAGCTTGCCTGTGCGTTCCTTGATCGAAGATATGTCAGAGCAGAATTAGGTCCCGCACGAAAGAATCTCAAGTTACGCATAGGACGAACTGCAACTACTGGGTCATGCTTTATTGAAATTATCCGATTACTTCAACCACCGAAGGATGATGATGATCTATTACTTGCCCTTAGCAATTTGAGTGGTGGTTACACTCCAAATCCTACTCCCAGCCCAGAGGTGGATATGATGGATGAGGATGAGGACGATGTTAGTGACTTTTCGTTCATGTTGATCATATATGAGTATCTGGATTTGTTGACAGAATACAGGAGGCACTAGATGTAAACAAATCATCTACGACGACTAGTGGCAATATTCCGAAATACAGTCTATATTCTCACCAGTCTTATGTTACTTACGAAATTCACCTACATCCCACTTATAGAATGCCAACACTATGGTTCATGCTCCATGACTTACCAATGGATGAGCCTGCATTTGATATAAATTGCGTCTATCGATATCTCGTACCAGAAGAGTATAAAAGTCAACTTCGTGCAATAGGAGTCATGGGTGGAATTTCTGCTGCTGTAAGTCCTGAAATTTGTCATGCCAACACATTTTAACCAAGTTCCAGCCGCATCCCATCACAGACGTACCAGCATTCTTCATTCATCCTTGCCAAACCAAAGAGGCCATGGAAAGTTTCGACTGTCCAGCAAATGATTATTTGATGGTGTGGCTCGGCTTAGTAGGCGGATGTGTAGGTCTATGGATGCCACACGAAATGGCCCAGGAAACTATAGAGACGAGCAATTGACATTTTAGTTTGCGAAGGCGTTGCATCTATTAGATATATAATTCTTAAATCCGAGACCTAACATAGATGTTAAGTCTCATTTTCTTTTTGCGAGTATTAAACAACAAAATAGTTGTACGAACGTAACACAAGAGACTAGGTATGTGCGTTTTTACTGTAAAAAGTCCCACAGACTATATCTGACATGTCATTACACGTCAATATACTTCACATGCGAATTGTATAGGAGCCGTAGCTGTTTAGATCCTTTTAAGCCGCTAAATCTGTGACCAAGACCAATACGCCTCAAATCCCCAACGCCTTGTTATGCAATACCATTTGTCGCTAATCATCATCACTCTCTTCCTCCATGGCAACATCTCCTTCACTATCTTCCTCCTCCTCTTCATCCCGGCGTCTCTTCTGTCCTGCAACACTTGCACTTGGGCTCGTTGCATCTTCCATAGCATGATCAGAGGCAGAAACTGGGACCTGAAGACTTGATGGTGGTGGTGGAGGGGGTAAGGTGGTTGTTGTGATAGCTGCGGAAGGCGGCGCATTAAAAATGCTTTGCTGCAATTCTGTGGCCGTCACAGCACCGGCTGCTGCAGAAGGCATACGGAAAGTACCATCCAATTTAGCAATAGTGTCTGACTTTGATTTGGCATATTGAATTTTCTAGTAAGCTAAAGGTCAGCCGTGATTATTTCAAGCAAACGAAGAATGAAGACGTGAAATTTCCAACTAACCATTTCACGACCAAGAAACTCAAATCCTTGTAATGCTCTCATAGCTTGAGTCGCGGTTTGAATATCTCTGTATACAATATGTGCTTGACCCCTCATCTTCATTGACTTAAGAGCTACGACATCAAGAACTGGCCCGTAAGTCGAGCATAATGTGTAAAGCTCTCTCCTCAAATCATCTTTTTGAATCTTTGACGAAGGTAGATTGGTGATGTAGAGTGTTTGATTTGGAGGGAACGATGTCCTCACTGAAGCTTTCACTGCGGTACTCATTCTGTAAATATTCAGAAGTCTGTCGCGTTGAATTGGAGCTTTGAGGTACAATATGTCAATATCATAAATTTCGAGAGTCCGTCTTTCGCAGCCTTGCGCTAGCTTGAAGTAGTTAGTCATCAGAGTTATACGGAGTACCCGCCCCACGTTAAGCAAGCATCTTTCGCCCATGCGGTAATGCCAACATAAGTAGCATAATCAATGTGATAGTAGAGAGCTCCTCCTATCAAGAAGTAACAAAATGTCTGGTCCAGAAGTTCATCACCTTTTCCATCATCCTATCGCGGATCATTCCTTCTCGGCCGATAGACAGACATTGGCTGTGGCACGCGACACTAGTGTTGAGCTTTACGGACGAGATGGTAAGGGATTCAAGCTCAAGGACGAATTGAAAGGTCATGACAAGACTGTCACAAGTGTCGATATTGCTCCTAAGAGTGGCAGAATTGTAACATGTTCTCAAGGTTTGTAAATATTTCGGTTTCCGGTTTGAACTTAACAATGCTAATATTATCGGGCTAGACCGTAACGCTTTGGTCTGGGAACCATCTCCCACTGGCTACAAACCGACTCTCGTTCTTCTTCGAATCAACCGCGCTGCCACTTTTGTTCGATGGTCTCCTTCCGAAACCAAGTTCGCCGTCGGGTCTGGTGCGAGAGTCATTGCTATCTGCTACTTCGAGGAGGAGAACGACTGGTGGGTCTCGAAACATATCAAGAAGCCTATTCGTAGCACAATCACAACTGTTGCATGGCATCCAAACTCTGTACTTCTAGCTGCAGGTTCTACCGATGCTCATGCGCGAGTTTTCTCGAGTTTCATCAAAGGAGTAGACGCTCGGCCGGAACCTGGTGTCTGGGGAGAACGTCTACCCTTTAACACCGTCTGTGGAGAATATCTCAACAACTCTGCTGGATGGGTTCATGCAGTTTCGTTTTCGCCGAGTGGTAATGCTCTGGCCTTCGCTGCACATGACAGCAGCATTACGGTCGTATATCCCAATGGCGCAGACCAACCTCCAAAGGCTGTTGTCAGTGTTAGCACACAGCTTCTGCCTTTCATGAGTTTGATCTGGAACGGCGAAGCTGAGATTATTGCGGCAGGTTATGATTGTGAGGCATTCCGATTTGGTGGTAACGAAGGAGGTTGGCAACTCACAGGCTCTTTGGAGTCAAAGGGGGGCCCAGTCAAAGATGTTGGGGAGGAGAGCGCTTTCAATATGTTCAAGCAAATGGATTTGAAGGGGAAAGTCAAGGACGATACACAATTGACAACTGTGCATCAAAATACCATTAGCACCATCCGTGTTTATGAAGGTTCGGAAACTGGTGTTAGCAAATTTACTAGTAAGTACTCTGATAATCTAGATCTTTGGAGAGAGGCTAATCTGTTTTAAGCGAGTGGTGTTGATGGAAGAATTGTCATTTGGAACGCATAGAATAGACTTGAATGGAAAAATAGAAGAGTCTCAGGTCTTTTTGTACAAAATTTCAGCAGGCAACTCCGTAGCTCTTTGCCGTTCCATGCTTTCCATGCAGAACTTTAGCTTATTAAATATTAAATTTCAAACATACCAGAGAATATCCCAGCTAAGTATGTTTCTTTCGAGAATCATTGCCTTTCTCTTCACAACTTCTGTCTCCTATAAGAACCGAACCCTGTTCCCTTACCTTGAGAAACTTTGTTAGTAGTTCATCTCCAGCTTCCGGAAGTACCATCTCCATCCTCATGAGAATCTCTCTTTGCGCCATGGAGTTTACCAATAATGAAATGGATTTATTACCTCACTCACGAAATTTTGGAGGCATTAGACATTGGTTTAATAACCCTGTGCACTTATCTGATCAAGCGATTCCTAATTCCAATATTTCGCTCGGTAGTCATATGGCATCGGCAATCGAAAACGTTGGTGCTGAAAGAAGCAAGCTCGCTCAAGGCGGAAACGGAGCATCTCAAAGTTATGTGTTGCACGAAACTTCTTCAAATATTGACACGATGAATGATCCTGATCCGGATTGTCTAATGACCACACCTGCCTCGAGCCGACATAATTCTCACTCCACATCAGACGCGAATTACTGTCAATGCCAAGGGGGTGCTCGCACGAGTGGCAGCCGCGCTGGGAATTCACGTGCTCCGCCCCTACGCCCTGTTTCTCGCAGCCACCTCCCTAGTATTGCTATGATGCTAAATAATCCTCCATTAAGCCACGCTTCCATACATCCCACAGGGAATTCCCCCATGCCGAAATCAAGATTTGACAATAGGATGTCCATTTCAAATGCTTCAGACAGTACAATCGTTCCGCCGATTTCAATGCCAGAGCAGCGCTACTTCCTTCTGAACACCCTCTATCAGATATGCCTAGATGCAACCACAACTTACATTCAGGCTCTCCCAAATCATTCTCGTACTGGCCTCCAGTATGAACGTCGTCGGTCGTACTCTAACAGATACCATCCATACCGAGGAAGGGGACAGGAAAGATTGTACAATGATGACGGCTCAAAAACTCTCATGGACAACATCGAAGTAATCAGCACATTTCTTTGGAGAAAAGCGAGAAGAGATGAGATGGCGCCTCATCGAGCTGAGTCAGATGCTGTTATGGACATGAAAAACCTTTACAAGTGGGGAGAAGATTTGGTCGATGGTCTGGAAGAAAGGGCAGGGAATGAAGAGGCGCGAACGGCTGTTTCGCATGCGGCGATGTCTTTGTGTGGCTGGTTGAGGGTAAGCGAGGCTTGTACTCTGTGTACAGAGGTGGAAGAGGAACTAAGGGATCTTACATATCTAGAAAGGGAGCGCGCGAGAGAGGCGGGCGATGGATTTGGTGATATTCTTTGAAGGTTCTGTATCCGGGACCATAACGAGGGTCCAACTACGTAGTTTTAACAATGTCGAATGCGGACAGTGGCTTCCCAAAATTTTCTTTTGTCTCTAGATCAGTGATTTATTTATGGCACTACTATAGGAGTGAAGTCGTGACATATATATTTTGTTAAGAATCATAATTCAGTCAAGAAGGAATCAATGGGTCGAGAGGATCGAGAGTGAACAGCTCATTACTCATGTTGTGGTCTAGATTAGATTTCTGTGCGCCACCTGCAAGATCTAATCTTATCTTAGATCTAGATGCATGCTCATATGACCGAAACGAACCCGAGTGATGGGATATGCACGACAAATTTCGCCATATTCGTTCCCTTGCAGATCTTCTACTTCCGCGGTACTAAGATGGTAAATAAGAGTATGAAATGTGCTGTGAAGCATTTTCTACCCTCTCTACGCCCTCCATGACTTGCAGTGATACCAATCAATCAATACAAGGTTACTCATCAAAGAAATATTTCATAAGACATGGCTACCATCAAGTCTGTAGCAATCATCGGCGCCGGACCTGCCGGCGCAATTGCGCTTGATGCTCTGGCGCAGGAGCAAGCATTTGATAAAATTCGACTCTTTGAGAGAAGGGAGAGAGCTGGAGGATGTTGGTTAGTACGTTATTTCTGAACAGACAGGACAATCACTCATTTCCCCCTCCAGGCTCGGAGATCCCAAGGATCACGTTCAACAATTACCAGACTTTGAGAAGATTGCTTCACGCAAGGCAGATGAGCCTCTCCCAATTCCATCCGAACTTCCCGCCATTCTTCCGCATAATACTCAATATCGATTTTCCGATACCTCGATATATCCTACATTGGAAACGAATATTGATGCATTCGCCATGTCATTTTCTCAAGAACCATTTCCGGAAACAAGATCTGCGGTCAATATTAAAAGACATGGTAATGATTCACCATTTCGCCACTGGAAGGTTGTGGAGAAATATATTCAAGATTTGGTGGATAGGAAAGGATATCCGGATCTGATATCGTATGACACCACTGTGGAGCTTGTGCATAAAGACCCACATACATCGAAATGGGTTTTGACTTTGCGCAAACCCCTTGAAAATGGAATTGAGGATAGATGGTGGACAGAGTCTTTCGATGCAGTGGTAGTAGCAGCGGGACACTATAACGTTCCGTTCATACCTTCAACCCCGGGTCTTTCTACCTTTTCTCAAAGCTTTCCTGGTAGGGTTCTTCATTCAAAAGCTTGGCGTGACCCAGAACCATATCAAGGAAAGCGTGTGGTAGTTGTTGGTGCCAGTATTTCCGGACCTGACATATCTTATGCTCTCGTTGATTATGTTGAGCGACCTCTTCATGCTGTTGTTCGGGGCAGATACCATCCTTACTTTTTCGACTATGCTTTCCAACATCCCAATATCCTTCGACGTCCGCCTATATCTCACATAACCTCAGATCCTGGCACAGATGAAAGAACAGTTCATTTTGAAGATGGAACTAAACTAGAAAAAGTAGACTATATTATATTCGGAACTGGATATTCCTGGACTCTTCCTTTCATTCCTAACCTCGATTCTGTGATCCGTAATAACCGTCTTCCGAACCTTTATCAACATATTTTCTGGCGCGAAGATCCTACCTTAACTTTCGTCGGTGCTGTGGGTGCAGGATTCACATTCAAGGTTTTTGAATGGCAGGCTGTACTAGCAGCACGATTTTTAGCTGGACGCATCACCCTTCCTTCTACTGAAGAGCAAAAGAAATGGGAAGACGATAGAATAGCACTGAAAGGAGACGGAGTACAATTCACGGCTCTATACCCGGATTTCGAGGAGTATTTTGAGACCATAAGGGAGATGGCCGGCGAACCAAAAGACGGTAAAGGTAGAAGTTTACCGAAATTTCAGAAGTGGTGGAGAGAAGGATTTGATACGGGACACCTGAAACGAATAGATATGTGGAAAAGGGGAAACGAAGAAGCTAAACGCAGAATCGAGAGAGAGAAGCAGCCAAATGTGGTGTCGCCAGTATTACGGGTGAGCAATTTGTAAATTTTTGTATTATTTATCTAAATATACAGAGGATTATGGTTTAGTTAACGATTCTCGTGTTATTGATGCTTGGTTGTAAGATATTGAGGTCGGTTCTTCGGGATAGTTGTAGGTGAGCAAAAGGCAAGTTGTTGCTGTGCTTTTAAATGGTCCGTGTTTACTCTTCCTCATCTTCCTTTTCTTGTCTTTCTTGCTCTTCTTGCTCTTTTCGCTCCTCTTCCTTGTCTTGTTCATCCTGTTCATCCTGTTCATCCTGTTCATCCTGTTCATCCTGTTCATCCTGTTCATCCTGTTCATCCTGTTCATCCTGTTCATCCTGTTCATCCTGTTCATCCTGTTCATCCTGTTCATCCTGTTCATCTTGTTCATCCTGTTCATCCTGTTCGTCTTGCTCCTCTTGCATCATCTCAAGAAACTCCTGAGCACTTTCCACATCAAAGACAGGCTCCTCATAATCATACCAAATAAACTTTTCTTTGGGTGGGTCATATTCACTTAAACCTTTCATGTTGTGGATACTTGGATATGTTTTCGCGAGTCGAAAGGCTATACCGTTAACTTTCATGAATTGTATAGCATAGACATTCCTGATGATATGCCAACCGCCTCTATCACCGCCGAATCTGAGGTAGAAAGGCCAGAGTTCTTCAATACCGCTGATTTCAATGTAGAAACCATTGAGGCGGTGCGTCTCAGTCTTCGGAATTCGCATGCTCCACTGCCATAATCCCTTGCAGTATACAAAACTATCTGTCAGATTCTGTGGGCTAAGAGGATCATCATCTGCCCGGACTCCGGTGCATATCTTTACCTTGACTCTCAATTTGTTAAGGGTTTGGAAATTTTTTAACTCCTCTATGACACCCAAAACGTGAGAGAGTCTTGAACCAGAAAAGATCTCGAAGTCAAGAACCAGACTTTGAATAAAATACCAAAGCGGTTCGATTCTAATACAAAATTGGGCCATAATTGTCGGGTGGGTGAACCGAAAGGCCTTAAGTTTGTATAAGAGTGCTCCACCCACAATCTCGAGATACGCGTGGCGACAAATCACGAGAAGATTGAACATCTGCGCTCGAAAGTTAGGATGCACTGCGTCAAAGAATTTTGCTCGCTTAAGAGCTGCGTAGACTTGACCGCTATAATGCTTACGCTCGATCAAATGCTGATCCCGTTTGAATTGCCGCTCAGACCTCGCAATCGTCACGGGGCGTCTACCGCAAGCTGAATAGGTTAGCATCCGTGGCATCTCATATTGTGGCATATTGCAGACGGAAGGGAGCACATACGCAGGTTCTGAATACAAAATTCCCAGATCCTGAGACGTACTTCAGGCGGCAGGTCCATGAGTAAACATTCTGTTTTCTGTGGACGGATAGAGTTGGCCCAAGTCTGAGACTGGATAAAGTCAGTTTCAGGAGAAATTTTACTGCGATTTCGAAATTACTTACATTGATGTCGATTCGCTCGTTCACGAGTCTGCAGTGTTTTCCTTGTACCTTCATGGTTTGTCTAGCCTGCAAAAATAAAAATTTAGTATGGGACTAAGTGGTCACGACTTGCTGCTAGGAACTTGAGTAAAAGCGTTGGCTTACTGCAGCAGCGTTGAAACCCTTTGCCATTAGGTGATTCTTCAGCGAGGCTCCAGGCATATTCTTAGGACTGGCCTTTTTCCCTTTACGCCTTTGAATTTTGCCTTTTCCCATGGTCAATAACCAGCAGTGAATGGCCGGAGGAATGAGCTGAATATTGTTTGTTCTGAGATGTTCAGGAGAGTTTGTCTTGGATGCAGATCATAAAGTGTTTGGTTGTTTATTTCAGAGAGTTGGTGATAAGTCAAAGGCTTATATGCTATCTGTGTGGTATATAAAGTCCCTTGTTGTATATAAATGTTCGGTTATCCAAAATAGATATTCACTATGACCAGAATTCGCCAATTATCTGTCGCTACACCTACCACTATTGCCTTACGAAAAATACCCAAAAGAAAATTCATTCCCATCATGACACGTACTGCAAATCGAAAGTGATGTAGCTTGTAATGTTTTACTGGAACGATACCCGAATCTGAGGTGAATTTGAATACATCATCTTTCTGACAAGCAAACTTTCCTTCTCAGTCTTTCCATGTTGCATTATCAATACATCAGACACCACAACATAACGCTCAGATAGTTCTTATATTACCTGTGGGAAGATTTCAATAATGAATTATGGTGTGGCTTTAAAGCCTTGGAATCCAAAACTTTTGCTCTTTTTCTCCCCTCTTGTTTTCTCCTTCATTACTCCTTTTCAATTTGAAGAAGGCCTATACTTCCCAGATACCCTCTTCAAGCATAAATGTTTATTGGATCTAGATCATTCAATTATGTGACACTTTGAAGAATAAAAAAAGGGGATATATGATATTTTAAAGGTATTAAGAATCGAGAAACTCCGCGATGGTATCTTATTCGCAGGCTCTAAAACATGAACAATTTCAAACTACAGACCCGTGGGCAATAAATGGATGATAAGATGTTACACATACGTATGTCCACATGATAAATTATTCACATGATCGCGCTCTTCTGCATACCACCATCTTTTCAATCCGATCAAAAACAAATTGTTGCACATCTCATTTTTGCCTTCGACCGCCGTGGCTTTTCCGTTCATATATCCCATCACATCAAGCCGCATACATAGACTTCTGCTGCGTTGACATAACCGCAACAACCCCATAAACCCATCAAATAAGATCACATAACTCCGACACCTCGTCAGGAATACCCAAGCGAGAAGTCTAGACCACCTTGAAATCTTGCATCGTTTCCCTGCCACCTACGAAAAAGTGCCATTGGTTGGATATACTCCGTTTGTAAGTACAAGACGATGTATTATTGAAAATGTTCCAGATCGTACGATATGCAACAGATGAGTGAAATGTTGATGGTTATTGCTTGGGCGTATGCAAGTATGCGGCGGATAGGTGCAGGTTGGTGTAACGCGTGATAATTGGTTGGTAGTTGCTACCGTGAGAAGTCATTTATCGGATTCGTGTAGAGGGGCATGAATTCGTTGAGATTTTCGGCGGTTGCAAAATAAAGTTAAGGAAAATGTTATATGCGGCGGCTGCGTTTCCGAGCTGCTGCTTCGATTTTCGGAAGAAATTGCCAGTGTAACTCAGCATCTTACCTATAGTGGTCGTAGATAAGTCGATATGATGCGTTATCATAGTTGATTCTCGCTCACGACGACCCTTGAAGTACATTCCAATTAATCTCTCTTACAAGCCAGTATATCTTTGTCTATTGTTTATCATCCTTTTGACTTTTTCCTCGTGACGGCGCAATTTGTCAAACCCATATCATACCAACATAAGACCAACATCACAGTTGCTCACACAACATAGATATAAATATGTTCTTGTTTCGTCATGTATGTTCGTCCAGTCGCGAAAGGAAAGCGCCATAGATACTCCAAATCTACCTCGCCAACCTTCGAGCCACTAGGTATTACCATCCTGTGAACTGCTATTCCTTTATACTGAGTAACAAATGGGTTTTGAAGCAACATAATCTTACAATTATATCCAATGCATCCATACTTATAAGAACTCCTAGTTTTACTAGCACAAGCATCTATGATATTCCTCCATCCTTTACCAAAGTATTCAAAGCCTTTCCTTGCAAAGACCTCCAAATGGACTTGCAGCTATTTATGCCATTACAAAAAATCACCACATATAGATATGGTAAAACCATCATCTATACCGTCTGCGGATGATCGTGATCATACTCGTTAGTCTAAAATCAAACCCAGATAACCAATGCGGGCGGCCCTTTACACAAGACACACATTACGCTTGAGGTCAAACAGTCTTAAGATAAACACAGCCAATGGATTTCGCAGCACCTACGCTTATCACTGGATTCATCTATATTGTGGAGGAGAGATGTTAGGAGGGTGGCGGGGATGTGACGGGGGAGGGGAATAGAGCATTAGTGTGGTTAAGGGGAGCGAGGGGTGTGTATCAACTTGTGGATTCGTATGACTTGTCCTTGGTGTACTTTAGGAAGAGGATGTTATAGGTTTACTTTATCTGCATGGAGTTTCCAGCAGCGCGAGTACTATTTTGCCGAAATCACCAAATTAACCTTTTGAAGGCTCATCGACTGACTGGCCTGGGAAGGAATACGAATTTTCTCTCTGCTCATGCTCGATTCGCCACTAAAATAGATCCTTTGAGACTTGAAATTATGACAATATGACTTAAATTTCGGAGCTGCAATTAGATTGTGTATAGCTATATAGCTATAGCTATAAATTTAAGCCTATTTTGCATTAAAAAACGAAAACACCGTACCAATCAAGTCAAAAAGTCAAGCGACCAACAATTCACCACTAGCGAAGAAGTTAAATACATCCATCACTTGCCAATAGAATGTATTCCGATGTTTCCACCCGAGGTTCGTCAGCCTCCATTTAACTCTTATACGCCAACGCATACCTCATCTTGAAATATTCCCCCGCCGTAATTGGTTCATACTTCTTCTCTTCTCCATCCTTTACACACTCCCCAAGAACTTCTATAACCTTATCTGCATCCGGACCACAAAAATATGGAATAGAATAACGCGCTTGCGTGATCTTCTCTCCTTCATCTGTAATCGTATAGCGAGTACTTAATGGAGGGAGTTGTACGCGATGAAGTGTTGATTTGAGATCATCTGTATTTTGTTAACATGACAGATATTCACACAACATGATCTGGAAAGAAAAAAGAGGGAAAATACCATTTGTCCACCTCATCAATAAATCCCCTACATTCATCACAATAGCATCTTTAAGCGGATGGGCCCTGATAAATTCACCAGGTTTTTTAGGATGTTCGATTTCTAATCCTCCACATTCGTCTTGGAATACTAGGGTGATACTTCCGAAGTCACTATGTGCTGGCATTCTGGCTGCAATTCCTTTTTCGATTTCAGAAGCGGGAATAGGAGGATAATGGAGAAGTCGTAGTTGATTACCATTTCCGGAATGAAAATCTGCAAGGAAGGAGGGATTATGGAGTTCTAGTCCTGTGCCGAGAGCTAAGAGGATTTGCTGTTCGGTAGAGGAGAGACGGTGGTAGAAGGATTGCATGAAGGAGTGGAAGTTTGGGAGAGTGGATTCGGGAAGCCAGATGTTGGGCTGCTCGGGGTTTTTTTCAGAACCAATTTCGTAACTTTCCTGTGATGATATTGTTTTGTTAGTTCATTTATGGTCCAATGGAAAACAATTCAATTAGGTTCCACTTCATCCAATCACTACTAAACGCGATATTGAAAAGGAAGATCGGATAATAAGATAAAGTCTTAAACAAACCCACCTTACAATCCCTTACGTCTCTCAACTTTTCCCCCAATTTAACATCATCACTAATAACCTGATAAACCTTCTCCAATCCCGGATACGAATAACCTCTATGAACACATGGACCCGGTGGATGTTCAGCTTGCATTTTTTCCTCATGTGAAAGATCGAATAGTTCTTTCGTCATTGCGAAAGCTTCTTCCAGTAATGAAGATGGGATATCATGATTAATGATGTATACGAAACCGACGTGACGACAGGCCTCGACGAGCGCTTTGGCGGTTTCGAGACGAGAAGTCTGGGAGGTGGGGTGTAGAAATGGAGAGAAGTCGATGATGGGGATTGGGGAGGTGGGATCGGATGTCATGTTGAGAATTTGATGTGAGGATGTATTTTGAATCGACGTGGAATTCAAATGGTTATAGCTGTCGAAATGATCAATATTCAATGTTGACTCGAGATGGTAGATCGTGATGAGGTTCAATTTATAATCTTCCTGCATGTATTAAGCGATTTTTGATATTACGAACCGGGTCCTCGCAATACTGGTATAAGCGTGAGCGACTGACAACACTGTGTCACCACACTAGTATATCCTAAAAGTCGTCAGTTTGATGAACCAATATACATTGAGCATTCTTCAATTTTTCCATGCCAAAAATTGGAGAACATGTGAAAGACTGACAAATGAAACAATTGGCAACATTGAAACAGGTTTTCGTTGCTCCGCCGAAAATAAATGAGGGGTCAAGCTTAAGGTTGCATTACTTTGATCACTGGATGAGGTGAGTGTGCATATACTTATTCAGCACTGTGAAACCTCGGAATATGCTAGCTGATGTGATTTGATGAAGATTGTTACTCAGACTTGATGTTGATCTACGGTACACAGTTACCTTCCGTACAGAAAAATTGTCAACTTCGGTAATTGTTGAGCAAGATGCGCCTGCCTTTTTTGTAACACTTAATTCATCTCTCATACTCTGGTAAAAGGGGAAGTCTCGTGGCGAGGTATCGTTGTCTGCTATTCCATATTATTTCAATATGAGTCTCAATTCGGAGCTTTAGTCATCCTAATAGCTCTAATCACAAATTTTCCTCGCTCACATATAGCGGAGTACACGCAAGTCGAGTTCCCGACCCCAATTTGAAAGGCTTGGTCGGATGCAGTCCCATCCACCTCACAGTTTTCGGTCGGTGGCAAGATATATGTCCGCATATCATCAATATAGGTTTGGTACAGTGACTCCTAAAAAGAATTCCCCACCACAGAGAGTGCCCTTTTGAAGATGGAACCGATCTAATGCCTACAACACCATCAATCGGAAACACTTATATGGTTCTGTAAACTTTTAGCAGCCTTCAGTCTCAAGTATAGCTGGGAAGAGCGATTGAATATTGCGAATCGAGTGTGACATTCTGCATTTTAGTTACTATACTCGACCTGGCTTGGATTTTGTCTCCACGCGCACCGGTATCCGAACCTTTTTTTTTTTCTTAGACGGAAGGAGATAGAAGATATGTCCTTTCTTCAATTGCTATGAATGGATGAAATTCTATTAAAAATGTGCTCAACAACAAGCTTATTCCGACAAAATAGATATCCTCATGGAGCACAACTCTAGATAAAAATGAAACCCCCTTAGCGAAAGATCCTGTGGCTTCTTGTGATACAAGGGATTCATGTGAAAAATAAATGAATTGTTCCTGCTCTGCTCATATCACCATCTCCTAGAATCGGAAGCTATAGAAGAGAAAAGGTGAGAGGGAAGTTATTGAGTAATATGGAGAACTAAAAGGGATACAGTCGAAACATGAATGAAAACAATCTCATGAGGACAGGATGAGACTTCTCGAATAGTAAAAGGAGATTAGAGAATAGCCATGCAAACAAGGAAAAAAGCACTTGCACGTAGGAAAGAGAAAGGAACAAGAGTCTTCTCTGTTGAACGATATTAACCTCAACATTCCGAAAAAGAATGGAAGATAATCAAGATAGTTTGCTACTAAATACACAAACGGGTAGTATCAAACTCTGATCTCTGAATCGACTTCTTTTCTCTTGTCTCATGACCTCGTTTTCCATTCATATCATTCTCCTAATATAGCTATAGCCAAAGCCCAACAACGAGGCAACTGCCAATCCCGCCACAAGCGCTCTGGGCCTGAAAATTTCCATAGACAGCCTCACTTGCATAGAACCTGCACCCCAGGAGCGTGGGGGTTATCCTGCCTTGCAAGTGCAGTGTATCGTTCGCATGAGACTATTCCCAATAAACCGCTCCTCTTCCACGCTTCAACCAATATTTTAGCCGCAGCAACATGTATTTATGAATATATAACAATAAAATAAGAGACATTCGTTCATTTAAAAAGAAATACGGAATTAAAAGCACGGTCTACATTCCTTTGATAATAATAGCATGCAATACATGCCTGGCGGGAGGTTATAGTTTGCAGAAAAAGTAAACCAAAGCATGGACCGCGATGTATTTAAAAATCACTCCACTCGTCTCCTCGCTTACTGCATCGCTTCAATGCCTTTCTAGAACCCTTCCAAAAGGATCCACAAAAGATCCATAATTCCAGATTCAAAATCATCTGAGACCCATCGAAAGCGGAGCATGTACCTTGCTAGTTCTTAGTAAATTTTAGCTTTCACAATTTCAAACTTAAAGATAACGGAGACCGATGAAAGAAATTCCACCGCTTAATTGGTCAATGTACATGTCAAGGCTTTTTGTCATGCGTGTTTCTATTGGGTAGTTTCAACGACGATAAGACTAAGGAGTGCACTAGATCTTTTCGGAAGCTTATCTTGATAAGAAGATTGTTAGTTATTTGTTGATAATTTGAAGAGGTCAAAGACTCTGAGGTGAGAGAGGGGAAGGCTTGGAAAGAGAAATTGATGTTTAGGAGCCCCAGAAGAAGTGAATACGTCATGTATGAGTGAGTAATACTTTTGGCTTTGAAACAGGGACTTTTATGAAATATCTTGGTATGTTGGCAGCGTGAAGCAAAACAGATAGATCTCGCCAGTCAATGAATGAAAATAAACGAGAATGAAGGGGTAATTGAAAGATACTCATCATGCTGTATAACCATTACATTGAGGATTGTCCAGGAGGAAGAGAGCAAGGAGAAGAAATGCAAGATGTACAAAGAAAAGTCTTCCATTCATGAGCAAGAAAAATCACTTTCATCATACATATCTGTAAGCTGATGTACCCTTTCCATGCAGCAGAGAAACCCCAAATTACCAACCAGGAGGATAGGTACCATTTTTGCAGGCGCCACAGCGGGGAATAGACAAGCATGTTGACGACAAACTGGGGAGAGGAAAGGGGTGTGAGTGTGGGTGAAAGCGAAATCGGAGTAAGACTGAAGATTGACCTGGATGCTTCGTATGAATGATGGTGACCAGCTGAGACGGAATCCTATTCTATGGATGATAAAAAAAGAAAGGAAGAAGCCATTTCGATACTCACGCGAGGATCTTACTTTTATAAGTGTGATATTGGGCTCTAATATCAATCCCCAATCAGCCAGTCAAAAGCTTCAAGTCTTGCCAGATCAGATAACCAATCCTCCATTCAAATCCCATGACTCTGGTTCTTCCAAATATCAAAAGTTCAAAACGTCCATCCGTAGTTCATCCCGCTTGCATACTTTTCGAGGATATCTGTACAGACCCGCTGAGATACATACCTAAGCTACTAAAATATTCAATTCTCGTTACATGTACCCCATAATCCAAGGGCTGAGAGACGATGTGCAATTTCACCAATGGGTAAAATCGGGAGGTAGAGATTTTTGGTCTGGAAATAATTCCGATTTTCCGTGGAGATTTGTCTGCTGGATTTTTGTGAACAGTCAGTCATTCGCAAGTGCTAAAGTGCTGGATTAGATGGAAATAGAAATAGCCTCATTTTGCACGTATGACAATACAACCCAGTAGTTCTTGACGAAACATGTAAGCCTCGAGTACCTATCTTTCAGCCATGTTCGTGGGATGTGTATCTTCGTGCAACTTAATCTGACACTTGCGATCTCGGGCTTGATTTGATTTGACATCCTGCAGTCTCTGGCAGGAAATCTGTGCATGAAATCGCATAGCAATTTTTCGAAATTTGGAGGATAGATTTTGGATCATTGACCAATGATGCATGATAACGTACCTTTAGATGTCATTCATGTCACAAACATCTACTCGTCTCAGTACCTTCATATCTCTTGGCTTGTCGTGGCTTGTCGTACGGAAATCGAATCTGGAGCCGTTAATTTTCCCGACTGTTTTTTTTTTGATTGCATGGCTAGCTTTGGATAAATTGGAATTGAGGTCCACCCACACGAATATACCACGTCGAATCGTAGAACCCAGTTACATGGGTAAAACCTGACTGGTTGAATTCTCGGCCTGTCGATCTAAAATGATCTACTTGGTGTTCTTACAGACCTCATCTGCATGTGCGGAGTGCCTAAGCACGCATAAAGGAAGAAGAAAAAGATTTATGTATTTAGTAGACGAAGCAACCGACAAATAGACCCTTTTAGTATCAATACATCAATATGAGATGAGATTGGTATGTATATTCGGTCTCTGGGCAGGATGTGTGATCATCTCATCTCCTGGGAGAAGAAAACCACGGTATCCCTATCCATGACACTGAGGGCTGGGTATTGTATTTTCTTGAAGATGCTTGTCTGGCATATTCCTCTTTATGTGTGGGTATTATAATTATAAAGTTCATAATTGCCAATTGCTATGCGGATGTTCCGTTTTTTAAAAGCGGTAGCTCCACCGTCTTGGTAGAAAAGTACTAAAGGAAAGAACGGTCCCGATTTCTAACGATGCTTCTGGTTTCCTTATGTGAGATTTATTTTCTCTAATCATCAGAATTTTGTTTATTGGTTTTGTTACTGTTATTGTCTGTTTATTTCCAAAGTGGCTTTGCACTTCAAAATCATTTTGGAAAATTAATCTTGGATTTTTATTACTACCTACCTACCTACTTGTTAGTTTCGAAAGAAATTCACCTCTCCTAACAACCTACTATCCGCATTCGGTAGCAGGACAAGACAGCATAACATCGACAGTTCTAAAACCACCAATTATTCTCAGTTGTAACCAGGACAGCCGCTTCATCACTCAGATATTTATCGTATTATACTGATTTTTCTAAATCACCCACTTTTACCCTGGTGCAGCGAAGGAAGAACTCTACGTCACTCCTGAAGGCATTCCCTGTTCAAAACCTCGATACAAAGGAAGTCTGAAGGGAAAACGCCGGTAGGAAGGTCAATTGCAGGAAAATTCGAATTTCGATAACGATGTCAACCGAAGCATATTATCCTAACTATGGCTATGTTGGAGCTCCTGCAAACTACAATGGTACTGGGCCCAATGGTGGCGACAGTGGTATGTTTTTATCTCTTTTTCGAATCTTCAAGTACCAAAGTGTACCCCATTATGTGTACATTCCGCATACCTCTCTTATCTCGCTCAAATCAACCACCTCAATTCATAGGCGTTTCATGATACAGAGAACCAGAAACTAACATCTACTCTCCAAAATCAGCCGTCATAAATCTAAACCAATGGTTCGACGCAGGCGACCAAGCTTTTATCATTGTAGCATCATGTATGGTTCTACTCATGCCCCCCGGTCTGGGCTTTCTATACTCCGGTCTTGCAAGACGAAAGTCGGCACTCTCAATGATATGGGCCTGTATGGGCGCCTTTTCCATAATAGTCTTCCAATGGTATTTTTGGGGTTATTCTCTGGCTTTTAGTTCGACGGCTACGAATGGGTTTATTGGAAATTTAAAACATTTTGGTTTGATGAACACTTTGGGCACGCCAAGTCCAGGAAGTCCGCTGATCCCAGAGTTGTTGTACAGTTTTTATCAGGTATGTACTTTTTTTGGTCTTGGATTTGAAGGGTGAGGGAATAGCATGGATGGCTAATGCTTGGGGTTTAGTTACAATTCTGCGCAACAACCGCCGCAATTGTCGTAGGAGCTGTCGCTGAAAGAGGTCGTTTGGTTCCTATGATGGTATTCATATTCTTCTGGGCTACTATAGTCTACTGTCCCGTCGCTTGCTGGGTCTGGAATATCAATGGCTGGGGATTCAAATATGGTGTTCTCGATTATGCGGGTGGTGGACCTGTCGAAATTGTTTCGGGCATGTCCGCGCTTGCATATTCAATGGTGTTGGGCAAGAGACAGGAAAAGATGATGTTGAATTTCAGACCGCATAATGTGTCATTGATTACCTTGGGTACAATTTTACTGTGGTTTGGATGGTTGGGATTTAATGGAGGAAGTGCTTTTGGAGCGAACTTGAGAGCTGTGATGGCTTGTTGGAATTCCTGCTTGGCCGCTATGTTTGGAAGTATTACTTGGTGTTTGTTGGATTGGAGGCTTGCGAGAAAATGGTCAGTTTTTCTTCCGTTAATTCCAAAATTTGCACTACTAATATAAAATAGGTCCATGGTAGGTTGGTGTTCGGGCTGTATCTCTGGTCTTGTAGCTGCCACACCCACATCCGGATTTATTCCTCCCTGGGCTTCTGTCATTCTCGGCATCGTCACCGGTATCGTCTGCAATTACAGCACCAAAATTAAGTTTTGGATCCGTATCGACGATTCCATGGATGTGTTAGCTGAGCACGGAATGGCCGGTGTCGTTGGACTAATTTTTAACGCTTTGTTTGCGGCAGACTATGTAATTGGACTTGACGGGGTCAACACCGGTATCATCACAGGCGGCTGGCTCAACCACAACTACAAGCAACTCTACATTCAAATCGCCTACATCGTTGCCTGCACCGCCTATTCTTTCGTCGTCTCCGCCATCCTCGCTATCATCATTAACTATATTCCTGGTCTACATCTCCGCGCCTCAGAAGAAGCCGAACTCCTCGGTATGGATGACGATCAACTTGGTGAATTCGCATACGATTACGTAGAAGTAAGACGAGACTACCTCGCCTGGACACCTGCGAAAGACGAACCAGAAAACGTGGAGAGTAACGTTAACCCCGAAGATCGTCATGGCATTCCAGAACACTCAGATATGCTAACCAACCCCTCCGACATGATTACGGGCCACGCGCCAGGAAGTGGACGAAATAGTGGAAGTGAAGGCGGACATGCGCACAACATGATTATGGGAGATAGACATGGAATTGCAGCGATGGATAAAGAGAAGGCTGCAATGGCAAGAGAAGGATAAATTAGATGGCCGGCTTTAAGGGATAATTTTGGGAGGTTTTGATGAAATTCTTTGGATACTATTTTATTGCGAGGAGTTGAGTGAGGGACACTTTGTTTACGAGATATCTAATTTCTTTATACGTTTATGTTTATGCTTTTTAGAATGACGATTGGGATTAGGTTTTGAAGGTCATCAAAAATGAAGGGTTTTGGTGGGTGGCATATCTGATTCAAAATGTCCGAATGAAAAAGGAAAGGAAAGTGTGGTGGGCATTTATTGTATATAGAATGATGTAAGAGGGATGTGTGTAACTACTGATGAATGAGGAGATGAGATAAATATATTATCGGACTACAAAAGTGAGCTTTGTATCATGCATTTGTATGTTCATTAGTGTGTCTATGGGAGCTCAAAGGAGGGAAGAGATAAATGAAATTATGTATGTATGCATAGGCCAATAATTCACCATATTAATATGAACCTGCAAGCAAGCTCGAAGTCCAGACTCTCATCATTTTCAAACTAAAAACCTGAATATTCTCAGAATCTCGAACGGACAACACCGTCAACGACGTCAGTTTTAACTAACATGCTTCTCCACCATGACATCACATATCATATCATATCATATATCACAAAGCGTATTTATTCTCCGAGTCGACATCCGGGGTGCATATACTATAGATATGTATAGAGTGTGATGTGATGTGATGTGATGTGATGTGATGTGATGGGGGCCTTCATTGCGGATATCGAGGATGATGTGCATGGAATGGGAGGATGGGTAAGGGTAAGGGTATGGGTATGGGTAAGAACAAGGGTGAGTAGACTGTAAAGATAAGAATTCAGGGTATGAGGGGAGCAAGAATGGGAGGATGATAGAGGGAGATTGTTGTGGCATATATGGAGGTGTATGCATGCTTATCAGTTGGATGCATAGGCCTGGTACTTTTCTGCGCACGGACTCGGGGATTTTGTTCGAATGGCCATGGGGTTGTTACCTGTTACCTGTTGGGATTCTGGAATTTTGGAATTGAAAATTTAGGATGGATTTTTGGGTGCGATAAGGGATTTTTGGTGAGTGAGATTTTGGAGAGGTGTTTATGCAGGGTTGCTTTTTGTGGGAGGTTATTTGTGGATGTCTGCGTGCTTGGGGAGGTTAGAGGAGGTTGTGGATGCTTGGGGAAGATCTTGCGGGATCTTTGGCTTGATAAGGTGATTCTTGGGGTCTTTGGGGTGAGGGTGAGTTGGATTGCTTGGGCTTGTGAAGGTTTATGGAACGAGTATGTGGAATAATGTTATCGCTAGATGTTGAAAGCATGGAATAGGTCGAAGGTATTGGCTGCATACCAGTGTTGTAATTAGTATTTTCTATATTTGGAATACGCCTCATTTTAGTGATAAGTATTGAATTCCTAACAGATATTTCGAATTTTACACCACTAAGAATATAATGTATCGCTCTAATATTGAATACCACTAGGAATCTCCTGAAATACTGGAATTTGCATATTTTGCGGGCATTCTAAGCCTATTCTAGTAGATTAGGGCCAAACGAGAAGATTAAACCTCATTCCAAACCTAATAAGGCTGGGAATGCCTTCAAAATATGCAAATTCCAGTGTTGTGAATATTATCAGTATTATTGCATTGACATATACAGCCGTAGGTGATATTGAACTTTACACGTATCGCTACCGTATGTTGATATGTTGATCTTCTTGCCCTTTCGGTGCGAAGTATACGTGTTGCATCAATGGCCAACAAAGTGGAAGAGAGATGATGAAGAGATAGGTACGCTCAGGTTGGAAGTCAACCTCTATTAGACTAGTCACTATATGGCTTCGTAGTGTACAATAGAAATAGATATGAACAAGAAAACGGCTTTAATGCCTTTAAACCCTGTACAGAGACATTGTCGAGGGATAAGAATTCATACCACATTAATATTACATGTATCCACTGAGACACTAAGACGTTCTTGCAATGTAATATTTTTGAGACCGTATTGCAGTTCCTCGATGTATGTTACAAACGATCTTTGAGTAGGCTCAAGAGCAGCGTTGCGAGTCTTTGAAGAGTCTTTGGGAAGGACGCTAGTTTGAACCTGGAGCAGCTTCATCAAAGATATGGTAAATGAAATTTTCGTTTGTCGCGCAGACATCGATTGTGTAGAGATTGCATGCAGTCGTGAAACCCCGTGATTTATGTCAAAGTAGCGGCTGCGAGTTCCCGCACACTCGTCACTGGCTGCCGGAACAGAAGTTCACATGTACAAACGACGGTAATGATTCAGATTGTAGAGATACTCAAGTGGTTTGGGGGTATAACTGGTCATGACCGTATAGTATTGAGAGAGGATCCTCGAAACATGAAATGCAGACCTAGTAGAGTATTATGTTCATGGATGAAGCTTTTCTCATGTACACTTGAAACTTTTCTTTCGGCCTTTGAACCATGAATGGTATTGAAAGATGTCGAGTTCAATAAAGATCGCCGTTTAATCTTTCTCAATATAAGGCTGCGGTATATGAGATACCTAGGTAACTCTAATGCAAATCTTCGTACTACATCAAGTAGCCGTCAGTCGGTATCCTCATGGCTGAGAAAAAGAAGCCGGTGCAAACGGAAAACAGAATCATTGATAGGTTGCGGTTACAAGCATATTAGTGCCATACGGAAAAAGTAAATAAATCTACAAGAATGTAGATACAGGTACTTTTCTTGTTCTGGCCAATATTTTTGTCGAACGGAAATGATCGAACCTCTTATAACCAACCTTGGGAAGGAAGTTTAAGCTTTTGCGGGGTGTCACATGATGGCGCTAACTAACGCGTCAAATCGCGTTTGTGGCCGTGATGTCGCAAAACAATCAATAATGTGGAATTGCCATTCATTTACTACCGCATCTAAGGATTTTCCAACACTCATCAAATTTTTATAAAAATCGACATCGGATACAAATGGATTCACCAAAAGGTCGGTACCTGATTCACTCTCCATGACTCGACATAACCTTCAAAGTCACATTTCTTGGTTGATACAGAACAAAGTTACTGCCCCCGCTGGAGCCCAAATCAGTGCATTTGCAACCTTGCCGGACACGATTGGGTTCGGATTTGGGAGTTTTGGCAATTTCGAGGACGAAATTACTGTGCATGAAACAAGAAATACACCAACTGCTCCGATTCGAAACCGTCGAGTCGAAGAAATCTCCAATGTTGTGGCGAATTCACGATCACCTCGTCCTCGTATCCTCACTCCGATAACACAATCTACACCAGATCCTGGGGATGAATTGGTGGATCCGGATATGGGAAAACTCACATCAGCACGGAAGACGACTAGACCAAGTCTCATAAGTCAAAACAAACAATTTGGGACCCCTTCCTCTACGACCAGCTCATCCCTTACGAGAAGTTACAAGTTACAATGTAATGAAAGTGGTATGTGGATGTGATGTGTCTCGGTTCGTGCCTCAATTGACTCTTCTAGGCACCCCTTCCAGACCCATATCAACGAGAGAACCAAGAGGTTTGACACCCCGCCCAACACCCTTACCGAAAACAAGATTCAATTTCGACAATGTGGAATCTATAGATCTTACGGGCGATGATCTGGCTGGAGTCCCCCCCATTGGATCCTCTAGTACTGTGGAAGCTTTTGAAGATGCTTCTGTTGTATTGTGGGACGAGGGTTCAGCGTCCCGACCAGAACCTTTGAAGAAGGCGAAGAAAAGGAAAAGCGAAGATTTATCTATGACACAGTCTCCTAGGAAATCCAAGAATATACCATCAGTACGCTCAACAGAAGTGCAAGACGAGGAACACGATTCGTTTTTGGACATCGACGAATTGGGATTACCAGGGCCATCGTTTCGAGATACCCTGCCGGACTCTCAGCGAACAATTGTTCCACCTAGAAAAGTGGAGGAATGCCCTGACCTGAATCACTTGGAGGAAATCGACATGGTTCGAGAAATGATGTCTCAGGCTGGGCGTGCGAAATCCAAGGTCAGAAGCAGACAAAACTCAGAGGATATCTTTATAGATAAAAGATCAATCCCAAGAACGACGCCCGCCCCTACGATGAGCTCTCAAAAACACATTACTCCTCGTAGCGTGCGATATATGTCACCAGTTCAAGTACGAGCGTCTCCTAGTACCAAATCCCGTGAACATTGGGCAACAAAAACACCGTCACCGCTCAAACGCCAAAGGCTTAAGCAAGAAATACTCGACTCAGAGGATGAAGACGTTTTGTCAGAGGTAGAAGCAAGAGTAAGCTGCTCGCCTTGCCGACCATTGATGAAAACACCCAAAGAACTTCATAGCACGCCAGACATGCATGCAATCTCTACGAATTTGATGCACGAGAACGATGAAGTGACGCCTGCAAAGAAGAGATTCACTAGCCCTTTGAAACTAATATCACAAAATGCATCATTTCGTCTGGAGAATGAGCCATCTTCATTTCAACGCGATTCCCCGACCAAGTATATGACTTCACAGAAATTGCCACAGCGAGGCTCAAGCCAATATTCATCGGTTTCTCTGGGTCTTGAAGAAAAAAGGGTTGTGGGTTTATACTTGAAAAATCCGTCAGCACTTGTGCCTTTTCAAAATCACCTGGACAATATTCTCAGCCAGAATTACGAGGCGCTCCAAGTCTATCTTGAGGATGGGGAGCACCCTCCAGAAGAGATGGTGTGTGAGCGAAAAGCTATACTGGAACAGAAAAAGGCCCTAAAGACTCTTACAGATAGCTTTGAAGGTCTTCAGGATCTCGCTTCAAAAACAACAGCTGCATTGCGTAGGGTGATGACCCTTCTAGAAGAGGGTATTACTAATAGTGCAGAAGAAGCACAGTCTCGCGTGCTAACCCGGGAGCTATCAGAAGAGAAGAAAGAGTGTTGGCGGCTATTAGATGCCTCTGGCGCAATAAACTACGGATTCGGGTCTATTCCTTTTACAAAAACTCCACTTCCTACTCACGCGTCAAGTGCAAATTCGAGTGGGCAAGTTGGTCTGCAGGCCCAGGTTCCTCCTCTTACGCGTGAATCGTCAAGCACGGCAAGGGACTTCAGGCAGGACTATCCAATATCTAATTTTCAAAGACCCCCGAACTTAAGGGAACAGGAACCCCAGTGTGCAGAGTCATCTCCTGTAAGACAAACATCGCCTTTCAGATCGATGGTTCCCGGAAGTAACTACTCGAGGCCCGGTATTTCCGTGAAACAACCGACTTTTACCAGGCAATCTTCGCCAACAGATTACGGTGTTGATGATGAGTTGCTCTGTCGTTTGCTTGAAGACGAGGAGCAAATTATGGAAGAGACTCGTGTAGCTGACAATAAATCAGAAGGACATGTGGAGGAGGAAGATTATGGGGATTCTGATGACGACGCTTTGATCTCTTTCGCGCAACAAGTTGAGCAGAATAGCTCTTTCAAGGAAAACTCGGCGAAAATTTCGCTTAATTCCACTTTGCAAGATGCATCAAGAAACTCATTCAAAAGTTCAAAGCGTGATAACTCAAACTCCGCCAAGCCCAAAGATATGTATTCAACAGTGGACTCTTCATATGCAGATAGGTACCGCTATGCATGGTCGAAAGATGTCAAGAAGGGGTTGAAAGATCGCTTTCGTTTAACAGGCTTTCGACAGAACCAGCTGGAGGCAATTAATGCTACCTTAGCGGGGCGTGATGCATTCATACTGATGCCCACTGGCGGCGGAAAATCTTTGTGTTATCAACTGCCTGCAATTGTACAATCGGGCGCAACGAAGGGTGTTACAATTGTGGTTTCCCCTCTTTTAGCTCTCATGCATGATCAGGTCGACCATCTCAGGAGACTTCGCATTCAGGCATATTTGTTTAATAGTGAATCAACTAGGGAGACAAAGCAGGAACTATTCACCGGTCTAAGCCAAAGTAAGCCAGAGCAATTTGTCGAGCTACTATACGTCACGCCAGAGATGATCAACAAAAGTAGTGTTATTCAATCGAAATTAGATGGTCTGTATGCCAAAGAGCGACTTGCCCGCATTGTCATCGACGAGGCTCATTGTGTTAGCCAATGGGGTCATGACTTTCGACCAGACTACAAAAGCCTTCATGAGCTTCGTGAAAGATATCCTGGGGTGCCATTCATTGCCTTAACTGCCACTGCAACAGAAAGGGTAAAGAAAGATGTTATTCACAATCTTGGAATGCACAACTGTGACCAGCTAAAACAGAGTTTCAACCGACCTAACATTTACTATGAGGTCCGACGTAAGACGGGCAAAGGATCAACGGCGGCAATGTTTAGTGAGATAACAACCATGCTTTCTGTCGACTACAAAAACCAGAGTGGAATCATATACTGTCTCTCTCGTGATAATTGCGAAGAGGTGGCCAAAAAGCTACGAGGCCAAGGGATCAAGGCTCATCATTTCCATGCGGGTATGGCAGCCGAAGACAAGAAAGATATCCAACACCAATGGCAGGTAGGTGACATTCAAGTTGTTGTGGCAACTATTGCGTTTGGTATGGGCATTGACAAACAAAATGTGCGATTTGTCATCCATTATTGCCTTCCCAAGACTTTGGAAGGTTATTACCAGGAAACGGGGCGAGCTGGTCGGGACGGCAAACCGGCGTCTTGTTTCCTCTACTATGGATTTCAAGATACCCAGATTTACAGAAAGATGATTGACAAGGGAGATGGCAGCCCAGATGTCAAAAACGAGCAGCGTCAAATGTTGGAAGCTATGGTACGATTCTGTGACAATCGCATTGATTGCCGCAGAGTGCAACTCCTACGGTATTTTGGTGAGACTTTCAAAAAAGAGGAGTGTCGTAATTGTGACACATGCAATTCCAATGACATTTACGAGGAACGCGATTTCAGTAGTGAGGCTCGAAAGGTTATCAGTGTTGTTAGTCAAGTACACGGAAATTTTGCTATAGGTCACTTTTCCGCCATCCTGGAAGGCAAGGCAATAGCAAAGGTCAAATCTGAGAATCATCATGAATTCGATGAATTTGGCTCACTAAAACATATGGGAAAAGCGGAGATTGAACGACTTATTGAGAAACTCATACAGTTTGGAGGCCTCCAATTCCGCGCCATCAAGAATAGGGGTGGATTCCATAATGATTTTGTTTTTGTAAGAGCAAAGAGCAATCCATCTCAAGCAATGTGCAAGCGCTAACCAATCCCCAAGCTAGGGCCCAAATATAGGCAGTATATGTCTAAAAACCTAAAACTCCCCCTGCAAACTAGGATCTCGACATCCCCAAATGCAGCTTCACGCAAGACCTCAAAAAGCAAACCCAAAAGGCAAGCACCACCGCCGTCCACGTTACTTACTTCGCCAATCGCCGAAACTCGACCTAGTAGAAAGGGCAAAGAACGTTACATCGAAGACGATATCGCCATGACTGATGATGATTTTCATCCAAGCACCTATCCTCAGCATGACCCCCCTGCTTCCGACAGTGTTGAAAGTTCCGAGGATGATGCGTTCGAGCCAGCGAGAGGGGCTAGTAGAAGCATGTGCGGTAGCAGACAAGCTAATCGTATTGGGCCACCGATCACAGTTGATGAAGAGATGAAGAGGCTGAATCCAGTGCATCGAGATGTTGTTGATGATTTCGTTCAGCAAGCCAAGACACTAGAAGAATCAACCCGGAATAGGAATGGTCACAGGAAACCGTATTTCACGGAGCTCGAGTTCAGACAAATGGCAATTCGCTGGACTACAAGCACGGCTTTAATGGCACAAATCCCTGGGATCAGCAAAGAAAATATACATGCCCACGGCATGCGATTTTTAAAGTTGTTGGAGGAAAGCCATTTTTCTTATAGGCAGATGATGGACCCAAACTTTAAGCCAGATAAAAACCACTTGATAGTCGACTTGGTGAGCGATGGTGACGAAAGTGACATGGAAGATGAGTACGCAGAGCAGTCGGAAGAGCCTTCTCGGTACTTTCACCAAGTCAACCCCGACGTGCAAGCATTTAATGAGCGAATGGAGGTGGCAGCACAAGTTCCGAGGACCCAACCCACAGAAGCTGATTCATCTAGAAACTCGAATCAGAAAAGTTCTCATGGTTATAAATCGAAATCTCGATTTAACAACTACAGGCGGAAGAGTGGCGGATCGACGTCAAGCAAGGCAGGGTCGAGCAGTGGTGTTACGAAGAAGCGAGCACCTACGAGTAGCAGGAAAAGCACAGCATCCAAGGAATCAAGTTTAATGTCAAAGTTTGGCAGAAGTGGTGGAGTTGGTGGTAGTGGTATAAATCCTATGCCGACGTGAGATGAGGAGATTGCAAGCCGTTGGTAGCGACCGGCTCTCATTTTCTTGGCGATATCTTTCTTTTAAATCACGGCATGAGTTGCATGGGGATGGGCCGGAGTTCCGAGGGTTCGGGTTTGATTTGCTCTTTAGCATAGAAGTTAGCATTTTGGGATTTTCCGGCTGTGCATGGCTGGTTTTACGACGTATATTTCATGACTCGCAGATTAACGCTGATATTAGAAACATTTTTATATTCACTGCACAATGGCTATTGCCGTGTAGTTTGTGAGAAGCCTAGGTGGGAACGGCATATCATGACATGGCATAGCTTAAAATTTATCCCATGATAGATATTCACACCGTCAAAAATCAATTTTATACTGAATTTTGCTGTAAACATTTCCCTTGTGTCTAAAAACTTATGAAAATGCTTCGCATCTCATCCTTCTATATTCATTTCCATAAATCCTCATTGAATCCTCTTTACTACTAATCACATCTCCCTCTGCTCTGCGGTTGGTTCTCCAGAAAAACACAATCTCCTCTACATACGATATTAATCCTTCCTGTTAAAGGGCCGATACAGTTGGAGTATCATATATGGAGTATAAATCTGTAGATATCCATCCTACAAAACTCCTTAGGAGTATACAGTATCGAATAGAGTTTATACAGTCGTTCTTAGGACATTTCTATACCGTCGATCGATTTTAAAGTCAAGACTTGAGAGTAAGAATAGACAAAGAGAAGATGGGATCTAACTATATATATCGTTTTGATAATTCGCTTTCGCAAGCACTGCTCTAATCAGTCTGTGTTCATGACATGGGCAAACATGCATTTGAAACTCCTGTTATCTAAATTAAAAATTACTTCTGAAGAGGAGTAGAAGGAGGAACTCTCACTACAGGGTACATATATACGAAATACTAAGTTAAGATTTACATCCATCGTAGATCTCTCATTTCCCGGTACCGAGAATTTTACAATGTGAGATAGATACATCGGCGATTCGTCTCACCACAGAGAGAGATATGGTAATTTACAAATAGCAGCACGGTCTCAAAGGAATGGGATAGCCGAAAGCTTATATCTCGTATAGAGTTAGTGATTCATGATTAGGACTATCCGTTTCGTATTGTGTGGAGACTTGAGAGGTTATGGGGTTCCGGAGTTGGTTGGTGGAGTTGGTTGGTGGACGGATGAGATATGAAATGGTTTTTTGGGTATAATTATGGGGTTTTGATGGGAGGAGAGTGGTGGTGGGTTGCTGGAATGTATTTATCGTTTATTGTTACTTGTGGTTGATGTGCAAAGTGGAAAGTGTGAAGTTTGTGGATAGGTTTGTTGTGATAGGTTGTACTTTTTCCCATAGTATAGTCTCTTATTGTCATGGTGCGCGGGAAATGAGTATATCTGTAAGATTTGCCTGGATATGTAAAATGTAGTAGATGTTGGGGTTATACTATGCAGTTAAAGACACTAAGACGATGTTAAGGGGCAACTCGATGCTGTGAATACAATTTGGAAAATAAGAGCTAAATGTTCAGACAATATTGAATAAAGACAGTGCTTAGATTCGTCCACACTGTGAGTCAGCCAGAATATCAGAGACAGTCTTTCATCTCAATACTCTACAGCAAGTAAACTCCTTTCCAATTGCAAAAAGCGCTCGCTCCGCAACGTGTCTTTCATAATCTCAATCAAACACAGTCCAATAGACGAAGCAGCCTGTCCCGAAACATGAACCATAGGCACATAATCAAACATACTACATCAAGCTTTTACCATGCATTGATTATCTCTCCGCGATTGGGCCTACCAATAGTCCCGGGCTTGAAGGTTGTGACCTAAAAATTGTGGCATGAATTGGACCATATGGTTTTCGAGGCGCCCATGGGGTTTGGTCTGTTTGCTCAGAGTGAGATTGAAAAAAAGGAAAGAGGCGAAGTATGTACAGATATAAGCCGGTACTCTGGGAGGAAACGAAAGATTTAGCTTCAAGCCCACTCAATGTAAGTAAGGCCTCAACCATTTTTCCAACCCGTTGATAGTGTAACCATAGCAAATTTTGTTGAAATCTGCGAAATCCTCTCGTCCGGATTCGTTGACTGTAACTGCTAGTGTCCCGGCTTAAACGAAATGCTACATAAGATTCCTCGTTCCTGCGAACGCTCGAGAAGTTCGGAAGGATTATGGAATAAGGCGAAAGCAAGTACATGCAACCGTTCCCTTGATAACCTCTCGACTAAATTCCAGATATGGACTCGTCAAATCTTGCAGTATAGTTTTGAAAGTTGGATATGTTGGCAATGGATTCACCGTTGTTGCCTTTCCCACATTTGCTGTCAGTTAATGGAGTTAGTCGTAAGGAGTTAGGCATTCCCCAAACCAAGTCATGATCTCAGACATAATCTGAAACTATCCCTGTCCGGTACCATGTATCTTCTTCGCCATTTCTTACCAACATAACGTGATGAGAACTTTGAAAGATCTTTTAGGGTTTTATCTATGGCGATACCCGAAAGCAGGTGCTGGACGATATGCGACTTGATCGTTTAATTGCCAGAGGAATGAAGTGACCTTGAACATTAATACTCTCAAATTGTGAAACAAGTTATAATCAGCAAGCAGTCTGCTATGGGGAGATGGAAATATGAGTCCCTAGTTTCCCCATGAGCAGTTCATCCTACCATTACTCCCAAAAAATTTATAAGGCGGGAGCCACCAAATCATCGAACTTTTGAGACACAATCATCATTGGCTTCGAGATTCTTCTAACCTGTGTCTTTGGGATGTATTGTGATGTTGTAATATAACAGTAGCTCCATTCTGCGTCTAGAAATTGTTTTCGATAAAGCTTTGTCAACGCCGGCCACTAACGTCATAAATTTCTAGTTCTTACAGGAGAGTTAAAAAGTTACCAGCATTTCGATCTTGCCTGAGTATAAAAGTACCAACAGTTCCTTTTCATTGCTTTTGCCACTGATGTGAGGCTTGGGAGGCCTCGGTAGGGAAATCGCAGCTAGTATATATGGCAGAATGAATGACGAACCCGTTCTACTCGTCATCAAACATTCACAAAACCGTGCCCATTCGTAACGCGATGGAGTGAGCAGTTTATAATACAACTTCAGGAGCAGAGAAATTTGCTGGTCATGATGCGAAGCTTACTAGACCATGGCTTCACATCTCCTTCAAAATCTTGGGAATCTATAATCAAAAGATGCTTGCAACACTTGCATAGCAAAACATCTTTATAAGATCCCTTTTGTAAGGATATCCCCTTTAAAGGACAATTTCTTCCATACCCTTTTGATTTGATATAGGAAAGAGTTATGGCCTTAATTAATCCCTTTTATAAGAACATCTTTGCGGCTCTGATCCCTCAACCCACTTCTGTCCTTATTTGGCCAATCAAATAACCAGCATGTGAATTAACGTAATTCCAATTTCCTGTCATTTTTCCCTACCCACGAAATATCTATGAAATATTTATGCCCAGTCAAGAATGGGCGGAGGAGTTCATGTGATCGGATTTGGATCATAATACTACCAAATCGGGAATGACCGGAAATTTGACTACAAGGGTGCCTCCAAATGTCCATTATTTTCGACGCTGTCTTTCGTGTCTTTAATTAAAGAGCTTTGCTATAATCAGGAGCTGTAAGTAGATGTGTTGTCAAAAAGTGCGGATAGTAATTAAAGTGCCAAGACAAGCACTAATAGCCTTATGAGCCTTAAGCGTCATTATGATCTCTATGCTCGCTTCTTTTGAGTCGCCCCTTCATTATGAACGAATGCCCGGGAATGAAAGAAACTGTTCATGAGTGACGTTTCCTGCCCCTGATATAAATTTTCTCTTATTACTCGTATTCCAATGACCTGATACAATCCCGTTGCCAAGAAGAATAGGACTTTTGATCAGCGGATAGACGTTAAGCTTATTTTCATTAACAGAAACTCCAGTGCTAGAGATCAGTGAACAAGGAGGGAGGTGTTCACGGTCTTTTCAGGAGCTCAGGCCAAATTTTGTTACCGGAGTGAAACCTTTTCGTGCACTGTTGGAGTCTTGAAGGCTGCCTGTTCTGAATAGGGGTCCACCCTTATCATTTTTCACCGAAAAATGTCGTATTATGTAGGAAATTCGAAGCGCCCGAGACATGCCGAGGACCAATTGTATGATCATCCCCGCAAAATGAAAATGAGGTAGAAAGAATGATACGAGAGCGGTAAAAGGATTACTTTTTTTCTGAATGTTGACGGTTGGCACGACAGAACCAAATCGTAAAGGACCACGGGATTATGAGTGGTACTGCCACTAACATATCGGTATTGCTCTCGTTTTGGACGATGATGGCCGTAGATAAACAGCGATGAGCAGGAATAGGAGGAGGAAATCTAGAGAATAACCAAGAACTTTAAGGGTTAGTACAATTTATATGAAAACCCCCAGCGACAATATTGACGCCTTTCAGGGAAAGAGGCATAGCAAAAAAGGAAAAAGGTAACACCGCTCTATTGCGTATATGAAATGTGTGGGATTCGATGTAGAGATATATTGTACGAAGTATTGACTTTACACTTGAAATAGCTGTTATTGGGGAACGTTGCTTTTTTCATACTGATCATTATTCGTATCGCAAAGGTATCCATTCTTTGGGCGAGGATGGCAATGACCGAGACATTCAACCAATTTTCGGTTTAACTCGTAAAAGAGGTGGCACAGCAAAACTAAACTCTTGGAATTCCCCAAAATACTTTTCTTTTTTTCCTTCTAGCTCCTTTTTCAGTACCTTATGACATGCTCAGCCGCCGTTAGAGGCTTTAAATACCCAATAGACAATAGTACGAACCCAGCAAAGAAGGACACGCCGCACCAATCAAATCAATTTCGTTCCTGAAATCTTTTCTACAGACGCTTTTTCACTACTTTAGATCTCAATCTATGAAGTACGGAGTACAGTACCTAGGGTAGAAATCAAAATCTGCAGCCGAACCAGTCGTGGCATTTTGCTGGAAACTAAATTCCGACCTTCTGTTTCATTACACGGCCGTCAAAAGATTAACGGACGGTGAATGGTTGGGTTCGACAAGAATCCAACAAGCCAAGTCAAACACAAGCCTTGGAGAAACTTTAGTCATCTAATCTTCCCTCAGGATCAAGCTATATTTTTAATCTCTATGCTTTAGAAATGGGATAGATCATAGAATTATGCACAGGAGTAAGTGACTGACTGACTGGCTTGTTACTTCAACTTCGGTAACACAAGAAACAATTTAAATATAATATGGATACCGTATGGAAACAACATCGTAAATTTTACACTTTTCTGAGCAATAAAACTATCGGTTCCACCAAAACACGAGGGGAACAACGTACGTGCCTTTCCGTTGCCCCATCTTTGATACGGTAGATCAGGAATTCCAAGCGTTTTATTTGATGGTTTCGGTATTCCGTACCTGCATCATAATCAACAAGAATCATCAGAAACCCGCATTTAATTATTCTATTCTTATTGATTCAGTCTAGCATCTCAGTACCATGCATTTTAAATGGGTTTTTCGTCTCTTCCTGGAGGACGTATACGACAACGTGGAATGGCATGGCATTAGCCTCTCACGCCTCCCTGCCTCCTTCATGACAATGCTGGAACCTCGCTTAACCAATAATATCACAAAGGTACCTTCTGATACAAGGTTTGTTTGACCACGCCCCGCCCCTCGATGCTGACAGAGACAAGGCTGGTCAAGGTCAATGGTGTCAAACTAGATTCCGAACACAGCCCACAGTTGTGCAGGTGGAGGAGTGAAATGCGATGGAAATTATTGAAATACTTGAATCCCCAAATTTAATTGCTCTTCCTTCCGCCGTACTAAACGTCTCCACATAAATTTTGTTCTACTTATTTATCTCTCATCCCCCTCATATAGTTTTGGAAACCCTCCACGCCTTGGCATTAATTTTCTATTTCATCATCTACCTTTCTAAAAAGTGGTTCATTACATTGGAACTGTTCATCTTTCGTTTGAACATTCTACCTTTTATAGCTCAACTCACATTCGCTCACATTCGCTACATTCACTTTGCCCCTGACGTTGTTTCGTACTTGAAGTCTTGTACCTGTCGTCCGGACTCTGATCAGCTTACCTACTCACATCATCTATATCACATATTGCAAGATGCGTTCATCAACACTATCAGCATCTGCTGTTGTCCTCCTCTCAGGACTTGCTAGTGCACAAACATTTACTGATTGTGATCCAACCAAAAAAAGTAAGTTGGATGAAGCCTTGCTGATAAAAATAATCTAACCATCAGCCAGCCTGTCCTGCAGATCCGGCCATCGGAGGAATTCAAGTGACCGATTTCACAGCTGGAAAGAGTAGCAACTGGGAGGATGAAGCTGGTACAACAATGACATACGATCCTGAACTTGGTGCCAAGTTCGTCATCAGCAAAAGCACCGATGCACCCACCATCAAGAACGTCGGGTACCTGATGTTTGGTAGAATCGAAACATGGATTCGTGCATCGCCTGGAACTGGTATTGTCAGTAGTTTCATTCTCGAGTCCGATGATCTCGATGAAATTGATTGGGAATGGCTCGGTTACGACAACAAGTCCGCCGAAAACAACTTCTTCGGAAAGGGTAACACCACCACCTACAACCGTGCCCAATACCCACCAGTCGCTACCCCGATGGACATCTTCCACAACTACACCATTGATTGGACTGCTGAATCAACCGTCTGGTACATCGATGGAGTAGCCGTCCGAACCCTTGCCTACGATGACCCACTTACCGTTGGCGGAAAGAACTACCCTCAAACTCCTATGTTGGTCAAGATGGGAAGCTGGATCGGATGTTTAGATCAAGCAGCTGTAACCAACCCCGCCACAGCAGGTACCTGTTCGTGGGCTGGAGGAGCCGCTGATCTCACCAAGGGCCCATACACTATGTATGTCAAGAACGTCACCATTCAAGATTACGGATGCGCCACCGAATATACCTATGGCGATTTGACCGGTTCCTACCAATCCATCAAGGCCACTGGTGGCTGCAGCAAAGATGGAAAATCCACCTTGTCTTCTTCCAGCAGCTCATCTTCCAGTTCCTCAAGCGCATCTGGCAAATCCACCAGCGGAAGCTCAACTAAGACTGCAAGTGGAACTGCAAGTGGAACCGCATCTGGGACCGCATCTGGGACCGCAACTGGAATCCAAACAGCAACACTTTCCGCGGGTGTCAAAGCCACGGGCACATCATCAGCATCAGCCTCAGGTTCAACTAGCGGTTCATCCACCTTAACCCAAGTCAGCACTTCCGACTCCAACTCCATCAAGAAGCCCAAACACGAATACGGCATGCTTGACCTTGGCGTCATGGCTTTGGGTCTTGGACTTGGTTATCTCGTCATGTAAAGTCACACAATATAATCTTGTCTTTGGTCGAATTTTAGCGTTCTTTTCCGTTTCTGTGCGTGTGTACGGGTACGAATGAGAAAAATGTATGAATCTCCGGCTGCTGTATTGAATATGGCCCGATTTTAGGCGGGTTTTCTCATCTCCGAAACATAGATTACGATGGAGAATGTATTGCTTGTAATGATATACCCGAAGTATGAAAGGGTGAATGGAGCGAAGAATATTTTTACTGAGGGGTTTTTTAGCTTTCGTCGAGATTTGCAGCAAGTTGATAGATGGAGGAGGCAGAGCGTTGCATTGCATTGCATTAAAAGGGTAGGAGTTATTGAGTGATATACTATTCATATTTATTATATAGCGGTTTAATGATTGATAGAGAAGAAAATCAAAAAGTTTCAAAAACATGTCCATGCACCTGATGAATCTTTCCATGTTCACCTCGTTCATTCATGTCTCAATAACACTATTAAATCAACTCATTGAATCCGGCGTCATCAAATGCAGATCTTTCAAATTTCAATCCTCATCTCATCCTACCTCAATTCAATCTCTCCAGCCACAAACACGTTCCTTCCAACCCAAGTATTAAAATAACCCATCCTTCTATCACATCTTAAATATATAGATCCTTTATTTCATTTCCTTCTAGTATCCTTATATAACAATCAAATCATCATCTCCCTTTCCTTCACTTATAATATAATACTTTCTACATCCTACCTGAATCCAACCTAGCTAGGTAGCCAAAAACAACAAAGAACTTCCCATTTCCACATCCACCCTCCATTCTCCATGTATAAAATGATAACCATCAACTTCTCTCTTAATTTCGTATATATGCTTTCCACATGTAGGATTACATCATTAAGCCTATACGAAAGTATACACGCAAACACCACGCGTCCCCCCACCTAATATGTATATTATCAGCCCTTGAATTCTCCTCTATTAAAAGTCAAACTGTTTATTCCAATTATAAAAAGATACAAAAAAGATACAAAAAAGATATTTAAAAGATGTGGATAAACTTTGTCTCTTTGATAAAAATAGAACCTATCAATAAAGCACCCATCTATAAACCTTACTAAGTCCCATAATTGGATACCTACCTACCATACAGAAATTTCAAAACCTCAGGTAGGTTTTATTTCTTAAGTTGTCTACTTTTGAAATTCCAAGTTATGGTAATGGGGTGATTTGTTTTATGGAGTGTGATATTAGATATGAGATTCAGACAGAAACCTTTACAATCTCTAGGATATCTATCTACTAGATAGCTATCTAACTTTCGTTCTTCTTGTATTCATATTCACATCCACATCCACATACTATCAGCTAACTATTATCTTAAAAAGATATCTACCTCGAAATATCTAACTCTTATCCCGTACATTCAAGTAGGTGCACCATCCACTTCATCTACTTAGTTCATCACCCAATTCATCTCTCAACCCATTAAATACCTATCTGCCTACCTAACTACCGCCTAAAACCCAGTAACACTCAATCTAACTATTTACTTTCTTCCTCCCTCCCTTTACATCTCAAACAGCACATCAAGCAAACAACTAGTCTGCTTCAATTTCTATCTTTCCCATCCATCTCTTTCCTCTACCTTTCCTTTTCTTATTTCATTGTATCTTTATCTTTCTATATCCTTTTCTATATCCTTTCTATATCCTTTCTATATCCTTTCTATATCTTTTCTATATCCTTCCTATATCCTTCCTATATCCTTTCTATATCCTTCCTATATCCTTTCTATATCTAATACTACTTCAAATATCACCTCTCTCTCGTTAACTTGATCAATTCTCCTCTCCTCTTACTTACACTCCATCAACAACTTCATCAACATAAAACCACCACAAATCAAACACAGCACAAATAAATAAAAAACTCAACATCAATATAAAAATATGATATCATTATCTACGTTACCGCCCCCTTTTACTGCATATACCATCTTGCTCTTGCGATATACCTAATAATTTACGAACCCAGCCATTAATACCCCCATCGTAAAAGTCACCAAGACATCTTTCATTCAACCCTTTACTCCACTTCCATCCCATCCCATCCCACCCATCCCAAATCCTACCCCAAACCTTTCATTTACCCCGCCCATCCTCCCATCCACCAATAATACAAATCCATCCAATCAATCCAAATCCATCATAAGTTCTCTTCTTTTCCCTTCCCTCCCTCTTTCCTTCCTTGATACCCTCATATAATATGAATTATCCTTCCAACTCCCAGGTCCCACTCCTCGTAAGACCCAAATCCACGCGCGCTAAAGTCGATCTGATCCATAAAATATCTTGAAAATGCTTGAGAAACATGCAAAACTGAAAAAAAAGTGGCATTGTAAACCGGTTCAAGAATGCATCCAATGCAAAATGTAATATAGAAAAAAAGTTTGGGTATAACCTCCTCTCCTTCCTCTAAACGAGTTGATTCATTGCCTATAATGCTGCGAATTGAAAATAGTATATAGAAGATGATACTGTTCGTACTCTTAATTTTGTTCCTGTGAACGCAAGGTAATATACAAAAGGTCGAAAGGTATTGAAAGCCTGCTTGCTAATGCTGTACTTGAAAAAGTTCAAGGAAAAGTAGACGAGAGCGTTATTATGATTACAGTCGTGTTGTGCTTGTGTATTGGTCTCGATGATCATAAGTACGTCTAGGGCACCTGTCCGAAGTCGTGTATATTTCGTTGATCAATGGTCAATATTCGTCTAATCGAAGAATGATTCTTCATCGGCTAGACCTATAATTTCTCGTCAGTACAAGTTATCAGCGGACATTGATTTATTTCTTACGAGGATCATTTTCCTTCAATCTATTGGTGGACTTCTTCTGTCCTAATCCCATTCCCATATTAAACATGGTACTTTCTCTCTTCTTCGTTTTAGAGGTCGAGTATTGTTGATCCTGGGAAGGGACTCCTAGTGTATTGGCTCGACTACCATACTCAGGCCCAGCCATTGTGCTGAACCCGGCAAATCCTGGACCTTGTTGACCAAAAGATTGCTGGTTGAAAGAGGGTGTTGGGAGATCCTGTTGGAACTTTTGGCGTCGGGGAGAGCGAATATCTTCAGGAGATAGGGTGGGCGCAGTTACTGTCACCTCTACGGGACGATGTTCATGATCGTCAGGCTCCTGTTCAAAAATGGCATCATATTGTTGCAAGAAGAGTGCAAACACAGGAGCTGGTATGTTGAGGGTTGGCGAAAACACAATACCGACATTTCGAACAGTCATTTTATTTACGTCCGAATGGTTGATGATGTTAATCAGGAAACCTGCAAGATATCTGAGCAGAATATTATTTGCTCGTGGCAACCTGTGCACCAAACCGTTAAGAGCACTGATTTTTTCGTTCATGTCGTGAAGCTCTGTGACAGCGAGAAATTCAAGGTGAAGCTCGCGGGTTAGAATAGTGCTTGGCAACTCTCTCAAAAACAACTTCAACAGAGAAGCCACGGCATGTATGTCATAGTACTGATCATCAGTCACCAAGTTGACATCGCCCTCGACATTAAAGCGTTCTCGAAGCTGTCTGATGACAATATTAGATCCACTCAATCTAAAAATTCCTTCTTCGCCTGCAGCATTCTTCGCATCCAAGTACTCAATGCATCGATATATGACAGCTGGAAGCTCAACTTTAACATCAGCAGGGTGATTATACCTCACAGCTTCTGTCAAAGGGGTTCCAAAAACAGGTCTTATTGGACCGTGCTGCTCGAATGCCATCTGTGACAAATTATGACTCGAAATGTTGAGTGATACGTCTGGTAAATCTACAGATGGTCTTGGTCTTGAGCCGAATCCGAAAAAGCTACGCTTCTTCTGTTTGATCTTGTCATCTGGGGGTGATACTCCTGATTTGTTTCCCCATGAACCAGCATCCTGAATTAAGTGGGCATTCTTTGGACCAGAAATCGATTTCATCGATTGGGACTGTGGTAACGACATGGGTTCCCTCTCGTGAGCGTGGGATGGAGGTGAAGGTGTACCTGAGCTCTTCAACTTCGGTCCATGGGATACACCACCTTGTTTTGTCGTATCATAACCAGCACGTGAATCGTTGCCTTCGCCCAGCTTTCCCTGAGTACTATTCTTTCTTCTTCCGTGTGGATGAGAGCCGCTTGAGCCAGAGCGATTATGACTTGAACGACTATGCTCATCCTCATCCTTGTAATCAACGTAACGCAGGAGAGCCTCAACCCATTCATCACGCTCCTTGTCGCTTTCAGCACACAAAACGTGTCGCACAAGGCTAGAAGAATCCTTCCTTTTCGGCTCCAAGATGAGAAAGGCATGACGATATTGATTGTCAACATCTTCAGTGTCTGCTCTCGAAGAAGGTGATGGTTCACTTTGTTGGGATTGCTTCCCGATTTGAGCGCTTTGAAGTTTGATACTCCCTAGATGTGGTCCGCCAGGAGACTCGTAATATTTGAACACTGGGCCATCCAACACAAAGAATCTCGCCTTCCATCCTCCAAAGTTTTTACCTTTCTTGGTTAAGTAGCCATTCTTGAGAGGCCTGCCACCTGGCCCAGTCTTCACAGGACTTTCGGAACCTGTATCACTACTTGCGGTTAGATCATCGGCATGTGGCTCCATTGTATTTGAAGATAGATAACGGCATATCTCTAACGCAGATTCCGTATCTAGCTCTGTGTTGAGAACTTCGTCAAGATAATTATCTAGTGCGGTACGCCTCGCATCTATCTTAGCTGGAGAGTGACCACTAAAAAGGTATTTGTCCGGTGTCCTGGCTGTAAACGTGGGGCATTGTTTCAAAATTTGGTCCAAATGTACTAAAGATGCCGAGTCTTTCTCCACGCGCCATAGCTCTCTGCCATCCGACCTTGCAAATACTGCGAGAGTGAAAACAGGATCACTCTCAAGGTTCGCTGGGCACATGAGACTAGCTCTTGATGGCTTCAGACGTGATGATGCCACCTTCACATCTATGGAAGGCAAAGCATTCGGCGGGAGAAGCAGTTCTGGGTATTCATCAGTAACAAGGCCTTTGTAAATCACATTTCCAGAGTGGCTGAGGTGTGGAGGGTCGCTTGGACGTCTCTCATAAATACTGCCATTCACGAGGGTTTCTTCAGATCTGAGAGTGTTGAGAGTTTCCTCTGATCTCTTAGTAATCACCAATGGCTGTGGGGACACCAGAACTAAAGGCTCCGCTCGGGGTGCACGAGGAGAAGCTATTGACATTGGAGTACCAGGAGGAAGAGGAATAGGCTGTCGTGGAGCTCGTGGCGACAATGGAATAGCACCCGGGAAAGCGTTCATTCCTCGAGGAGACAATGGGGGCGAAGCCATGGATGGGTGAGCTGAATTGGTCCTCGAAGACATACCCATTGGTCTTGGACTCTGTGGTAGACCGGGGCTCATCAATGGAGGCGACATTAACCCGACCTTGGTGGGAGGCGATCGTGATGCACTCAACATTCCTGCCAAGGAAGCGGTACTCTCATCTGGTGGGGAAAGAGCCCGCAAATGAGCATCTGGTGGTGAAATTGGGACTGTTGGCCGGGGACTTAGAGGCATCGCTGGTACTGGTTCCTTTGGAGTGGTCGATATCGATTTCGGTGTTCCTTTAACGCTGCCTTTCGAACTTTTCTTTGAAAGGCTTCTTGCCTCCGCATCTTTTACCGCTGCAATCTCCCGCACTCGATCGTCCTCTTCCCTGGTCTTTCGCCGACCTCTTTCAGGAAACGCTGGGATCTCACCAACTTCCAATATATCGTCATAGTCTGAATCAGACTCTTCTTTCGTCTCCGGAGCCTGACGTAAATGATTACTTGGTTCAGTCATTTTGCCAAGATTAAGTGGTGCCGGCGGGGCTTTTCTCGGCTGTGGAAATTTGGAGGATCCATGATCAAACTTTGGCGATGGTTCTACAATCGCCAACGAAGGGCCTTGCGATGACATAGGCGGAGGCGGTGGTGCGATCGGAGGCGGACCCCGTGGGGAATCAGATGGAAGATTCCTTGAAGGTGGAACGGTTACATCATATGGCATATTAACAGCAACCGTTTGGTTCTTCCGCTGAAGTTGAGATGCCTCAAATCCGAGAGGTGGAGAGTCAGGATTATATTGCTGAAATGCATGTTTAGTCGGCGAAGGCATCTTGTGCTCGGCTACTACCATGTTAGACAGTGCAGTCGTTGCTAATGCTGGAGGGGTAATTGGATAAGGTGCTAAAGCACAGTCTATAGGCGAGTGTTGTGCCTGGGAACCATCCTTTGATCCATCAGACTTCAAATGACCATCAATACTCTTTTGAGCTGAGATCTCGACAATCCTTGATTCCGAAGTCATGGATCCTGATTCGGACGTTGGACCTTGTGTCGAATCTACGGGTGAAGGAGCCGCATGCTGTATGATATTTTCCTTCAGCTTTTTCCTATATCGTTCCTTATCTTTGAGAGCGCGCTCAAGATCCTTGTTTAAGCCCAAAATCATAGCTCTTTGTTTATCCACCAAACGCCATAATTGCGAATTCTGCGCGGTTTGTGATTGCTTTTCCTTGATCAAATATTGTATAGCGGCCTCTGATGATCCTGCCGCTTGAATGAGTTGTGCAACATCAAATGGTGCACTCGAGCCTTTAGAGTCCTGCGAATTCTTGTGTGAATGTCCACTACTCGATATTGATGAAATAGCGGAATCAATTGAGGAAGTGCGGGGAGGTGTTCGACCCATCTCGACACGATGGGCAGCTGTGGTAGACGCCATCGTGGGTGGTTTACTGGTAGGTGAGGTCGAACCTACGTTTGCCAGGACAGGATCAGAGACACTTCGTATCGGGGCATTCGAATTCGCTTCTTGTAATGGTCTGCCGTATCTGTTGGGAATGAGTAAACTGTTCATACACATGAAATGAATAAATACCTCGTATAGCCTGGTGTTTGCGGTGGTCTGACAGTTTGTTCAGAAGTATAGAAGTTCTTCTCGGTCGCTAGTAAATCATCAAGGCGCTCTTTTGGCGATCGAGGCTCCTCCAGAGGGCTCTGACTTGATTTCGTGCTTATGAGTGGATGTCGATCGTCAGAACCTTTCATAGGGAATGTGGTTCTGGTCGGAGTGACACTGCTTAAAGTTGATGTAGGAGTAGTACTTGTTTGTAGAGGACTAGGAGCAGCCTTGTGCAGGGACCTAGGACAAGCATGTAAGTGCCCGTAACGAGAAGCTGGTCAACATTGGAGAGAGGTAGCTTACCTATTGCGCGTTTCCAAGACAGGCGAAGAGTGGTTTGCTGACTGAAGAAGTTGAGTGCGACCAGCTGTGGGGCTTTCCTGTGGCAGGTACTGGAGTTGCGTATCAAAAGGTCTTTCGGCCTGTTGCGAAAGTTGTGACATGGCCAGGTAGGCTTGTCGGCTGCTGACACTCCCTCAAGCTCGCTATGTATTCATATGCCGAGACGTTTTGGACTCTAGACTGAGCACCAATTGGTTGTGGGGATATATACAACGGAAAAGGGTCGTCAATCCTCTGCAATTTTTGGTGGCGTCTGTCGCTGCTACTAGGTTCAGAGTTTCGAAATGATTTGAGCGAGTCGATTGATGTCGCACGTTTACAAGAATTCGTTCAAGCAATGATGTTCCAACACGGAATAGTGCACAAATGAGAAACTCAAGACCAGGATGAAAATGTATCGAGTTACGTCCGGGCGCGCGGGAAATATTATTAGAAGATTAGATATTTAAGTTGTTGTGAATTGAGTGAGTCCTGAGTCGTGAGTCGTGATTTGTGAGTTGCGAGTTGTGACTGGGAGATAAAGGTAATGTATTTGGCACAACAGTGAATCTGCGTGTACGAATACTTAGGTACCTATGTCTATGTGATGGTACCACTCCCAAGTTCCGAGGTTTCCTTTGTATATATTATGGTTTGGAGATCGTTTGCTATGGTGAGCAAGTATGGGTAGGTAGAGCATGGGTATGTACAGAAAGATGTTGGAATACGGTATTAAAAACTAATACATAGATGTTGCATTTCGTAGCAAGATCATGGGACCTCACGTCAGCGAGCTTCACGCCAATGAGTAGAAAAAGGGTAATTGATGGCTTAGACGAGATAGAAATAGTTTGTATGAATTAGATAGAAGTGTAGGTAAGGTAGGGAATAGATGAATGGTTGAGGGTTGGAAGTACAGAAAAGTTGCTCTTTTTTTTCTTCTTCGCTATGGATAATCTTTTTTCGTGGTTGGCAATCAAGTCCCTTGCAAGATAGCTCATTGATCAACTCTAGCCCTGTGTCTATGATGCTATGCTACCATCCCTGCCCTTCTTTTTAGAGGGACGCAAGTGATTTAGCACTGAGATTGGTGAATGTGAGAACCTCGGAAAGAAGAAGGTATTGAATGATGTACTGGTCAGTCAGGAACAATCAGAAGGTGAAAAGGCGACAGCAGTCTGCATTAAGTATCTATTTAGTCCTGCTTAAGTTCTTGTCTACCAACCGGATTGCATATACTGAAGTTATATCAACTAATCCTAAATTTGATCTAAAGGATTCTTCGCCTGCTCCCCAAGCTTTTTTCACCAGGGCCTTGTTATCGAATGTGACACGGGATTTAACTGGTTATTGAATTGCCGTGATTGGTAGTAACCTTGGACTTGATTGTTGTTATTGAATGTTAACCTTATTGATATGAACAACAATAACAGGATACATGTTCTTGATCAGGAGTTAGCATCTCATGGATGGAATAGCATTGGAAATACTCTTAAATATTGCCTTTAAATGCTCACGACCCACCATGAGATAGGTTCTTTCGGTACTAGGTGCATACCCGACCCCAATTCAAATACCCCTTCATCCTTCGGTTCCTGCCCATACCCGACGGGTGCAACATACTCTAATATAACAACCAATTAAAGTCATCAACACAGTATGATTGAGGCAAAGTATCTTGAAGTGTACTCTTGGCTTCTTTTAGAGTGTCTTCAACTCCTTCAACTTACGGAAAGTAACTCCTAGTCCCAAAGTGATATCTTCAATACTTAACCTATATGCAATGCAGGAGGAGTTCGTTCGTTCTACTTGTGCACGCTTCCTGTAGGCCGTAGGAGAAAAAACAGGCGGAAGTTGGCCACTATAGGATGTTCACGACACTGCTATCAACTTTAATATGAAATATATAGTTTGATCGAATTCGGAGTAAAGATATGGTAAATCTTTCAATGTCTAAAATCTCATCATTTAATTTGTAGATGATTAAGATTTTAATTACTCAGCGATGTCTTAGTTTTGATGATTAGCATGGGGTCAATTCCCGCTTGTTTCCTCCCCTATGCCTACGGAAAGGCAGGTACAGGTACGCAGCACATATCACAACACATGATACATGCAGGTCTTATCAACGAACAAACTATTCCTCTCTTAATTTCTCTAAGGATTGAATCTATTGAAGGCTTTTTTGCAGTCGCCCTCCATTGTGCTGTTAGTATATTGTAAGATATACTCACCAATAAATAACTTCATTGCCCTCCTCTCATCTCTCCCTTCCCCAGCTCTAATTACCTCCATATCCCCTCAGATCTTATCAAATCTAATAAATAATCCCCAAGCCTCATGTTCACGGCATCTTCTGCAAGCCGTGTCACTTAGCCAAATGCACAGACTTCCGAAAAGCTTGGGGTAAATGAAAACTCACACTTTCCATACTTCCCACACTTCCCATTTGCCAAAAGAAGGATATTAAAACAAAATAGTTTCACCAATTTTTGAGTCATGATGATATACGGAGTATTTCATTTCCGGAAAAAGGGTCAGTGCTGCGGTACTTTAGATAACCCTCATTATTATCACTTTTATGAATCTAGGTACATATAAATGTCTCAGTCTCTCAAGAAGATGTTGGTTCAAAGAAGGATGTGCTGTCAGCTGGCCATGATGGAAAGAAGGATTTCGCTAATCAATTCATGCGAAAGGTATGCGTAGTGCATCGGTAATCATTAATCATTAATCATTAGTACTTACTACTGCTGTAAATAAGTCTTACAAAGTCTGTATATAGTACCCGGAGCGCTTGTAGAAACATCACCGAAACATTAGAAACGGACCCCTTAGTCTTAATTCCAGACACAATAGCAGCCTATTGACATTTTATTCTCATAGCATTGCATCAGATAGAAAATCGATACTTGCTTAGCACATGCGAGCGTAGTATCTTAAATATCGGCCGATTAAGTTGCTTAGCATGAATCTAATTGGGACAATAATGAGAAAGTCGAATTTCTCGAGTATCAGATTGGTAGCATTTGACGCACTGATACGTATTAGAATATTAGAATCCCATGGCCCTTTTATCGCAAATTGATGGGCGGTTTTGCACTATCGGACCCTCAAAACTTAGGTCTAGTTGCATGCAACCTAGTTATTTCTGCACGCCATTAATCCACACACTAAGCATGACAGCGGGCCCCGCATATCCACCAAAGTGTGCTGGAGCAGTCTGGGTATACAGATACAGTAGCTGGTGTGATTTACAAACTACTGATAACATAAAGCTATTCGCTGATTCAATGAATGGTGTTCATCTACTAAGTGAGTGAAGTAATCTCTTACCACATAAGCACACCTCCCTCCATACATGAAGAACCAGCATTTTCCTAAGATGGACTTTGAAACAAGTGTGGAGAGTCAGGTTTGTAAAATGTACTGTAGTGATGCTACCCCCGGATGCAGAGGTACCGTTTGAGGCTCAGGAAATTAATGCTTTGGAAGATATGTTTGTACGGGTACATGTATATCAAGATGTACTTGAGAGATATATAGATGAAGCATACATTCACAGTATCCATCTAGTTTTCTACAGTTTCCAATAGTCTCACAGTCAGAATCACAGTAGACCTGCATTCTAGTCTTTCATTGGTTAACGGCAATGGAAAATCTAGGCTGTGCCAATCTTCAAAGAGAGGTAACGATTAGCCACAAATCACACATGAAACATTTTCAATCACATCTCATAATTCGAGACCAAAATTAACATAACCTCTTTCTCCACTGCCTCAATAAATTACGCACAGCACATATCACCACACTTTAACTTTCACGGCGGTTATCATTTATACTCAACCAATGAAAATATCAAACTCAAACTTTCTTCATAACATACCTTTTTCAGCTCAACCTTAAGTGAGGCTCTAAACAAGGTCTCATGATGAAGAATACTGGGATTACATATAAAATTCACATGCTCTAGTCAATTGAATGTATTCAATGGAGTAATCAGAACTTTCCTCGTTGCCATGAATGAAATGAATGCAGGGAAAATTCTTCAAGAAATTCAGACCTGCATTACCTCCCTCGTTTACATTCAACCAATATCATTCTTGGATTCATCTATCAGCTTCGGATCATCTGCAACGTTATTCTTACCTAAACGACCCTCAATGATGAAATCGTCCTCGAGATATCTGTGTTGCAATAATTTCTCCGGTTTTGTATTTCACAACCAATCAGTCTTGCTATCGTTATTTATTCTCCCATCATGATTCTACCTACATCCGTCATTCATCTAAGTTATAACCAGTGATAACCCAAAGCCAGGTATGAAGAAGCCTCAGCTTGTGTATAAGCCTTTAGGGCATGATATAGTGTGTCTCGTGTTCGTACTTCTTGCTATACATATCTACTCTTCTATAATCTTCACATCATAAGTATTCAATCACAAATCACAGTCCTGGTATCTGTTTATCAATCCAAGCTACAGTACCGGGAACACCGTAGTGAGACTCCTTTCTGTAAAACCTCAAAAGACATGCATTCCCGTTACCATTTAAACCAATACCAATCCTCCCCCTATATTCTCGTCACACACTATTCAGTGCTTACCACCTCGCCACAACATCTCTTCACCATGCAACTAATCCCCGTTCCCTCCATTCCCATCTCCAACCATACTACCATAATCACCCTAACCCCATCCCTCAACTACCGATTCGCCAGCCCAGCCCAGCCTCAGCCCCCCAAATCAACCATACCACAAACCACCATTCCACAAACACTCACAAACCCATAACTCCGAAAAGAGACATGCAACAAAACTTCTCTTTCTGTCTCCCATCTAGTACATCTAATCCATTCAATCCACTCACATCTCACAAATCACGAATACAACATGAGAAACACATGATTTAGTCTCAATACTCGGTTAGTGTTAAGCTTAAGCTTAAGGTTACAGCACCGAGAATAAGAATCCTAATCTCGAGTCCCATCATCTCATAATGTTTGTTCCACGGCTGTAGTTTGAATTTCTTATCTTTCCTATATTTCCTATTTCCTATTTCCTACTCCTTTTCCAGCTTGGTTGTCCCGTTATCGATGGATTTTCTTATATAGATATAGATAGTGTGGTAATTTGTTTGTTGGTACGGATGTGGGATCTTATATTTCCATATTTATATTTATATTCAATCCTACATCCACTTTATATATAGAGCCGAAATCCTGGAATTCCTAACAAGGGAAGGATATCCGATTTATTGGGATGTATAGTGTAAGTTTGTAAGTATGTATAACAAATTGTTAATTGGAGTACTAGATATCTATCTAGATATTCAATGATTAGTGATTGGTGATTCTATTTGAAATAGAAGTTAGATTATATATTACTCGATGGATGAACTCCTTTACCTAGGTATCTACTTCTTAATATTTACTTATTAAATACTAAACACCAGATACAATACCATTTTATATAGCCTAAAAAGCATCCCTCCATCCCTCAAACCAAACCAAACCAAATTAAACCCACAGATAACTTATATCCTCCCCTCATCACCCTAATAAGCCACTAGCCAGCCAGCTACATAACCCGATGTCTTCCCTATCATTTCATCTTTTTATCATTATTCTACCTCGTTATAGCCTCCACTCTATAAGTTTAAACTATACACTCTACATACAATTCTTGCTAGTCATGATCTTATTCTCGATTTAATACCTTATTGCAACCCAATACCCACATCTCACCCAATATCTACTCTCTACCCCCCAACCCCCAACTCCACCCCTCAACTCCTACTCCTACCCTACTCCTATCCGACCCTAACTTAAACCCACACCCCTAACCCTAACCCTTACACACTAAACCTACCTAATTCATCCCCCTCAGTCCATACCTCCAGCATCTCGCATCTTGTATCTCACATCTCGCATGCATTATAATGTAACATCAGCTGCATACCGAATACATACCAGCAACTATTGATTATAATCTTAAGATTAACTCTAACCTATTAGTGATTAATTAATATTCCAAATAATCACAGGCTCTAAGCTTGTGGGAATCGACAATGCACATACTGTGCTAATTTTATGAATTTATATAATAGATAACCTTACCATTCCATTTATGCAAAATTCAAATATTTCGCTTATACAAGGAACGAACGAGTAAAGCACACTTTAAGAATTAATTGTATGCATGGAAATAATCAGTGTAGAACTGAGTGGAAGAAAAGAATTTCATGTATACTTAATTCATGTCATGTCTTATAGTGTATTCTATAGGTATACATAGGTAGGGCATCTACCGTAGACCATTCAACCCATACTGTCTACTCAATCAAAAGAACCAAACCATTAATCTTCCCTCGCATTAGCTTCATCAAAAACAGCTTCTGCCTCCTCCCTCATCCTAATTCCTTGATCTCCTGCCACCAATCCCAAAGCTCTATCTCTGGATGGTTTCTCCACACTATTGTTATTCTTCCGTCTCTCTCCAGACTGACTTCTTGGTAATTTTCCCCGTCCCTTTTCTCGTATCTTAGCTACTTCTTCCAAGCTACTTCTCCATGATCCATCACCACCATCACCATCACCATCACCAAATCCAAATCCCCTTTCAAAATTTCCTTTCCTGTCTTTCTCTGTACTTATCTTAGTCATTTGTAACCTTCTGATATCTCCCCTCCTCTTCTGAGCAGTCTGCCTTGCAACATGCGCCAAGCTATTTACACCAAGTCCATCCAATGCACTAAGATCCGTGAGTAGTTTTCTGACCTTGTATCCTGTGATTTCTTCAATAAATATATCGACTCCATCTTCACAAGCTGCTGCAGTAGCGACCCTCAATCCCCTGAACATCTTCTTTGTATCTCTTTCATGTCGGGTCTGTTTTTCCAATGATCTAAGTTGACTTTGTAAATCACCTACTGATTCAGAGACTGACAGTTTAGGATTGATATCCAATAGGATAGGAATATCAGGCAGCTTTGCATAAGAAAGAACTTGGCCTTGAACGTAGTCAGGACTTGTTGATTGGTTTGACTGAGTAGCTTGGATGGGTGTTGGTATGGACGTAGAATTTGATTGTGGTGGAGGTACTCGGTCCAATATTGACCTTCTTTTGACCGGATCAGGAAGTGGTGCTAATATTTGTTCTGAGGTTGATTTTCCTCCACTTTTACGAACATCCGATTGACGAGCAAAACATTCTTCATCAGCTGATGAATTCGTTTTCCTTTGTTTCTCCTTTAAACCAATGCCCGTTCTTCTCATTTCGTCATGTTCTTGCCATCTAACATCTCTCTCTACCTGTCTCTTGAAAGATTGACTTGCTATGGTATTTGTACACTTATCTAACTCGGTCATAGATAGATTGCACCCCTCACAATGTACTGCTTCAGGAATCTCACACATTCGCATATTTTTCTTCTTCGAAGTTGGTCCAAATCCAATGGACGGACTTGGCACCGATGCCATATTTGAACGGACTTTTGAGTCCTTGATCGTGTTTAACTCTACATTACACTGGGTACAACGAAGTGGAGACTGCGGGCTGCAGGACGACGCGACTGTAGAAGCAGCGCGTGGAATTTGATGTGGAGGTGCAGGCCCAGATATACTGACAATCTTTGCTTCTTGGGATAGTTGTCGCCTTTGACTTTCGTCGATTAAAGAAGACTTAAGAACAAGACCTCGACGTTGTTGACTTTGAACAGTAACGGGAATTTGAGTAGTGAAATGTGGAGCTCGGGTAATGAATGATGGAGCAGCACTTGTCTGGGTGGCATGATTTTTGAGCAGGCGTGTATCTTTTTGTGCTATGACGTCCCCTATGGTAAGCACAGCACGCGGTTGGTTGGGGAGGTGCTCCAGACCAGCGAAATCTGCCACCCCAATATTATCACCTTCTTCAGGACCAACGAATGAATGCTGATAAATGGTTGCAGCTGGTGTTATAGGAATATCAGAGGACGTGGTAGTAGTAGGAGTTCGAGGGATTTGATCTGGGAAAGAACGAGTGTGCTCCGGTGGAGTATCGAGATGCAATACTATAGAAGAAGACTGTGAATTTGGCTGACTCGTGAATTCCGAGTACGGGGGTGATGCAGCAGCATCTCCAGCCAAATTGCTCAATCTGGCGTGTTTTATAGCAGCGCCAGAGTCAGGGGCAGGCTCGGCTGAGGTTGGTGGCTTACGAAGCCATGGTAAGGATTTCTTGGCAGGAGACCTCGGACGTTCAGGTGGGACAACGGATTCCGGGCGATATGCTTTTCCAGGCGACGATGCTCGCGGATGTGCCAGATCGCAACATGGTGGAGATTCAAGACGATCGTTTGGATCGTCTCGCTCATATGCTGGTGTCCACTCAATGACAGTTTCTTCTGACGCAAAACTCATTGTCGAGATTTCTCTGTCCGGCTTTGCATGGTCAGGTACTGACTTCTTGATCAGAACATTTGAGCCCTTTATTCCCATTTCGTCGTCGGGTAGAGTAGCTTGTAGTGGTTCTTCAATATCAGAGAGAGACCTTCTTCGATCAATTTCAGATTTCGCTAGCAGCCCAGCGCTGCTATGTTCGTATGGCACTGGTTGGACTTCCGGAACGGTACTCCTACGTCCGTATGACTGAACGCCCAAGACGGATCGGTTCCGTTGTTCTGCCGATGTTACAGCTAATCCAACAGCTTGAAACTCGGCGTGGTAAGGTTTGAATTCTTGTATAGTCTCTATCGTTTGCGTGGAGAAACTGGTTGAGGGTGCAGATGAAATAGGCGTTTGCTTTGGGGCCTGCTTCGCGGTTTGAAGATATAACTCAAGTTCCCTAGTGAACCGTTTCAAAGCTCTTCTTTGGCTAGGACTACGAGAAGAAGGACTCGAAGTAATACTTTGCACAATAGAATGAACAGAAGGAGGGAATGAATTTCCTTGAGCAAGACTTGCAAGTCTGGATGCTTTAATAAATGATGTGCTACCTGTTGAGATCTCCTTTTTAGAAGGATCGCCTGATGTAGATATCTCTGCCTGGGTGGTGTTGAGACGAGTGGAATTTTTCTCTTCGTATAGACTCGCGAGCGTAGATGCAGCCAAGAAAGCTCTGCTTCTAGCTGGAGAGACAAAACCATTAAGTATGGATGGATGATACTTCCTATACAAGCTCCTGGAATACACTCGGCTGTCTTGTGGTGCGGTCGTTCCGGGATTCGCTTGGTAGCGACGGACTTGATTTGCGGCTGCTCCAGTCAATTGTCTCGAGTTGATAGAGTTTGTTCGACTTCCCGCTTGAGTCTTTATATTATATTTTGCAACACTACCCTTGACTCTATTGAAGCTTGAACATCCAGCGCCGTCTACAGAGTGAATACGACTTTCGTCAATGATTTCGTAAGAATGGGGTAGTTTCGATTCGACGACACTTTCGGCAGATGGAAAACAATTATCACTATCTTGATCCTGCCTAGTAATATCCGAACTAGGTGATTCCCATCCAAAAACTTCTTGTCTAGCTTGCTTCGAAGCACGGTTTTGCGAGCGAGTGACTATAAAGCTCTTTGAGGCTCTGGATCTTCGACTACGAGCCTTAGTCTTTTCTTTCCTTCGAGCCTGTTCTAGCGCTCGACAATTGTGTATTTCGCAAGTGCCTTTATTGGCGTGAGAGGCACAACGAGTGAAATTGGTTTGAGAACGATTCGAAGCAATATCTATGCGTGGAAACGTTCGATGAGGACAGCCCTTCCAATGTATATTGAAATTGACCATTATTAACTATAAAAATAGAATCTTTGAAGAATGCATATTTTAGGAAATGTGAGGTCTTCGAGATTGTCGAGACTGAGAAATTAAGGGAGCTTCCCGATGTCCACTGCTCCTGCCCTTCCAAATAAAGCTCCGTACATGATCCGCCAATCTGGAAGGTAAAATTCTTCCATCAAGCATATGAGTTCCCTCACCGAATATCTTTAATACCGGGTGAAGAATACATGTCGACCTGCCGCTGGCCTTTTCTCAGAAGGTACTCAATCGCACTGAAATCCTTCTTATCTAAAGTTATACTTTTGTCAAATTCGAGTCTGGATTTATCAATAATATTAGTAAGGTCTGTACAAGGAAAGTAGAAAATGGTAATTGTTCAGTAGTTGACGCACCTCGCAAATGCTTCAAAATGCTTTCTCGACTCCTTCATCTGGTTAATAGTTTACACTGAATCCTCATAGGAAACACCACTCACAGCCGGTTTTTTCCTACTTTCTCTCAAGCATTTTCTATAAAGAGCGAGAACCTCCCTCTGAAGCCCTGATAACTTCACCATGTTTCTTTCCTTATTTATTAATTGATTGATTGATTGATTGATTGTGATTGAAGATGTCTTCTGAATAGAAGTAAAAGAAAATAATTGATGATGCGGGCATCAGTGATGACTGACATGCAGGGGTGGGCTCTGAGGTGGGGGATTAGATAAGCGGCCTCAGTGTTCTAAATGCTCCTTTCTTGGGGTTGAACACACAGATTCTACACACCCCAATGCCATTCCAATAGTCTGAGAAGCATCATTCCCTTTAGATTGATTGTTTAGAATGGAGTTGGATACTGATTATTCGGTGGCGCAAAATGAATGGGAATTTTGACGATTCAACATTCAAATTGTACAGGAAATGCTACACTCCGTAGATTCACTCACAATCATAAGACCATTCTCTATTTTACCCTATGTAGAGCCCACTGGTGAGCCTCTGTAGAAGGTTAGGCCGAGAGTATGAAAACACAGAATATCACGCTTCAGGACTAGTACTCAACAACAATCGCGCTGCCCAGATTCAAAAAATGCCCCATCTCGTCCTCAAACTCCATACATCGAGGAAGAACTCCAAAAGCTTTATACTAGTAATCTAGAGCTGCAGTAACTTCAAACCCCTTCTGCATCATGGCGAGCGACTTCCAGCATCCGGTCGCTTTGAGAATGCAGGTCTGGCAGCTTCTTGGCCACACTATCTCTCTACTAATCAAAAGTGGCTATCTAATGTCGCTGTGGAGGACAACGATTCTTTCAAAGCAGGCACAATGTGGTGGAGACAGTGTCTCCAGACGATTGATTCTGATGGCAAGCCCGTGATTTCAGCAACACCAGATGAGAGGTTAGCGGAATGTGTAGCCACGGGCAACTAACAGATCAAGGATGGAGAAGTGCACATGCGCTGAATTTACGTCTCCGACATTTGTATATGGACCAACTGCAATTCTTTGCCATCCACAAGTAACCCGTAACCCGAACTCTGGAATCATTACAAAGATCCTTCTCTGCATCTATTCTCAACAATTTCAGTCCCTGTAAGAATCATACAGGATCAACTTGAATGGTCCTAAATTTCCAGGCAAGCCTGAACCTGCTGGTTATTGATTTCGGTCAATATTGTGCCATTGGTTCAATACGACAAAAAAATTTACAATGAATTGTACATGAACGGACTCGCTTCAACCCATCTTAAGAATCATGGCTCCGGCTGATCAAAAGCATGGAAGTGGATGGAGAGGAAAAATAAATTGGGAGAGAACGTTTACAGAAGTCTAAATCTCAGCGTGTTTGTCCTGAACCGAGCCAACACGCCCAAGTGTGTTCAACCTTTAATCTCAGATAATTCAAACTCACTAGGAATCCTTCCAGCTTCTCGCTAGAGACAATTAGCTCTTCTACAACCAAGTGCCCAGAAACGTTTCTACCGGTACACGCTACCGTCCTTATTGCGCTGATCTCAGTCACACGATAGGCAAACATGTAATCAGAGACGCTGTTCGACTTTACTTCTCTATTCTTTCTATTTTTCATCTCAATCTGTAGCCCAATTGCAACAGACAACGTCCACTCGTTAAAAACTGCCGCACCTAAGCAGAATTCAACATATTTCCCTACCCAGCGTTCCCTTTAATCGTGATCGATGCACTTCGCCCTACCTTGACACCGCGGGCCCGTGACAATGTAGATGGGCACCTTGGCGCCCTGTGCTTTCAGACTTTCTTCAATACATTCCACATCGGGCTCAAAGTACTTTGTGTCCAGTCGACGGAACTTCTAGAGATATTCTCTTGCTTGTTGCGATCTCGTGCTGACATCGGCTCGATTCTAAGGATTATTTGAAGGAAGTTCTATATTTTCCTCCTTCGATCAATGGTTATCGTAGCACATTCATCGGGCCGCAGTCACTTACATATCATTATATTGTCTTTGAAAAATGTTCCTCCGCGGATGTTCTCTCTGGCGACGACATCGAGATCAAACTCTTTACTTTGTGTGATCCGCCGGGCAAATACCCCTGAGCTAGGCGCCACTTTGAGCAGCAAGCCTGCCGCATGCGTTTGATGTCAACTTGTGCCAGTACAAGTGGCAGTTTCCTTCAACTAAATCCTATAAATAAACCGACTGTCATAGCGGGGCAGGATTTCGCTTGGAAGATCAATTTCAGTGTCGAGGATTGCTATCTTCACTGCGCACCGGCTCCTTGCCGATGAAAAGAAAGGCATTAGCTGCTAGAGAGAAAATGTAGGTCCGGAGCACCCAGAAAATCTAAGAGTGTAAACAACCCTGCGAAAGCCCTGTTATTCCAAGGAACGTATGAGGAAGCAGAAGAGGTCTATTGGCATGCATTGGCTGAGGGGAGGGGGAGTATTAGGCCGTGGCACCTCGGCACAATGGAGTGTCTCAGCAACTTAGCGCAAGCTCTTGTTTGCCAAGGCAGTTTAAAGCAGCCGAGGGACTGTATTAGCGAGCAGTGGCAGAAGGAGAGAAGACATTTGAGCCTGATCATCCTTATGTATTAGAAAATATTCACACTCCTGGAAGGAGCGCTTTGAAACCAAGGCCAAGATAAGAAAGAGAGGAACTATACCGGAACAAAACGTTATAACCTAAGGGGACATCTGAAAAACTGGGGCAATACGAAGCAACAAAGGAGCTTTATCGCCAAGTACTGGAGGGAAGGACACAGGTGTTGGAAAACGGGCACGCAGACACACTATAGAGCGTCCACAACAGAGGAGGTATCCTTCGAAATCAAGGGCAACATCAAAGGGCCATAATTCTTGACCAGCAAGCGCTGATAGACAGAGAAAAGACATTAGTATAAAACTAGCCCAATGGCGTACAGTTGAGAAGTTTGAACAATGTAGATTTATTGCTTGAAAAACAAGAAGAATACACGGAAGCAGAGAATATATATTGACAAGCATTGACTGCGGGGGAACAAATTTTAGGAAAGGAACATATAGACACGCTAGAAAGCATTAACAACATTGGTGGTGTCCGCTTGAACTTTTAGACTACATCGTGGCAGAGTCTCTTCATAGAGAAGAATTAGAGGAAGGAAAAGGACTCTGGGACTAGATCACCCTGACACATCGAACAGTATAAGCGACTTGGAGAAGAGTCTTGAATTTTTGGACCGGCTTGAGGAAACAGTTGTTCCCCCGACAAACCACAGAAAGCAAGGAGATGCTGCTTTGGCACGAGTATCCCCATACTCTACAGAGTGCTGCGGACTGCGTCGGACTTGTTAGGAAGATTAACTTGGAGAGAGAATCGATCGCTGCCAATTAGGATGAACACAGGACTATTAGTGTCGATGGGTTCGTGATGATATCATTTCTTTCCAATTTGAATTATTCTAATCAATCTGAAGTCGCATGGAGGTGAAGCCACCAGTGAGCTTTAATTCTGATCAGGTCTAGCTCTCCTTGACTATCGTGTTACCAAGGAACCGTCAAAAGTTTCAATGTTCTAATCCAATTTTGCTTGTTCCAAATACTCCAAAAAACGATACCTTTTTATATTCGTTGATTTATACATATCAATTTTACCACATTTTCTTGTCGTAGAAAGGAGGTATTTCAAGATATGAGTCAGCAAAAACTCCAGAAAGATGTGGCTGGAGGTGGGGAAATATTTACCTCGGGAGATTCCTCATCTCATTTGATATCTATCTTATCGCGAGTGTTGAATCCCAATCTGAACAGCATCTACTCTAGAATACCTTCATTCATTCAATTAATTCATTATCAATTGCTACAATGTCATCGCCTTCATTCTCCGTAAGTTCAATCCAATCAATAGCACTGCATCTGTTGGACCTAAATCATTAGCTACCTATACAATACTAATGTTCCTCTAGCGACTTGTCCGCTTCCTAGCTAAAAACGGTCGTACATACTACGGCGATGCCATTCTACCCAAAGGAGTATCAGATATTGCGAAAGCTACTCAAGCCAAAGTGATAACAGGTGAAATTTTTGGGAAGCATGAGGTTACAGATCAAATACAGGATATTCGGCTCTTGCTCGCTCCTTTAGCAACCGAAGATGTTAAGACTGTGAGATGTTTGGGGTTGAACTATGAACAGCACGCTAAGGAGGTAAGCATTTATGGATATGAGTCTTGAATGCAATGAAAGAAGATGGATTGACTCAAGCTGAGTATCTCTAGTCAAATATGCCGATTCCAAAATTCCCAATTCTGTTTGTAAGTCCATGTTTCCGTTCCCCCGAAATTTCAACAACAATTAACGTCCCAAAGTATAAACCCATCACATCACTCTCTGGTCCCACCGATTCCATTCCCATCCCCGCGATGGCTCAAGAAGGTACTGGTCTTGACTACGAATGCGAACTTGTAGTGGTGATTGGGAAATCCTGCACCAATGTCTCCGAGTCTAAAGCTTTAGATTATGTTCTTGGTTATGCCGTAGGTGATGATGTATCTCATCGTGAATGGCAGATTCAACGAGGAGGAGGTCAATGGGCTCTCGGAAAAGGATTTGATGGATGGGCTCCGTATGGCCCGGGAATTGTCTCCAGTAAATTGATTGATCCGCAAAATCTTCAGATCTTTACGAAATTGAATGGGAAGACGGTACAGGAGAGTAGCACCAAGGATATGATTTTTGGTGTTGCGAAAACTATTGCCTTTTTGAGTCGGGGAACTACATTGTTACCAGGAGATTTGATTTTCACGGGAACGTGAGTATTGCGAATTATTTACGTTATGATTTCTTGATCAGAAAGATGCTAAAATATGAATAGTCCACAAGGTGTAGGGATGGGAAGAAAACCACAAGTATGGTTGAAGGATGGTGATGTGGTTGAAGTTGGATTAGAAGGGGTAGGAAGTTGTATTAATAAGGTTGAATTTACTCAGACAGCTGAGAAAGCGAAGCTATAAGTTTCTAGACGTTGAAGCGTGTGAAGTGTGGATATCAATTGAAATAAGTTCAACAATACAACAATTCATCCTATAGTCATGCCTGTGGCAGGGCATAACGTTCAGCCTGGGTTCATATTGAGTTTAATGAGTCCAAGCAGTTGGAGTCAGAGGCAGGAGATCGTTTATGGAGAGGATCAATGGAGATGGTGATTTGAACAGGATCGATCTTGAGTTATAAGATTATGTCCAGAGGGATATTCATTGGGCATCCTTTCTATATCTCGATCTGATGATTGACACACGCACGCACTGCCTTTCCACCAAGTGCACAATGAAGCACAAAAGCCCCTTTGAGCAGTCAATAGTAATCCCCTATATCAATCTTACAGCAGCTTTCGCAAATGGCAATGAAGATCCAGAGAATCTCTGATTATTATAGCATTAGTGATGCCATAAATCATCTATCTCGAATACCTTCTTTTGGTACTAGTAGTAGAGTCTTAATAGTAGTATCAAAAAAGAATATACCCCTTAACTTATTTACTCGCGTCCTCCCATAGCGAAGAACGGACAATGTATGCGAGATGATCTTCTAGTCCCTAATGATCTATTGACAACTCTGTCGTTGTTATTTATCGGGCTATCTCTTGAAAGAATTTCACTATTATTGGATAATTGGATTGGCTTTATGGATATGGAAAATTGTTATTTATCATCCTACTCATAATTCCATATTTCAATACAGAAATTCACGCCCCAATAAGGTTACCACCCCTTCGATTGTATTCTAAGATCATTTATTATGAAATGAATTGAGATCTTACATGAAGAATAGGAATAAGAATATTGCCATTTCAGCTGCATTTCATATATGGTAGGTCTTAGTTTCAACTGTCTTTGATTTCTTTGATACAGAATTTCATTTCTAATCTTTGATATATAGTGTGTAGAGTAAAGTCGTGTCTGTATATAAATGGTTAAATGGGTATTTGAAGACTGGTGGTTCTAATCATCTATCACATCTACTCAAATTTCAATCTATCCATCACATCTATCATATCTATCAAATATTTCCCGACTAGGAGAGATCTTGCATACGGATTATATATCCCAAACCACATATAACATCCACTAGGTGATCTAACATCTTCAGCTATAACCTTCAGCCATCCCAGTTCAAGCCCCTCGTACCCATGATATAGTTATACAGCGTAGCATCTAGATCTTAGCTCTTATCTTCGATCCTAGATCTTACATACCACCATACCATACTATACCGTACGAGTACATGCATGAAGATATTGACAGCTCAGCTCAAAATCCGTCAATCCCCCACGAAAATTCCCCGCAACATACTCCGTATATATCATACACCCCGCTAATCTCGATCTTTTCCCCAACCCAAAAGAAGCAATAAGTCTCAACTCTCAATTCTCAACTCCCAAATCCCAAAGCGCATCATGTATGCACACTGCACCACAATCACAACGTTAACAAACAGAAGAAAAAAGCAAATATCTAAGGTTAGTCGAGTAGAAATCTCGGCGATTAACCCTATCCCATCTCACCACACATAAAAATGATGAGCAAAAATCACTTCGCTTGCCTGCCTGCCTGCTTGTGCATGCATATGCACGATGAAGATTTACTTACCTGGTATTGTGATATGATTTCTTTTTTAGAATATGTGTGTCGCATATCTAGATTCTGGACCGCAGACTTTGGATTTGGACTCGGGTTAATGGTTAGTGATTAGTGATTAGTGATCTGATTAGCTAGTTAGCTAGTTAGTTAGCTAGTTAGTTAGCTACGGAGATACATCCGTCCACTTGATGCATATCCTATTTCGCACATAAGAAGTACATATAGATATACAATAAAAGGGGACGCCAATTGCAAACACCTATGAAAAAAGCAACGCATAGTAACACAAAGTAAATCCAAGCAAGCACAGTATATCGCATCTAAAATCTCTAAACTAGCGTCGTCTAGATCAAGGACAGGATAGGTAAGGGCCGAACATTGATCCTAATTCTAATTCGCTCTGACATTTCGTTCCCCTCCTCTCCCCTAAGTTCCATCCCTTCAGTCATATTCATATTTTCTTTTTCTTTTTCTTTTTTCCTTTTTCCTCTTTTCTTTTCTTCTTTTCCCCCTTTTTTACATCATTTTATCCCGAAGATCTGATCTCAATCTCATTTCCTCACCAGATCTCATCAGATCCCACCAGATCTTCACACCCAATCCAATCCACCAGTGATCAGATTTCTTATCTAAATCTTCACATACATACTTATCCGAATCCTACCTAGATCTTATCCGTACAATGGCTGGCTGGCTGAATCCATCCATCCATCCATCTAATCATCTCCAAACCCACCCTTCCCAGTTCACCATTCCATACACACCTCACACCTCCTAAGGTCCAGGATAAGATTAACCAGGATCTAATCCATAATCCCCTATAAAAGTAAAATATTATACATCACATCACATCACATCACATCAAAATCAATAACAATAACAATAACAATAACAATAACAATAACATCATCATAGAATATAGAACATCAAACGCAAACGACAGAGATACCTCGAAAGATAAATCATAAATCTAAGGCAGGCTTAATGCATATGTAATACGGAGTATGGGTATTCGTATCTAAAACACGCGTATGTATATCCTACCTATCCATCCGACATACCCATCCCCAACCAGAATAAGAACATACCTAGTAATCTTATATAAAATACAAAGGAAAGACACAAAAGATAAAAATAGGAGGGGCAACAATTCATAGGGTCGATTTGAGCATTAGATTGTAGGGGATGTATTCAATCGCCAGTTCTTCCACAATGATCCCATCTACCTACTACCTAATACACACACCCTTTTTATGAAATTCGATATTCTCGTTTAATTATGCGATTAGTACTCTACTCTACTCTACCCATTTCCAAGTTCATCAACTCATACTCATAAAGCGAGCGATATATTAGGTAGGTCCCTAGCTAGGTAGTTTTTAATCCTGAATTTGTAATTCACCAATTTATACACATCCAGTATCCATCCATCCATTCATCTACCTAATCATAATCCATAAAAGCCATGAACAGTATCTTCTTAGGTATTAATAATCAAAGTTCTTCCCTCTCCTTCTCCCCCTCCCTCTCCCTCTCCCTTTCTACCACATCCTCCATTCCCGTAAAATTATACCGCGGTCTCCTCCAATCCAACGGATCACCACCTGGCAAACAAACGCCCAATCTCCAAAAATAATCTCTATGTGCGAAGAATAGTTGCCAGAGTTTATATCTCGTAGGAACGGGAAGTTTTGGCCATCTTTTTTGGATTCTGTTCATTGCTTCATCCATTTCTGTATTAGGTTCTGCTTCTTCAATATCCCATTTTGAATTCCGTATTTCGTCAAGGAAGTCCACTGGAATAATTGAAGATATATCCTCCTCTTGAAACCACAAATTGTCTCCGTCACTTCCAGTAATACAATCTTTATCTTCATCACCGTAACAAAGATGAATGTCTTGAGGCTCAGGCTGCAAATTCTCCTTCCCAATGTATATCTCTCCGGCATGACTTCTATATCCCCATTCTTTCAGAGGAAGTAATGGTACCGGATCTCCTACATGTGTTACCCTTCTATATCTTCTATTCATACCGTCGTGATTTCTCTCATCCAACTCAAAAACTCCATCAATAAATTCCATTAACCCATCATTTCCAATCATTGGCTCCCCAAAAGTTGTAACTGTCGTTCTCCATCCATTCCCTTCGAGTTCTAGTCCTGCAAGAGCGGCAACTGCTCCACCAAGTGAATGTCCTACAAGATGCAACTGATATTCTGGATATTTCTGTTTCAAGACATTAAGATGCGGTAGGATATATGGACGGGTATTAAGCCATGAAGTATAGAAGCCTGTGTGAACCGTACAATTTGTACACTTTCTCTCCAATTTTCCCAAATTTTGTTCTGCTGTCATCGACTTTAATGCGTGTTGCCACCTAAAGGGCCAAGGTCGAGGAATTCGATTGAAGAACCGTTGTACAACACTTGTTTCAGAAGTAACACCAGAAGCATCCTGGTCACCAGGCTTATCGGGATCCTCAGGATATGGTATATATTCTTGCGGGACGGTACTCAAATCTGCAATCGTATTCGCAATAGAATAAGTACCCCTAAAGGCGACAATGATTCTACCTTCTCTCCCAGTCCCTCCATTCTGCAATCCATGATCTAGTACAATATATCCAGAACTATCACTTTTTACCACCCCTGTATTAAACGTATCTACCAACTCATACCCTGGAAATTCATCGCAGCGACTGGCGCATTGAAAAGGCTTTGAAATCCCGCTTGTGCCAATACAGTAAGATATGTCGACCAGACGGGCAAGTTCTTCCAGAGAGTGGAAGAGGGGTAAAGATATTGTTGGCTGGTCGTGCGCTGACTGGAGTTGCGCAGAGATGGAGGAGGAAGGAGAAGATCGAGTGTGAGAGGCAGAAACGGATTGATCAATTGATTGGGATGCGAGAAAGGCAGCATGGTGCAATGGCGTGTTTGCAGATGTTGGATGTGCGAGGGCAGACGATGCGATCCCCAGGAAGGTAACGGCGAATATGGTATTGATGCTAAGGAAGCGCATCTTGTCTCGTGGTATCTTACATATTCAGATGGGATAATTTATTTAAAGGAAGAGTAATTATGTAAGGTAAAAGGAAGGGAAGGGCCGTGTTGACATGAAGCTAAAGTCTCTGAATGTTGAAGTTGGTCGTGTGATAATTTGAAGTCGGTGCTGCAGCGTCATTGTCTTAAGCTAAGCAAAGCTAACGAAGCGAATCTTGTTACCCCAGATTTCCTCTTCCAGTTCATCACATTCTAGATTTAGCAAATAGCCAAATCATGGGATACTTAAATCCTTGGACTCATTCTGAACATATACTTTAGAAATTGTGAATGTGTTTGAATTGAGTGGTATGGGCAAATAATATATCCAATGTAAGTCTAACGAGGAGCAAAAACTCACTCACGAGTAGCTTTTACCTCGACAATATTTCCGCAATTAATAGCACTAAGATGTAACCTAAACCCTCCCGATATTTCCCATACATTAATTCATACATAATTCCCGCCCATACCTGTTCCTATTCCTGTAATTGATTTCCCATGTCTCCCCAACCTTACCAATCTGGTCTCCCACCCTGATCATAATAAAAACTCCAAGATCCAAAAAACAAACATCTGAAGACTCCATAATGCTACGCTGAATGCTCCTGTACCCAACCAGTCTTCTGTCTTAATATCCTAATATTTTGACATCTACCAAACGCCATGAAAACCTAGCCCGCTAAGTTGTTTAAATCCCAAGATTGTAATGCAAATATACAAAAGAAGAGAAAATAAAAAGACGCCACATTATTCCGAACAGCAGAATACTCCCTGCTGAAAATTCCCGATAATGAGTTTCTCCATATCAATAACCCGATACGGCTTCGCTAAAAAACTCTGCATGCCTGCTTCCTTTGCCCTCATCGAACAATCATCTGTGATATCAGCTGTGACCGCCACAATCGTCGCCGTTTGCCCATGAGATTCCGCCAATTTCATTATCTCCCTTGTAGCTTGGTAACCATCCATATTTGGCATCCATATATCCATCAATATAATGTCATAGCGACCCGATGATTTTGATAAGGAGGCTTGATAAGAACGAACGGCGTCTGCACCGTCAAATGCAAGTGTAATGCTATCTGCACCGTAGCCAAGTCTGCTAAGGGCTGTGAAAGCGAACTTTCGATTGATTACGTTGTCTTCTGCAATGAGGAAGTTGAGAGGGTATTCTTTGGCAAGATTGGCATTGGGAGTTGCTCGTCGACGTGGAGTTTTTATTGGAACCGTTGTATAAGGAGATATAACGGCATCTCGAGTAATTCGAGGGTGACTAGGCGATGAGCCAACTAGTGGAGTTACCGACCTTTTCATATCCAGAGCTGATATCGGAAGACGTATCAGGAATTCAGATCCCTTAAACGGACCTTCTGTTGCAGATCTTTCCAACGTAACATCACCACCAAGATTCTTCCTAACATGAGCTTTCGCGTTGAATAAACTAAGGCCTAGTCCATCTTTCGGTCGACTAATTGATGCATTCTCTTGGAAATGAGGTTGAAATAGACGTAATCTCGATTCTTCGGTAATGCCGCATCCTGTATCAACCACCCATACCTCGACCATGTGCCCAGTACTATTAAGTTTGACCGTTATTGTGATCCTGCCACCGTCCGTAAACTTGATTGCGTTATCGATTATTTTTGAAATTGAGAATTGTAAATGCTGTTCTTCAGTAAGAATGGCCTCCGGAACGTCGGGCTGGATCACTAATTCAATTAAACACTCTTGCATTTCACCCCTTGACCCTTGTGTTCTCACTTCAATCATCTCACCAAATTCGGTTATGGTATGGTGCTCTCTGGTTGGATAATCGCTTTTGAGAGCATCACTGATAAGATTCCGCATAAAATCACGGGTGATGATACGTTGATGCCCCGAGTTCATGGAAGCCGGCGAAGTAAGTGGACTGGGTTTCGAGGCGAAAGGAAAGCCATCTGACTCCATCTGTACGTCCGAAGTCATTGTGACTGTGGATCGAATAATATTCTCCGAGCTTGAACTTGTCGTAGAAACTATTGTGGAATCGATATCCCTTAAATGGCGCGACATTTCTCGCTCGGATAAAGTGAAGGTACGTTTAGGAGGAGATCCTAAATTGAGCTCAAGGTCTTCAGAACGATTTCGTTTGTTCAAAGTTGGAGATGAAAATGCGTCCTGTAAATGGGCATCGTTAGGCTGGTAATAGTTTGGCGTTAGTACAAAAGATTTATTTCCATCATCTTCAGGAGTTAAAGGAACATCGGGCATTTGCATGTTAAGATCGTATGCGTGGACGACATTATCGGCTGCTTCTATTGCCCTTCTAGAGCTTTCTGTGTAAGATCAGTATCAAATAGGTAACCATAACGATGGGATTCACTTACCCTGCACAATCTCAATATTGCCTTTGAGATCTGCAAAAACAGATCGAGCCCGCTCATCCTGTTGGTTTGCGACAGCATCGAGTACAGTTGAGTACATGATGTCTAGCATCCCTACTACTCCTTGCATAGGTGTCCTTAGCTCGTGGGATAGGCTTCGGGCGTATGGTTTAAGTGACTGCGAAGCGGTGATAGGTGAAAAAGGTATGATCTGTGCTGGAAGGGACTCTGGGAAATTAGTCTCTTTAGCGAAACCGTGCCCCTCCGTTATGCGCTGGAGAATCATGTCTTCAAGAGAATGCATGAACATTTCTATGAAGCTCCAACTAAGCGTCCTTCTTTGGGCACCCTCTTCGGACCATAATAATGCAAAGTGGGCAAAAGATTTGTCTTCCACAGATAATGGCACGCCGATAAAGGCCTCTGATTGACTGCATGGCATTATGTCTGCACTGTTAGGTGTTACCTCCTTCATTCTCTCGGGTACAATGACTACTTTGTCATATTTCATATAAGCGCAAGGTGTACCAAAGGCCGTATACTTGTAATCTCTTTCAAGTTTAGGTTCCTGATCCCCACTTTTGGTATAAAAAGCAACACCCATTAAACATGAGCCTTCTTCTCCAAATTCTGGAAGTTCACCAGCGGTATCCTGTTCATCCACCGGCATTCGTTTAGCAACCAATCCACACTGAGCTCCTGTTATATCGCACATTTCCTCCATCAATACTCTCCAGAAGTCGTAGGTGGCAGCCTTGCGGAGCCGAGATTTCAGTTTAACCAAGCGTTCCAAAGCATTGCTTTCCGCGGCAGCCGGGAAGCATCGACCCAATGTGTTTGTAAAGCCTTCATCACCGCCATGCAGTATGGAATCGTCTGTGAAGTCTGACAAGCACAATGTTTCTCTGTCTATGAGATCGTGTGGTGCTCGTGTCCCTGTTCCCGTTACCCCCGTCATTTCCTCCCCAATCCTCTCAAGGAATGGATTTTTTATCGGAGTCTGTGTCTGTGTTCGTCTAACTCTTTGACGTTGGGGTTTGTATATTCTCGAAGTGCAAGGCTTTCCCTCAAAGCCCTCACGACGATATCGTGGCACTTGCATTCCAATTTCCGGTTTAATCGTGGGTATGAATGCATTAAGCATTTAGTCAAGCGTTTCGCACGCTGTTTGCCTTAGCCAAAACGATCGAAGCAAAGGTCATCGACGACAAGGTACAATGGAAATGGTAGGGGGATATGTTTTCGAAAGAGCATATGAGTGCCAGAGTACCGGTATGAGATTGCACCTCATCCAACAGTGGGGCTTTCTCTATTGATCGACGAGAAAATGATGGATGGGTCGGAGAGAAGTTAATTGAGGGTGTCGACCACAATGGAAACCCCGGTAAATGGAATTATGCGCGAATGTGATTCTAGACTCCTGTTCGATGACAGAGTGTTAGAAAATATTCTAACCAAAACTGTGGTGGATGAGGAGGGGGGGGTTCTAAAGGGTCTGGATTCAAAAGTTTAAACAAACATTGAAACTTAAAGGACTGGGTGAGTCTGGGTCGGGTTACTAGTAGTTGCGGCACTAGGGCCTATAGCAGTTGGATTTTATTGGTCAAAGAGCATTGAATTGATATCCCAAAGTGTAAAACTTCAACTTTGACTTCAATGGAAGGGTTTTGATAATATATTTCGAAATAGATGATGCGGATAAGATATGTACGAAAAGGGCTTCTTGCCGGTAATATGTAAAGATGAACACTCTATGATATAAAAGTCGAAAGATATAAGAGTACGGAGTATATAGTAGTAAAAGAGATCAATGATTGATCGATATAATAATACTGGCTAGGTAGGTAGTTTTGGCAGGAATAAAAAAATAGGGATAGTTCAAAGTAGTGAAATCTGGAGTGAGGTTAGTGAAGGGAGAAATGAATGCCGATTGGATGGTGTGGATAGTAACTATTGGGTAGTGAGGATAGTAAAAGGTCAGGTAGCGTAGCGTGGAAGTGTGAAAGTGTGGAAGTGTAGAAGTGTGGAAGTGTGGAAGTGTGGAAGGTTCGAAGCGTGGGAGTGTTGAAGCGCATTATTATTGCGTAGCTAGATGAGATGATGGATGGGCTTTCTAAGTTCTTTGGTCCAAAAAGATTCTTTTGGGAAAGATCTAGCCAGGTCGAATTTAGATTTTGGTGGAGCGGGCATGGAGCGGGTACTAGGTTAGTTAGTCACTGGATAAGCAAGCCTTGCGCAGATCTTCTCTTTTTTCTCCTTGTGTAGGAATTACGATGACTAATGACACTCACACTGTACGGAGTAATAAGAAAGAGAGAAAGAATCATAGAATCATAGCAATGATAGCATGCCTGTTGCCTAGGTAGTACAGTATCATGCTAATCATCATGACTGATGTTCCAACATACATAGTACATGCTGGGATACTGGGATACTGGGATACTGAGATACTGAGATACCAGGATGAGGATACTGGATAAGAATACTAATAGGTAAACCAGGTATAGTCAACGGTGCCGGTATCCGTAAGGTTATGGTTACTTACAAGTTAGTAATCTCACAAGTCCTTCCTGTCTGACTCCTAAGATTTTGAGGACAAACACCAGTGTCACGGTTCATAATGAGGGAGAAGGAGAAAGGACAAAATGTAAAGGCCGATTCCCCGGCTTGTCAAACCGCGGTAGCTTATACTTTTTACCGACATAGGTATGGTAGAACATGATGAACTTCCTAATTGTAGTAACATCTTATTATTTCTTTTCTTCCTCACAATTGACTTGAAATAATATCAAGCTTTTTTCACAGTAGCCTATGAGCAATACCAGCTACGTACGGAGTAATTAGTTACCCAGGTAGTATGCGATATCGAGACTGTTCTCCGCTGCACCAGAAGAGAGGTACTGTACTGTACTTGTACTGTACGTATGGGCGTCCGACGGAGTAGGCATTCTGGTTCTTTCCTTCTTCTTTAACTCACTAACAAATAACATACTAGATTCAAATGCCTGCTTTGTTCCCATATATTTTCATTCCATATTCGGTAAACGATCTTCAAATCCCAATATGAAACGAAGAACTTAGGCTTCTGTAATCTTTAGCCGCGGATTATTATCAAGATCAACAACGGTGCCGTCCCAACTAATGTCCTTCAGCTCCAAAAGAGAAAGGATGGAGGATTTTATATACGCTATTAAGGTTATTGGTCAATTATTATCACAAAGTGCCGCATGCACTGTATGTGAACAGTTCGGTTCTCTGCATCATTTTTTTTATCGGTACGAAAAAAGGAAGATGCTATCCATGTTCATATTCATAACCGAGGCGCTCTCCCCCACCCCTTGGTAAGACATCTAGAACGATCCTTTTTCGAATTGGTCCTTAGCTTTTTGAGTTATGATTTGCCAAGTTACACCCATCGGTGCACCCAAGAAATGAATGCTCCACCATTTTTTATACTTAGTTCGATTCTAGATTTATTAAGAGAATTATCCGAAGGCATTCCTTTCATTTGACCGCGACTGATTGGCTGGAGTTGACAAGACCGGAAATCATTTGAAACGAACATACAACATACCTACGTATTCATCAAAGAGATAAAAATGGACTTGCATAAAAAAAGATATATATGGAGACTTGATCTTCATCATTTCGATTTCCTTCGGTGTTGTTCAAGGCATAATCGTTACTCAATGAATCAAGTACGTACGTCTAAATTATAAGGACAGAATTCTTCGATGCTGGTAAAATACGAGAGCACCACAAAATGAAGGGGGTACAACTTGACGGAGAAGGCTCCGAAAGAAAATGCCTTGATAACCTCGGGACAGGATATCCTGCCACTTCTACGAATCTAGGGAATAAGAATATCGCTATTGAGATACATGAGACTCCCTCAGTCGATACCTACCGAAATAAATGGATGTATTAGATTTCTTACGCCAATCAGGGATTTACATATGCGATTAAACAGCTTCTTTCCAGTAATCTGGGCATCCTCAGGTCTTCGATCATTATTTGTGATTTCCCATTCCTTCTTATTAAAGAGAAGTGCAGACGATCTCCAGTACCGTCAAAAGGTGATAGATTGCATCGATCTTCAGACACAGGCACATTCCTACGTCGTCAGCAAGTGTCAGCACTTGTAGCGGGAGTACCAGCCGTCAAAACGCCTCTTCCATTTTGTATCCTGCGATGGAGGATCAAGAATTCGATCGTCACACCTGTAGTAATGTATACATCCTGTAAACGAATATCCTCTAATATAGTCTTTTAAATATTGATTCATCACAACAGCACTATTCTAACACCTATTGAATGACTCGGCATGAAAGGATCCCGCAGAGTTGTGGCTGGACTTGTCAATAACTTAGGGAATATCAAAGTCAAACCGGATTTCTAACCTGCGACGAGTATACCAACCATGTTGTACCATCTGTTACAATACGTGAAGTTTCTCCTTTCCGTCTCAACATACTTGTGCTGTGGAATCAATGTTGCTTACTTCCGAGCCTCGATATCACAAACATGGAGACTTGAATCCTTGCTTGTACACATGCATCTTCAGCCACTGTTCTTATATGGTGGCATAGGTCAAGCAGGGACGTTTTATTTTCTTTTCCCCAATATGCATCCCCCACGAATTGTTTCAAAGCACAGTCCACAATGATCTCCGAGTGAAATTGATGATCTTGCCTTGCAGCAGCTCCGTTGTTTAAAAGAGCAAGCGGCAGCGCTGCAGCAGGGGCCAATTCTTCTGCCTTGGGAGTACTGTGTATGGTTTAGTGTGGAAGAGAGGAGGTGGTTGTAGAAGGTGCGGTACAGCACTGTGGCATGACTATTGACAGGATGTAGAGTTTGATTCGCTTGGCTCAACAGATGGCTTGAGAGAGTTACTGTTAATGGATCGGTATTAACTTCAGCCCAAACACAAGACTCGGTGAATTCCAAACTCTCGGGCATCACAGCTCGTACAGAATCCAAAAAGCTACAGCTTTATGTGCTACACTCATGCACGTGGATACAAATTCTATATCATGTCCGTGAGCCATGTAACCCGACTTTCGAATGATTCATTCAAGGTAGGCAAGTGGTAGCGAAGGGGAAGCCTTAGGTCTTAGAGATACAGTACGACTAGTTTAGTATCACAACTTCAAGCCGGACAGTACATGAAAAGATATCAAAGAATCGCCCTGTTCATATCATGAAGAATTCGAAGTTGTTGGACAAAGAGACTCTGAGAATCCCATGGGATCGGCTGAATTGAATTTCCAGCTCCGAGAATATTATACCTTGATTCTGAGGCGGTAAGTTTCAAAAGGCGGTGAGAATTTTGAAGTAGGCTGTATTGACTCTGGCAGAATATTATGGCAGTGGCAGCAACAACACAAAAGCTTAAGACTTCTGAGAGGTCCTTCTTGGCGTCATCGTACATTCAAGCCGCAATGATTTTATAACATGACTAGTTCTCAAAATGCTGCTTAGTAGCAATAGTACTTCAATAAATTCCATTGTCAGTTTTCCGTCATGTCTATTCGCGTTCTTCTCCGCGAATATCCCCACCGCTCAATTGCACTTGTGACGCCTACCCACACACTCATCTTTCGCCATAGTCCTTCTACGAACGATTTTACAATCAATGGATTACTGAATCCGGTTTATCCAGTATATCCACGTGGGTCTACCGATGGACTTGCTGCTCCTAAGTGTATGGTAGAGTTTGCAGATGCCTCCTCAATTGATCTCAGCGAATACCGGACTTTGAGTCCCATGCCAGTCCATGGTACTCTCGGGCTCATCACTGTCAGCAATGATATATTTCTTTGCGTAATAACAGGCACTACAAGAGTGGCACAGGTGAGGCCTGGAGAGACGGTTGAAAAGATCTTGGGAGTAGAGTTCCACTGTCTAAACAATGCGGAGTACGACAATACTTTTACGGACAATTTGGATCCCTACAATTACAATGCGGAAGATTCATATGGCCAGAATTTGAGTCGACGGGAGATAGCCGAGCATCCGTGTACTGACTTACAGAAATTACTGAGCAATGGAAGCTTCTATTACAGCACGAATTTTGACCTCACCAATCGATTGCAAGACCGGTAAGCAAAAGTTGATATACCTACGATGCCAGGCTCTTATACATTCTCAGATCTACAGATGCAACAACGAATGATGTTGAGAGTTTCGACGACTCGTTCTTATGGAACTCGTATATGATTGGCCCCCTGGGAAAATTTCGATCTCGTCTTGTGTTACATGAACGAAAGGCCTTGGACAAGTCTGGCATTCTCACATCCGCCATTCGTGGTTTTGTCCTCACGATTACTATACCTCCCGCCTCTGATCCTTTGAGAACTTCAAGATCAGGCCTCCCATCGTCCCTTACTTTAATATCTCGATTATCTTGTCGAAGAGCTGGAACGAGGTTTAATGCTCGAGGAATCGATGACGATGGAAATGTAGCAAATTTTGTCGAATCAGAAACAATATATTGGAGTCCCTCAGCCAATGCACAATATTCTCCGGAACAAGGGGGCGAGAAACCAGCTGGTGTCTGTTTCTCATATGCCCAAATAAGGGGAAGTGTCCCAATTTTTTTCGAGCAGGCACCTGGTTTGATTCCAGGTCAACAAAAGATTACCATAACTAGATCCCCTGAGGGTACTCAACCCGCCTTTGATAAACACTTTGAGGAATTGGAGCGAAACTACGGCGCGGTTCATGTGGTCAATCTGCTCAGCGAAACTAAACTAGGTGAAGCTGAAATTACTAGATCTTATCAATACGGGATTCGCCACTCGTCGTTGAATACACCGGAAGAGAAAAATTCTCAAGATCATCAACTGTTGAGGGTCACGGAATATGATTTTCATGCAGAGACGAAGGGCCCTCTAGGTTATGAGGCAGCTAGCATGATTCGGAGAATCATTGAAAATTCGGCAGACGGCTTTGCATATTATCTGTCTGAAGATCTTGAAGATGCTGAAGTTATTCCGAAGACACAAATGCGAAGAACAGTGGTCGTATTACAGCAAGAAGGCGTATTTAGAACGAATTGCCTCGATTGTTTGGACAGAACAAATCTTATTCAAACTATCATATCCCAAATGGCAATAGAGTCGTTTCTCATGCATAGGGGAGCCAGAGGCACTTCAGACTTTTGGATGCGTCATTCAACCATGTGGGCTGACAATGGCGACGCTCTTTCACGAATATATGCAGGTACAGGAGCTCTTAAATCGTCGTTTACGAGACATGGAAAGATGTCAATTGCGGGAGCTATTGCTGATGCACGGAAGAGTGCTACCCGACTATATATAAACAATTTTGCAGACAAAGGGCGACAGAATACTATCGACGTACTTTTGGGCAGACTTGTGGGACAAGTGCCGGTTCATCTGTTTGACCCTATTAATGATTACGTGACGGCTGAGCTCAACAAACGTAGCTCAGAGTTCCAGTCTTCCGAGGTGATAAATATGTAAGGCTATTACCCCCTACCACTGTCAATATGCTGACTTGATGTTTTAGATGGGCTGGAACTTTCAATCTCAATGGACGTACATTTGGCATAGAGGAAGACTTGTCAGTATGGTTATGCCCTGAGCTAGAGAAGTCACAACAGCAGCCCGAAATCGTAGTAGTCGGCTTCCAAGAAATAGTGGAACTAAGCCCCCAACAAATTATGAATAGCGATCCAACGATAAAGCAAGAATGGGAACAAGCTGTGCGAAATACTCTGAACAAACATGCTGGTGCAGATAGTAACGATCACTATGTGCTTCTACGAAGCGGTCAACTTGTGGGAGCTGCTTTGTGTGTATTCGTCAAAGCCTCTGTTCTTCCAAATATTAAAAATGTTGAAGGTAGTGTCAAAAAGACTGGGATGTCTGGTATGGCTGGTAATAAAGGCGCTGTCTCGATCCGCATGGATTATGCAAATACTCAGATTTGCTTCGTAACTGCACATCTAGCTGCTGGATTTAGTAATTATGAGGAACGTAATAGGGATTATCACACCATTCATAATGGGTTGAGGTTCCAAAGGAACCGTGGAATTGATGATCATGGCAAGTTATGTCCAGGTGGTTGTCAGGATCGTCCACTAACGGTATCACAGATACGGTCATTTGGATGGGAGATTTCAATTATCGTATTGGACTTGGAGCAGAGCGGGTAAGTAACTCCTATACAAGCGTGATGTTTATTCTGACATTCTTCTAGGCCAAACAACTCATAAAAATGGGCGACTTGGAGACTCTATACGAGAACGATCAAGTGAGTGTCACAGCTCAGCAGAAACTGAAAAGCCTACTAACAAAAGCCTAGTTAAACCTCCAGATGGTAGCTGGCCTAACATTCCAGTACTATTCCGAGTCACGGATAACCTTCATGCCAACTTATAAATTTGATATTGGTAGTGATACATACGACACTAGTGAAAAAGCCAGAATTCCGGCCTGGACCGATAGAATCCTCCGAAAAGGTAACAATCTACGCCAAATAAACTACAATTCCGCGCCCCTTCGCTTTTCCGACCACAGGCCCGTCTTTGCAACCTTCCAATGCACCGTGAGTATCATTGATGAAGCCATGCGTGACTCTCTAAGCAGGAGCATTTATGAGCGAAGGAGGGAGGAGATTGGCGGTGCGACGGCTAGTTCAAAGTTAGATGGAACGGATGACGAGGATTTGATTGGGTTCGAAAGCATCGAGCCCGGCTTACCACCTGCAAGCTCCGATCAGAGAAAATGGTGGCTTGACGGGGGGAAACTTGCGAAGAGTCAAGTCCAACCACCAAGCAGTTTAAGAGATGCAGTACCAAACCCAAAAAGGCCGAGCAATCCGTGGACTTTGACCGATGAACCTGATTGGGTTACTGTACCAAGGCCTGGTATATCTTCACGAAACAATTCGCATCGAATGTCGTTACAGACTGGTATGGCAAGGAATAACACAGTAACACGAAAGCTTCCACCGCCTTTTAATCCTTCATCTCTTCCCAGCTCTCAAAACCGGTTTAGACATTCGATAGCAAATCATTCGTCAACTACATCTCTACCAGCGAAGACGGTACTTCCTCCACCACAGTTAATAGCGAGCAATACTTCGACTCCTGCCCCGACCACAACAACGAAAGCAGTTCTTCCTCCACCACAACTTACACGCCGCGCATCAACAGAAACAACTCGTTCTTCGTATAAGAAAGCTCCACCCCTTCCAAGAAAGCCTGTACATCTAGCTTCTTCTTCTGTTTCACCTACACTATCAACTTCTTCTTTGGCGTCAAGACCAAGAGAAAACCCTGTACCTATACCTGGGGAATATAGAGATTTTTCACCACCCTCCAGAAGAGCAACTTCTAGTCTGGAAAGAAGTAATTTAGAACCACCACCGCCACCACAACCTCGGAGGCCTGGGAGAAAGATAGCTGATGAGGGGCCGAAGCCAGAGTTGCCAAAAAGACCGGTAGACTTACTAGGCGATAGCGATGATATTCGCGGATGGGAAGCCTTGAAACCTGCTAGATGATTGATGTGTATTAGGATTAAAAATAGGTGGTATTATACAAGTATGGAAAGCATGGTAGATAAAAATGAGTAAACTTCCTTTGATGAAATAAAAAGACTATTTCAACGAGTATTTATTTGTCAAGTTTAGTGAGAGTAGAGAGTATATTATTTTGCAGCGTCAACAGTGTTGACACTAAAAGCCCCTTTAAGCTAGGTAATTAAATGTACCTGATTCTAACAGAAGACTTCATCCGAATCCCAGAGTTGGGACTGAAAGCCGGATAGAGACTCTGCAAGTTGGTGTTTTATTTCTCTAATGTTTCACGTACTCTGTCTGGGTTATAGTTCTAAAAAAACCTTTGAGGGATGTTTCGAATATTGAATTGCTTTTTGAATTATGAATTTTGAATTATGAATTTTGAATTTGGGAATTAAGGTTTTTGTTTGAAGTGAAGTGAAATAAAATGAACATTGGATCTATTTAAAGTTATAAAGTTATCAAACTCATACCAGTATTTTCGTAGATTTGAAGTTTGGTAGATTCCAAGCTGTAGGATGTGGTGGATAGACTTGTTTCTTTGTATTATTTGGTTTGTGAATGAGTAAATGAATGGATAGATGGATGGAATGTATCCAAGTGAGAAAATAAAAGCAGGAATTAAATAAATACTGCTGATCTATCTACTCGATAAGTAGGTTAACTATACGGTAGTACCCAAGTTACATTCTTGTACCAAAATCGGTTGATAGTTTTTCCCCTCTTCCCAATCACAACACAACTATCCTAAACATCCACGACCTCAGGATAGTATCTCCAATACAAATAATCTAATTTATATATCTATTCCCTCATACAACCACCAACCTCCACCACTAATCACCAATTTCAACGCGCTCCTCACTTACTCACATGCACCAACATCATCTCTCTTCAAAATTTACGCCAACCCCTCTCTACTCTCAAAACTATTCGTAACAACAATCCCACCCTTCCCTTTGAAATCCCCATCCCCCATCCCCTCCTCCAATTCCCCCTCCCTCTCATACCTCGCCGGTCCCTCCGCATGCGCAGTAATATGCTGCGTCTCACTTCCATTTGCACTTCTACTTCCATTAACACCCCTATGTCCATGTCCATATCCATGACCCATACTCCACGGTTCCATCTTCGTTTCTCTCTGCATATATTGCATTCCCGCATATTGACCAAACATATTTCTTTCTCCATTTCCAATTCTTTCACTATTTCCATTCGCATTCTCCAAACTGGGATGTTGAGAAGAACTCCTGATTGAGCGGAGCGAAATAGCAGATTGAACGCTCGCGACGAGGGATTGCACGCCTTTTGTATTGAGGAGACCGTATTGGGCGGGGAGACAGGCGGCGATTATGCCGAGACCGGATTCGATCATGGACCAGTAGAGGCCGGAGGTGCAGATGACTTTTTTTGGTGGGGGTCGGTGTTAGTTTTTGGGTTTGGGGTTCGGATGGCATGAAAGGGTAGGAATGGGAAGGGAAGGGGAAGAGACTTACATTCGAAGTCGGCATGTGGATCGTAGTTTACGGCTGTGGCTTGGATGAATACTATCATTCGGACGATTGAGGCGGCGATGGTGCTGTGTATTTAGTGTTAGTTTGAATGGTATTAATGGGATCAACGGAATCCTTGATGCAGGTAGGGATAACTTACAGGGCTCCTAGGGAGAAGATGGCTAGAATACCTATTTTTCGGGCCACGGTTAGATGAAGACCGAAAATCTAGATAGGTGGTTAGTGATTGAGACTAGGTTTGGATTTGAAGTTTGAGGAGAAAGCTAAGTGAGTTCTGAATGCGATGAGTATGCCATTGAATCTGTCGCCTTCAACTGGGGAAACCAATTGAACGATTTCTCGATAATCAATTACTCGGATGTGCAACAGAACTTCTTGTTCCCCAGAATAACCAGCCGTCTTTAGGGTTAGGAGTGATGGATGAAGTGAGCGAGGCACAATGTGAAAGCACCCACACCTCCCTTCCCCATCCATCACTTCCCACAAAAAAAGATTCACAGAGCCCAAAGAAGAATCAACCAAACAACATACCATCGGCACCGGCAAACAAATAATAACAAAATCCGTCACAACATCACTAATCGCAAACGCATTATGCAAGCGATCCGTATCCACACAATGCGCCTTCTCCACAACCGTACTAGTCCAATAAGCAGCAAAATCCAAGCCGCAGATAAAGAGAATGGAGAAGAAGAACGAGAGTGTCCAGAGGAGAATTATGAGGATCATGAACCAGGTGACGATGTTGAAGCGGGGGGCGGCGTTGCGGGTGAAGACGCGCCGGTAGAAGAGAATGAGGGAGAGTTTTACGAGGCCTAGGGCTGGGATTTGGAGGAGCTCGCCGGGCCAGAATGCCTGGTTTTTGTTAGGCGTGGGTGAGGAAGGGGAGACGATGTGAAGAGCGCGAGAGGGGACGTACAATGTTTGAATCTGGTTTTCCGATTTGAGTTGATGGGGCTGGGGCTGGATATCCAAGTTGTTTAAGTCCGACCTCTTTTCCAATACTATATTAGTTTCCTTATTCCCTTTTCCAAAAGGATAATATGTATCTATATAACTCACCAGCCATAATAGCGACGCCCATCCCAATCACAAAGACCTATATACATACATATCACATCAACATTCATTTTTATCCACTTGAATAATCCAGATACAGATAAAGATTCAAATAAACATACCAAAGCAGCCATAATCAAATAATCATCAGCCCCCAAACCCACCTTCTTCAAATTTCTAGCATAGATTCTCAGTCCCACTGTAGCAGTGCAAACAGGGATGAAAACAGCTGCTGCTGCTATTGCTAAATTTGCATGGATTTGAAGATCTGCCATTTCGGTTTTGAAATTTTGAGAAAGATATCGTGTATGTATCGATTAGGTTTATTGCTTAGCTTGACAATTCGATGCGATTAAACCTAACAGTTCGGAAAGGAAAGGGGAGTATAAAAATACGGAATGAAAAGAAGAGAAAAGAAAAGATCAGTCTAGTCTTGCAAACTTAGAAAACGATATCAATAAAAAAGCACCCAGTAGCAAAAGAAACAACGGGATAATAACTTCATATACATATACATATACAAATACAAATACCCCTAAAAACACGGCAGCAGACTCCGAGACCCCGTGGGGAAATTCCTCGGGACATTTAGAATTCCTCATTAATTATCAGCTCCTGATAGCCATAATCCACAGCACCTAGATCCTTAAGAGGATGAGAAATGGAGTAACAGGAACTACGATTCTCGAGACGGACGAGGCATTTCTCGGTGCGAGAATGTGTGTGCATATCAATATCGTACGTGCAGATGTGCGAGAGAGATCCTTACCGCAACGTTTTTTCAATGCAGTAGTGCTTAAGGTTGCGGACTTGGGACACGGAATGACACATTAGTGATCTTGGGTGCGTGGGACGTGAGGGTTTGGGCGAATTAGATTGGTGGGGGGCGAGTGGGACAGTGTGGGACGGTTGGTAGGTACTTTTGTGTTTAAGTATTTAGTCACGATAATCCTTTGTTTGGAATTTGATACCGGTTTTTGGTGCTCTTGTAAACATGAATATTCCTACGCTGTAGATGGGACATATGGTTTTATGGGTGATGGTGTTGTGCTAGTGAGGAAACAATATGTGATACGAAGGTAGTTCTTAGATGGGTGGAAACTCATTCTATCATCAGCGCAGAAGTAAATTCGCAGTGGGAAATTGACATTGAGGGATGAGTTGCGCGCTGAAAAATGGATGGATGTACATAGTACAATCGGCGGTACTACTTGTAACATTGGAATCACTTGTGACACGACGCTACTTGATAACATTGGGATGGGCTGATTTCCATGTCCATGAGTGGCAGGTAAGGGTGCACAGAACAATATTTCGACCATGGAAAAGGAATACATCCCTGCGATATTGCAAAAGCCTATGAAATGTTCATTCTGATCAGTAATAAAGGAAGACTAGAAATATAGGAATGGCAAACGTAGTTCGGAAGATTTCTTCCTTCCGTCTTATATTCTCACCATCATGGTTGCACAAGGTCTCGGTGGTCCATGTATCCCGTGATAGTATGCCCGTTGACTAGACATCGAGAAGTCATCGATTCTGAGAACAGAGTCCTTACCGAGCACACAGAACATGTAATTTCCTTCACCCTGGTTACCATGCAATTTCCATGCAAGCGAGCTGCAGATAACGTTCTGCTAATTATGACTGTGTACCTCCTGGACCAGAATTTGAGTTAGACCTCAATGCTGTACTACTACGTACAGATGTATTTCCGGATCTTTTAGTTTCCCCAAAAAATGAGTTCAGAGCCATGGATCTCAGGATTTAAGATCCGAAACTGTGAGTTGGCACCGAACGGTTTGTGAAAGGCATGATAAATGAGTAGGTATCCGTTAAGGAGTTGACAGCCGAGTGAGATATATGGAGGCACCCATCAGGGTATCTGGAGCACAAATTTCGTTGTAGGAAGTGTAAGATTATAGCTTTGTATTCTCCTTTGCCGAGAATACTTCTACAGTTTTTTCTTCTCATAGTCAAGCTTTTGACGCGAAATTCAAGCTTTGAACCAAACACATACCAAGGTAAAGGGGTTCGTCTGGACCTCTGTTCAAACCTTGTGCTCACTTATCATCTCGTACTGATTTGCTTCGACTAGGAGCCATCCCATTTTTGATTCGATCCTCCTGGATTTCCTCTCAAACTTGAAAGGATTGTCCTCACGTACCACTCCTATGAAAAAGTTGAAGTCACACCTCTCCACGATGGTATTACCAAGTCAGATCAAAGTCTCTCTAGAAAAGCCAACGAGGATTCCAGATCGGCTAGATCTGCCGGCGCAATTTCACCATCAAGTACATACTGGCAAGCTTTTGCTCAGTGTTAAGAATTTTGATGTACATTGGTATTAATGAGAAATCTGATGTACAGAAAAGTGGCTCCAGCATATCATGCAAGATCATGCTTGCATAAGCAGGTACCCTCGAAATGACTGATTTTATACGGGTAGATGGACTGATGGCAGTAGAGGAGATGTTCGCATGTGCGGCAATGCGCATGTTTGGGACGCATCTAATATGCCATCTAAAACTCACATCGCATCCTAGGGATCAAGAACCACAAAAAAGAAAATAACAACTTTGAGCCTGAAGATATGCGATAAAACATTTCAATCCAACTATCTCAGAACTCTTGGGGTTATCTCACAACTTTTGTGGAAATATCAGTATGTCGAGGTTTGTTTTATGCCAAAGTTGACAGTGAAATATGAACCTCTGATCTGATTATTGATACTACTCAGACGGTAAATGATTACCGGTTCTCATCCTTCTATCTGTCAATAAAAACACTATGAGGGAAATTTCTGATTGGGGGATATATATATATATATACACCGCTATGCTCAACACGGATTGCGACAGTAGTACCATTTCCTTTGACATGCATTAATTCAGCGATTACTCAACAACTGATCCGTTAATGGAAAAGTCAAAAGCTCGAGAAAGCTTCTTGTTATTTAATAACAAATCCATTCTGGGCCTCCGGTCCTTGCGAGCGCAAACTTAAGAACGTGAGTGAAGCTATTCACAGCTTCATTTAAAGCATAGAAAATTGTTTACAACAGAACGAGTAAAGTGCCTAGGGATAATGTTGATATTAGTAACCCAGCCCGGTGGAATATATGTTTTATGTGCAAAAGTTCGACAGGATTATTGAAAATTGATGGGAATCATCCGGTACTTCAGATTTTCCACCGCCGACTCGACGGAATGATTTGTCTTGGACGGCATAAATCCCAACATTGCTGACCAAAGAATATTCCATTCATCACCGAACTCTGCAGCTAATTTATAATTATTTATCCTTTGGATCCATAAAATAGCTACAGTATGTACAGAACTAGCCAAAACTTTCCCCTTTTCAGCCCCGAATTCGTGTTGAAGCTGGAATCGCGCGATAAGATCATGAGGCCCATAAGAATCTCCTGAAGATTTCAAATACGGTGTACCGATAGATTACTCCTGAGTCCTGGGGAAGTCGAAGAATGATGGATGGACACGTAACTTTGTTGACTTGCTCACCGTAACTAAGTCGATACGAAGTGTACTGCTGTTGTCAGTTTGGGAAGTGTGTATGTACAAGTAGGTAGTATGTATTAATAATGTGAAAAGCGAGCACCTTTCGCTTCAGATATCAGAAGGCTGGCCGTATCAAAGCTTCAAAGTTTAATATATCCAAATCTCGATTCTCAACACAGACGATGGATAGAATCGATCAGAGCTTTCCCAAATCACACCATGCCATATCATAGGTATCATATCATATCAAATCATAGAGTCGTCTCCGATGTGTCACGCCGAGTCATGGGAAGCAAACGCCACGCGCATTATTAGTTGCATGGGAAGGAAAAGAGAGTTTGACTTCGGTACTCCCTCCGTAGCTGTTGGGTTGGGTGATGTGACTGGGTTATTCTTTCCGAGAAGATGCTCCATACAGTAGATAGTAGATAGTAGATAGTAGATAGTAGATACTAGATATTAGATACTAGATACTAGATACTAGATACTAGACGGGCCATCTATCTCCTTGCTTGCCCTTGTTGACCTTGTTGACGCAGGGGGCTTTTCGTTTTCATTTTCATTCCTTAATTCCTTAATTCCTTAATTCCCTTAAGTACCTACCTACCTAGTGAATGGATCCATTATCCATTGCGGACTTTTCTTTTGCTTCCTAAGTCCGAGAACATTCCTAACTCCTACGTTTTCCGAGTCAATAAAGTTTGAATTGATTGGGATATCTGACTAATGAATGTGCTCTAAATCTCTTCTCCTTGCTTGGAAATCAAAACTTGGAACTCCCCAGCCAATCATGGCCCGGCGAGGGAAATAAGGCTGCTTTGACTGCCGCAATACCGGGAAAATTAAAGATTCATGCCGCTTTTGTGCAGCTTGGATGGAAAAGCCCACGAACCACCAGAAACTTCCTAATGTTTCTGATGCTTTTCTGTTCTGGAAGCCGTCAAAGAAATAAAAGTGGCCCATGTTTATCGTCTTTTTACGTTAGTCTGCTGCCTTACAAACCAGAAAAAAACAACCACCACCTAACTAAGTTACGGATATACTTATAAGCTATGGCGCTGAGCGGGACAGCGGGTCCTTTTCTCATTTAATTTACCTAGGTAGTACTGCGCAAGTCCAGCGCTAACCTCCATGATTACTCATATTCACTCATGTTGAGCGAGCAGCGAGCAACAAGCAGAGGAGGAATGATGTTTGCCGATGCGTGGCTTCAGCGGCTTCAGCGGCGCCAGCTTGACAATAGGTGAGATGGAGTTACAGACTGTCTGTCGGGGATGCATTACCCTAACTCTAGAGTTCATATCCATCATCTATGAGTTTATGACTCCACGAGTCTCTATCATAAGTCACTACTCCGTATAGTGATTATGCACTGCACAGCAAGCATGCATTATGATACATTTTTATCCACCAAGGGGCGAGTGTTTGCAGAAGATCTGCAAGGATTTGAAGCACCCCCGGCACGGTGGGTTGTTGGGCCGCGCTCTTCAAGCTTCCATGCAAGATGCAAGATGCCAAAAAGGCGCTAATGTTACCTGCCTGGTACATATTTGATATTAAATCCAAGTGGGACTCTTGCTACTGGAAAACATTATCTATATGAAAGGTTCGCTGCCAGACATCATCAAAGTCTTCTTAACCTTACACCCTCTGCTTGTTTCTTATTGTTTCAAAACCATTGTGTTTATTCCTTAATATTGCTAATTTGGTCCTCTTTCCCGCACATCGTCCATCCGCGGACACTGGAGTCACTGTATAGCTCAGTGATTACCACTTAATATACATATATCCTCATACACATAGCTAAAAACACCATACACATCACCATGGAAAGAGATTTCCAAGATCGTCCTACATCCAAGGACGAAACACGATCCTTAGCCGCAACTACAAATACTGCTCGCGAATCTATCGAAGACGCCGAAACCCACCGCGAAAATGTGAGGAACGCCAATCCCAATGGCTTCGTCAACACCAATCAGGGTATTGATGTCAAAACTGCCGAGGCCGAATTTGCGCAACTTCAGCGAGAGTTGACTGGTATTAGTTCCAAGAGCAAGGCAGTGTCTAGGACGCGATCAAAGTCTAACGCCGCTGGCGAGAAGGATGTAGAGAAGACTGGAAATTCATCTGAAGATCCGGATGAGTTTGATTTAGAGGACACCCTTCGAGGTAATAGGCAGGCGGAAGAAGATTCTGGCATTCGTTCAAAACATATTGGAGTAGTTTGGGATGGGCTCACTGTTCGCGGAACAGGTGGCGTGTCAAATTTTGTCAAGACATTCCCTGATGCATTTGTCAGTTTCTTCAATGTGTATGAGACTGCGATGAACATCTTTGGTCTAGGCAAGCAAGGCAAAGAAGTAAAGATCTTGCAGGATTTCAGAGGAGTAGTGAAACCTGGAGAGATGGTTCTTGTGCTTGGAAGACCTGGTTCTGGTTGCACAACCTTCTTGAAGGTCATTGCAAATCAAAGATTTGGTTACACAGGTGTGGACGGGTGAGTTTTAATTTCATCCTTCCGAGTTTGCCTGAATGATTCAGATTATTGGCATACTCGCTTTTTTTTAAAGGTTGGCCAATTACTCACAATTCAATACAGAGAGGTACTTTACGGCCCTTTCGACGCTCAAGAATTTTCGAAAAAGTATAGGGGAGAAGCTGTGTATAATCAGGAGGATGATGTTCATCACCCCACTTTAACCGTAGGTCAAACCTTGGGTTTTGCCCTTGACACCAAAACTCCGAGAAAGCGCCCCAATGGAATGTCCAAAACGGAATTCAAGGAGAAAGTAATCGATACACTTCTTCGAATGTTCAACATTAGTCACACTCGTAATACGGTTGTGGGTAATGCCTTCGTCAGGGGTGTCTCCGGAGGAGAGAGAAAGCGTGTGTCCATCGCGGAAATGATGATTACCAGTGGTACAGTTTTGGCCTGGGATAACAGTACAAGAGGATTGGACGCTTCAACCGCCCTCGATTATGCCAAGTCTCTTCGTGTTATGACGAACATTTATAGGACCACAACCTTTGTTTCGTTGTATCAAGCAAGTGAAAACATCTACAAACAATTCGACAAAGTCTTGGTCATTGATGATGGAAGGGAGGCCTACTTTGGGCCAACAACTGAAGCGAGAGCCTATTTCGAGGGTCTTGGCTTCAAGGAGAAGCCCCGTCAAACCACTCCTGATTTCTTGACTGGTTGTACCGACGAGTTCGAGCGTGAATATGCAACCGGCCGCTCTGCTGCAGACTCGCCACACAGCCCTGAAACTTTGGCTCAAGCGTTTTTGGAGTCCAAGATCTCGACTCGCTTAAGCGAGGAAATGGATGTCTACAGAAAACAAGTAGCTTCTGACAAGAAAGCGCATGATGATTTCGAGGTTGCAATAATGGAAAGCAAGCGCAAGGGAGCATCGAAGTCTTCCGTGTACTCTGTTCCGTACCACCTGCAAGTCTGGGCATTGATGCAACGACAATACTTGATTAAGTGGCAAGACAAATTCTCTTTGGTCGTTAGTTGGGTTACTAGTATTACTGTCGCTATTGTTTTGGGTACCGTTTGGCTTAATTTACCCAAAACTTCTGCGGGAGCATTCACTAGAGGCGGTCTTCTCTTCATCTCGTTATTGTTTAATGCTTTCCAAGCGTTCTCCGAATTGGCATCTACGATGATTGGCAGACCAATTGTCAACAAGCATAGGTCATACACGTTTCATCGCCCGTCCGCACTTTGGATTGCTCAGATTATAGTCGACACTGCCTTCTCTGCCGCGCAAATTTTGTTATTCTCAATCATCGTATACTTTATGTGTGGTTTAGTGAGAGAAGCTGGGGCATTCTTTACATTCTACATCGTCATCCTCTGTGGTTATTTGGCCATGACTCTCTTTTTCAGAACGGTCGGATGTCTCTGCCCTGATTTCGATTACGCGATTAAGTTTGCCTCCACAATCATTATCTTTTTCGTCATCACATCCGGTTATCTCATCCAATATCCAACTGAAAAGGTCTGGATTCGATGGATCTACTGGATTAACGCCCTTGGTCTTGGATTCTCAGCTTTAATGGAGAACGAGTTCAGCCGTCTTGATTTGAATTGTACAGGCTCCTATCTCATCCCGTCCGGTCCAGGTTACGATAACATTAATTATCAAGTGTGTACGCTTCCTGGCAGTGTTGCTGGATCAAACGTCGTTTCCGGTAGCCGATACATTACAGAAGGTTATGCCTACAAACCATCTGAACTTTGGAGAAACTTCGGTATCATCATGGCCTTAATCGCCGGTTTCTTATTTACAAACGCAACACTCGGCGAGTGGATTTCATTCGGTGCCGGCGGCAACACTGCCAAAATATATCAAAAGCCTAACAAGGAACGTGATGAGCTCAACCAAGCATTGGCCGCCAAACGCGACCAACGCCGTGCCACAAAGAGTGAAGAAGGAGGCTCCGAAATCCGCATTAACTCAAAAGCCGTCTTGACCTGGGAAGGATTAAATTACGATGTACCAACTCCTAATGGAGAATTACGACTTTTGAAGAATATTTACGGCTACGTTCGACCGGGTGAATTGACGGCACTTATGGGGTCCTCAGGTGCTGGAAAAACAACACTCCTTGATGTTTTGGCCTCAAGAAAGAATATCGGTGTTATATCTGGAGACGTCCTCGTCGATGGTATTAAGCCAGGTAACTCTTTCCAAAGAGGAACTTCTTATGCTGAACAACTTGATGTCCACGAGGGAACTGCTACCGTCCGAGAAGCACTTCGATTCTCTGCTGATCTTCGTCAACCTTACCATGTCCCACAAGCCGAAAAGTACGCTTACGTCGAGGAAATCATCAGTCTTCTTGAAATGGAAGATATGGCCGATGCAATTATTGGTGATCCAGAAAATGGTCTTGCTGTTGAACAACGAAAACGTGTCACTATCGGAGTCGAATTGGCCGCCAAGCCAGAGCTCTTACTTTTCTTGGATGAACCTACTTCTGGTCTTGACTCTCAAAGTGCCTTCAACATTGTCCGTTTCTTGAAGAAATTGGCCAATGCCGGACAAGCTATTCTCTGTACTATCCATCAACCTAACGCAGCATTGTTTGAAAACTTTGATCGTCTGTTACTTCTTCAGCGTGGAGGAACATGTGTCTACTTCGGTGATATTGGAAAAGATGCTCATGTACTCCTTGACTACTTCCACAGACACGGAGCTGACTGCCCTCCTGACGCTAATCCTGCTGAGTGGATGCTTGATGCTGTTGGTGCTGGCCAAGCCCCAAGAATTGGTGATCGTGACTGGGCTGATATCTTTGCCGATTCACCTGAACTCGCTAACATCAAAGACCGCATTTCTCAAATGAAAACCGAACGTCTAGCCGAAGCCGCCAGTAACGCTCAACCTGACGAGCGGGAATTCGCTACGCCACTACTACATCAATTGAAAGTCGTGCAAGCGCGTACCAACTTGGCTTTTTGGAGATCTCCCAATTATGGTTTCACTCGTCTCTTCAATCACGTCATCATCTCCATCATCACCGGTCTTGCCTATTTAAACCTCAACGATTCAAAGGCTTCATTACAATATCGTGTATTCGTCATCTTCCAAGTTACCGTCCTTCCCGCGCTCATTCTCGCTCAAGTCGAACCTAAATACGCATTATCACGTATGATTTACTACCGAGAAGCATCTTCCAAAATGTACAGTCAATTCGCCTTTGCATCATCTCTAGTCGTAGCCGAGATGCCTTACTCGATTCTCTGCGCCGTCGGTTTCTTCCTCCCACTTTACTACATGCCCGGTTTCCAAACCGCGTCTAGCCGCGCCGGATACCAGTTCTTCATGATACTCATCACCGAACTCTTCTCCGTAACCATGGGTCAAATGATCGCAGCACTCACTCCCTCCCCCTACATCTCCGCGCTTGTCAATCCCTTCATCACCATCACATTCTCCCTTTTCTGCGGTGTCACCATCCCCAAACCTCAAATCCCAAAATTCTGGCGCGCATGGCTTTACCAACTCGATCCCTTCACTCGACTCATCGGCGGAATGGTCGTCACCGAACTCCAAGGTCGGGAAGTCAAATGCACACCTACGGAACTCAGTCGTTTCAATGCTCCTTCCGGTCAAACGTGCGGACAGTACATGGAGAACTATTTCTCCAACGGAGGTTTTGGATATATTGTTAACAATGCTACGAGTGCTTGTGAGTACTGTGCATACAAAGCTGGAGAACAATTTTACGAGCCCTTGGGTTTCGAATTTGCAAATAGGTGGAGGGATTTGGGTATCTACTTGGCATTCATTGGAAGTAATTTGATTATTCTATTTTTGGCTGTGAGTACCCCTACTTTCTTTCTTGCTTTTCGAGAAGAATATTTACTAACATCTGAACAGTCGAGATACTTGAACTTCAACCGTCGTTAAATACCTTGTTGCTTTGCTTGTATCGAATTACTTGCATCGTACAACGCACCGGAGTTCTTTTTCTACACACCACTCCAATCATTCCCTGCGTAAAAGTTATCTTTGGGAAAATACAGTTTGAGTATATTTTTAGCGGCATATAGATTATGGGTAGGAGTACGTGTGATGTTTTTTCATCTTTTTTGATATATATAGATATGTATGAGGATGCTTGAATGCGGGGTTCGGAAAGTTTCATGAGAGGGAGGGGAGGAAAGAGGAGGAGGAGGAGTAAGAAAATGGTGAAGAGAAGAGAAGAGCAGAGGAGAGATTCATGTATCTTGGACGACTTTTAATGTATGATGTATGCTTTTGTATGTACGTGGATTATGGATTTGGATGAGGGCATTGATTATATATACACTATCTTTTTATGAGATGAGATGAGGTGAGGAGAAGTTGGCGTGATGTTGGGTTCCTGATGGATAGATTAGTTAGTTAGATGGGTTAATTGAATAGATAGATTATTTTCTAATAAACAAAAGTTTTTTCTGAATTTTTTTTTTTTTTGAAGATTGAGATGATTAATCCTGTGATGCAATTATTATAATTATTGTTAAAAACCCAAGGATTTCAATTATTTTTTAAGATCTTTAAATATAAAAATAAAATATCGACTTAATTTTCTAATTTTATACTAAACTCTTAAAGCTATAGTAAATGATACCGCAGACTCTTAATATTAATTCCCTGATATAAAATGCTGATAAAAACAATAATTTATATTTCTCGATTCAAGCGAACTTCTAGTCAATCCCCGATGGACCAGCAAGCTTTAATATCCCTCCTTGACCCTTTCAAACAAACCTATCGTCTCCCGATCAGGCAAATGGACCTTAATAGGATCTTGATTTTCCAATCTTCTCAACGTAAAACGCCAAAATTTTCCTCCCTTTCCATTTGTTCCAACATCGCCCTTGATAACCCGATAGAGTCCATCATATCTTATACCAGCTGCTGGACCATAATTCCAAGCACAACCAGCTGCTCTCAAAACGCGAACTGGATTTCTGGTTTCGATTGAACGTTTCAAGGCTTTTACTCCCGTCTTTTCTGAATCGGGTTCCTTGGCTATGGAATCTTTGGCTCCTGGTGCGGAATAATAGATTGTATCTCCTAAATCTTGATCGAACCCTTCATAGTGTTTCGAGATTATGATACTGTAAGCTCCAGTTTCCGCGGTTCCGGAAATCCCGCCTTGTGGACAGCCTAATGTAAAGTTAGTCGAAATTTATGGTAGTATGGATGTCGGAGGGATTTACCATGTGCGCCATCCCGAAGTGCTACAATTTGTTTTGGCCAGCAATCCCCTACAGTAAGATCATTGTGACCAAAACGGTTGAACTTTTTCTTAAAGGTATGAATTTTCTCTTCGATAAGTTTAATACTAGTGCCATCCCGTACAAGCCCACGCATGATACCATTGGCCCCCCAAATAGGATGGTCGGAAGGAGGTGGGACTACGTTTGGAGAGCTAGACAATGAATTGTTCCTCGATTTTTTGGCAGATGTAGGTGTTTCGCTGGATGGAGATCTTCTTTTCCTGCTATTCGAAGTAGCAGACTCAATATTTGTTTTTGATACGGGTGGTGATGGTGGTGCCTGAAAGCCATTTTGACCCTCAATTTTGACGATCAATGCTTGTGAGATATCGGAGTATTCTTGAGGGAAATTGAATATCGGATTAATGAGGATTTCAAGGACAGATCTCAGATTAAGAGTGTTACTGTGTGGTAATGAGTTAATGTAGCTGTAGAAATTATGAAAGGGATGACCTCATACCTGAACTCGGGTGTAACTGTGTCAAGAGATGAGAGGATGTAAAGAAAGAGGTTCAGTTTCTCCCATTGTTCTGGATCGCGACTTTTACCGTTTTTGGAATGTATAGCTGCGAGTTTAATAGGGGTTTTCAAATCCAAGAGTTTTCCAAGGGCAACACTAGGATCAGTGTTGATATCCGAAGGTTTGAATTTGGAGTTCTCAACAAGCCTGGAGATGGCATCTTGAAGATTGAGCTGTGGCGTTGTTGATAAGATAACATTCTGGTCTCCATCTCCGCTGGGTTCAATTCCCGTTACATCTTCAGGAGTTTGAGGAATAGAGGATAATTGAGGACCTGACTGAGGTTCAGACTTAATCGGTAATTCCTTCAAACTCAAGAGTTAGTTGAAGGTTTAAGACTTGTCAGGCAGATCTTATACTTACAATTGTGGGGCCACTTTCTTGAGATATGGATATGGCGGATAATGAAAGTTCTGACAGAGGTTCAGATTTAATTCTTAACTGCTTCAAAGTCAAAAGTTAGCTTGAAATGAACTTAGGATCTCTTATGTTGATCTAATAAGACTTACAAGTGTTGATGGCCCGTCAACTGCAGTTTGGGAAGCTACCCCTCTATTGCCTCTACCATGGGAACTCATAGTAAACAAAGAAGAATAAACGTAAGGTTACGTGCAACTAAGTGAATAAATCGAAGAAATTGGATATTTCAAGTAAGAAGAAGGAAGGAAGAATTAGCCTCTATTCATCTGATGGATCTAGTTGTATTGGAAGAAAAGAATGAAGTCTGAAAAGTAATTCAAGTCCTCAAACTATCACAGTTGTTGGCTATTGACAAACGAAGTAAATGCTTACTTAATCGAGAGTATATGATCAGATGAAAGAGTTTACCCCAGGTTCAAAAGCCTAGCTCCTCTATCTACAAGTCTACTAGTCGACTATTGAGCCAACCCAAGACTACAAGATTCAAAAAGCAATTCAGAATGATAGGAAAATACACAAGGATGGAAAAACAAAGGATAACCTTAGTCATTTTGATTCGATTTCAAGATCGTTATTAGGTAATTTAAATGAGCACTGGTGATGTCATTACATACATCCGAAGTTCTTTTATAAGTTCAATCGCTAAGGTTAGCTTAAGCAGTATAATAGATATATAGATATATATATACCAGTATGAACAAGCTATTTTATTTTGTCTTGAATCGAAGAGTATAAAGATTTCTGGCAGTATTTAGGATAAAGTTGACTGATAGATCAAGCTAGGTAACTAAGTTCTCTGGCAACTTATCAACACAACAATGAGGAAAAAGAAAGATTCCATGAGGTAGACAGAATGGATAAGGCTGGACCTAGAGGAGCAATCAGATCACACTCGGGGTCTTCACGAGGTTTTCACAGCTTCTGATTATTTGAGGAATAGTAAAGATCTTAATATCGTGATTTTAGGTACAGAATATCTAGTACTCGCTCCCTCCGTACACTGGCGAAAGTTGAGACGAACCTGGCGCATCAAGCATAGAAGTAGGTCGAGGGGAAATTCCAGCTTGGAGACATTTCCTGTATCCCAATTTTGAAGACAAGAGTTAAACGAGAGATATTGGCAGGATATCCGATATACAAGATCGGATATACAAGATCGGATATACAAGATCGGAAAACTCATCAACTCTATTTCCCCCCGTTCGTTCTGCACGCACAGATAAAGTTATTTGAAGTTTCACAACCTGAAATCGCCAAGAAGAAGTTCTAGTAAATTCTACTTAATTCTAGTGGGGTCGACGGACACTAAACCATTAAACACTCACTAGTCAGGTACGCATCGTCTAGCCCCATGCGACACGACACGCTCAATGTATCAAAAGGATTCCCTCCTCCTCTGTTGCAGAAGAATGTGAAACAGCAGAAACAATGAAGAGGAGGAAGAGTAGCGGCTATGATGGAAATCAAACATTTACTCCGTCTCGTCCTCCTATTTCTTGTCTCTATTCCCGCTTTGAACGGTGGAGCGTCGAAACGGTAGATCCATGTACGTATTCTTACATGTATTTTAGTCGGAGGAGAGATTATCATGGTGGTTTGTTTTGATTTCGATTTTGTGTGTGGATTGTTAGGGTCAAAGCTACATTATTCATCTGTTAGAGAGATAGCTAGATGGAGGAATAAATATATACACACAACCATACCCCCACCTATTCCACCCGCCCAATACTAATCTTGCAATAATCCTCCCAAAGAAACAAACAAGAATAATCAACAAAAATGGCACAAAAACCCCCGCGTATTATCGAATACGAACGACAAGCCGAACAACGCGCAAAAGAACAAGATGAAATGGCACTAGCTCAAGACCGCATGTTGGAAGCACAATCACGTATTCAAGATGAGGCAAATCGAATTGCGCAGGAACAGTATGAGATGGAGCAGTATTATGAGACGGAGGCGTTGAAACATGCTGAGGAGATGAGGTTGCATCTTGAAGAGGTGAGGAGACATGAGGGTATGTTTTTCGTTGTTTTGTTGGGTTTTGGAGGGAGGAAGGGAAAGGTGGATTTTGGAGGTGGGATTGAGGAGTTGGGTGTAGGAGATGTTTGGGAAACTGAAGAATAGGAGAATCTAACGAATGAATAGAATTTATGAGGAAACATGAGAGGAGACTTAAAGATCATGAAGCGAGTATGGAAAGGTTATTGCTATGCCTGCAGAAACCAACGAGGGCGAGACAAATTTCTTTATGGCGTCGCAGAATTTTGGTGGAGGTGGGAGTGGGAGTGGGAATGGAAATGCGAATGGGAACGGGAATGGAGGGAATGGTAATGGAAGTCCAAATGGAAATGGAAATGGACTTCTTATGACGCCGCCGAGATTACAGCCTGCATTTCCGGGTTGAGGAGTAAGAGGGATAAGGAGAAGGAGATCGATTAATTTGATGAATGGATAGGATGAAAACGTATGGAAATACTTTGTTTGTGGAGAATAGTATTGATCTGGAGGGAGGTGATGGGTGATGGTATCTTCATGAGAAGCTTGGAGAAAAGGACGACGAAGGAAATTCGAGAATATCGATTAAGAGGATACCACGATGAGAGAACTCACGCCTTGGACACAGAATACCACAATTTCTCTGTCCAATAAATCCTCGAGAATAAAGCGGTCCACAATTGCAAACGGGAATAGGAGTTCCTTTCCCAATTCTCAACGATCAAGGAAGGATGCGACGGAGAGTGCAGCAATACTATCGATCTATCATCTACGGAATAGACAGGAATCGCAAGCATGAGATAGCAGAGGGAACAGGGTTTATTAGCTTGGTAGAATTTTGGAGCGGGAAATACCTAGTAATGCTCGAATGAATGATTTATGGATTGATGGATATGAAGGATTGAAGGACTGAAGGAAGGTGTTTGGGATGGGAATTCTTGGGGGAGTTATTAGCTGGTATGCACGTGTGTGTATTTTGTGTTTTTGCTATTGAGGTAACCTTAGCTATAAAAAATCTTAAGATTTATTTTTTGAGTATTGGCGCTTTTGGTATTGTTATTTGAGCAGTGGGATTCTGTATTGTGGGTTTGGGTTCTTGGATTGGATTGGACTGGATGGTACCGGTGATGCGATGGCTTATATATCCACATTGGAGAATTTTATATTAATATTTATATAGGTATGTATTTTCATATCTTGCTTGCATCACCGTAATAATCAATAATTATTATCCCAAGATTTAAACCATACCAACTCTATCCTTCACTTCTACTCTATCCCCGCCAACCTAACTTCAAGACAGCTTCGATAAAACTGATGTTCAGCACCCATCCCATTTCCATTTCCATTTCCATTTCTGCATACACCCGTACGCTCAACCCCTCCTCACCAACCTCTTCCCCTCGTTTCCACGCAAAGATTATTAGTCCAGCTATATAACATACAACATAATACCTTCCACTGTATAATATATTTATCAATAAAAACATTTTCCCCTCTTTATTTCTTCCTCTTTGAAACTTGATTTCTTTTCCTCGCCTCTTCCTTCCACTCTTCCTCTCCATGACCCCTCTTCCCCCAACCCTACCCTACCGTATTCATCTCTCCCCAAACCCAAAACCATACCCCATCATCCTCCTCCTCATCTCCTAACATCACATTTCCCTCCTCGTCTTCCCCTCAAAAACACTACAATAATAACACAATATCTCTCTAGATCCTTTATCTCGCTATATATCTATATAGTCATCCAATCTTTATCGCCATTACCTTAATTTTTCCTTCATTCTGTTACCCTGAAAGATTTATCTAAAAATTAAAAGATTTATCTAAAAACAATCCATATTTAAACTGAATATTCAAAAGGATATAAGTTTTGGTAAAGATTGTTTTATTTTATATAGGATTACAAATATAAGATCTTACCTTTTTATATTTTATTCTTGTGTTAAGGCGCGAGGCGCATTTTGTGTTTTTGTTGTAAGATTATTATATTATTATTATTTTTTTTGACAGGGATTAGAGAGAGAGGATAGAGGATAAGGTTAAAGGGGGGATGCGAAACAGATAATGTAGTTGTGTACTGGTAAGAGGGTTTGCAATTTGGAGAGGGTGTTAATAATAGGGAGGAGAGGAGTGATTTAGAATTTGAAGGAGAAAGCTCTGGAGATTATTTCTAAAGACGATGGTTTGAGGAGCGGTGGGTTGTTGGGGGTTGGGATGATGTTAGATTTTAGGAAGGGGGAAATGAGGTGGTAGCTGGAGAGAGACTTGGGGCTTTTAGCTAGGAAAGAAGGTGATGACGGGAAGTATTGCATAGAAACGAGTACCGAGCCACTACTGTGAATCCTCACAAATAAAGGAAAGGTTCTGAGAGATATTTCTAGGGATTAGGAGATATATGTATAATCTTGAATTTCATAGTTCTGGATACTTTTATAACATTATAACAAAGACGTTGAAATTCAAAGAATCCATAAATCCATAGTGATATTTTGGAAGTGGTGTATGACGTCCTAGGAATACCCAGAGTAGAGTACAGGATCATATGCCATTTATGAGGAAATGGTAAGATATATCAAATACTTCCTACTGCGCTAGCGAGAAACTTCATCGTGGATCTTGAGGTGATTGACAAAACTGATGTGTTATATTGTAAAAGTGGTAGGTCGAGATACGTGCATCCCGATAGTATGCTGTGGGGGGGAATTGGAAGAGAAAACTGATTAGATTATATTGTAATATATCATTTATGGCGAAAACGAGGTTTATAATGATTTTAGCGTTGAGGTTATATAGGTTCAAGATGGATATATATAGAAGATTGGTTATTCTAAAAAGAAAAGACAAAAGTTTTTCTTTTATATCTAATTACAAAAGGTTATATAATTGACGAGTTAAAAACCTCTATGTATCTGGCTTATAATTCCAACTTTCTCACAATATTGCTACGGGTTTGGAGGTCTGAGATGGGAGATTTATTTTATGAAATCTTGTTCTAATGATAAGCACTTAAGTAATGGTGGTTATGAATAATAAGTTGCTCTTTTGTGGTCGATGGAGGAATTTAAGGTTCAAATCGAACGAGAGGGTATATTTTTTTTTTTTGGAAAGTATCCGATCTTAGCAGTAAGATACTGTTTCTAGCTTTACTTCTTCTCGGGCTATCAATCGGTCAAAATCTAGTGATATTAATCAAAAGGCTGAAGGAGGGACTGTTAATCAATCGACTTCACTTTCGGGAGATGCTAGAAGTCATTCCGCTTGGTAGATGGTTTGATCTAAATATATAGTCTTCGGGAAATCATGGAGCTTGCCTAAACTTAGCAAGCTTTATGTTTTCCGCTGCCAACGGTGATTGACGAAGTTGACAGCGTCAGAGTGAAATAAAAACTTGATGCTGTGTGGCTGTGTCTGGAAATTTGGCTGTGAGTATCTATCCCAGTGGTAGGTATCGAATGGAAGTGACAGAGATAGAACAAAGGTATGGTACTATACCGACGGGTTCGCCTATCGTAATTTGGTTTAGATACATAAGATGAAGGATATATATATATTCTCTGTGAATCTGGACAAAACATTATCTTCCTTCGTGGCAAGCTGTCGGGAAGGGAAGTTCTCTTATTGCTCCCTCCGGCATTCTTGGTCCAGAGACCGTACATTCAGCGAAGACTTTGAGTCAACGAGAGCTTGGTTGACTCCAGCAGTATGCATTCACATTCCATGCAAAGGGTGATGAGCAAGTGTAAATCAGCAGCCACGAATACCGACATTGGGGAATGAAGGGGAAGTCGTTATGAGTAAAAAATGAGAGATTGGAATACGAACAAGTAGATTATGAATGGTCACGATGATGCCACCGCGATGAAAAAAGATCTTCGTCACTAAGAGAGAGAGATGAGAAGAAGGCGTAATTTGACAGGAGACAGGAAGAGATGGAAAGATTTCTTATGCCACAGAAGATACACACATCATCAAGGAGATCACTTCTCCATGATAATGATTGTTGCGAGACTATTTCATTGCAGTCTTGAGGTTGATACTGGACCATTGTGTTTTACATGACTAAATTTTTAAAATACAATACAATGTCTTAAACTTTGAACTTTCGCTTGGAAGTGAAGCACCTTCAAAGGAGCGTTGGATCCATTGAATTGGCCAACTATAGAAAATCCATCCATCCGAGGATAATGAAATCTAGAGAACAACGGCCTTCTGCTAAAGTTAAGATCGTACAATAGAGATAAAAATACTTGAAGTTAAAATAACATCCTCGTGGCGAAGTAAGTATTTGAAGTTTCTTTGTTCACCGCTGCGTTTTGATGTGAACAAGCTTCCCCTATATGCTTCTATACGCTTTAATATGCGCGAATCTACTATCATCTGCCGTATATACCTACCTATATTTCTTCTTTTAAGAGTCAAAGAGCGAAGCGTCATCAATCAAAGCCTTTTTTCACATGTTCTTTTATGGGGGCAAGCCCCCAAACCCCCGTCCTCGCTGCGCTCGATTTAATTTTGATGGGTAAAAGAAAGATTGTAAGATGACCTACTGGTGTACCTACTGGTGTACCTACTGCTGTACCTACTGCTGAAGGATATACGGAGCACTGGATACTCAGGGAAGGAAGACGTCTGGTTGAACTTGTGGTTAGTGAGGAGGGAGGTAGGTGTTAGATAACATTTCCATCGAGTGTGCAATGAGTATCCTGCGTATGAACATTGAATACCGTTCTTATATAGATGTCTAAACCGGATAATAAGAAACAACAATAATAATAGGAATAATACGTAAATGTACATACGGCCAAGCTTAAAAACATAAAATCATACCACTTGAACAGATAGAGTTTAGTAAATATTCATTATGTCACTAGAAAGTAGCTTCGTATAACTAAATGCTGCGGGACGACCCCATCATACGATAAAATCAGACCACTACGGTGTTATCGGTCGATAATCCATCCACTAGAATAACTTTCAATACGTTCGTACGTCGATGCTCCAATACACGCCAACATTTTCAAACATTTTCAAACATTTCCAACCATTTTCAACCATTTTCAACCATCGGCACCAATCCTTCAAATTTCAACCTCTCAGGATGAATCTATCAATCTCTTCTATACAGAATTAAATTTACCCAGCTTATTATATTTCCTAATTCTACTAAATTTATTCTCATATTCGCAAACTTGTCTAATTTCGTCCATCTTTGTGCATAATTCAATCCTTGTTTTACGGAGTTCGATTCTAACAACCTTCCATTTCTAACTAATTTGATCAAAATATCAAACCACTTTCTTACCTTCTCACCATATACCCAGATTTCCAGATTTTCACATTCCCCATAATCTGCCATAAGATAAACCTCCTCCAGGTGACGTGCCTAATCATGGCATCTAAGCTTTCTTCATTCGATCCGACCTTGTCTGGGATATCAGCCGGTCTCGATTCCTCCAATGAATTTGATCAAACGGCTGTTTTCGCAGATTCACTAGGCCTCGACGACGATCCTTTGTTTCCCACAAACTGGGACGAGAATACCCCGCCCTACGACGGTGGTCTATATTCGACCCCGTTGAATTGGGATCCCCCTCCAATGCCGAAACAAGAAGACCTTCAAGACATAGCTCCAACATACAACAGTATGAACTCCAACGGTGGACTTACTGCTGCTCAACAGGAGAAGTTGCGCGATATTGCAATGCCACCGCACCTACAATACCAAAGTCAACACAGTCCAATCTCCACCACCTCCAAGAGCAATTCCATTTCCTCGCCCGAATCACAAGATATGAGTCGCAAACGCAAATCATCCGCAGAAGCCGACGAGGACGACGACGACGAGTCTGGAGGTCAACACCCACCGGTCAAGAAGACGGCTCACAATATGATCGAAAAGAGATATCGCAATAATTTGAACGACAAGATTGCAGCTCTTCGGGACAGTGTACCAAGTCTCAGGATAATGCAGAAGAGCGCTCGTGGTGAAGTTACGGCTGATGATCGAGACGAGCTACAAGGTTTAACTCCTGCTCATAAATTGAACAAAGCAACAGTGAGTCTTTTCTTGATCCTTATCATGCGTTTGTGAGTCGATCTATCTGCAGCTGTGATAATGGCTTCAAAACATGTCATGCGAGTCTCAAAAAATCACGCCACTATTTTCGTTCTTCACCATTCATCCAAGGTTCAGCATCATGCTAATCATCATCCCTAAATAGGTCCTCTCCAAGGCTACTGAATATATTCGACATTTAGAGAAGCGCAATTCACGTTTGCAAGATGAGAATAATCAAATGAAGACACGCATCAACGCTTTCGAAAAGCTCTTCGTCTCTGGATCCATGGGCTTCGGTCCTATGCAGCAACCAATGAATCCATATCAATACGCTCAAGATTTCAACACCCCAGGTCCTTCACCTTCCTCCGATCAAGGTATGATACCTGTACCCGACGACATGCGAAGACTACATGGTCAAATGAGTCAAGAGGCTTTTGCCGTTCCCACACAATACATCAACCGTCAACCAATCGGTCCTAATGCATGGAATGGAGGATACTTTGGCAAGCTCATGGTTGGCTCTCTTGCAGGTCTCATGCTTATGCAAGGCTTCTCAGAGGCAGAGCAAGACACTGATACACCTGGCGCTCGTGGTCTCATGGCTCTTCCTACTCAATTCCTTAGAGCTATGAGCCGTGGTTTTCATTCAATGTTGGAGGTCAACTTTAAAGGCTATCACCTTCCAGCAAGCCAGACTATCCACTATCTTCAATACTCCCTCGCACTCGGTCTTCTCCTCTACATCTTCCTTCCTTCCTTATTCACCCCCAAGCCAAAGGGAAAGGGTTCCAAGTCTGCCCATTTAGTCGCCGCACCGTCACTCGCCTCTTCTATCCAAGTTAGGAGACAAGCTTGGCTCACAGCGGTTCAAACTGTTTGGGTACCGAGACACAATTTCTTTCTCGAGGCAGCTGCTCTTTGTATGAAGGTTGGCAAGTGCGCATGCCGCAACCTCGTGGGACCCTCGCTCTATTCTTTCTTGACTGGTACCACCGAAGAGCAAGAAGTTGCTCGGATCAAAGCCTGGTCCATCGCTCTTGATGCCCAACTGACTGGTGGCGATGTTGAAGTCAGCAAAAGTCGTTTGACATTGACACTATTGGCATCTGGTACACTGCCTGATACTCCAGCACGCTTAATGCTCAAAGCATTACACATTCGTGTTTTATTATGGGAGTTAAGCCAGATTGGATTCATCGGTTCCAAATTCATTAGAAACTGTGCCCAGGAATTGGCTAGATGGAAATGGAACGAGGCAAAGCAAATGCAGCAAATTCTGTCACAATCCAAAGAGCAACATGACGAACTTCCTGAATATCTTGCTACTCTTCTTGAGCAAAAATGCGACGATGTCTTGGTAGATACAGTCGTACAACGTGCTTACAACCTCGCATGGAATCTACCCACTACCAACAACACAAAGGTCAACTGTGGTATGGACCGTGTTGTGGACGATTTTGCTATTCGTAGCCCTCTCGATGCAGTCGCAGCTTGGTGGTCAAGTATGACTCTCCACAAAGCTTTGGCAAAGAGTCTTGAGGTAGAGGATGACGATACTGAAAGCTATAAGACTATTGCGGATGATATCAAAATTGCCATTCAGACAGCACCTCCTGGATCCGGGGCTCAAATCCGTGCTCTGGTGGCACGTGCTGTTCTCGTCAGAGAGAAACGTGGACAAAGTATCGCTATGGCTCTCAAGGCAGTTGGTGCCGGGCAACAAAAGATGCCGGTGGAATCAAATGTCAACATCAAAACCTCTGTCGCCAACCTACCAGACATTCGGACTTCAATCCACTGCGCGATGGCCCTTGCTTATTTGGAACGCTTCCCAATGCCAGGTAATCCTGAGAATGCCCCAAAGATCATTGACTCAATCGTTCCAGTCAATCTCACTTTACTTGGCTTCACTGCAATGTTCAAACTTGTTGAAAAGATGCATGAGCACACTCTCGTCGCCTCAGCCTGTGCCGTATCCTTGGAGAAGTTTGCTGGCAACCTCCGAATTTGGATCGGTGGCGTAGATGGTGAGAAGAGTGGTCTGGAGACTGACTTGAAGAGAGAAATGGTGGAGAGATGCTTAACGATTACTGCACAAGTTGTTGGCATGGAAAATGATGCTGGGTATGGAAGCATGAGTGAGGATGGTGACAGTGAAGGATGCTGATGATCATTTTCATTTCAATATTTTTTGGCAAATTTCTCAGAAATCATGCATAAAATAAATCCGAAGAACAGACAATATCTTTTGTCTTACAGAGTTTTTCGGCATTTGGGACGGCAAACGGGAATATTTTTCTTGTTATTTATTGAATCAACTGAAAAGGATACCAGGTATGCAAGTCTCAGGAATGGTGGGCGTTTGAGGTTTGATCTAGATGCGATAGTATCATAGAGCACTGCATTGGGCTAGTTTGGTTTGTGGTCAAATGCATGCGCTCCTTTTCAATAAATTTACTCTTCAAATGAATTCCTGATGCATTTCTCGTGTTTATTCTATCATTCTAATTTTTGCCTGAGAGCAGCTTGTTGGTTGCAGATTGAAGTTGTCTCTTCATTTTACAGGCGACCCGGGAAATTTTCATTTCGTGGTTAAACACATAAGCATAAGCATTCGATAATCACTTCCCACTACCGCAAGCAATCTTACAAAAGCACTCAACTGCGCACAATGTTTGTTTCCCCAAAGTTAATAAGACTAAGAAGCGTGATGTCCGATGAAAGAAAGCAAGTATGTAAGAAGCATTTCCGACCTTCTCCGGCTGCAAGTGGGAAATGGTTGAACGATATGCTCAATTGACCAATGGAATTAATTTACAGTAAGCAAGCAAGCAAGCAAGCAAGCTGTTTTATTTTATTTTTATCTCTTATCGTGTGCCCCACCCACTCTTGTCTATCATCTATCGTACATGCATGACAAGGTCCATGGAGTTGGGGAAATTTATCGGGATTTCGGAAATTTATTGTTGGGTTATTTGTACTTTTGATAGGTATTAGGTACTGGTGGTAGTAGGGCGTGTGGATGGGTATAGATAACCTTATGGATATGGATATAGATAGCTATGGACGGGTATCGATATGGAGGGGTTTTCGTTCACTTCATCCGAGGAAATGTCTTGATCGATGGTTGAAGTTTATGGGTTTCCGATTTCCGAGGAGGTAGGTGGTTGGTTTGTTGTTTGATGGTAGTTGGTATTTGGTTTTTGGTTTTTGGTTTTTGGTTTCTGGGGATATTTGGATATTTGGATATTTTTGATAGTGGTGGTGTGGTTTGGTTTGGTGCTTTGGTGCTTATGAGTTAGGTTAGACGGATAGGATAGGATAGGATAGGATAGGATAGGATGGATATGAGGAGATTGGTTTATTATTCATCCTGTTTATTGTTTCCTATATCTCGTGTTTTGTGTCATGATATGATATGATATGATATGATATTTTGGCTAGGGGTATTTATTTGTGTTTGTGGTTTAGATAGATATATAGACAGATATAGATGGATGGATAGATGGATGGATGGATACTGATTTGATTGCTTTTTCTTTGGATATCTTGATATCTTCTTGTTTCTTTTGACTTGAGATAAAAGCTTTCGATATACTATTTTTGGTCACTTTTCGTCTTCGTGGTGCTGAAACTGCGAGCTGTTTTGCGGTTGGTGGGATTGTGAGTTTACATCTATAAACACCTGCAGTCTACGTCTATAGGAAGGAACCGCTTCTTGTGTTTATTGGAGAACATACTTGTGTTTGTGTGAAATAGGGTCCGGATCGGAAGAACTATATATTTCCCTTTCTCCGGGAGCTCGAATATCATAATGTCAAACTGGCAAGAGGAAGAAGGTCAAAGGAATGGGGCCGCGAATGAGGTTAAAGAATCTCGGTATGAAGGTCACGAGCCGATGAGAAAGAAGGTGGTAGTTGTTGGTTTGGGTATGGTGGGAATTGCTTTTATGTAAGTCCGGATTTTTGCTGTCTAGAATATGGTGTATCATTTGCTCGAGTTGATTCTAAAGCTGGTTGGATGGGTTCGCGAATTTGAGACACTTGCTAATGCTACAATAGAGAGAAGTTAATGAAGCTGGATGCAAAGAAACGAGAATACGATATCGTGGTTATAGGCGAAGAATCACATTTGGCATATAATCGAGTTGGTCTGACGAGTTTCTTCCAACATCGTATCGTGGAGAATTTATATCTGAACCCGAAGACATGGGTGAGTTTTTCTGCTTGACTCCTCACTGTATCCTTTGGCTAATGCGCACCAGTATGCAGATGTTCCAGCTGGATCTCTCAGTTATCATATCAATACCAAAGTTGTTGAGATTTGTCATTCTGACAAAAAAGTCACTTGTGCTTCGGGCGAATCTGTCTCGTACGATATCCTTGTTTTAGCAACGGGTTCTGATGCCCTTCTGCCGGGACATACACCTGGCCATAATGCTAAAGGTGTTTTTGTGTATCGAACTATAGAGGATTTGGAAAATCTCATACGGTTTTCTGATCAGAAGAAGGATACTCATGGACTTGTTGTGGGTGGTGGACTCTTGGGTCTCGAAGCTGCAAAAGCTATGATGGATCTTGAGAATTATAAAAAAGTACATCTGATTGAGAGGAATAAATGGGTATTGAGTCGTCAGCTTGATGCTGATGCTGGAGGGTTGGTGGTCGAACAAGTGAGAGCACTTGGTTTGGATGTTATGTTATCCAAACGAGTTGGGAAGATTGAAGTTACGGATGAGAATGAAGTGAAAGGTGTGGTGTTTGAAGATGGAGAAGAGTTGGAATGTTCGACAATCTGTTTTGCGATTGGTATCAAAGCTCGAGATGAACTTGCTCGCCAAGCAGGTATGAAATGTGCTGATCATGGTGGAGGAATTGTTGTTGGAGATGATCTAAGTACCAGTGTCAAAGACATCTACGCGATCGGCGAATGTGCTAGCTGGGAAAATCAAACATTTGGATTGATTGCTCCTGGAATCGAGATGGCAGATGTATTGTCTTTCAACTTGACACAGGCTAAGATACATGCATTTCGAAAGTTTAAGCGACCTGATCTCAGTACTAAGTTGAAGTTATTGGGAGTGGAAGTTGCCAGTTTTGGGGATTTTTTTGCGGATAGAGATGGGCCTAAGAATTTACCTGTCAGGGCTGCGAGGAAGGATACAGATTCATCTGATGCTTCAAGAGAGTTGAATAGATCTAGGTCATCGCAAGTCAGGGCACTCACTTACAAGGATCCTTTCCAAGCCATCTATAAGAAGTACTTGTTCACCATGGATGGAAAGTACTTATTAGGTGGCATGATGATTGGCGATACGAAAGACTATGTCAAGCTGGTACCTATGGTGAAGAATCAAAAAATGCTAGATGTACCACCTAGCCAATTTATCCTTGGGGCCAGTAAGGAAGGTGATGATGGTGGAGATGACTTGGACGACGACACGCAAATATGTTCGTGTCATAATGTCTCCAAGGGTGATGTCGTCCACTCGGTAAAGGAAGGAAAATGCAAAAGTATCGGAGACGTCAAATCCTGTACCAAAGCTGGAACCGGATGTGGCGGTTGCATGCCTTTGGTTACGAGTATCTTCAACAACACTATGAAATCTATGGGACAGGAAGTCAAGAATCATATTTGTCCTCATTTCAACTATTCACGAGCCGATCTCTACAATATTATTTCTGTAAAGAGCTTGAAGACTCTGGCGGAAGTCATGAAAGAAGCTGGGAATGATCCAGATAGTCAGGGATGCGAGGCTTGTAAACCTTCTATCGGATCGATTTTCAGCTCTTTGTACAATAAACATATAATTTCGCGTCCTTTGCATGGTCTTCAGGAGACTAATGATCGATTTTTGGCAAACATTCAACGAAATGGTACTTTTTCTGTGGTGCCGAGAGTCTCTGCTGGAGAAATCACTCCGGAGAAATTAATACTTATAGGTAATGTTGCGAAGAAATATAATCTCTATACCAAGATTACTGGTGGTCAGAGAATCGATATGTTTGGAGCTAAAAAACAAGACCTCCTGGCTATCTGGAAGGAGCTTGTTGAAGGAGGTATGGAATCTGGTCATGCATATGCGAAGAGTTTGCGTACAGTCAAAAGTTGCGTGGGAACTACTTGGTGTCGATATGGGATTGGGGATTCGGTGGGTATGGCTGTGAGATTGGAGGAGCGGTATAAGAGTATTAGGAGTCCGCATAAAATTAAGGGTGGTGTGAGTGGATGTGTGAGGGAGTGTGCGGAAGCGCAGAATAAAGAGTATGTCCGAATTTATCACTTTTTCCCTCTCATCTACAAGGGTAAATATAGAAATGCTAATCATAACCATTAGTTTCGGTCTCATCGCCACGGAAAAAGGCTTCAATATCTTCGTTGGCGGCAACGGCGGCGCCACTCCTCGCCACAGCGAACTCCTTGCCAAAGACGTTCCCCCTGACTCCGTAATTCCTATCCTAGATCGCTACCTCATATTCTACATCCGCACCGCTGATAAACTGCAACGAACCGCTCGATGGCTCGAGGCTCTCCCCGGCGGCATCAAATACCTTCGCGAAGTAATCCTCGAGGATAAATTAGGAATTTGCGCTAGTCTCGAAGCACAAATGGAAGAATTAGTCGGATCATTCTTCGATGAATGGGCGGCTGCTATCCACGACCCAGAAATCGCGAGGAAGTTCAAACAGTTTGATAATTGTGATGAGGAGGTGGAGAATATGGAAATGGAGGTTGATAGGGGACAGATGAGACCAGTTTACTGGGCCAAGGAGAGCGCGAAGACGGATTTTAAGAATGTGAAGTGGACATCTTTGACTTGGGAGAGGGTTGTTAAGAAGGATCATTTTGCCGGTGCGGATGATTTACCGAATGGGATTTCGGCGAGTGTTAAGAGGGGCGATACTCAGTTGGCTGTTTGGAGGGTGAGGGGTAGGTGGTTGGCTAGTCAGCAGATGTGTCCTCATAAGAGGGCGTTTGTTTTGAGTGATGGGTTGATTGGTGATTCTAGCTCTACTTCTATTGCTTCTTCCTCTTCTTCATCTACTTCCGAAGAAGCAAAAAAAGAAGAATCCCTCTGGATTTCCTGTCCAAATCATAAGAGAAACTTCAATCTAAATGGAAAGGATAAGGGCAGATGTAGAAATGATGAGGAGGTTAGTATAGCTATTTTTGAAGTGGAGGAAAGAGATGATGGGTGGGTTTATTTGAAGTTGCCGCCGGTGTTTGAGTTGGATGGGGTGTTGGGTATGCAGAGGTGGAGGGTTAGGGCGGGGGAGAGTGGGGAGAGTCCGTTTAAGGGGTTGGATGAGAGGATGCATGTGGGGGGCATTGGGAAGGTTGGGAGGAATGGGGTTAAAGTGAAAGGGAGGAGGCCTGGGGAGTCGAGGAGGGAACTGAGGGTTGGAGGGGAGGAGGGTGGGATTGATTGGTAGGGTTTGTAATTTGTGGGTGCTGTGCAGAATCGGAAGGTATGGAGTATTGGAGTTGTTTTTATAGATGATTTAGATTTAGATAGTGGGATGTTTTATGACAACACTGCTCAATACTTCGTCACTCATGATACACGTATACTCGCTGAGTCGCTTCGTAAATGGACATATGTGGATTATGTAGATAGGTATATATGAGAGGGTTGGAACTATTTCAATTTACTTCTCTTGTACGTCCTGATAGATAGATAGATGCATTTGTTTTTGTTGAAATCTAGAGGGGAAGCAGGTGAAATAAAGGATAGATAGGATCTCTAGAGTCCAAGATGGATTTTAATTCCTTATTCCATATTGCACATTCCTTTTTCCTTTCCCTTCCTTTCCTTTCCTTTTTTTATATATAGGGAAATTCAAAGATTAAGGATCGAGGATTATGGGTTGTTAGAGAATAAGGATTTTAAGCTTACAGAATGTAAGATCTTAGTGTATTAAGATTGAATAGACGATGGTTTTTGGTAGATTCAAAGTTCATTTATTCTTGTATTTGTACTCGTATTGTATGTTTCGTTCCTAAACTTAATGCTAAAAGGCTTTTAGTTGAGAACTCTATCGGAATAGATTTATAGGCGCTGTAGATAGTTGGCCCCCCTTTCTAATAGTTTATATTTCAACTCGAGGGTTGTGCTGCTACTTTCTTGTTGTGATTATTGAGTTTTTGTGAGCTGGTGAGCGCACGTTATTGATTTGTCGACGTCTCAGAGATTAACCTTATTACGGAGATTGATGTTTGTTAAGAAGAAGATCTACTCTGGAATTTTGGGGGTTCGATGGTAGTTTATAGATAGAGGTCTACTTCGAAAGTCTTTCGGGTTGAAAGGTTTTGGTGCGGCGAGTCGTCCTTGATATTTGTGGGAGCCAACGTTAAGAACGGTTAGGACTTATACATGCATGTACATAGCATCAGCGATTATATTAACGAATCTTAATGCATCCAGCTGTAACCTATCACCACCCAGCCAAAGAAAATACTGCACGTGATATGGACCTGCAACCATACAGCAAATAAGGAGCATACTTTGTACATTCAATATTATCCATAGCGATTTACATTTATCAAAATTATCCAATATAGAATGACTTTTCCGGTGTTCGATGCACTCATAAAACCACCCCGTCAAAATTGCGTTATATTCACGTGACAAGATGTGATAAGGAATGCCGAGATACTAGTGCGATTCAACTAAATTTTCCGATGTTAAGGTTATATTATTGTGATATATTCGATTTTTCGATGAATTGGACCACCAAAACCTGCCAGTCTATATCTTGGCTCCTCATTACAAACAATGATTTCGCGCTCAAGGGTTAGAAGCCCGTGAAGGCCGAGAGATTGATTGATTGTGCTTGGAACTTCAATGTTGTTTCAACTGGAAAAAGATGGAGACTTGGCACAACCCAATGCTCTACACAACCAAATGATCAGTGTCAACAAATCTCTCCGGCTACATGGTCGGTAAGGATGAGTCGTAGACTCATTGACCTTGGGATATTGGCATATCTTTTCTCGGACGTATTACTCGAAGAGTGCTATTGCCCCCAGTGTCGAGCACATTTCACCACCGAGAAATCATGAAGTCAAGTACTGATGGAGCGAAGGCATTGTCTATCTTTGAATGCTCCCCACATTATCTCTGCCTCGAGTCCAAATGGAGTCGTTGGACGTGATCTATTATTAGTCTTTTCGGTGCCGGTTTTGAGATCATTGATTCAATAAGTTACGGAAGGATTAGATATTACCATTCACAACGCTTTAATTTCAGCTCATCTAAACCATCTTTCCATTCCATTCATTGTTCTCCGGAATTCAATAAGCATCAATCAAATCACTTCAGTCTTTGATTCCTTTCAGGTATCTTCGACGAATATAAAGTTATCGAACTTGAAGTGGAAGGTCGTGTCCATGTGGTTTTGAGACTTAGTAAGTTTCATTTGAAACCGTGCCTCCTAGTAAGACCCACGCACAGAACAACTTCCATCCTAACAGGACTCTCTATACCCAAGGACTATGGTTATTCTAGTTTGAGTCTCTGTTGAAAAATTCATTTCAGGCAATGCCGGTACCTGTCATTGTTAGAGCTTGTGTTACAGTTTACTTCAACACTTGTCTGATTTAGGGCATTCATTCCAAATAGAGTAGATACCGTGCCCTGATCGTCGTTTAGGAACCCATTCAGTCGGTGTTTTCTTCAATTGGAAAATACTACTGGAGTGATGGTAGCCTTGTTATGAACTCATCTTGCATTCCAGTCCCCTCTCTTTTTCATCAAATCTAAAAATCCTGATATTAACAGTTGTTGTTGACGACGCCGGCGCCGAACATGAGCTCGCGTTGATAGCTACGAACATAATGTTCACTCATGATTTTCTTTTCTTAACATTATTACCCATAGATTGGGCATTTACATCATAATAATTCTTTTCAAATTTGTGCCGCGATGACTATACCGGATGCCGTTCAGACCTTGTCGGCTGCATTCTCATTGTCAGTTCATCAACTCGAATATCTTTCAAGTTCTTGCTAACATTCAACATAGTGGTATACTTCTGCAGGCAGCAACTGGCGCATTTCTTATATACTTTAGGGGTCATGGTTCAAATGTTTTCAAGGACGGCCGGAGGCTGGTCCTCTTACTATTCTTGTTGTTTAGTGTATTGTGGGCGCAAATCGATTTCTTGGAGCTCTTGATGCCAACGACAGGTACCGGAACTTGTCAGGCGGGATTAATATTTACAACGAGTTTCGATCAGTCAGCGAGGGTGGCACTCGAACAGTTCTTGTTGTGGTCGATTGGTCATGGAACGAAGATCACCGCTATTCGAGCTATTTTACAAGGTCTATTGGGCACCCGATTGATAGTGGGAGGTATTTTGGCTGGAGTTACTCGTCCTCAATTCGCACCTACATGTGTTGCCACTACTTCGATATTACCTGTCGCAATTGTAGTTCTGGTCATGGACCTTATCATAGTTGGGGCTCTACTCGTCCAAGCTGGCTCTTTGGGAATGTTTAGAGACAGCCGTGAAGAACGAAAATTGCAGAATAGAGCTTTATTGCTCGTCATTGCAGGTTTCGCCATCTGGACTGTAGTATGTGCTCGCAAACTGTCTTTGACTCAAATGCTGATACAAATTTAGACCAGTGTACCCATGCTTCTTGGGATACCTAGCATTGATTTGATCGCTCGAACTGTCGTACCTGCAAATGGCCTTCTTGTGCTCATTGGTATGTGCTATTCATCCATGGCTGCCAGGATATACTAATATAGATTGTAGGCATCATTACCGCTTACCCGGTGGCATTGTTGTCTCCGAAGCAAGAGGATGCTGTGACCGCGGGTGCAAAATCTCCATTTTCCACAAGCCCAATGGCGATATCTCGAGGAATGTTTCAAAATAGTATAGGAGATGAAGGATCCTCTGTAATTGGTCGTCCTGGCACTAAAAGTCAATTGTTTGTAGCCAATCCTTCCTCAACACCAACCTCAAGAGATGTGCGGGGCTTCACAAAACTCGCCGACGATGGAAACTCAGGAGAAGCGCAAAATGCTTCTGGTTACCAGGCTCCAAGTGGTGCTTACCCCACCGTCTTTGGTGCATCATCATTGGTAACGGGTCAAGAAGTACCCGGACCAGCGACTGAGCAATTCGTCAACCCTTCTATCTCAACTCCAGTATCTTCCAAACGTCCAAAGGTATCTGTACGAGGTCTTGCCATATCCAAACCTATAGTCAACGATGAAACGGATCCTGATACACCTTTTTCACGAATTGCAACAATCGATCTCAAGACTGCTATTATGAACGACCGCGAACGAAGAACAATGGCCAGCAAGAAGTCCCTGCCCAATGCTCCGAGAGCGGACTTTCAACGATCAAGAATGTCACCGGAGGATATTTTAAACAAAGCAAATGAAGTTGCACAAAAAGGGGTATCAAATCAGGCTAATGAGTGGATGGCTGCATCGGGTTTGTCAACTTCTGCATTACTCTCTCCTGCACGTGATGAAGTGCGACGTCGCTCGCCACGAGGAGTTAATAACCTGGAAACATTGGAGGAGAAGCAAACTTTCAGACCTGTCGCAGGGTTACCAATGAATCCTAGATCTCAGAAATCAACAATGTCTCAACAGAGAGGAGAGCCTCAACCACAAACAGTCATGTTAGTGAATGATATTATTTACGACAACCCTGCAGTGGTAGAGTCCATTATCAGCAGAACTCCAGCACATATCAAAGAAAAATCCTTAATGGAATTGTCACCGTTAACTCCTTATACTTCGGGATTTGAACCACGGGAATCAATTATACAGAGAGCAAGGCCTATTCCAAGACACAAAAATACTGGACTGTTTGGAAACGAGCCTTTGCCTGTTCATAGACGTAGCAAATCAAGCTCTGCAATATTGGGCAAAAAGTTCTTGCTCACTTCTACCCCGGGTAGTCCATCACAGCTGCCTCCACTTCCAAAGCCACCTCCGGTGTATACTGCTTCCAAGCTGAAGAAGCTTTTACCTAATGACACGAAAAGCATGACCTTCGAAGAGAAGATAGAATTTCTGTTCCCAGCTCCGCCAGGAGTAAGTCTACTTGATAATCGTCGCTCGTCCGTCCCAGATCTTCCAAGCATGGCTAGCAAATTAGCTACTTCAATCGAGTTAGAGCATGGTAACTCTGTCTCTAAACGGACAACAACCATTGCGTTACTCACCCCACAAGAATATCCAGCCAAACAAAACTCCACAGAAGTGGATTCAAACCGCGAAACATATCTTTCAGATGCAGTAGAAAGTGTTTCAAAGACTTTGGTGGCAAATCGTAATTTTACCAATGAAAATATTCTCGAGTTGGTTAGCAAAACGCTATCCAATGACTCTCGTGAAAGAGATGCACAAGTGTCGAGCCCTGCGGAGGAAGGTTACGTGAGCTATATTAGTCCATCAAATGCATCTGACACATATAGAGGTTCCTCGTATTCTGCATTTTCACCGCAGAGAAGTCAGAGATTTTTGGATGATCTTGAGAGGTTAGAAATAATGTCAGAAATAGCAATAGAGGAAAATGAAGGCGAAAGCGACGAGGCTATGGTTGTTACGATCAATTCTGCTGAAAATCGAAAATCCATGCCAGAATCTGTGGCTGATGACAGCGAGTCCTTCATTTTTGATATTAATGGCTTACCTGTTGAGGCAAAACACTCTACTTCAACATGGCACCGACGTATCGGTGACGAACTGCCTACTTTCTCTGATCGGCGATTGAAGCATGGCTCACGGAAAATATCTCCACCAACGGCTTTATTGTTAGAACCAGCGCGGGGTAGGGCTTCTCCCATTCTCATTCGCAACGTTGAACCATCTCCAGCATTAGACTCGCCAGGAAGGGCTCTACAAGACATTAAAGACCAACTGAATCGAATTGAACAGCCAAGACGCGCATCATTGAGATCAATTCTTAGTCGTATGCCAGCTACGGAAAATGTTGGAGGCTTTGGAAGTGATGATGGATTGGAAAGGCTACGATTACTCGAAACTCTTGAGCGAGAGATGGGTGAGCAGGAGAACGATTGGCAAAAGATGCATCAGAACTTTAGTCGGGATTCTATGTCCTCGATTGGAACTCTTGCGACTCCAAGATCCGAGGCCTCTCCTGAACTAACAAGATCTGCCATGGATACAAGGGCATCGCAAAGATTATCGTTGGGATTACGCCGTAGTTCGTCTCGACTCATACGTCAAAGAATGAGAGATAATTCGAACGGGACGTCTGCAGAAGCTGAAATTGTACCTTACCAAATTCAGGAAAGTTCCAGTCTTGGTGGTTGGCAGCAGCGCCTAGCTGATGCACAGATGTCCTACATGGAAAATGTCCCAACTGTATCTCATTCTCGCAATAGCAGTATGAATTTCTTATCGGTTTCCAAAGCACCAAATGCACCATTGGAAAGTCCTACTCCTACGCAGAGCATGTTGGAGATCGAGTCCGAAAGCGAATATGGAAGTGAAGGAGAAATTGAGGAGGATGAACGTTCAATTCCTTCGCCATATTATCCAGCGTCATTATGGCAGCCAGTGGTGCAATCACCCAAAGCAGCTGCCTCATTCCTTTGGAGCTCTGCCAATGACACGCCCGCTAGTCAATCTCCCGAGCCTCCAGCAAAGAATATCCGCCCGGCTCAGCGGCAAATTGGCGCTGAAATGCTCCCCAGCAGTGGTGATTTGTGGTCAAAGCCATCTCCGAATATGCGACCCGGCAGTGTTTTGGTGCAAGGATTGTGGACATCAAAATCAGTCCGATCATCCACAGTCAAAGCTCGCCCCGTGACCCAGAGACCTCCAAGGAGATCTAAGCGTACCACACTTTTAGCAGACATTGGTAAGTGTCTATTGCTGTTATATTGCTAAATATATAAATGCTTAGCTAACAATAAATAGTCGAGAACCCTGAACCTCTCCCTAACAAACGCGATACATTAGGAATATTCCAATTCCCCTGGGGAGAGCGATCTGACACAGCCATGCCCCAACAAACTTACAACCCATTCTTCCAAACGGGACCAGCCTTGAACGCAGCCCTCGACTCAAGATCTCGTCAATTGGAGCCTGACTCATTAGAATATTCGTCTACATCTTTCTTTGAGGATTACGACGAGGAATACGAGCTTGGCTCCGATATGACTTCAGAAAGTGAAGATGAGTTTGACGAGACCACTTTGTGGGAAATAGCAAGCATGCTTAAGTCTTCTGATGTTCCCTCAAAGGACAGCCTCTTGCCACCGATACGGCCTTCGGAAGATATTGTTGATGATTACGAGGATTATGAAACTAGCTCGGAGACTGATTTCAGCTCGGAGGACGAAGATTATGAGGAGTTTAACAATAATAATGAATATTATGGAGAATACTATGATGAGGCTAGAAACTCAACCATTATATTTTCTCATGAAGACGACTTCGATCTAGATGATGAGGTTGATCCTGGTATGGCAGCGCCTGTCGCCAATTTTTATGAAGAGAACTCCGAAGACTTGTTCGTGCTTTCAGGTGATTCACCTAGGGTTTTTGTTGAAGACCCACTGCTTTTGGATAACAGCATATCGGCAGATACAAAGATATCTGAGTATGGCTTACCTCAACCAAGTCCTAATATGTGGAAATCATATATCCCATCATCGCAAGGCACAGTTCGAACACAACCTCATCCACCGTCGCCGATGCAAAAACTCAACAGCCATAATCTTTGGACTGGAGGAGAAAGTGACTTTTTGGAGGAAGATTCAATCGCAGATTCCTACTTCGAGCCCGAGTTGCTACCCATAACTGTCAGAACCCTCATGTGGAGTGCCCCAGCGGTGTTCGTCGAAGTACCAAGTTTTGGCCTCTTCTCTGTAGAGGCTAGGCGTCAGAATTTCCGCTCAACTACCGAAATACCGGCTGCCATTGGTCTCAAAAAGATTCAACGGGTGATCTCATCCCCATTACCTGTAATTTCAACTAAGAAATTATGGTCGCTAGCAGGGCTTGCGCGGCCTACCAGCAAAAACTGGCTGTTGATCAGTGCGGCCAAACCAACTCCATCCAGAGCTGCCGATAGCCACACTTTCCTATGGACCGCAAGTCCAATAGTCGCCGATGTTACCAGCAAGGGTCTATTTCAACGGAGGTCATCGCGTATTCAAAATTATCGCAACAGCGAGCTAGACCCAGCCGCATTGATTTTGACCTCCAAAGGACGAAGTAAGCCAGGAGCCCTTTCAAAGCTGGTATCAAATAGACTTTGGCGCCGACCGTCTTTATTGCTTCTAGAGCGTGATCACGATTGGATCTCAGAGTCGTCAATTCGACCAAGTAGTCCGTCCATAGCATCAGAGACAAGTTCTGGAAGATCATCTCCTGATATATCGGATGCATCTTCCATTGCTTCCACGAGTACCAAAGCATCATCACTGTTCTCTTTAGCTTCTATTTCAATGCGAAGAACGCTTTCAGCCAAAAAGAATGAAGACTTTATACCGCCGCCGCCGCCTCCTATTGACTTAGCCAAGTATCAGTCAAAGCTTCCTGTTCGTCAAGTTTCTCTTAAACCTACTCAAAGACCTCCCCCGAAAGCTGAATCCTCAAAGCCATTCAGGCAATCAGGTGTTTTGTCCTACAGGGATATTTTTGAGGCAAAACTTCCCCTTAGCTCGGAGAAGCCCCAGTTACCAAGATTTCGCAGATCTGTGGTGCCAACGAAGCCGGTCAAGCCAGCCCACAGAGCTATTAGACATAAATATAGAAATACCATCGCTTTCCGTGCCAATTGGGAGGATGCTTTGAATGAAGCTATCATTGCAGGGCTGCCTAGATTCAAGGCGACAGCTGCTGATTGGGGCCTTGCTTTGAGTGAAGCTGTAACTCTCGGGGCGCAAAGTATCGAACCTCTTCAAACCTCTTTACACAGCTTGGCACCAGTTGCCACAGAGGAGGTACTGGAAGACGTCGTAGGCCAAACATACTCCGCTGTCTATAATCCCGCAATAGTCCATCCGGTTTTCTTTACGAAAACCCTTGTCTCAGATGTAGACAGTATTCATCCTGCTGCTATCGGACATACGCAGCTTCTACGTCTCACAGCCAGTGTTAATGATTGGGACCGAGCGCTGGGAAAGACTGCTTCTACTGACACAACACGAATGCAGCGGCCGACTGCATTCGCGTTCATGTGGAAAGATGCCCTAAAGGAGGCTATCGCTGCAGGAACCCCTAAGGAAGTGAAGAGAATCAGTGTTATCGAGATTCAACAAAGTACAGCGATGAGTAATGCTAGTGACTTTACAAGCTACAACGTTGCATTTCGTCATCCGGTCTTCTTTACTACTACTCTCGTCTCGACCGCAATGGATATTCATCCCGCTTGTATCGGGCACTGTCTTGTGACAAGTTCTCATCCAATGTTCAAGCCTAGTCTCTGGATCCCTAAACTAGTGAGCATGACGTCACTTGCAAGTATTGGTCTGTGGAGACAACAACTTTCTGCTCTAGAGAAACTGCAGCCAGTTCTTGAGGAATTGGTATCTGAGTCTAAGCGAAGATTCACGGTACAAAAAACTATGAAACTACCAATTCTGGAATCTCATGAGTTGTGGCAACCAGCTGCAATCATACCCGTTTCCAAGAATTGGCTTCACACCTCAAGCAAGTCCAATGCAAGCCGCGAGTTACTCTTTCAAAGGTCTGTCTTCACTGTTACCAACCACATCGGTGGTCTCATGTGGAAACCATCGACACGAACAATTAGGTCTACCCCGGATATGTTCGCGAGCATTAAGCACGAGTATATCCAAAGAACTACTACTGCTCGCTCTTCCCCTCTTCCGTGCATTGAGTCTACCGAACTCTACAAAGTGTCAGAAAAGAGTAAGCCCGAAATGAACTGGTTGAATGCATCTATCGGGACACGAGTTAAAGTTCAGGACGCTTCAATCATGTGGGCAGTCAATGGGTCATCTGTGCCGGAATTGTTCTCAGACATGACGTATGAACGTATCAAGAGGGTCTCTGGCACGCCCTCAGCTGTCCTCCCACATCTGGAGTCCTCTGAGCTCTTCAAGCTTAAAGATCAATCGAGCATAGAAATTGATTGGCTGCGTTTATCTATCCCACCCATCGTTACTATCCCAAGCGAATCCATGATGTGGACAGCATCCTCTGTGGGAACCACATGTAAGCCAAATTTGTTCGCTGATGTAAAAGTCAACCATGCTAGAAGGGTCTTTGCCGTTCGTCCTTCCAATTTGCCTCGTCTAAGCTCCACGGGGCTTTTCAAAATGAACACTGAGAAAAAGACCGAAGTTGATTGGCTACATGTATCCGTCTCTAAGCCAGTGAACGACGAACCTGTCACCAAATTCATAACCATTAAGTCATCAGTTGTTGCAGAGCCTACATTCGAGCAGTTAATGGCTGATGTGGAAGCACTTACTGAAGAGGAAATTGCTGAATTACTAGCAGCTGAGGAGTTCAAAACAGAAGAAGACACGATAGCAAAGCTTGTCATGGATGAGCCTCTAGTCATGAATCAATTACGAGTTGGAGGTCTGTGGAGCCCATCACCAAAGGTCACAATAGAAGAAACCACCGGTACATGGAAAATATCCTCATCGACTGCAATTGCTCGCCCCGACATCTTCATCAAGAGCGATATGTTGTATTCTCACAAGTCGTCAACCCCTTCCCAGATGAGTCTTCCGAGACTCGAGTCATCAAAACTTTTCATTCCGAGCTCCACTTCCAAGATTGAAATCGACTGGCTTCACAATTCCTGCTTGTCGCCCGTCTCGAGATTAGCAGAGATACTGACTCCAAAGGCTCCTGAAAATCTAGTCGACTTTATTCCATCTTTGACAGTCACAAATTCAAAGACTTGGATGCCCAATTCGTCAACTGTAGCACAGGTCTCTGTGGAAGGTATGTGGATGGCGCCTATAACAAACAATATTGTTGAGCTCTCTATGTTCTGTGAACCACGGGTTCGACCTTTGATTAGAAGGAACAGACAAGAAGTCGAGAAGAAAATCGAAAGTACCGAATTATGGACAAATCAGAGAAGCACTTCCGAAAGCCTCAAACACTGGTTGTTGGGCTGAGCAGTAATATGAATGAATGATCTGGGATATCTATTGTAAATGATGTATATTTGGGTTTGCTATAATTTGTGCGCTTGGGATGTTCTCTTGGCAGAACATGTGCGAGACTGATGGTAAAACCGGGTGGTAAAGGTCAGGACGGTGTATAGTGGATATGGTGTAAGGAATAATGATACCCGCCAAGTATGTAGATATTTTACTCACAAGCCATTTCTGGCATTTCTCCTTAGCTCTGTTGAATATACGTTAGCTTTATGCTATTCTGCCTCATTTTCCTGCATGTAACGATTCTCACGTGTACCTTAGCGAAGTTTACTTGCTTACAATGATCATATGTGAGACCCATGCTGCAGGTGGCTGTCTCGGCGCCGTTTCTCGATTGTTGAGGATGAGGAGAGCGTTGTATACATGAGGAAATTGAGTATCAAACTGATACAGAACAAGCTGAGAAAAGCCTCAGATTTCAAATCCATATTGCTGCACTTTAAAGACTTTGCACACCTCCAAACACCATGATTTTAGAAAAGAAACCGAGTTAATATTCTGCAGGGACAGAAACCTTACACTTCATCTCTTTGCTTTTCAATTGATATTAGAATACGACGTCTTTTTCTGATAGATCGTTATAAATCATATGATGAAGTTTACATAAGCAAACTTATCTTAGATTGATAACACACAAAGACATTGAATCTATTGAAATTCAATTCATTACAACCCTCAAACATTTATTTTATAGTAGTGCTAAATACATTTTTTCACGATTAAAGTTACTTCCAAGAATTCCATCCATAAAATGCCCATCTCACGCCTCAGTATGCTTGTCCTTTGGTGATTGCTGTACCTTCTAAAAATCGCCACAAATCTTTACAGCAATCCGCCAGACTTTTCTCCGTCTTCCACATCAACTCCTCCTCGGCTTTGGTCGCTAGTGCTACGCATTTCCCAACATCTCCTTCTCTTCTGCCAACAATATTGATGGGGATCTTATTCTGTGTAGCCTGCTCCATTGCACTCACCACATCGAGTACAGAGTATCCCTGACCAGTACCAAGATTATAGACCTTGAAACCACCATTTGGTCGATTTCTGAGGGCTGCCAAGTGACCGCGCGCGAGATCAGTGACGTGGATATAATCTCTCACAGCCGTGCCATCGTGAGTGTCGTAATCATCACCATACACGTTCAGTGCAGGTAATGCCCCAGTCAGCACCCGCAAAACAACTGGCATCAAATTCGTGGCGGCAACTCGTGGGTCTTCACCCAACAAGCCTGATTCATCGCATCCGATCGGGTTGAAGTAGCGCAGTGCAGTGATCTCCCAATCGGGGTCAGAATTGGCAAGATCACTCAAGATTGCTTCACACATCCATTTGGTGCGTCCGTAAGGGTTTGTGAGACCTGAGCATCCTGACCCCACTACATATTCTTCTCGGAGTGGTACCCCACTGTCGGCAACTGTTCCATAAACAGTTGCAGAAGAACTGAATACCATTTTCTTAATTCCAAATTCCTGCAGAAGAGCGCAGAAATCGACTAGGCCGCCAACATTGTTGGAATAATATTTCAGGGGCTGCTTTATACTCTCTTCGACGGCCTTGTACGCGGCGAAATGGATCACGCCTGAAATGCTTGATCGCTGACTATTGCAAAGGTTATCGGAACTCGAATCGAAGCTCATTACGCCGGAATAGTCATATTCCTCGAGTATCATTGTCATTTTGTTGATGTTTCTAAAGTCCGCGTCGTGAAATTTGAGTGATGGTCGGTGTCCATTTTTGCCTTGAACACTATAGTGCTCATTGACCATCAACTGAAGCTTTTCGAAGACGGTGAAGAATGAGTTACTGAGATTGTCGACCACGGCCACCTGCAGACTTGTTAGCTATTACCCAGGAAATTTAGAGCGGTGTTAATTACACTGTACCCAGCCTTGGCTAGTTCCCAGACTGTGTGACTACCAATGAATCCCAAACCACCGACGACCAATATCCATTGATCGTTAATCGAATTGCTTACTGCAAAATCGATATCGTCTTCATCAAAAAGTAAGGATCTTTCTGTTAAAGGTGTACCAAAAGCACTTCTTTCATTATCAGAAGAGATTCGTTCGGGAGTGGAAGCTCCCGAATTTCTGAAAGAGTTTGTTGAACCAGGCATTTTGTCAGCAGAATCCCTGTAAAGATAAAGTACTTTATGTTGAATGCGTTGGTTCCAAGGCTTAGACTTCTTCATATATACCTTTTCACTGGAAGTTCTTTCAGCTAACTCGTATATAATTATAGTTTTGACACATTTTCCGTCTGGATCGCACTACTACCAAGACTTTGCGTGATTACATTGCGTGCCATATTGGGCCACACTGGTTTTGACACTGCTGAAGTGCAATTTCAAGCAATTCTTCTGGCCCGATTCAGCCGTTACAAAACTTTCGATACAGGGCTTAAGGCTGCCTTCCTTCTTTGGGGACACTTTGCGAAATCCTCAGAATACCTTGGAAGAGAAGTTAGGTGCAGCAGCCTAGCCGTGTAATCTACCTCACCATTTCTTCTACTAATCGACGATGTTTTTCAAGAAAGCTAGAAAGGCTAAGAAAGCCACCTCAATGATACCTACTAGATTGTCGGTTCTCATCCCCCTTTACATTTATCCCTCTCCCGGTGCGTGGGAACGGTTATTTCAAAGGTGCGTCGGGAATTATTGCATCTAAAAATCTTGATCATGAGGCTGACTGGAGAATAGCATCACTTCTTATCCGAGTATCAGGTTCATCGTCGTGGTGAACCCTCACAATGGCCCTGGCCGATTACTTGATAGTAACTACAAAAGAGATATCTGCAAGTTGAACCAGTATCCTAACGTTGTGGTTGTCGGGTATGTCTCTACTGCATATGCAACCAGGCAATATTCTAGCGTTCTAGAAGATGTGATGGTCTACGCGGGCTGGAGGCTTGAAGATGATGGGCTCGGCGTCCGGGGCATTTTCTTCGATGAAACTCCGAACCAATGGACTACATCAAATGCTTCATTTTTGGGTAATATCAACACTGCGGTGAAAGGTTCTTCTGGCTTGGGAGCAGAGCCTCTTGTACGTGTATATCCTGCAATGTTTTCTACAAATTCTGACAATGTTTTTACCCAATAGGTCATTCACAACCCAGGAACGATTCCACACTCAAGATTGATGTCTGGCACCTGTTTACCTGATATCAATGTAGTTTTTGAAGCAACCTATGAGACTTATCATGAAAGTGGTTTCGAGAAAGCTCTTACGGATCTCAACGTGGATCGAGGGCGGTTGGCATGCGTAATGCACTCTGTACCACATTCCTTGATGACTACATATTCTGACGTCGCATCTGAAATTGAAAAGCTGAAGCCATTTATAGGGGTATTATTTGTTACTAGTCAGGCTACAGATCTCTATACCAGCCTGGGGGATCATTGGGAACAATTCATCCAAGCAATTAGCCTTTAAGGAGGATCTGGAAAGGGCATCTCATCTCATCTCATCTAAATTTTCATCCTTGCAGGCTGGGTATCAGGATTTACGCTTTGGGCTGCATTGCCTGATGTCGGATTTCGCGGAGGCATTTAGAAGCATTGGATCTGGTAATACGGATTTATGTCTTTGACCAAGATAATTGAAAATCTTTCGGGTCCGCCACGATCCTTCCTTTTATGTGGTGATTTGGAGGTTAATTTCTCGAGAATATTTTCTGCCGCCCAGCATGCAATGAGACGGCTACCCCTGCGCCTTCTACATTGATGGGACCATCCCATTGGATAAGTGCGGCTTGTTTAGCAAGAGCCAAGAAATATGGCACAATGTCTTGACGAAATGCGTTTCGGCCCTTCTATCCAATACAGCTAAATCAACTAGTCGTGGCATCATTGATGGTATAAAATAAACGAAGCTAAAATTATATTGTTTAATAATTTTACCGTTTTATTTTGCCACCTGAAAAGTCGAACGGCCAGGAACCCAGAAGCGGCAATTCTGCAAACCGATACCCCGCAATCAGAAAGTACAGCTTGACAGGGCTAGGTTACGTTTTAGGTTTCAACCAGGTTATGGTTACATCGCTTAGCAAAATTGCTAGATGTACTACCAATATATACCTATCTAGTAAACATAGACACCGGGGAAAAGAGCTCAAGGGCCGGCAAGTGCAGCTTCCATTTCGGGACATAGGGCTCATGCACATCATCATACCGAAGCCTGCGCTCAAATATATTTGATTGAAAATTTGTGTTCAAAAAGGAAGCTTCTATTATGGATAAAAATTTTAAAGGCAGGTGAGCCGACTGAAAGATAACATCCCGCGCAACTCTTGAAAGTATGTCAAAAATAGTTTCTTGCTGCAGAAATCATGCAGGCTGAGTTTCTATGTGTCAAAATTTTGATGATTTTCACAGGGATCCCCACACAGTCCCATCTTTTTCCCAAACATTGGGTTGAGGTAGGTTCGAGACTGACATGAAGGTTCATTCGTATGTGACATTGCAGCGTACCCATTTTTACGGTAATTTTTAGTCACTCGTGGAGAAATTTCTACCCTGCACGTCCTATTCTACCACATATTTTCATGGAGCAGCTAGAAATATTTATTAATATATTTGAGTATGTATAGAAACAGATGTTGCTGGAAGCAAGCATGTGCGGAGATTAATTGGTACACGATATCGTTCAGCCACATCGTATCCCCTTTAGGCTAAAATGCTAAATACTACTCTAGACATACGACGCCAAGACTCTTTCAGCAGCTCTCTACCCAATCATCCAATTCCATCTTCTTGAGAATGGTGAAAAAGCCATCCGCATGTATGTCTGAGCCATTACACACATCTGTCTTTTCCACCTGACTAACCTTCGGCGCATCCTTAGGGTATTCAATATTGAATACGGGCTTACCATTGTCAATGAAGGTTTGCCAAGTGTCACACTCTTGGTACTGCACGCACTGCTCGTTGACAGCGAACTGCACGTCGTCCAGCACACGATCGATGATCTCGCCAGCATTTTTCAGGCCGATCCCTAAACCCCGTCCGTGGGCTTCAGCAGCCAACCACTGGATGTATTCAACAGAATTATCCTTTGTTAGTCCGAGCCCATTGTCATTGGAATAGCCATCCACGTTGTCGGGATCTACCGCATCGCAGGACTGATTGACCGCCAAGTCCAAACGTGACAGCATAATAGATCGGACATTTAATGAGGAGATATTTGCCCAGTATTCGTTTTTCCAGTCTGGGAGCTGCTTGCCATAATCTGAATGAATGAAGCGGTTTATATCGGGACGGAATGTTTCGATGGTGCCGGCTGAGAAATAGCAGATTACTTTGTGAGATTTCGAATGTAAGGTACGGATTATTGGGGGCGTGGTATTGGCCGAAAGGAAGAGATCAATGTCATAGATGGTCGTGTTTGGATAAATATTGGTGGGATCCAGGGACGCTAGTAGCTCGATGTTCCATGTATTGGAAGCGTTAAGATTTGGGGTCCAAAATGAGGCGTTGGTAGGAGGGATCGGTAATGTTGGTGGGGTAGGACTGGAAGTTGGAGGGGAGGGATGGTGATGGTGATGGCGGAGACTGAATGTGAGGCCTAGTGCCAAGGCTATTGCCAGCAGAAAGAGGAAAATTAGAGCAAGAATAATGTTGCATTTTCTCGTGAAAATCTTGTGCGGATTTGCAGCTTTCTGCCCTTTGGAAGCCATGGATGAATCTTTGATGGGCTTCTCGCTCGTGAGAGGCGACTTGAATATTCCTCCGGACGACATGTTGTTTATGGCTGGTATCCGATCGATTTTACCAAAATGGCAAACCGTAAAGGCAACTAAAAACCCCTGATGATGCGGTGGCAGGTCGGAGAAAAAAAAATCAGGCTGAGACCCTGGAAATGAGGAGGATCAAACAAGAGACGATTATCTTGGCGGGCGAGAAAAGTTTTTACGCGACACTGCGATAGCGACGTTTTCGTTGCATGGTCTCCAGGTTCTGAGGTTGACGTTAGGCGATCCTATATAGTAAATCCACTGAGTGAATATTTGAGTAACCCCAAAACGCCCTGTCTCATTCGATGCGCACAGCCTCATTAATGCCGCTGAACAAGATAAAATGAGCCCCTTCAGTTCAATACGGATGAAGTCGTAGCATGGCTTACAGTATACCTATGCATTCGGAAGGAACCTATTTTTCGAGCTGAAAACCCTCCACTTCCATTCGCCGAGAGGTCCCGAATTACGCTGGTGTAATGATTCTCTGCTTAGGCCCACTCCCTGTCCCGAAGTCCAGTAATCAGAACCGAGAATGTACGGCCTGTCTTTCTTAATACATCCATTATAGTATATGTGGTGCTTGGCGCAGACACGCAGGAAAATGTGTTATTGATAATCCTCGAAATACCAAGCAAGGGATACGCTTGGCTTTTACCTTTCAGAAACGGAAGAATTCAGCCGGTGAAGTGATACGAATACAGAGCATGGGTTTCAGCACGTCCCTGCACTCGTAAGCAGCGTTTCATTAGGTAGAAGTATGATGAGAAGCTTATGTGCGAGAAATAAATACCCGAAGCGTTGGCGCCTATTACAACATTGCGATGACGCTTGGGTGGGTACATAATGTACATCGTTTTTCATGTACTAAGTGGTATCATACATATGTGTAGGATAATGTGTACGACATTTGTGTGGCTATGCCACAATTTTGGGGGAGATGGGATGAGAATAGTGTCAGATAATCATAGCGTGGATTTGTTTCTGAGCCAGCGAGGCCTGGGAGGGCTGGAAGGGCTGGAATGTTGGGTTGTTTAGCATCTTACACACAAGACCGCTGTAGCGCCAAGAAAAGACACGGAGTTATGAGCGCATGTATGCATTGGTGCCCCGTATATGTTCGTATAAGATACGTTTAAAAAAAACTCACCGAGGTCTCGAGCGGCGTAGTTACACGTTTCGAGGATGTGGATTTGTTTTTGTTTTTGTTTTTGTTTTTTCTATGCCCCTCGTGTGTAAACAATAAGGTTAAACTTTAGGAGAGCACAAGTCCTATTCCCCCACCTGCCCCATGCAGATTTAGGTGTTTGCGTGCAAATTGGTAGCGGCGGCTCGTGTTGTGGAAAATGGTATCCACGTAAGACGGGATCAGGGGCAGGGAGTCGAGATAGCGCGCTTTAGTAAGCTGCTATTTTTGCGGGGGAGCGGATGGTGTGATTATGGCATGCATGACATGATTCAAAATTTTATATGTTATGTAACCCGAATCTTCCGGGCCTTTGAGATTCATTTCCTGGTAACGAATTAAAAAAAAATATTAGGAGAGATAATTAAGAAATTCGGTAAAATTAACAAATTGGGAAAAAGTGCTGTATGGCTTTTGGCATATTGTTGGCGCAGAACAGAAGAATCGTTGCACGGACACATTCACGCGGTGGATGGTGAAAAGAGCAAATTAAACGCCAAGAAAGTATTGTGATTTATATATGACAGTTGCCCTTTGAAGCTAGCCATTAAATTTATCCCTGAGATAAAAAGTCCCATTATCTGAACGGTGATAATCCCAATTCAAGTATGTAAGAAAGAACAAAACTTTTGATTCAAAGGTTGCGATAGCATAGAGCGTATCCACTGACAAGAAGAGAATGTTATTAACACAAGATAAAAGTACCGAAAGTGAGTGCTCTTTTACGGCTCCCCTTCTCAGACCAAAATTATACTTGCCTTTGTGCTAGTGAGATTGGAGCTACACTATTGAAAGTGGGGTGCTTAGAGTAAAGCTGACAGGTGTGCCCGACAAAGTGACCCACAAAGTTGTAGGGTCATTGCCAATCTGCTCGACAGTGGCTCCTTTCGTATCGGTGACTGGGCCTGGAAGCGTTACAGGAAGTGGCGTCGAACAGGTGTCACCGTTCGCGAAGAGCGTGAAGCCAGTGATTGATGAGGAAGTGGTGTCGAGTTGATATGACAAGCCCGCCCCACAAGCGTCTCGGGTCATGCGGTTGAGAAACACGGTAGCAAGCTAATCTTTGGTTAGGACAGATAGATAAAAGAGCAGCTTTGAGACTTACATCATCATGTTTATAGGAGATAAGAGGCCAGTCAACCCTACATCATGTCAGTGCTGATAGTATTACAGCAGGAGTAAAACTCACAATCGAACAAATTCTTGCGTCACAGTCTCAACCCATGCCATGAACAGCGAGAGTTGTGCCGTCACTCCATTTATAGTGTATGTTGCTCCTCCGTTGTAGCGCACTAGAACACCAATGCGTTAGTAAGTGTCGACTGTAGAGATTTTCTATGGGGACCGCATCAAGCCAAACGTGGAAAGAGAAAGGATGAACAAAAAGGATTTAGGGCCAAGGCTTACAATTGGCTTGATGAAACCTGCTTCAAATTAGCGAATTTGGATGGGATGAGTGGGGACCGGGGCACTTACATGTAAGCATCGTGATGAAGACCCAGCAAATGCCTCACATTTGTCTGTTTCTCGATCTCAAGGAGAGTGTTAATGTCACCCGAGCCGGCACTGGTGTTGATCCATTCCAAGACGGTACAAGCAGGCGTGTCACACTAATTGCTGTCAGATATTTATATTCTCGACATGACCAAGTCGCACTTACGTTGTAGTAAATATTAGTCGCCCATCTAGGAGTTATTTGAATGCCGGCGAAACCGTTAGCTGCAACAGTAGTGAACAGAGGCCAATGTTCATTATTCTGGATCCATGTTAGCAAGACTCAAATAGATCTTGGGTGGAGCAAGGTCCGTGGAACATTTGAAAAGGCCGCTCCTTGAAAGATTTGGACAAAGTAACTTACAGGGTTTAGAAGAGCCGGTCGAGTATTATCTCCAACTACATGTGTGATACCACTATCACTCCAAGCCCTAAGTGCATCTCCGTTATGAAGTCCCGTGATGGCGGGGGGGATAATTCCTTTCGAGGCAAACTTTCCGGCATTAGCAATTCCAGTCGCAGCGAGCCAGGCTTGGTTCCAAGTGATTTCTTTATACACATCGGAATATGTCGCATTATTTTCATCCTCGTGAGTGAACGTATGGGATACGTGTGCATAAGCATTAAGATTAGAGGGAGTAGTCCACCATTGGAGCAAAGGGTCCTTGTTCAAGCACGTTGAGCTGTAATTGGGATAAAGACCCGCTGTAGCAGGCCAGATATTGGTTCCCGTTCCAAGAGGTTTGACCCATTCCAATGGTGTATCTATCTGTTCGCCATACTCAATAGGTCCAGGACTACAGACCTAGTTTGCATAAGTTAATTTGGCGGAGCTGAAAGGAGAAAGAAATTGGAGAGCGATGGAAGTGGAAAGTACGAGTCACAAAACCGAAAAGAGCACTTACATTTCCACCGTTGTTAAGTTCATCGGATTTTTCGATATTTCCGTTGCCATTGTGACCAACTTCAATGAACCAGTTACTTCCAGCATTTAACTTGGAATTGATCGTGCCCATAAACTTAATATGTTGTGCCAAATCATCTGTGCCAATGCGGTAGGTCGTTCCAGTGGGCGAATAAATATCTGACTCCAAGAACATATCATCAATCTGTGTGGCCAACAGTGCTCTCCTGTATCCAGTATAAAGGCCTCTTGTGCCCCAGTCGATCCAAGCGTGTTGCAACCATACCGAGGTTACGGCCCAATCAGTGGAGAATGGAACGTAAAATACCATTTGTTCTCTCCCATCAATGTTATTAATGACGCCTGCTGTGCTCGCAGTAGTGAATTGGCCATCTGAGGAAGCCCCAAGTTGTAAAAACTCTTTCGCCAACGTGGAGTTTATAATTTGAGTAGGATAGTGATAAATTCCCTTGGTACTCATGGTAGCACCTGTTTTGAGTCCCGCCTTGGGGAATGCCGAGCTATCCGAAATGTGAACAAGCTGCTCAACACCATCATTGCAACAAGCTCCTAAAGCCTGTGTACCAAAGGCAGCGGACGGATAGGAGTCAAGTCTCACCATCCGGACTCGAAAGGAGACTTGGTAATTGTAGAGTGCTTGCCATTGATCGGCTGTTATTGCACTTTGGTATCCCACGCCAGTGTAGGAGTAGCTCACTTCTGACATCACAACGATGAGGCCATAATTGCCTTGAGTTTTTGAACTGTTCAAGGCCGGTAGTGCTACACCAGCTGCAGGGACAATCAAGGTGTCATATGGAATTCCTCGATCATTAAGTCCACTCCAAGCAGAGTATGCGGAGACTGTATCTCGTGCAATGATAAGAACTTTACTGCTGACAGTATCAACTGCACCGACAGCTACAAGCTCTGCCTTAGGAGCTGTGGGAGCTGTAGTATTGGCAAGGACAGCTATCTTTCCAATGGATAGTGTAGCGAGAGGTGCAGCAGGCACAGTCGATGTCATAATAGCCTGAGCATTGGTGATTGCAACTGACTCTGATTGAGGCGCACTGACCGCGTCACCGGAGTCTCGGCGATGAACCCGATGGCCAAGAGCTGCATCCAGGAACAAGCTCAAGGGAAGAATATGGGTAACGAGGTGGTACAATAACAACATCCTGAATTTTTAAGAAAGCCGATGAATATTATGAAATTCAGAACTCCAAGTTCGCAATAACGAGTGTTATTGGTTTTCAGAACGAAGGAAGAATGAGAAGATGTGGGATATCGTCAACTGGGAGGTGTACATGGCCCCTTTAAGAAGTAAAATAAAATGAAGCAGTGATATCTAAGCAGCCAAAAGTCTCTTGTCACTTTCGAGTAAGTACCGCATGAAAACTATTGAATCTGCGCACAAGTTCTGACGGCCAAGGACAACGTTACTTGCGACACAAACCCATAGCTTCTATGGTCTTTTCTACCAAGACTTCGGACACGAGCTCTAGAGGCTGACACGGGATCAAAAAGAAGCCGCTATGGTTCGATATACACCTCACGCGGCGAATAATATGCAACGGAACTGAGATGGGAAGGAAGATACATGAAAAACAATACAAGGATATGTACTAGAACACGAGGTAGCCGACATGACAGCAAAGAAGGGCTGAGTTCATCTAATGCACATAGATCTAATGGGGAGCTGAATGACGCGTAGTATGAAGAATGATGGCCATATATGAGCCAAATGTAACTGCAGCACATATTGCCCTGGGGAAAGATTTGGAAGCCTATTCCATTAAATCCAATCCATGTGTAAATTACCAAGACGAAGGGACTGTAAAGCTTATGGAAGGATCGCTACGAGCAGCAGTAAGCATGCTGGCTTGACGAATACTTGGGTGCAGTATATGCACGAAGGATGTCATATCAAGGTCGTGATGAGAGTGTCCAAGTGATTTCCTAGGAAGAACTAAGCTCTCGGAAAACCTTTGGGGAGCCAGGCCTAATGAGGCTAAATTATAGCTACCCTTTACGGACTAAATTCAGAAAATATAGCTTGGATAAACTTGGAAGCTTTTTTTTTTTTTGCACAGACATCCTAAGGCGCATTGTAAAAGTGTGGAGAACTAGTACTATTTGGGATATCAATACGAAAAAGATTTTCCGTCCCCGAAGCCGGTTAAATACCCCGGTTGTTAGGCGAACCCGAATCCATCCATCGTCGCGAGTTGTAACCTATCTATCCTATCCTGAACCAATACTACACAGCAGCCCACCTGAAACAAAAAGATCATACGCTTCATTTGCTCTTTACCATTCAATGAAGCCATTTCATATATCCCAATTTCATGTCAACTCTCTGTAGCACAACATCTTTGATCGCCACATGCCTAGCGCATCCTTCGCAACGAACATGCATGTTGCTATATACGAAGCTGAACCTTGGGTCACCATGCTTAATATATGCTGAATCTAACAATTGTTCTTGTCAAAGTTTGATCCCTCGGGTATCGGAATGTTCTATTGTCCTTCTGCGGCATACGATGTGTACTTCTCCGTGCATTTGGCATCATTGATCATCCAACGATCTGCAGCTATGCTATCAAGCGCTCCCCAAAAAGTCTATATTTGATTTTCTTTTGATTTTTGGATCCTGCAACGATGTCCATCTTGGATAGGACTTTTCCTACATGCAGTGCAGGGCCACGTGTTTATGATTTTGGGGTCCAAACTACGAGTTTGTACTTGTCATCGTCCGTATCTGCGAACTACGTTACGAAACGAAACCTTTTGGTACAAAGAAGCCCAAAAAGCGACTGTAGCAACCCTGACTGACAATTTCCCGATGTGGACGCCAAGAATTTGAGATCCAGTATAGTTGCGAGAACAGAAATCCGCAAAAGAATCCTATTCCTGGATAACTAATCTACTCTCCGCGCTATAGAGCGTGGGCTGAAAATTCCTGGCAAAAATATACAAGCGAGTAACATCCGCAACTACCTAGACCTACATAGGGATGCCCAATATCTTTGTATTCTAGGCGCCGTCCACCGCCCACACCATCGTACTGAAATCTTGTTCTAAATCTGGCTTTTATTATGTCGGGACATGCTCCCCGCAGTTTTTTCCAATGTTTTATTTTCCTTGACTTGTAACGTTTACTTTCACTTGCCGCATGCTATTCGTTGCCGTTCACTTTCGTTCTGTTTGAAGGGCTCTAAATTCTTTGGTCTTCATATCATCCATGGCTCAATACACAGGCCTTGAAGCTGCTTCTTGGAAGGACTTAATTAAAGATTGGTGGCAGTTTGTAAGCTTTTGCATACGTGTAAATATGTGCCCTACTAATGATAAAATAGATTCTTGTTGCATTTATCCTTGCCTCTATTGGTCTTGGCCTGGGCTTCATCTCTTATATCGCACTCCAGAGTTCACTAAAAAGGTACCAGGTAAGTGACATATGAAAGACTATCTCCATATCTGGTCTCAGATTCAATGATTTTTTATCATCTTTATTTGTAGTAACAACAGGTTATTGTAGAATTGGAAATCCGCGAGAAGCGCAGTCCCCGCGTCCATCAAGAAGTATCTTGCCAAGACTTACGGAGAACTATCACATCATAAAATTGTCGCTATTGAGAAGAAGCCTGAAAGCTTTGGAGTATACCTGGGGGCGTTCAATCATACACCAACAACTGATGAACTGCGATTGTTAGCACAATGGGATCTTCTTGTTGTCGATGCCTTTCAAGAGAACATAAATCATGTTCTTTCATGTGGGCTGTATCACAAGCCGTCATTAGTTCTAGCAAGACTTGATTTGAGCACTATTGTCCCGCATCAATGCAAGGTATCAACAGCACTCGAAGGTGCCATTGAATGGGTAGCTAGGCTGCTATCTGCATCAACAGCATCGGGAAGTGATTGCCATTTTTCTGGAATTCTGATCAGCAACTGGGACAATCAATTACCAAGCCCAATGATTATCGAATTCATTACCTTCATTCACAAACTTGGATTCCAAATCTACCTTGAAACATCTTCGCCTGGATTCTTACGTGATCCCAAATTAGCAGAATTGGGTGAAGTGGCGGGATTAATAATCAGAAATGGCACGATATCGTCGAACGGTGACGAACGAGATGCATTTCAGATGCAAGAGATGAGGCCAACCATTAAAGCTTTCGTTTCTCAAGCATGCCTTAGACCTTTCGTGGTCTGTTTGTGGGAGACTTTAGATGACGGGGTTAATCCCACTAATGCAGTTGTTAGGAGATCATACCAGTGGTCAAAATTCTACAGCGCCCTATCACCATGGATTGGCCCAATGGCCGATTTGACTTTACCAGCTCATGGCATAAACCAGAAGGAACCGCTGGGGGCATTTTCTTGGCTCAAAGAGCCTGGGGTGATGAAAGCGCACAAGAGATGGCGTCTGAACCATACTGTAAGGATAACACTCCATATACTAACTATGGGCCATGCACTCTACTTATGGTTCCTAAACACCACTATTCTGCTCGATAATATCTGGTCATCTTACTGACCTGGTTTTAGATTGCTAGCGAATATGTACAGGAAATATCGCCCCTGGCTGGAAGTCTTCTTGGCGCCCTTTCCATTGAGGTTGACCTCCAGCCATCGGGTAAATCTATCCAGCTACCATTTGTTGACATAGACCTCGAATTGCCCTCAGCTAATTTGCAAGTACCTTCGGAATTACCCGGAGATTCCTCTGAGGGTGACCTTCCGGGATTTTCAAGTAGATCTCTCACGCCGACAGAGTCATTTTTATCGATTCCCGCCCAGAACCGCAGATTCTCCGATGGCCCATATTCCTATTTCAGCCAAATTCCCGGAAATCCAATTTCAACGTCTCCTACTGGATCTTCGAATGACTTTCTTGGGTGCTTTCCACTTGGAGTACATGCTTCTAGAAAGTCTTTTGATGAAATCCTCCAATCACAAAAAAAACTAAAATCTCTTGATCTTCTCGAATCGGTAGAAAATACCATGTTGAAGGACATTGGTACAAAGTTAAACCAATTTTGCGATGAGCAAGACACAATTGAGCTCTCAGCATGGCATGCAGCTATACAAGAACTTGCGAACCAGCTTTGTGGTTTAGCCGATGATTCTGCCACCACAGACTTGATTAGGGTGTACAAAGGGCTTGATTCAGGATTCCAGTTCCAAGATGGGGCTCGATACTGGGCGGTGTTTGCATTTGAAGAACGTGCCATGCTTGACATTTTTATGTCAAGAAATGTTAAAGATCTTAGTGGAACAATCCTGCATACATTCTTATCAAGTCGGGGCTGTCCCCGTCATGAATCATTTGAAGCAGAAAAGGAGTTTTGGCAGTGGTCGACACGTTCAAACTCTTACCTCCCCACGCGGTTACTCGATGACATAAGTTCGCTTTCACCATCAGAGCTACTCAAATTCGTCCAGATTTTGCAGCTATCGTCAGTCAAAGGTCACGGAGATTTCACCGATTCTATAATATTTGCTTGCGAGAGACAGCTATTAGATGCCGCAGATTTCACTCAGTTGAAAGATGCCTGTTCAACTGGTTATCTAGGAAATCAGAAGTCTCCACAAGACCTAATAGCATTGAGAACAAAATGGCATGAGGACAATAACTCACAGCATCCTTTCGAGGAAAATGCACTGGACGTCTTCCACCAAATCAACGACTCAATTACCATTGTACTGAAAGAAAGGAGGTTAGATACTCTTCAAGTTGTTACGAAAACCCTGATTAAAATTCTCGAGGCCGAAAAGATTGATGCTCGTATTGATGTCATTTGCCTTGCTTTATTTTCTGCATTTCGAAAACACGCTTTCGAGGAAGCATATGTTGAGGTAACAGATAGGAACACCTTGTTCAACGATCAGAGTGATCAGGCGGCTGCTTTTGCGGAGCTCTTTGCAACAGGCGCTCGATGCGAATCTTACTTCGATATGACCCCAAGTTCCTTCGGTAAATTACTATCGGATCGGTATCGGACTTGCCATCATCAACCCGGCCGGGAGCCTCCCATATGGTCTGATGCCGACCCATCAACACCGTCAGCTTATGCGGCAGCAAAAATTGATATTGGAGATTTCAAGAGCAAGCCCTTATCTGGAGCAATGAGATTTACCTTTCTAAGCGTTTTCGCAATACCCGCACTGTTGGACATTCTGCTGTTGACAAGTACCGGGAAAGGCCTCTATTTGAGTGCGAACATGAGCGACACAGCCCAGCACTATGCAACGATGGCTTTGATGATCTCTCTTTTGATATCTGGCGTCTGTAGTACATGGATAACTTGTGGTGGTGCTTATTATCTGATTTCTATGGCCTTCTCAGCAATGAACCTGTTCGTGGCGACGAGACTGGTTGGTGGTATTGCCTTTTCACTCGTTGTTGGCTTGATCGGCTTAATCGGCATTGGCTTCAAAGACGGCATCGTTGCAGGAGTCGTATTTTTCTTGTACTTGTTTGCATTGAGCACTTACCTGTCACTGCTGGCGACTCTGGCTAACTTTTCTTATCCTGGTACCACTTTTCAATCTGGACGCCCAGTAATCCTCACGATTATTCCTTTACTATTCATCTCCCCGATCACGGCAATCTTTGTTCCTGGTTATGACATATATATCTACTTATCGGTTTTGTATGTCTTCATTGTTTTTCTTGCTTTAGGAACTCGACATATCGCATCCAAATGGACCACGTGGCATCAAAATATTGAAAATATTAGCGACAAGGCTTTGAAGGAATGGTACATCAAGACACATAAAGGGGGTGATGATCATGCATTCGACGGGATGACCGATCCAGCGGCTCTAAAGATTTCAAGGACTGCAATGATCGAGGAAATAACAAAAGTACGAAGCGGCTTTCTGCACAAATGCCAAGATCCTACCGTCAAGTCTTTAGCGGAAAGCTACGATGCAACAATCTTTCTATTGCAATGGTATTCGGGTTACTCAGGAACGCCACTACCAATGCCATATTCATCAACTTGGAACATGCAAATCAAGGTTGCGCTTGATACTCTCAAGCAGATGCAAACAGGCCTCAGACTACATAATGCTTTTATACACTGGCGCCAGGCCGGTGATGAGGTGAGTCATATTTTTGTCTGCTTTTACTCATAAAATTGCCTAAAATAAGCACTAAAACTATACAGGTTGGTTGTTCTCTTCTCTACTTCATCGTAGCACTTCTTGATAAATGGAACTCTCTTCTTGCTGGTGGGCGCGTTTTAGGACTATCGGCCCAAAACACAAGATACCGGATGCCCGTTGGCTTTGCTCTAGCCTATTATCTGATTGGTGCAGTTCTTCTGGATCTCAATGCTACGAAGCTCCATACTATGACGGCGCAGAGTCAAAACATGTTAATTGGTGATGTGTCTTCAATCAAAGACGCGGTTGATGCTGGTGTTAAGGCTCGAAAGCACTTATACTGGAAGATGTTAGCCCGATTTTCATTATTTCATGTTTGGAGTTTAGCTGTAGCTTCTAGTCTTCTTTGGGTATTTGACAGCTCGGAGGCCTCGACGCTTCTTTTTGTTGCATATGTCGGGGCATATACAGGTGAGTAAACTACACATTATTTAAAGCTTCTGCTAATAAAACTTCGAAGGTTTGCTATTTTATCAGGTATGTTTGTTCTCGAGAAGAGCTATGATTACAATTTACTAGTCCATATCAACTAAACTACTATTAGTACACAAAGATTTTCACGGGCCCTCGAAGTCTCAAACCCCTTTTGATTGCTGCTTGCCTGGGCCTCCCTCTCGGACAAATTCTCCGACACTTTCTTCCGCAATTTGAGTATTGCGACGTGGTAGCACTTGCAGCAGCTACTTGGACGGCAGCATTTCTCTCTCTGTATTACGCAGGTATCAGGTTGAAGCCAATTGATACTATGGACTCGGAAGGTCGTGTTTGGAATAAGATATCACAAGACAGATCATTCCATGAATTTACAAGCCCAGGTCGAGACTTGTTACTATCTCAGGATGAACTTCGCATCACTTTCGAAAACCTAAATGCCCTTAGCGACGACGAGAAATATGAAGTCGAACCTATGGCCCATCCAGGTTTGGAGATTAAGTCGATCCTGCATCATGCTATTGACATATTTGAGGAGATCAAAGGAACCTCGGTTGATTCAATCCCAAAGTTCGCTCTGAGCGCATTTCCAGATGCGAGAATGCTGTTGACGGAAGCCATCACAGCGTTTGACAGTGGAAAGATTGTGGTCGAATGTGTCTCAATGTCTATGTTCTCTGATGAATTCAAGGACCTGAAAGCAATCAGCTGCGACTCAAATGATTTGATAAGAGTCATTGTTGGTTGCGAAGCAATGGATGCAATGGAACAGCAGTCAAGCATCAGTATTTTCTGTCAGACGTAAGTTCAGTTCCTGTTTTAGTTGCAACAGTTTTAGGCTTGTTTTTGCCGTCATTCTATAATCCAAGGCACAAGGTCCTAACCTGGAATAGCACCGCGGAAATATTGCTTCATATCACAGCCGAAAGCCTTCAGGGCCTTTCACACGAGGATGCTACACTGCTAGAATCTTTATTATCTTCTATTTCACCATCTGGTCTATTGGAGCACACCCTTATACCTCAGGGTCTACGGAACTTCTTGAACTTTTCAAAGCCCTCGCGAGCACACGCAGAAAACATTGTAGCATATTTCGAGGATGAGATTCTGCGCCACACTGCAATTGGATGCAATCCAAATATCGATTGGGAAAGTCTACCTACGGAGATTCGAGAACTCATTCTCGATAGATGCACAGGCCAAGTTGACACATTGACAACTGACCAGCATAACTGGTTACGGATGAACAAGCTTCAGGGCTTATCTTTAAATACATTCATGACTCGTCGCAATTTCGGTGCCTTTGTTGCCATGGAAAAGAGGAGATACACACTAGAATTCGCCAAAACAGCCCCAGTAGAGAGGCCTGATAAGTACGAAAAGTCCAATATGATGAGTTTATTTGGAAAGGCTCGAACACGGAGAGGGCCGTCAAAGTTACTGAAGCGCCAGTTGAAGTCGCCGTTCAGCACAATTTATCATACTATTGGTCACTGTCTTAAGTTATTTGCAATAGCATTTGTGGCGGAGCCAGAATTACAAAGAGAGCTGGACTATACCATGAAGTCCACCCCGAAGTACATACGACTGATCGTCATGTTCTTGGTAACAGGCATCTGGTCGTATGCTAAAATTCTGCAGGACTTGTTGATGCCAATGTTCTTGCTTCACGGGAGAAAGAATCTAGACATTCTCTGGAAACAAATACGTGGAACGACCGTATCTTTAAAACGGCAGAAGATAATGATAGAGAGCACCGGAGGATCTTCCACCGCATTTGTCCGAGTTCCGGATACAGCAAGTGTTGCCGGGAGCCATCTCACTGGCAGTGTTGGGGAGGATACTGATGCTGTTCAAGAATCTTTACTAGGTTCTGGCAATTGCGAGCTCCGCCAGTATGGTGGCGTCCTGGATCAAGAACCAGCTGACTTAGATAAGCTTGAGCGCATCAGCATTTATAGCAAGGATCTTCTTCTAATACGCAGAGAAGACTACGCCAAAGGCGTGAGGACCAATGTTTACGAATATGAGTACGACTCCGAAAGTATTCCAAGACAAAATTTCATGAAAAAGCGTCCTCGCTATCCGATTTCGCGGCGTTGTGTTGAAGGGAAGAACGAATTTGAGCAAGTGTCTTTTAACAATCAGGGTCTTGTCCAGCGTGGGTCTTATATTCTTGATGGGAATCTGGTGCGCTTCAATTGCCATTATAGACAAAACAGCAATTATGATGATGAGTTGTTGAGAGCAGAGTTCGTTTTACCACATATGTTCTGCATGGTTTCATGGGCAGCACCTCCTGCAAAACATCAAGACAAATTGGACACGTGGATACCCCATTCGCAAGTCCTTGAGGCTACATTTGTCATAGGCCCCGATGTATATGAGGCACAATGGTCCTACGATCATAAATACCATCCAACCATATTTACGACATTAAATGGCGAACCTGTTGAAACACCGGCTCTAATACAGTGGGATCATCTCGGAGTCCTCAAAAAGCCTACAAACTTTACATTTCGTCACGATGATCACATGATCGGTTTCAAATCATTACGTTCACATGCTGTTCCCAGATGGCTAGGTAGGAATACCCATCAGAATCCAGTCTCTACTTCGCGAGCTAGGTCGAGATTATGGCAAGCATGGAAAAACAATTCTGCTTTTGATGGTGTTATAATGAGATGGCTCGACGAGAGACTTCTTCGACAAGAACCACTGTTGCGCCCATATTTCCGGAGGCGTGATCACGGCAATCTCAAATCGGCTGAAGAATATTTGCATGAGAATGCAGATGCAATTATGGCTGTCATAGATCTTGATAAATCTATTTCGGGATGGGCTCCACTTGCATTTCAAATCGCTGACTTGTACGCATTCGGACAAGGAGGTTCCGCCAACGCTCGCACTAGATCCGCTCCGGAGTTTAAGAGTGACGAACTTCATGTCCTTGCAACAGATTCTGGAACATGGCCAAATGAAGGAGGTGGAGTGTCTGCATGCCGACGAGACATGGTGAACAATCTCAAGGCAGCAAAGTGGTATATGATTTCAGAATCGGCGAATGATTTTGGAGTGCCTAAACACCAAACACAGGAGAATGTTCAGACACTCAAAGTCATTCCAATCTGGGGACTTGATTTCATGACACCGACCCATGGGATTTTCAGAGATCGGTTGGATTCAGAAGTCATACATGCTGTTAGAGATGCGACAAAGTTGGACATCCAGAAGAATTTTGTCCCGATCCTCAAAGCGCTAGTAAAAGGAGCTAGGACAAGTCAGTATTCGAAGAGTGACATTCTACAATCAACTCGAGCTCTTGTAAACCTGAATGCATATTTCTCCCAAGGAAAACACTGGACGGGTGTTTGGAACAGTAGGATCGTTAAAAATGCCTGGCGAAATCTATGGATCTCACAAGATCTTGTGAGTCCTACACCCTCAGAGGGTTGGTTCCAGACTGAAATACCCACGATAGCGCAACTTGACGCCGCGCTTGATCTTTGGTTTCGTTACTTATTCATATTCTCCCTTCCCATGCCTGAGAAAATTCCAGCAATCTTCCAAGCTTCACATCATTCCGTAAGTGCTTCCTATGGGATTGTTTGCAAAATTACTAGGGGAAGCATATTACAAATTTGGGACCACGCTATTAGCTGGCGTGAGACGAACCTCTACCTATCCTCAGATCTCTGTTCTCTGCCACCATTTGTTCGAAATTCGTTGCTCGGACTTATGAAGCTCACGAGTCAATTGACACTTCACCATGCGGATGTTATTCTACCTTGCGCCGACTTCTTCAACCCTGGATGGGAAGTAGAAATTGGATCGCATCAAGGCAAACTAGAAAACAGGAATATTTTCAAACGCAAAATCGATCCTGTTGTTAATGGTATCCCTCCTGCGGATATCTCGAAATTCAGTCCAATCAAGGAGACGACTTCGCCACTACCAACAGTCACAATGCTTTCTCATGTCTGGTATGCGAAGGACATTAAGACAGCTATTCTAGCTGCTGATATCATTGTCAATGTGTGGGGATTCAAAGACTATCGCCTCGATATTTACGGCGCAATCGATAAAGCACCGCAATACTCAACAGATTGTTTCGAGATATTAGCATCCAAGTCACTTCCTGGGTATGTCAACTTGTGTGGAACTGCGAGTCCAACTGAGGTGCTAAAGAAGACTTGGGTCTTCCTCAATTCCTCCATCTCCGAAGGGCTTCCTTTGGCACTCGGAGAAGCTGCACTGACTGGCGCGCCTGTCGTTTGTACAGATGTTGGAGCTTCCCTTCGAGTACTGACAGATGTCGATACTGGTGACTGTTTCAGCGCGGTGGTAGCTCCAAATGATGCGCAAAGTCTTGCAAGAGCACAAATCAACATGCTTGCGCTTCTAGATGAATGGGCTCCTTATGCAAATGACCCTCAAGGATACAAACCTCCCTCTATCATCGATAAGCCTACTCCTGAAGAGGTCGCAATAATCACGAAACGGATGTATGAAAAGAAAAGTGAACTCCGAGCCCTCGGAATGAGAAGTCGAGAAATCGTTCAGAAATCATTTGGAGGTAATAGATATCTCAGAGAGCACGAGCAAATGCTCTGGATTGGAAAATCTCGTTACGATATGAAATTCCCATTAAAAAACCCGAGGCCAACATTAAGACCGGCATTGCCATCGCTCCCGGTGGGAAGTCATATGTGGGGACAAGCATCTGTGCCCTCTGCACTACAAACCCGACCCCTACGGCCATCCATCTTCCGAGGATCCAGTATATTGGCACGTTCCATGCAGGCCTCGACGGTGGTACCATCTCCCGGCGGCGAAAGACCTATATCTATCATGGGTTCCGGCAGTGGTGTCAAAGGCACCCAACACATTAGCGATTACTTCCCCGGCTACCGACCAGGCGATAGCAACATCTCCACTCCTGATTTCCATTTCCTCACACCTCCTGGTATTCACTCTCCCGGGACCAATTCTACCAGAAGCCAGTCGCCGATGAGGAAAGGGCCATCTGCACGTCTTACAATGCTTTCTAGAGGCAGCACTAGCTATGATACTAGATCTGAGAGCTCGTCATTGATGGTACCATCTAAGCGATTACCGGGAGAAGATTCATTTCTTCGTGATCTAGACACGGCTCTTGAGCGGGTGTAGGTTTCTTTTGTCATCATTTACCAACCATGCTTGGTATCTTGCTCGCATAACTAACATTGCATTTCACACGGATTTCAATCAAAAGCTTTTTCATGTCATTTAAATTCACTATTTACGGGGCATTTTCTTTTTTGGGTTATTATGGATATATTTCTTTTTTTTATTAGGGTCTCTTACACTCTTACACTCATTTGGTCGAGTGTGTTTATATACATCTTAATCATGTTTATTTATACTGTTCCTTTAATGTTGATTAGCATGCGTAAAGACTTCATACAGGGGAATAAATGGATATTTCTGGCATTACATAGCATTCTAGAGATCTTGTTAATATATAATCAAATATTTTACCATGGCAGTCTGCAATTTTATTCATCAGCATCGTTCATCACTTTCTCCCAATGTCCAAATGTATCCAATACAAAGCTGGAATATGGACCGTCATGGTTGTTGCTGCAGCTAATAAACAATTCTTGTGATGTCCAGTTCAAGTTCAGTTCTGAAAAAAAAATTGCTCGGATAGAAGTTGATATCTAGATTTCATGTTTTGTGGTCTCCATGATAGATATATGGTTTAATTCCATAACTCGATTGTTATACAAGGATTCGAAGAGCGGGATTACTCTTCCCTATGATGATGAAGCAATAATGTGCTTAGGAGGTTTTTTCACATTGTGAAGTTTTCCCTAGGAAAGAAGCGGATATACTGAGGAACATGAGTGGTACTGAGTACCTATTTTCCTCATTTAGCATATTAGGAAAGAGAGATTGGCTAACTGACGAGAAAATAGTGCGTAGAATTTTTTGACGCGCTGCAGATTCCCCTTAGGTAGCACTCTCCAATTAATAGCATCTACCGAAATATCTTCCATATCTCCCTGCAGGAGATTAGGGGGACATTCTAGATGAATCAATGACTCCTTGGAATAGTGATTGGAGGACACTGTTTGCCATATTGATACGAGAGGTATCGGATTTTCTAAGTAGGACAACGCAAATGGCGATTATCACTGGTTCATTAGCCTTGAGGGATTTCCTTTTCGTTTGGATTCGTTTTATACATTTTTTGAAAACAATGGAGTAGCCGCTTAGCAGTCTCGAATAGCATTCATTTTTTCTCCCCATAAGACATCCATGACATCTTGGATCATTAACATCTAACCAGTACAGCCGCCGCATTGATCAAAAGACGGGGCAGGCCTAGGTGTTGTTTACCCCTTTTGCGACCGGCATGATGAACCAGATACTCTTTTCCCGAATAAACACTGTGTATGCGGTACTATCTATCATACATCTCAAATCGCAGCCAGCTTTTTTCTTTAAAAAGAAAAGGATAACCATCATCATGAGAACTGAGCAAATTTACAATCTGACGGAACTTTACAATCTCCTCAAATGAAATGGCATCCAGCGAGAAGCTTGCAGGAGATATGTATCCACTCGATCTGCTTACTGACAGATCTCATCTACCAGGTGCGAATAGAAGCTGGCGCTCCGTAAATGACAATTGCAAAACCACCGCCACGGCTTTTGGTGAGAAGCCGATCAAAGCACGCTTATGCTATCGAAAGAGAATAGAAAATCTCGATGACTTTCATCTAGACTAATACACCCATAATCATGATAGTCCCTCAAGTGACTAAAAGTTATCAGCTTTTACAAAATTCATAAAACGGGATAAGAATCACCCAGGACATGGAGATCAGCCAAAACCTTTCTTTCAAGATGAGAATGAAAGGACCTCACAAAAAGCCAAATCTTCAACTGCTTCATGCAGTGAATATCAAAAGGTCGCATGGTTATTGAAAAATCTACATTTTGACGTTCATGTTATGATTAAAATCAGGTCCCGAAATGATTTGAAGTCAGCGCTTTTTCCATATCAAACCTGATGCTAGCCAGTAATTCAGATTCTTTGGATAATAAAAGAATAACCTTTGTCTCACATTATTATATGATGCGTCCATTAGATACGCCCACAGACAGACGGGTCTAATTAACGTCAACCCAGTTTCTAGATCATTCGTGCAAAGCAGAACTTTGGAAGCAGTTTTGTCGGTGGAATTAGCTGGACTACCGAATGCGACTAACAATCCCAGCTTGGGATTCCCAAGTTGATAACGATTGCAAAAAAGAAAGCGATCTGATACTGTGTATACATGATTCGGAATCTTGGAGATATAGTAAAAGTAAATACTTACGGAGTCTTTAAGGAACTTGTATTGTTAATCATTTTTTGAGGTAAATGTTGCTATTCGCAAGCCGCAGAACAATCCTGACAACCAAATCGATAAATTCTGCGCCCAGGGCATCTGATACACTTGCTGTGCATCTCAATTGTGCTAGAAGCCTTTTCCAAATATTAGGTTGGAAAGAATTTTCGCGGAGAACAAACTGTGAAGCTCCAGTCGCAGCTCTTTTTCGCGATACATATCAGGTACTTTAAGATGGATTCTTTCCCCCATTCCGGTGCAATAATAGAGTTATCTCAGTTTAATCTAAGAAACCAGCGTGCTTAAGATGCGACGGTTTTTGCAGTAATCGAAATTTTCATTCAGTTCATTGATCTTCATGTATCGGTTAGGACGCAAGGGCATATAGATGCAAAGAAAATTGTTTCGGAAGTAGTTCTCCTGGATGCCGTAATAGAGCGATGGGAAGCAGATCTCTCTCCTGACTGTTGTTATGCTGTCTTGCAAAAGACCTGCGACATGACAGCTTTTTCGTAAAGTGTCATGAACGTCATGAAATCCGGATTTTGCGCATGTTAAATCAATATCGATGGGTAGGAAGATTGATGAGTGACTTGGAATTCCGCTCAAGCATCGGCAGAATAACCATACAACACTTCCCATCTGAACATCTAGCTCAAAAGATGAAATCGCCCAAAATAATCACCAAGGTGGCAATAGATATCTGCACCGGAATTTCTAGTTATTTCGGCCATACGACGGTAGTGAAACGTCTAACTCTGTTACCTCAAATGAGCGGTATGCAGTTTTTCTGATGATTTGGCCATTATCGATTGCCGATGGAGGAATTGGTGTATCTGAATACTTGTGCAACTGGGTGATCAGCCGACTGAATATCATCAACAACCACTCAGGCGTTCTTCCCGCGCAAACAATGGTAGAGCGGACCAAGACACGCAGCCAGAGATGGATTCATGCAGATATAGAAATATCACGCACAACATGCAATGATACCTTACTTCCCCTGGTCCTTGAAATTGGTTGTGGGATGCGGATGGACCTATTGGGCCGAGGAGAGATGGTCATGACATCCTAGACCTCAAATATTGATATCCTAGAAAAGAGTTGCATGGAGACTCCGGCGATATAAGATCTGTAAGAGAGACGGATAAGAGGGTTGCGAACCATTTGTTGACCGACCAAGATCTTCAAAGTAAGGGTTAGTGAACGGACATGATGGAAAAGAATATTGGGACCGGATCGCCACGTGATGTTATAAAGTAAAAGGTTAATATGTTAAGGTTAATAATATGTTACGCGATAAGTTATTATTATTGATGATTGATGATTGATTTGCTCGGCATTGTTTTCTTTAGTACCGGGATTACAAGTGTCAGTAAGGTTAGTTATTGGCCTCGATGAAGGGGCGCGGGGTAAACCCAAACTGACTCGTTTGTTCGTTTGTTCGTTTGTTCGTTTGTTCATGTCTCGTCCGTGACCTTCTCCACAACATTTCGTGCATACCAAGTACCGCAAAAGAAATCTCCGTTCTCTAAAACATCATTAATACTTTAAAAACACGTCGTGGAATCAAGAATGAATGCCGTTTGTACCGTTCTGGTGCCTCAGTACTCACGCATTGCCTTGCTCAATGAGATCCACAGTGACTCTTATCACTAATATTTACAACGTTACTTCAACCGCTACTGGTATTCGGGGATAACTTCAGAGACATGCATCTACATGCGAGACTTACATATTTGCTCTAACACGGATAAGGAAGCTCATACAGCCGGCACATATGATCAACACTGTTCTAGAACGACCATCGTCATAGTATCAACTTCTGCCCGCACTAAATGCGCTAATCCGAGAATCAAATGCCAATGAAGACTTTCGGCATGACTTAACGTGGTGCATGTGCGTGTCCGATCACGCAGAACACCCCGAAAACAAAACCTTAGGAGGACAACCAATGCACATATTCAATATATACAAACTTTTCCTGGCCGGTGACAGGATCATCGGAAGTTAAACTTTTTGTGCTCAGTTCCTGCATATTCATCCTCATGTGAACCATTAGGTTTGTGAAGCTACAAGTTTGTGCTCCTATGCTACGTGATCTGCTATTTTTAAGTGAATTATGAATGTCCTTAATATCTCTGTTTCATCCCCCTCTAGAGCCTTCTAATCTTTCCTCTTAGACTCAGTTCTCCTCGAGACACTTGAGTAGCGGCTCCTTGGATTCACCATCTAGTTTACCCCTCTTTGACGCAGCCGGGGGAATTCTATAGTGATTCACCTATTTTCTTTTAGATCTGGGTGCAGGTGATCTGACTTTTCCCGAGCCAAACCTTCCTTCCACATACTCCTTCCCGTTCTGTACTTGCATAGAAGACGACGGACAACTCCAAGTTTCTTCAAACTAAATCAACCCGTTCCTTTCCCTCATATCTCTTCCAAATATCGTGTCGTAAGTCTACAATCAAGAGCGAATGGCACGAAAAAATGCTAATATCAGACAGGTTCGTGATATCCCATAGAAAGTTCTTGGGTTTAATATCACAATGCGTTCACTTTTCACAACCGTGCCTGCTTTGGCATGTTTGTGTTCAACCACATTAGCTGTACCTCACAATCCTAAGCTTGATAGAAGACAGTACTATGGCAACCCAGCAAGCACTGCCGCAGAGCGACAAGCTGCCGTGAAAGAGGCATTCACATTTGCTTGGAATGGATACCAAAAATATGCATTTCCTCATGATGAACTACATCCAATTGCGAATAGTTATTCGGACTCAAGGTATGTTGACCAGGTATGACTCGTGACCTTTAAGCTAACTTTTCAAAAGAAACGGATGGGGTGCATCTGCTGTAGACGCATTCAGCACGGCAATTGTCATGGAAATTCCAGAAATTGTAGACACAATTTTAGACTGGATTCCAACTATCGATTTCGACAATACTTCTTCTCAGGTTTCGTTATTTGAGACTACAATTAGATATGTTGGTGGATTACTTGCAGGTAAGCTTTTGTCGTCTAGTAATAACTGTCATGTAGCTTACATATTTTCAGGCTACGATCTCCTCAAAGGTCCTCTTTCCAACCTCAACTCAAATGACACGGCCGTCGACGCAGTTCTCAAACAGGCAGCACGCCTGGCTGATAATCTTGCATTTGCATTTGATACACCAACAGGAGTGCCATCTAACAATATCTATCTCAATCCTCCACGCACTGATGGCTCTACCACAAATGGAATAGCCACAATTGGCACACTAGTTCTCGAATGGACTCATTTATCTGATTTGACCGGTAACAAGACTTATGGTGAACTTTCTCAAAAGGGTGAATCATATTTGTTGAACCCTAAGCCCGCATACAACTCGCCATGGCCTGGTAAGCAAACTCCTGGGTTTCTTCCATTCTGACTCTCTAGCCCAAACTGGTGTTCATTCTTTCTTTAATCCTTTCAGCGCAATGCAGCCTTGACCCCTCGTACCTCCACCTTAAACTTTTCAATGGTAAGGCAATCGCTGACTTATCTATGCCGTAGGTCTGCTCGGTACAAACGTGAATCTCAACACGGGACTTTTCGAAGATGCCAGCGGAGGCTGGGTTGGTGGTGATGACAGCTTCTACGAGTATCTCATCAAGATGTACGTGTATGACTCGACTCGATTCGGCAAATACAAAGATCGATGGATCGCGGCTGCGGATTCATCCATCAAACATTTAGCTAGCCATCCTTCAACTCGTCCGGATTTGACCTTTATGGCTGCTTATCAAAACAAAACACGTCTGTTTGTTTCCGAGCATCGTAAGTACATTCTTTACCAGTTGACTTGATTGTGATAGATTGGCAAGCTTTCTGCATGGGATTATTAGACATTGGAGGCATTAGATCGCTGTCTTTTGGGTTCTTGTGCACGAATATTGCCGTCTCTACAACTAAATATTCAATGAATACTGATTAGAAACATAGTCGCTTGTTTCGATGGAGGCAATTTCCTCTTGGCAGGTCTCGTGCTCAAAGAGCAAAAGTACATAGATTTCGGACTTGCACTCGTCGCCGGCTGCGAAGACACATACAACAGCACACTCACTGGCATCGGACCCGAAGTCTTCCGATGGGTAGAAAGCGGCACTCCTACCAATTCTTCCACTAATCCTCCTCCATCCGCCGACCAACAGGCATTCTATGAAAAGGCCGGTTTCTACATCACCAACTCGGATTATATCTTGAGACCCGAAGTCCTCGAATCTTTTTACTATGCTTATCGCGTCACGGGAGACCAGAAGTATCGTGAGTGGAGTTGGAACGGATTTGTGGCTATTAACGCAACAGCTAGGTATGTATTCATCTGGTTTTATTCACTCTGCGAAAGTGTGAGTACTAACTTTGAAACCCGTAGAACTGGTAGTGGATTCGCTGAACTCCAAGATGTCAATGCGCCTAAGGGAGGTGGATTTAATGATTTCCAAGATAGTTTCTTGTTTGCAGAGGTTATGAAATATGCATATTTGATTCATGGAGATGTAAGCATTTCTTCCTTCTTCCCTTCCTACTCTTTCCATCACATCCAGAGACTCTACGTGAAAATTCAAAACTTACTCACGCTTAATGCACAGGATGAGGAATATCAAGTTGGAGGCGGCGGTGTTAATAAATGGGTATTCAATACTGAAGCGCATCCCCTCAAGGTCTCAGGACCACCTATTTAATCATTTTAAAATTGAACATTGGACTGGGTTTCGGTTTCGGGCAGGGGGTTTCAAAGGTTTCTACTTCTTCAAATGATGAGTTCTATGCAGATTGCATTGCCAACCTAGCTAGCACCTTGTTTAAGAACTCTTCTTTTATAGTGATGGCCTATAAACCCATACCACTTTTTCATTTAGCTTAGTTCACTAGCTGAATGCATTCTTACTTTTTTGCAGCGAGTTAGTTCTTGACTTATCGTGATGGTATAAATGAGGTTATTTCTATCAGAAACTCTTTTTTTTGCATTCTCCTAAGAGAGGTTTCTTCTTGGAATTCTTTGATATCTGCATTGCATTGCATTTATACCAATATATATCATATAAAATATATACATATATATATACACATACGAAGAATCACATCATGAAAATTGAATAAATACATTATTTTAAATTTGGAATATATTACTATTATTACTTTCATACCTTTCAGGTTTCAATATAAGATAACTGCACCGGTTCATTCAACCCAATTCATCTAATCAACTACAAAGTTTCAGATGAGAGAGAGAGATACTCATACAGTATCTAGGAGGGGGACAGATGCAATCAAATTATAATTTCGTCTCAGGATTAGTAGAGTATTGGTATATATTACAACATACCCTATTCAAGCGAACAAAGATTAGATAGAAGATAAAAAAGTCTACTGAAATGTATCATTTTTCCATCTATCCCTTTCTTTCTCTCTAACAACCTACTACAAAAAAGTAATATTTTACTCTCCCAGCCCATCTCAAACCTTCCGCTTCAACAATCCTTTCAAGAAATCGAAACTATTACTATCACTCTGCAACTCCCAAACCTTACCCGTAGGTCTATCCTCCCAACCCAATTCTTCCGCGCGTAGTAATCCCCAATTTGTAGTAATTCCCCTGATGATAGCCCTGGCGCCACCTTCCGTCTCCACAGTAACGATCTGATCAGTATGTAACCAGTGTTTATAATAAACTTCTTCTAGCTTTCGATCGAAGCCATTTCGACAGAAAGTTTTATAGATGGTTTCGAATTTTGTGAGGAAACGAGCGAGAAGTTTTTCGAGGGAAAAAGGTGCAAGATGTGGGGGTAAGAGAGCGTTGAGTGATGTTGTTGGAGCGGCGTTTGTGGTGTTGAGACCGACACCTACGACTAGATCGTAGTTTCCAGATGAATATGAGGAATTAACAAGTATGCCGCCAACTTTGACATATTCTTTCTTTCCGGGCTTGGATGGATCTTGGGCATCTGTTGTTGTCAGAAAGAGCGGGAAAAAATGATGAACTAGACTTACAAATATCGTTTGGCCACTTAAGCTTAATGGGGACCGTGTCATAACCCTTGTCATATGAATGAATAGCTTCAACGATGGCTATTGCTGCAAGATACTGTATGAAGACAACCGGCGCTGTGTTTCCAAGCTCCATAGGGTGTTTCATGCAAACAGACCAGATCAAGCATCCCAAAGGGGAAACCCAAACATTTGAACCGCGGCCACGTCCAGCAACTTGTGCTGTAGCTGTAAAAGTAAAGCCTGTAGGAACTCTAGAAAGAAGCTTCGAATTCCTAGGAACCATTAAAGAGGGTTTGCTTCAAGCAGTGGAGGAGAAGCTTACTTTTCTAACATTGTATTGGTACTTGTAACGACCTCTCCGTATAGTAGCGTGTTTCCAAACTCTTCGGCTTCGCTGGATTTTTCTTGCTGGTAGTGTCTCAAATTTGAGTAAAACACATGGTGATTGAAACAGGGTGTTTCCTTTGTGCCAGGCCAACTAGTCTCATGCGGAATGAGTCGTTTGGGAATAGCATTATAATCAATAATTCTATCACCTGATGCAGCTGACTCAACTATTGGTTTTCCCTCTATTGTAGAGACGATTGAAGCTGGAACTGATTTTACTAATGATTCAACGGACCAAATACTCTCTTGCTTTTCTATGTGAAATGTGTCATTTTCGCCCTTGATAATCTCTTCACCGTTCTCCTTATCGATGATTTCTTCCCAAGAAGCCAATAACTCTGGAACCAGATGCGGATGAACAGATGAAAGATGAAGGCGAGAGAGTGACGGCACCGTGGACGATTCTTCGCTCACTGATAAGCCTAACTTCACTAGACATTCTTTCAGAAACTTTGTTCGCGAGTCGTCATCTGCAGCTAGATCCTTTACAATATCTGCATAACCGGGTATCTTTATCGTGGGGTCCAGATTCACGGCAGCAAACCTGGAGATATGTAAGCAAATGGCCAAAATACCCAGCTAGAGATGCATACTCTGGATGAGGTCCTGTCAATATTGCTCCACCTTCACCAACCTTGCAATAGACAACTGCTGCGGGGTCTTCTCCGCCGTCGACATCAAGTGGATGTCCATATGTGGCAAGTGTTTCAACTCCTTTATCCTTGAATTTCCCTGCATCAACGAAGACTCCTCCGCCGTTGTAATATAATTTAAAACTTTGAGAAACAATTTCATTGCGAAGTCCATCCCCGATCTTGATCTCTGCAGCCTTTGCACCTTCCTCACTATGGTACACAAATCCTTTGAAAGCACATCCTCGGGAGATGCCAGGGTAGAATTGTAATTCTCGTGGTCCCACAACCTCTAGAGGTCTATTTCCGACCTCGAACTCACATTTGGTGGTGCCATAGTAGCCCCCAGCACAAAATCCAAGATAGGCGCCACCTCTACGAACGTATTGCGAGATGCGTCTATTGCCTTCCCCATTGAGGGAGCGACAATATCCTTGGTCAGCACCCCCTGGAAATACAAGAAGAGCGCAAGAAGTAGTCCAAGGTTCTTTGAGAATGACAGTATCAGTGACTGGAATAACAGCGTAACTTGGCGAGAGCAAACGTCGTAAAGTATAAAGGCAGTGGCGAACGGATTCAATTGTACTTCCATTGCCTATCAAAACACTTAGAACGAGCCATGAAAAGCTGTTGGTCCTATATACCTGAGTAGACCAAAACATCCATCTTTCTTGCGACCATTTTAACACGAATTTAAAAATTTGTTCACGGAGTCACAACCGAGGTTACTAAATCTCTCCGAAGTCCCTCGAGAACTACGGGTATCACAATTCTTCAAAGCCCACCGAAAAAGAAAATAAAGCACCCAAAATGCCTGATAAGCCAGAAGATAAACCCCAAGTTGCACCCGTCGTTGAGGAGGATGATGAGCCTGATGAATGGTAAAAGTGTTGATCCCCACAACTCGGGTCTAATCACTGATTCAATTTTGCAGGGAGAAACGAATCTTTAGCACTGGATGCGCGGGTATGTTGAGACTTTCAAGCAACAACGGAAAATAGAGACACGAATGCTAAATCGCTGCAGAGGAGAATGCAAAGATGACCGATTGCTATTACGAAAAGAAAGATTGGAGACTGTGCAAAGCAGAGGTATGAAAAAGCTCCTCTTAGCGTTGTATCACGTGTTGAGTTGATGGAGATGGCAAGAACATGCATGACTGACTTTTCCCATGAACATGAAGCTTCAGACTTTTAAAAATTGTTGGAGGAAACATTCAAATGATCAGAGGACGTCAACGAAGGATGCTTGATATGGGTTGAAGTACGGACAGGAGTAGATTTTATGAGTATGGTATGGATCATGTACGGAGTGTGAAGAACCACGGTTCACGATGGCCAAATATAATATTATTATAGAAATCAAAAGGCTTCTCAAGAATAAGGAAATCAGCAACATTCACTATAAGCCATTAGTTACATAGTGATTCTGCTGTGTTATTGTCAATCTTCAAAATTGTTGAATGAAAAAAGATTGGACGTCATTTTTAAAGCGCGCCACAATTTTATATATCTGGAGAAATCGCGTCTACCGAGAACATCTTTTCTTCACACATCAACATGGCAACAATTACACGCAGAGCTTCACGCTCTTTGGTTGCTGACGCAATGTCATCAGTGTCAAGATTATCTACAGTATCAAGAAGTACAACTCTGACCCGTCAATCAAGACATTTTTCCAATACTTTCCGAAATGCGGCGACCCCAACTTCAAGCTACACACAAAGGACATCGGTTACAACGAAGCCTCCAACAAGCTCTGCAGTCCCTGTAGCCAAACCGAAAGAGCCAGAAGCTGCGATAGATGATCAGTCACCCATCAAGGACATGACCGAGGGGCTTGCAGACGAACCATTGATTTTGGATGAAGGAGTTAGACAGGTTGATTGGACAAGATCATATCACGGGTTATCGTCCCAGCCATTCTCTAAAGAAGCTGCAGACATTCTACTCGCACCAATTCCTCCTGATGATGTGGAAGTCAAGCCAGATGGTATTATATACTTGCCGGAAATCAAATATCGAAGAATATTGAATAGGGCTTTTGGACCTGGTGGGTGGGGTTTGGCACCAAGGGGAGAAACAATTGTTACGCAGAAGAGTATCACAAGAGAATATGCTCTCGTTGCTCATGGACGGCAAGTTTTCGAGTTTTCTATATAGTTTGAAGGGGTACAACTAACTATTTCCTCTATGCAGATTGGTATCCGTGGCTCGTGGTGAACAAGACTATTTCGCCCCCGAAGGCATTCCGACCGCGACAGAAGGATGCAAATCGAACGCTCTGATGCGCTGCTGCAAGGACCTTGGCGTGGCCAGTGAGCTTTGGGATCCCAGATATATCAGGAAGTTTATGAAGCAATATGCGAAGCAAGTTTGGGGCGAACATGTTGTCACCAAGAAGAAGAAACAATTATGGGTGAGGAAGGATGACGAGATTAGATACCCATACAAGGAGTCAAAGTTCGGCGCATAGATGCCTTTATGATTATGTTACAGATTATGAGTTAGCCCGGGTATGCGAATGGCAACGTGTTGTATTATAGAGGGCGTGGTGATGTTCAAGGTAATATCTAGATTCCGAGAAGGGGAATGAAGAAGATGCCGATAGTATAAAAATCTCCCATACGTCAGACGATTGTCTTTATCTTCTTTTTATTGAGACTATATGCTGCAATCGGTTGCCGATTTCTCTGCGTTTATTGCCCTGTTGTCATTCAATTTGTTAGTTTTTGAATTTTGCCCTTGTTTTACGGTCATGCTGCAAGTGTCAGCATGTTGCATGAGGCACGCCCATATTGAAACCTGCCAATTTTTCTTGTCCTAGAAGGCAATGAATCGAAGGGACTACCTCACAGTCGTCGGTGCACCGGCAACTCTTAAGTCCAGACTCTGCTTACTCCTCGGAATAAAGAATAATGAGCACAGCGGACTTTAGCTCATAATTTCGAAACTTTCAAAGCCCTACATAAACAATACGTTATGTGTGCCCATTGCTCATTTCGTACTCTCTTGATGTTGACTATATTCAGAACGCAATGATGGCGAGTACAACATCTTTACTATGGCTCATTACTGGATGCTCATCTGGCTTTGGCTTCCAGCTCTTTTTAGTAGCACTAAAAGCTGGTCATAAAGTCATTGCTACATCTCGCAACCCATCCAAGGATTTGGATCTTGTCCAGCAAATCGAAAAGCTGGGAGGTATATGGTTAGCCCTTGACGTCAATTCCGGGGAAGCAGAGATCGATCAATTGGTTGAGATGAGCTGCGAGATTTACGGAAAGATCGACATTCTAGTCAATAATGCCGGAGTCAGAATCTTGGGGGCAATGGAAGATATGAGGCATGGCTATGACCGATTGTCTTTAACCATTCAGCGCACTGACTTTTCTGTAGTTACGAAGAAACCCGAGATATAATGGAGACCAACTTTTTTGGTCCATTCAAGATCATAAAATCTATTCTTCCATACATGAGGAGCCAGAAATCGGGGACAATAGTCAATATTTCAAGCGCGGCCGGCTTACAACCACGACCGTCAATGAGCATATATGGGGCCTCCAAGTGGGCTCTGGAAGGTATCGTACTCCGTTCATCAAGATACCTGCTCCCTAATTTAACAAGATATTCAGGAATGTCTGAAGGGCTTGCAAAAGAAGTAGCTCCTTTCGAAATCCGCGTATTGATTGTCCAACCTGGCGCTTTTACAACCAATATGATGGACGCAGTTCATATGACCGAAAAGCCGCTTTCGGATGTCTACAAGAATACTCAAGTTGGAGAATTCGTCGGCGCTTTCGGAGAAAACGCAACTTTTGCTGCGCCAAACGATGTCGAGAAAGGATGTCAAGCTATTTTTAAGGTTATTACTAGCACCGGACGAGGCGCCAATAAAGTAAATTATATCAGAATGCCTCTTAGTAAGGGTTGTGCTCAGAGAACTCGCGAACACATTAAGGTTTTGCAGGAGGGTCATGATGTATTTAGAGATATTTGGGAGAGTACCGAACATGATGGTGGTGTCTTGAAGGCTTTTCAAGGATGAGTTAGTGAAGGGCTAACTGATTACTTGGAATTCATAGGTGCCAATGCGTACACAAGTCTAAAGTAGGACAAGTTTCCAGACTGACAGTACTTATCCGGATCTACGGATTTACGTTTAGTTGAGGCAAATGCTACAAAATAAAGAAAACGTTCTTCGCTGCGATTTGAGCGTTGTCTTCTTATTTATCCATATAAATAGAAATTCATACACGAATGGAAATGGTCATGTCTAGTCTTTTCAGCTCTGCTGATCTTCAATCCTTCCTTCGGTTACAATTAAGGTGAGGAGGCCAATCAAACCATGCGTAAAATCTACAAGCGGAGGCCCAAATTTCATTTTTGTTGCTGCTTTACTTATTTCATCAGTGCCAGCCTTGTCGATCAGGGGCAATACAAAGGCGGCATCCATATAAGCTTATATGGCCCACCTCGAGATAACAATCCTTCCAGTCAGAAGTGCTTGCTTGGCGCAAGGAATTCAAAGGTTCATAAACTTGTCGCGGAATCGGATGACAGCGTATCATGTACTAGCTAGCTATGGACACAAAATATCCCATGTGTTTGCATGGATTTTGGGAAAGTGGGACTTCGGGGGTGGAGGCCCACGACGCAGGAATACACCATTTTGTAAAATGCATCAGATCTCCATTTACCTGCGTTTTCTAGATTTTTTGCCATCGCTTTGAGGTTTTATTTTTGCGCCGCTGGAGAAGCAAGTGTGCAATGGCGACTCCAACTTCGCGTTATCCAGCAGCTGAGGGGTCCAGTGGTGTGGTGACGACTTGGCTACCTCTCACGACCGTCTATCCCATTGTGCCGCGCTGCAAGAATGAATTCTATTCCCCTAACAATATGACACAAATTTTTGCCTACGATCCTAATCAGAATGCCCTTACCTTTTCGACCAAATGCTGGCCCTCAGAAGCACGATCGTGGTGGAATCAGGAAACTGATGCAACAGCGATCACTTCACTAGGACCATTTGTATGCCCAGAAGCATATACCGCCGTCGTTACCGAAGTAGTAAATCCGGGCTCTACACTAACGGGTTGCTGTCCTAGTGGCTATGATCTCTCATCGTTGATGTCTCAACCATATGCCGGCGAATGCACATCTAGCTTTACATCCGGCGCCACGATTACATATGTTAGCAGTTGGACACCTGGAGCAGATGGATACACGACAATTACTACTGTGTTGGAAACTGCTCATGCGATCCAGGCTGTGCAGATAAATGGATATAATTTTGATGGCAATTCCGCAGAATCCACCGTGACGGCTTTTAGTTCGAGGACAAGTTCGAGCACAAGTTCCGGATCTGCGTCGGGTTTCAATACGGCATTAGCAACTTCTGGATCTACACTTAGCGCATCTGAAGCCGCAGCCACATCCGCAATTTCGATACCTCCAGCAAGTAATAATTCGGGACTTAGCACCGGAGCAAAAATTGGTCTGGCTGTCGGTATCTCAGTCGGCGTAATCGTCATTGCGGCTCTCATTAGCATTATTTATTTCATGCGAAGAAAAGGCTATGGCACAGCACCACAACAAGATACCCCATACTCGTCATCCGAAGTTAAGATGGGCCAAATCACTTCTCTTCCATCATCACTTGGATCCGAAGTTCCGCATGAGTTACACAGTATGCCGGTCCACGAAATCAACGGATCGACTTCTGCCGAGCTGGATGGAAATCATGGTTATTGATATTGATATTGATATTGATATTGATATTGATATTGATATTGATATTGTATTTGATGGTACATATATATACATATGTGTGTTTGTATGGACGGGAAATAATTGCATAGCGAAGGTGTTCTAGGCATAATATGGGATAATGTAGCGATTGGAATTCCTTGGTGGGAGTTTTTATTCCTGAGTTTAGAGATGTTGGGGATCTTATTCCTCACAGTTATATATGAAGAACATGAAGTACAATGTAAATAATGGTATCTATGGTTCAATTTCCAGAGTTGGCGTTTGGGTGTATTTGGAATTCTTTGACTGAGCGGAAAGCTAATTCGAGGTTGGGTATTAATGTATAGCAGATTCACCTCGTTTGTAACTTAAAGTGCTATATCTTCCCTGTTCCGGCGTGTAGTTACTGTAAAATGGATATATAGTCCCTTATATACCTATGTGAGTGCCATCATCATCCGCTCGCAGGCCGAATGTTCACGCATCATGAAGGGTCCATTGCAAAAAGATCTATCCCGCCACCTAGCACCTCGCTTACAGGCCGTTCAATGCAAAGAAATCTCAGATTATCTTCACAATTTCTTTGACAATCGCGCCATTTTGGGAGTAGCGAAGGGGAGCAGATTTACTGTTTTTTTTATATATGAAATGAATCCATCAATTCCTCACATACAAAAAGTCAATTCAAGAATATTGTTGCATCTAACTCCCACACCGATCTAATGAATCTGTGTAACGACTGTTCACTAGACGTTAACAAACTCCCAAACAATCACCTCATAATTTCCCTCTCCAGTCCTGACCATGCCCCCCCACTCACCTTCCTCAATCTTCGCCAACATCCCATCGCGTATTCCCACTTTCCATAATCTTTCAAAATGCGTCATCATCAAGTAGTAACCCCCTTCTGGTCTAAGTCTTGCAGTGAATCTCTCCCATCCACCGGGATTTCTTGCAGAACAAATTATATTGCCCCAGAAATTGTGACCGATGTAACAACCGGAAGCGACGTTTTGGAAATGGAGCCATCCTTTGACTTCGATGCATCTCCACTATTGGCGAGGAAGTTAGTACAAAGCGTAAGGCAATGAAGAGTCGGTCTAATGATTTCGAGGAATTATATACTCACATGAATGCTGGATCCGCGATTGGCAGCTGGTTGAGCCAGAACTACGTTGCCAGAGTCTAAAGTTAAAAGTTTCCCAGACGAGGAGGCGCGAATCAAATAGGTCGAACCGGGCGAAGGGACTGAGCTTGAGGTATCAAAACGTTTATCATCATTATTGTCGCAGTTGCAATCTCCGATGGTGGTGCATTGGGGAGTCTTAGTTGTGTAGTCTGTAAAGGTATCGGAATCGCAATCTGGGATGGAATCATGGACGTCTTGCTTGCAAACCATAGCTTTATTGAGAATAAAAGCTAAGGGAATAGCTAGTAACAGGGCAAAAATAAGGCTTAGCTTATTATTACCTTTGGCACTTCGCTCAATAGAAGTTGCTTTGAAGATATGTGAAGAATTCGTCTCAGCTGCTGGGGTGGTGCTATTGCCGCTGTCACTGGGAGTGCCAGGTCTGCGTTTAGAAAGCTTGTTTGTGATTTTGTGATCGAAAGTCGGGCTCCTCATACCCGTTTGTTGTTAAAATACCGATGTCTTCTTGGCACAATTGAAGTTGTTTGAAATTGATTCTATGGAGTATGTAGCAATTAGCCGCCTAGAGCCCCGCCATTAAGGACCAATCACTTTTTTACTGTGCCGCCTTCGCCCCTCCCCTACCTTGAAGACCAGGACGCACACCAGTCTCTATTGTTTTATCCTTAAAATTGCATTGATAATGTTGTTTTGAGCAACGGATGCCTCTTTTGACCTGCGTTTGTAGAACAACTTGTACTGCAGGCAGGGCCGCCGGTGCACTTACCGCACTCAACAGAGAGCTGCTGCTGCGTTGCCATTATGCTGCCGTTAGTTTCTCAAGAAAGCTCCCAGGTTTATGCCTAATACGTCACCTCACATTGGAAGCCATTGGGCATGGCTGTCTACAGGGCATTATGGCGCGTGCCTGGCCCACGTCTCCGCTTCAACCAAAAAGATCGAATCCATGGGCAGAAAACTGCGATGCCTTGTAAATGGTCGTTTATGATGGACAGCCAGACTGAGCCGGTAGACAAGTACAGGACCTCAATACAAGAGATGAGTATGGATGAAATTCCTATCAAGAGCGTGTATTATACATACATCTCTTAACTATGATATTTTAGGCTACAAGCCACATATGACCCCGACTTCGCAGCTTCATTGCCCACTGGGGCTTTATCCAATGCTCCTTGAGGCACCATTAAATGCTACCGCATGAATCGTTTTGAATGATACATACAACCATAGATCTCGTTCACATCGATGTGGCAGAACTTCGAGGACCTGGTACCGTTTAGTGGAACTGGCTTCAGTCTTGATATTGGAGTAGTCGGGAATTCCCCATAAATCCCACAATCTTGATGATAAGTGAGCGGATGCTTTTTAGATGAGACATATTGCGAACGAAGGTAACAAGGAAGGGGATGACATTTCGAGTCGATGTATGGAACTACCTATTATGTGTAACTAGCTAGCATATTTAGACTTGAGCAAGTTGCTTATACATAAGTTTGGTGTATCAATCATAAGTGACTGGCAATCTAAATCTTGATCATAATATCCTTCAAGAGTTGCATTTAAATTTAAGTTCAAAGTCATTTAAGGTTGACCGATCATTCCCACATGTTCATTACAAAAATCTGTGGCTGGTGTGTGGCTTTCCGCGAGCTAACCACTCAGCCTCGTCCACCAGGTCCCTTGTTAGGTACCTTGGGTAAAGACACCTCTCAGCACAACAATAATTCAACACAAATCAATTTGGAATTGTAAGAAATTCGTTCTAACTAATCGCATTGGAACGCTCTATTATCTCATCTCAATTGCTTCATGCGCAACGTTTCCATCAATACATCCGCGCAAATACGAAACATCCCACTTCGCGCTCAAGAGCTACACAAGCTCGAACCTCAAGATGGCTCAATACTTTCTTGACCTTTTATATACCCTCACAAACTGCATGAGTTGTTTTCCAGGTTCCCCACAGCTGAAAATCAACAATCGCAGTTTCAAAATTCTGCGGTTGTTGGGTGAGGTATGCAATTCCTCTAGGTATTTAAAAGTCGTGTGTAGCTGATATTGCTTCTGCAGGGCGGTTTCTCATATGTCTACCTCGTGCAAGATACCAGCAATGACAACACATATGCGGTGAAGAAGATAAGATGTCCATTTGGACAAGAATCGGTGGCTCAAGCTATGAAGGAAGTCGAAGCATACGCGCTCTTCTCACCACATCCGAATATAATTCATAGTGTCGATTACTGCGTCTCAGCGGATCGTTCGGATCCTGGGGCGAAGACCGTGTATATCCTACTCCCATATTACAGGCGAGGAAATTTACAAGACATCATCAATGCGAACCTGGTCAACCATACGAAGTTCCCGGAAAAGAGATTGATGGTTTTGTTTTTGGGGGTTTTAAATGCGTTGAAGGCAATGCATCAATACAAGGTTAAGGGAGGCCCAGGTGGTGCGAGTAGTGCGAATAAGGCGAAGAAAGTGAGGGCGGATGCGGCGAGGGCAGATGAAGAGGCAGAAGAGGAAGTGGAGTCAAGGAGGGGTAGACAAGGAGGAAGAGAAGCCGATCCGGACAGTGAACAGCAGGAACCACTTATGGATGGTGAAGTTACAATGAGTCAGGATGGTATTGCACCAGGAGGAGCTAGGGCATATGCGCATAGAGATATCAAACCAGGTAGGCCTTGTGGAGACTAAATGCGCGAGTATATCTAATGCTAGAGTAGGAAACATCATGATTGATGACGACGGCGTACAACCCATTCTCATGGATCTCGGATCCCTAGCTCCCTCACCCACGCCGATAACCTCCAGATCACTCGCCCTGGCAGTCCAAGATCAAGCAGCCGAACATTCCACCATGCCCTACCGCGCCCCCGAACTTTTCGATGTAAAAACCGGCAGTACTATCGACACCAAAGTCGACATCTGGTCACTAGGCTGCACATTATACGCTTGTCTCGTAGGAAAATCGCCCTTCGAGATGCGCAGTGATGAGACAGGAGGAAGTCTAAGCATTTGTGTACTGGGCGGCGATTGGCGCTTCCCGGATGAAGGAGCCGGTGGAAAAAAGAAGACGACAAATCAAACGGGGCAAAGTGAAGATAGTGGTATTAGCGAAAGTATTCGCGAGGTGGTGCGGAAATGCTTGAGGGTCGAACCTAGCGAAAGGCCGGATGTGGATGAATTGATGGAGATTGTAAGGGGGGTAATTGATGAATTGCCCGAGGACGGGCCTTCATGATTATGAATGGGATATAGGCGGGATGATTTTGGATGGGGTAGGATAGGGAGAACTTGATTCCATTTGGTTAGGTCTGATTTCAATCGGCCATGTACGATTTTATTTTCTTTATTTTTTTCATTTGCTACTCCTTAAAGAAAATAAGGATGATCTAAGACAAAGGATGAAACGAGGCGTTGCGGGAAGGAAGCACTGCTAAGGCTACGGCTACGGCTACCTCGATTAGCCAGCGAAGAAAATAATGAAGAGTTGAGGAGGGTTTCAACTCTCAACTCATGAGCTTAAAAGCCTACCTAGTTGCTTAAAAGGGCATGTTTGCTTATAATAGAGATGCGTTTTAGTGATTTTTACATGTCTACATGTCTACCGTAGGCTAGACACATTTGTTCTTTCTAGCATAATCATCTGTGTTTGTTCCGATTCTTTTTTCTTCGATGCTGGTAGTCTGGGAGGATATGTATTTTTTTTTTTTTCGAAGTTGGATTTTAGAGGTATAGTAAGTGACATTACTTTGGAGACGTGGATGACGTTGAGTTTGATATTAGAGTCTAGGATTACTCAGTTAACCCCAAGTTAGATATCAAACAGTTCATGCAAGTAATCATTAATCCTCTGAAGTGAGCTACATAAGCTATTATGTCCGAGTAATGTTTGTAATCCTATCGTTGTATTAGCAACAAGTCGAATTTAGGATCAACCTTGTCTTGAGATGACATACCTATATGGCACTTCTGACAGTGATTGACAATGCCTGACTTTGATAAAGCACCATTCTAGCCATCAAGTTCCCTTTAAAAGCTAGGCTAGCAACTGAATAAGGATCTTACAATTCATCGTCATTTTCCTCGGACGATTGAGTCTTCCTCCTCTTTTGACGTAGTGTACTCACCTCCGGTTTCATCCCGCTGTCATCACAATTTCTTTTTCCACCCATGGTTTCGATCAAGCCAGCGGCCAATAATCCATCCTTCAAATTAAGAAAGCCACACTTGACCTCAACAAGTCCGTCCTCGGTGATTCGAGATTGGAACTTCTTCTGCAAGTGCTTGATCACGGCCGCGCGATCCTTCTCATTCAGCAGTCCTTTGATGAATCTTGCGATGAACTGGAAATGATCCGCTCGTTGTTTGATAGCCCCGATATATTTTTCTGCATGAGCTAAATAGGTCTCGACGTTTTGATCCGGCGCTTGCGATATGTTGTGCCAAACTTTACGCGAGCCAGCTTTTCGTAATGGCATATCTAGAGCCACTGGAGTTCTCTCATTCGCTGGTGAAGCCGTCACTTGTAATGGTAGAGCGGGGAGAATCGTCTGACCACTATGCGCCAGTGATGGCATTAATTCTCTTGATTCGCGTCTATTCCCGGAACATTGACTGTGTTCCTCAAGTGCTGTCTTGTCTACTGGCGGAGAGGGTAAATCAGGCTGTGCAACCGGTTCAAGCTGCTCGGTAGTAGACGCCGACGGAATCTGTGTGACTCCTGGCGCATCTGAACCTGTCTGAAGAGATGCTATGGTAGATAGTGATTCAGGATGTTGTGCTTCTGCGACATCCAGATCATGAGCGGGCGAGGCAGTGACAGGTGATAACTGAGTCTGCTGTGCATCTGTATCGTGGAGACGACCCTGAGGGGAAGAGGCATATGTAGCGCAAATACCTTTCTTTGGTTAGAATAATGTAGACTTCCACAACCATCTCCACAAACCTGCTTCCATGAATTCAGTAAACTTCATCATCCTGTCTTTCAAATCCTTTAATTCATCCTCCCTCCGCCTAATCTTCTGCATCAATTCTTTGGACTCATTTTCAAGTTTTTCGAATCGAGTTTCGCTTTCTTCCAATTGCTTCTGGTACTCCGTCAATCTACGCTCTGCTTCGGCAGATATCTTATCGGTTCTAGTCTTCAAATCCTCAAATAACTTCAATAGAGCACGATGCTCCTTTCGAAACTCTAGATTGACTATGGCCTGGACGCCACTTGCAGCTCCTTGGCTCAAACCAACAAGTTTGAGAGGTGAGTTCACAACCTTCATCATGAAGATACAGGATAAGTTAATGAGATGAATGATACAAGATAACTTGATGAGATAAATGACTGACGATTGACGATATCTAACATGAGTGATAAAAGGCCTAGTATGTTAAGACATTCTTATATAGTAAGTCGCAAAAAGTGAAATGTAGATGTTGTGTTTTATGATAAGTGAAGAAGGTGAGTTGCCGACATTGGACTCTTCCACTCAAACCCAACTAAGCGAGCCTGCGTACACGGGTGATGGATCGAACATAAAACAGGAAAGAGCGAATGCGATGGGATTCATGAATGGCCTCAAAAGAGATGGGCGAAAAGGAAATTAATCACTTGAACATTTTGACAATTTTTATTTTATTTTTGTTTTTATTTTCGCCTTGATCTATGGAAAATAATCTCAGCATCTATCATCAATCGTACTACATTGCATGGTCCACTCGCGGGCCAAATGTAGGCTGATCTGAGTAGACATAGAGTTCGTAAGACAGCCCAAGGAGAATCCTTAAATACAGAGACTGAAAAGCGAAGCATCCCCCAAACCTCTAATGCCATAAAATACGCAAGAAATAACCGAGCTGCACAAACCAATGCAGCGACTTTTATGCTACCTATTGACCCAATCCTCACGTGCCGGGCGAACCAGCTACGCTCACTATCACAGCCCTTACAAAGGGGGTTCCGGTGCTGTGGTCTTTTGATAGACATGCACGCCCGAGAACTCGTGATTTACCAAATTGTATATTAGAAGAAAAAAGCTTAGATGAGGTCAGCAACGTTCATTGGCATCTCTTCGATTTGAGTGCTGTAGAATTGCTCGATTTCTCTCATCATGCGGACATCCTCAGCGGTGACAAAGTTGATAGCAACACCCTTACGTCCGAAACGTCCACCACGACCGATACGATGGATGTAGTTCTCACGGTTGGCTGGGAGATCGTAGTTGATGACCAAGGAAACTTGTTGAACATCGATACCACGGGCCAAAAGATCAGTGGCGATCAAGACACGGGATGAACCAGATCGGAACTCCTTCATAATCAAGTCACGTTGACCTTGGTCCATGTCACCGTGCATGGCGGAGACGGTGAAATCACGGGCAGTGAGTTTGTCGGTGAGCCAGTCAACCTTTCTTCTGGTGTTGCAGAAGATGACTGCTTGTGTGATGGTGACGGTCTCGTACAAATCGGAAAGGGTGTCCAATTTCCAATCCTCCTTCTCAACGGCAATGTAGAATTGCTTGATACCTTCGAGGGTAAGCTCGGCCTTCTTAACCAAGATACGGACGGGATCACGCATGAACTTGGTGGTAACCTCGAGGACGTCTTGAGGCATGGTAGCAGAAAGGAGGACAACTTGGGTGGATTGAGGAAGAAGTTGGAAGATGTCGTAGATTTGCTCGGTGAAACCACGCTTGAATCGTTGTTAGCGAAATCATTCCAAGTAAAGCTGAATGTCTTTAGACTTACGGAAAGCATCTCATCGGCCTCATCAAGAACGAACATCTTCATGGAATCGGTCTTCAAGAATCGTCTTTGGATCATGTCGTGAACACGACCTGGGGTACCAACAACGACTTGAGGACCATCTTGGAGAGCCTTCATGTCATCACGGACGCTGGTACCACCAATGCATGCGTGGCACTCAACGTTCATGAAGTCACCAATGGCGACAACAACCTTTTGGATTTGTTGAGCCAACTCACGGGTTGGTGCAAGGATCAAAGCCTGGCATTGCTTGATGTTGGGGTCAAGCTTTTGGAGGACAGAGATGGAGAAAGTGGCGGTCTTTCCGGTACCAGATTGAGCCTGGGCAATAACGTCATGGCCTTTGTAAATATGTTAGAGACGCTGAAAGAAGTCGCAGATTTGGTGAACTCACCCTTGATGACTGGCATGATAGCACGCTGCTGAATAGCAGAAGGACGCTCGAAACCGTAAGCATAGACACCTGCATCTCCATGTTAAATGTTGCTCTTTCAAGTATATTTGGATTTTCATCGTACCTCGGAGAAGCTCTGGCTTCAAGTTCATGGTATCGAAAGAGTCGACGGTCTCGTCATAGTTGGACTCGATTTGTCCTGCAAGGAAAGAAAAAAATGGTCAGTCTTTTTTTCTTTTCTTTTCTTTTCTTTTTTTTGGCCCCATCAGATTTTATCCTCCCCCAGTGCGATCGCATAGAATCTTCTCAAAAACATCGGAATAAACTCACCCTCTTGGATCTCCTCGAGACCCTTATCTGCGGAAGCCATATTTGCGAGTTGTTGGATGTAAAATCTAGATTACAAGCTGAGCTTGGAACCTAGAAAAAGATAAAGTTGGAAGGTGGAGGTGGGGTGAAAAAACGCGCAAAGTACTCCTGAAGAGACTGCGACGTGAAGCTCTTGATTGTTTGAAGTTTAAAACTAGATAACAACTCCCGAAAACGAGAGTTTATGTATATCTAGTGGTTTGAATGTTTGATTGTGTTGTAAAAAATGGATTTTGAAAATGGAAGGGAAAAAAGAGGAAGGAAGGCTTTGATATATTAAAAGTTTTTTGGAGAAGGACTCGCTTATTTTTTGTCCGGCTACTTTATTAGTTGGTGGTCTGTGTCTGTGTCTTGTGTCTGTGGTCTGTCTGATTTGCGAGTTTTAGAGATTACTATCCAACCAGAATGCTTTCCATATATGAATTTAACCTTTGAAGAGATTTAAACTTCTATTTAGTATTTTCTAGTCATAAATCTAGAGACCCTTGGCCAATGAGAATTTTCTTTATAATTTTGGAATTGGATATGAAAATTGAGTTGTGCCTAGAGAACCAAACCTACATTCTAGATAATAGGACATACATAGCAGTACATAAATAGTGTCTACTAGATAAATGCCACCACATCTTCGAATCATTAAAGTGGCGATAACCCCTCTCCGTCTTCTACCCACGGACCACCATGAGAACTGTGAGAAAAAAATAAAATCCTTTTCATTCTGCTTGCTTGCACATACGAAACATAATCATCCAGTTCCTCCACCACCACAAAAACAACTTTGATATCTATTGTATTTGTATTGGCCTCCTTCTTTCCCATTCTTTTCCTCCACATCTTGATTACCATGAAATCAGCAATGAGTCTAGATTCCTCAACTCCAATACAGCCGAGTGGCATTAGTACTGTACCGCTTTTTGAGTCCGGCGAAATCGAAGAGTCAGAGTCAGAGTCATCGGTTGCAATCCCCCCTCATCCTTTAGGTGTAAAGCCGTCAGGAAACCAATATACCGCTACCAGCAATGCCCGTCATGCCATTGGGCCTTTTCAAATATTGCCAGACGAAGTGCTAGCCATAGTATTAGAATCTTTGCATCCAGAATTGCTGGCCTTACTTGGTTTCACTTGCAAATTTCTATATGCATTCTGTCGATCAGAAGAGTTTTGGAAACCCTTATTCATTGAGTGAGTAATTGTATATCTCTTTTTACCTTCTCTTCTTTTATTTGGTCTGAAATGACGACTTAAGAGTTTTGGTACCTTTTCTTACTCGATTTCGGCCTAATTGGCAAATCAAATGGTCCACGTTTTGTTTTAGGTGATTAGAGTTATTGTCGGAAAAGACAACAGTAGTCATTCCTTTGAGAGCGGGGCTTACATATTCCACTAACTGAGCCTTTGTCATTTGCCGTATTTCAGCAGGAACATGATGTTTATGAGAATAAGGGTCACAGGCGACTTTTCAGGATACCAAATGTTTTATTGACTAGTTTTTTTCTAAAGCTGGAATGGATTATGTATATTTCATCTTGGAGCAATTGGGTTGTTTCGTGCTCGGTTATTGTATCGAGGTCTATGGGGATTTTCAGCCGCTAGAGGTTGATCAGAGACCAGAGAAAGATAAACATCAAGTGATATTCTCAAATGTATCTTTTCTAGCCTAGAGGATGTATATAGAATACCTCAAATAAATATCAATCACCCCAAAACTCACAACAACATTCACAAACATACCATAATTCTCACATGACCTGACTGCTAACCAAGATATCAGGTCTCCAGCATCAGAATCAGGCACATTTGAATGGCGAGGCTCATGGCGTGCTACATTCCTCAATATAGACGACAGCAATCTCACAAAGATCCAATGTAACGATGTCTTCTCAGACGTCTTATACCGACCATTCCTCTGTACCCACACCCCACTAACCCCCTACACAACAAACATACCCCCCAAGAACCAAATCTCACGAATGGAAAACCTCACCCCGGAAGAATTCACGTCAAACTGGAGCGACAAACCCTTCATCCTAACCGAGCCCGTGCAAGAATGGTCCGCCTATCGTTCTTGGGACACCAAAGCCCTCCTCCAACAACACCGGGACACCAAGTTCCGCGCCGAAGCCGTCGACTGGTCCCTAAAAACCTACATCCAATACATGAACCACAGCAACGATGAATCACCACTCTACCTCTTCGACCGCGACTTCATCTCCAAAATGAACCTCCTCCACACCACTAAAGACACCTCACCCCTTCCATATCAAATCCCTTCCTGCTTCGGCGAAGATCTCTTCAAAGTCCTCGGTCCCAACCGTCCAGACGATAAATGGTTAATCGTCGGGCCCGCCCGCTCAGGCTCCACCTACCACAAAGATCCCAACGCAACCTCAGCCTGGAACGCCGTACTACGCGGTTCAAAATACTGGATCATGTTTCCCTCGACGCCCTCATCCCCTCCTCCTCCAGGTGTCTACGTCAGCGCGGATCAATCCGAAGTTACCTCGCCCCTATCCATAGCCGAATGGCTCCTCGGCTTTCACGCCGAAGCGCGCCGTACTCCGGGCTGTATAGAGGGCGTCTGTGCTGCGGGGGAAGTTCTCCATGTTCCGAGCGGATGGTGGCATTTGGTGGTTAATCTCGATGCTAGTATAGCCATTACACAGAATTTTGTGCCACGTGCACATTTAATAGGAGTATTATCTTTCTTGAGAGATAAAGTGGATCAAGTGTCGGGATTTAAGAAAGAAGTGCTGGATCCCTATGCAATGTTTGTGGATGGGATGAAGAGAGAGTATCCGGAATTATTGGAGGAAGCGATGGCGGAGTTGGAGAGGAAAGCCGAGGGCAGGAAGAGGAAGTGGGATGTGGCTGTTGCGAGTGCGGATGGTGATGAGGATGCCGGGGGCTTTAGTTTTGGATTTGGTGGGGATAGTGATGAGGAGGTACCTTAGACTTGGGAGTATACTAAGGTGCTTCAATCCTATCTTTAACATAGAGGGGTAGATAACTTCATACTGCAGCCGTGCATTTCCTTTCTATGCAATCATTCTGATAGAGGTAGATTGTAGGTTATAATGGAGCGAGTGCAAGATACTCTCGATACAAACCATTTCAGGATTGTGAAATTTGCCAATAGCTTCTCTTGATACACACGATAAACGCCGAGATTCAGTTTACCCAGCTCTTAAATATTGATATGCAAACCGATATTCCCCACTTATGAAATTGATCGCTTCGCAGTTGACTGCAGATTTCTTCGAGACCACCAGCCGTTCCTCCTTCCCAATTTACAAGAACGCCCATCGTACCCCCTACCCGATTCCCGTACCGTAACCCATTTTCCCCAGCCAGCAAATCCAATTCAAACACCAAACCCCTGTAGCCTCCAGAATCGCCATCATAATTACCAAAACTGACAATCACGACCCAAAACTCCCCAACCTCTACATCCGCTTATTTCCTCGTAGCTCCAAAATTAGTCCTAGCCTTCTTATTCCCCGTTGATTCCTTCGTATCGGTTTCACTATCATCACCCCCGGCCATCTTCTTATTCTTTTTCCCTTTTCCCGAAGTAGCAGATGTAGGCGTTGCATGATTCGACGAGCTGTCCCCATTCTTTTGAAAAGTCATAGATAGAGGTGTAGGAGCCATAGCCGCAACCGGTGTTGAAGCACCCGACGGTGCCGGAGAGTCCTATTTCAGGTTTGATATTAGCCTCCTCTAAAATTTCATGCGATTTTTCTCATTCTTTCAGAGTTTTATGCCTAGCATGAGCATCCGCTTGAATTCCTGCATCACCACTCCCTTCTTTACCCCCCCTTTCCTCCGCACTCGCATCGCATCACATCACCAGGGAAACCCTGCCAAGTAAGACAGCTCAACTCACAACATTCACTCTCCAACTATACGAACTCCCACTAAACGGTCTATCCGTTCCCCCCGCCGCCGCACTTTTCCTGCCTGTCCCAGCACCCCTTCCCACCCCTCCTACACCGGCACCCTTTGCATACCCATCAAACCCATTAATGATGTTCCCCTGCGGCGTCTCATCCAGGTATTCCGTTTCCTTCCTAAAAATACTGTCTTCGCTCAGCGCTAGAATCCGATCGAGACTCTTCTTTTGCTCCAATAATTGTTTGAGTTTTCGACGCGTTTCCTCGTAATACGGAAGGCCTGCCGTAGGATCTGCAGTACGATTTTCCTTCGAGGCGCTACTGGTCGCAGTAGATGGTTTATTAGAGTCCATACTGGGGTTGAGTTTGAATTGGCAGAGGGATTGGGTAGGTATATAGCTGAGATGTGGTGGTATGAATGAATTAGGTCTCGAAAAAGGAGCAGGAAGCTGGGTGAAAGATATCTGGTGGAAAGAAAGCTTGGTGCACGGATTAAAAATGGTAGCTATTTGCTCTTATCCGCTTATCGAAGCTTGTGATAATCAGATTTTGGAAAGCCTCTAAATGAATAGGTTCGTTCTAGAAGTCTGCGGGTTGAGATAGGGCTGAGGCTGAACCAGGAATAAACCTTGGAAAGCCTGAAGCTCTGCCTTGGATTCTCGTCTATTGTTATATGTCTACACACGATGCATTGGGTTGGGAAGAATTTACTGGGTGCAATGCTCACTAAGTTATCTATCAAAACAAATCTTAAAACACTAACTGTGTGAATTACTTATAAAGTCGTAGATAGCGGCTAGTTTTTAAGGTTTAAATTGATAGTGCCATCATGTTATGCAAGTAAGAAACTAATCTTGTAAATATATTTCCTTTTTTATGCCAGGTATTCCCTAGTGCCATGGCCCTGCGTATGCCTAATCGATTGATATGTTCCTCAATGAGCGTTAGCATGAGATATTGGATGTTCAGTGGTACTCGAAGCTCTCATCTTCTTGATCTTTTCCCTTAGCAATTTTTCTCGTAATTCAGTGGCCAATGTCTGCGGATCTTTTCTCAGATTCTGATGTCAAAAAGACGGGTCAGCGAGATAACGAACGTGAACTTAGTCGGGTCTTCTTCCGATACAAATGAGAATCTCCTCTTGCCTTATGAATCACTACCTACCTCTGCAGGTTCGGCAGATCCAGCTGGTTTTGTGGCTTCGACGTCTCGAGTTGGCGATCCCCTATCGCTTTTAACTTCAGCATCAGTCCTTTTATCTCTTCCCTCCTCTACACCTGAAGAGCTATCTCTTCTTCTTCGGTTTGCAGGTTCATATCTTTGCATAGAACGACGCCTCCTCCCGTGATCATTCCTTCCATTGCGACTTTCGTCCTTTACGGAATCGCTACGACGTCTGGCGGGTGGGGAAGCACTCCGGCTAATACTTCGCGTGGGTCGCCTCGCCTCCCGACTAGCTCGTCTACCATTCCCGGCAGGGCTCAAAGGTGATGCAGTTCTCTTGCGTGGAGCTGGACTTCGGCTTAATGATGGGGAAGTGGATCGAGACCTAGATCTAGAACTCGTGTTGCGACGACGATATCTGCGAGACTTCGGAGGTGGAGAGCGACTTAAAGATTCAGTTGTAGCTCTTCTCCGCTTTCGAGGTGGGGAGCGAGATTCGGAAAGCGAAGGTGATCTACGTCGGGGTCTTCTCTCTGGACTTCTCACACGTCCTCTACCACCTCTGCCACGGTTGCGCCTATCTGGCGATCTGGATCTCCGCCGATGAGGGGATGGTGACCGCGATTCTGAAACTGACCGACTGCGTCGTCTTGGTGGAGATCGCGATGGGGATTTGGATCTTGAAGGTGACCTAGAGCGTGATAAAGATGGTCTTCGTCTATCGTCCCGTCTACCACGCCCCGCAGGAACGTAAGTATCAAATTCTCTTCGAGGTGGCGGACCATAATCTCTATTGTCTCGCCCTCCACGTGGTGACCTTGAATATCTTGGACCTCTTCGATCAAATCCTCTGCCACCACTCCGATCAAAATCTCTCTCCCCACGACCGCCGCGCCAGCTATCACCTCCTCCTCGCCCGCGTCCGCCGCGATCGCCTCGTTCGCGGTTTCTTATTGCATACATTTCGCGGTCTCTCCGTTCACCATCTTCGCGGCGTCGACGTGCCTCATCTGCAGCTTGCTCGGCTTGTATCTAGCTGAATGTTAGCCAATGATCCCCCTGTCTTAAGCTATTTGTACCTTTTCTTGTATGAGTTCCATCTTTTTCGCCTCAAGAAGTTCTTTGGGAACTCCTTGAGGATTAGTTTGCGCACTCAGACAAAGTTTCCATAATTCTTTACAAAAGTCAGGGGTATCTTTGTCGAGAAAACCTGTAAGCTGTATCTGTAGCTTTTTAATGTCAGGCTGCAGATAATATTAGCTTAGCATATGGTATGATATCAAAATGAAACCTACATATCGGGAACCCTCAATAAGATTAAAGCACAGTTCAATCACAACATCATCCTCAGCTCCTAATATATCCGATATCTTTCCTGCGATCCATCTACGTTGCAAAACAAAGTCAGCTTGTCTCTTTCACTTCGTCTGTAGCTTCAAGCTCGTTAGAACGTACTTTTTCATAACCTCCAAATTAACCTTCTGAAAGTCGACTTTCTGGTTGAATTCAGGTGGGAATTTGGTCGACTTCAGCAGTTTCGCATCAACAGAAGTCATGGTGACTGCTGTTAAAGGATATTGATATTGGGATAAGATGTGGTTAGGTTTGTGGTTTATTAAAGTACAAAGTCACAAAGTACGAGTTAATGTACTTGGAGCACTAAGCTCGCGAGATAATAAAAATACGATAAAATACAGTACTAAGCAATCCACGCGTGTTCTAGCTTCTACAGGCATTGGGATATCGTCACACGGCATGATTCGCTTATGTAAGCATTCACCACATCAAAACCCGTCCTTGAATTTGATTCACTTCTTCCCAGCCCAATTGTCCTACGCAGCAAGGGAATATAAAAATAAATGGGTTACCCACTTTATCAGGAAAAAGGTAGCTGCCGTAGTCACCATTTCATTGTTCATACAACTAATATCTACTCCCCCGATGTGAGATAGTTGAATTACACTATTTCTACCACAATATATACCTAGATAGAGATCTGTGCCACTCGTCACGTGTTTCACAGGGTAAAGAGTGGTTGACATGACTATTTATTCCATTGCCAGGACTGGATTGGACATTGAAGCTTTTCGATTTCAATGTCCGAAACCATTCAGAGTCTTCATGAAAGACAGACATCGGGGTTATCACTTTCAGCCTGTTTTCTTTTGAGAAGTCACGGAATTAAAGCTAAGGTCGGCAGTGAGTAATCACTGGTGGTGAGTGTAAGCTTGGCTTCAAATCATAATTATTATCGGATTCTTTTTGCACGCTAGATACAATGTTTTTGTCCATTATAATATCATTTACAATGGCTTGCCACCAATGAAATCGGACCACCGGCGAACTTCTCCTGGAATACCTTCTTTGCGAGGAAGTTTCTCGTTCATACATTGGGCAAAGAGCTCAGCAGTCTGAAAAGTGTTAGCATAGGATCTTTGAGGAATGAGGAAACTTCTTTTACCTTTGGCTCCATGAAGAGTGGGACACCGAAATCGACAGCGTTCCGGCGCATAACGTAGTCGGTATCTTGGACGGTCTTTGCTCTAGCGAGTGCAAGATTGAACACACCCCGGATATCATACTTCTTGAAAACTTCCCTTAAAGCTCTCTTGTCCTCCTTGGGGAATTCAATAACTTCCACACTGACACCGCCCTTGGCAGTCGACTCCAAGAACTTCTTGACTTCAGGTTCGGCGGCGTAAAGCTTATAACCCAATGGGGATAGGTAGTCGACGATCTTAGTAAGTGAAGTCTTGGAAATATCACCGCCGAAAAGGAGACCTTCACCTGGTTCTGGCATACGGAAGTTCATGGTTGATTGAAGAGAAGCCCAGTAAGCCTCAACGAGATTCTTACCGAAGCAAGCAATTTCACCAGTACTGGACATTTCGACACCCAAAAATGGATCAGCTCCAGCAAGACGAGTCCATGAGAATTGAGGAACCTTTGTGGCGAGGTAATCACGCTTGATTGCCATGAGGTCCTGGGGTTCAGGGACATTCTGACCCACAAGAGCCTTGGTAGCAACATCAATGAAGTTGACACCAAGAACCTTGCTGACGAATGGGAAGGAACGAGATGCACGTAAGTTACATTCGATGACCTTCAGCTGTGGAAGACCTCCTTCAGGGTCCTCGGCCTTGATTATTTGCATGTTGAAAGGACCGGTAATGCTCCAGGCCTCGGCAACCTTTTCGGCAATCTCCTTGACACGGTCCATTGTAGTTTGATCGAGAGAAGCAGGTGGTAGAACGAGAGTAGCGTCACCTGAGTGAACACCAGCCTGCTCCACGTGCTCACTAACAGCGTGGAGAATGAGTTTACCGTTAGATCCAACACCATCCACATCAATTTCTTCGGCCCCTTCAATGAATTTAGTAATGACAACTGGATGATCGGGGGAAACATTGCTGGCAGCTTCGAGTTTCTCTTTGAGCTCATCTTTGCTTCGAATGACAGTCATGGCTGCGCCTGACAAGACATAACTGGGACGAACGAGTACAGGGTAGCTAACTTCCTCAGCAAAAGCCTCGGCATCCGCAACGGAGGTGAGTTCCTTCCAAGCTGGTTGATCAACTCCAATGCTATCCAAGATTGCAGAGAACTTTTGTCTATCTTCTGCTTTGTCAATATCCTTAGGATCTGTTCCCAGGATCTTGGCTCCTCCTGTCTCCTGCAAACGGAGAGCAATGTTTTGTGGGAGTTGACCGCCCACAGAAACAACAACTCCGGCAGCGTTCTCAAGTTCATAGATATCCATTACACGTTCGTAGCTCAATTCTTCGAAGTAGAGTTTGTCGGCAGTATCGAAATCTATTCTTTATGTTAGCTGAGATGACTATGGCGGAATTGGAAGATATGATCGTACCTGTGCTATAAGTCTCGGGATTGTACATTAAGGGGGTCAGCATTGGTTCAAAATGGAGGAGTCCAGCAGACTCACGTTAATCATGACGGTTTTCTTGCCCATTTCTCTCAAAGCAAGAGTTGCACTAACAGCACACCAATCAAATTCGACTGAGCTACCAATTCTGTATACACCACTTCCCAAAATAATAGTTCCATTATCATCGAAGGTAACGTCATGCGTTGTTGCATTGTATGTTGTGTACTAGAACATTGGAAGGTTAGATCCTTTTCCCAAGAAAGACAAGAGACTTAAATTATCCAAACAGAGCTGGAGATTCGAACGGTGTTGATTATCAAAAACAAACTGAAGTAATCAAATATACTGAGAAACTCAGATCAACTGGAGTATTCAAAATGAGGAAGAGATTCGGATCAAATGAGATACTCAAACCGGTGAGATATTCAGATCCAATGAAGTTCTCAAATGAAATGAGATTCTCAATATCTGATTGAAACATCTAAACGGAATTGGACAAAAAGGAATAAGGAAATGTCCTTCGAAAAATTGCTCATTTGAAATGTAGGACCCAAACTGGACATCGAGGGCTTGGAAATATCTTAAGACAAGTATGCCTATTCAAACATCCAAGTAGAATAAACTTCAAATCGAGTAAAACCCCGAGGATGAAGTCGGGAATACAAACCAAGTCGAATGTCCACATCAAATTTAGATATCCAAACCTAGCTGGATATCCATTTGAAGTTTGGAAGCCAAACCATGTCATGTGCCCGAGAGAAAAGTTGGTCATCTAGACAGACTTGGATATTCAAGTGAATCTGGGCTTCCAAATAAAGATGAACATCGTGAGGTGGTTGAGAATTCGGATAGAGTCGACTCTCCAAACATACCCCGCCATCAAAGGAGATAAACGGACAGAACCTTTCAGTAGACTTGAACGTCCTGAAGGAGTTCAAAATCCAAGCAGGGTGTAAAAAAATGAACATTCAACCAAAATTGAACATCCAAAAAACATTCAACAGTAAAACATAGTCGGATGTTCAAACAAAGCTGAACGAAAAAATTCTTTAAGACAGCGAAAAGAAAAGGGCAAAGCTCACCAAATAATTTGTAGAAGCTGTTAAAAATTTGGGGTTAGTAATAGCTAATTTAGGAAAGAGAATGAAAGCTGTTTTGGGAAATAAAAATCACGAACCTGGAAATTCGGCAGCAAGAGTATCGATTCTCTTGACGAAAGGAGTGATACCAAAGCTCTTTCTGCGAGCGCGGACTTCATCTTCAGTGGAGTTCACGGCATTGGCGATTTGTTTGTCAGAGAAACCCAATTTCTTTGCTTTTTGAATGATTTCTTTCTTCAGTCCATCAAGACTACCGATATCCTCAAGCTCGTGGGTACAGTCCACGATGTTCTGAAGCTTGTACAAGAACCATTTATCGATCTTGGTAAGGTCATGTACACGGTCAACTGAGTAGTTCTCGTGAAGCATGGCTTGGCCAACAGCTAACCAACGACGATCGGTAGGATTTTGGAGTTCGTAGTCAAGGTCATCGAATTTGTCTCCTTGGAAACCGACAAATCTTGGGTCAACTTGACGAATAGCTTTTTGGATAGATTCTTCGAAAGTTCTACCAATAGCCATGACTTCACCAACAGACTTCATGGCGCTGCCGATGTCACGCTTCACGTGCTGGAACTTGGATAAATCCCATCTAGGAATCTTAGAAACAATATAATCAAGAGAAGGCTCGAAATTAGCAGTTGTAGTCTTCGTAACAGCATTTGGTAACTCGGGAAGAGTGTGGCCAAGTCCAATCTTGGCAGCAGTATACGCAAGGGGGTAACCAGTAGCCTTTGAGGCAAGAGCAGATGATCGAGAAAGACGGGCATTAACTTCAATAACTCTGTAGTCCAATCCGTCGGGTTGTAAAGCGTACTGAACGTTACATTCTCCAACAACACCCAAATGTCTGACAATCTTGATAGCAGCTGATCGAAGCATGTGATATTCCTCGTCGCTCAAAGTCTGACTAGGGGCAACGACGATAGAATCACCAGTGTGGATACCGAGAGGGTCGAAGTTTTCCATGTTGCAGACAGTGATACAGTTGTTGCTAGCATCTCTGACAACCTCATATTCAACTTCTTTCCATCCCTTCAATGATTTCTCAACCAGAATCTGAGGTGAAAGAGTCAAAGATCTAGAGGCCATGTTGCGAAGCTCTTCTTCATTGTTTGCAAAACCAGAACCAAGACCACCAAGAGCGTATGCGGCACGGACAATGATTGGGTAACCAATACCCTTTGCAGCTTCCAAAGCCTCGTCCACGGTTGATACAGCGACAGATTGAGCAATTGGAATATTGATCTCACCAAGAGCCTTGGCGAAGAGATCTCTGTCCTCACTGGTCTCAAGGGTTTTGATGCTGGTACCTAAAACCTTAACGCCATATCTCTCAAAGATACCCATGCGCTCCATTTGTACACCGAGATTGAGAGCTGTTTGACCACCGAAAGTGAGGAAGATACCATCAGGCCTCTCACGCTCGATAACGTATGTAACATATTCGGGTGTGACTGGAAGATAATAGACCTCGTCTGTGAGAACGTGAGCAGTTTGGATTGTTGCAATGTTGGGGTTAATGAGCACAGAAGCTACGCCAGCTTCTTTTAAGGCTTTCAAAGCTTGAGAACCTAGATGGACAAACAGTTAGCATGCTATACTATTCCTCCTCCATGTGAGTTGACATGAAGATCAAACTTGTGGAGAAAACCTGCACCAACACAATGACTCATTCCACGAAAGGCTGATGTCTGGGGCACCAACCTGAATAATCGAATTCTCCGGCTTGACCAATACTCAAGCCACCACTTCCAATGACCAAAACCTTCTTCACGTTCACTGGATTGGCAGCTCCTTTTACAACCCCACTATTCAAGTATGCTTCCGCACTAGGCGCTGTTTGTGACTGGTCCCTGAGGAGTGTCGAGCTGGAGAACATTCGAGCATATTTGCTATGTTTCCAAACTTGAGCTGGTTGACGATGTACAAGACCATTAATTGAAGCTCTAGTAGTGAATGCTCTCGCAGGCAAAGCTGGAGCCTTGCATTGGCGGAGGAGAGATGAAGATCGATATGCGAAGCGGTTTGCAAGCGCCATGATGTCGAATTGAAGCTTCAATTGAACTTCTAAAAAGTAACTTGTCCACCTGATCCCTAATCTTTTGCCCTGCCAATTAATTCAAAGATGATTTGGCGTTTTGTGGGAAAATGAATGTGGCTTTGGACAATGGATTTTTTTTGGTTGAAAAACTACCTGGGGTAGCTTTCTGATAAGCTTTTGGTGTTGGTTGATAATAAAGGAATGATGAACCTCTCTGTCTTAGCAGATTGAAGTTATTCCTGGAGTTTAGAAGGTTCGAAGTCTCTAAGCATTGTCGGTTAAGTTTGGGAAATCAAAATGGTAATTGTGTGAGCTTTTCAATTGGGATGTGTTTGAGTCAAATGATGAGGGTTGTGATTGAAGTTTTTTGTTCTTATATTTAGGTGAGTCTTCGTTGTGTGACCGGCTGCTTGGAACCAAAATTTTCTTAGCCCCGCTTTTTGATCTGCAAGGACAATCCCAACCAACCAACAAAGAGTATCTATGATTTAAGCCAAATTGGGAACTGAGAAGATTGGGAATGAGTCAATGGGAAGCTGCCATTCATTCAATTAATACTAAAATTTACCAATTGATATTTTAGCATCACGACATACTACTAAAGCGAAATAACCCATGTTGGCGACCACGGGAGCTATTTCATCGGACCGGGTATTAGTCAGACAACCTACCATCTACCTTACCACATTATTGAATGAATGGGGGGTTCAAAATCTACCAGAGCGACCGGCAGATGATAAAATCTTCTTCATGCATCATTTTACGTGCGTGGCAGGAAGACGTGGGGTCTATAAGATTATATTATGTCACATTGATCTTCAAGAGTATCACATATTTTCACTTCCTATTAGCCATGATCTTGGGGCTTCTTCGGAACTTTGGATATCGTATACTGATCTATTGATCTAAAAAAATCCCCACCATCGGGTGTACTTCGCTTAGCACCTTCGAAAGGGGAGACGCCCTTTTGTCATTGTGTACTGCACTTTTCAGTGACGCTAGAATCGACAAGCTGTCAACATAGTAATGATTGGAGATTATCTATCTCAACTTATCGGTCAACATTTATTTGCTTTGTAGTTTTTTTTCACATGTATTGCCCACCTCTTCCAACTAGACATAAATTATACACCGCAGCCTCCGTCATTATATCAATATGGACAGCTTTCAATCGTGTGACATCAACTTAATTCATATAGAAATAACGATCACCAATCGATCGATAACCAATGCATTCCGATTCTGAGTCTTACGACAGTTACTGATTGTTTTGTTTATTTATTTTTATTGGAACGTCGAAATGCTGATGTCCCACGATTTGGACCAAGCCTCGTACGTCCCTCTTAGTAGCTGAAATAGCTCGGATACCTCGTCCATAGCTCTTCCGGTTACATGAAGTCAGCACTGCTGGTCATTGCACTCGAATGAGGAGGGGACGACTCGGGGAAGGTAGCACCCAGCCCCGCAATGTGTGGTTGCATACTATAGAAAACCACCTTAGTACAGCACTGGCTGTTGAAGGTCCCCCAAAAACATGTTAGGCCTCCTGTCACCCGATGTATAAATCTTATGGGTAAAGGATGGACTTTGACTTTTGCGCCTCCTTTCTGCCTCCTTATGATTCAACTCTAGTAACCTTTACTCCGTTAGAGTCCACAGTCATTTCATCAGTCATATTAATCACCTTCTCTATGCTTTTCCACCGATGTAATTTGATTTCTGACCTCAAATTGGAAAACAAGCAGATCAGCTCTTTGCCATTCTATACTCATCATTCAAACAATTCTTGGGGCTCTGTTAATGCGAGTTAAGCCCGAGCTACTATTCAATGATGAAGATATCTCAACAATTCAGCTGATGAAGAATTCGCTGAAATAGAAGCTTGCAAACTTAATATCCATATGTTTCCAAAGAATTTGAGAGCATGTCCTATTGGAAAAACTTAGACACACTGCGATAGCCGGGATCATAGGAAGTTGTAAGCTTTCGATCAGGGAGGTTGAAAATGAACCTATAAAATGACAAACTCTCTCCTGACGACGTCGACTTGTCATGGCTGATTGTCACAAACCTTTGCACTCCGATTCGAGATGCAGAATCACAGCAGTTCGGAGTAACCTCATGGCAATAGTCTGTTCGTTCTCTTTCCCTTATGTTTTGCACATTTGGACATGCAGAAAAGCATGAAACAGCAAACAAACCTTACATCTTCATTCCTAGCCAAGTGAATTACAAAAGACTTTCAAGGTGAAAACCCACTTAGACCCTTCATATGGATTTTTGAATGAAGTAGAATGTTGGAGCCACTTTCAAAATTATTGCCCGTGCCTTGATTTGTATGAAAATTGACCTTATTTTGGCGATGCTCCTGCTGATGAATGAGGAGGGGTCATGATGTTGCTCGCTTAGTACACTAAAAGAACTTACTGCCGGGAATGAAGATGACATAACCGAGATAACCGATAAGATACCCCATAAGCTCCTTCTTATCGACACTTTTTCATCATCAGCACTTCGCCCCCACAACCTTACACATTAACCATAATAATAGATAATCTTTTTTTTAAACAGTGTCGATTCCGTAGTTTAATCATTATGGATCCATCATCAATTCCGTCACCACCAAAACTGCAGGTGGCGCATGTGCTCGCTGATCTTAACACCCTCAAACAAGCAGTTCGTCATCTCCACAACTCCATCTCTCTGTCCATGTCTACTCCTATGCCCCTCCACCCGCGCACTTAAGACGTTACAATATTCTGTGGCTTTGGAGATATTTACCCGCATTTCCGCCTACAATACCAATTATTTCCCTGATTTTACGTGCTAACCAGTCTTTCGTGTAGCCTCCTAAAGCCACCCTCTCCTTCCTACGCACCCTCTCCACCATTTCAGCCGACATACACGAAAGGAAAACATCGATCCATTCACAGCCAGTGCCGACATTTGATCGCCTCGGCCGCCGTATACCTTCCACCCCCCATGTTATCCAGCCGCCCTCCGCGTTCCAATCCCCATCTCCTCCGCTTAGGAAACGCTCATCTATGGAATCAATTGATCTTCCAGAAACCGAGGAAGCAAAGGCAGAGAGTCGAGAACGACGTCTTGAGAGGACAAGTAGCGGGGTATGTTATAGAATTTATACTGTTAACTCAAAGCGATAGCTAATGAGTTATATCCCAGAAAGATGAGGAGTCCATGCGGGCGAAGACATTACTGGCGTATTACAATAATCGAGACAAGCTACAGGAGAAGGGTGAAAAGGGATTAGCATTATCACAGGAAAGGGTTAATAAGGCGTTAAACGAACAGGCAGAAAAGAGACACCAGGTGAGGAAAAGAGCTTCTGTTGGAAGACTTGGAGTACCGGATACGGCTAGTTACTTTTAACACATAAATTTGAACATTCAAATACAATGAATGAAAATTCTCAATGCTGTTCATAAGAAGTCCACTTGATATTCGAATATCAATGGATACCACCTGAACATTTAAAACCCTACTTACTCATGAAGCATATCTACAGTTACATCTACAAAGCTCCGGATCTCGGTGCCGATAAGAGCTTCCGGAAGCTCGTCCACGAACGACAGAGTGGGGTCTCCAGGGTAGCATAAGACCTCCCACTCTCCCACATGAATTGCTTGCTCTGATGTCCTTTGACACTGTACATAGAAAGTTTGAGAATTGCTTTTTTTTGTATACACTTTTCCAATATGTCGCTAATCTTCCGTCGTGGCCTTGCCACCGTATCTCCTTTCAAAAGTGCTTCAAAAGTTGTATGTATCGGGAGGAACTACGCGTATGTCTCCCCTCCCCCCACTTCTCTTCGAGATGAGTTCATCAATTGAGGAGCTGCAAAGTAAGTAGAGTGACTGATCTCAATTGAAACAGAGACCATATCACAGAGTTGAATAATAGCAAGCCCAAACAGCCATTCTTCTTCCTCAAACCACCTTCCTCAATCCTTCCTCCAAATGGTGGAGCTGTCATCCGACCAAAGGGCGTAGATCTACATTATGAAGTAGAATTGGCCCTGATCATGGGGAAGCAGGTCAAGAATCTCGAGCCAGAAAACGAGAAGGAGGCTTATGATTCTATCGAAAGTGGGTGTTTTCGACTAATCGACTCAATCTTATTTCTAATCTTTGAATTATATAGGTTACGCAATGAGTATTGATATGACTGCTCGTAACGCTCAAAACGAGGCAAAGAAGAAGGGTCTTCCCTGGGATATTGCGAAGGGATTTGATACCTTTCTCCCAATGAGCAACATCATCTCCAAGTCTCAAATTCCGGATCCTCATAATGCCACCGTGTGGCTTACAGTCAACAATGAGCACCGACAAAAGGACTCTACAGAATTGATGCTCTACCGAATTCCTAGAATATTGAGCGATATCTCCAAGGTTATGACTCTTGAAAAGGGTGACATTGTCTTAACTGGTACACCAAAGGGAGTTGGGTCCGTGAAACCTGGAGATGTTATGAGAGTCGGCATCAGTGTTGGAGGTAAGGAGTTGGTGGAAGGAAAGATCGAAGTTGCAGTTGAGGAATCGACGAGTACATATGAATTCAAGGAGACTTGAACACGTTACGTTTATACTATTATCAGGATACCCGAAGATAGGCATAATGAGTTAAGTTTAGACTTCATTCAATAAACTGCATTCGTTCAATCATTATTTCTTTTCTTGTCAATCAAGAAAGATTTGGATCCTGGATAGACCCAGGCGGTGGTGCAGATTCCGCAACAGTCCCGCAATTCTTACATTTCCTTCTCTCTTCACTATCTTTGAAGCTATTCACAGCTTCCTTTATCTGCGTGCCTAAATCCGTGCAATGGAAAGCGGCTTCCTCCACCACTTCATGGCAACTGGTACAATACCATCTTAACCGATCTAACGATTCCTTCGGTCTCGGTTGCTCCAGGACAATGCCCACTGTATTTGCGAATCTGACGGGGTTATGCGGAGTATTTGGTGGCAGTAGGAACATCTCTCCTTCCCCGATGATTATGTCTTTGAATTCGCCTTCATCCACCACTTTCAACATCATAGCTCCCTTGTATTGGTAAAACCATTCTGCAGTTTCGTTGATGTGATAATCAGTTCGTGCATTTGGACCTCCTACAATCTGCGAAGCTTAGAAATGTTTTGCGACGATGATGAGAGAAGAGTTTCTTACCATAACAGTCACATCTTTGTTGTAAACGCAGTAATTATTAATCGGAGGCTTCAAGAGATGAGAGTTCTCTTCGAGCCTATTAGAACCGTTAAGATAGATCTCTTTGGCAATTCCAATGATAGCTTGCTTACCACTTGGGCAGGTTTAGAGGAGCTGTGAGCATTTTGTAAAGATTGTTTGGTTGTAGTTCTTCTCAAATCAGAAACTCATCGAGTTGAACATCTCGCAATTGCCCCTCCGGTTGTGGCATAATAAAGGCGGTGTACATGGCTTATCTAATTAATGCCTTACTTGGCTTTGGTTTGCGCGCATTTGAGAAGGTAAAATAGGGGACCACTCAACTTCGTATCATTCGGTAATTGGTGCAATTAATACCTAGATAGTCACGTCAGCCCTTCAGGAAAAGAGTGATATATGGTATCTTAATATTTATCTCAACTTATCATCCTACTTTCATTCCAACCTTACGGACCCTCCTAAAGCTTACCATCTATTTCACCGGCAACAATCTTGAAACATCAAACTACAATAATCCAAACTCATAATGGATCATTCACATATGGATCACAGCCTGCACGGTATGGGGATGGATATGGGAGGAGATAGCTGTAATATGAACGTTCGTCTCCAATGTACTTCACTCTCTCAATTCCTCAATCATTAACATCCAATTGCAGATGCTCTTTACTTGGGACACAACCAACCTTTGCATCATCTTCCGGTGGTGGCACATTCGTTCTACCTTCTCCCTTCTCATATCCCTCCTTGGCGTTGTTGCCATTACCGCCGGCTACGAAGGCATTCGCTCTCTAGTTCGTCGCTATGAAACATGGGTGGAGAAACAACAAGCATCTATAACACGTAAGTTTTCTTACTTTCACACATCATCCCTTTGCGCTTCTTCTCTCGACTTTCATACCTGGACAGTGGAATGAAAAGCTGAGATTGTTTACACGAATTAAGTGGATGATGTTACTGAAAATACGCCTTTTCTCTGGGCAGGACGCAATCAAGAGGAAGTGGGTCAAAGAGCACATATTATTAAGGCTGCGCTATATGCCTTCCAGTATTTTTATGCGTTTATGTTGATGTAAGCCTCTATCTTTATCCTTTCCGCATATGCATACTAATGATGCTATAGGTTGCTTTTCATGACATATAATGGATGGGTTATGATTTCCGTAGGAGTAGGTGCATTTGTGGGTTTCTTGATATTCGGAAAGAACCTTTCAGCTTCGAAGGAAACGGCATGTCATTAAGGTACAGTCGTGGATTTCGGGAGCGGGCTGATTAACGGAAGATGAGATTTTTGCCGTTTAGAAATGAAAGGTGTAGCGCCATGGGTGCTAACAACATGTGTTTCTGAAAGGAAGAAGTTCAATATCTCGAGGAACACGGAACGATGTCGAAATCTTGACTTCAGCGAGATTGATACGGGTTTTGGGGATATACCCAGTTCTGGTTGAAATATATTCGTATATAGAGAGTGGTACTACACTTCTTGCATACTCCGATCTATTTTTCACAGCGAAATACCCAGTTCCCAAAAATCTAACTCTAGTTAACTGATTACTGGCATGCATGTTCGTATAAATCTTTGGTGCTTCACTGTATGTTTCTCTGTGTATCATACAAAGTTCTTTCGACCGCAAAAGGACTAGGTATGTGAGGGCATCAGCAAGCTTGAATTTATGAATAGCCGATTACCTAGTCTGAAGCTCTCCTTACTTGTTGGCTCTAATTTTCCTATTACTTATATTTCGAAAAAGAGTCTAGTTACTCCCAGCAACCCAACCCAACAATCCCCAAAACGAAGCAACCTATCGCTTACACCACACTCTTTCCCTCCCCTTTCCCCAAAAAACGGATTTCCATCCTCATCCTCATCCCCAGAAATCACCCCCCAACCATCAAAAAGAAGAACCACAAATCTATCTTAACCCCAAAAACTTCAAAAAAATATAGCCGGTGTCAACTGGAAATTGTTACTCCAGGTGGGTGTCGAACCCACGACTTTCGCATAACTACATATTGATCCCTATGAAGAGAATAATATAAGAACGACACGCTAACCACTCTGTGAAGATATCTTAATTAGCCATGAGGAACCTTCATTTTTGGAATGAGGGCAGTAACTTACGCGTCACTGGAGTTTGGCATGTTTGTTTGACCAAGAGTGTAGTTTTGTTTATATGATGGAGGTTCGTGCTTAGTGGGGGTTTTTGGCAGGGATGTGGGGTAGCGTGAGCGGGGATTGGTGGGCCGAGGGGTTTATTGTGGGGTTGTGGTTGTGGAAGGATGTTGGGGTGGGGGTGGGAAATGGGTTGTATTGTCTACGGGGTTATTGATTTTATAATTCCTGTTGTAATTAATCTCACTCTACCGTACATATACGCAATAACACGATGATACCCACGAATACTAACTCACTGCGCAATTTTCAGTCCTGACCTCGCTGCAATAGTATATCTTCATGTCTGCCATGTCGCCGGCCGGCCTCCAACTCTACGGTGGTAGCGTGTACCGAAGCGTGTCAAAGATCCAGACAATTACACAAACCCAAAAATCCCAATTAATGACCCATGGAAAGGTCCTTCAGTTGAACTAATGTTTTCTAAAACAATCGCGTTTCCTGTCTCTCCATTTACTGAGTAACTCTGTGCTAAAGATAGCCTCAACTGTGTCAAGCTCATACGTTCAACTACATCTCTGTCACTGTTAAATCTCAGAGAGGAAAGTTCATCTAATATGAGTTCGCAAAAAATATTTCAGACATATCATCTCAAATTCTAGAACTTTTCACATTTCATCATTAGAGGCTTTTGATTGAGGTTCTCAACTTCCTTGTATTAGGGTGTATGATAGTATCCATTCTAACAAGCCATTCCGTCTGCAATCGTTACCAAGCTCAATTTCAATCCTCAAAAATACCAAAGCATTCAAATTTAGCACTCCAAGTCATCACAACAATCGTTTTCTGTTACAGGATTAGGCGTAAGTCGTTCAAGTTGGGGAAGCGGAGCGGACGGCGAGAGAGGTCCTTCCATCTTATTGAATTTAGCTCTCATCGCAAAGACATCTTTGTCATCACTTGGAAAGGGGCTCTACTTCACCAAGGCCTGAGGGAAGTCCACTTGCGATATTTTCAATGGCTATTTTGGTTGGTTTTGAAAGCTCTTTTCCTAGAATCACCACGAGTATCGGTGTCCTCAGACAACGATATCTGCCTTTTCTTATGCCCGATCGAACCTTCTTAATGGTTTTGTGTGTGCGCTTTGCGTCCTTATTTTCCTTTACTATTGGGTCGACAGGTAACTCTCCAACTGGAGAATCAACACCAACGTCTGGTACAATGGCGGGAATAGGAGCGGGGCCGTCAGATTGTTCCATACAGTTCCCAACTACTTCTGGAGATGTCAATGCTTCAGGCACTGCCTCGAGAGGTCTCATGAGGGATGATTCCAATGAGGTATCAGCTCTATTCATAGACAATATGTTGTCTATATTTGGAATAATGGTTGGACCATCCAAAACGCTCGTTCTCGGGCTCACTTCAAAGCAAGGGCCCCGGAGATGATCGGGCAATGCACCAAAGTCTTGTATGGTTGTGCCAGGGGAGAATTCAGGCTTATCATCGTACGAACCATCCATATCATGTTTGTCAGCATCCATATCATGTTTGTCAGAAATTGATAAACGTCTTGCTGGTGATGACGGAGCCGTGTTGAATTCTGCGTAAACTTCAGTACGAGATTTTGGTTCGACTGGTGCATCCTCAAAAATGTCATCGTTTTCCTTTTTGATCTGCTTGAACTTGTGCCCTCCTTTATACCCCAGAGTTGTAAAAGGTTTATATGCCTTGAGTTTTGGTCTTTTACCTTGGGTAGTATGTGATCCGGAACCAGCAGAGCCTGGTGAGCGTATTAACATGGCTACAGGTGTTTCGTTGGTTTGAGTAATATCTAGTTGATGACATGTTAGAACAAATAAGAAATTCTCGAAGGAAACGAAAGTACCAAATTCAAATTCTTTTGACGGGATTGAAGTGTCGACCAATATAGGGAAAGCCTCATACCGAGTAAAGGTGGTAACTTCCAACCCTTTACCTTTACCCATGATCTTCATAGTTGGAGTCATTTTCACGAATTTCTGAAGTACCACCTCATCTGACAAGTCGACTAGAGTCGGTGGCACAACACGATCCTTGAGTGATCTAACGAAAGAAGCAGACGAAAGTGGAGAAATCGATGTATTACTTTCAGGACTAGAGCTACCAGAAGGAGAGGCAAAAGGTATAGACGAAGTTTTCGATTCGTCCGGCTGGCTTGTTTCAAGGTTAGACATCGAGCCTAGAGTCATTTTTAGGGACGAGTGGCGCGAAAAGTAGGTAGAGATGGAGTGGGAATGTTGTCATGGATTGGTCTTACTGAAGGAAGATCAATGACGGGCTGTGTGGATATTCCAAGATTAGGGATGGATATTAGAAACGAGTTGACAAAACGAGCGGCTGCCAAAAAACAATGACGATAATTATTACTATGATGTATTTGAATGAGGATACTGGAAAATTTGTGAGGGACAGGCAGTCCGTGGTGGTAGTCCCTACCGCTCCTTCCATTAGATAGCTAACGATGGTTCTTACCTCTCCTGCCAATCTCGAACCGCATGGTAAGAAATCATCCATTAATTCTCCCCACCAGAACAACGAGATAAATCACAAGCAATGTATTACGTAGATTAAACCGTAATTATATATCATAATAGAAAGTAAGACTTACAAGACAATATCAAGATCTCATATCTCATAAGTGATAGTTTTAGATAGTCACCTGCAAACAACTTGAACAAGAAGACCCCCGACAAATCCAACCTCGTTTGAATAAAAGTCATAAAAAATCCCCCTCTTCTACCTAAAAATACTCTTTCACTTTAAGATGAATCTATAACTAGCTGGAAGTTTCCAATATATATACGAGTACAGATCTAGATCCTAGTATCAGATCTCTTTTTACCCTTTTATTTATTTACTTAGATACATACATACATACATACATACATACATACATACATACCACCACACCAAATCCTAAATCTTCCAAGTTCCCACAAGACTACTACGCATTTCAAACCCATACACATTCTATGACCAGCCCTCTTCACCACGAAATACATTAAATTACATTACTTAATTAAAAACTACTCTCTACGCCAAGAATCCTAGAGTACTTGCTACTACGTTGTAAAATTGCGGCATCAACAATAAGGATCAACTTGACATGAATGTTTTTGCATTCCTGTCACCGGTAGTTTAGATGGATTGTGAATGATATTAGAGTTTCTTTAGTGATATTCGCATTTTCAATTCCCTGGCTGGGAAGGTGCGGGTTGAAAACAATTGAACTTCAAACTCAGGTTGTTTCATATTGGCAAAGTTTACAAATTGGCTGGTCATTGCAGTGGATGGATAGTAAGGATAGAGAGGATGGTGGATTTTATATTTTCAACTCAGAATGTGGAATAGTGTAATGTGATTGGATTTCATAATACTTCATATACCCCAAGGCGAATATGCCTGTGTGGGATATTTGCTTTTCCTCGTCCAGGAGGATCTAGCGTCATATATGTATCTCTTCCTTAACGAAAGCCATCGCCATATCCATTAACACAGACAGTCCTCGCCCCGCGCCGTGGTTTAGCTTAATTCGCTTCCTCTTCATACGCCCCAATAAATCATAGGGTAGAACGTGCTGTCCAATCCTGCCCCCACCCTTCCCCCGGCCCGCATAAATTTGCTTTCCCGTTACGTTAGTGAGCCTCGGAACGTTTTGGCTATTAGAGACCTATTAAAATCAGAGTATAAGCCGCAAAAGAATCAAATAGTCTGGGAGCTGACTATTCATTCAATCTAGCCTTACCCCGCCAACCCTTTTAGCAAGACGCTCTGCAGGACCATCGCCATCGAATGGCGAATGACGTTTTTGGGGTCGCTCACCAGTCGATTGTAAAATTGCAAGGAAAGTTGCCCATCCCGATGTTGCTATCAATTGATATCCATCTGCTAAATCGTGCTGTGTAGCCACGCGACAGAGAAGTGCCATCTCTTCCTACAAAATACAATATCAACATCTCGTTCATGAACGTGGAAAAGGGAAATGTAAGTACGTACTTTGCTTAGAATTCCCATACTATAAATGAAGCAGAGGAGATGGAAGTCCGATACTGCGAGGACACCATCGCTAGATTGGGTCAGCTGACCGTTTTTATCAAGTCCCAATTGCTTGCCAACGTCCTTGATATCTTGTTCCTGGCCAATGACTAAACGATTCTCGATAGTGAAAGAGCTCTTAGCCATGAATGCTGGTCTGGGATCGCTAGGAAACCCGTGAGTTAATGTGACGAGTAAATATTCAACTGGAAAAGATGGTTTAGCATTTTCTTGAACACTTCTACCATATTCGTTAATCTTTCGGTAGAACACTTCGGGGATGTATCGCGCGCTCGTATCAGAATCATCATCTCCTTCGCTACGAACGATCATCACAGCAGGATCAGCCGAGGGCTCGACAATATCTGCTCGAACCATTTCTACGGCTGAATTTGAGACCTGATATGCAGATATGGCAATTCCTCCGGTCTCATCGGCTGTTACTACACAGGTAACGAAATTCGAACCAAATTTGCCGGTATCACTCCACTTCGTAGGCTTGGGATGCTTTGCTTGTAAACGTGCAGCAAATGCAATTTCCAGCGAGGATAAATAGTATGAATCAATATGTCGTTTGCATATGACAGTCCCGTCTCCTGCACCCGAGTCGAGTAGATCAGTCCAGATGACGCCAACTCTTTCCATGCCGCACAATCTTGCCATCTCATCGATGTCTTTCTCGGACTCCCATTCGTTCAATGTGATTCCATCAACCTCGTCCACTTGTGGCGGTTCGTAGATGGCTTCCACAACAGCCTTCACTCCTAACGGCACCTCTGTGTACTCCTCGTAGCGACCGTATAGATATCCAAAACGTTGTGCGCCTGTAGACCTCCAAAACACAAGTAAATTCTCAACAAGGCTTGCTTGCGCGAATTCAACATGATCTACCATTCGGAATTCCTGCGGTTGTAGAGTTATGGCGCTAGGTTGGCATTTCGTACAAATACCCTCAGGCCACTGAGGGTGTCCTGATGGACAGCTCTTCTTCACACGATAATATGGCTCGGACAATGGAGGCATAAAAGAGCTTCCTAACTCTGGTTTGTTGGTAGCCGAGTTGATCTTTCGCAGATATGAGTGGAATGACAGGTTCTTGATTTTTTTGTCGGCCAAGTATTGCGCATTGAAAGGCTCCAACGGCATACAATAATCGCACATTCCCTTCTCACCATGGCGACACATCTTTGTATCCCTCTTCCTGGGAATTTTTCCATCTTTCTTGTCTAACCTGTTATCGAGGTCCGATTGTTGAGCTACTTCCCAAGGGTTCTTGATCTTTTCGGACGGCGACGTCACTGCTTGAGCTGGAACATTGACAGGTATTGATTCTGGCAGAACGGCACTTCCATTTAAACGATTTGTTGAGGAGGTAAGATGGGATGAATGGGGAGTCGAGATGGAAGTAGTAGAATTACCATTGGAAAGATTATCCAATAGCTTATAATTAAGGAAGACCATATCACCATTCCTCCGATTTATCAGCACGAGAAATTATAGGTTTATATTTCCTAACTTACTTAAGACCAATCTGCGATACTTTGGTTCCCGCAATCTCCATAAGTAGTTTGACCTCCCCACCACTGGGCGCATTTGAAAGTGTTAGAGTCCTTGGGTCAAGGTTCTCTGGAAGGAGCTTTAAAAGCTACGGCACATCAGTAGAAGTCCATATAGATGTATGCAACTCATTATAGACCAACCTTATCACCAAGTTGACCAAAAGTTTCATTTGCTTCAACAGCAATGCGGACGGTTCCCTCAGGACCACGAAATCTTAGAAGCATCTTAACTGCTTCCTAGGTCGCTCTTTATGTAAAGTCAAATGTATGAAGTAGATTAGACAGTTGAAGTGTAGGTAAAAATGTTAAAGAACAAAGCCAAAGTTAAGTATTGTAGGAAGAATCGAAATCTTTGATATCCTTATTAATTTTGTGTTTCTGGTGGGTTGGATGAATTGTTGAATGTGGAATGGAAGCTCTAGCTCAAGTATGTCCTCCCACTACAGTCAGTACCGGTGCAGCACCAAAAGACATAACGTCAGAATTTGGTGGCCTAGCAAAGTCTGGGTAGAACTAAAAGGAACTGCCATGCCCAAAGCATTTACCGCCTTTGTAATAAAATGCGAACGCTAGAGGTACAAGGATAATAAAATGTGCGGGATTACCTAGATTGGTTTAGATCAGTTTATCAAAAACGTAACTTAAGGTTATTTGTCCTGAAGTGGCAGAATAAGATGGAATGAAGATAAAGGACACACAACACATAAGAGGAAATACCTACATCTAGGATTTTCAAGCAATTCACCCCTTCAGTGGAATATTTTAATTACCCACAATACGATTTCTAGGCCTGGGACTCTTTCTCTGAGCTGTCAATTATTTCAGATTTCTCTGGATACACAGAGATTTGCTGCGCACTCGATACAGCAAGTAACAATGTTCGAGAACTTCGATTATGCGACCACTCTTCGTGGTTTAATCCTTCCTCTTGCATATGTAGTTGTCCTTATTGGATCTTTAGGAACCTTTTCTTCATTATACAGAAAGCGGATAGCAGGTTAGTAGATCTTTATCCTCAAATGTGCGCACAACTAATGGGGGCATCTAGCCAAATCTGCGACTCTTGCGCCTTGGTTCCCCCCACATCTACAAAGAAACATTTACTTTTCACTAGCTCATCTCGAGCCAGAAGAAGGGGACGAGAAAGCGCCAAAGGTACCCGGAGAGCTCATACGAGCGGCTTTATTGAGAAGGGCCGTCGAAGATATCCACCGGATTATCCAACTCAGAACAGCAAAGCAAGCATGTAGCACCTTATTACAGAGAGGGAGCGTAGGCGACGATTTATGGCAAAGATTTCTGAGAGCGGAGAAAGAAATGGAGGAAGAGCTTAGAGATGTGGTCATGGAGGTGGGTCAAAACATTTTCTAACTGACTGAGAGGTTGAATTTAACTAATCATAAATAGGCAAATGGGTTGGCACCAAATTGGGGACAAACGATTTTTCAGTCTGCAAATGAAATAGCCACAAATACCCTGTTTAGAAAAAACATTGATGATATTCAGGCCAGGACCCAATCTGAGAAAGAGTGGTGGGAGAAACGTCGAGCCTCAATTCAGTCAGAATTCATGAAAGAGTTAGATGAAGAAGCTAAGGCATCCAAAGTTACCTCACCAACCAAGTCCACCAGCATCATGAGCGACGAGGATGCTATTCTAGTTCAAGGAGGTGGGCCTGCAGCTAGTGAACAAGGAAGCCCCAGCAGGAAGAAAGGCAAGAAATAAGTGGATTTCCTAGGCCGTCAGGCAATGTATAAGATCATGAGTTTTGCACAAATGAGGCATAGGCGTTATGGTGTCGTGTTTTAACTGTTGTAAGATATTGGCATGGTATTGCATATATCCTCTATGAGGCCTCTATGAGAGACGTATGAAGAGTCGTAGGACCAGTCCCTGGTATGGCTAGAAATAATATAAATATGACTTCTAGAGGAGGACAAGCAGACCTTTTCATTATCTTGCTATTTGCCTCTAAGCATTATCATTTCCTTCCTATAACATGGAGATATGGCATATATCTACTTTAACATTTATAGATTCTCTGGGTGGAAATGTTCGAAATTGGGCCTAGTTGTCCTGGTTGATGCTATTTTAGGCTGGTGTGAAGAAAGATGCTTTGAGACCACTGATAAAAAAAAGTCTTGTCAGAACCTCCCACAAGGAACCACACAAAGGTTCTTTCATCCAAGTCATCAAACCAGATTTCAACGCACAATTAGTTCAAAGGCATGATTCCCTAAAAAGACAAAATCGATCTCAAATACAAAGAAGTATTCTGACACAATGAAGTCTCATGAATGAGACAAAAACTATAAGAACCTTCTAAACCCTGTTTTCCATCCAGGTCTCTATTGGTATCTAGTATCTACGCTATTTCTTATATTTCATATTCTCGTACTTTGATTTTCATCCTAGACTTTTATCTTTACGCTGCTGGCAGCTTTGCGAATAATCTTGCACATCCTTTTGCCAATACATTCATAGCATTATTTTCTTTCCTTCATCTGATTCATTTCGTAAAAATCTTGATATGCATCACAGTTTCTGCTCCACTGCAAAACGATCACACGAATTACGAATTTCTGGGAACCACTGATCCTGCGCGGTGTTCAGATCAAAGCGCAACAAACCTCATCTCATCTCATCACAAATCACGAGCGACGAGGGGAGAAGAAAAAACACAACAGACACAATCATGTCGACCATGAACCGCATCAGCAAAGCCAACCCTGCGCTCGCCGCCAAAATCACACAGATGGCCTTACCCCTCGCGCCACTCGTTCGCCTCACAACCGGTAAAATTCATCCATCGTTCCCAAAGCAACTTCTCAATTTCTGGCTTCTTACGTCCGAGGAACTAGACGAGCTAGCTCATTTTTATCATCAGCGCACCCCGTGTGAATGGACTTCCTCTTATCCATGTCCGGTAAAATGGGACGTGAATGCGGGTTTGGAGGTTAAGAGGATGAGGTTGGGAAGGTTTATTGGGTTGAAGGGCTGTGAGAGTCCAGTGGAGACGGTCGAGGAGATTGAGAGCAGAGTTCGGTCGGAAAGGGCGAAGAGGGCGGAAGAGGAGACATGGAGGAATAAGAACAAGTGGTATTAGGTCCGAGAGTTGTTTGAAAGCTAAATACGTCTCTATGGATGCTTTGAGCGTTCGCATTTGAGGACTAACATAACTATATTTTACATGCATCATCTATTCTTTCTCTTGTCCTGACGTCTATTTGCCCCCAAATATTACAATCCTTTCCATGCCAATTTCGTCAAGTGATCTGTTTTCTTTCTACTCTGCTTGATCATACCCAACAATTTCAAATCCGCAAGTCCTCTATAAAATAACATCAAAGCCTGTCTCTCACTATCATCTCCTTCGTCATATTCCGGTCCCAAATTAGCAACAAAAGCCGTCCAAAGATCGAAAATATTGATCAAATTTCCTGCTTCTAGAAAAAGTTTATATAAAATTGCGGTGGGTGGATGAGACATCATCGCTCCTTCTTTCGTAGGATCGCAACATGCACAAGAAAGATACTCATGAGGCGAGGAGAGGGCGCGCTCGATCGCGAAGCGGGGTTTGGGTGTAAATGCATCTTGATAGGGGCATTTTAGATCGTAGAGCCAAATCTCCGACATAAATTGATCCTGCAGTTTGTCCACATCCACAAACTTTTGTACAGTCTGAATTAACCTGTCAACAAGAGCCGTGTATTCTTTGTCTTGCTTCGCAAGTGCTGATCTTTCGTGGTTGATTTTGACGTTGTGAGAAATAACTGTGGTACGTAGTGATTTGTTGTAACTGCCGCGGATAGATTTTCCTGCCTCTGAGTCTGCGAGTGATGAAGCATCTTCCCAGATACCCACAATTTCTGCATAGAATTCTGGTTCCATATCCGACCATTGTTCAAGGTTGAGCTCGGTGCTTCCATTTTCTATGGCGTCTTTGAGCGAAGTTACAAATCCTAGAAAATCATTGAGATTGGCACGTTTGATCGAATCTACGATTGATCGTAAATTGTTCGAGCTCTTCAAAGAACCAGCCGATGCTTTCATATAAAGATTGATTTTTCCTGGTCCTTCGGCTGCTAAGGTGACTAGAACATGCATGAGTCGGAGAACTTTTTGCACAGCATGATCTTTGCCTTGGATTAAAGTTTGGGCCTCTTGGAGAAGGCGTTCATCATCTGTAATCAGACTCACGGAACGCTCTAAATTACCTTTCTCTACAAGATGTTCAATATAATTTTGGAATGATGGTAGCAACCTGATAGCTTCAAAATGCTCTGCTTGCAAAAGCGCAGCTAAATTAGAGTTGTCCTTGAGGCTTAGAAATATACTCAAAGGGTTGGCATAAAAATGACACATATATGCATACTAACAAAGTCAGGGCTGACTTGTACATAAATTAAGAAGAAAGATTACCTTTAATGCTCCGACGAATGCTTGTACACTCTGCACGTGATCATTTTGCCGTTCCATGAGACTCGATAAAATGCCTGGTCCCAGCCTTATTGGGGCATCCGAGGCAGCGATGACCTTCAGAAATATGGTTTCAAGGATGGAGCTTGTTTGTTCCACATCGAATTGTGCTCCATGCAAAGATCGAGTAGCGACACGAGAAAGTCGTTCTTGGAACAAGTCGACGGATGTAGCAATTCCAAATAATAGAACGAATGGGATGCGGTCTAGCCAGGAGCTGAGGGCCCAAAGTGTTAAGGATGATCAGGGAAGAGTATAAATGTATTGGCTTACCCAAATAAGGTTATTACGTCTCCAAGTAAAGCAGAGTCAAAGGCTTCACTATCCTGGAACGATACCACCACTCTACCAAACCCGTGGGCATTAACATAACCATGAACCGTCTCTAAATCGTAGTTTAAAAATTTGCGGCCCTGAACGGTCAGCAAAAATCGATTGAACGGAGTTGTAGCAAACTTAGTCTCACATCTTGCTTGAGGAAATTATCACTCTCGTCTTCGTCACTTGACTTTTGACTGGTAACATCTCTGATAAGCTTTTTAAGTAGTGCCTTCAAATTTGATGATTCACCAGATCTGAGGGTGACGACGGGGCCATTGACTTCATTGGAAAGTCTTGTTGAAAGTTGTTCGAAGAGCAAGCCTTGAGATGCAATATTTGGTCCAGTCACAATAAATCCGGCTGGGACTTTGTCTGTGCTCCTTTGAATATCTATCAGACTCCATGTAGCTAAGGTTAATTGTACTGAATTATACATACTTCTCATTCTTTACAAAAGATGTGACCTCTACTAAAGTGTCCTCATTTGCTTCATTCAGAATTAACTATTACAATATTAGATGTTTATGATGTCGGTGTTTTATAAATTGTAATTAATACCTTGATTTTTGTTTCAGTCTCTATCCAATACTTATTGAACAGGCTTAAACGTAGACTAGAAAGTTCGGGAGACTCCTTCTCGTTCAGCAGTGGTGCTAATGTGAAAGAATCTGTATCTTCATCAAGTTGTAAGACTTTTTTTGGCGTCTTTCCTACTTTCCTACGCTTCTTAGGGCGCTGATGTAGGTCCTCTGAGGGTGCAGAAGTAGGAGTAAATACATAGGCCGTCTATTAGAATTTAGTCCAGTACGCAGCAGAAAAAGAGCAGAAAATGGAATAGAACTTACCCGATGCTCTGCTCCATCAAATCCAACAAGACTATTGGTGTCTCCGTTTATAGACATTTTTTCATGTCGATTAAAAACGAAAAGGAGAAGGGGCACGCGTGAGGTTTTGACGTGTTCGTGATCTGCTGTCACGAACGGGAAGCGAAGTCATGCTGCGCAACGCAAATGGCTTATCCAAAGAAAAAGTTTCCCGCTCCCCAATTTTTTTATTGAGCCATCAACATCAATACTTATGCCGCCGCCACCCACCAATTTTACTTCTAGTATTCGTGGTTTCGTATGCAAGTCATGTCGAATAAAACTACAGATTCCACCACGAGCACCATGGCTTTCACGAAATTTCACGGCACAAAAACCCCTGCTGAGGTTGAAAGATAGAGGGGAAAAGGTACCACCGCTTGCCTCAAAGGCAGAAGTGCAACAACCCGAGCAGACTGAGGAGCCCTTCTATAAATATTACGACGAGACTCCGGATGGTGTGCGAACAGAGGCACAGCCTGATCTTGAAGAAGAAGAGTTGTTGGAAGGTCTTCAAGAGGCGGTTCGAGAGATAAAAGATGATATTGGGGAAATATCAGCGGAGGAACTCGAGGAGGTAGACGAAGATGAAGAACCAAGCCTTCACATGGAGGAATGGGAAGATGCAATGGATGCAAAAATAGAACGTTTAGAGGCTGAAGTAAATAGATTGGAGAGCATTACCAATAAGCCCGGTCCCATGTCTGAAGACGACCGGCAGAGGATACGAGAGTACTTCTTAAAGTCTGTCGAGGAAGGCAAGTTTTTGTATACTGCCTCATAGTACGTCTGCTAACTATCGTAGATGAAGCTGAAACTTCCACAGAACTACCTCCACCTCCGACTTCTTCCACAGCAGAACAATTTCTCAAGCCACAACCAAAGCCGGATTCCATCACCATACCACAATCAAATTTAAGATCTCTTTTAATACCGGAAAAGCCATACCCTGAATCAGCCCGACCCCATATCAAACTTTTGAACAATGTATTGAGGAAAATTGATAATGACTATGGTCGTAGTGATTTTCGAATGGATGAAAGGCTCATGTATAACTTATGGAAATACTATGTTTTATGCCGAAGGACTCTATTGTCATGCCCTGAACCAATTCCTGCAGCAGCTTGGGAACTTCTTTGGGGTTATGTTTCGTTACAAGATCCGACAAATCTGGATCGCATGGCGCATGTGAAGCGGCTAGGGTCAGATATGCAGAAAGCGGGATTACATCTAGGAGGGTCTACATTGTTGTTATACATCGAAGCTGTCTTTGTAGAAGGGGACCCGAGGACCGCAATTGAACTATGGAGAGCTGCAGCGCAGGGCTTTTTTGGACAGCAAGAAAACAACAACCTCTGGGATCAGTATTTGGAGCTTGGAACTCGGATGTTTGCTGAGAACGGCGACATTGACGAAGCCCGGAAGGCAGCATCTATAGTCATTCAGAGATCAAGTGATCCCATCAGCGCTCGCATACTTATTCACACAATACAAGGTTGTTTGGCTTCAACAATTGCAAACCGCACTGCTAAAGCTTGGGATATCTACCTTGAATTCCGAAAACACATGGGACCGCTCATGGAGATGGAGGACTACGACGTTATCACCGGACTTTTCATGCGGGCTGGCAAGCACAGTGAAGCATTAGCAGTCTTCAAAGACATGATGCTTACAAATGTTCCAGCTGCTTTAAAGCATGACTCAATGATAACACGAGATTATAATCAATTTCCATTGATGTTGAATAACAAGTTTTTCTTCGGGAAATGGATCAAAAAGCTCATTGGCAATGGCGATCTTAACGAAGCCAGTAAAGTACTTGACCTAATGCGAAATCATGGAGTCTGCCCGGACGCCAAGTTCACGAACGGGCTTATGGGCGCTTGGTTTCGTTCGGGCACATCAAAAAATAGAAAGCTGGCTGAGGAAATGGGTTGGTCGATGATTGCTGCAAGACTTGATTTTGTCAAAGCGCGAGAGCAAGGGGTCAAGGGATTGTTACTCCCTTTGAGGGCTGTAGAGGGGACAAACAAGCAAGAGTACAAACATGCCAGCTTCAACCTTCACCCTCCTGCTACAATCGAGACATTTTCAATTCTTATGGAAGAATATGTAAAACAACAGAAGCACGAACAGCTTTTGGATCTTTACACAACCTTAAGTAAAGCAAAAATCCCGGCAAATACTAACTTCATGAATACAGTGCTCAAAACTGACGCTAGATTCTCTGTGGACACCAAACAGATTTATTATACCTTTGTCACAGACGGAGTCAAGCCAGACATTACAACGTTTTTACACTTATGGCACAATCTAAAGCAACGGAATATGCAAAGACATAAACGTCATAATTTTTTCGTCCCCAGAGAACTGTTTGCAGAAATGATGACATGGGCCAATAAGTTGAAGGCAGAGTTGGGAAAAGACGGTCTACCGAGGGAGCTTTATAACTTAATCATAATGAACTTCGGCTTGGTAGACGATCAAGCTGGAACTGCAGTTGCTTTGCGTGCCCTGCAAAGGTACTTTGGAATATATCCCACGGATGATACAGCACGCAGCATTATTTTGCAAGTAACATCGGTTGGTGCTATAACCGGGCCTCTGGTAAGGCGGCTCAATATTAATAAGGGTACTAAGGAGAGAGTGCGACAAGTTACGCAAGTTCTAGGATTGCTACAATCGCAAAGGGCTGAGGCTTTGGCGAAGCTGGGAATAAATTATGATGACTTGCAAGGACAAGCAAAATCGGAGGAGGCCTTGAATTTACTATCTGACCTCCTACGTATTGTTACGCTACAGGTCAATAGTGGTCAAGACGGACGTACAGATGTCGTCAAATCATCCAAAAGAGCAGCAAAGGTGATGGGTGTTCCTGATTGCGTTCCTTGGGTTGTATATAACACAACAGATGAGGAATTGTTGGATGTGTAAAATAGATAATTACTATCAACAAATGTAACATAGCATATCGCTGCGATCAACATGCAGGGAGCCAATTGCTTGTTTGCTCCCGAGATGGGCTATACTCACTTCAGCCTGTGAGGAGATACCTATGTGCAGATGACTATATTGGTGCGTGAATAGTTTCAATATTTCTACAGATGCCATACATCAATACTGTAGATTGAATGACAAGGACTGAAAAAGAGAAATCTATTGCCGGGCAATACACATCATCCAAAGTGAATTGATATCTTCACCAGCAGCGAGAGCCAGCCTTCCAGCCATACCTCGGCGACCTTATGATTGGCCAAATCTTTGCTCAGGGCAGTAAACACAGTAGCCTCGAGGCTAAACCATAGCCTGACCTAAAATATCCCTAAACGCCCCTTGCCGTCGCTCCTTAAATACTCTTTCAAAAACCCCGATACAGTTTTTTTCGAGATCCCACCATTCCCCTCTTTTGATATCTGCGATAAATTTTACATTTCGCAAAAATCTAAAAGTTGGTTTTGTCTGTAGATGTGCAACAAAACTTTTTGAAAATTGTGGTAGAAGAAAGCGTGAGAAAGTGTATACGGTTGGGTGTTTTTCTGCGAAGGCAGCACAAACAAATAATACCACTTCATTTATTTCATTAGTCTCATTCATCATGACCGAAGACGAGAGTAAAAACGCAGAATCGTCGAATGGAGCTGCGCAGGAAGAAGATGACGAGGATGATTACATGAACATGATAATAGCGGAGCCCAGCAAACCACGCGAGAAAGAAACATATACGCAACGACGACAGCGCATCCAACGCGAATCAGAAGCGCGATCGCGTACGAAATCCAAAGCTGAAGTCGCAGCGGAAGAAGCAGCGGAAAGGGAAAATGCATTATCGAAATCGATGTTGGAGGCTCCGTCGAGCGCGAATAGTAAGGGCTTGAAGATGATGGCGAAGATGGGGTTTGCCGGGATGGCGCTGGGGCGAAGGATAATGTGGGAAGGTTGGAACCGGTGGTGGTGAGTGGAAAAAGATGGGTTGGAAGGAGAGGAAAGGAGGAGGTGGAGGGAAAAGGAAGAAGGAGGAGGAGAGTGGGGAAGGAAGATGGTGGAAAAAATGAAATTGATGGATGGAAGCAGATTGATCAAGGATTAGTTCGACAACGCGAAGAAAAAGGGATAGGAGGATGAGATATGATCTCCAACAAAGTTTATCACGCCTACCGACCTACGACGACGAAGACGAAGACAAGGATGATAAAAGAGCACTGGGAAAAGACAGGATACAGCATACTATCGTGGAAGATTTGGAGGAGGAAGACCCTGAGCTTGATGCTTTTACTTTACTGGAACCGGCCGAGAGATTACAAAAGCTTGTCGAGCATTTGAGGTCCGAGTATAATTATTGCTTCTTCTGCAAATACACATACCCCGACGATTCAATGGATGGCTGCCCAGGTCTAATGGAGGAAGATCATGATTGAAAATCATCGGTTTGTTTTGATCACTAACTCGAAGTTATGATTTATCGAATGCCTGCATTGTGCATATGACTAAAGAAATGCACGGGTATCAATTGACTCTTATTTGTGCAATCATTCATTTTATGAACCTATTTAACCATTTATGTCTTGTCTAATCTGACAGCTGGATTTCTTTCGATGAACCCTAAATCAACCTTGTGGCCTAATAATTCTCGAATGTTGTTCACCTGGAAGACGAATTATATTAGCTGCTTGCAGTTCATGAGCGTGAGAGGATATCTTACCTTGTATTTAATCATAGTCGGACGCTCCAAGCTCAATCCCCAACCGAAAACTTTCATATCTTTTGGTAAACCCATGGCCTCTAACATCTCCGGTCTGAACATTCCACTGTTTCCAATTTCGACCAGTTTGCCGAGACCTTTGTGATAACTGAAAATTTCCATACTTGGCTCAGTGTAAGGATTGTAAGCTGGCTTGAAGCGTAAATCTTCGAGACCCATTTTGTTGAAGAAGACCTCCATGAATTCCATTAGACCTCCGAGAGACAATCCATAATCTGCGATAACACCCTCAACTTGGTGAAACTCAGCCAGATGCGTAGCGTCCACAGTCTCATTACGGAATACACGATCAATGGAGAAGTATCTTGCTGGGGGTGGTCGTCCATCGGGTCCTTTTTGTTGAGCTAACTTGTGTAACATTGCTGTCGAGGTCGCAGTCGTATGCGTTCTAAGAACTAGGCGTAACGATTCATCCGCAGCCCATGGATATCTATAACCAATTGATCCGTATTTTCCTTCTTGATGAACTTCCTGTACGTTCTTCCACAATGTCTCATAGTCTGCTTTATCCTCCTCAGACACTGCGCGTGGTTTGTCTGCAGTTTTGGGATCCGATATGTAGAAGGTATCTTGTAAATCTCTAGCAGGATGCTGTTGTGGGACAAAAAGAGCATCGAAGTTCCAGAAGCCGGTTTCAACAAAGTTATCCGTAGGCATTTCCTCGAAACCCATTTCGAAGAAGATTTGGCGGAACTCATGTCGTACTTTATTCAGCGGATGTAATGCACCAGAGTTTTGGTCTGCTCCAAGAGATTTGAAGTTATATGGTTTGAAAGCAGCAGTTTTCCAGACACCCCTAAATGTGTAAGCACTTTTTCGTAACCAAAGGCGTCGTCAAAACCCACGATGCAAGCATGTCTGCTGTCAAATCTGTCTCCTCCTTGACCATTTCTAAGGCGAATTTCGGTCCCTTCGAGATCTTATAGCTAGTAACCTTTTGCATCTTAACCAGCTTACGTTTCTTGAGTTCTGTTATGACTTTTGGATCTGGATGCGCACGCGTCTTTTGTATAATCTGAAGCTGTTCTCGAGTTACATCTTGGATAGAATCGATCTGCAACAATTAGGACACGTGCTTCAAAATTGTGTATGTATTTGGGGAACAACTTACGGATGCTACCAGCTTGCCATCTTTACCTTTTGCAATCCATTTCGACTTGAATGCTTTACCCTGTCCTACTTTGACCACATTCTTATCGCCTACAGCAGCTTCTAATTCTGAAACCGTGAGCCCGTCCATTGCCTTTTGTAAAGCCTCGAAAACTCGTGCCTCGTGGCTCCCATTGCTTGCAATTTCTTCAGCTTCGGCTTCCAGTATAACTTCTTCTCGATCTATTGTCTCATATGAAATCATAGACCTTGAACCAAGTCGATCCAAAGCACCTTTGATGTCCGTAGACTTTTGGAGAGGGAATGCTTCCGAGGAAAGGATATTGTCATGTTGAGAGAGTGCCTGAAGAATCTCAGACGGTAGATCGGTGGCCATTTTGAAAATCTACAGGTTTGTTGTTACAATGATAATAAATCTAATAAGAGGTGACTCAATTCCAATAATTTTGAAGTTCAGGTGGGGTGTTGCCTTACAATATTTTAAGGCATCAGGAGGGGTTTTCAGGCTAGGACCCCACTGATGAATCTACCAACATTGAACACACGCCCACCAAAATCGAGTAAATAGATCTATCTACAAAGTACTTATTAGTGAACCTTATAGCATTTCATTATCAGATGGTCCTTCATTTTGATCCATGTTCCGATACTCCTTCAAGCTTTTCAATATCCCCGATAATCCACGTAGGTACTTGAAGTCCACGTCTTAGTTCAAAGTTCTTATTGAATTTGGCAATCAAATACCTAATCGCCTTTCCGACTTTGTGTTCATCCATCCTTCAACAGCCAATTCGGTTATCTGATCTGAATAAATACTTGGATGCGACAGATGTTGATTGCCAGCTATGAGGTTATATCTCTTTTTATCAATAACATCAGCATTATTGTGAAGATATATATACTCGACTAGTCTAGAGCACTTTCTACTAATTTGTCCTTGGCAGGCAGAGTTGGTGTCCGGCTTCTTCTCGGGTCAGGAGGCATGCCACTGATGCCAGACACTCTGGCAAATTTTAAATCTTGTACTATTTTCGTCTCACTTAATACTCTGCTAGTCACGCTAGCATACCGGCACATGGTTGAGGATAAAATGAACATACCCAAGATCGGTGTGGGGGGCTTTATTGTTTCCAAAAATGTTTCTTCATCACAGCATGTCGTATCGGAAAAGAGGATTCAGTGGTATTTATGGCATAGTACGTAGTACGTGACTACAGCACAACCATGTACAAGGATCTCGACCCTCCTAGGATTTCGAAACACCAACAGCTGGAGGGTAAGTTCTCTTGTCCATTTATATATCACGTCTTCTCCCTTAAATGTACTTTTTCTTCACTTGCTATACATTATTATCTCTAGCCCTTTAAAAACACTATTCAACATTGTCTTCACACCGAGCCAAATATCGAGAGGCAGTAGCTTCAAGTGTCACTATAGCCACGAGATCTTTACTGCAAGACCTTGTTGGCAGCTCATATACCATACGCCGGCCCATCTCTCTGCATCAAGATGTGTTTAGGGATGACTTGCTGTACCGATATATCATCACCTTCAGCTGGCTTTCCTACTTCCTTTCTTCTATTCGCAAAGCTACCCGCTGAGCTCCGTCTTCAAATCTGGAACTACGCGATCTTACTCACCTCTCCATATATTGATCTATCCTGGTCATCCAAAAATCGTTTCATTTCTGATCGAAAACCTCCTTCTTTGCTTCATACCTCAAGCGAGTCCCGTGCAATAGCACTTGCTTATTGGACTTTCGCATCTCCCACTTTTTCTCACACCTGTATCAATTATGATCGAGACTTGTTGTGTTTCAACTGGCCATCTATGGGATCCATCCCTGGTCGCCTTGGTGGAAAAATCACGGAAGATGAATGCAGGAAGATAAAAAGGATTCTCATACACGAGCACTACCTGATCCCGCACGTGTTTGATAATCTACGAGAATTCAAGAGATTTGAAGGGTTGGAAGAATTAGCAGTCGCATGCCATCATGATAAAGATAAAATAGTGGACATGAGGAGGTACGGGTATATGTTTGCACAAATGTGTTTCGAAAAGGTAGAAGAAGTTGGACGTGGTTGGCCAACACATTGGCCGAGGCTAGTTTGTCTAGCAGAAGGGACAGGGCAGTGCTCCAAACATTGGTGGTTTGACAGGTGGAATGATAGAGCGGTGTCTAGATCGGATCGAAATTGGCAAGAGAAAATGGCGATGCTTGTAAGGGTAACGGCCAGGAATGATATTGACCCTGAGGTGTTTCATTACAATTCACAGTTTTTACGCCTGGTCATGGGAACGTAGAGAAAAGCATTGCTTTGTCTCATTTGCTGTAGTTGGATTTGGCACGCTGACGTATTGAGTACAAATCCAAAGTCAAAATATGTAGTTTATAGAATCGTCATTTTGCATCGATTGTTAAATTTCAAAATTAGAAGCTAAAGAGTAGATTAATTTATTGTGTATCTCATCTCTCCTCTTTCGAATAGTGAAGGAGGTTTGAAAGATTTAAATCTCAGACAATCCGAGCTGGTATATCCAACATGATGCTTATGTAACCAGAACACAGCAACCCCTGTAACGCGCCTTAGGTAATCATCCTGTCCACCTATTTCGTCCCGCCGCGCAATAAACGGCTTCCAGAAATCCCTCGAACATCGACCAGCGAATTATCAGAGCTGCAAGTCTTACTTGCCCTCTCTTTTTCACACCCAAAAGATGTGAACTTCCAAACCTCCATTTATAAACACCACACATCACCAATGACTCCTGAAAGCAATGAACAATGATTCTACATCAGTATCGGGCCCACCGGCAACCTCCCCTCACGTCAGAAGTGGGAGCTCGAGCCGACGACGTCGTTCCAAGACCCCGGCTCAGAGAAGAGCTTACGAGCAAATGAGAAAGAAATATGAGTTGGCAAGTTCGTTGATGACGAATCTTGACTTTGCGGTTTATTGCCAACTCTGCGTGTTGTATTATATGGAGTATGACATTCACCCCAATCTCTATGATTCCCGAAGCTAACGTTCTCGAAGCTGCTCATTCTTTCAACTATGCATGCGTGCCCTAACTCAATTTGTTATTCTTACGCCAAAGCCGAAGAACGTTAGACAACCTCCCCAAAACTCCTCTCTGGTCATCATGTTACTGGGCACGAATATTCTTTGTATATTTCTACATCTTTTCCTTGCGCCATCAGGATCTAGTGAGGAGATGAGGGGCTATCTACATGGAGGGATAATCATCGACCTTATTGGCCAGAAAGGTCCTTCATCGAGGCTGAAACTGGCAGTTTTCGATTTGCTTGTATTGACGTTACAGTCTATATTATTTACAATACACTTGGATAGAGAGAAGCTTGACAAGTTTCTTACGGTTTATGGGCAAAAGACTACGGAGGCGCAAATTCCCCCTTCTACACAAGATTATGACGCGGAGGAACGAGGGGTACTAAGAGATTCTGTTGCGGGGCTGGGGGACATTGAAATGCAACAGCTGAATTCCGCAGGAGCTGCCTCTCGCCCATATGTCCAAGAATCCATCACTGAAGCGGAGGAGGGAAACGAACGAGAAGGGTTGCTAGCTGAGCCAGTAAATACAGAGTCGGATGATGCACCGTTGGATATTTTTTGGACGGGGACGGCTGTTATAGGAGAGTTTAGTGTTTTAGATACCCTTCGCAATCAGTTGGCAGTTTCAGGGACCGCGTCTGGGTCGTTACGGCCACATGGTTTATCTGCTAATGTCGCCGAGCTTACGGCCAGGAATCCGAGGCTAAATTTCATAGCTCGAAGATTTCAGCGTAACATGTAATAAGACATGAATGCACGAACAAAAGTTCAGCACATAGTGTTAAGAAATGGATACGTAATGTATATATAGCATGTTACTCTACTGATAAGTGTGGAACAGTTAAAGTTGATTTTATTATGCTTATGCTGCCTATTGAACGCCTCTGCCGACATTCCCAACTCCCGTGCCCTTGACGCTTACTATAATATCCTCACTTTCATCCTCTCCTACATCCCGTAAACCCCAACTACTTGCTCCAAACTTTTTCAGATCTCTCCCTAACCCTATTAAATCCTCTGTCGCTATTACCTCTCGCCCTAATCTCAATCTGCCAATATCCTCTGAGCCCATAGCCATCATAGTAAGTACCGTGGGTGCTCCAGCCTTGGTCACACAACCTCCTTGTGATATGATTTCCAACAGCTGATATGCGCACTGCTTTCCAATATCTTCGGGCGCGACACCTCCGGCACTCGGGGATACCACATCCGCCGAATATATTACACCCGCCGAACTAGTTTCCGCAATCAAGGCCAACCCAAATCCTACTCCCGTTCTCTTTTTCGCGCTCGGATTCGTCTTGTCCCTGGCTGATACCAATGGCGCTTGATCATACTGTGTCGCAATATGGATATCTCCTACTAATGGATTCAAGATTCCCCTGGCCTCGTGTATCATCCTCGCATTATGACTATTGCTCACACCGGTCGCATATGCCACTCCCCTTATCCTCCTCACCCTGCCTGGACTTCTATTCAAATGCAGAGTCTTAGGCAGCGCCTTAATTTGACTTCCAAACCTTAATTCTACCACACCTCCACCACCTCTGCCTCCTGGGCCCGGACAACTTCTTTGCAGAACTCTTATTTCCAACTTGCTAGCCATGATGCCGAACGGTTCGTAGAGGGGTAGAATAGCCGTCCTAACACTATCCACCGATATATCGCCCGCTTCCGTCGAACTTGTGATGACACCCTCCCCCTCAAACCTTACATTGACAGCCTTCTTTGCGAAGGGCGCAAGCATACATAAAGGCAGTAAGAAATAACTAACGCCCCGAGTATTATTCGCCGGCAACTGACATTTTATCACCCCATCCACATCTGCACCCAGGCCATCAATCGATCCAGCTATGACACCTGGATTATAGACCAGTGTGGTACCAGTATAGGATATTTGTACCGAGGATCCATTGCTAATGGATTCCAGCAGTCGCAGGAAGGATACTTCGTGAGGAGCAAGACCCGGATTCGTAGGTGAGGAGCTTCGAATCTGGGAGATATGAATTGGGCGACCTGTTAGAGCAGAGAGGACGAGTCGGTGGCTTAGAGACTTATGAGTTGTGAATCGAAGGATTTCTGGAGTAGGGGCGGACATTGTATATTGTGTATGAGATTTTTGGTTAGTTCCGATCGATGAAATTTATTTTTTGCGATAAATAATTCTGCCAGACAGCGCTCTTGATAAGGAGGCGGTGTGGGGGAAACCACAGGCTTTTGAATTCACTCATCCATATAGATTCATTTAGGTCCGAAATGGCTCGAAAATTCTTCAATGTTTATAGCAATTTTCTGTTTCTGCAAACAATCGAAGGACTTTTTGAATGCTTTGGTGACAGTGACAGACAAATGAGATCAAAAATTTACGGTATCAAGCGATCACTCAATTTGCCTTAGGGCGATCAATATCGGGGTTATAGAGAGCACAAGGAGAGGTCAAATTATTGGGGATTTCCATTAATATTTTCATGTCTTCTGTGTGTGGTATTGCCCAATTGCCTAACGAAAATTGAAGAAAACCTTAATGTCAGACGAAAAAGCGAGCGTTCATCCGGGCCAACTTGAAAATCCGTAGTCAAACTCCTCACGCATCCTCCGTAACGTGCTTTTCAGAAAAGGAAATTTGTACAAGGTGTGGTTTGTGGCATTCTGGAAGCCAGGAGTAAGGGAAATAATAATCCAGTAGCTCTTAGTGTTACAAGGGGAACCCGCAAAAGCAAATGCGAAACTATCGACCCTAAGCCTGGACGACGATACCTGAAAAGATGGCGACTGAAGACCGAAAAGGGACCATATCTGTCCATTAATCGATTTTGAATGTTGATCGAGAACGCCGGTCGTAAGCTATTCGACCTAGGCTGGTGTATGCATTTTTCCTTCCACTGAGGGAAATGATTTATGCTTCTGATTCAACGGCTGTTGCCTCCGCTTCCTAGAATTCTGTTAACTTTTGTTGTGTCATCTCGGTTTGTGAGAGTATTACCTTAGGGGAGTCTTCTGCTGCAACTGGCTCGTCATTACTGGCCTCGTCTTCTTTTGGTAGCGCGGTAAGTGGTGTCTCAATGACCGGGGATTTCTCCTCTGCCTTCGTCTCATCGTGTTCGGATATGCCGTTTGCTGCCACGCTGTCGGCTTTTTGCTCGTCTTTCTCCTTGCTCTCGTCCCTGGAGCCGTCAATGGCTCCTTCAGCGGTTGCTGGAGCAACCTGCTCGCTGGCGAGAAGCCTGTTCCATTTATCAAGCAAGGACTGAGACCTCGATTTGAATTGAAATTCGTCTTCTTTGGGAATGGCAGGTAGCTTCAAAATGGCTTTGAGAACTTTGTTGATTTTGGTCACTCTGATGATGCTGACCTCGAGATCGGCATAGCCTTCAAGTTTATTCACGTACTCAGACATCTGTTGCATCTCATCTGGTCTTGGCTCCTGATCTTTGGTAAGGAGACCCTTTTGAAGCTTATGTCTCAAGAACAAGATTTCTTTCTATAGAAGCTGTTAGATGAAATCACCAGACGTATCAAAGGACGTCAACGTACCTCTTTCTTGACCCTCTTCTCCTCAGGGGTGAGTTCCGGTTCTGGCGGAACAGCAGGGGCGGCTTCTTTAACCTTAGAAGCAGCCTTCTTTGGCTTACTCTTCTCCTTTGCAGACTTAGGCTCCTTTGGCTCTTTAGGCGCTTTTGGAGTAGACGTCCCGTTCGCAGCCTTTGGAGTGTTGTTCAATTTAATGCGAGGCTTCTTTAGGGCGGAGTCTGGCTGTTGCTGCGATTTTATGTTAGTCTCCATCAACAAATTCGCGAGAGAATGGTAACATACAGTTTCTTCATCAGGATTCTGTGGAGGGTTCTTGCGCTTCTTCTGATTCGATTTTGGTGCTTCGGCCTCATCGTCATCAGGGATAGCACTGACATCCATCATCTCTGTGTCTTCATTGTCGTCCAAGGTTGGGACAACCTTTGGCGTCTTCTCTTTCTTCTCTTTCTTGGCTTTCTTGGCTGCCTTCGCAGCCTCTTTGGCTTCCTCGTCAGCCCTCTTCTGCTCCATGAACTCTGTCAAGACTGTCTTAAAATAATCCAAATCGTTTTTTTCAGCAGCAAGTTGATGCGCAGCATACAAATCTTTGCGCATATTATTTGGGACATCCCCAACTGTATCTAGGTCGAGGTCAAGAAGGTCGTAATTAGGTATCCAGCCACTAAATCGGTCAGCAAAAATTCATTCAAGGGTTCGGATGAGTGCTACTCACAACTCGTTTGTAAATAGATACATAACCGGGAATGTTCTATCTTTAGCCTTGGGTCCGCCGTCTTCATAATCACTCCTATATGTGCCATCTGCTCTCATTGCTGTAACTGGGCGACTTTTGATGAGGGTGCTGGGAAGCATAGCTTCATCACAAACAATTGCAGGCCACAAGGGATAGCCCTTCAATCGCACATAGAAGTAGTCGCCGGGTTTCGCATCCGTGTGTGTCAGCTTCGCCTTGGATTGCTTCTTGTTTAACTTCTTCTTGTGCTCCGGCACGCCAGACTTGCGTCGACCCTTCGATTTGCTGGCCGAAGCAGGGGTGCCAGTGGCAGCATCTGCTAACTCCGCAGACTCATCTGCTGCCGGAGCTGCACCCTCTGATTGTTCATCGTCCTTCAATTCTGCGTCCTTGCCCTCGCCCTCGCCCTCGGGAGCACTGGACGCGGGTCGCTCCTCTTGAACCGAGCGATCGGGGATTGTTTTTTCGTCCATTTTCTCGGCTTTAGCTTCGGCCTTGCTATCTTCAACTAAATGAGCAGGAGGTGAAATTAGTAATTGTAAAGTGACGTGAATTGAGACAATAGAAAAGCATTCATACTTTGTTCTGTCGCGCTTGTGCCGGAAGTCGCGACTGGATCCTCGGAGACGGCTCCATTCTGAACACCATTGCTACTGTTGGCGCCTTCCGATACCTCGACTTGGGGCTCTACAACAGCATCGTCGGGAGCTGAAGTGTCCGCAGACTGAGGAGGCACCACCTCATCTCGCGTGCTTGCCTCATCCGCCATTGTCGCGACACAGCTTCAAAAAAGGTTCAATGATAGTGGTAAGACGTATTGGCAGGGTAGTTATTGACGCGTGAGGAATGACTGAGATGATTAAGATAATCGCGGATGAATAGTCTGATGGAGGTGATAAACTTTTTGCTGAAGAAGATGCTTTGGAATTCTGGAAATCAAAATGTCGCTTGAAAAGAAGTTACGCGCGCTACGCTAGTGAGGCAAGAATCACGTGGCTTGGCTGTGGATTCTGTAGAACTCTCAACCACCCCAGCCTCCCGGATATTAGTCGGAGACAGTGATGCGCAAAGTGAGCTTCAGATAACAATAGTACAGTAACGAAGCTCCACTAACCCTGGATTGAATGTGACATTCGATCTCGATGATGAAAAGTGATGTTGAAGGGAAAGAGATGATAGAAAGTTTTTTTGGATAATAAAAAGGAATGAAAAAAAAAGTTCAATAAGACACCATTGACAGAACCTTCTGTCGTGTCATGATCAACACACAAGTAAGAACCCGCCCACTGTTGGGCCACCATTCGACGTAGCCAATCACTTTGCGAGCAGCGTCCGTGGCACAGGCAGCACAGTCACAAACATCGAACAAGAACCCAGTAAGGATGCGGAATCCAAGGCAACCCCCGAGCAAATCAATGAATCTCAAGATATGCTTTTGACCAACTAAACCTATCTATTATACAGCAATGCTTTCGTTGAGGAGAATAGGGGGAAGTCGCTCATTCTTCATCTTCGTCTTCTTCTTCTTCTTCATCTTCGTCCATTCCTTCTGCCACCGAGACATGGAAACTGGGATCTTGATCGACACCCACATAGCTGTCGCTCATGAGGAACAACTTCAAATCATGCTCCCCTGGTGTAGGTACTGTAAATTCAAGACGAAGATTCAGCACTTTTCCGATTGTGACCCGTTTGATCGCAAGTAGAGTTTTAGAGCTCTCATCGCCCACAACTAACCACCAATTCTCCATTTTCTTCGCGGGGTAGAAAGGAGCATGTACAGACATGTCCACCTCTGCCGAATCATCATCCTCGTCAACGTCTCGTACAATCTTAATTTTAATGTAAGCTGGTGATCCAGATACAATCTCCTCCGGATCCTCCACTTCAAAGTCAAGCTCAATGTTAGGATATTTGGAATTTGTAAAGTAGGCAGCCTGCGCTAATTGAGTTTGCGAGAGACCCAGTCGTTTAATGAGAGCTTCATAGTCTGGATTTTCGGAAGGGTCCATCGCATCCATAAACTCGAAGATGTCCTTGATACTGTAGATAAGTCTTATTAGCGGTGGCACCTGATCAATTTGACGATTTGAAACATACCCAGATTCATTTGCAGCTTTGATGACCTCAGGTGTGAAGTGAGGAATCTGTTTCAGAGGACTGTCGCGGTCCCACATCCCTTGTACAACCATTTGCGACATTTCCATGGCATTCATGGCGTTGATATGGCCATCAGAAGATAAGACATCCACGGTAGCACTTAAGAGACCGAGGACTTTCGTCAGGATAATCTCTTGATCTTTAGCAAGGTCGATCGGTAGCTGCATTCTGGAAAAATGGGCTTGAAGAAGTACAAATGCCTTAAAGTGTGGTGAATCAAAGCTTGGTTGTGCCATCTTGACCGGAAGTCTATCATATACCCTACGTAGTAGACTATCTTCGTGTCTCCTAATCTGGATGGATTCGAACTCGGTCGCCGAAGTGACAATTTCTAGAATACCCTTGAGCTTAGTGCGACCAGTCAACGACAGCAAAAAGGTCTGCATGGTTATGTACGAAATGTTGTAATAAGCAGCAATCATTGCTGCATTTAATGGAGTGACAGAATCATCCTCTTCATCCAAATCAATGATCTTGAACTCGGCCAAATCTTTCAAAGTAGTTTCTACAAGCTCCGAGAGGTGAGCACTCAAACCTTCATGGGATGTGTCTTTGAGACTATAGTAGCTGGGATTGGCAAGTAATCTTCGATAGAAGTACGTGAAAGTAGTCCAGTTGATGGCATCGCTAGCTGACTCGATCATTTTTGTACTAATCTCAGACACGAAAGCATCATGTAAATACACCTGGAGGTGACTCTCAATCGGAAGGGCTTCATTCAAGAACTTCTTGTAGTACTCTCTTTTGACTGCTGGTACCATCAGAACGCCTTTACTAATTTTGTCCTCCATGGGCCGTGTTGCTTTGCCGAACATTTGCAGTATCTCACTAAGAGGATAATCGACATAGCGATGCTCCCTGCCTTCATAGAACTGCGTACCCATCACAATAACTAAATGTGCTTTGGAGTCAAGTTCCCAGCAAACATCACGAGACGCAACCATTACTTGTATGGCCCCATTATCGTAAAGATGTTTCACAATACGTTTATCGCCCGTGCTAAGAGCCTCATGAAAATAACCTATGCCGTGCGAGATAGACTCTGCAAGTGCTTCTTCTTGGATGCGCTCTAGTAAAGGCTTCATCTCATCCACGTCGGCATGTAGGAAACGATCTTCGTCATCGCTAGCTACACATGCAAGGAGTAAATCACGGGTGGTAGCACGAGCCTGCTTTCTACTAGGAACGAATACCAGAGCAGGCTTGTCTGGCGACATTTGATTTATGGCAAGGTAGGTTGGCTTAGCCATAGCAAGCATGAGAGAGGGGAAATGGGGAATAGTGAATGACTGAATGTGAAGCTCTAGAGGAACTGAACGGACATGAGGACTAAAGTTGTAGATGTTATGCTTCTTCGCGTCAATCCACTCCCCAATATCACGAGCATTGGCGAGTGAAACACCCAGGCCCACGATTCGCAGTGGTAATTCAGTTTGTGATCGGATGTAATGCATGCGAGAGACAATGATTTCATAAACAAACCCAGCCTGCCCACCAAGCATGTGCAGTTCATCTGCGATGAATAATTGAACATTCTGAATGTTCTTCCGCCGTTGCCATTGTCGCGATAAAACATCCCATTGGGAAGGAGTTGCAAGGATTAAATCACCCCTCTCCAAAAGTTTGAGGTCGGCAGTGGTTTCTCCTGTGAGCTTCACAATTTCTTTGCCTCCAAGAAGCGTCGAAAAACGCTTTTGCCAATCTTGATGCCGAAGATCGACAAGTTCTTGGAAGGGAGCGATATAGACAGCACGTCCCGAGTCGGTCTTTTTCCAGTGATGGAGTAACGCAAACTCCGCGCAAACAGTCTTGCCGCTTCCTGTGGGCGCTCCAACAAAAACATTGTCATCTGTATCAAAAAGTGATTTGAATGTTTGTGTTTGGATCTTGTTAAAGCGATCCCAGTCAGAATAAAGCGATCTGAATTCATCGATTTTCAGTGCTGCGACAGGTAGAGGCTGCAAATCTAACAATGGTGTATGTGGTGGAAACTTCTCAGGTAAGATGAGCTTCTGGAACGAGACCGCAAGCTTGGTCTCACAATTCATCCATCGATCCGAGACGACAGTGATAAAATAATGTGGCGGCATGGGGTCGGTGATGGGGACCGTGAATTCGACAAGGTGCTCATTCATCTCGGCTTGAGCAAAATCTTTACGAAGGATAAATTGATCATGGAAAAGTATGTCCTCGCCGTCACAATCTTCGGCTATGACCCAAAAGCTTTCCGCAGCGCCATGGATTTCTTCATCCCACTCAAACTTGGGCGTGATGGTTAATTCCACCCTCAACATTGATCTCGTCATTGGCTGTACTTGTGCCTGAAGTTCTAATCGGGGAAATTTTGCAACAAGGTTGCAGACAGTTCGGCCAGCTTTCGGAAGGCCTAGCAATTCGCCCATACGTGGTGGATCAAGATCGAAGTAGCTGGCCCATGAGACGTCAATTCTTTCGGCTTTTTGTACGATGTCCCGGGGACATCCAGCGAACTGTCGAAGAGGTGACATAGTGGGCCACATACGCTTCTCTGCCATTTTGCAAAGTTCCAAAGCTGTCTTGGCTACCGATGACCACCCCTTTTTGAGAGTGATCTCGAAGATAGCACGCAAGATTCGTCCAGCTGATTGAGTGACGTAGACCAAATCTGCCATTAACGCAAGTCCGTCCAGTTTCAATCTCGAAACATAAGCTTGCAGCAGTACATTTATTTTGGCATGGGGTTCCTCGACACTTTCTTTTACGGGAATTGGCACACGTCCCAAAAGTTTGGCCAGTTCCAACTTTTCCTCTTGGCGAACTGGGATGTACTTGAACTCGTCGCTCAACGCAAATACGCGGAAGAGCTCGATTGGTGTGATCGATGGTTGGAGGTGGTGATTATAAGTCAACATGGAGCCGTGTGTAATGTAATAATGAGAAGCAATTCTGCCAAGCTCGGTCGCTTGTAGTTTGCCAGTCTTCTTGTCGTATTTGATAAGGTTAGACTTCTCCAGAACCATAGCGGCAGAATGAATCAAATCAACTCGTTTTTGCTCAAGTGCACTGTCATCTTCATAGTCGGCTCCTACGCTATACAATCCAGGTGATCGAAGCATTCGAACGAATAAGTAGGTGTATCCTAACCACTCGACACCTTCATCTCGACTACGAACATTGCCAAGAACAACCTCTGCATTTAGGTTGTCTACCAATCTGCTAACAAACTGACTCTCAATTGGCAATTGTTGATTCAGGAGTGACAGATAATACTGCATTTCGTTCTGCGTGGTGATGATGATACCTTCTCCGTAAGTGTCGTACTGTGGTCGACCAGCGCGTCCAAGCATTTGAAGTACATCTTGGGGACTCAGCTCCACCCAACTGCCTTTTTCTGGAGAATAGACTTGAGTGCCTTTAATAATTACAGTGTGCGCTGGTAGATTGACACCCCATGCCAATGTAGCAGTACATACAAGGACTTGAATTAGACCTTCATGAAAGAGTTCCTCGACAGATGTTCGATCAGGCCTGTTCATACCAGCATGATGGATCCCGAAGCCATAGGGTAACAAATCCTTAAGCTCCCGGTCACTAACCTCCTCAGCCTCGGAACTAAGGGTTTCTCGAGTTCCCGACACATCACTTCGCAATATTTGTCCAATCGTCTCCATTTCTAGGGCTTTGTCTCGAATGTATCTAGCTGTTTTTGCTGTCTCCTTACGAGAGTGCACAAAAATAATCATCTGGTTTCGATTCTTGCCTACATGCTCCAAAACCTTGGTATAAGTCACGTCATTCATTGTCTTTAATTGTTTGATGGCCTTTTTTTCTGTTATTCCAACAAATTCCTGGCGAAGCGGACAAGGACGGTATGATCCATCAAAGTGAAACATGCCTTTGAGAGGGTCGACGCGAAGAAAGCTTGCGACATCACGGTAATTTGGCAATGTGGCTGAAAGACCTACCAGACGAACAGGATCGCCCGTCTGCTCCATCTTTCTAATCGTCCGACTCACAATGCTTTCTAGAACTGGTCCACGGTCATCGTGCAAAAGATGGATCTCGTCGATAATGATGAGACGGACAAGATTAGTGTAACTCAGATCAGTAGCTTTCCTAGTGATAACATCCCATTTTTCAGGGGTCGTCACAATGATTTGGGTATCGGCAATTTGTTGCTTCGTGAGCTGACGATCTCCAGTCAATTCAGAAACCTTGATACCATATGGCTTCAGTCTAGCACCAAAATTTCCAACTTGTTCTTGAACTAAGGCTTTGAGAGGTGCAATGTAAACTATTTTAAATGCGTCCAGGTTGATTTCTCCAGTCTCTGGGTTGCGATTTTTACCGATTTCTCGTAATATAGTCAACATTCCAACATTGGTCTTACCACTTCCAGTGGGCGCGCAAATGAGCATGTTACCATCGTCCTCAAAGGCTGTCGGAAAGCACTGAGATTGAATCTTGTTAAGCTTCACTGTAGATGAGAACGGCACCCGTGCCCATTCAGGCATTTCCGTAACCGGGATGTCACGATCGGAAGGGTCGTTGCGTTTCTTGGGAGGTGGCACGTGAATCTCTTCGTATCCTTTAAACGTTCGCTTGGTAGATCCCTCGGGCAATTTGACCTTAGGGTTCGTCATCAAATGATTGCCTTGATCAAAGACGAGATTTTCAAGGTTAATGAGCTTTCGTGGTTGCAGTCCACCAACCAAACCATCTTTGTCCTTTTCCTCGTTCTTCGTGCCGCCATTGATGTATTCAGCTGGAACGTCGATGTCCATTTTAATTTCCAGTTTCCGTTTCTTTGATCCATCTCCTGGCGCAACTCCACGAAGCTCGTCCAAAATCCATCGTAGTCCCTCGGAAGCAATCTCACGCTCAACAACACCTCGAGCTTCAGCATCTTCAGCTCGGGCTAAACGCGTAAGCCAGACTATCTTATCCCGGTTCGCGATCAGCTTATGTACCAGCTCGTGATGCTCGTAGTCAAACAGTTCTGCGAGATCATTTTCGATTTCTCTAAGAGGTCTCTCATCGCCACCTTCTTCGGCCGGTGCTCCAGAAAGTGTGTGCAGAACTTCCTGCGTTTTAAGTTGCTGTACATGTGCATCCGTGTAAACTGAGCCAATTTGTCGTTGCAGCCAATATGCATCAATTTCACGAGCTGGTATAAAGTCTTTTTTGTCTTTAGCTGAGTCAGCATTCTGCACGAAACCAGAATCCATGATTATTGCTTCCTCTTCAGGTATTTCCTGAGGTTCTTCTTCTCTATCGACTCCAGCACCACCAGCCATGGCGACTTCCTCGTCACCTGGACGATCTTGTGCATCATCCTCGTCTTCGGACGACTCTTCTCGAATTTCATTAAGCACTTCATCACCCTCGTCGTCGGAATTATCGTCGAATACAACCGCTACTCCCTGGCGGTCGTCTATTTCCGCGCCATTTTCGCCGCTATTGTCACCATCTGCCATCTCTTCGTCTTCATCCTGTGCGTCGTAATCTGTAATCTTTTTGCCTAGGTTCACAAGCTCGTTGAACTGTTTCGGATTCATACTGGCGCCTAGTAGATCATCAATTTCCTTCTTCCTGTCAAAATCTTTCATGTCGTCGTCTTTTAAATACTCCAACACAGCATCCGTGGCGCTTCGAACAACTTCATGGGGAACGTCTCCGAGGTTATTAGCTACTGTAGTTAAAATAAGATCGTAAGTTGCTCGCGTCGCCGAAGTCCTAGGTCTATACCGAATTCCCTCAACCAATGCATCTGCTGCCGACAATATTCCACTTCCCCGAAGCTGTGCTGGCTCTCCACGCTTGCGTTTGCGCTGTTCCCGTTCCAAGACATCCTCGCCTTCGCGATAACCTCCCCTCTCGACATCTGGGAGGCCCGAAGCTTTCTTCTTCTGTTTCGGCGCGTCCTCGCGTGCAGTTCGCGACCCCATATCCCGAATGCTGATTTGCCCCGCAAGTGATTCTGGATCTCCTGTCACCTCATCGTTGCGGCGAGTAACGAATCTACGATCCGCCTGGAGAACCAGGTTGGACATCGCCGCATATTTATACTGCGACACATCGCGCTGTTGGTCCGTCATTTTTGATAAGTCGTCGAATTACGGTGTAAGAGAGGCTGAAGCCTAGATGGCGGATATTGAGAAGAAATCGTCAGAAGATGGCTGGAAGAGAGCTTTCAAGTCATCTGAAGTAATCCTCCTTAAAACATGAATTATGAAGTTTATCTCCAATACATTGATGAGTCAAAGAAGGTATGTAAAGAAAATTAGTAGACGCTACAGCAAAGGGTATTTTGATATAAATCAAAGAGGTCTCAAGCTCCCAAAATTCGCAAAATTAAGGTTTAACGCGAGGCCACTAAGTTCACTTAATAGACGCTAGTGGGCCTGGCGCTACTTGTACCTATCCACTACTCTACACGTCGGCATCAAAATCAAAATCACTAATAAATAAGGTAAACAAAACGTTGTCTGTAGTAAACCTTAATCAATATCGCTTTTGAGTGTCAATCAAATCGAATTATCAGTATTTATATTTTTTATCAAAATGAATGATTCGGAAAATCTTCCTGATAGTATTAAACAAATACATCAAACCTTGAGCACTTACATCAGACAAAGACAGGATGCTCTGCATGTTCGACGTGTCCTTGCTGCTCACCTAAATTCTAATGTGAATGCTGGAGAAAGTATCTTGACGCCTATAAGTTCGTCTCTTCCAGAGCCTACTTCTGATGTGAAGCAAGGATTGGGTTTTCCGGGTGTTCAACATGAATATCTACGCAGTCTTCAAGCTAATTTGAAGGCCCAAAGAGAGTTTGCAATTCTCAGTACACAGCATGATGAAACAGAATCTCATAGCGAGATGCTAGCAAGGGCTCAAGACAAGGTTACATCTAAGGAAGTATCTTTGCACGCTTTTCTAGTTTTGGAAAAACAACGTCAGAGGCAAGAACGCTTTCGCATTATCCAAGATATCGTGGATCAACTTGCACAGAAGCCCGCTGCTACACAAGCTTATCTGGACCCAAAGAGCTCAGAAGTGCTGAGAGATATTGGATCCTTACCGCCAGTACCGCCGAGTGTTATAGCACCTAAAGAATATCACCAAGACTCTGAGAGAATTGAATTGAAATCACTGGTCAATCGACTGGAAAAGTCGGTCCTACGAGCACAGCTTCTCCTCAAAAAAGAGCAGAAGTTATTGGCAAAAGTTAAAGCTGGAACCACCACGTCTACAGATCAACAAGAACAGGGTAGTCGACAGCAAGCACTGGGAACAACCCGTAATGAACTAATTAACTGGATCGAGATGGAATTGGGGAAAGCCGGAGATTCAACACCAGCAACGGAGGGACAAGGCCCAAGTATGCCGGAGCATGAGGAGAAAGAATACATTGATTCTCAACTTGCATCCATAAAGCAAATATATGAGCAATACCTTGATATTAGGAAAAGATTAATTGTCGCTGCTACTGGGGATCTTACTACACCACTCCCTACAGATGTTGGAACAGAAGATTCATCTAGCATGCTCATAGAAGAAAATCCAAATAACTCCCCGAACATCACAAATGTGCCGACATATCCTTACCTTGAAGATTTGGTTTTCATCTCAAACGAGCAGAAGTCCACCATACAACAAAGGTCTTATCTCACTATGAGTCTCACAAGGCAACACAAAGAAGCCGGTAAAGATTTGGATAAGCTAGTCGACGAAAGCCATCTCTTGCCTGCTTATCCCATGCAGACTATTACCACCTCTCAAGGGAAAAGGCTTGGAGATCCGATATCGTTCGAAGACGATATTTCGAATAGCGATAAGCCAAGCTCGTCCAGTCGAGCCAAAGCTTGGGTCTTTGCGGCCGAGTCAAGTAGCATCGCGACTAAAGAGGCAGTTTTAGAAAGATTAGAAGATGGAGAATCTGCTCTTACAGAAGCCTACAAAACTTTAAACGACCTTCAAATCCTTTTGGGATGTGTTTCCGAGGGGCAGGGTGTAGAAAGAGACCTACCTGTTGGCAGGCAAAAGCTTGGGATCTCGAATATCGGAGGTGTTTGGTCGACTCTGGATGGCAATCTTGGTGTCATAAGGACAGACGATTTGATGTCGGATTAAACACATTACAAAAGGCCTAGTGGTTGGGCTCCTTGAGGTTCAAACGTTAATGCCTAGGTCGGACTATATATGGTTTGTATGTCCCAGACATTGGAGTGCCATCTGCTTGGTCTCATGGTAACGATAGCAAGAAAGCAGGGCGAAATATGGTGGAGTCGTTGTATGAGGTAAAATTGGACAAGTATACAGCATTATTCTTTGTAGATTAAAATTTTTTTTCGAAATATTACCTACTTGACAACAATCTCAACACAAAAGTATTACGAAATAATGATTGCATTTTCGACGCATGCGAATGGAGCCGGTGGGTAGCCTAAGATTTCGAGGTATTTCAGCCTCGCGCTAAATATGTCGCGTAAAGTGGAATTTCACGACGCGTCTCCCTCGACAATGTGATATCCAACATCTGAAGTCCAAACGTTTTGCAGCTTGTAAATCTTAGGAAAATTCCGTATCTTCTTCACCATGGCTAGCTTCTTCGATATTAAAGCTCGCAAGGCGGAAGCTGCTTCGAATGGCACTGCCAATACCAAGGAGAAACCCAGGGAAAATAATCGGATGCAGCCATGGGTTGAAAAATAGTCAGTCATTGGTTTGAGCATAATCGTTTTCTTTCAGAGCTCTACTAATGATTTCTCAGTCGTCCGAAGGGTCTGGGAGATGTTACGGCACAAGATCATACTATTACTGTTTTGCAGTGCACACTCCAATCCTCTAATGTTAGCTTTTTTTCCTTCTTCCCTTCTTGGAACTACCTCTAACAATCTACCTCACAGCTTCCTCATATGCTCTTCTACGGCCCTCCAGGCACAGGTAAAACATCCACTGTTCTCGCTCTCGCCAAGGAACTTTACGGCCCCGAACTTATTAAATCCCGAGTCCTTGAGCTCAACGCCTCTGACGAACGAGGAATATCCATCGTCCGCGAAAAAGTAAAAGATTTCGCTCGTATGCAACTTTCCAATCCTTCTCCCGCCTATCGTCAGAAATACCCATGTCCACCTTACAAGATCATTATATTGGATGAGGCGGATAGTATGACGCAGGATGCACAAAGTGCGTTGAGAAGAACGATGGAGACGTATAGTAGGATTACGAGATTTTGTTTGATTTGCAATTATGTGACGAGGATTATTGATCCGTTGGCGAGTAGGTGTAGTAAGTTTCGGTTCAAGAGTTTGGATAAGGGGAATGCTGTGGTGAGGGTGAAAGAGATTGCCGATAAGGAGGGGGTTAAGTTGGAGGAGGGGGCTGTGGAAGCGTTGATTAGGTGCAGTGAGGGGGATTTAAGAAAGGCGATTACATATTTACAAAGTGCAGCCAGGTTGGTTGGTGCGATTAGTCTGAAGGACGAAGATGGTGATAATGGGGACAAAATGGATGTGGATGCGACAATGGTTACGGTGAGCAGTGTGGAGGATATTGCTGGAGTTATACCAGATAATACGATTGAAAAGCTGGTCAAGGTCATGCAACCAAGATCAAGAGGCGTCGTATACGATGCTGTATCAAAAGTAGTCGTTGACATGGTGGCCGATGGGTGGAGTGGCACACAGGTCGTCTCACAGGTACGTATCATATTTCCCCTCATTTCCACATGGGACACTAGAAACTAATACAGATAACAGCTTTACCAGACCATCATCAACTCCGAATTCATCGCCGACTCTCACAAAAATAAAATCGTAGCTCTCTTTTCAGAAGCAGACAAACGACTTGTGGATGGTGCAGATGAACATCTCACCATTCTCGACTTGTCATTGAGGATATCCAATATTCTAGGTAGTTCTTGATTGTTACTTGACATGCTCTCGTTGGTTCGAAGAATGGATTGGGATCATGTATGCATAGCAAAGGTATTGGCGTTAAGGTTACTAAGATACGTTGAAACGGAAACGATATTAGGAAGAGCGTATGTAGCTATAGTGTGTATCATGACCTATCTTCTCATACGTAATTTAAATTACATGAATACCTAGGTAGATAAAGATTAATATGAGTCTGTAATGTTTGTTCACGACCGAAATTATCACAAGAGATACTAGATGGAATGTAGTTATTCCACAAGTACCTCCGAGATTTGTTGCATATCCGACGCCCCAAGAAACTTTGGCATTCTTGATCCAAATTCAAGTTTGAAAGAATGAAGTTTTTGAGCAAGGTCTCCTGATGCCAAAATACATGTTCCGGGAATTTCGAAAGAGGATTGTAGGAGTTCTGGATGGTAAAAGGTGGGGCTGAGGAGAAGAGTTTGTTGGTGTTGGGCTTTGTTTATGTGCAAATAGTGTAAGTGAATTGGATTGATGTGGGTTGAAGTGAATAAATTGCGTTGGATTGGATGAGATGGGACATGACAGATGCTCTTCAACGTTGATTAGGTGGTAATATAGAATATAAACTAAACAGCTAAACTGCCTCAAAAGCTAAGCTAGTCATCATTCATCTCTCCCTTCTACTATCGAGTAGTACATCGATGTTAACTGCAGTATCCACTGATTGGACCTGATCTTCCTCTTAGAATAAATACGTTTCTTTCCTTCGTTTTGATGTACATTTCAAGTTGCATGAGGGAGAAACCATATTTCAAATTGTTCCTTGTATTCAAAATGAAGCGATATGAGGGAGGCATTTGAGCTTCAGTTTCTAAGCCCCAGTACTACCCCGTTCTTAGATTTTAATCTCAGATATTTAGGATTATCGTGAATCATGCAAGCTTCGAAGGCCCATTAGTTTTTCGGTTCTAGATTTAGACACTGAATATTGGCCTTGGGTTGATCTCTTGGGTATCACAAATTGTCAAGTTTATATTATAGACTTGGAACTTTGGTAACAGTCAGACAGGTTGTGGGATCATCTAAGCGATGCGGCGTAAATGAATGGTATACATTAAGTACCTAGTTAAAACAAGTAAACTAAACCAATCGTAAAATGATATGAAAGATCCTTCCGACCCGGCCAACCAGCACCAAACTAGAAATGCAAATGTACCAACCAACCATCAAGAGCCAACCGAGAAAAACGTTCACAATCAAGCCCATTTTCGTGTCCACGCTCGTATGCTCTCACAAGTATTATCCTTATAATCCTCATTGCTCACGCATCCTCACATTCATCATCAGTTTGTGTCTTCCATTAAGTCAAAGTCTGCAGCTTCTTTGACCAATTTTTTCAACCTCTTTTCAATAACATTTCGTCCCTCGAGCGTCCTCCAAACCTCCGAAGGAGCCTTGTTGACCACATCCCAACTAATCAGATTATTCGTCAAATGAGTAAGATCTTCTTGTTTCCTCTTCCACTCGTCACTCCTTCTGACCTCGATACCGGAGCTAACCACTACAAGCGGCGTAGTATCGTATTGTATGTTTCTCGCGCTACTAATCTCGTTCTTCGTCAAAGAATTAGCGACGAGGGATTCTTGGAGTTTGGCTTTGAGGTATTTTCCACCCTGGTAAGCTGAACGTCCGAATACTCGATCTTCTCGTGTGCGACCGCTAAAAATGGCGCCAAATGTACGATCTAAACCGAGGGGTGAGAGCACACCTCGACCCCAGAGGAAAAACCCTCTTTGTGGTGATCCGAGACGATAGAGAAGATCTTCATGGAGGGGATCGATGAGTAAAAGACCTGCGACTTCACGACCGTGCCGGGAGGCAAATATACGGCTATAGATACTGCCCACTCCTGCACTAGCAAGAATCCAAGGACCTTCTTCACCTGCACGAGCTAGAGCTTCCGAGAGCACGTCCGCTGCCATGCCAGCTGAGAATGGAGATGGCGCATTATCGGACCATGCAATGCCAGGTCGATCAGAATAACAGTATCGGCTGATGCTTCCATTGGAGTAAGCATTTGTTGCGATCCGCATCATGCTATGTTCAAAGGGTCCTTCACCGGCTTCGAATAGCACTGTTGGATTCTTGTTGCCCTTTGCATCTGTGAGGTTGCCTTCGCAAAAGACATGGATTTGGAATTTGTCACCATCGACGTAGTATCGTTCCCCTGGTGGCGCAAGTGAAGCGTCGCGAGCTCTCAAAATCAATGTGGCAGTTAGGAGAATAGTGACGAGTCCTAGTATTATTAGAATGATTGTAGATGTCAAGACAGAACACCATTCTCTGAGTGTACGGCGAGTCTCTGCGCGCCCAGTCAAGCGCTCCTCCTCTTCCACTTTGCCAGCTGCTACGACTCGATCCGTGACAATCGTCCATGTGGACATGAGCAGAGCCCAAAGAACACTAGCAATACCAACCCATCCTTCCTCAACACGGAGACGTGGGACAGCGGCAATCATTATCGCATCAACTAGTAGAATCACGGCAATGACGAGACATGTTACTTGTGCCGCCTTGGATGGGGTCGAGAAGAATAGAAGTACAATGAGTAACAATCCGAGTGTCAAGGTAGTATAGGAGAAATCGAAGAAGCCGGAGCCTCTTGAGTGCATTCCTGGTGGGGAAACGAATATCGACACCAGTAGTAGCACCCACCAAAGGAAAGTGATAATGGTGAACAAAACTGTGAAGTATCGTAGGAATCGTACACTCCATAAGTTATATGGAGACACCTATGTGCGTATATTATCAGCTTAAGGTCAGGATAAATTCACCGAGCGAAACGATCGCAGGTTATGTGGCGGATTTGATTGGAAGGGGGAAGAGCTTACAGCCGGATCATCGGGACTCAAGAAACCATCACGACTGGGTGGAAGTAGACGAGTACGTTCGTCAGCCTCATGGAGGTAACGGGGTTGAGGGGGCGATTGATGAGAAGCTACATGTTCATGTGAATCTCCATTTTGAGAATGGGCACGAGAATGCACACTTCCTGGAGCAGAATCATGATCGCCATCCTTCTTGGAACCCCATAGGGAAACCATACTGACTCTGTCGAAGCGCACTTAATTGGTAGGAACTTCGGCGGCAATAACGATATGCTTTATCGTGTGGAAAAGATGGAAATTTGATATGAGATGAGAGAGAGATGAGAATGAGATGATATGATAAGAAATACAAGATTCCCGGTAAACCATGAAATGAAAATAAATTCAAAAGGAGATCGTCACCATGAAAATACCTGGGCACCAATGATGTTGACACTGTTAAAGTGAACTAAAATAAACTAAGGTCAAGCAAGGAACAAAGTTGATTTCGTTGATCTGGGTGAGTAGATCTGGCGTTGTGCTTAATCGTATTGATGTAGCTAGTAGGAGCTGGCTAACGCTATGTTGGTGTTCTTATTTTTTGGGTTTCCTCCCTCCCGTGTGTAGGTGTGTAGATGTGATTCCAGTTTTTAGTTCTGGGGGCTTGGTCAGTGATGGAAGAGGTTGGACCTGTTGAATGAAGCTACGAGTATTTTGAAGACCGAGGAAAATGGAGAGTATGACGTCAGGTTCTTTATGCAGACTGCAACACCGCAATTACCATGATCAAGATTTTTGATGAAGTTCACCAATTAGTCGACTTCTCTTTTTGATCCTGCAGATTGATGGCATCTGGTAGGTACTTACTAAGGCCGACCTATACTGCACATACATACATACATACATTCAAATGTATATGACTTAGGTAATTGATGATGGCTATTTCTATTTTCCAATTTGTCGATCCTTCATTTGTGTGACTAAGCAATGTCAAATGTTCCTTTCTTATCTTATCTGTGCTTTGTCTGCAGCTGATTGTCTTGTCAATGTGCAACATTTGAAAGTTTCTCAATTTCTCGGAAATCTACACACATAGTGAGTGTACTTGAGATTCTTTCGGCCATTTCTAATATATGAGTTTGACTTGTTATCTTCTCTCACAAGCAATTCGATCACCATTCCGTGCAACTAAATAATACAGAACTGATTAAGACGACAACATGAGCGATTTACAACGGTCCTTCGTTAAACCTAAGCTTCCAAAGTTCGCCCCTCCAATGTTCAATGAAGCTGATGAGGAGGAAGAGATTGATGTTCCTGGTGAATTGCCAGATCTGCCAGTAGATGATGACTCTTCCTCGGCATCTTCAGCTTCATCTACTGGCACCATCATACCATCCTCAAATCAGAAATTGTTTGCTCGACCGCAAGGGTTTGTTCCTGCTTACAGCTATATTTTTGTGCCGAGCTGATATTTTCGATACCACCAGTATTCCCAATAAACGGACGATGGACCAGATACCGTGGACGACGTATTTCGAGCGAGAGCTATTTCTTGAACATAAGATGGAGTTAGAGACCATAACACACCATGCATATCTTACATCTCCCGTTGGGTCTGCACCTTTATTCGTTACACACCATGGAGCGGGATCATCCGGTTTGTCATTTGCTGTTCTGACATCGGAAATTCGGAAAAAGCTACCTTCTGCGGGTGTACTGTCCCTTGATGCTCGTGGTCATGGTTCTACGGATATCTCCCCGGATGCAGAACTTCTTGATCTTAGCCTAAAGACATTAAGTTCAGACCTATTATATGTCATTGAAGCTACAAAAGCTAGAATGAGTTGGAAAGAACTTCCGCCTCTTGTACTTGTTGGCCACTCTCTTGGTGGGGCAGTTGTTACAGACGTTGCAAAGAGCGGAAAGCTAGGTCGCTCAGTCCTTGGCTACGCGGTCCTTGACGTAGTTGAGGGTTCTGCTATGGATGCTCTTCAAAGCATGCAAACCTACTTATCGACTCGACCGCTAGGTTTTCCTTCTCTGCAATCTGGCATTGAGTGGCACACGAGATCGAGAACAATACGAAATACATTGTCGGCGCGAACGAGTGTACCTGCGCTACTGAGACACGATGAAGAAGCTGGCGGGTCACGATCATGGACGTGGCGCACAAACTTGGGAGCCACTCAGCCATTTTGGGAAGGTTGGTTTGTTGGACTAAGTAAAAAGTTCTTGGAGGCAAAGGGTGGAAAGCTATTGCTGCTTGCTGGGACAGACAGACTCGATAAAGAGTTGACTATTGGGCAAATGCAAGGTGGGAACCATCATTTATGTGAACTTAAATTTAGGAGGCTCAAGCTGACAATCAATAGGGAAGTATGCGCTGCAAGTTTTTCCTGAGGCCGGGCATTTTGTTCATGAAGACCTTCCTGAAAAGACAGCGATGGTGTTAGTAGACTTCTACTCAAGAAATGACCGGAGTTCATTGGTACTGCCACCGAAAGTGTCAGATCTCATTAGGGCCGGTAGGAAAGTATGAATTCGGTTAATTACTTCGACCGACCGACTACAGGAAAAGGGGTCTCGAAAAGTGCAAGAGTAAAAGTATTACCTTCATTAGGACATTAGCCGACACCAGGCTTCGAACATGAATACATGGAGATTTGATACGTTGTGGATTTTAGGCACTCTAAATGGCCGCCCGTTTTCGAGCTTCGAGAACACAAAAAGGGTGCTTGCTGCGCACACAGCGCGTTGAAATGAGAAAGTGAGATTGCGGCTGAATGAAGTAAGACATCCGGCCGTACGGTTTGTGGGTCATCCCACCATTGCTTTTTACCGAATCAGATATCCTGGGTTGCTTTTTATGGGTGCTGAAAATACCAAACTACAAGAGCACCAAGTAAATTCCATCTCAATTAAATGTCAGATTTGCCGCCCCAAGAGGCCATTTTTATTTTCTGTCAAACCTGAAATTGGGGCTTAGGGCAGTTCTCGAACAAATCAACCAATAGATTTTCACGAATAGAAGCCACAGTTGATTCCCTCTGTTTTCAAAGCGAAATTATGGGCTGCTAGGCATCCATATCATCTTTAGTGGAGCCATATAACAGTTGGTTTTAGTATTTCCTTTTGTTGATACATTGGATTTTCTCTTCCTCCATCTTCTTAATCTGCTTCTTTTGATATCATACCTCGATAGTTTTCTGCCAGTTTCAGATACAAAAATCATTCAATCTCATTCTTTCGATTTCAAGTGTAAATCAATCTGCTCTCTCTTTCGAACATCGACAAAATGCACTTCTCAAACTCTTTCCTTATCGCTGGGCTCATTGCCTTTGCATCAGCATCTCCAGCTCCAGCCCCAGCTCCAGAGCCAACAACACCGACTGCAGCGTATGTCTTGACCTTTTTGCATCCCTCAATCCACTCCCTCCTCTCCCCCTCTCCCCAGCTCTTTCCGCAAATCCTTGATTTTCCTTTTCCCCTATAGTAAAATAGCCTTTGCTGTATCGCATGTCAGCTCCACTCAAACTAACAGTCTCTCCTCAAGCCAAACCTCAGCTGTAGTTAATGATCTTGAATCTTACTTCGCCGCTCTGGCCACCCAACCAGCCATGCTTTCGGTAGTTTCAAGTCTTGCCACCGATACAGCCGCCCTCAACTCTCTCCAAGCTTTTCAAGAGTCCCTTCAAGCCGACGTATTGAACGGCGAAACTCCGAATACATCGGCCTTGGCTGCTTTACCTTCTCCCCTTGCCAACGTTATTTTATCAGCCTACACCGTAGAAATGAGCATCTTCAGCAAAGATGGTTTCGGCGATTTAGTGGCAAGCGCAACTGCGAGTGAAGCTGCCACTGCGTCAGATACTGGTGCGGCAAAGACTGCGACTGCAACTCAAAAGAGTTCAGCGAGTGGAAGTGGAACTGCAAGCGCAAGCTCAACTGATCCTGCGACAGTAGAGAAGGGTGCTGCTGGTGCATTAGGCGTTGATATGTTGAGTATCTGTGGAGGATTGGCGGTTGGTGTTGTAGGTGCTATTATGGCTTTGTAGGGAAGCAAGCACGTGGTGCTATATTCATGACTCATGCGATCTAACACACTCCAAGGGCTTTTTTTTTTTAGCTTCTGGAGGCAGTAATTTTTGTTATTAATGATGTTTGTAATGATAGAGTTGATGATAAATATGGTCAAGACTTCAAATGTTCCACTGCATGTCTCTTTGATACTCACAGTATCAAAGTACTTTTAAGTATCTTTCAACCGACCTACCATTTGAACTTGTATCTTCTTATCCATAAGCCAAGTGATGGCAAACCGTGTAGGGACCATAGTCCTAACAGTGAGGTATCAAACACCAAGAATAGACGGGGCATGGTGATTTTTAAGGGAACTTTCACCTCCAAGGGGTGTCTCCGGCGTATGGGAATATGAAGGATGGTATGTAATCTTACTAGCAAGATAGATGTACACTTTTTCGATTTTTCATGTCAGGGGTGGCATTCACATTCATTTACTTATTTATGTTTCCTAGTGTGATTTTTGAAATGTAGGATGGGTAGATGCAGATGTCATTATAATTTCATAATTTGAAGTTAGTTGATTCTTCCAAATGCGGAAGGAGATTTGGATCGGGTTGAATAGTGACTCCATTAAATGGTTCTAATGGGGTAATATATTATATCGCGATGGAAATATGAGATTTATATATATTACATAATCATAATCATAATCATGGTCTAATATATGACTACTCTTTCCGCTAATAATGCAAATGTCCCCATACCCTTATAATCACCGAGCTGAGTGTCTGGCTGTGTCTGTGTCTGTGGTGGCTATGAACGGGGCAGCTACCATTTTTTTTTCCCACGGCGCACAGTATACTTACTGGATGAAAGGCCACTCGGTCGGTTCGTTGCAGGTGACTGTACGAAGGCGAAGAGTTGAAAGAAGCAAGATATAGGTTACATTTAGTTTTCACGACTTGTGAGAGTGAAAGTAAAGTTGGTATGATATATTCATCTGCTGATAAAGGATTCAAGCGAAGTGTTTTATTGAAAGATAGCCCTTACCCTTGTTAAGAAAAACAGAATCGTAGTTAAGGAATTGGTTCAATCAGCTCATTGGTTCCAAAACAAGTCTGCTAGAATCGAGCTTGCTTGCTCATCGAACATGCCCCGCGCGCACTCATAGATAATTGCAAAGACGGACAGTTGTCATGCACCTCATCAAGGAACGTACTAGTCCTTTTGGCTCAATATCTGACCTTGATACTGAATTTTTTTAAAAAAAAGCGAAAAAAAAAAAACGATGCAAAGCACGACTGTCGCTTCGGAGCTGTGTGACAACTTCTCTGGCCGAAGTGATGTCAGCCATGTTCGCTGACCTTTATTTTAGAAGCCTGCAAAGTCCCACTAATGATATTGACTTCTGATCTTATCTTTAATAATTTCGAGCCTTGTATCATTAGAAATCAAATTTACAGACCTTAGTCGCTATCAACGCAATGCCTTTTCTCAGCAGAGTCAAGGCTGATGCGTAGTTATTTTGTAAAAGCTTGCGAGATCGAGCAGTAAAGACTCGACCTAGACCATGGTTATTTACAGGTCGAGTCTCCCGCTGTCGCGGTTTCGGGCTTCCCAAATATACAGGAAGATCGTGATGGTACAGGTTAAATCAAAACGTGTATACTGCGACACTGAAGTTAAACAGCCATATCAAACACGCCGATACTTTAGCAATCACCCTTGTAACCAATAAAAGCATTAGTAAAGTCTTCCGGATCAAACCGAAATACCAAAGTTCTTGACAAGGACTAACGAAGGGGCAAGAACAGCAACCCTGGTAGCGCCCGCTCCAACAACGGTAGGAGAACAGAACTACGGGTGCCATCCAAGGAAGAGAATCGTGCAAGATCTAAGGACAACCCTCCTTCAAGAAAGCGCTCAGATTCTCAAGTATCAGGAGAAAAGCCTCGGTGAGATCCCAATGGTCTTCAGATGACAAACTCTCGGAAGGTGTTACGAGCGCGACAAATCTAACTCGCCATCAAAAGCTGGTAAGTCGTCAATCTTCAGGTAATAGCTCGCCACCGCGACGTTCGCCAGCTAAACTGCAAAGGGAGAAGTCCCTGGTCTCATTTCCTTCTTTGCGTGAAACGCTGAGTGAAAGATCGAATCAGATATCACACGCATATGAATGAAGAAGTGATGACTGAACCTCAGAAGTCTAGAGAACAGGGGAAAGACGCCGCATATGAACGGCAAGTCGAAGAATTAAAACGTGACTTGAGGCAACTTCGCCGGAGAAGTTGATCCAGCGTCAACAACAAGGAATAGGACAATAATATTTCCACAGTAAAACTTTTAAATAGTCTTCCGCTCTTTCTGTCCCTGAGGCAAGACATATGTTCCCATGAGAGAGCGCAGACTTGTTAAGCTGGAACCGTATTCTGGCTGTTCGTAAGAAGACCACTGGAATCGTGGAGCTTTTAGGCCTTTTGCAGAATTCGAACATTAGAATGATGTACGAGCAACTCAAGCCTCTTGGAACCCTGAGGCTTTTGGAAACAGCTAGTATTCGAATAATGTATAGACACCAGCGAGCTCTGGTGGAGGGCGTGCATCACAACCCTGGAGTTCAAGAATTCAGAGTATCTGTAAACTTTCCATCTTTGGTACGGGAAATAACACCAACTGCCTACAGCAGTATCATCCATCGGGTGAAAATGCAACGTGACATGTAATAGCTAAGACCCGAATTCTCAAGCTTATTGGGACCAAAACGCTTGAGGCCTTCCAGACGCGACATTTATTTCGGCAGCATACTGAATGGTACAGCTCCCCACTGCTATCAATTACTACATGAGTGATTAATTTAATATGCAATATACATGCAAGTGAATGAGAACTTAAGTGAGGTGTATGCCAGCCCTTAGGCTGAGATCATCAGTAGACATGTAGTGCGGCAACATCCTACAAGTAGGACCAAGTGAGAAGTGCTGGCGTGATTTTGAGTTTGTGAGTGGTCGTCACCGGTAGAATTGCGAAATTATTGCGAAAACTTTATTCCGAGTGTCAAGAACTTGGCAACCATGCTAGTTCTGCAAAATCAGTGATTTCATCAGTCCGTTCTCAAGTCCGTCTCAGGGTCTCAGCAAATATTGGCACCTGTCTCTTGTAGACTTGTCTACTCTCGAACTTGGATATCCTGGCGATGAGGAAATCGATACCCCACGTTTCCCTTTACTTTAACATTTTTGAACGATAATGACGACCGAGAGGGAAGAATGGAATTCCTGGGATTGATGAAGCTGGCCGGTACAAACATTTGTCTTTGATGAAACGAAGATCGACAGGCCGAGTCTCGCAAATTTCCATTGCGCTCAACCTTATTTGATAACTGTCTCAAATCAAGAATCGGGATTCCCACACAATTGCAGAAGTTCATAACATTGAGTTGCCATAGCATGTTTGAATTTCGAAGCCCATACTTTAAGGGGGTAAGAATAGGAACGTGGAATGATTCTACACCCAACAAACAAATGGCATCTGCAAAGTCTAGAATTCATCAGAACCACAAGCTTGCTCTTCCTCACTTATTCCCATGTCAAGCAAGATTGCTTCCAATTTGAATATATGACCAGACAAGGAGAACTCCACCAGGTCAAGTATCGCCTAGCCAAATGATTCAAACTTTTCCCCGCGATTTATACCTTTTGGCTTTCGTTATGTGACAAATCACAATCAATGAAGTCATGGTGATTCTGTCAATTCAATGCGAAATGAATTATAGTAATTAACATGATGATCCTTATGATATTAAACCGAAGGATTTGCTGCATATTTATCAAGGATAGAAAATGTCCTACATGGCGATTTGAATTGTGAAATAGGTGAAAGATGGTTGAGATAGATCGCTTGCTGGATAAACCGTACTGTTGGTACAATATAACGGAGTGTATACTCTATGTACGTACAGTTGTGTACATAATGACAGTTCTAGGCTAAATCCACCGAGTCAAAACGCCTAATAAGGATTAGCAATTTGGTCTATGCACCAATTAGCCCAAGGGGAACAGAACTTCACTCCCGTCTATTGGCTTAAATAGTCTGATCGGGGTAGGTATAAGAGTATCACAGGATGATTGCTGTATTGGGCGATTCTCCGTAGATAGAAGCCAACTTCTGGAAACCATCCTCTGTGCGTGAGTGGACACTGTATATGGTATCTTCTGGTTGGCCACATCATCTGTAATTTCGCATTTCAAGGTTCAGTCAAACAGTAAAAGTTAAACAACATTTTGAATTTCATCACACCGAAGCTCAGAATACAAGACATTAGAGTCGGTAAGTATGTAAGTCTTACTGTCCGTACACAATACTCGGTCTGAGCCTTGACACGTGAAGATGTTTCTCCGCGTTTGGACTGTGGTTGGCAAACTATTCATGCTTTGCTTTATTGTGATTGAATGATTGAACCAATATGCGCATTGCTACTCCGAGTCCTTGCTTACCTGCAGGTTTGCAGCACCACTAGGTTCTGTCTAGACAAGCTAGACTCTCTGTTTTCCGTAAGGCTCAGGTACCATTTCATTTTAGCACCTCTTGCCCCTGTAGACCAGTGCATTAATACATCCTAGAATTAAGGTTATCCATATGATAGGATTTAACCTACTGGAAATGCAAAACCTTTTCGGAAGTCGAAGCCGACTTCGTTGATGAAGGGGCCAAACGACAGAAGCTTCCTCACCAGTTACTATCATTCCTCTCTTACCACCAACCATTATCTACATTCTACGACCGAGGAGTTTTATTATCACTCAGCCATGAGGATGCATTGATCATGAATCATTAGACACCATTCAAATCGGACCACTTTTTTGTATGGATGAAAGGCTAAATATAACCCTGTCATGCTCATTTCTTTTAAGCAGGGTCTAACAGTTGCGCTTCCAACACAATCCTCGAATTACAACCTTTACAATCCACAAGCCAACTCGTCTAAAGCTAATATCTCCGAGAAAGACCTCCGCCGGATCCTCATCAACCAAATCTTACTCCCAAACTCTCCCAAATCTCTTAACGATGTGTCGCATTTGTACCGTGTATCCAAGCCTTAGCGTTCACTCCTCCCTAAAGTATAATTTGGTCTTTTATCCCAACCTAGAGCCCCCGTAAGTAAGTGGTGCTGCCAAGCCCAATGGCAACCGCACGCACTGGTAAGTTTGGGAAATGAGGGTAGTTTAAGTATCGAATCCTCTTCTCGTACTTCTTCTTCTCCCTTTCACTCTTCCAACCACAGTCAAAATAATAAAAGAAAATCTCTTTTTTTTCTCTCTCTATAATTTTTGTATCTTTGATACTGTCCATTCTTTGATTTTAGTCATTCCCTCGAAAACCCAATAACATAATGCGTTACCAATTCGTCTCCGCCGCCATTTTGGCCTCCATCTCCTCCGTCTTTGCCCAAACCGCTGGCTTCGACGCCATCTCTGTACCAACCAACGGTCAAGTTGTCAAGGTTGGAGATGTTTTGGACATCACCTGGGCTCCTAATGCTCTCTCCGGAACTGTTACCATCAAGCTCTTGGAGGGTGCCACTCCAGCTACCTTGAACTACGATCCTGTCATCGTTGCTAGTGAGTTTACTTCCTATGATTGAAGAAGAGGACAATCGTGCTGACAAACATACTTAGACTCCATCAACAACTTGGATGGACAATACAAGTGGACCATCCCAGCTTCCGTTGGCAGCTTCGAAACCTACGGAATTGCCATTATCCTCGACTCTGATGTCAACACCTTCCAATGGTCCTTCCCATTCAAGATCCAACCCGCTGCTGCTTCTTCTTCATCCATCATCGTCTCCACCACCGCTTCATCGTCTGCAGCTGCCGCTGCCTCTACCACCTCCGCTGCTGCATTCACCAGCATCTCCGGTATCCCAGGTGGATGCAACCCAGCTCACCCAGGATCATGCCCAAGCTCCTACTTCAGCACCGCTCCAGCATCATCCACCACCGCTTCGTTCTCTAGCATCTCCGGTATCCCAGGTGGATGCAACCCAGCTCACCCTGGATCATGCCCAAGCTCCTACTTCAGCACTGTCACCACAGCTACCTCTACCGCAGCTGCAGCTCCAACCGTTACCCCAGCCACCAATGGAACTTCCTCCAACGCAACCTACATTGCTCCTTCCGGTAGCAACGCTACCAAGACTGGTCCTAGCGTCGTTGAGGCTACTGGTGCTGCTGCAGCCAACATTGCCACTGGTTCCTTCGCCTTGTTGGGTGGCCTTTTCGCCGCCTTTATGTTGTAAATCATTTCTTTCCATACCTTCAACATTTCAGATATACTACATAATGCCATGGTAAATATATATCAGCCTGCAACATCGGTAGATAGGATTATTTGCATCGGGTTGCAAATCTGGGATTATAGAAATACAAGGGATATATACAGCGTATTGCGCGGCGTTAGACAGCAATACATCTGTCGTCGAGTTTGGTTTTTCGGTGCGAATTTAAAGCTTCTGGTTATATAGGATTATAGGGTCAACAATGTCATGATACACTTCTTCTACATACCCGTTGTAACTTTTTGATAGAGTTCCCGCATGTTATTGTTTAACGATGAATGGATTGACTTTAGGGGATCATTGTTGAAGAGATTTGACATCTATTAGAGTAATGATTGAAGTGAGCATTTTTAATAATTTTCCTGGTGTATTCATGTGATATTAAGTGATCTTTTGTGATAACTTCGCTCAAGTGAGTCCAATTATTAGGTAAGATCTTATGTTTTGTAATTAGTGTGCAGAAGTGAAATGATTAATTACTAGGTAGATAAGCCTTACCTAGGTACCTACCTAGTCAGAAGCAATAAACCACTTAGGTACACTTTCCCTTCAACAGTATGAACCGCCTCATCTCAGATTCTCAACAATCCAATCCAATCCATTCATTCATTCATTCATTCATTCATCAATCAACCCTAGCTGGAGGCTCCAACCAACAGAACTATCGATGTCTAGCTAGGTGTATAGATGTCAGTGTAGAGGAGATGGTAGTAGAGTTGGGATTGGGATTGGGATTGGGATTGGGATTGGGATGGGGATGGGGATGGGGATGGGGATGGGGATGGGGATGGGGATGGAATTTGGAAAGTGGAAGAGGAGGAACAGAGGACATGTCCTCAAACCATCTCTTGAAACAGTAATATCACAAATTGTATGTAAAGGCGATCAACCGAAGCCATTTCATTTGAACTCATATGATAGTCCCTCACATTTTATTCGATGCCTAAACGTAACTGACGCAGAAACTTCTCGCAGCCTTGACACATGGCCCTCGTTTGAAGCTTTTTAGATCTTTCAAAGTTGGCTTTAGGCCATGAGAATTAAAAACGGAATAGGATTACTTCCGACATATCCTACAGGATAATGTGGAATCGATTATGCTTATCGATTTGGAAGCTTAGAAGTGCGAGCATTTACATCATTGAGGCTTCTCAGTGCTCGTTCACGTATCGAGTAGGCAGAAAAATGGAGTCCGAACCTCTCATTATGTTCAGAGGAAGTGACAAAGACTACGTCGCAGATATTCAGACAATTCGTAAGTGTTTCTGCGGAGTATGCATGAAGTACACGATAACGTACTAAATCCTTGCGCGCTTTTTGGTACTCTACCGCGGGTTAAGGTTGCACTCGAAATATCACGCACATAATCGCGACTAAAAAGATAGTCAATCTTTCCGCCCTTAATCAACATACTTTCTTCCTTTGAGAACCGTGACACATATTCAAATACCCTTAAATTTCAAAAGTATGTCACCAACGGCGACTTCTCTTAATAATGAACCCGCGATAATAGTCGAGTGGGCACAAAAGAGACTACTCTGTCGGGCAAAGCTAAAATATCAGGTCGTACCCGAGGTTCCAAACCTTGAAGGAGTAGAGATCTTATCGCAAACAACATTTAGCGTCTGCATTCAGAATATGACAATTCTTCTAAAATTGTGATACCTGCACCTTTACTGATATGTGATAGATCCGCCGATCGAGGTTTCGACGAACTGGTAGCTGGCCATATGTAAGAATGCCATCAAGTGATATTCTAATCGCCGATAATACGAGTAGAACAGTTCGTGATCGCGATATCCATTCTCGTTCCCACTAATAACTCTTAGCTTTATACCTCAAGACTTCTCTCAATTTGTGTTATCGCACATTATCCTAGTGGAAGATGATGGTAATTGAGGACGTGCCAATTACTGTTGCCGCGTTCGCTATTCAATCTAGGAGTACAGGAACTCCACGGAAGATAGTATGGATATTCAAGAAAGCTAACATTTTTTAGTTCACGAAGCTGGTCCCGATGCATATGCTGTATGTCATGCCCACGCTGTCTATAGCAAAGCATACTGCGGATTCGGCCTTTCTCTTGATATGACAGCTCAAGAATCCCTACGGTTTTATCAATCCCTTAGTGTGTATGTGTCAATTTTAAAGGGATGTCCCTGACTGCGGAGAAGATATCTACATCGCCATTAGTTTGGGTGACGGAAAGGCATGCAGTCTAAAAAATCACCAATTGTTGACTGTTAATTGGAGCGTATGTGAAGTAGATTTTTGGTTCATGAGCCTGGGTAGGACCTTGCCATGCCCGGCTACTCGTTGATTCTACGGCCACAGGCAGTGGGAAAGTGAAGAATATCATCGGAAATCAGCTTGTGAGCAAGTCCGAGGTAATATCACCTTCTATCCGCGAGGAATGCATATCGTTGACTCGAATCCAAGTCAAAGCTATGGCTGGCTCTCCAATGCTACCATGACGAAATCACGGCCAAAAAGCGGTTCTGATGTAAAACTAAAAAGCAAAGGAAAATGAATCCGATCAGCCCGTTTGACTGTCTAAAATACTTCCAGACATTTTAAGGCGTTGTATTGTGTGAGAGAACGCCTGATCTAAGTAATCATTCCGCCCTCATAAATACCTAAGATGGCAAGAATATCTGAAAGAGTCTATTTCGTTTGTCGCCTATTTCGTATGTCGTGTTTGTTTAATGTCGCAATCGTAGACGCCCCCTGTGCATGAAGCAATGACAAGCATGCGGACTTCATTTAGGATATATCTTCTTCGATGGTTTCTTCGAGTTATGCAATTGATACGAAAATCTTTAAGTCTTCATCCCGGATTTCTATGAAGAGAACGGATAGGAGACTTTCACTCCTTATCGGCACACATCATATGTACTGTAACATCGAGTAGGGTTTCCATGCCCCACTTCAATGATGGGCACAAAAAAGGGCGATTATCATGCATCAATAGATTCGGAACTTTCTTGTAGATACCCGGTACCGATTGTTTGGATATGGTAGTTCTGTGTTGAGGGAAGGAAAACAGGATGGAACACTGATTCCTTTTTTGGTTTGGGGTGGGGGGAATTGGTTCTCATGGTGAGACTGGTAGTATTTTGCTCAAAATTGATTGAATGGCTGCAAATGTCTATGGATAAGATTAGCTGACCTGGAGAGAACTGGGGCAATGCATGTGACATGATGACCATGAGGCTGACCACTACTGACACCTATGTGGTAAGACATGAGACCACGCTCTTGGCTCTTAATTAGCAGCATTTACTCTTTCTCTTCTTACCTTTATCAGTTTGTTCACCCTCTTGGCTAACTTATCCTCGGGAAATGTTAACCAGTCAAAGAGAGAATGGGGAAGAATTGGTAGTTCAAAGTGTCATTAGACATTCATTGAATCAGATATATTAAAAAGTGCAAGTGTTTCGTGCTATTTGTGCTGTTTGAAGACACCAAATGCATGTTGTGCAGCATCTTCTGCGATGACTTGGGCTCAGTGATACCTAGTAGGTGAGGGATTAGGTAACTTGAGTAAGATCTTATTAACTAGGCAGTAGGTAGTTAATATTGATGCCAGCTTGAATAATGTGTGAATGAAATCTTACCAACGACTGTAGGTGATGTACCAAGTCTAGGGAATACTGAGTTAAGTTCGGGATGAATATACGGAATATACGTGATCTTACCAGGTCGACGATCAGAAGATCGAGGATCTGAGGTATGGACCCATAGGCCCATGGACCGTGCGTGCTTCGCGCGTTTCTTCTATCTGCGGGGCCATTTACCATTTACCATTTACCATTTTTGGGACAATGTGGTACTGGTACCTAACAAGGCTCAAGACAACCTAGAATTATCAACCATCGTATCATTCATTTACCTTATCCTTCCCTTGCCTTCCCACACGCGCACGCATTCTCTCTCCCTCCAGTAGTGCAGTAGTGCAGAATAAATTGTTGATATCTCTGAGGCGAAGATGCCAATGACCTTTGCTCTGCCAGACGTTCTAGACCCTCCTTCTTGCCGGTCAAATTCACTAGAAGACAGACTAATACACCATTAGGTAGGCATTTTAGCTTATTGCTCCTCCCCCGCCAGGCTCTTAAGGTTTATATTTCCTGATGACGGGCAACCGTTGCAGGAGCGATTCATTCGATCAGGCTCGATTATAGCGACGATCCTTTTAAGTTTGGTCACCTCATTTGAATCTATTGTCTAGAATTCTAAAGCTATATGAAAGCTTCGCAAAAGCTTGTTCAGTTCAGTTAAAACAATCACTCGTCTTCCAGGTCTGCTACTGCCTATCTATTACTGCCTATCTGCTACTGCCTATCTGCTACTGCCTATCTGCTACTGCCTATCTGCTACTGCCTATCTGCTTTCTACATTACCTTTCCAGCTGAATTGAAACGCCACCACAAATCATACCCTGCGAAGGTAGTCAAGATAGCGCCACAAGGGACGTCGTGGTTTCGTGGTTCGCAAAACTAAAAAAGGTGTGGTAACACGAAGCGGGAAGCCTTGATCATATTCACGAGCGGGGCTGATATCTTTCAGACCTATCCTCTACCACTTTTTACTCAAGGCCAGCTTACTCCCTAATATTGGTTAAGGATATTTAAGGAATCTGGAAATAATGGCTGCACAATTTGGAACTTCTCGAACAAATCGAGGGGAGACTTCTCTTGATGCGGCAATGCGAGCGCCTTCTACCACCGCCCCAGATGTCGTCGTTCTTAGCTTTGTAGACGAAGATGTAAAGATTAAAGAAGTGGCAGATCCAAAGAAGGATCTTTGGGTATCTAGTATCGACGGGTATGTCAAAGTATTGTCTCTTGCGATTCTGTCTAGATTGCACATCCATTTTCCCAAAGTCGCAAACAAAACGATACTGATTTATAATCACATAGTCGCTATTCATCGCCGATAATTCCAATCCGTGTTGGACCTCACGCCGAAACTTTTTATGTTCACCGCGATGTTTTAACCAAATCAGAATACTTCAGAAAAGCTCTTGGTGGGGAGTTTAAAGAGGCCTCAGCCCAAGCCATCGATCTACCCGAGGAAGACCCCAATCTGTTCGAGTTTCTCATTGCTTTCCTTTACGAGTCAAAGTACTGCCCTTTACGTCCTGTCGCAGAAATCATTGTCGCCGAGCCTGAAAAGGGTAAAGGAAGGGAACAGAACGACGATGGAAATGCTTCTGGTAGTGAAGACGGAACAGAGAGTGGGACCGCGAGCGATGAAAGGTAGGATACCAACTGAATCTTCAAAAACTGTATTAAATCTTCATGCTAAATGCGTCAAGTGCCAGGAGCCGGAGAAGACGGGAGGCTCGTCGGAGACGTCAGGAACGAGCCTGGGAACAAAGACAACGAAAGGAACCTGGACGCCATCGACCAGATTGTAATTGTGCGCAATGTACCCTAGAATCTTATGGTCCAGCTTGCTGGAATTGTGGCGTGACGAGAAGAATACCTCCGCCCAGAAATCGTTGGATGAATGGCCTACCACCTCCACCTCAACCAGTGCCCGTCATGGGACGCAATGGCTATCCACACCCTCCCGGCCATAGAGATCCTATAAGAGGCTCTCGGAATAATGCCTTGGATGAACCACCTGTGGAGGAGAGAATGTCTCAAGAAGACTTGAGGACCTGGTCAATAGCCTATTCTATAAGTGTTAATGTTTACGTTTGCGCTGAGAGGTATCTGATGCAGGACTTCAAAAGCTGTGTAGCGGCATTCATCGTAAACAATTTTGAGGTTGCCGGCTCAGATGCTGCATTACCATCAGTCTTGCATTCATGTAAAACATTATATGATGGCGTAAGCTCAATGGATCCTCTCCTTAAGAAAGTCTTCGCTCGAGTTGGTTTCTTACAAGCTAGACTGTGGAAGAAATATCCCGAGGAAACCTCAAATTTCTTTATGGATAATCCGGAATTATCTACTCTGATTCTCAAGGAAATGGCCGAGAGGAGAGAGGAGGACGTCAAAGATGACTTGCCTGCCATGGAACGTCCTCCGTTGCCACCTCTGCCAAGAGAAGAGATAATGCAGGGTCAGAGACGTCGAAATTATGGTCCAATTCCTCATTACTAGCCCTGACAATACTACTGACGACCTCCTCCGCCGAATAACTAGTACGTGACCTAAAATACTATCATGCAGGCATATCGAAATTTTCTTTTAATTTGTGGGGTCAAAGTAGAGCAAGGGCTCATATTTCGGTTTTACATTGGGATATCTGGGAATCTGGGGAATTGTGATACCTTGCATATTAGTGGGCATTTTCTCCTTATACCCTTATCGTTAACAGAAGCAAAGACTGCTGGGTGGGACTGGCGTTTGACGGCAGGTTTCGATTATAGCTACGGCATACGGCATTAAATTTATTAGTACGGAAAAAATACAAATTTCGGTGTAGTGAAGCCCGATGTCCTAACGCAACTGTGATGTTATCATGCATTGATCATATTAGGCAATATGTTCCTCACCTTATTATTGGTCACTTATTTTGGTGTAAGCATCTCCATTTTATATTTAACTTCGAAAATGGTTCTTCAATTGGGGAGCTTGCATTCATTTAAGTATGAATCACAACTCAATTATCAAAAGCTGTCTGCAGTAATAAGTATATCAAGCTCGCAAGTGCAAAGGAAATTGGAGAAATAACTTCTCGGAGTGTCTTCATTTCTTCAAATGCTTTCACTATGTATATAACCTCACTTCATTCTGTATTGCTTTCCTTTTGCATCTTTCCCCTTCTTATACTGGCTCAAGATATCACAGCATCCCTGGATTATGGTACTTTTCAAGGTGCATACTCATCTACATATAACATAACATATTACCGGAAAATCCCCTTTGCGGCACCTCCAACGGGAAACAATAGGTTTAGAGCTCCACAGCCTCCTCTTCCTATCACAAATGGCACATATAATACCGTTCAGACTTTTCCAGCTTGTCCACAGAAAGGCGTAAGCACTTCTTATCAACTCCATTTTATCACGTCTCTAGCCGATTTCCTTCTGACAGCCATATCTAGAATGTCGGCTCCGAAGATTGTCTTTACTTATCCCTTTACTCTCGTCCATGGACATCTGGGCAACCTTTGCGACCGGTCATGGTAGTATTCTTCGGTGGTGGATTCATCCAAGGCGGTGGTTCCCTAGCAGTTCCCCCTTCAGCTTACCCCGTCCTCAATGTTTCTGCACAGAACGATATCCTTTTTGTATATCCCAATTACCGCGTCAATACATTTGGATTTCTTCCAGGAAAAGAGATAGCCGAAGACGAAGATTCAGACTTGAACCCCGGTTTACTGGATCAGAAAGCCGTTCTTGAATGGGTGAACAAATATATTGATCAATTTGGCGGGGACAAGGATAGTGTTGGTATTTGGGGCCAGAGTGCAGGAGCGGGAAGTGTTGTGTTTGTTACCCTTTTCTACTTGGTCCTCAGAACAATTCCTGTTCCAGATCGATGTAGGCCATAACTAATCGTTATCTACACAGCGCACAAGTCCTCTCCACCTCCGAAGAAACCAGCCCGCCTCTCTTCCACCGCGCTCTTGCCTCCTCGCCTTTCTGGCCCAAAACTTACCACTACGATGCTCCCCAAGCTCAGTCCATCTACGATACCATGACCAACCTAACAAATTGCACGGGTGCCATCAATGGCACTTTACAATGCTTGAAATCTTTAGATTGGGAAGTCTTGGCTGAAGCTGCTCTAACGGTTGCGGCAAGCCATACTTGGAATACTAGCAGTTACACCTGGGCACCAGTAATTGACGGGAAGTTCTTGAAGAGAAGTTTGAGTGACGCAACGGTTAATGCGAAGGGTGGCCATGGTGGAAGGGGACAAATTGCAATTTCAGAGGGCTGGGGCATGTATAATGCGCATGAAGGCAAGTTAGATCTTTCTTGGGTTTGAAAGGTGAAAGTCGATATATTGTGTGAAGGTTCGATGAATTGGATAGCGCAAGCTTTCCCTTTCGCCTTGGCTGAACACTGACTTATGTCTGATGTCTCTCAATCTTGTCCGAGTTTCGGACATTGATGAGATGTGAAAGACAGAATATCATTCCGGAATCTCATATGAAACATCATGCATATGCCTTACCACGCTCATCCGAATTGTCTCTTTTGATCTCCTAAGCCCAAAACTAACATTCTCTAACCAGGCGAAAACTTCGTTCCAAGCGGCCTCCAAAACGCCACAGATACCGGCACACCACCCTTCAACTCCACAACCGCCTCTTTCAACGCATGGCTAGCAGGATTCCTCCCCTCATTTTCCAAATCTCAACTCGATGCCGTGCGCGCCATATATCCAGCTTCTGGCAGCGCCGAGACATTCCCAAGTTACAACACTAGTTATGTTAGAGCTGGTCTTATATATCGGGATTCGGTATTGGCGTGTCCGGCGTTGTGGATGAGTAGGGCGGCTAGTGGGAGTGGCTGGTTGGGTCAATATACTATTTCTCCTGCTAGACATGGGAGTGATACTATTTATGTATGTTTTTCTTTTATTTTCTATCCTTCTCCTTTTCTCCTTTTTTCATTCTTTCATCCTGCTCTCGTCTATCTTCCCCATATAAAACTTAACCTAACTAAAAACCCCAATCAGTGGAACCAAGTAAACGCAGTCCAAAAATCTCAGCCACTCATCTACCAAGGATACGCAGGAGCATTTGCCTCCTTCATGGCAACGGGAAACCCTAACGAACATAAAGTCACAAATGCAACTGAGCCAGGTGTACCAAGGTTAGATTCGGGAGAGGAATTTGTTATTGAGAGTGATGGGTTTGAAAATGTGAAGATTAATTCTGGACGACAGAGTTTGGAGGCCAGGTGTGGCTTTTGGGCCAGTGTTGCGAGGAGTATACCTATTTGAGGTGGAAGTGGGGGTTGGGAGGGCGGATATTTGCTGAGGTTGTGGATGTATTGGTAGGTTCTTCATAGATAGATACTCCGTGGGCAGTCTTTGAATATTTGAGAAGTATAGGTATTTTTGCCAGCTTTTGGATCTCTACTATATATTGATGGCATTGATTGTTTGAATGATCTAAATACCTCCAATGCATTGAGTTGAGTATATCAAATACTCTGAACGTGGAATCTTTGAAAGTCTTTAACTATCTAGTATCTACACCCTGAGTTATATATACGCCCAAGATCCGATTTCGCTATACATCTATATACCTAATACATTCAAGACTTACATAGATATTAATATAATAAATAACACATATCCACACCATCTCAAGTCAAAATCAAGTATATTTATTAGGAAACGCATCAAAGGCTTATCCATATCTATAAAAGACCATCCATCCATCCATACATTCATTCATTCTCTACCTCGAAAACCTTATCTTATAATACCTTCCTCATACAATACACAATAATTATTCCATTCTATATCTACTGTACCAAATGCGAATCTCAACAAGTTCATACATTCTATACACTCCACAAAAAAACCTAAACCAAACCTCCCAATTAAAATCTCAAATCTAAACTTCTCACCTTCCTCTTCCTCTTCCTCTTCCTCTTCCTCTTCCTCTTCCTCTTCCTCTTCCTCTTCCTCTTCCTCTTCCTCTTCCTCTTCCTCTTCATCTCCATCGTCATCGTCACTCACAGAGACCATAACATAATGCTATCTTACAATTTACAAAATCTATTTTCAGAATTATTCAATTGCAAAAAGCTAAATATATAAATAGATATTAGATATTAGATATTAGGTATTAGGTATTAGGTATATATCGATCTTATAATTATCTGTATCCAAAACGGTAAAAGGAGATGGAGCCAATCTTCATCTTCATCTTCCAATTCCAATTCTAACTTCAAGTGAAAAAGCAAAGGAGGATGAATGGTTCTGTCAAATAACTCAAATTACATAGGTAATAGGACGAACATGTTCATTTCAAAGGTACTTTTATTTCTGACTCTCCCTAGGCGGTCTATTTCTCGCATGAAATTTGATCAAATATCAACCTAATGCATGTGCTGCCCACAATCAGCAGGGTCTATATGTGCTATAAAACAATTTCTGAGGCAGAATCGAATGACAAACAAGTCTACTGTCGCAAACTTCGTGCACTATTGACTGATCTTTTTACGTAATCGCTGATCCCCCCCATGTTAAAGAACCCCATGTTCCATCCTGTTCGTGGGAATTTCCAAAATCAAGGATCGAACGCCAGTGATGTCGGCGCCAGACTTTTCCCAACGCAACAATGAAACGCCCGCTTGTGTTAACCGTTTTCCTCCTGCACCTTCGCTGAAAGAATCATATGTGTACCCGAAAATCCCAAAAAAGATAGAACTCCGATAGTATAAATGGTAGTCAAAACTCCTTGCTTTGAAAAATGACATTGCATTGAACTCCATGGTGAATCTCAATCTTCCGCTTCTTCGTCGGTTGCCGTGTCATCGTCTTCAAGCGAATTCTCATTCTCATCCTCTTCCTCGTCGTCTTCATCCCCACTACTATCATCACTCTCTTCCTTGTTAAGTCCTGGAATACCTTGCCATTGCACATAGTCGTTTTCAATCCACTTTTTTGAAACGGGTAATTGATATGGATCAAAAGGAAAGTAGGCATCCAATTGATGCCAGCTATCATTGCTTGCGCCATTTCCAGAGTCTCGTAATGCACCATTTCCAACTGCACTTGAAAACTGACTTAAACGAATACGTTTGTTGGTCTCCAGCAGAGAATATACGTACATAAATCCTAGATGATGTGCAATTTTGGCGAACTCGGAAACGATGGGCGGGGAGCAGATTTTTAGAGGATTAAGTTTGGAGTAAATAGCACGAGAAAGAGTCTCTTTAATACCTGCCGTCCAGACAAGATCTTGTCCAATGAATGCTGCAGGGTCTTCGTCGTCAAAAACCTCTGAAGAGTCGATGAGATCTCGCCAACGAAAACAAAAGATATAAAGCAGAGCTTGTGTCATGGCATAGAAAGTTCCGTATTTCTTGAGATCAGGTCCCCGACAAGTGAGTTCATTTTCTGTGCGGATGTGATCCAAGTTGCTCCCAATGAGCTCGAAAACAGTCCGAACCACTTCAGGTTCGACGTGTGCACCCCGCGCTACAAAACTAGCAAGATAAGCGGCAGAAGATTGCCGAAGGACGGCAGGTCTGCCAGGTTGAAATGCCAATTGCACGCAGGTTCCGGCGAATTGATCAATTAGATGTTCCGACTTTTGAGCAAAATGAAAGAGTAGGAATTGCGTGTGTCGGGATCTATATGTAGGTAGAATGATATTCGCGAAATGTCCTAGTAAAGTCTCAAACATATTTGCGGCTTCTATGCTATTTGGGTCTGTGAAATAAGGATCGTAGATAGCAAATAAGCGATCCAGTATCGCATCCATCTTCTCAACGCTTCCTTGGATTTCTTTGGCTCTTTTTGCCTGATTTCCCGTTGCATCATCGCTGTTAATCGATTCGGCGTCGCTGTCATCTGAATCTTCTGCGTCTTCATCATCATCTTCTCCCTGTTCAGAAGGATTCATGGCGAGAGCTTGAACAATGGCGCCCGCAACCTCATCATCCACATCGTCTAAGTCGACTTGCATCTGCACATCAATCTTGACCAGCCTGTCCGTTATGAGAGCGAAAACATCTGACTTTAACTCGGGAGCATAGTCGAGAAGGCGCACTAGATTATTAATATATGTAACATGCGCCCTCTTTGATTCATCAGCAAAAGGAAATTTAGCCGAAAGAATGGGCGAGAGTGTAGCGCTGGCGGAGGGGATCAATCGAAGAAGGTATTTCAATGAAAAGTGGACTCTTGACGAAAGCGTATCACGACTGACATCTGGGCAGCCAGGAAGACGCCCACTCGATAATCGGACTATATTCTCGTTAGTAGAGCCTGGGATACTGGTGATGGGTAACGTGCCTCCAATGAAGTTATCAATAAGCGTTCCAAGCACCAAGCCGACATACGCTCCTTGTGCACTAACTAAGTTTCCGAGAAACTTAGCATACAGCTTCACGAAGCCCTCGTCTCTGCCCATCCAGTCACACTTTAATATAGCCTTAACTAATCCATTGCAGTCCTTATTCAATAGTGATGCATAACTGGTAAGGGCTAGTAGATATGTTTTGGCCTCATCATTTGCGCCAGTATCTTCTCTCTCATCACCTTCAGTTTGTGCGAACACTTCTTTAATACTATCGTACCTCTCGCTGTCACCTTTGCCGTGCGCCTCTATTGCGCGTTTGACTTCCACTCTGACGCTTTCTAAGCTTCTACCTTTCGCGACGTATTCCTCTAAAACCTTTTCCTCGACCTTGGGATTGAAAGACACTCTCGCTCGTTTCGGATTCGGTACTTCTAGATCGTCGTCCAGATCTGCCTCTTGAGCTTTTCTGATCGTGCCTGACATTGTAGTTTTCAAGAGTGGCTTGCTGCCTGCGGTGGCAGGGGTTGAGCGATCGACCGAGGTAAGAGACACCATGTTGCAAGAACTTGCAGGGGAAATAAAATAACAGTGAGTTCATTAATAATTTAGGGGAAAATAAATGCGCTGTACTAAGGACTATCGTTGTGTCTCGGAGTAAGGCTACGGTTGGTAATGGAGGTTTTTGCTCGTGTGCTTTTCCCAGGTGAAATTATTTTAGATACAAGTCACATGATTACCCCATGTTTTGCCCCTCCTCCGCTAGCCACTTCTTATCATCAATATCATAGGTTCGAAGCAGTTTGCTTAGTACATACATTAGCAGTGCAACCAATTTGCGATATTCGACAACATTTGGGCGCTGAGAATCACATGGTTCAAGCTTATAATTAATGAACTGGAGGATTCTTCAAAACGGTCAAGGCTATAAGTGTTGATGTATCATTATATTCCTTTTTTACCTGATATACAAGCCATAAGATATGTGATATTATTCTGGCAATCTGATGCGGGGCTGTTTGACCTACATCTCATGCTGTCCTTACTGCTCAATGTCATCCGACCATCTCTGAGCTACTCTGAGACCGAACGCTGAGGTTATAGGTCTTGCTCTCAAGAGCCAACAAATCTAATAAAGCATCAAAAAACACCCCATTACTTTTGACCCTATCCCTTCATGTACAAGCTAAGCGATCTGGATATCTCAAAAGTGGCCCATGTAGCACCCGCCCAGTTCCTCCCTTCCCAACACCTTTACATATAGTTGATACACTCTCGAAATGTAATTCCCCATGGATTTCTTTCGCCCCGTGGAAGCCCTCGCTCATCTGCTATAGTCAATTTGAATCCTAAATAAAACACCTAGTAGCCTTCTCCACCAGCAGCACCATTGTGGCCGCCTCCATATACGTAAGCACTGTTATCGTGTTCGGCTTCTACCTGTTGACCAGTGAGGACATTGTTGGCGCCCTCAGCTCCACTCGAAAAAGTTGCTGAAGTTGCATTTGCCGAAGCAGCTCCAGCGGCCGGTCCAAAGCCGGAGCTACCAGGTCTGTTTTGGTTGTCTCCACGAGTTGATTGTTGCTAGAACTTTGCATTAGTCTTGTACATTGGGGGCCGAGTAAGCATAGATCATAGATAGATGCTAAAGGATGTTTGAATGAGTAACATTACTCACTTCTCGATATTTTGATAAATAGATCTTGAGTGCCTCAGCATAATTTTCGAAACCCAAAGACGTCATGGCGAAAAGAATATCTTCTCCATTGACAGTCTTGCGCTTCTCTTGATGACATTTCTCAGAGGCTAAACGATAGAATAATTAGGACTGTACACGATTTGTCTTGAATTTCGGACCTAGACATACCTTCGCTTGTGATGAATGAGATGAACTCGCTGACACATTCTTGCATGCACTCTTTGGCCTCCTTTGCAATCTTTGCGTTTTCAGGTAGAGCCGTCTTCATGATACGTGCAACTGGCGCAAAGTTACGAATATTAGCTTCTGAATGACCAAGATCATATTTTTCTCCCTTCGAGGCGCCGCGCGTCTCCGGTGATTGAGAGGAAGAAGTGTGGGACATGATAGGATGTATGACCACAGTGGCACCGCTAGATTGAAGCGTTTGTGCCCCAAGCTCTTGACTGGTCCAATGGCGAGGACATGCGCGTGTAATTGGTGTGATCGACGAAGCGATACCAGTCACAAATAACTTTGATATAGGAAATCACACAAGCTCAATTCTAGGGAGATGAATGACTGAAAAAAAAATCATTAACTAACCATTTGCTATAGGGAGCCATCTATCTTGTTCTTTGACCTCGAACTCATAGCCTCCAGGAGCGTGTGGATCCGTATGTTCATTCATTTGTGCATCCGTGTCATCTGGCGAGACTCCTTGTTCAACGTCCGTTTCCTTTGGAGGGGAATTGGACATGATGTATTTGGGTAGGTGCAGGTGTCGGATAGCCGCTTCCTCAAAATTCCTTGGTTGCCACGTCGGCCGTATGATGTGTAGGACACGTCGTAAAGCCTTGCGATCTCGCAGTTATGCGTATCTGCGTGTTGACCTGCGTCGATCCTCGAGCAGACAGCCTTCTTTTTCCAATGTGCTTACTCTACCTAGCTGGATGTTGCCGAAAAGACGCGACTAGATGGGGTGTGCGCCTCCGTATGAAACTAGGGTCTCTTGAAAAGTGTATCACTTTCTGGGCTGGGCTGCAGGTATCCTACTGCATAAATCGCGTCAGAGGGTTTACAAAAATTTCGGGGATAGAAGGGTGGGTTGAGAAATTGGTATGAATTGTAAAGAAGGCTTACACACTTTAGTTCGAGTCGGAGATATTCAAAGACTTCCTGCACGAATGCGCCTTGTGTCTCTATGATTATGAATCTGCAAGACAATAAATAAAATAATGCGCGTGCATGTAAAAGGCAGAAACGTGGGGTTGACTGGATGAATGACAAGAGCAGTTGATTGATTGATTGTATGTGAGTATGGTAGGATAAGTTGTATGTAGGATGTGGGATGTAGTGTTTGTAGTGTTGTAGGATGGAGCTTGAGCCTTGGGCAGCTTTTGTTTTGGTATGTTGGTAAAATAATTGAAAATAATAAGTTGTTTACCTTTTAAGGTAGATAGCAGGAGCTATGATTCTAGGACAGCTAGCTCCGAGGCTTCTTTTCCTGAGGGGCCGTACCGTACTAGGTGAATCAATCACCAAACCAAAACAAGATGTGGCGGGTAAAGGTAGGATGGTGAGTGAGCAAAGAATGCGGAGTATACCTAGGGACAAGCACAGCTTGTAAAATTCTTACGTTTCAAAGGGCAAAAGCAAAATCAAAATCAAAATCAAAATCAATACCAAGCTAGATGCAATAACCATTAGATTTGTTAACCCTCTCCTAGAATTATTAGGTAGAGTAGAACTATAGAACTGTAGTAAGACTTATTATTGTTACATTACCAACATTTGACAGATGCTGGGAAATATGCAACAGGAACGAAAACACCATGTGTAGTAGTATCCTACATTAATAAAGTAGGCAGTCAAGCTGTAGGTAAGTAAATAAGGTAACTACCTACCTTACCTTATAGGTGGTGTAATGCAGTTTGGAGGGGAATTAGTGACACCTCTGATATCAAGCCGTATCTACTACCTGGCCAAACAAATCGTTGGGTGCGTAGGTAGGTAGTAGGTATGTAAATTTAACAATGCGGGGATACACTACTACTAATCTTCTTCTGACCGACATTAATAAGAAATGTGCTATGCTAGCCGTGAATCTACAATTATAAAAATTGTCTTTATATGAACGCGCAAAGATTCACTTCCATGCCGGTTAATTTTTGCTTCGAGCCATGAATGGTGGCGGGTGAAGGCCGACCGAGCATCCAGACGTCAGGTACAAGAAGCAAGGCTTGATGGGATCGCCTTGGAGATTTTCTCGGAATACGGTAAGATATGTGAATGGATAATTCGGCTTCCATGGCTTTAATATTCATCTTCCAATGAATGAATGGAGTTCCAATTGATTTTACTATTGGTCACTTTCATTTCAAATGAATTGAATTTCAACTGCAAATTATGGCAGACCTTCGTGCTCTTCCCCCTCCAATAATCTATTGTTATCTCACATGCAACACCAATTACTAATTCACTCAGCCGACCAATACGATTCAAGTTATGTATCTTCGGTGAACCGATGAAGCCTTGTTTGCTTTTCCCTCGCATCCCTCTTTGTAGTGAATTGGTGCGCCATCCCACGAGCTGTACTGTATGTGCATTCATATCACCAAATATTCCCACTCTCGCTGTGAGTCTCAGAGCTCGGTATTACGTGGTATAACATCCAAGACGTGGGTAATAGTTCATGGGTAAGACGATGGGGATGATAGCGAGGGCATCTACGTAGGTCCTTGTGAATGTCTTGAACTTATTCCCTTGCTTTGCTTCAGAGTGTTTTCATCGACGTTGATGAAACAGGTATGATTGAACGTGTACACAACAGCAGGAGGCCACATGGGAGTGCTCCACAATCAAAATACAACTCAAGTTTTCAGAGGAAATATTTGAATAGCAGGACGCGTAGGGACTTGCCTGAAGGTGAGTATATCGCGAAGGTAGCTGTCATTGTCGTATTTCTGTAAATAGACATCAAATCCGTCTTTTTGCAGAAGTATTATGTTCGTCATCCATTCATACATACGAAACGAACGATATCCATCCTTCTTCACACCCCACAGCGGACATCATTCTGCAGATGCAGGGTTCTGGTCAGCCTGACGGTGATTGAACAACACACCGCGCTTCTCATGCGAACTTAGCCAAAAAGGTGGACACATCGGGTCCTCTCATTTCTGACAGCCCTTTATGATTGGGCATCAAGAACGTCAACTCAAGGCGTTCTCGTTGGGTGCCGAGGCGCCAGCCGCGGTGAAATTCCAGGACTCAGGCTCAGCCGCAGGAGCCTCACTTGAGTGGTTGTTCTACAGCGCATCAAAACAATCAGTAATCTGAATATATCGGGTCTAGATGTTCTCATTTATCCACCGATTTACGAGCAATCCAATATTACTATGACGTCGTACAGGGCTCTCATGATGCACATAAGAATATCACAACCTTCGAAGTAACTCAGTTTCTGACAACTCGAAATCTTGGGCATGAATGCTTCCCCGCGTATGTCAAATTTACTTCCCCTTTATGCAAAAGGATGGCCCGGCAAGTCCTTGCCACCTTATTGACCGCCTTATAAGCCAAAGTAGATTTCACCCATCTTTGTTGTTGATGCAACGCCCATACTCCAATATATGTGACAAGTGCCGGCGCTATCACTGCTGCACGACCTGAATATTGTTCTTCTTCTGTGCAACGACACTCGTCAGCAGGTGATTTCTAAACCAGGGAATTGATGCTTCAGTACCTTCCATTTCTCCATCTCAGACTGTTTGCTGTTGTATTGCTTGACCAAATCTTCTAGGACTTTCCGTAGACCTTCTGAGTTTGTCTTTAGAGCCGGCACCACATCCTTTACAGTCCGCTCAACCAACACACCATTTATCATTCGAAAGCACTTTCGGTCGCCAGGAAGAGGTTCAAGCGTTTCGAGAACAAGTCTATTGGAATAATTGCGGTGAGCATGAGGCTTTCAAGCGGTGAGATTTTGAGTTGTCAAATGTGCGTTCATGATATCCCAAACCTAGGGAAGTAATGCCTTTCTGTGAGGAGTAAAAAAACAAGTCTGGAACTCACTTGTGCTCCTCTGCTTCTGTCTCTACGTCACCAATTTTTGAGGCTATCTGCTGCAGACCATTTTTGTAGCTTGTGTACTGGTTTTGAAGCTCTTGTAAATAGTTAGTTTTGAGAGTTCCAATATGTAATAAGGGTTTGTACCTTGCTGCTTGCGGGCCGTGATTTGCTGCGCCATTGTTCGCAGAATACGATTTCAAGATATCAATGTGAGTATCGTTCCTTGAGATTTAAAAAAAAGTTTAAGGAGGTTTGAGGAAGTAAGTAAATATGTCATTCTGAAATGATGAGCGCGGGGCTTACACTAAAATTGATTCTGCCGCTTTCCACCGCCATTCAGAAATATGACTGGTGAGTTTCCGAAGTACTTCTCGAACAATTTCAGATGTCATTAATCATTGTCCAGTACAAACATTGATCTGGAATATTACATTCGAGAAACAATTACAAAATGCATCCCCATTTATGGACCAAAGACAATTCCGCAGGTAATATTTCAACCTCTTATGCTCCTGCGTACTTCACACATGCATTCTGGCAGAGCTCATCTCATCATTTTTGACGATCCCTAACGTTCAATAGCGTGCGAGGAAGTAATGGCAGCCTTGGATGAATGCCATGCTCGAGGATTCCTATGGAAGTGTATGGGAATGTGCAACGATAAAAAGACAGCAGTCAATAAGTGTCTAAGGGCACAACGGCTAGCACGAACGGCGGCAAATCGGGAAGCTGCAAAAGTCAAGAACGAGAAAATCAAAACGAAATGGGCAGAGATAGATGAGGCATCATAATATACACAAATCAGACTACGCAGATATGTTTAAATGGCTGGATCGGACTGGTATTTGGCGGAGCGGCGTTGATTTACGATGGTGGGGCGTTCGGACATCATTGCATGTCGAATTTTATTGACATTGCATCCTGAGACCGGAAGTATAACATAGGGATACAATGAGTCGATCTGACAGGAGAAAGGCGTGTAGCACATGGAGCAGGAGCCTTGTTTAGTGCTTTTACTCCGCGGGTCAAGATATATCAACAACTCCACTCAATCATTATAATGGATCTATAGTGAAGCTTGGAAAGATTCTTTTTATTCCACTTAATATATCAACCCACATTCGACCAATTTTGGTGCACCCCCAATTAGATCCATTGTTACTTTTGCGCTCTGAATGCATTGCCAAAGGTGAAGAGTCCGTATATGGCGAGAAGACTCAATCCAGCCGGCAAGGGCTTTTGGGTGCGAATTGCTCTTGGGATAGAAGAGCCTGCGAGAACGATGGATGCGAGTAGAGCGAGTCTGTAGAAAGCAATATAAGCTTCGGAGCAAGGCAGAGATGATGAGGTATAGAAGGCGGATCAAAAGACATACTCAACACCATAAGATTGGCGGTTCTGGATACGATAACCGCCAATGAGGTACAAGGATCCAACAGTGAGACCCGCGACGACAGATGGAATACTTCCAGTCCTGACATAACCCATCGTCCCACCACCCGCAGTGAGTGCGCCAAGAATATATGCTGGTAGTTCAATTCCCTAGGCTTTATTAGCATAATGAAGATCTTTAGTCTAGCATATTCATAAACACACCATATTTGCGGTTCGCTATTGAATTAGATTCAGATTAGTTGATGAGAAGTTTCGTGATTCGATATTTGTTGCTAGTTCTGTGATATCTTCTTTATTATTATAAAGCTAGAGATTGAATGACGGAAGCTATACCCCTCGGCTCTTCCCCCATGCAGAAAACCCTTGTAAACGCTAGCCACATCTCCATAGTAATCGCAACAAGCTTCGTGGCCTTCGAGCTCTTAAGCCAAAATTCACAAATTCACAAACACAACCTTCGCACGTCTCCAATTATATCACGAATTTCACGTTCTTTTCTCCCACACAAACTATACCTCGAACCTCAACGATGGCGCCCAAAAAGAACGCTGCCGCTGCTGCTCCCGTCGCACCACCCACTACACAAATCCCAAGCACTACAACTACAATACCCTCCTCCACACCTGTTAAGATACCCTCCAGACCCTCTTCGCAAAATCAATCACCACAGGAAGTGGCCATTGGTATCTGGCAGAACTACCTCGATAAAACACCACAGAGAACAAAGTTAATTGATGTGTTCATGTCGTTTTTGGTTGTAGTGGGGGTTCTACAATTTGTCTATTGTATTTTGGCTGGCAATTACGTAGGTACTATTTTGTATTTTGGATATATGGGCATAGAGGAAATATGTCGGAAGCAAGCAGCAGGAATTATGGTGGTATAATGAAGGGAAACTCGTGCTAACATAACAATCACAATAGCCATTTAACGCTTTTCTTTCTGGATTCTCGGCAACTGTAGGACAATTTGTTTTGACGGCTTCATTACGCATACAGACGAATGAGGATAACAAGGCAGAATTTAACTCGGTGTCTCCAGAGAGGTACATAGTTCTCATTCTTTGATAAATTGGAGAGCTGCTAACACCATACATAGGGCTTTTGCAGATTACGTATTTGGAAGTTTGATTCTACATTTCTTTTGTGTCAACTTCATCAACTAGATGTGTACATATTAGGTAAGGGAGATGCGATTGAAGATGGGAGGACAGACTTTGTGGAGCCTGTAGAATTACCAAAAGCAGGAGGTGAAATATTCCCATTTTATGAGCTAAAACGGTTTTATTCAAGTGGCATTTGCATGTTGAGCGTGAAATTACTGGCTATAAATTTAGAAGTGTCTCGAAAAGTTAATCAACACCACTATCATACGGATCTTTCGTCTCTGCCGGTATTGGACTGGGCTCAGGGCTTGCTACTTTGGGCGTTCCAGCCCTTGGGGGTCCTCCTGCTTTAGGTGGTGGAGGCACACCACCAGTTTTCGTGCTCGGCGCATGATCTAGTTCTCTACTCTTTTTCTCCCCTTCCATAAAATAGTCATCCATGAAGTTATTCGGATTGTGCACATGTTTCTTCTCTTTCTTCCTTGCTGGTGTCGCGGATACAGGGGCCGCAAGTTGAGCTGGCACCAAGAATTCGCCTGATTCTTCTGCCACAGCAGCTGGCACAAAGAGCTGACTTTCAGCACCTTCACTTCCCATTTTCTCCCTATGTTCCTCATTTGAAAACCTCGCGCTTTCTCCTTCAAACAGTGTTTCTCCTGGTCCAGCGACGGGCTCACTTAGTGGGGCTGGCAATCTATGTAATGCTCCATACCCCAAAGTACAGCCAAGCGCCCCATCCCCGCCCCAGTCTCTGCTTGGATGTATAGTAATTTCCCTTGTAACGTTGTATTCATTATTATAAACGTAAAGTCGTAATGGTCGTCCAATGTGATCCTCAACCAATTCACCCAAGCCACTCTCTCCATGCAGAACCCCTTCGGGTGTGCCGAGAATATAGTCACTATAAGGAAGAAGTCCCGCAAGATCAGCTGGAGAGTTGGCAGGTACATCTAAAATATGCCATATGTTCGAAACGGTAGAGAGGGAAGTCCATTGAACGGTCAGGCCTAGAGATGGAGTATCGGAAGGTACTGGGATATGGATAGTTCGTGTACGTTGACCCTGGAGATGTTAGTTGCTCGAACGAGCGGGCCAGAGGAAAGGGAATACTACCTTTGCGCTCCACAGACCGAGAGTTACTGTACTTCCAGCACAATTCCGTACTTCTTGTGCAAAGAGATTTGCATCAGAATCATCCTGAAACGAGTTAGCGATGCCAATAGTATTGAAACAGGTAACTCACAATCATTCGTCCATTGATCCCTACAATAAAATCAAACCAAGGTTCGACAGCCAGTTCTGGAGTCTTGTTTCTGAGTACTTGAAATCCGAATGCGCTATGATTGTCCCGGTTTTGGTGGACGGGAGAGTCCGAATCCAATCGGGAAATAAACCGATTAAGAGCGTTAAACATGTTAATTGACGAAAACTCCTTATAGTGTCATTCGTTGAAGCTCTGAGAATATTTCGTCAACCTGTTGAGACGTGTTGTTCTCTAGGTGAGACCCTTGCTTTCATCAGCCTTGCTGCTATGGACCAAGTGGCCCAAGCTTCAAGTCATCACTTATTTGTTTGCATGTGGAAGGCTGTCATCACAAATTTCAACTTTCTCTCTAAATTTGTCCTCTTGAGCTTTCCACCCTTCACCCCATAAAAAGGGAGATGAACGGTGTGGTGTTCTCAGTGTGTATTATTTTTCAATCTGAATTGACAAATAAAACTTCTAGTCATATCACTGACTTTTTCCTAGATTGTACTAGAGTTACCTGAGTTACTCGCGTACTTATATTCTCCACGTTCCATGCACATGGTTCAGCAAGGCTGTAACTGAAGGATCTTGCAGTGGAGAAGGGAGAAGTTCATATGGGTGTTAAAAAAAATTCATTTTTGGAAAAAGAAATACAAGATCTACTCGTATGGGCTGGATGCGATCGACCGAATCTTAACTCATCTCAAAGTACTCTCTCCCCTTGTGTACGGACAAGGCAACAGAAAGAGAAGAATCGAAAATCTTCAGAAAATCCACTGCCTGCACCAGCCATTCCCACATTACCTCCACCCTTGGCATCAGTTAACAGGTCAAATTCTGAACGGCGCCTAAGGTGATTCCCCAGGTGATTATCAGACAAACATCAGCTGTTGTCCCATTGAGCAAGGAGGTACCCTCCGAGGTTTGTCGTAACGGGGAAGTAATATCATCACCTTCATTAACAGACCCTTCTGCTACGAAATCTAGTTCAGATTTCTTCGGTCGGGCCGTGTTTTCCAAGAAATCAAACACGTCTCTCGACCCAGAACTCCGTCACACAGTAGAACTCAGTCAGACGACATACCAGAGTCAATAGGTTCGAATCACAAGTGCCTGGACTCACGTCTTATATCAAGCAAGAACTCGGGATCTATTGCACGCAAGGGAGGCGTACAATCAAACACTGTCAAATCACCAATTTCGAAACTTCTTTCTCGTCAGAGTAAAATCGTGACTTCCGCTTATGTGCCCAAAGATTGGATTTACTCTTCTTTGTCTAACCAAAAACTAGTCCGTCATCTGCGTGCAATATTGCAAGCAATTCGGCGTGAAAGTAGTGAAAAGCAGGCGAACCTTGCGATTGTGAAAGCGTTGTTCAAAAGCTCGAGAGTTTTAGTGAGTACACATTTCAGCACACACTCTCTCAATTCAAGGAATGTTGATCTAACAGCAGCTCTATCGACAAAGTATTCAAGGAGGATTGCATCAGGAACCTGATCTCAGCCCTGATACTTTCAAGATGGTCGTCAACGGCAGCACTTCGCATGGGCACCCAGCCACGGTAGATTATGAAGAGAGCCAAGGAGATGGTGATCTGGCGCAATTTAGACTAGACGACAAGTGCACACATTATACCTCCTTGAAAGAAGTACCTTGGGATTTACATAAGTAAGTTCACATGCTGTGGTATTTTCATTCACATTACTAACACCTTTCTAGATACTGGCAGCAGCGTTATAGCGTGTTTTCACTATATGACTACGGTATTTTTATGACAGATGATGCTTGGTTCGGCGTTACTCCTGAACCAGTTGCTACGTAGGCATACCCTTACACTCTAATCCGTTCGTTCATCACTAACTGTCCACAGTCACATCGCCCAGGACTATGCCTCTTCTACGTCACCCACAAAAACAACCATTATCGATCTGTTCGCTGGAGCTGGTGGTAACTCGATTGCGTTCGCTCTCTCCAATCGTTGGGCCCAGATAATAGCCATTGAGAAAGATCCGTCGGTTATCGCCTGCGCTGAAAACAATGCCTACATCTACGGTGCCACAAACATAACTTGGGTTAACGGTGACTGTTTCGAATACCTCAAGACCCACGCTTCTTCTATCAATCCTTCAGAAACTGTTATTTTCGCCTCTCCGCCCTGGGGAGGACCGGGCTATACTACTGAAAATATATTCGATCTAAGTACTATGCAACCATATTCTGTGCAACATATTCACGAGGCATGCAAAACTATGGATATGGCGTTATATCTTCCACGAACCAGCGATCTCAGACAAATTGCTGCATTGTTGCCAGAAGGCAAGAAAGCTGAACTTGTGCAATATTGCATGGAGGGAGCAAGTAAGGCCCTCGTGGCTTATATTCCAGCTATTGAATGAATACGGTTTGATCAGGTTAAAGAAGACGTCGGGTATCCGGCAAGTTGAAATGCCTTGAAGCCTAAGGGCTGAGGACTGCGGAGCTGCAACATGCCATTTCGGTCTATCATGTGGGATGTGGGGGTGAACGCCAATTTTGTTGCACATCGGCAATTCCTGAGGCAATTTGGTGGGAAAGCAATTTGCTACATCAGCAGGGTAGTAAGTGATGTGCAAATCTATGAACTAGCTCATATCTCACTGCATATATAGCAAAATGCAGGAGAGGATAGCTATCACTGATCTCAAAGAGCTTACCTTAGAACAACCCAAACTATACAATATGTTGAATGACCTCTATATTCAATATTATATTGCCTTATCTAACCAATGTCCGATCACTTCCTGCCGTCCTTGAATTTTTTAAACCTCGTTTTAGCCTGGTCTGCATCACTTCTAATATCGCCCTCTCTTCATACTCCAGTGATAGCCAATTGGGTATCACGATGCGATGCTTGTCGATCCTAATCGTTTCCTCCTCGTGAGTGTGCTGGATTTCGGTAGGCTCCTCCACTCCAGTGGTACTTTCAGAAGACTTCTCAATATCTTCTTCAGCCCGGCTGCTCAGTGAGTGCGGCGTCCACCAGTAGATAGGAAAAGTCCTCTGAATGTTGTTCACCACGCAAGCAGTAGCGACCAGAAGAACACTTCCTAACACGACCAAGGGTATCAAATACCATCCTATCTCCGTGATCTCGGGTGACGTAGCAGCTAATAAAGCAGTGGCTCCAGCTGGCGGATGAATTGTATTGGTCAAGCCCATCACCGCAGAAGCTACACCGACCGACAGAGCACCAGCTAACCATCGTAGATTTTCAAAATCAGCATTGAGTTCGAATAATTTTGTTATGGCGACACCGATGACAGAGGCGAATAGTTGACCCAGGACTGCATTTCGTGGTTGAGAAAGAGGAGAATCAATGGTGTTATACTCTAGGATTGCGGCAGCGCCCTATCATTAAAATTAGACATAACGCCGCCTCATGTGGATTTCGGTTGCATACAAGACTTGCGATGACCAACGGAGAGCCGCGCTCTTTAAAGTATGTAGATCGGTAAATATTTTCGACGATTGCAATGCCGCAGAAAGCGCCAATGAAAGCCCAAAACCAAATAACAAGACTACCAGTTCGAGACCTCGGCCTACTTCGATAACCCAGGAACCAAGAAATAGGAGTGGGAAGTATATAAAGTCTAGGAGAAGGGATAAAACGATTGAGATATCGATCTATGTCGAAATCTAAGTCGGACATTATTCATGACATTTGACCATGAATCTGATGACCAAAACAGAAAGAAAAAGATATAAATGAAACCTAGAGTTTTGAAATGTATATGTCGTATAGAAAAGAATACAAACCGTAGTAAAGAAATAAGCTGAAAATGCGCATAAAGCAAAACGCGGAAGTCATGTACGAAAAAATAACAAAGCAATGAGTGATTCACTCCACCTATATGACATAAGGAAAAATCCCAGGTCTCGACATCTCCGGTGAGCATAGGTAGAAGCAGCGCACAACATGATTCACAACTGCACGAAGCGCCATGGAATCGGCATAGACTGAAGCAGAGCTGGAGATCCGGAATCCGGGGTAGAGGGCTCCTAGTAGAAGTGACAGATGAACAATACATCCACGATATTATATGAGCTAAAACAACAGCTCACATTTAGCCTAAGAATCTCCGTGTCGCCATGGCGCATGGGGGTGATGTCGAGATGCCGAGTTTGTGCGAGGGAAGCTTGTTGATGCTGCTGGCGTTGCTTGTTCGGTTTGGAGACAAGACGCGATGACACATAGAAATTCATTTTCCTCATGTCGTGATGCTTGGTGCCTCAGGCTTGATGGCTTTTTCGAGGGACACCCGATGATCTCGGCTCGATAAACGTCTAGTTTCTGTTCCGTGCGGTTTCCAAGCTAGCTTACTCTAATCAACTGAGATTCCACATTCACATTTAAATGTCTTCAAGATTGGAGGGTTCGTGATATTCTCTTATTCTTAATTCAGATCTAATGTCTAGGCTTAGATACCTGTGATAAAAAAAAGTATGTCTATAAGGCGGGATTTATGTTCGTACTGTTTTGCGTGGTAGTCCACCGGAAGTGCCGAGTATAAGGTTACTAGGTATATTGAAGTGATTGATCGCATCGATATCCCTAGACTCCCAAAGGGACTTGCTGATGTTTATTAATCGTCAGGGCATCAATCTTGGCAAACACTTTCATACTCGGCGCTACTGTTTGTCTTGTGTGGAATTTAGGAAATCTCCTAAGTCGGGAAGACTTAACGGCCAAATTCAATTTCTCTCATTGTCTCCATTTCAGTATTTCAAGCGGAATTCTCGTTTCTTACAGAACTGATCATGATGGAGCGAGATTGTCATTCATCATTCATATTGCGCAGTTCTTGTAAGCGCCGGGCTCACCATATCACCAGGCTCCTTTATTTGTACCACCTCCTCCGTCGAGATCAAATACCTTACTCCGCAAACTCGGCATTTTACGCTCTATATTTATTCCCCTATTTCCATTGTCAAGTTTGTAAAGAAGCCGGAGGGAGTAAAGGATTAGTGCTCCATTATGTCTTTAACTATCAAGGTGAGTTGATCTGAAATGTACGTCCGTTGTTGACTTCATTGCTGTACTCTACATATACATCCACAACCACCAATTGACGCGAAAAATACCCGTCATTCGTTTGCCTAAAGATGGCACCCTTGAATACATCAATATCAAAGTATCTAAAAAGTACCACGTCATCTATATGTGAGCCCACCAACGAATTACAATCTTTGTTCTTTATATCCGTAGCTAGTATAGCTCAGATCAGCGCCTCAGTTCATACCCTTCCTGCTACATCTTGATAACTTTGATCTGGGTTTCCATGTAGGAGTAGCCACCAGCTATTTTCCAGCAAAATCATCCCCATCTCACCTCAGCTACCTAAATTAATGTAAACTTTCACAGCCCTTTCATTCCTCTGTCTTTCTATGGCCTCTATTGACTCTCCTGTTATAACCACTTCGGGTCAAACGAGAATATCTTCCTAAAGTGCCACAGCCTCCATCTGCATAAGCGGTGTCAACAAACTGGTAAACCATACCTCCCCTCCTATCATCTAGCCAACTAACACCACAGAGCATAGTCTCCAATGATAATTTTCGCGCAAATTCACAGATGTTCAGTAGCACTGATATAACAAACCGCTGGAATTGGAGCATATCAGTCACAGATATCGAAGTTATTAGTTACCTGGGGAGTTTTCGGATACATAGATCAGTCTACATCCTGGCTCTAATTGTAGTTCCAGTGGTAAACTAACATTGACGAAAGACGGTGTGTGTTCATTTAGTTGATGGATAATTATGTCATGCGGATGTCAAGAATACGACATACTTCGGGTGGCTCAATACCTTTTTAAAACAGAAGTGCGCCGAATGATGCAATGTTTACAGATCCGAAAGTTTCCGTAGATGCTCTTGCTAACAAATTGAACATATTAAGAAGATGGACAACTCGAAGCTCCATGGTAGATATCCTTATCAAGTGAATTAGGATACTGAATCTTCATCCGCTATACGAAAAACATCCTTAACTGTTTAACATCATAAACATTTTCTAAATATCTACCTTGCATCCCTCCAATAAATAATCACAGAACTTAATCTTCTCCCCTCGCCATCCCATAGACTCTTGCATGGTATCACCCCTTTACCTCCCCATCCTCCACTTAATAGCGTACTCATATCGACAAGCGATGTATCCACATAGACCAATTGGAGTAGACCGCAATTATTGTGATTATCTACAAGAACACTAGGCTCGGGAATACTATGGTGAGGAAACATAAGGACGGTATGGCGCATACCTGCCGTTGCGACGGAATTGCTACGGTGCTCTTGCGTTTCGGTGTCTGAGATCTAATACCAAAATCATCAGTCATTATCATACTTCTCAGAAGGAAAGAACAAAATAAAAGAAGGAAACAAACAGTAATAGGACCATCACAGATCCCCAAATGCGCATGCCATTCTACTTCGCTTCCACGGGGCAAAGAATCAACCTCTGCAGTCCAGAATGGCGGTATGGAGCAAGTATCCGCTTGTAGGAGCGCGTGGTCGGGATATGTGGTAGAGGTCGTTTCGGTCGTTAAAGGAGACGTGTTTGAGTAGCGGAATTTTTCTTCCCATAGATCGCGGGGTTCTTCGTCGTCGGATTCCGAGGATTGGAGGGTATGGATGTGTTTCCAGGCTTGGTAGCCGATTTTTGAGCGGACGGATGGGGAATATTGCTCGTTGGGATGGTGGGAGGGTATGTAGATGCAGGCGCTGGTGAACCATTTGATGGATGTGACGTCTGCGATGCGGAGGAGATGTTGGAGAGACAGGACTGTAGAGATGTGGAAGGTAGGTGATGGTAAAGTTGGGGAGTGGGATGATGAGGTGGGGAGAAGCATGGTGTGAGGGATTAGAGGAATTTGCCCTGCGATGGTGAAAAATTGAGAGGATGATTGCGAGGATGGAAGAGAACTGGCTTGTGAGTATGGTCCGATATTCGCAGGGGCCCAGTAGGAACGTGATTGTACGTGTAGAGCTTTGCGGGGCGACGAGCTGTCCGATGGAATATGCAGTGTGAGATGAATTATTAGGGATTTATTCAGGGGCATCGAGGAGCCGCAGGAGATAGTTACGCGGGATGGGGGATTGGGATGTGGAAAGAGAGTACCGTAAATCTGGAAATTTATTAGAGATATGTTTATTAGTTATTAAGCTTGGGGTTGATAGTACCTGGTTGATTGTTGTGAAATCTTCCATTGAGCGTAGCATAATCATGGTAGAAACGATGTCAGTGGTTGACAGTGATGCCTGATCAAGTCGCTCTCTTATTGTTTCTACAACGCTTTTTGCTTCCTCTGATATTGATGAACAAGAACCACTTTCTGGTACAATTGTCCAATGTAGCATGTTACTGTTCTCAACCCTGTTAAAAATAGGGGATTTAAGCTCCCACCCTGATGATATCGGTGATTCGCCGTCCGCTGTACTTGACGTAGACAGGTCGTCAAAATCCTTGTTATTTTTCAATGCAGATAGAATCTCCAACGACCTCTGATCGAGCAATTCCGGCACTCGACAGGATATCTCCTCATTCTCACCAATTTCCTTATCCACTAAAGACACATCACTAATCTGTAACCAAGCAGAACCTCCACCTTCCCTGACGACCCTCAAATTTTTCATCTCAACCTCTATCCTTTTCCTAAACAGCCAACGTGGCCCATCCACAACCAGCGTCTCAAATTCCCCACCCTCACCTAATACAGCTCCATCACCATCAACACTAAATCTCTTCATCGCCCTTTCCACTCTGCGCATTCCCTTCCCACTCGCAACATTTTCCCACAAAAAACTCTCATCAAGCCCACCACTTGCCACCTTGATAATCCTCGCATCCAACCCTGCAGTTTCCATATCCTGCAGCAGAGAAATTTGCATCCTAGGCGGAAGACTCGGGTATTGCCACAAGAACGAGAGAGGAATCAGTCCTAATCGTAATGCTACGGACTCCACGCGCGTTCGTTGATAAGTGGAGAGTATAGCGCCTGTACTAAGAGCATTTGCTTCCGGATGAGCATGCATAATGCCTCTTAAAAGGGGAACGAGAGATTCCGTCTCATCCTCACCCCCATCCAAATGACTCTCTTCCGCTACCAACTTCCCAGCCCCGGAACTTCTGGGCTCCGCATGAGCATAGCTCGCCGCAGTCTGAACAGCACCCCCAACAATAGCCTGTCGATACAGCGGAATCCCCAACGCCTCCTCATATAACGGTATCACTGTATGTCCTACCGTCTGATACATGAAGCTATTAAGATCATTTTCATCCTTATGGGTAATATTCTCTTCTTTTATTTCAGGCTCAGTGAGGGGTGGATGGAGATTCCCAAGAGCGATGACTTTATGTCCATTTTGAATGCAATGGATTGTTGAAAAGAAACTGTCTTTTCCACCTGATATTAAGGCGATCACGTTGAGAGACTCGGACATGGCTCTTTGTTATAGTGGTAGTGTCAAGATGCGGAATTTGCTCGCGACAACATTTGTTGGGGAAAGGAGTTTCAGGAATGTATATAGCGTGGAATTATTTATTCAGAGTAAAAATTGCTGTGTTAAATGTTATACATTGAGATGCATTCGAATTTTCTGTCAGGCAAAAAATGAGGAACTTGTGAATTGATTAATGCCTCAGGCAAGTACTAGACATGAGTTCTGATTCAAAGTAAGTCATAACAATCATCATCAGGTCACATTGGATAATTGCATGATAAGAGAAATGTTTATATTTATGTTTGTATTGTGTGTTATTTGTAGTCTGTTGGTATATCTCAACATTCTGGCCGGCACAAGGCAAGACCCAAAAGCTACCTGAGTTGTTTGGAAGAGAAAATTGTAAAGCAAAAGATCAGAGACGGTCGCCCGCTTTCCATCCACAGCTCCCCTGATAGTAATTACAACGAATGTAAGAAAAGTGAATCCCCTTGTCTTCCATCATCAAAATACACGGCTCGAAAGTTTGCTCAACTAACTATCGATCATCACGCTAAATTGACAAGTGATACACAAAGTTAAAAAAAAAAATCAAGTAAAGTACAAGAATGGTGGAAAAAGTGTCTGCAAATAGCAGCACATACACGGAACAGTGACTTTTGTGTTCAAGCAACCCTCCCAAATCATCATGACAGCGTCAATGTAACCTTTATCCCTAACGACCAAATCACATAACAAGTGAAGGTCCGAATATGAGCGCCGGATGTTGTAACTTTTGTGTTCGTAAGATTCGTAAACGGCGTACTTCGGCCAATCAAGTATTCATACATCAGTATTTACTCCGACCTCTTGCGCTTCTTGCGGGATTGGCTGTCGGAATCGCTGTCAGTACCACTGCTTTCACTGCCGGATGCGCCAGCGGCCGCGGCAAAGAGTGCACTTCCAAGGGCTCTTATTTGCTCCCCATCGCTGCCAGACTCCATGTCGCCGGGAACTTCGCCATCTTCCAATACACCCATGACGATGGCACCACTGCCGTGAGTGCGCGAGTGTTGAGATAAGTTGTCGCTTCGGGAGAACTTCTTACCGCACTCATGGCATTCGAATGGCTTTTCTTGGGTGTGAAGGGATCTGTAATGGCGTTTCAAGTGTTCTTGTCTGCGGAAACGTCTGTTGCAAAGTTCGCAGTGAAAAGTCTTTGAAGGATCTTCAGTTAAGGATTGCTTGCGACCGCGACGGTTGACTGGTGCTTGATGAGTGTTGGCGGCGTCTGATCCTGATGACCCCATCATGTTGTTGCTTTCCGAAGAACCGGATTGACTTGGGGCGGCGGAATTTTGTTGATGGTCGGCAGAAGTCTCTTGTGGCTGAGCACCGGATAGATTATTCATTGGGACAGTGAATTTTCGGGATCGGACCATAGAATCAAATTCCGAACTGTCTTCGTCGCAATGAACGATCTTGGATTTCTTGGTACGCTTTTCCTTTTTGGGTTCTGCTTCGGAGCCCGAAGCAGGTGGGCTTGGAAGGCACGCGACTGCAAATCTTTCGGTCTCTAGATCATCAAAATCCTCGAAATCGTCTTCACTAATGAATGTCTCTGATGTAGGGGAAACGAGATCAGATACAGTTCGTTGTCTTTTGTTACCGAAGAATTGGACGTTGTCAGTAGAAGGGAAGTTCACCAGACCATTAACGAATTCGTCTTCAGAATCGAGATCTGAAATATGGTCAAAGGTAGGGAGGCCGTGGTTGGATGTGGTTGCTGTGAAATCGAATGTCGCACGTGTTTCGATTTTGCCGAATGCGTCACTACCCCCTAACATGTATTGATGTTCTTCGTCCTCAGAGCAAAGTGTTGGTAAGGTCGACGATGAGAATTCACGGGCTGAGCTTAAGATTGGATTTGAAGTAGGAGGTAAAATTGAGGAATTAACTGTGAGGTTTCTGGGATCACAGAAGTCGAAATCGGATTGTTCAGATGTGACGGAGCGAGAATAAGGGGAAGGAGAAGGTGAAAGCGAAGGGCAAGAAGTGGCAGATAGGAGTTCATTAGCGTGAGAGCTAAGCGAGGTTGGGTGGATGAACACTGAAAATTGGTAGCCTTGTCAGTACATGTATTCAAGGGGAGAAGAGAATGAGAAAGCGTATCAATGAAATCAATTCTCTTTTTGAAGTAAATGCAACAAATTGCTCTTGTTGATTAACAGTAACAATTTGTGTGCAATCATTCAGAATGATTATCGGTATTCATTGTCGTTATCCGTCTTCACCATGTGGAGGTGGGAAGGATAAAAAGTAATCAGTGATAACATACCTGGTGTCATAGGTGGAGACCCGCAACGAGCCCATTCACCAGCAAGATTCTCCGATTGAACTTCACTCTCACATCCTTCCTTAACACCTTCGAAACTCTCGGCACCAAAAAATACACTGTTTACTGGAGTTGGTAGGATGTCACAGCTAGATGGGCTGCTCATGACACTTCCAGATGCTGAAAGAGGTGGGGTTGCAGGGTAATAATACATGTCGTGTTCGTTGTCCGAGTCCAAAATCAATCTTGGGGAGTGGCCCTGGATCAAGATGGTGGGCTTTTGGTACATTGGTCGTGGAGAAGCCATTGGTGTTATGTTTCCAAAGTATCCAGAGTTGAAGATCTTCTGTTGCATTGAAGGTTGCGAGGAAGAAGAGTTTGGTCTAGAGTACATTGGTGTTGAGGGCATCGATTGAGCATGCTGGTGGTACATAGGCATTGGCATATGGCTTGGTTGTTGAGAGAAGTGACCATGTTGACGGTTGTCTGATTTTGGGTCTGGGTTGTAGTAGAAAAATGGGGATTGTCCCATTGATTGTGCGTAATAGTCCATGGTGGGATATGGGCTGGTCTGCAAGACGTCAGTTGCATTCCTCGGATCCATCGTATCCAAGCACAACATACCGATTTGGATTATAGTTTGGGTTGTCTGGCAGATTATAGTACACTTGCAAAGGTACTGTGTTGGCAGACCGCGTTGGTCAAGATGTCGATGCTAAATCAAGTAATACAAGGCTTCGCAGGTAAAGAGGGACGGACAACAGCTGCAGAGAGATCTGTCTAATAATAATAATGTTCGAATAACTGATTATACATAGGCTCGTCAAGCGGAGGAAGGATTGGTATTGACCTAATGGTTCAGTGCAGTGTGGTAGATGATTATCGAGGATTGGATTCCGTTGAGTGCAAGATAACAGAGCAAGAGCAATAGCAGGATGCCAAAGGAAGGTACAGAAGAAGATCGAGAAGGCTTATAATATGAAAAGCACAAGTCGAAGATGTTCCAAAAGATTGAGTTACAAAAAGGAAACCGTTAGGCGGTATAAGAAGAATATGGTAGCGATGAGGGAAACCTGGACAAGATGAACAAACGAAGGTGGTGACGGGGACCCTGGAAATAAAGTAAAGATCTCGAAAGATCAACGAGAGTGATAGAGGGTAAGATAGGCAGTGCGACCAACAGGCCAAGTCTCAGGCGAATGGGCATGGGAAACGGGTGGGCCAGGAACAAGAAAGCAATGAGTGGGTGAGATAGGTGGATGTGGTGAGTCGACGTCCAGGACCCTGTCTGGGGGAACCGGCAGCGATTGAGTTGGGATGGACGAATAGTCTGATGGAGTAGTATGGAAATTTCTAAATCTAGTGCAGTTGTGGATTCGGAATCCTAGCATTTTCGTGTTCGACGCTATTGCCCATTGAGAAAGTGATGATTGTTCGGGAACTTTTTCTTTTTTGATTTCTTGAACTAATACACGGATTAGTGGCCATAATAGTGGATTCATTCTGGTGGCTCGGGTAGCACTATACCATAATACACTATGCCAGGAGTGAGTTGGGAGTGGAGAGAGAGCAGAGGAGATATATTACTAGACATGGAATAGATCAAACTACATCCACGCAATACCAGGGTCCTTGTACGGACAGTTTTTTAATTCCTTGGGTAGGTATTGAAAAGGCCATGGACGAAGAGGCGGTCATCGTAAACTCTGTGGGTTAGCTAGTTAGTTACGGAGCGAGTTAGTTAATTAGTTCATGACCAATAGTCATTACTTGTTATTGACTTGAGGAGCCATTGGATGAATATCAAGCCACTTTCATTATTATTGTTGTTGTGATTATTATTATTATTATTATTATGATGATGATGGTGATGGTTATTTATCCCACTCGCTTTCCTTTCCCTTTCTCTTTCTCTTCTCGTTCCAATGGCAAAAAGCGGCGAGATGATTGAAAGGTGCACGACCGAAGCGCATTGTGCATGCATGCATAAGCCCGAATGATTTGACTAGAGTAGAGAGAATAGAGTGGGAGTGGCATCATATCGTAAATTATAGCATTATTAGCACTATTTTCGCATTAGCATTACTATATTATCCATACGGACAAATTTACACGACACCACACAATACTTAGTCCGTACAAGAAACGGTCAGGGTCTTTGGCTTTCAAGAGGCTTTTGGTGGCTTTGAAAGAGAAAAGGAAGTTAGATGAGGAGTTACAAGTTGATGAGCATCTAGTATCTAGTATCTAGTATCTAGAGTATCTACCTTTCGAATTCCAACAACATTGTGTCACTGTTACCTCCAGACGGGGTTACTGTCTGCGTTGTTTTCTACAGTCCCTAGGTATATGAAGTGGTACAATAACGTTTTGGAATACAACAAGACAATTAATTCTAGGTACTTAGATACTCAGAAGTGATTAGATGGATACCGAGTTGCTTCCACCGCATTTGCTAATGCTCATGCCAACCAACATAAACATACATTCAGCTCTACTACCTAAAACTACTACTGTACCTACCAAGGTTCACAAAAAGTACAACAGTACAAGTCAAGTACAAGTTACGGACTTTACGGTAGATGCCGTAGATGGATGGCCATTTTCCAACTTGATTCGTGGCAGGCAAAACATGAATGATTGTTGGTGGATCTCCAACCTGTGGATGGGTGGATGGTGGTGATGGTTGATGTTGATGGTTGGGTTGATGGACGGAAATTGCGACCGACAGACACAACCAAACTAAATTGCTTGAACCTAAAACATTATCTCTAGAACCTATTCCAGAGATCACCTCGGGATTTGATTTCAATAGACATTTTCCAAATCGATACCAAAACTTATTAACCACACAGAGAGAGATTTATTGAAAACTATTTTCAGCATTTTCAATTTGATGGATGGAAAAATAGACACAGTTTAGGACTTACCTCTGGATATTATGTTCCTATTGATTAGCGATTAGATTAATAAGTCTTGAGTCTCGACGACGTTTGCCTGATGAATGAATGAATAATAAATGGTCCACACAGTCGTATACCCATTCTATTATTGATGCCATTGACCATTAAGATCTAAAATACACCGCCCACCACACCTACTTTCTTTACCTTCACCTAGTACCTCAATCCGTCAGCCCTGCCGCACCAGAGAGAAGAGAGAAGAGAGAAGAGAGAAGTCTTATTCACACATACAATGCTAATAGCTAGAATCTTACGATCTAATGCGACATCTCTGACTCGCGATGCGAATGTGATTCACATTCCCGAGCATAACATCTGAATCCAAAGGGAAACATAGTTTGTCCAAGAGAAGAAACTTCTGTTTAACAACCAACCCAGCGTTTCCGTGATGTGGTTTTATCTCATGCCGTATTGGGATGATCCAAAACTCGCACCCAACGAATCAAATGGTGGAAAGCGAGACGCGAAACACGTTGGTGACCATTCATATCGTGAAGCACACCTCCAATATGCAGTAGAGTACCGGTTTAGGATATCGACATGAATCTAAAGTGTGATTCGTGCATGGTGGTTGTGATGGTGATGGTGATAATGCAAATGCAAGTGATCCAACAAACGCTACCCAACAACTTTTGTTTCCTTTTTGTCGTCGTGTTGCAAAAGTCTGGTCCCTCGATTTGGCAAACCTCTCCGCTTCATTCATTGGCTACATGGAAATCCTCTCTTCTAATTTCGGCGCCCTACTCTTGCACCTATCACATCTCATCCTGTGCCTTTTTCTTCTACAACTAATTCTTGCGCAGCTTACAGCTCCCATCGAATAGTGATAATTCGCCCGACGTAACCTTAGATGGTATCGTATGCATCCAATATGCATTCATCCTTCCTTCCTTCCTTCCTCCCCATGACCCCCCAAGATCCAAAAAACCTTTTCATCTAGGTATCCTATCGATAGTAGGATGATCCTTGGGTTCAGCCCTCCTTCAGCTTCCTCCAACCCCAAGAGCGCTTTGCCCCGCGTCTACTGCAAAGGTAGACCGACCATCATCAATTGTGGGGGAGACGAAAGAAGAAAAAAAAGATGAAACACTCATTTTTCCTCTCCTGCTTTTTCGATCATCGTATCGGGGTAAGGTCAGACAGTCTCCGCCTCCCGTGAGATATGTCAGGAAATCCAATCAATCCATGCGACTAGTCCTGGCTTACGCTGACAAGTCACTATTCAGAGATTTTTAAAGTTGCAATGTACAGTCTCAATGGTCTCAAGCTTCAAAAATACTAACACTGCTACATTCATCCCCGCAAGAAACTTTTGCGCAAAGCCTACCTACTTGATTTGAGATCTCAATTCTCAAAGAAAGTTTCCAGCCGCACTTTTGGAACTGGCAACGGAAACACTGTCTCTCATATGATTCTGAACACGCTTGGGAAAAACAAAAAGTCAAACATATTGTTGATACGAGCTAAACATAAAACCATCTTGGTATCTTAGTATCTTAGTAGTTTCCCTAAACGCCGGCATTTACGATGATCTAAAGTTCATCATCGCCATGTATTATCATGTATTATCTATCATGCGAACGATTAGGCCGCGTTTTGGGCTATGGCTCGCATCGGGTAGAACCTTGAATGGACACACTTCTTTCGACGGGATCGACCACTCAGACTCTCTAACATGATGATTTGAAGATTGTATATATATAAATCTGACCTCATATGACCGGGCACTCTTTCTACTTATCCACTCCTTCACCTAATCGATAAGGTGATAATCATTACGATAGGATGAACTCGCCGATCTCTCTAGCGCCTGAAGGAAGATGGAAGATGGTTGCATAAAAAATGGATGCACGTATCTTTTTTGCACAGCGCTCAGCGCTTCGCCCAATTCTAACGGCCTGTCAATGAAGATTTCTATCATCACAATAAAGAACAAGACACCAGATTCGAGAACTCAAAATGGGATGCTTAGATATACTCGGTGGTAGGTAGATATGCCCTATCATATGCAATACAGTAGAACCCAGCTGGGTATGTATGTGCTTTGACTTTGATGCTGTTTAGCTCATGCAGCTTAGCTTTTTGTTCCTGAGTAACATTCCCGAAAAGAATGAATATCGGTACAGTGAGTGTACACTGGATAGTGATGAATGCAAAGATGGATGCATATGATTTATTCGTGGCTTCATCATCACATCACCTTAGCATCATGTTTCCCAACTGGCATATTGCATGTTGCGCAAAAGTGGTACTCCGCATCAATTTCATCTAGTTGCAAGTTTGTCCGTGGCAAAATCTAAACATAGAGCGCTCTTTTCATTAGAGCAGAGCTCCCGAGTCCCAGAGCGCGGAGAGAATGATTTCCCTTTTGGAATATGGGATTCCCTTGCTGCTTTTTGTCGATTACAATGAGGGTTTTCCAAGGTACCTAGGTAATGAATATTTTATGCATGCATATGTACGGCACGATGGGCTTTTGTGCTTTCTTTTCTTACTTGGGTTGGGGCTGGTGCAAGTGTAGCTACAAATTTGGCCGAGGCCTGCATAATGAGGTAGCATTTCTGGATTACTTCATACCGAATCCGTAACGAGTCGCTCGACATGGATTTATAGCATGGAATCCATCGAATCTATAGTATTAGCATCCATCCCATTTCTCTAAAGCCACAGGAAAACTTGTTCGGTGGACTTTTCCAGAAGCCAAAATGTTGCGATATGAACTTGACTAGGGAGCCTTCCCTTCCCTTCCCTGCCCTGCCCTGCCCTGCCCTGCCCTTGAGCCCTAGTCGCTCGTCCGAGTAAGTTCACGGTCGCGGTGAAAGAAAGAGTGGTAGGGATTCTGAGTGGGTGGCCCATTCTGAGGCTTTCCGTTAACATGATAATATCCTGTTCGGTTGGTTTAACTTTTCTTATCAATCGGTCGGTAGGTCGGTCATGATATTTTTCCTATAGGTATCCATAATCCATATTTTAATTATTTCACCAATCGGGCAATGAATGCTTTCATTACGTTCATTACGTTACTTTACAGATGTCCAGTGTCCACCCACCCCCATCCAAACCTGCTGATTGCTACTGCAGGAACAATGCAGGTACGGAAAATGCCTGACGGTGATGAAAAGTTTGGGGATCTCGACCTCGACAATGCATGCATGTATTCTATTGTCTTGTATTGTATTGTATTGTATTGAATGCTCATTTATTTATTCTTGCATCAAATAACAACAACAACAACAACATGAACTTGTCAGTCTGTACCAATATAGAATACCATTCCCAGAAAATCAAAAAAGAGACCAAAGCCCTTACTTCATTGATAAGTTTTTGTCCCAATTTTTCTGTCCATCCCATTTATGATTTACCGGTGTCATCTGAAGTTCCCTCGCTTGTTCCCGTGGTAATGCCAGTGCGAAAATGGTATGGAGCATGCTACCATATCACGCCAGACGACCTGGTCAGCGGGGATTCTTTCCTAGAGCCCCAAACCCTAGCTTGGCCGCTGGCTGGCGAGACTTGTCGGACTGGCCATTCTTTGGTTCAATTCCAATCGAAATCTACAAAGGACCCACTCGCGGGTCCCGGATCTCGAATCCCTAATGCCCTCGTTCGTGCAATCTTGACCTCGACCAGCGTCACTATTGGAAGAGCGCAGGTCAAAGATCACGATACCATCGATTAATGTGGAGTGGCTTTCCTGGCAATCCGAGTCAGTTTGTCGGTGGATGGCTTGATGCGAGGATAAAGACGTTTGTCAGATCATACTCCGTACATGTCCCAGCGGGACGGGAACCGGGAATGAAATGCTACGAACTTTACACTACCAGCGATGGCTTTTGCTGGCGCAACCTTTGGGTCATATCAAATTGGAATTATAGGGACCAGCCCGAAGCCGGTTGAGGAACTATCTACAGACTACCGGTATAGCACACTCTGCCAAATCACGGAACGCTCCTCTTTTTAGGTTCTGCTAGAAGATTTAGTCTGGATGATCTGGCGGCCGCAAAAATGATTTCAAGGTATTAGTAAGTATTATGACATTTTCTTGTAGATCTACGCATACGCAGCTGCCGGTATTGAGTATGACAATGCTATTCTATCTATTGTTCCGAAAGGTTCAAACAAAGTCCATAGTTCAACGATTCGAAGCCTCAGATACTCGTACCTAATTAATTAATCATTATTTACGAACTAGGATTGATTACATTCCGAGGTCACTGAGATCTTTCAATTTCATTTCCAAAGAGAAAGAGCACACCGATACGGCACTATTATTCTAATGATGGCTGGGAAAGAATGGCCGAAGAAGAACTGGAACTGATTCCAAAACCCCGGATTTTTGCCCCTACCCTCGAGGGTTAGAAATTAGTTTATCGAGGCTCTCACCGTTAAACCCGAGACCTTCTGGCTGCAGGCGAGCGGCGCTGTTCGGTTAGAAGGAAGAATAGGTCTCAAACATGTTGGATGGTACAATTTGTACTCGAGTAGCGTCTTCAGAGTTCAATTTGCCACTGATATATGTCTTATTGTACGATTCTATGGCCTGAGAGACGCGGCAAAAAGCTTGAATTAGCTTGAATTATCGATAACATCGTCCTTAGTTTAAAGTCTATTCTAATTGTAAGACCAAAGAAGGGTCCCAATACAAGATTACCTTTTTTACTTGAGGGGATGTTACCGGTACATGTCTCATTTTTATGATCTACTCGCGTATAGGACGCTTCCTTGGACAAGGTGGGTTCGCAAATGGCAATAATGAAGTTATTCAGGGCCCATTCAGGTACAAATTATGTGAAGATCACTCCGCAACGGTTAAGAGTGTCGATCTAAGACCAAAATGGACCTTGGATTTATTGATACCACTGTCCGACTGTCGGCAGTTCTTACCAATTAGTCGTTAATCAGATCCGTAGGCGATGCCCCAAGCCCTGGGAAAGAAGCTTTTGGAAATCGATTGTGAGGGGTACAAACGTTCTAGAGATATCGTGAGATGAGCGGAATGGGGTTTTCATCCCAATACTTCGTAATCCATGTCCGTTCATGTCGAGTTTCTGGTACACTACTGTCCTTCCGGTAATCAAATAAATGGGGGTGACCGTCCGCTGCCAAATCAGATACCCTTGCCGTTCACTGAGAGCTCCATATCATACCCTGCAGCTTCTTTCCAGAGGGAAGATTGATTTCCCTCTTGTCTCTCAAGTAGAACAAAAACCGTCGGAAGTTCGTAAGACGGATAACCATCCAGTGGTATGGGCATCCATACACCCACCCATACTCCGTAAACACCACCACCCAGAATGAATGCTCGCAACAACTCCACTCTTGCATGCAGCCGCGGATATGCATCCCGAAAGTGTAACATGTTCTCCGACGATATACCATTTGGAGGCACCATGTATTCGCGAACCTTGTTGACGGGCCTTCGAGAATGTTTCATGAAGCCTTTTGATGGTCCCACTCGAACAATTTCGATTACGGCATCCATGACCTTGTTCCTTCTCCATCCTATCCTATCCTATCCTATCCTATCCCCATCACCATTTCCAATGTTCCATATGTATCTGCAATTATTATTTTGTTCCTACGGAGCACAATGTACATACAGTACTGCGAAAGTTTAAGCATGTCAGGGCATCGCATGAACCGGACGATTCGCAAGTTGATGCCGCCGACAAATCAGGTGGGGAGATATGATACACAATCCATTGTTATGATTTGCTGCGGAAGTTTATGCGGTATGGAGGACGATCAAAGTTTGGTACATTAAGGTAGAACATATGCATGAAGGAAGACGCTATGCTCTGTTTGACGTATGGAAGAAGTTTATGCGGTCTACGAGACTTTTGTCTGTCTGCGATGAATGAATGAATGGATGGATGGATGGATGGATTTATGGATCATCTAATAATTAATGTTATTATCAATATTCATTATGCACTGCAAATATTTTGTCTTTTCTCTTTTCTCCACATCCTTGGATGTCTACCAATCGTATCACTCAATTAATATGCAATATGAGAGAATGAGAGAATAAAAGAAAAGAAAGAAAGAAAGTAGGTGAACATTTTTGTACACGTGTCTCGCCTTTTCTACCAATTGAAATTCCCCCCCCCTCAAAAAGGTGCCAATTGCAATAGCCTTTTCGAATTCACCTTAGTTTTTTTTTCAATAATCCTCATGCTCGCTACTCGCTTTACTATACACGCTATGATGTTTTCCCATATCAGGACACCGGTCTGTATAGTATACCGTTAGATTACCATGGGTCGGCTCGCTATTCACGAGACTTTTTCACGAAAGGCTGGAAAAGAGGTGGTGGGTGGTGGGTGGTGGATGATGGATGAGTGATGAATGGGTGGAAAGGCAGAGCCGAATTACAATCCTTGAAAAGAGGGGGACGGTGAAGAAAACCATCGTGCCATCACGAGGCTCGGTTTGGCGGTATCCAGAGATGGCGGTATACTGTTTTTGCTCTTCGGTTGCGGATTGCGGGTTGCGGGTTGCTTCGATCGATCGTATGCATGGACGATGTTCGATGCTTGGATGTTTGTATGTTTGTATGTTTGTATGTTTGTATGGTAAATGACGTTGGTCGGTCGGTATACACCAGTGCTGCAAGTACCGTTGTTGTTGTTGTGTGAAAGGAAGGATTTGGTGAGGAGTTCCGAATTGGTCGATTTGTTGTGGTACCGATGCTCGGGTTACTTTTTATCTGATTGTATGGTGCATGTGGTGCGAGGAATGGTCGTCCCTTCGAAGGTGTTTGTTCACTTATTTTGATGCTATATGCTGTTGCGCCAGGCACATTCCATATCAGCGTAGTCAAAATCTAGGTGATTTCCATTGTCGATTTTGTACTTGCAAGTCTTGTATGGCCATGCTATGGATGAGGGGTACTATAATTACCAAGACCGGCTTCCCAAAATCGAGGCTCATATAGGTCGAAGATATGAATGTCGAAACTGAGGGTAAAAGGTAGATATTGAGCAAGCGATTGCCACTAGCGATGACTTCCTATATCCAATTTTCTTTTAATCTTACGATGAGCAGAAAGCTCAAATATCAAAATTCAATAGAAGTATCTATGATTGCGGAGTCGCAATAGAAATCATAGTATACAATAAGAATCGTTGTTCCCCATATCAAGAGAATAACTCCTTGGATATCAAGCTGACATCCAAGTGTATTCATCTGCTGAGTATGATTCATTATGTTATGGTACTTACGGTTGGCATCAATCACGAACTTCCTCATATTCATAGGGCAAAGAGTATGGTTGTGAACAACAACGCCGACAAGCGAAGCATATCACTCCTGCGAAGTATATCCCACAAACCACAATAACTTCCTTGGTTGCCACAACATATCTTCACTTTACAAAGTATATCCCACAAACCACAATATCTGCCTTGATAGCCACAGCATGTGAAGGCGGTATCAGCTTCGTACATGTACACCAGTAAAGCCACGAGCAAAGCAGCTCCAATCAAAGAGAGCAATGTTACCTACGTATTATGTTTAGTTTCGATACTCTAATAGTATACATCAACCATACGCCATGAAAATATCACAAACATCGGGGTTAATCTATTTTGACTAGTTTACTAGTCTCATTGTGGAGATATCCCCAGCTTACAAAACATCTTCGAGGAGAATTAGATGCCGCCCTACGAGTATCATCAACGATATTCGAATATCAGAAATAATTTCTGTGCAAATTTCTCTAGCTTCGAGCACCGCACGTGGTACTCTTCCTTCCATGCTTCCACGCCTTACTCAGAAACGTTTATTTGAGTTGGGATGAATGCAATGTCAAGGCAAAGCAAGAGGAGCGAGGTAAGGTAAGCAAGAGGAAGAAGACTTAACTCCGCACCTATAGTCTATCTCGATGAAATGGATGATTACCTATCCTCTCTTCACCCAAACATTCGCATCTCATCTCAATAAGCTGATTTTCCCCCTCCACTTCTTCCTTCCCAATCACAGAATAAATTGATTACACATCCCACGCATCCCCGCCACAAACAAAACAACCCCTCCACGTAATCAATTACACAAGCACAGCGTCACATCGATGTCAAAAATCTACATACATACATCCATACATATAAATCTCAGGAGACAAAAGAGCATCAAAAAAAATCCTTCGAGGATAATTCATCCACGAAACTACAAAACTACAAAAATATAGTAGTCTTACGATTGATTGATTGATTCATTGATTGATTGTGGCAACGAATACACGCCGCATCCTTCCATGACGGAGAATGCACGGCTGACATGATATAAGTTCCTATCTATGTACTTAAAAACGTTACAATGTCGTATTGTAGTGAGAATTCTTAGAATCCTTCCGGGGTGAGATGATCGCGGAGAGCTAAGTATGCATGCTTGCATGGGAATGGGAGTTGGATATCAGAGGTGAGATGGGGTGGGATGGGATGGGATGGGATGGGATGGGTTACATCTATGTGTTGTAGTCCGTAAGACGATAACGCCACAATATATATGTTCATATCAGCCTGTGCCGCTTTCTTGAAGAAATTTTCACGTCGTTTCGTGGGGGTTGTAGAGTTTCTAGTAAGTTAGTAAGTTGGGAAGTTAGTACCTGGCTAGGTACATATGTAAATAGGGACTAGGGACTAGGTGTTCCCTGTTGCCTGTTCAGTTCCTGCATATACATGCAGAACTCACTAGCCAATTCGATGAATTCTTTCATCGATTACCTAGTAATTCTGAAAGTATTACGATTCAACATTTCCTATTCCTGATGAGTTTTTCTCAAGAAGATGCGCGTTATGGAAATGACTCCCTTCTTTCTTGGAGAGGAATTCTCTCTTTAGTGAGTGAGATTGCGAGTAAGCTGCTGATATTTCTGGAATATTTCCTTGTTTGTGGATGCGGTGATCTTGGGGGCTGAAAACTTGCTGATTTTCCTTTCTTTTTTTCTTTGCTTTTTTCCAGGGCTGTATTTATAGTTTTGGATTTTTGGTCAAGATCAATTCACATTCTATAAATAAAGAAAACAGGATTAAAAAGAATTAATATTTAACGAATAGATCTACAAAAGAAATATATCTTGAAAAGTTTTTGAAAGAGATAGATAAAACAATCCCTACCAGGGTGTACAATACATTACCCTCGTCGGCGTACCTAGTATTTAGTACCTATCTACTATTGATACCTGCCGTTGCATTGATGGCACTGACTCAGTACTATATAGTATGTATAGGTAGCTAAATGTATGAAGTCTTGCGAACGGGTATATACAAGCATGCAAGCTATATACTGCACTTTTCTTTTTCTACTCATTAAGCTATCTTGTCATGTGAAAATCGATTTCTCGAAAAAGTAACTCCTTGTGCCGTTACGCGTTTGGGTGGTCTTATATTATTCATATATATATATATATATTGCGACCCTAATGTTATTCTCTCTCGCATATATACATACATACATCCATGCCATCCAATTGGTCGTTTTGCATGTTTCTGAATGCGGCAGGTCGTTGAATATGTAGGTAAGGTAAGGTAAGGATCTGGTGGGATCGGAGTGTCTAGTATATATTTGTTAAAAAGACATGTGTTAAAATTCTGACCCGATCTGAAATATATCGAGACTCGAGGTGTGCCTTACATATTGTGGATGTATGATTGAGTGTGCATTATAGAGTTACACTCCTCGGGTTGATGTATGTGATGGGATTGATGGGGGGTTTTTGTTGATGTGTTTGATTGTTTGATTGATTGATTGATACGATATGATTTGATTATGTGAGGGGTTATATGAGGTTGGGGTCTATGAAAATTATGCAGATGGATGGAAAGAGGTGAGTGGTATTGCATATGAAAATGTTTCAGCAATGTTTCTAGTTGAGGAGATGATGAATCATGGATAATGAATGTGAGTATATCCGATTGGTTAAGATTTACAATAACAATAACACCATAAATATTTTTTGTTGAGATTGATGATGAAGCTTGCGTGTAAGTACTTACTACTTCATTATCATGTAGCAGTTCTGCACGATGTTGTTGGTGGTATCTATCTCATGTAACCTAAGTTATGTGCATGGCTGAAAATTTATGTGCAGTCAGTACTAGTACTGCAATGTAAGTCTACAACTTGGTCATACGAAGAAGGAGAAATCTTTGGATGGAGATGAGATATTTCGAGTGAGAGATCTGGATGATTTCCATTTTCTTTCTTTCGTTTCATCGATTGAGAACCTTCCATTGTGTACTCACTGCAGATACGATGGTGGTCGCCAGCAGCAGGAGCATATTCATCATATGGCTTTCTTGGTGAAAACACGCAAATGACTATAGACAAAGGAGAAGTCCTTGGTTCTACATACAACGTGTCTTCTGCTAGTCGTGGAGAACGAGGCTCTGATAAAAAATTCCATTACATTAACCAAATGTATTTGTTGCCTGTCCCTTTTTCCGAATTCAATAGATACTAAGTCAAGTACCCTACTTTCGGGCCACCCGCCTTTTGGGTCACCCTTTTACCCCAAACGCATGATTTTTACCTATTAAAACTACATTTTCAATTCTCGAGTGCAAGCGCCTAGATGATAGCTACTTTCCTTCTCAAAATGTAGAAGCAACTAATTAGAATTTAGAAGATTCCCGAAGCGGCGATCCAGAAGACTAAGAATAATATGAATGAATACCATGGAGTGCCATTAATCTTCTTCTAAGCGTGAAGTTAGATGTGGGTCTAGTTTTCAAGAATCTTTATCAAAAATCTCAGTGATTTGTTTAAGAACGACCTATCTATCATTCATTGACTTCTCCTCGCTTGACCTGAAACCATGTTGCTTGTCTAATGGAGCACCAAGTGTTCTTCTTCAAATACTTCGTTATTTCCAATTGTGGTCATCTAGAATGTGAAGAATGGCTTCGAAAAAAGGCAGTCGTTACACACCTCTTTCCTATCGAATTCATACCACAGCCATAAGGAATGGTTATTACTAGTTACTAGTTACTCAAACAAACTCACTCTCACAATTTTCAATGGAGCATAGCACGTCATCCACAGCGAATCGAGTAAAATATTAGGAAAGAACAAGAAAGTACATACTGAATGGTAGAGATATAATAATTATTAGAACATATAAAACCAGTCGAAGAATCAAGATTAACTATCTATACATATATATATATAGTTCCCAATTTTCATATTTGATAAATTTCTCATATAACTATATCCAAATAATAAAACCGATCACTCTTACCTCTGACATCCTTGTGGAAAATCTAGCGAAGAGAGACTTGACTTTATATTTATATACATTAATATATCTTTCGAGATTTTATTCCCCCTCCTATCTCGAATCCCAAGGACAACCACGACTACAACAACAACTACCAACCCCCAGCACCACCTTTCCCACCAAAACCCCCCTCCTCAATCTTCTTCAACCCCTGACCCCTCTGACTCTTCTGCTGCGCCGCCTCATGTTTCCTCAACTCTTCCGGCACCCTACTAATACTACTCTTCATCAACATCTGCTTCAAATCATACATGGTATCAGCATCCTCATTACCCAAGAAAGTAATCGCGACACCACTCTTCCCCGCTCTTCCCGTACGACCAATACGATGCGTGTAACTCTCGATATTAGTGGCCATGTTAAAGTTCACCACCAAGGAAACATCCGGAACATCGATACCACGACCGGCGAGATCCGTTGCGACGAGGACGTTAGTAGTGCCCGAACGAACGGAAGCCAGAGCCGCTTCACGCTGTTCTTGAGTTTTGGATCCGTGGAGTGTGACGGATGTGAAACCCATATGTTTGATATCGCGAGCCACGGCATCGCAGTTACGTTTGATATTGACAAAGACGATGATAGGAGGTTGAAATTCACCCGAGGCGAGGATTTCATTAAGACGCTTCTTACGTTTATCTTCACCGGCGACAAATTCAACGCGTTGTTCAACGGTTTCGACTGCTTCACCAATGTTACCAATAGTAACTATGGCAGGACGACGAAGATACTTTTTGGCGATTTTTTCGACGGCTGGAGGCATGGTGGCTGTGTACATCATAGTTTGACGATAACGATCCTTGCCTCCTAGATGTCTACTCATAGCTTGGGCATCTTCTGCGTCATCTGTGTCTGGCTTTTCATTACTGACTGGAAGAGCATCTAAGATTTTGTTGACGGATTCTTCGAAACCTAGATCTATCATACGATCTGCTTCGTCCATGATGATATAACAACATTGACCTAAGACTAGAACTCGTCGTTCAATACAATCAACTAGACGACCAGGTGTAGCAATGATGATTTCAGCTCCATTTCGAAGGTTGTAAGATTGTTCTTCCAGAGAATGTCCACCAACGATACTAACACAAGTGAATCCGAGTGGTGTTGCAAATTTCTTGGCTTCAACCTCAATTTGTTGTGCCAATTCACGGGTAGGTGCGAGAATGATAGCGTAAGGCCCATCATTTTTCGTGAATTCGTTCAGTGGAGGTAATTCAGAAATGTAGACCAGTAATGGCAGTAAGAAAGCCGCAGTTTTACCTGAACCAGTAACGGCAACACCAATCAAGTCTCTCGCTTGTAGTGCTATAGGAATAGCAGCTCTCTGTACTGCTGATGGCTCGTCATAACCAACTTGATTGATAACATCCAAAAGACGTTTCGGTAACTTGGACTCCGACCAACTTCGCATAGGATTGGGAATTGCCCCTCCTTTTGTACTGATATTGAAATCCTCTTTGAAAATACGCCAATCTCGTTCTCGCATATGTTCCAATTTCTTCTCACTCCAATGTTTGTCCAGTGAGTTCCTTCCGGCATCTTCTTTCCTCCGCCTCTCCATTTCCACAATTTCTCGTGCACGCGCACTTCCGGCCTCCATATCTCGTTCTTCTAGAGCTTTCGCATATTTCAAAGTTGCTCCTTCATCTTCTGCAAAACCAGCCAATCTACCTCGTCCATATAAACCTGCTTCCGCACGATTTTGATAAATAGGATTATAATCTGGACTAGTATCCTCCTCAGCATTCCACTCGAAGTTAAATTTCTTCTCAGTTGTCCTTCTGCGTTTCTTCTTGGCTGAAAATGTTGATTGATTCGTTTCGGCACCCATGTATCGCGTTCTTATGAGAGCAGCTTGTAAATCTTCTGCATTCGCAGGACGTTTCTCCCCAGCCACCGAAGCTTTACTCGTACCTGCAGCAGTAGTAGCTGGTTTGGCTGATTTAGGTGGTGGCTCTATGTCATTCGACTTGTCACCAGACGATCGATTTTGTTGGCCATTCCGCATAGCTCGCGGTCCAGTGGGCACAAAGGAAGAATCTCGACGTCCATTATCCTGCTGATGTGATCTTTCATAACCATCTCGTCCATTCGCAGCAGCCCCATATCCGTTCCCATTCACACTTCCAACAGGTATCCGGTTATCTTGCTCTAATTTGCTCTTGCGCTTCTGTTCTTCGACCTCTTTTGCTCTTTTTTCGAGAGCGAGCTTCTCCCGGGCAGCTTTTGATAGAAATTTAGGCTGTAATTTGAAGTAATTAGTACTGGTGCGAGGAAATTCTAGACATGCATTGTGAACATGGCTGCCAATTTTATGTGAAAGGGAAAGATTACATACCTTGGCTGCAGCCTCATCTGCCTCTTTCTTCTTCTTTAAAATGTCCTCAATACTCAATGGACCTGGCTTTGGAGCTCCCCAACCTTTCTTCTTTTTGGATTCCGGGGGAGGAGGCTGTAGTTCCGATGGAGGCGGTGGTGGAAGATCACTGGAAGGGGGCGGAGCTAATGAGCTCGGGGTGGTGGAGGGACGAATGAATCTGGAGGTGGAGGTGGAGGAGATGGTGGTCTTCCATCACTATCTATGGGAGGCGGCGGTACTGCATCAATACTGTTCAAATATCCATTTGAAGCCATGATTGAAGATGTAGAAGATGGATATGGTATCTCCAAATCAGGTAATATCTATTATTTTACAGATTTCTGTAGGTGAAAATCTGCAGAAGAGTTGGCGCAATGTAAATAACTTTTGAGATGAATGTTTTTGGGGAAGAGGCAAGGCTGAGAAGTCGAGGCAGACAAAAGCCTTCGGCTTACATAATCACCAATCATGAATTTTATCTCGACATCAACATCATCGTAAAATCTCAGCCTTCAGCGATAAAGAAGATGCTTAAGCCCAGTCAATACGTGAAGCTCGCGCAGTCGCTGCCGCCGCAGCTTCAAAGGTTTTTTGCCCGTTACCCACCACAGGCCATTCTTCCACAGGTTAATGCTGTCAATACGACTTCCGATGCGGCGGCGTCAGAAGCTGTTAAGGAGACTGGATTGAGCGCAGAGGAAGCTTTGGATACAGCTATACACCCAGCAGTGACAGAAACGACATCGCCATTTAAGCCCCATAAACATCCAGTCACTGGGAAATGGCATGACCCGGTATTTTCCTTGAGACGACAAGCGGATTTGTGCAAGCTCGCACGACGACATGGAGTGGAGGAGCTTTTGCCGCTCTCTGTAAAGAGCACAGAAGAGAAATTACGCAAGAGAATGGAGAATGGACTGAGGGTAAAGGGTACAGGTGTGGGACAGAGAGTCAAGGGAAAGGAATCCGAGAGAACATTGAAGGCGAGGTATGTTTGAATCATTGCATTTGATGGATTGCTTGATGGTTTTGGTCTTGCATTATTGGCACATATACTGATTCATGGTTTCAACAGATTGGAGAAGAGAAGAAAGGCTATGTTAGAGATGCCACAGATGATCCAGACATGGAAAGAGGTTTGTCTTCCCATATCAATTCAACCTTCTGTTCAGCTACTAATTAATATTCGCAGAGAGGTCATGGTCGTGGATGGAAGAAATGGCCAAAATAGATATGATAATGAAGATTATTTGGCACAATCTCAGTGTAGAAAGACTACTTGTTGTACAAATACCATATTGGGAATGACTGCATGGGAAATGGCGTTTCAAAACATTGTAAATTGGTGCATAACACACCATTTCTTTAACATATTAGAAGAAAACCTTCGATACACCTTGGATATAGTTCCAAAAGTTGCATACGTAAAACCTACATGACCCAAGATCTGGGAGGCTTGCTTTTTGCATACATCCTTACAGCATATGAGAACTCGGAGCACGCAATTTGTTCGAATTGTTTTCCGAGCATTCACACCCAACTGTTTGCCGAGGGAATGTAGTATTGAAAATTTACCGATGCAGCAAGCAGCAGACTCCCCCACGTGAATGGCCATGCATGTAGTGTGGCAGTAAACTCGAGGTAAGTTGCAAGGCCAGCTCAATGCCAATCCCCTCCATGGCAGCCCTAGTGAAACTTGGGCCGACTAGATCCGAGGATAAGGTTCCTCTCATTTGTCTTCACGATTGATTGGCCAGAACCAAAAGCGATGAGTGGCAAAAAAGATTCGCCTTGGTGGTAACCGAGTTTCTATCTCAGGGGATTGTCCAACCAGCAAGAAAATATGGATCCTCTTTCAAAGATTCCAAATTGGATGATTTGATAATGCAGATCAGGCACGGGAAGAATGTATTTCTGTGCACATGTTTCTCTTAGAGCAATGTAAGCAGAGGAGGAGGGTAGAAACCGAGGTTTGGATAGATTGGTTTGAATACATTGGTTTGAATGGTCACTGGTGAATCGTGTGATGATGAAAATATGAATTTCAAGATATCTTTTAAAATAATTCGGTGCTATCTCGCGTGAGATTAGAAGTTCAGAGAACCCTTGTAGCGATCTTTGGTTTTTCACACGGTGCGCCCCAACAAAAAACGACAAATCAGAATTGTTGGGGAAAACTTTCGGGTAAATTGATTAATTCAGTTTAGTACGGGACCCTTTCTGCAATGCCATGCATAATATGCAAGGATAAACTCCATATGGTGATGGTTTGATTGGTTCATTTGAACATCAAGTAAACTTCCAGTCGTGGACAAAAGTCATGATGGTAACCATCAACCCTCGCCGTTGGATCAAATGTGATATTCCTTCCCTAAGATTATTAGTGCCCAAGCAAAGGTGGCCAACTCGCTTTACCCTAGAATTCATTCCGGGAGTTTTGCGCGAATATGGTTGTCTGAGCACATTAAAAACAGGCTGAATTTGATAGACAGATGAGCCTATGAAGTCGAATAGGTCTTCTGTATGGGGGGGGCTTGGTATATTTGGGCTTTTCTCACACCAAGCTGAACATTGTAAAACATGAACTTGCGATGCTGGGCCACCGAACCATTGGACTGTGGATTGTCCAGAAGTACTCTAGCGGTGAAGCCCTTCAACATCCAGCTTGTTCGTGTCCCCACAGAATGAATTCCCTGGGATCCCTTCTAAGTTCTCAGCGATGCTAGGCTAAGGTAATCTATCCTATGGTTCTGGAGCTTCCTGAAACTGACTTATCAAGGGTTCTCCACGACGGAATCGGGAGATGTGGCGTGAGCTTCAAATCAATCGGAATGTCTGTTTTCTGAGAAGGCGGGACAGAACGAGGGGCGGCAGGAGGAGAGATTGTTGTAGTTTTGTAGATGGTGGCACGAGTCGTCAGGCATTGGAGATAATATCAGTCATTTCAAGAAAAGTTAAAGAGCCGATGTTGGACAATTCCCTATCGCAATACCGTAAACTTGTTGTTCTCGGGATTTGCTTTCGTTTTGATAAACATATCGAATGAAGGTTCGGGATCTGTGATTCATCTCCACCATAATTCAACAACAAAACAGCATTGACTCTTGAGAATAGATTGTAAACCCCACCATCAGATAGAAAAATCATGATAAGATCTTCATCCCTTTACCCTTTTTTTTTAACGAATTTGCAACTTGTGGTGGCAATCGAATTAAGATAATTGGATTCTCGATGTGTCCCATTTGAATGGTGACTGGTCCCTGCTTCAGCTCGCCATATTGGATGGAGTGGCATGTCGGTAGATAGATGACTCTTTATAAAGATTAAGCCTTGGGATTGGAGAGTACTCACTGGTTCTATAGCATCGCTGAATGTACAATGCAGATGATATCGATGGAGAATGGTGGAACCTTTTGAACACAATCTTCCTTTGACAACGAAGCTGGAAGTGTGCTGAAGATTCCAAAAAAACCTTTTTTCCTTTATTCTTTTTTTCTTTTGATACAATCACAAGATATGTGTCAATCGCAGCATGCCGCATCTTTAATTAGAGTTATTTCTTGTCCCTGACTGGAGGAGTTTAACTAGGTAGTAGGTACTTTACATGTACTTGCACTCCAAACCATACGCCTTCCAAAAAGCTTGGTTGGTTCCTTCTTGGCTTCTTGGCTCTTTCTCCGATCAACATACTACAGATTCAGTGCAGACGGACAGACGGACAGACGGACAGACGAACAGACGAACAGACGTACAGACTCCAGAGTAGGTACTAGGGAGGGAGGTAGGTGTACCTAGTAACACACTAAAATATGACACTAAAATCCTTGTCAACCTGCAGTAACACTACCTTAAACACCCACAGTCAGTCAGTCAGTCACTCAGTCAGTCAGTCACTCAGTCAGTCAGGCAGTCAGTTAGTCAGCCAGTCTACAGCCTACCGGGACATTTCTTCTTTTTCTTTTTTTTAGGGCTCCACTACCCGATTCATCCCTCATCCCTCATCCCTCATCCCTCCATCCTTCCATCCCTTCTCCTAAGTCTCTCTCTCTCCCTCCCTCCCTCCCTCCCTTTAAAAGTCCATCCTCCCCCCTCACTGATCGCTCTTCAACCTCTTTACAATCTTAATACGCCTCTTGAAGAGTGTGTGTAGGAGCTCGTAAGTATATTTCTCCAATATTCCATTCAATTCGAGGCTTTCAGAACTGACACTCCGCTAATAGAATTATCGTTGAGCCTTCTTTAATTGATATCCCGCCAAAACCTCAACAAATTTGGCCAATTCACTCTCCATACTCGACCTCATTGTGTCCTTCAATCTTTAACTGGATTTTCGAAGTGACAATTACCTTTGAAACTTACATTCTATTCCTCTTGGAGTTTGAGTCTACAAAAATTACAACACAATGGCCTCTACTACTGCTCTACCAAAGTCTACCGTCCTTCAAAGGACGGTTACTTCTTCCACTGCCGAATCCTCCCCTTCAACAGCTGTCGGCTCACCCAGTGATACCCCTAGACAGTCCCCTTCGTCTACCTCTTTGTCCTCCATGTCATCCCTGGGCGACGAGATCATTAAGACCAAGGCAACCGGATACGGCAAGCTCATTGATACCTACGGAAACGAGTTCGAACTTCCGGATTATACTGTCAATGATATCCGAAACGCGATTCCTAAGCATTGCTACGAGCGCTCAGGAGCACGAGGTCTGGCTTACGTGGCTCGTGATATCACCAGCTTGGCAATTACCTTCTTCCTTTTCAACAGATATCTCACACCAGAGAATGTTCCCTCGACCCCAGCTCGCGCTGTATTGTGGGCTGTATACACGATTGTTCAGGGCTTATTTGCCACTGGTCTTTGGGTTCTGGCTCATGAATGTGGCCATCAATCTTTCTCACCTTCAAAGGTTTTGAACGACACAACTGGATGGATATGTCACTCTGCTCTCCTTGTCCCATATTTCTCATGGAAGATCTCCCACGGCAAGCACCACAAGGCAACTGGCAACATGGAACGTGATATGGTTTTCGTCCCCAAGACTCGTCAAGATTATGCTCACCGTCTTGGGAATTTCGTTCACGAACTTCACGAGCTCACCGAGGAAACTCCAATTGCAACTCTCATCCACTCCATCAGCCAACAACTTTTCGGCTGGCCTCTTTACTTGTTCATGAACGTCACCGGCCACAACCATCACGAGGGTCAACATGAAGGTCGTGGAAAAGGAAAAGTCAACAGCTTCTGGACCGTCAGTCACTTCAACCCATCCAGTCCTCTTTATGAAGCCAAGGATGCCAAATTGATTTTGTTGAGTGATCTCGGTATCGCCATCACCGTCGCCGCTCTGGTCATGCTCACCAAGACCTACGGTTTCTACAACATGGCTGTTTGGTACTTCGCTCCATACCTCTGGGTCAACCACTGGCTCGTTGCTATTACCTTCCTTCAACACACTGACCCGACCCTTCCTCACTACTCAGGCGAGAGTTGGAACTACGTTCGTGGAGCTGCTGCAACCATTGATCGTGAATTTGGATTTGTTGGTCGCACTCTTCTCCACGGTATCATCGAAACCCATGTCCTTCATCACTATGTCAGCACCATTCCATTCTATCATGCAGACGAGGCTACCGAGGCCATCAAACCTATCATGGGCCGTCACTACAGATCCGATACACGAGGAGGATCTCTCGGATTCTTGAAGAGCTTGTGGTCCAGTGCTCGTTGGTGCCAATGGGTTGAGCCATCTGAGGGTGCAGAGGGCGAGGGCAAGAAGGTATTCTTCTTCCGTAACCGCAACGGTCTCGGTACACCACCAATGAAGCTTAAGGCATAAATAGAGTAGACGAAGTGCTCATAAGCTCATATGCTGGTGTAAGGGATTTGCCAAAAAGTAACTGGTCGTGTGGGGATTTATCTGCGTTTGATTGTTGATTTTACGGAGGATGGGGTGTTAAGAGGCGCAAAGACTCACTTTACACGTCTCGAATCATTTTGGGACATTCGCTCACTTCAATACACTTTAGTCATTGCGGTGTTGGAGGATTAAGATCGCTTGCTTTTACTTCCCGCTTGGAGATAGAAGTTAGATAGAATTAGAAAAGAGTAACTAGAATAAGAGTCTAAAATGAAATTTATGAACAATTATTTTATTTATATACTTGCCTAGTGAACGTGATAATGCTAGATAGAGATAGTTGCTGAGAGCTTCAGTATTTGCAACTGAAGTTCTTCTATGTACGTAAATAGGTAGGTTGGTAAGTGCATATTTTCCAATCGTCCAATTTCTTCCATCGCGAAGACCAAAAATGGAGACAGAGAGAAAGAAAAAAATCCAAAGGTTAATTCGCATTCGTATTCGTATTAATATTCGCCTTAATAATAGAATTAGGAATTGTAATAGCATTCATTCATTCATATCCCTATTCCCAATTTCCCAATTTCCAATTTAAATATTTGACACTTGATACTTGATGTTTGATACTTGATGTTTGATACTTGATGTTTGATACTAGATGTTTGATACTAGATACTGGATACTAGAAACTGGATACTAGAAACTGGATACTAGAAACTTGATATTTAACGATTGATTTGGAAATGGATGAGTGAGTGAGTGAGTGAGTGAGTGAGTGAGTGAGTGAGTGGGTGGGTGAAGGGATACTGGAATTAGGAGGGAGGAGAGGAGAGGAGAGGAGAGGAGATGATGGAAGGAGGAAGGGATGATGGATGATGGATGATGGATGATGGATGATGGATGATGGATGATGGATGATGGATGGGGGAAATGATATGATATAATAATATAATATAGTTGACTGGTTGGCTGGGTATTTAGATGGGTGAGGTGGGTGGTTAGGTGGTTAGGTTAAGTATTGCTTGGCTATGTGCACAATGTAAGATTATATGAATTCTTTCGATATGATAATGATTGATACCTAATTATGATATAAATATAACATACATAAGCTTAAGCTCTGTATCGAATATGAGAAAACAGGAAAAGTCATAGTGCATAGATAGATGATAAGTGAAGTAGATGATAAGTTTAGGTTTTATTTTTATGTACTATATGTTTCATTTGATCCTCCGTTGAGTTTCCAAGCTTCCCTAATTGCTATATAGCAGATCTAAAAACTTTGCTAATCATGGGTATTCATTTATATTAACTGTTCACCATGACGTCAAATTACCTTTCGTATCTTGGTGGTAGGCTCTCATGACCTGCCCTTGACCCTTCAGAGTCTTCATGTGTGTATCCGCTCCCATATTCATCTTCTTCATGAAATATCGGCGCTGAAGGTTCATGATCATGTGGTGCCGATGCCACACCGCCCTGTTGGCTACTCCCGCCTTCCTCTTCCACATCGGGAAATTCTGATGGTGCGCTCGCTTCGCCTAGGAGTCTTTGACGTTCCAGTTCTTGTTTATCATCTGTGACGTTCGAGGCATGTGGGGTGAGGTCTGATAGGCTGGGAGCTGAGGGGCCCATGCTTGGAATTTCGGTCGACTGCGAATTTGATCGGTCAACTAGGTGAGGTGCAAGGGGTCTGGAACTGCTTGGTCTTAGACCATCGGCTGTATAGAGATCTTCGTCATTTTGATTAGGAGGTGCAGATGGCTCAACATTGCCCCTTGCTGCCGCCGAAGATGTTGACGATTCTTGAGGAGGTTGACTAGGGAGGAGTCTCTGTTCTGCTCTTCTGAGTTGTTCTTTTTCACTGAGTTCTGCTTGTCCGTCGTCTCCCGGTGGTGGTACATATATTTGAGCATGTGAAGGCGGCGGGTATCTAGAATTTTGACCGGTGTGCTGTTCATAATCTTGATTAGAATCATATGGATATGATTCTTCGTAACTGGGATCGTAATATTGATAAGGATGATTGGGGTAGTTTGCATTTTCCTGGTGTATATACTCGTGGTCGAATGGTTCCTCCTGTATCGGGTTATGAGCCAGCGATGGTGTGACTGGCCTTGAATTCGAAGGTTCAGCTGGTTGTTTGCCCGTATGCCTTGCTTTATTCCGAGCACTATCCGTAGTTCCAACAATCACTTCGAAAACACATGCAACCACGCTCTTCTCTCGTCTTATGTGATCTGTGTCGACAATGCTACCGCCAAAGGCAGCCAGCATGCTAGCATTTCCTTCTGACCTATTACCTGTGCTTCCATAATTGGAAGGAAGGCTAACAGTTCCAATTCGTGGTACATGCCGTTGTTGGCCGGCTAACTTCCCGCCTAGATCTACTACAACTTCAACTTGGTATTTAAAATTCACCATCTGGCCAGGCACACCACTTATAGTTGGAAAGCAGTCTTCGGGAACTCTGACGGATGCTGTAACATGGGCAGTCAGAGTTGTAGGATCAACGATGAGTGGCGCAAACGTCTGGGAAAGGTCCTTCCGGAAGACGCTGGTCGATCCAGCGGAACTCAGTGACAGGCCACCCAATCCGGTCTTAGATTTAGGATAGTATTCTTCATGCTTTAGTCTTTCGGCTTCTTTCCCTTTAATATCTTTGAACAGTGACAGAGGAGGCGCAGAATCTATTCGGCCTTGTCTGTAGAACGTAATTATAATTCCATGCATACTTTTGATGGGCTTGGTATGCTGTACGCTGATTTTCAGGGGTAGATAATCTCCCGGTAAACATCCGGACTTGAGCAATTCTATTGTGGCTGTGATAGTTTTGTCTTCCATGGAATTGCTGCTGTTCCCTAGGCTATCTCGAGCAGACCGTGCCGATGATGTAGCATGTCCCAGGCGGAAGCTGAGGCCGGTACTACTACTGATTGTACTATCCGTACTGAAGGTACTTTGAACATCACTTTGCACCGGGCTTCGAGGTTGTATATGGCCGTCAGGTATTCCCACTTGACTCACAGACTCATCTGGCCGTGGTGATGTGGCTTCGGTCATATCACTAATAGATCTAGTGTCCGTATGTTCCCGGGATGAAGTATCTTTTGGCTTAATGGACCTCTTTCTCTTTGCTCGTTTCGATATTGGTTCCAGTGATATTGTTCGCGGTCGGGGTGGGCCTAAAGGACCGACATCCACTCTTTCTACCAGCTCGACCTTCCTTTCGCACATCGAAGTCGCGGCTATTGTTGTTGGCCGCGTGATCGTCGAGGAGATCTGATACGATATTGTTCCTCTCTCGAACTATTCAACTTCATTAGTATAAGTCGCATTGGGTTCGTCCGGAGGTTGCCTACATCCACGCTCGTGGGAATCCCCTTGGTGGGAAATTCCAGTTCGAAATTAAATTTATATATTCCAGCCTCAAATCTACCTTCACCGGCCAATGTAACTTCATCTTGGAAAAGTGAACAATAACCGTTCCCAAAGTATTGTGATTTCATGGGATTGGTCGAGGCAAATGACGTCGTATCTGGCAAGGGCTCGTTTGCTCCATTGGCATTCTTATAAACGTGTACGAAACCGTGCAGGCAGACGGTGAGGTGAGTGATTCGTATGGGTTTGACCACAGTCAATACAACGGAACCCCTTACCAGATCCCCGGGTGCATACCGCCGGTGAGGTTCAAGTGGTTCGATGTGGAAGTCAGCCAGGTTGCGCGTACGAGACTTCAACGGTGCGGTCAATCTAGAAAACAGAGAGCGACCTGTCGATGCTGTCGGCGACGACTGAGCCGTTGAAGTGGCGTTCGCGCACATGCTAATATAAATATATGATAATGTTCGCGATGCCAAGTCTTCAATCGTGTCTGCCAAGTACTGGGAAGGAATGGACGGAAAGTCGCACGTAGGAGAGGATTGGCAGAACAAGCAAATTCTGGGCGACTGCGGGGGGAATCAACGACGGATGCCAATGCTAAGTTGTTATAGCACAAAGTGAATCAAGATGCATGGCAAAATCCTTGAGTTTGCGTAATTGATCAACCCAAAATAAACAAATGATGATAAAAATGATGGTAAACTGGGTGAAAAGGGTAATAATAGATGAGGATCGTTGGTCGGCGGTCGTCGGTAAATTTGGTGGGCGGGTGGGTAGTGAAGTGAGTGTAGTAATAAGTTGAAACGGGGAAGACTAATTTAGGACTTGTTTCCTCTTTCAAACTTTTTAAGTGAGACTTTACTCGTAGGATTTGAGAGATTTGTGAATTGTATTATTGTAAAGTACGGAGGAAGTTGTGATTTGTGATCTGATCTGTGATCTGTGGCCCGGAACCAGGATTTGCAATCTTCTTCTATGGCAGAGGGGAGATGGAGTTGTCGGTCAAAGATTCCAAATGCGACTAGTACCGCAGTAATCTTCGTGTAGTAGTGGTGGTCCTGGTCGTAGTATGTACTATGTAGTCGTATGTAAGTAGTTATGCGTGCTAGGCCGATTTCCGAGCTAGAACGTATCAATGTTTTACCAATCCTATCCATCAAAATTGTCCGAGTCCGAGAGTATGGATATGGATATGGATATGGATGTGGATGTGGGTACTAGGCATGCATAGCTATACTTTATTATTACTGTACAATGTACGGAGTACCGGTAGAGTAAGGTAAGGTTATGTGTGTGTTGATTGAAGAAGAAGAATGGGGTTGACGGGTGTTTGTTCTTTCTCATATGAGGGAATATGGTAACTTTGGAAACTTTGGAAACTTTGGAAACTTTGGGAAGGACGTTTCGAACTTCTTCCCGTCTAACAAACGTTTGTTTTAATTAAAGAATCGATTAAAATCGGGTACAAATCGTGATAGAATGCAACGAATGGTCACCAAGCTAAATTTCCAACAAGATCCAAGTCTCCCAAGAGGGAACCAAAAAGATGCCCTGACGTGTTGCAGAAAGCTTGAATTTGCCCAGGATCCACCAAGTCCACAATCCACAGTTCCACGGTTAACACAATTGTGGTTTTTTAAGGGTCGGTGTGTTCTCTGAAACCTGACAAATTCTGATTCTCTTTCTCTCCTTCTTCTTCTTCTTCTTCGTTATAAGGCTGAGAGAGGAAGAAGAAAGGATTGAGAAATTGATCGAGGCGACGATACTGTAATACGGAATACGTAATACATAATCAAAATAACTGGGTAAGAATCTGTTTAGCGAATATATATGTGCCTGGCAAGAAGAAGATGAAGAGCTCGGTAAGGCGAACATCTAGTACATAGGTTCCCTCGAGGAAAGCAAAGGGAAGTTATTACTCCACTAGAACACGGCCGATCAGATACCTAACTCTTCGGCTTTAGGGATATAGGTTATGGATGATTACTATCCGGGACGGCATCGGTACAATACAAAGTATATGTACAATACAATATTAACAACCAACCAAAGCCGCTTACATTTTCACAATTCATGAGGTACAACATGTATTCTTCGGTAACTTTTCGGTACGACTAACCCTCGAGGAATAACAAGGGAATGAGTACAGTAGGGCTGGATGGTTCTAGACACATAAAGTGATCAAACGCATCGGTATACAAACGATCCATACAACGTCCACGTCGCCTGCTGTCAGCATACACTGTACTTGTTCTGAACACCCGTACTGCTTGTGCTCCTCGCCCTCATGGTTGCGAGGGGGCTTCACCACCGGCAATTCATTGGGATAACACCTCATCCATGATCATGCTTTAATAGTTTGCACTATCCACAAATGTATATCTCCTTTCTTCGGCATCAAATACTCCACTGTCTAGAAATCCTTCGATTCATGTGGGCGTATGCATTTCCAGCTTGCGATCATGTACTATTCATCATGCATAGCGCTATCACTGAATCGCGCCTTCAAGTATATGCACGCAGCCATATAAAGCAATCTGTACTGAATGTTGAAGCGTTGAAGAAGATGATAGGGCGCCTGGAAAACGACAGAGGATGTATATGAGGTGACACAGTGACATCTCACCGGTCTATTTCCTAAATGGTGAATTCTCGGTGCGGGGTACACTTTGGTTAAAATCCCCGTAGTCACATTTGTGTCACTGAAGATTGTTGCCCAGCTGGTCCCTCAAAAATCACCATCAGCCTAGTAAGATTATAGAAAAGCTTGTCTAGTCCTTCCCTGGCTATGATAGACGAATTTCTGCATCTGTCTGATAGGGATATTTTTAAGTGGCCCGCCCAAGTGGGCATGTTGGGGTGGGGTTTTGCGTACGTATATTTTCACACCTGTAACATGAAAAATGTTTCATCAACGTATCATCAGCAATCTGATTTAGAAAAGGCAAGCAAACAAACAACAACTTCTCGGATTTTCAAGCAATGGAATGGATAAGGTTAGTGTCAGAAATGGTCAGCTTCCCTTCGGTGCGTGCCATATCACCGATATTTGATCATATTGTCCTCAATATCATATCTGCGAGAAGCTGGTGACAGCGAACCATGAAGCTATACCGGCCAGACCGGTTAGACCGACCAGGCCGAGTAACGATAATCGCAAACCAGTAATACCATCCTTATCATATCACTTTCCGATGATCCGAGATTCTCTTCGTTGCAAGAGGAGAGCCAAGATGTATCCACTAATTTGGGGCCACCAGTTCCTTCAACCCTTCCCCAACAACATAGTCATCACCACATGCTCGGGACATGATTTCTCTAGCTTGAGCTCGGTCTCCGGTCAAACTGACAAGGAAGGATTCTAGTGACTCAAGGTTGTCGGTCCATCTTAAAGTGCTCTCCCTGAGTTTGTTGGTTTCCTCCACTTTTCTCAGGACCTCAGTAGGGTCGTTATCACTGTAGAGTGCCAATTCCTTATCAAGAGTATCGTTCTCCTTCACAAGAGTCTCGTAAACATCCATCAAAGTGTGTCTGTCCGATCCACCGTCCAGGAGCATTTCATCGTCCTCTTGACGTTTCATCATTTCCTTCTCGATTTGCTGTTCAGCATCCTTCATGGAAGCCAACAATTTATTTTCCTCCTCCTTCAACTTGTTGATCATATTTTCCTTGCTCTTCTTGGCATCCGAGGTAAATGACCAATACCAATTACCACTGCCAATCTTCTCAACACGGATCAGGTTCTCGTCGGTAAGTGCTTGGATGTACTCTTTCACTAGCATGCCGTTAATCGATCCAACGGAGGGAAGTAGTTTCTCAAGCTCTTTGAAAGAATAAACTCCCATCGAGGTTCGAAACCAGTCCAGAATTTTTGCCTGCTTGGCTGCTGGTGGTAGATTCTTGGGAGCCTTTGCAAACATTAATCATTTGGTTTCATCTATTTTGGTTGGCATCTTTGGCAGACACGCTTGGACGGAGATACTTGCCATTTTTTCCAAGAAAAATTAGATCTTTCCACACAGACTCAAGATTGATTGTTGTCAAAACTCGTCAAGAATCTTTCCGAGATTTCTCTGTTTCAGAGATGAATCTTAGACCAGATAAAATTGAGTGACAGTGGTGTGTTATTATTAGCGCGAGGTTTGTGCTTGTGGTCTGGATCAATGATGAAGAGGGCTATTGATGAAAGCAAGAAAAGGTTCACCTTTGCGCATGGAAAAATGTAAAGTTCGACATCATTACAAAAATGTACTTCAATATCACCATGACTTGAATGTTAATAAGAATTTATGTTACTTTAAATTTTAGTCATTGTTAAATTTCCTATTACAGCTGTACTTTATGTATTTAAGCCCTAAATTCATCCCAATATTATAGAAAGCTATCGCGGTCCTAGTGTCGTTTTGCTGAATTTTTGTAAAGTAGACCATTCGAGGTTATCAATACATCTACTCCCAAAGAGCCTCCTTCCCCCCCACAATTTCCATCCTTTGCTCAAGTCTGAAAATCAAAAACACATACAATCAACGCGAATGGCTTCGGCAAAATGCCAGAACCACATTGATGGACGGCAGTACATGGTATTCTACACCGATCATATGCGTCCAGGAAATCAAGTGCTTGCGTGATGAATTTAGACCGGAAAAAAGCACTTTTATGCACATATTAGGAGTGAGAAATGGAAATGCTGAGTTCCTCCGATTTTGAAAAGCTGGTTGACGTTGGTTATAAGGATGCTTCTGTTCGAGTGTGGAGGGGAGAATGGGGTATATATTTAGAGTTTGGTAATTGATGTGATAGGTACATTATTCTAGAGAGAAATACTTTTACTCAAGGGTCATGCTGAGAAGTATTAGATTCAGATATAACCTAAGAAGAGTCTTGATTCTTGAAAATGGAAATATATATGGAATTTATCTCTGTTTATTTTTGTGTGTACTTAGATATCAAAGATAACGAATGAGGTTGAGTTGCATGATACTCTTGCTCTACACCCGCAAGAATATTTGCGGGACAGAGACCAGTAGAGGATTCAAGCATCTGAGGAAGATGAGGGCATCCACGAGGGAATGCGTTCATGTGAGCTTGATGACAACATGTTTATGCCTCAGGCCGTTGCAGTTTTGCCCCACTTCACATGCATAGTGCCGCAAAGGAAAAAAAAAAAGTAGAATTAAGAGCACGATCAAAAGACGACAGCGACAGCGAAGTTCAAACCCAATGGATCGATGACTTGCACATCTACATATTACGAGATCTTAGACATTCCATCGGCTCTTCAAAATGAATCACACATTCCGGTAGCAACTTTGCGAAGCGCATATCGACGCGCACTTCTTCGGAACCATCCAGACAAATCTCCAGGCCAAGAACTTGGTCCTACAAACAAAAACAAAACCATTTACACAATCGATCAAATATCCGTGGCTTTCTCTCACTTATCGGACTCCAAACTACGAGCACAGTATGACAAGGAATTGCGATTGCAGAATCGTTCAATAAATGGGGCTGGACAAAAAGAAAGAGAGGTTTTCCGAACGGGGGTCGAGGTAGTGGATTTAGACGATTTGAATGTCGAAGAAGAAGATGGGATCTGGTATAGAAGTTGCAGATGTGGAGATGATCGAGGATTCTTGATTCGGGAGCAAGATCTAGAAGATGCGGCTGAAGATGGCGAGATCAGTGTGGGCTGTAAGGGATGCAGTCTCTGGCTCAAGGTTCTTTTTGGTGTAATGGAGGATCTGCCGGACGATAAGGTTTCGGGTGCATAGATGCAGGTAATAAAGGATATTGGTATCTACCTGGTTTGCGGTCGGAGGCTGAATACAACATGAGGTACGATAATGCAACGCAAATATGACAATAGGAAGCTTCAATAAAGAGTCACCGAGTTCACCAACCAGGGGAAATACAATGTCATGGCAGACGCTAGGGAACTTTACATATATGAATTCCTTAGAATGTAACTGTAAGTAATAACTGCTACGAGAATGTATCGATATCTAGATAGATAGATATCAACTGTTCTAAAAAAGATGTACCGTCTTCCTATGACTTCCAATCAAAGCTCGCAAGCTATTGGTCGCCTCAAACTTGCGGTGGTTGTAAATCTTCCTCTTGCAACAACCAAAGTAAACCTTACGGTAAATATTGGAGCACGTCAACACATCGTAGGAGAAAAAACGATCAAGTGCTGTTCGTGCCGTTTAAGTTGCTTGAGGAAGAAAGAATTGGAGGGTGCACAGGAAAAAGTTTTGTGTAACGATTAATGAGATATCAGTCTAGTTCTAATTCGGTTTAACGCCACTATGTATTCTTCACCGCCTTTATATCCATATCTTGTTGATTCTTCGAACTTTCTCTGGTGTATATGGGTACATATACTGATTTATAACAACCTCTCTCTACATCCGTTGCGGATTTGCATTGGAGATCCTAATACGTGAATTTTTCTCAAATGTGTCTTCTTGCAAATCTATAAATCTCACTTGCACATGTCAGTAACATGTGGGTTTAAGGATAATGCTCCTGAGTATCTCAGTCAGATTACCCTAAATCTATTCTGATGTCACCCATTCACTTGTTCCTGCCCAAAGAGTGATTTGACAAAGTAGCTCAAATTAGCCTTGTGGAAATAATTCCCCAGTTGATATGTATCAATCTAATCATAGGCTCAATCTGACCCCATTCAATACTTCCCAAGACCTTCAGCTTGCATTTTCCCACACATCAACGTTCATAGCTTATTAGTTTTGCCTAACAACATGAATCCTCACTCAGCGCCTGCGCATATTTATCACGACTCCTCACCACACCACACTACCTACCCTTGTAAGCAACGACGAGATATCAACAACCGCTACCATCGTAGCTGCCGCAGAAGTACACGTGGTGCATTAAACCAAACTAGCATCAAGGTTAACACAGTAGGTATTCACGAGCCAGAAATTCCTCACGTACTCCGTCGATACTAGTACTGTCGGGTTCCAGACGAAAAGATTGCACAAGTGTGATATTGATGCTGTATGCCGCAACGACAGAACCACATGTTTCCCCACTGACGACGATATGCAATTTATTGCTGCTGGTGGACTGCTCGATCGGTGTCGTTGGTCCCCGTGCGGAGAGAATATAATGCTTGTACTAGTGCTGGTATTAGTATCTGTTGCAGTGGAGAAGCTCGAGAGACTAGAGCTAGGAGGCTTGTAGTAGCCAGGGCCTCGGATGCAATATACGTACGCAATTTTTAGGGTGTGGGAATAGTGGGTTAGTAATAATAAGTATGTCTAGTGTATAGTGCGTCCTGGTGGGAATGAAGGAAGTTATTGGTTTACATGCGCAATCTGCGCCGATTGCAGGAATATATGCGTATAATTGGGCGATGGTACGTTCGTAGATGGTGAGAACATCAGTGATAAAATCGTCGCTTAATAGTCCGATTTTTCCTTTGTAATTAGTGGAAAGATCAAAGTCTTACCATTCCCACCCTTCGGGTACGTCTGCAAATTACGTGCATGATTTTATAGACTATTGCATCCTCGTACATTTACGCAATTAGCACCCACCTGTTTTTGTATTTCTATCATTAGACTCGGGCTCCTCGAAATCAAGCTCCCTCTAACCGGAAACTCACAACCGGCATCTCAAGTTCAGGGAGCGGTCCCCAATATACTGCTTACCTGTACCACAATATCTCAAATTATCAAAGATGCATTCTGAGGTCGTAAAATTATCCAGTACAGGACTTCATGAAGCTATAGCTAGATCAGTGAAGGAAACCCCGTAAAGATGGGCGGCGCGTTGACATTGATTGAGCCAAGATGTGTCCGCAATCGTACTGTCGTCTTGGAAATCACTCCCGTCGAGACAGCGGAAGCAATCAATACGAGTATCTACAGCGAGTGGGAGATCTGTTGGTATCTGTACAATGGGAGAAGTGGTGGTGACGGAGCCTTGGGGATGAGTGGTGTAAATGGAAGTGTGTTTGTGCACATGATGGTGAGCAATTGTGGCAGGGTGTGCGGTAAGACAATAGGTTTGCAATCGATGTGGTGGCGAGAGATCCGACTTGTTTTATTTTGCCGATGTATCCGAGTAATGATAATACGTATGTGGATGAATTTGTGCGTCTGGAGAAAGGGGCTAATGTTGCTAAAGCCGGGGTAAGTCTTTTGTTTCCTAACTTTGATTCGTTCTTTGTCCAGCGGTAGCCAGATGAAAAAGCTTACATGTATAAGCACTAGGCTAATGTATGTCCTTAGCCAAATATGGGGTAGAGGCCCATCAACACCGATGCAATAATGAACTCAAAGTTCCCGCCGCAATCTTTGTATGGAGAACACCAACACCTCTTCGTACGCAACTCGAGCTCTAGCATCACTAATGTTTGGCAGTCTATCTTAGACTGCAATGGAATGGAGATCGGCCTATGTTTCCATAAATCTACCATTTTGACACGTAATTAAGGATATCAAATCCCAAATTCCTAGTGAATCGAGATTTTTAATAATACTATCGATTTTTCTCGGTGGGCATAAGATCGGCGAAAGTCTTTAGCCTAAAGATCAAATTTAAATAAACCAGTATAGCAAAGGAACTGCGGCATGTAACAAATCTATATAATCAGAAGATAATCGAAGGAAAAGGAATGGAAAAAAAGAGAGTTCTTCCATACGGTTAAATACTCTGTGGACTAGCATGGATCGTATCGAGTGATACACTATCAGACGGTAATCACTTTTACCTAATAACGTGATATGAATAGTAGCTCGTACATATGAACATCGACCGTAATATTGCACGTATGGTAGGATAGTGAGGCAGGGGTATACCTGTCCGCAGCTCCTTTGCTGATTCTTCATTGTGGGTTTTGGTTCCCTAGTTTTACGTGGGCCTGGTCCTCTATTTTGTCCCTTTGGTTTTCGCTTTGCAATAACGCATGCGTTTCCGTTGTCATATAGCCGCATAGCAAAAGCTACTCTGTAAATTCAAACATGAATGGTTTTGACGGCTCTAAAAGGCGAGATGGTCCAATTACCAAGGGGTATGCTCTTGGGTGGAGGAACCATCCCAATCAAGTAACTCCTTTATCATCTAGCAAAAGTTGCCAAGAAGTTCCCAGATTACTCACATGCGTTACATCGATTGAACGATGCCCTAATTCAGCGACTTCTTACATACAAAAAGGGTTCAAGAAAGGAAAAGCGATTGCAGGGATCAGACTGTGAAAGAGCTTTGAACATACAAAAAGCTCAGAAACACCCTCGATCAACTTATGAACCTCTGCAACTGAGTAGGAGCCCATCCACAGGGTTATTTGAGGATATAAACAAGAACCATAACCAAGACAGGTCAAGCAGTCTTATTGATGGGTCGGCCTTGCTAGAAGAAAGCAATACAGGTGTAAATATATGTACACCACATATCCAAGCCGCATCAGAATTACTTCGAGCGGCAAGCGAAATTGTAGATGATAGGCTCGACGAAAATTCTACTTGCTCTTATCAAGTTATCCCAGCTGTCCCGATTTTGATTCAGAGGACGAAGAGCTGGAATCCTCGGCATACTCTAGCTCTGATGAGTCTATAGTATCGAGCTTTTCTCAAATAGCACCCGATCACACTTCATGCAATTTTGCAGCGTCTTTTCGTAGAGAATCGATGAATTGCATCGAGGCTATAAATGGAGGCCTACCCCAAAAGACGTCATCGAAAATCTTATGATTATTCCCAATACAGCCTTTCGGGGCTCGCATCCAGTGTGTGTAAGGAACCAACGGAAGATAGCAGTCTTGTCTGGGCTTAAGGTCAAATACTTAAAGCAAGCTGAGCTCATTAAAAGAATGGAAGCTTTAAATAAGGCAAGCCTCGCTGGTGAAAGTGCTTTGCAAACACTTAAGCTAGGCTCATCACGTGGTTGGTTTACAAATTTGCATCGCCTACATAGGAATGCTGATGCTTTAGGACATTATAAATTCGCCAAGCAAGCAAAGTGGCCATCAGAGAGCATCCAGATCGACTCTTTGATCCCGAATTTTTGAAAAGAGCACTTTTATTTCTTTTGTCCGCAGATGTCACAGGGGAAGATGACTGGGATCCTGATGCTGCCCTTACCTCCTGGGAAGATAAAGGGTCCGTAAATATTCCTATTTTCAAATGGTGGTGGGAAATGGATGGAGGAGTCGCACGAATTATAGAAGATGAGCTTGATATGTACAAACATCATACTCGTCAGCATTTGCATGGAGACGAAACTAAAGGTTGGCTCCCAACAAGCTTATTATTTTATAGCGCAGCAGTTAGCATCGCAGGAACCAGTTCATTACGCAATATATGCAGCCTTAAGACCTGATCACTGGACAAGCTTATTGTCCTATCCGTATTATGCAAAATACTCGGAAATTGATGACAAACATCAAACTACAGGTGGATTTGAACATATTGACCAGAATGTTGAGAAACTTCTCAGTGGAGAATCTGGCTTAAAGTCTCAGGTTCAAGGATCCATTAGTTTTGATGATGAATCTTCTCAAAACTGTACCAAGATTGCCCCGGGTTTTCATAAACCTGGAGTGCTCGAAAAGTGGTGGAAAGAGCTACTTGAGCATCATAGAAAGAATGGTCCAGTAACCCGTATCCTGCCCTCAGCACAACTGAAATGGGAAGCGGCCCCATGTAGGAAAGGTGAGGCTAGATTCACTATGCCTCAAATTCCTCCGGCGCTCAATCTAGGTACGCTAGAATAAAGAAGCGGACGACAATACTACCATGGTTATCAAGGGTTGCTGAGGATCAGACGACGCTCCCTAATACTAACAAAGGTGCTGGAACTGACCAAGACGGTGCACTGGCCCGAATATCCTGTATGCCACCCAAAGCTACCCAATCAGGCAAGCCTATATACAACTCGTACATTCCATATAAATTTCCAGCATGTGTTAGACTTGAATCATTAGGAGCTTTATCTGACGCTCTTATTGGGCTCCGCCAGTGGGATGCGCCTGAAGTAATGTCGGAACAGGAAATTTATTTGAAGAAGATAGATCTGCAGCACCGGAATTAATTTTAACATGGAGAGCGAAAGCTTATACCACTGCACATGCGCCATTTGATGTGATCAAGAAGACAGAGCAAGGAATTTTTCAGTCGAAATCATATTGGAATAAACAAGCTGCTGATTATCCATTTGACTCAGATGAGTCAATTGGAGACATGGTCACAGATAGCGGGGAAGAAGCTCAATGTGGGACGCTTGGTAACGAAGGGACTCCTCTTAGAAATTAGGAGAAAGCTTTCAGGGAAGAATACCCTATTGCATTAATGCTATGGATATTTGCTATCGAGAGCAACCATTTGAAATTTGGCGAGAGCGGTTCCAGGTTGTATAGGGTAGAAGATGACGATTTGGAACGCCTCTTATGTAGTGAACTCCAATTGTACATGGGGTAGAGATGCATAATGAATCAACATAGAGCTATGGGAGGAATCAAATTGAACTAGACTCGAATTGTGCAAATCGAAGATTCCAAGCTGCCGAATGATGAAGCTGGAGGGTAGACTGGAATCCATGAGTATGATATTCGTGTATATTTGGTTGCTAGTGAGAAAGATAAACAGGGTCAATGAAGCTAGAAAGAGAGGAATGAGCAAAGATGAAGGCGGAGGTAAACGAACTGTCGCCGTCGAAGGTAACTGCTACTAGAGAATTACTGGTGAGTGTTGAGAACTATGCTGCTGAGATGTTGCGGAGATGTAAGGGAGATGGTGTTGAAGTGATGGTAAGAAGCTGAGCCGGGTGGGGGTCACACTTTAGTTCTAACGTTGCTGAATCAGCTTACTTAAGTGATGTCGGGGTTAAAATTATCCGTGATACCTCAATAGGCTTAGATTCAAAACTATTGTAGCTGTCTTCCCCACCTTTTTATTCTTCAAGTTGGAGTGTTTCTGAGGTATCACCTGGGCTCCTATGCCAATTGTAGTACTGCATGTTTGCCTGTCTGTCTGTCAGTCTGCCATCAAATTCACCAAGACTTTATTATTAGTTGCAGATCCTGAGAGACCCAGAAAAGGTCCAGAAAAGGTCCAGAAAAGACCCCACCTTCCTTATTGTTCACTAGCTCATTGATTCCTTTCCACTCATTTCTGTTGTTCCTTCTCTGCCCAAGGTTACAAAAGTGGTGGTTGTGTCATACTGTCATACTGTCATATTGTCATATTTTCTGCTGCACATACGTACTCTACGGTACCGCATACGGTTTTCTGTATTTGTAGCTACCTACATTTACTCTCACTTCCCTCCCCATTTCCATGTCAATGCGTATCTCCAATACCCTTACATCGTCTTTTTCTCGGCCTCCAGCCAGTATTTTTCTCTCCTTAACTAGAGCACAAAGAAGATTACCAGCTGTCAGCAGAACCTTTCAAAGTCTTTCAATTAGTTCATACCGAAGCTCAGCTTCATTGTATGTTATACCCCGCCATTTCTTTCAACCCGAGTCGCTCCTTCCATTCATTGTGCATGTTCTGAATACCAACCTACCCTCGTGATACTTCCCAACCAGTATTACTATTTGAGGCAAGCTCGATTCAGTCAAGCTCAATTTATTCACTGTTATTCTAGCATGATTCAAAAGCTTACCATTTATTGAATACAGACTCCATCCTTCAACAAAACGTCCTGAATTACTAAACAATTTCCGAAATACCCCTTCAACAACTTCGGCAATCCGCCATTGTTCATACAGAAGACACAATATGTGTAGAGGCGTGCATGCTAGAGAGGAGGTAGAGAGTGCGGGAATGGATATTACCAAAGGAAGAGAAATCTTGCCAGCAAATGTTATTCCAAGACATTACGATCTCACATTAGAGCCAGACTTCAAGAAGTATACATATGATGGTACTGTCATAATTGACTTAGATGTTGCTGAGGATACCACTTCTATTTCCTTGAATACTCTAGAACTCGAGATACACAGCACCAAGATCACCTCTGGGTCTGAAACCATAAGGTCAGTGACTGGCCGAAAAGTTTTTGGCAGGATGTTCCCCATTCAAATCTAACATGCAATAGCTCTATTCCAGATGTCTCCTATGATGAGGCCAACCAAACCACCAAAGTTGCTTTTGAGAAAACTATCCCAAAAGGGGCAAAAGCACAAATCGAGATTAAGTTCACTGGTCAGCTCAACGACAAGATGGCAGGTTTCTACAGATCAACTTACAAGAATGCGGATGGATCCGAGGGTATTTTGGCCACAACTCAAATGGAACCGACTGATGCCCGAAGAGCATTTCCTTGTTTCGACGAACCTGCCTTGAAGGCAGAATTCACAATTACTTTGGTAGCGGACAAGAACCTCACCTGCTTGAGCAATATGGATGTTCTTTCAGAGACCGAGGTCAACGGAAATAAGAAGGCTGTCAAATTTAACAAATCGCCACAAATGTCGACATATCTTTTAGCCTTCATTGTCGGAGAACTCAACTATGTTGAAACAAACAAGTTCAGAATTCCTGTTAGGGTTTATGCTCCTCCAAATCAGGACATTGAGCATGGAAGATTTTCATTGGATCTTGCAGCACGAACCCTAGAATTTTATGAGAAGACCTTTGACAGCCCGTTCCCCTTGCCAAAGATGGTGAGCTTTTATAATTTTCCCTATTGAAATATTCTAACTCGCTGTGTAGGACATGGTTGCCATTCCAGATTTTTCTGCTGGTGCCATGGAGAATTGGGGCTTGATTACTTACCGTGTCGTTGACCTTTTGTTCGACGAAAAGACCAGCGGTGCCTCCACAAAAGAACGAGTTGCCGAAGTTGTCCAGCATGAGTTGGCTCATCAATGGTTTGGCAACTTAGTGACAATGGATTTCTGGGATGGGTTGTGGCTTAATGAGGGTTTTGCGACATGGATGTCTTGGTATTCCTGCAATATCTTCTATCCAGAATGGAAGGTTTGGCAAAATTACGTGACAGATAACCTTCAAAGTGCCCTTGGTCTTGATTCCATCCGAAGCAGTCATCCAATTGAAGTACCAGTTCAGCGAGCCGATCAAGTCAACCAGATATTTGACGCTATTTCATATTCCAAGGGCTCTTGTGTCCTTCGTATGATTGCAAGCTATTTGGGAGAGGATGTGTTTATGGAAGGTATCCGTCAATATCTGAAAAAGCATGCTTATGGCAACACCCAAACCGGTGACCTTTGGGATGCATTGAGTAAGGCGAGCGGTAAGGATGTCTCGGCAGTCATGGACATTTGGACAAAGCGTGTTGGATATCCTGTTGTCAGCGTGACTGAGAATGAAGATGGGAAGAGCATTCACGTCAAGCAAAATCGTTTCCTGCGAACAGCTGATGTCAAGCCTGAAGAAGATGAAGTTTTATATCCTGTTTTCTTAGGGCTCCGTACCAAGAGCGGTGTCGATGAGGAGCTTGTTTTAACCAAAAGAGAAGACACGATTAAGGTCCCTGCGGATTTCTTCAAGTTGAACGCGGACCACACTAGCATTTATCGAACATCCTACACTCCGGAACGACTTGAAAAGCTTGGAAAGGCTGCCAAGGAAGGGTTACTAACCGTAGAAGACCGCGCAGGAATGATCGCAGATGCAGGTGCTCTCGCTTCCGCTGGGTATCAGAAGACTTCTGGTGTTCTAAACCTATTTAAGGGCTTCACCAGTGAGAATGAGTTTGTTGTTTGGACCGAAATCCTCGCCCGCTTGGGTAGTATCCAGAGTGCTTGGGTTTTCGAGAACGAGAAAATCAGAGATGGACTTGAGTCATTCCAGAAAGAACTCACCAGCGAAAATGCTCACAAATTTGGATGGGAATTTAAGGAGAGCGATGAGCATGTGCACCAACAATTTAAAGCTATGCTTTTCGGTAGTGCTGGAACATCCGGCGATAAAGTCATCATTAAAGCCGCACAAGATATGTTTGCCAAATTCGCTGAAGGCGACAAATCTGCTATTCATCCAAACATTCGTGGTAGCGTTTATGCCATTGCCTTGAAATATGGTGGCAAGAAAGAAGTACGTTAACCTTGTTTAAAACAATATAGTGGCTAACATTCGTACAGTACGACATCATCCTAGATGCCTACCGCAACTCCACCAACAGTGACGAGCGTAACACCGCTCTCCGTTCTCTAGGACGAGCTAAGGATCCGGAGTTGATTAAGCGAACTCTCGCTTTACCATTCAGCGGTGAAGTCAAGGAACAAGATATTTACCTCCCCATCAGCGGACTTAGAGCCCACCCTGAAGGTACTGAAGCATTGTATCTTTGGATGACTGAAAACTGGGATGAACTCCAACGACGATTGCCAGCCGGTTTATCTATGTTGGGAACGATGGTAACTATCTGCACGTCGGGCTTTACCGGTGAACAGAACTTGAAGAGAATTGAGGAGTTCTTTTCAAAGAGAGATACCAAGGGCTTTGACCAAGGTCTGGCACAAAGCCTTGATAGCATTAGAGCAAAGAGTGCTTGGGTTGAGAGAGATAGAGAGGATGTTAAGGCCTGGGTGGAGGCAAATACTCAAGTCAAGAGTGAGCTCTAAAAGACTCTAAAATGAAAAACGAAAAGCGTGATATATAAACATCATAGATAAGTCATTCTTGCTAGATTATGAGATGATAAATGCAAATGATGATTCTACAATAAACTCCTATGTCATCACTTTACTTCAAACACTGAAAAGCAAAAGATATTTGTAAGGCAAGTAAATACAATAACATACTTGTAGTTAGCCAACATTGCTGTTAAGCTATCACACACGGAGCCGGACATTTAAAGTAGGGGGGGTTAAATCGTGAATCGTGAACGCGATCTCTCAGCTCATCTCGAAATGCAGTAATAATGATCATGTGAGACTTTCTTTTATTACTTTTACAGCCACATTTTGGGTCTGAGTTATATGCGCGACGAAGTTTTCTTTTTTTGGCTTGATGTTTTGATGTGTTTTGGTGTGGAAAGATGCAAAAGTGATGAAGTTGAATGGATGATGGATGATGTATAGATATCCTCGCTAACTGCGTAACTAACTAGATTAGCTAGGAAGAGGAAAAGAAGGGGAAGGAGAAAAACCAAGGAAAGATTTCCGCCTTACTCTATGGTCGTAGGAAACAATGTGATTGATTCGATTGTGATTCGATTCATCATGGTAGGAGGTTGCTCCGGAAATCGTGGATGCTTGGATGCTGGATGCTGGATTGTGGATGCATTGTGCATCGTAGGACAAACTTACTTGTCTTTGCTCGCTTCAGCCACATTCCGTGTTGTACTTGACTTGACTTTCGTTTTGATTACACTTGAGTTTATTTGACAGGATAGGATAGGGCTGGATAGGTGGAATTAGTAATTTGATATAGAGCTAGCTAGCTGTGCGACGATTCGGCTGGCTGGCAGGGCTGGCAAGGCTGGCAGGGCTGTTTTAAATGATATAGTAATTTATTAGATGGCGTGCAGGAGGTGAGATAACGTCAATGGGAATATCATGCGTAGTTGCTCTCAAGCCTCTCTTCTCTTCTCTTTCTTTCTTTCATTCTTTACCTTTTCTTTTTCTGCATGGGCTTCTACTGTTGAAATTAAAATCGATGAAGTAATGATGGGGGTATCTCCACCCCCATATCAATCAATATCCACCTCCACCACCCGTTCCCGTCTCAAGCCACATATATATGTATGTATATATATATATATATGTTGATCTATATTATATTCTTATTTCGTTTGTGCTAGCTGGGTGGGTAAAGTAGGTTAGGTTAAGCTTTGCTTGTGCCAGGAAGGAAATAAACTCATCTGACCCGTTTTTCTTTCTTTTCCTTTCTTTGCTTTTGGCTCCTTCCGCAAAACCGGGCAACAAGGCGTTTTTGTACTCGGGAGTTTGTTGTGGGGAATACTTTCTTTTTGTATTTTTTGTTATGTTTTCAAGTGTTGAGGAAGGATGGATGGATGACAGAGCTAATTCGATATATAATGGGCATGACCTCGTTTTTGTGATTCGTAAAAGCCCATGATTTGATATTACGCCAAACTTGGCGAGCAGGTTAGCTTGGGGATGTATCCTCGGTCTATTTTCTTCCTTTTTAATTTTTAGTTTTTAGCTTCTGGATTTGATAGATTGGAGATGGATGGCGTGGGATAGCTTTGGATTTCTAGGATTGATTGATCTTCAATCTTTCCATAAGCTCTAACTTGAATTAAATTCTCGTTCTCCCCAAAAAATCATAAATGATAACCATGCGGCTCGTATTATTAGTCCCCCACGAAGATGCAATTGCAAGCCACTTTTGCTTTTTCCTGTCTATCTGTCTACCTGTCTCAGAATACTCGCGACCGGTCAAATCTTCAACGTTCTCTAAATATCTCAACTTTGGGATTCTTATGCAGTCAATCATCTTCTGCATATTCTCCCGCTAGGGATTTATCTATGACTCTGACACATCCATCCCTGATACACTAAATCGTGAAATCACCACACTTATGAAGTTCATTGCATGCCTGGATTTGATTGGAACAGGAAGCAGCTTTGGAAGCTACGTTTTACAGAGATATCTTCGAGGACCGGGAACGCCATAAAATATAGATATTAGCGGAATATCCGTCTTTAGCGCGTGCGATTTTGACACCAGGGTATATCCCCAAGAATGATCAAAGCAACGTAATCTCGATAGAGAATGTATACCCGAGACTATAAAACGATGATTTCAGGGGTCGAGTGCGGGGACCGATCTTTGCCACAATATGTCAGTTCCTGCCATATATGTAACCTAAACCTTCCAGGAAGCGTCGTGCGCAATGAACCTCAAAATAGTACGTGCTCCACATCTGTAGAACGATCTACATTCTTTCAAGAACTCTCATCTCCGAATCCCTTGTCCACACTTATGGCTCCTTGAAAGCTCCTTAATGCAAGTAAGTGGGCGCCTCAGGATTCTAGAAACTAGTATCGCTCATAACGTTTGGCGTTGCGCTAATATGACGGTTTAGCTCTGCTGACGTTGCTCACTTATAGCAAGAACTAGCTACACGAAAGCTATACCTTATGTACTAAAACCATAAAGACTAAATGAAGTGTGATCGTTCACATTGAATTGGATCCCAGGTGCATGGGTTACCGGATTCAACCCAAATCTTTATGGAAATGTACCGATGTCACAGCAACTAAACCAACCTCGTTTTACCATCCTTATTAGTTCCGGACTTGTCTTGTCCGTAGAATGTATGTAATCTTATATTCACCAAAACATGTACAGTAACAGTCTAGCCCAACACCCCCACGCGGAAAACTAGTCCTGTGAATTTATGGGAATCATAGCCGATACTCCTCGGTTCTTTAAAGTTTTCTCCTCGTGCTACTTACTGCACAGACATCGTTCCTAACTAGAGGACACTGGTGGGATGTGGTAATTAGTGTGAAAATGTCGTAGGGACTAGGTATACGTCGTGTTTGAAGAAAGTTTGGAAGGATGTTTCCCCTTCTGTCTCGGACCGGATTGATCGTTTATTTTCCTTTCAACTTTTTCTTTGCGGCGGACTTTATTCATTCATTTTTTTTTGCGAGATGTTTTCTCTTTGACAGGGCTCATCGTTGCAATTATGAACCATATAAGTGTTATGATTATATGCGCTCCAATGAGGTCACGTATGCTATTGCCGGATACTCGAGAAAGCATAGATATTGTTACATCAAACCGGTATATAGCTAAATACAAGTGAAGCGAAGCCACGAGTGAAGAATTCCCACTAGTCCTGGTGTCAGATTACCCGAGGTAAAATGAGGATACTCGAGCTCAACCAAGTGCAAACCCAAATATTCCACGAAGCTGCATCTATATCATTTACATTAAGAATCAAGCATCAAGCCTATAACTACAAAGCAGATGAAGCACCTCAGCACCTCTCAAACAGTCCAAAATGAACCATCTCCCTCCAATATCGTTTCAAAAGATCCCATACACTCGGTACCGGGACGAGCAAAACCCCGTGCATATGCACCCCGACCATAGGTTACATACATCTTGAATATATCATGAATATCTGCAATGCAGAAGACGAAAATCGCATCAGAAGAGCGCGAAAAGAAAGATATGGAAACTATTTTACTTGTCTATGACCTCTCTTACTCACAAAATGGTATCCGGAGATTGATCCCCCACGTGCACCACCCAAAAAACCAAAAAGAAGTAAAAAGTGGTAGGTAGACAGCCGAGCAGATCCCCTGTTATTCTCCAGCCTTCAGCTTCGTCATCCCGAATCCTTGGCTGAAGAATTATACACCTGGTGATGTAAATCTTATATTATAATAGGTAAGATTTTACATTCAATTAGTCATATAGACAGACAAACAGACATACAGATATATTCAGAGGGATATTTCAGTTTTCAGCTGAAGATAGAAACACAATACCCGAAACAATGAATAGCATCAGCCAGCACCGCCTTATTTTTTAGCAAAAAGAAGAAGCAAATATACTTCCCAATTTCGAATCTCAAATCTCGAAGCTGGGATCTCGATAGATATACCAGAGACCTACCTACCTACCTAGTACATATGTAAATGAAACCCAAACCCAAACCCCAGACCTGTCATCCATCCATCCAATCAAATCCGACACTTATAAATCTACTCCCTACTCCCTACTCCCTACTCCCTACTCCCCACTCCATACAAATCTATGATTCTATGATTTCTATGATTATATACACGTATAACTCCATAAATCTAGTCTCCCAAGTCACAACTTACAAGTTGAGCTTATCTCCCCGTACATGACATGAAAGAAGCTCACGCCATAAAAAAATAAGCCGTGTGCAGTACGCTGCCCAAGCTTCGTATCCGCATCACGGTACGGTACGGTATCAAATCACATCACATCACATCACACCACACTCACACATCACACTCATACTCACATCATATTGCCATTGGTAGGTAGGGAGAAAAGGGAGAAGGAAAAATGACAGAAAAAAACTGCCGATAGTACGACGCGGATATCGCGAATATCGCGAACCTCTCGTTTATTTCTTCTTCGGGTTATGTGCGAAATGTATAAATTGTTATTCCTATCCTATCCTATCCCTATAAACATTAACATACTAGGTATGCATAGATATCTCCCGCTCTGCTTTTCATGCCATCGATGCAAGTATACGTACCGGAATTCTATATATTCTACGCTCAAGATCATCCATCGCGTCCTTAAAAAGAAATCATGATCATGCTTTAAATTTACTCAGTATAATCTGTATAATAGGCAGCCACATATACAGACACTAATATAAGGTACTCGATTCGATCCATGAAAAGCAAAACACTCACTCACCCGCCGGATTCGGTCATTTAGAGATCAGCTTTCCCCAGAAATAAGCGGAGAAAAGAGGGGGGGTGATGTTTGAAAAAAGCTAAACATATAAACTTTATATTTGGAAAAAATAAAAATAGTCCGAGACTTAGTCAGAAATGTGAGTTCTGTGTATAACCTTTCCCCCACCCCTCAGAAAGCTGAAACCTTGCCTTGCCCATATCCAATAAGAGAAAATCCCATGTCGTTGATCGCTAAATTACCCCTTCATCCCTTGCTTTTGCATATCCCGAGATCCGCCCTTTCCTTTGATATATTTTTGGCCGTTAAACAATAAAAAAGAGAGAAAACGAGATGACCAATGAAAACTCCTCAGGCGATAGATGTATATCCCTAAAAAAGAGAAAACGAGATGACCAATGAAAACTCCTCAGGTGATAGATGTATATCCCTAAAATCCAAATGAGACCCATTCCATTTCCCATTTCCCGAACACCCCGCTCAGAAAAATCTCGCTCAAGAAAGAAATGCACCGGTTCGCTGAAAGTGCTACGACGATGCGCCGGCTACTGTTGCCGGAAAAGATTGTCCAAAATCCGCTTGTGTGTTGTAGAGGTTATGGATATTGGGATGAGGTCAACTGCGAAGTGAAAGTGCTAATTGCCATACGTAGAGTCAAATGAAATGTGTTGAAACTCCTGATGACTCGTCGAGGTTCCGTGATGAGCTTGGTATTCATGAGCACAAGGGACAATGTCCGGGAACGACAATGTAGCGTTCATGGGGTCCCTTTGCGCATTGTCGGTCTTTGCTGCCATCGATCGATGTAGAGAAGTAGTGAGCTCCTGGGTCAACACATGAAGTGTAGATGTAGTAGTTCCTTGTGTATTCGCACATTTTGCTGGCGAGAATGATGTATGTAGAAGGTGACTTGAGGATGAGTTAGTACGGCAATGGCGTTGAGGAGCAGATGGTGTGCGTACTGTGTGGGTCTGAAGAGGGGAGTGACGTGAGGTATAACTTCAAGATGAGGCTCGAGTTTAGATAGGGATGTGAGGTCGGTATGTGATGAGTACGAGTCAGGGAGAATCCTCATGCCTTTATATATCCAATGCCGAAACCTTTTGAGGCTGAGATATATTGACAAGACAATGTGGATATTCCACCCGAAGCTTCCCTGTATGACTGCTTGCAAAAAAGCAACAGGGCATGAACAAATTGAAGGTCTCGCGGGAAGTTTTAATTAATGGGAAAAGTAAGAGAGAGCTCTGGCCACCAATGTCAAAATGGCGTCAGAGCAGAGACAGATCGAATGGGGATGATTGTGAGATCTCGAGTACAACTGTAGTAAATGTAACGCGTAACGTACACAAGAAGAGATGCAAATTGCAAGAGCCAAAAGAGGGAAGAGAATACACCTACCTATAAAGCTGCGGATGCCAATGGATGATATGCGCTGCCAGCGGGGTGGGCTCGGGATATCAATAGAATCAAAGCTTCATACCCGTAACCCATGGTGGGATGGTGCGCCGGATACCCAAACATGCAAAGGAAAAAGAGATATAGGAAGCACGGTACCGGGCGGACGAGCGTAGCAGGGCCATTTTTTCTGGCAGCAAACGCAACCTGTGGGAATTTGCACCTACCATACATACATCCATAATAGTCCGTGAAGCTGTTCAAAATGTGGATCATTTATCGATTGTGGGCACAGATGCTACCAGAAAGTGTGCGTGCCCATGAGAGACCTGGATCGTATGTGTTAGATGAATTCACTGGTGCAGTGTTGTGCGAAGCACTTTTAGGAATTTTTGAGTGAAAGTCGGAAGGAATGAGGTGTGTGTGTCTGTGACAGCGTTGAAAAAAAAGTAGCGCAAGGTCCGTGATCAGTTGGTCTAATTGATCCCGGTATTGTACCATGTCAATAAGTCAATCCCCCAAAAAATAATAACAATTTGGTGTAATATATACCGGTATGGGGGGGGTTGTTTGTATACAAGAAATAATATTACTCGAAGATCAATATATCAATATATCGATAGATTATTATATCTTACTATAATCGGAAGTCTTAAAAAGGCTGAAAGAGCTAGAACGATTGAAGAACTAATTCTATCTAGTATATGATATTCATATGGTTAAATCATCTAATATCTGATGTCCTTCGTTCCCAATATAGTAATACAATCGTTCATCTCCCTCCGAGAGCTGGAATGTCATTTTAGCCTCACTCATCTGGATGTTCAAAAGAACCCTTTCGATGGCAGATACCCTAGACAGATACCTAGACAGAATACCCTAGATAGAGGTACCCTAGATAGAGATGAGATACCTACCCTAGGCACATAACCAATTCCTGGCAGTGAATAAGGTTTTCTACCCTACGAGGATATTCAGAATCGGAGATTATCCACACAGTACGTACTTGACGGATCGTAGATTTCAAGAAAAATAAGCCGTCTCATTGTAAGATTGGCAGATCTCAAGCATCCCTATCTTATCTCGGCAAAATTATCCCCTTTCCCACACTCACTCTTCAATATATGAATGATCTTCTCAGATCTCATACATCAAGAACTTTCGATGAGCGGAAACAGAGATATTGACGGGAAAAAGCAATTACTTGCTCAATGCAAACAAGTAAGTCTGTGCCCTATGAATCCTATCTCATTCCACCCCGAGACCCAAGAAATCCAGCCACCCATGTAAACGGCTCGACGGCAAGCACCATCGGAGCTAGGCTAAAAAGTTTGACATACAAAGGTAGTTGCCAAAGTTCAAGGAGGGGTTGTGGGACCGAAAGATTTCATGCATGGGGGGCCATGGGGCGGTTGATGTCTTACTTGCTACTTAATATCTTTGGGACAAGAAGGTGCAAAGGGAAGAAGTAAAATGTATGTACCTAATATACTTAACTTAGTATGATAAAATTACCCTTTAAATTCTTATTTTCGAAAGAGCAAATGATGAAATCCGAAACAGGCCCAAGGTCACGTTTGATCTATTTTAAGATGTTCAAAAGCTAGGTATCCATCCAATACTCAATGTTCCATCAAGACCTAGGTACCTAGGTAGCTAGATACAGATACAGAAGAGCTAAAAAGACCCAGGAAGCGAAACAAGCAACCGAAAGCCTTAGAATTTCCATCGGTGACACTTTAATTATTTTTTGGGTTGCTTCATCTCACCGTTGGAAAAAGAGGTCCAAGCTGAAACTGCCTACCTACCTACATCATGTTTTGTTCATTCATGGATTTCATGGATTTTATAGCACAGGTCAAAGCGAAAGCCCCGTCCGATATGTACTTACAGTAGGTAGGTAAGCTTAAGTAAGTACTATCTATGTAGGTGTAGGGTAGGGACGGGTGCTCTGTATTCAAACACAAGAATGATTTGGTTGGTACCGGTCCCAGTCCCGGTCCCAAGTCCCAGTCCAGTCCGGTCCAGTCTCTCAGCACGCACAGCTCCCAACCTTCAAATTTAAAGCCGGCAGTCAGGCATCCCAGGGGACACCTGACGTGCCAATTTTACCCCAGTATGATCAAATCTTGCGATAATCGGGATTTCACACATGTGCCACAAGGACTTTGACAGCTTGTGAATGGGGCGTATTGGTACTACCTTCCCGCGGTTAAGCAGTGTGAAATTTGTTCTTTAATTCCAAATGGATGAGATGAGGCATATGCATGTCAGGAGAGACCGACATCTAATTGTCCTTGGTCGACTAAAATGAATGAATGAATGAATGAATGAATGAATGAATGATAACCTTCACTACACCCGTTCTTCCAATCTTTCGTCTCACCCCTTCAAATCATCGTTCGATATGCCTTATGCGAAGTTAATGTTATCGGTCCTGTGTCATTTCCCCAGGTTTGGGATAATTATGCGAGCTTTGAAGCTAATATATGTGACGATACCATACCCCTAGCTCAATGTGGCCATTTCCGCGGATAAGTCGTTCGCATCATGATTTTATGAACTGCTACGACTTACGGTTTTTATGGACCCGCCGGCCTGGTTGAAGAATTAAGAATTAGTTCCCAGCCCTGTAAGATGCATACGAGCTCCTCCGGGGTCGAATGTAAGAAAGTAAATTCTTACGTAAGAGCTTAGATCTTCACTCGAGTTAAAGTTATGGGAAGGTCGGAGGATACTCCAAGAGCCCCGGCAGATTTATGATCCACGTAAAGTTGTACCCTTTCATTCCTGCATAATCTGGATGGGGTTTCGCTGTCCCGCAACCATGTTTCGTGACCCTTGAAAGACTAATCATCCTTTACTTTTTGGACGGATTGACAAAAGTATGATTAAATTTATTCAGCCTTTAGTAGGATGACAATGTACTTGACAATGTGCTCAGTATTATGTGTAGAAGTGAACTCATCCTCCGGCATTCTTTTTATCCCTGTCCTTGAAAAGCCCCAGTTGTCTCCCAGAAATGAAAGTGCTTTTGACCTCAGGGTTCCGATTGATTATTACAACCATGCAAATGTGCTCCACAAACCTAGATTTGACCCCAATCCATCATGTTGCAGATTCAAAAGCAACCCCAACCACACCCCTTTTATCATAAGCCGTGCCATCTATCACAACAGCCCGATGATGGCTGCTGCTAATCCACCAAACAAGGCAGCTCCACCGATTTCCTTCTGAAGCCCTGCGTTATTTGCGGCAGAAGCTGACGCGGAAGGCGATGTTCCAGTTGATGATCCACTTGCGCCAGCGCCCGAAGCTGTGCGCGTACCCGATGTAGTTGTTGCGTCCGCTGAGCCTGAAGTGGTCGTGGAAGATGCTCCAGTCGCACTACTCGATGTGCCCGAGGCGGTTGAGCTAGCAGTCGAGGCGCACGAGATTGCAGATGGCAGATTGGTTACGCCAGCAGTCCGACACAGATTTCGAGCATAAGCAACCGCGATCGCCTCATCTGCCGCCTCGCAGGCGTCCGCCAAACAGCACGCGATGCCACTCAAAAACGAGGAATTCGAACAGATGCAGGCGACATCAAGGTTGGTGCAGCCACCGATCTCAGACCCGGACGTGTACCTGGTCACACACGATTGCTACATGGAATATTGGTATCAATAGGCTTGCATATGGCGCACAACAGCTTGACTAGATTGACACACGGCGGCACCACAGATAGGGGTGATTTGTATAACGTTGGGTAGAAAAGCTTATTCGAACTTACTGCACAAGTTGGGAGTCCATTCTGTGCCGAGGTGAGACCTGCGAGCACTGCGGTGATGGCAACGATGGAGACGGTCTTCATATTTTCGAGGGGTGTAGGGTGGGTTGATGGATTGGTGAGTGGAGTGAGTGGAGGGAGTGGAGGAGTGGAGTGAGCGAGTGACTTGAGAGTAGATTGGCACACAGAAGAATTGAAGCTCAATATCCAAATTCAAGGAATCAAGTGAGTGAATGAAAAGAAAAGTAAGGTGATTTTGAAAAACATTCCACTCTATGAATAAGGAGGTGCCATTCAGGTTTAAATAAAATCAAGCCATAGAAGCCACCATATTTCATTGTGATGTGCAGTTTGCATTTCAATTGGCCAATTCGCTCAATCTGGGAATGATGGGGGTAAATATTGCCATAGCACCCTGCTAGTTCTGGTGCAACAAAGCCAAAATGCCACACTAAGAAGTCTAAAGTCTACCTAGATAAGCTGTGAAAACCTTAAACTCACCATCGCTACGCATAGGATGAGTGAACACAGGTGAACAGGCACACGGAAGATGCCTTACAAGATATATCCGCCGACTTTAGCTTCATATGGAGCTTGATAGAGTTTGCAAACAAGACGATACACACGCACGTGGTATCACAAACTGTTGGGATTTTTAAATTGGTTTGATTTAACTTTTATCGTGCCATGTGTGATGGATGTATCGCGAGGGGGGTAAGACGGCGAGATAGCAAATAATAAGAGAAGGAGCTTGATAATATACACATTGGTGTAAAGGAGAGATTACTGTAACGTACCTCCCTGCCTATGGAACATGGAATGGTAACTGGTACCTGAGTACAACCTTGGGTGTAGGATCAATACCATTCAATCAGGGTCTATCTGTCTGTATTAGATACTTTTCAATTGGGATCAACAAGTGTACAAAGTCAATGCGACAAGTCTAAATCGCAATGGATCCCCACAACCATTTAATACGTCTCATTTCAGCCTCCAACACGCTGCTCCCTCCTAGCAGAAAGATATGTCTAGCAGAAACCCGCAGTTGTCGTCGTGGGGATTGTTTCAATTTCTTTTAATCTTTGAGTCTTGTTCTCTCTTGCAATAATTAATCGTCTCTTGAACATACATCCATCCATCCATCCATCCATCCATCCATACATCCACACATACTACGTAAATCAGACGACAACTAATCATTCCTCTACCCATGTCCAAGGTTCCCCGCAACAACATTTTGTCCCTGTTGTTGGCTGATCTGGTCCATTTGAGGTTAGCCGAGGCACCTAGCCACAGCACTAGCCTCCAATTAGTCTTATTAGAGGTATTTACCGTACTTGTCCTACTTCCAATTTCAGCCTCATCGGAAAGAAACATCATCAAAATACCTACAAAGGCGATAGAATATGTATAACAAAATATCGCGAGAGTGAGGTGAACGGTATTCTATGAGCTAGCCCAGCAATCATAATTATTTCCCAGCTAGAGTCACATTCCTGCAGAGGAGAACTCCCTGCTCTATCAAGATGGGGATGCTTATATTAGAGGATAGAATGGAACATGTTCCTGGTGAGGAATTTCTCATATCTTTGTCAGATTGGTTCGTTACTGACTACTTTCAGGCACCACCCGATATTTCGATGACCCGGAAAGACCTCAGGTCGCAAGTGCTGCATCTGCCGGCTTGAAATGTGATACATCCGGCCCTGTCCCTATCATTCTCGTCCCCCAGCCCACCGATGACCCAAGGGACCCTCTGGTATGACTTCTCATCCGTTCTCATCCAAGATAAGAAGACATACCTCTTACTAATCACTCGATTGATATATAGAATTGGCCATTGTGGAAGCGAGATGTTATCCTGCTCGTCCTTTCGCTCGTTTCCATATTCGCAACCTGTCTGGGTCCTATTCTCGCTGCAAATACCCTAACCCTTTCATTACATTTCGGATTACCATTTACCGAAATCGCGCTTCTTACGGGTTACTATCTTATGGCCGTTGGAGCGATTGGTATCTTTTACATACCTTCGGCTAGGATATGGGGCAAGAGACATCAATTCCTTCTAGGAACTGTTATTCTGATCTTCTCAAGTGTTTGGGGCGGTGCTTCTAAATCTTATGCAAGTCTACTTTGGGCAAGAATTTTTCAGGGAATTGGAACAGCTCCCTTTGAAGCTTTGGTAAACGCTACGGTTGGTGATATATATTTTGTTCATGTGAGTGCGCCTATCATCTTTGCCAGCGTGTCCAACAGTCCGGACTGTAATCCGATTGACTTTCAAAATTTCAATCTTTGAAATGTTTAGGTGTTTCAGTGAATTCAGCATTCATGAGAATCTCAATGTTCGAAGGTCTCTTAATGTTGAACTGCGTTCAGGATTGTTGGACACACGAATCATAGCCTTGCCAAAATGGTTCATATGCTCATATTAAAATACAGGAACGTGGCAAACGTATGGCTTTAACCAATCTTGCGGTGTTCGGTGGTTCCTTCTTCACTCCAATTCTAGTCGGTAAAATAACTCACACAATTGGCTGGCCATGGTCATTCTACTTTGTTGCTATTTTCATCGGACTTTGTCTGCCACTTGTGATTTTCTTGGTTCCCGAAACTGCTTATGTACGGCCTCTTCATTTTAACACTGATCTAGCATCTAGCGACGAATTAGATCAATTCGTCTTGAAACCAGGTCACGAATTAGAACAAGTACTCCGAGGACCTAAAACAATAGAAACCAATATCACAGCAAATAGTAATGGTGGCTCGTCTACACAAGATAACCCAAAAATAAACCACACTCCATATGGCAAAGCTAAATCGAATTATAAAAGCACGCTCATGCCATTTAGTGGTCGCTACTCGGACGAAAGTTTTTGGAAACTATGTCTACGACCATTCCCTCTGTTTTTCCAACCCGCAATCTTCTGGTCCTGTCTCATCCAAGGGACTCTCATTGGCTGGACCGTCTTCATCGGTATAATCCTCGCGGCAATCTTCCTCGGTCCACCTCTATTCTGGGATGAAGTCAAAACTGGCTATGCCTACACCGGTGCTTTCGTAGGCGCAGTTCTTGGATTTGTTGTCGCGGGTGTTCTTTCCGATTGGAGTGCCAAATACATGACAAGAAAGAATAAAGGTATCTACGAGCCGGAATTCAGAATCTTATTGGTAATCCCACAATTTATATTCGGATGCGCGGGTCTGTATGGATTTGGGATTACAGCGAATAGACCGGTGGATTTTGGTTGGTTTTGGCCAATTTTTTTCTTTGGGTTGGAGGTTATGGGAATGGTTATTGGTGCTGTGGCTAGGTGAGCTTGGGTCTATTGTGTTTCGAGTAGGAAAAGATTACTAATATGTTTAGTTCTCTTTATATTGTTGATGCTCATAGTTCGTTTGCCTTTTTCTACTTACCCCCTCGCCCGCCGGCCCTCCGTACCAGTTTGTTTTGCATGATTATTAACATTTAGACAGGGGATATCGCCATCGAAGCATTTACTTGTCTTTTGATATTCAAAAATTTCTTCAGTTTCGGTCTCACATGGAGTGGATATCACTGGCTTGTCAAAAATGGCGTCTACAGTACTTTTATGATTATTTCGAGTATTCAGGTCGGTGTGTGTTTATTAAGTATTCCAATGTGTAAGTTTAGATTTTCCTCTTTTGATACCTAATTAGAGATGCAAGTATTGTGCTATCTATTATTGTACTCGGAGATTCACTAATAATACTTGTTTTCTTGCTCTAGATATTTTCGGGAAGAGAAATCGTGCGTTCTTTCATAAACATGATGTTTTAGCGCTTTTGGGTTTGAGATGATGATGTGATGTGTTGTTTGGAAATTTATTTTCTAGGACCTGGGTTGAAAGTTTGGGGAGATGTAAGGTTAATGGCCCTGGGGGACTAGATTAAATTAATCTTTTCGGTTTTATTTTATTTTATGTTTAGAATGCGAGTTCTTTTTTTGAAAGGGGGTGGGTGTGAAGAATCAAGTTGATAGACTAAATGATTTGATTTTGGATTATTACAGAATGGAACATTAATGTTTTCCCCCCCCTAAATATAATTTACTTTATCTTATAATGACTACACAAAGCGGGGAATAGAGCCGTATTTTGAATGATTTGGGAATAGACTTAATAAATAAATCCCGCCAATATCTTTCTTTCATGGAGCAATTATCTAGGTTCGGAGAATTTTGTTATGTTTCATCTTCCATCTTTTATGTAATTACTGTTAGGATGATGAATAATGAGTAGTTGAAGTAAATAATAAGTGATTGATGGATGGTGAAAAGAGGAGAGAGAAGGATAGACGGTGATAATGGGGGAGAAGATTTTAAGTCTATAGAGAGGGAGGGGTTGGTGATGAATGATGAGTACGTAAGGGATGGGTAGGTCTTTGTGCTGATATGGGTGTGTTGAGATAGAGTGAGTAGGATAGGATAGGATAGGATAGGATAGATTAAATAGAAGGTAAGGGATTGGAATGAATTGGATCGGAAAATTGAGGGGAAGAGATGGATTCTCATAGACTTTTTCTTTTGCTGTGTGTGTGTAGAAGAGTCATTGGTTGGCAGCGTAGTAAATATTGCCTCGAAGCGAGCAAGGCTTGTAAGTCACATTTTTGCAAATGGAAGGAATAGGACTAGCTTGAGTATACATGTAAGAATTCAAGATCTTACATATGCAGACAGGTATCTTAATCATAGCTTTCGATTCCTCATCATGGGTATATACTTTATTTGAGGCTTTCTTTGAGGATCTTGAAGTATGATAGACATCAGTGAGGTCCATGGCTCGTTATAGAATCTTCAGGTAAGTCCTGGTGATGAGGATGTGGATGTTGTCGCTATGAGAAGGCTGTGGGTGTTTCCACTTGGTTGGATTTTCATCCATGAATTTCTGCAGTGTGATGCTTTGGAACTGCGACTTTGTTCGTTGCCTTGGGGGTTGCTTGTTAACTTTCTTCTTTGGTGTATATATACAATACAATGCTCAACATGCTCCAAGCTGATTTCAATAGGTGATGCTTTGGATTTTGAATGATATATCGTTATTGGTGCTAAATGCAAAGCATCATTGGTAGCAATTAGAAATATGCAATGGTGGAAAGTTCGAGATAGCGATTGAGTTATACTTGAAAGGCATAGAAATAGACCGGAATTCCACAATGATTATTCATTCAAAATAACAAGGCCTGGATTTTGATATTTCCTAAAAGCAGAAGACCTCTTTAACCTCAAACTAACAACTTCACAATATAAATATGCCCCTCTCTGCCAAAAAATCAGATACTAATCACAGATCAACCAGATCCACAACCCAAAATCACAACACCCATCGACAAGTAATTCACCATGTCAATGATCCTAGTAAAATTCACCCGCCTACCCATCCCACCACACACAATCGATATCCACAATGCCCGCGAATACGAGCCCTGGTACGAAGCAGTCGAAATCTCACACGCAAACGACGCTAGAGAAACCTGGAAAAACATATCCCGAAACATCACCTCCTCAATTCATAACCACCATCGAAATTACAAGTACTGGAACTACATCATCGATAAAATGGAAGTAATGTGGAAACTTGGGCTCACGGAGACGGCGCCCCAGTTGCTTTTTGCGTATAGTAAGAATGAGAATTATCTCGATTTGCATGATGGTCAGCATGAGAGGATTGCGACGGCGTTGAGTTGGCAGAAGAGGGAGAGGGGTGATTATATGCATGTTACTTATAAAGCTGGTCCTTCTAGTCAGGGTCATGTTGGGATGGTTTCTTTTATGGAGCCTTAGAGATGGGGCGAGTATTAGAGTTCTATGTTATCCGTTGACTTTGATCTCGTTCGGGTTTGAGGAAAGAATGGGATGTTTTGAACGCTGGGATGGAGATTATCGGAAATGGTGAGCGCGCAGGTTTTTAGAATGAGTCAAGAGGATATTTTGTGAATATGCAAGTGCAAACCATTGATGAACATTCTTCATAAACAATTGATTCAAAAATGAGAAAGTTCATGCGATCTGCGTTGATCAATACGAGATGTGCAAAGCTATAAGCTTAAAAAAGATATTCGCAACCATGTTTTCGCAAAACCCGCAAACCCATGTCTTGCACCGGTTATCAAAGGCAGAAAGATACCCTCAATATTAATGCACACTTTGTCATAGAGTTTGAGCTAGATAACCACTTCGCCATCCAACTAACATACTCGAAATCAAAAAGTTCTTCGAGATACCAAACTAAAAACCCCATGCTTGCAACACTTTCATCAAACCATCGACCATACCTCCAATTCTTGTCAAGTTTCGCATTTCAAATAACTACATCCATTTTATCATGTACGCCAACCATGAAGCGATTAAAATAGAGCCCTCACAGACCATCAAGAGCAGTGGAATCAATTAGGGATGTCCTCAACACTCCATTTTTTAGACGCCACAAAGAGCTGGCTAAAGCAGAGCTGGCTCCTCCCCAGATCATGTGAGACACTAGAAAATAGGACTTTAAGCAATAACCGTTCCCCACCCCCACCCCAAAGCAACTTCCCAACAAAGTATCGCATTATCTTCCATCTGCTGTTCAAAGCGAGGACGTTGTAAAAGCCTAAAGATTCATAATTCGAAGAAATCATGCCGATTGTCTTACCGTTCTTTATAACGAAGGTGTTGTCAAAATTCCGAAATTCATGAGTCGAAGGACCTCGAAGTCAGAATCTCCTACAACTCAGAATGCAATCATCCAATTGTCGGAAACCCAGATGATCGACATGCTGTGTGCATTTGAATGTAATCATATGTTTTGAATAGATGTGAAATTTCAGATAAAAGTTGTGTATTTGAAATAACCAATACGTCACATGAGGCATTCTCGGCCAGCCCGAAGAGTTGAAGGTTAAAAGCTCTTCACCATTTAACTGCAACCCAAACTATTGGACTTCTCGGAGCAACGTAGAAGTTTGGAATATACACCCGAGCTCAAGATAGCCAATCAAGTACAGACCAAAGAGCACCAGAATAGCACTAACATGACTTCTTGCAGGGAGATCGAGCTAGCACCGGGACAGGTTATTTCCATCAAATTTCTCGAGCTGGAAGGATTTTTCCCCGACCACATAAATAAAATGGTATTCTCCTGCCTCTCAGCACACTGATAATCTCGGGTAGAGCATTCAGTATAAGATGTCGATAAACAGGTACCAGCTCACTAGACTATGATCCTGCCTGCAGTAGCCATCGAATATATCCTATCGATCCCTACAATGGAAGGTGAAGATCTTTCTCGGCTCAGCTAGCCGAAGTGATGCTATCCCGTAGGATACCCAAATACTATCCTCATTCCGATCATGAAGCAAATCCGGAGAATCCAAGAAATCATTCACGGTCTTTTCCACAGCAATATCCATCACCATTAAACCCCTCCTCATACCATGAAGTCATAGCACCGTCCAGCGCGGCCCTTCATGAGAACCTGCAACTAGCAGGCCGCCACGTTTCTAGAAACAATAGCAGATCTCAAGTACGGCGAAGCGAACGCACCAACTTTCGCATGCTTTAGATCTTACCCTCGGAGCTTCGATAACGAATTTGGAGGGATGTGCTCTAGAGCCGCGAGGAGTCATCCTATTATGATTGCGACACCCACTCACTCCATTCCAAAACCCAAACCAGACCACGATCAATCTCCGGGCATCGCCTCTCTATCATCCTTCCCTCACCCATCCCTCCCGCACTCATCCTTCCCGCACCCGAACTTTCGTCCCCCATTAATTCCCCATAGATTCTCCATACAAGCCAAGAACCCAAGAACTCACAATAACTTATAACCAGTGCGAACATAGTTCGCATCTTCCGCGCTTAATTCAAATATCAATATACCCGATATATAATTACTTTCTATGCCTTTATATCACAAGTTCATCGTTGAGCGCACTGCCGTAACATTATTATAATGCGGAAGATGTGAATTCTTTCTATTCTGCTTGAATAGGTAAAATACCGATTTATGCAGAACCAATATCAAGGTATATAAGTTCCAGTACTGCTAGGAAGTCTACTCTCCAATCGTAAATAAAACAGTGGGATATCTTTTGTCAACTTTGTGGCCACCGTAAGCTGAATTTGTCTCTTGAAGAGCATCACACTCGTGAAGCTTCGAAATCAAAAGTAATAGGCTAACTTGGAGAAGGATTAGAGTCAAAGACGAAAACAAAACATGTGCTGATAAATTCATGTTAATCTCATTATCTACACAAACTGACTTAGCAGTAACCGCCCTAAAACACCACAACCCATTGCTCAAATGCTTTCCCATCATATCCCCCAAATTGATATCATCTCGCTAAAGACTTCTTAGAAAGCCATTTCCTTCTTGATCTCCGCAATTGCCAAACCTGGATTCAATCCCTTGGGACATGTTCTCGAGCAGTTGAGAATTGTGTGACATCTGTACAAACTCATGCTGTTGTCCAAAGCTGCCTTACGCTCTTCCTTCTTCTGATCACGGGAATCTGCTAACCATCTGTAACTTTGCAATAAGATAGCTGGTCCCAAGTACTCTTCGCTGTTCCACCAGTAGGAGGGGCAAGATGTCGAACAACATGCGCAAAGAATGCACTCATAAAGACCATCAAGCTTCTTACGTTCCTCCTTAGATTGCAAATATTCCTTTCCTCCTGGTGCTGGGTCGGTGTGTTGAAGGTATGGCTTAATCGACTTGTATTGCTTATAAAATTGGGTCAGATCAGGAACAATGTCCTTGACGACATAGGTGTGGGGTAGTGGGTAGATCTTGGTCTCGTGCTTGGCGTCTCTAGGAATGCGACCTGTAAAGCAAGTTGTTAGCAAGTGTACTTCATGATGTCAATGAATTTTTAACATACACAAACAAGCCAGTGTGTTTACTCCGTCAATGTTCATTGCACAGCTACCGCAAATACCTTCTCTGCAAGATCGTCGGAATGTAAGAGTAGGGTCGACTTCGTTCTTAATTCTAATGAGCGCATCCAACATCATGGGTCCAGTCTTGTTGAGGTCCAAAGTATATGATTGCATGCGGGGCTTGCTAGCTGGCTCATCTGGATTCCATCGGTAAATGTGGAATGTCTTGATCAAAGAGTTAGAATCGGCTTCAGGTTCCTTGACAGTAGATGTCTTAGAAGCAGGTTCGACAGGACGGGATGGTGAAATGGTAGGGCTGTCGACAGCTGTTTGGCTTTGGACTGTTGCCATAGTACGCATCTGTGTTCTGAAAGCTGGTCGTGAGGCGGCAAATATCGAGCGTGCACATCGTGCACTTGTGCGGAGAGACGCCATTGTGGAAGTGAGATTGAAGTATCAGAATCAATTGAATGACTTGAATGAGGTTGAAAGTAGGTGAGTATTATTACAATCTTGTATGTAGCAATGTAGCAATGTAAGATAGAGTCCTTGCTTGAGATAATATCAAGGTATCAAGACAAAATACAGACAAAGTTGTCAATTACAATTAAGAACTTGTGGAGAAGGCGAAACTGCTTTGCTCTTGAACCGAAATGCCGACAAAGTCGCTTACCTCACCGTATCAACCAATCAGAGATTGTTTTATTCAAATCAAAAAACGGGAAAAAGCGGGTGAGGTTATTCCCGTTAAACTCGTGATTCGTTTTGCAACTCGATGGTATTCAATTCAATCACGACGACGAGGTTATTTTCCAACGGTTGAAGAAACTACAAATTAATGTGAAAAGACGAATAAATATATATGGTCAATCATTGACATATGTGTTATATTGGTCACCATTTTCAATTCTCACATTCTTCGAATACCGGAACTTCACACGGGTACTGCACATATACACGGTCCTTTCTACCGATACGTATATCATCGGTTGGAAGCATTGAGGGGCAGTAAATTAAAAGCTTCTAGTTCTAAAAGATCCTGATGTGGCTATATTGTTATTTCATTCCATGTGATCGAGTGTGAATGAAGGATATTATTGGCTGCCTGAATAAGGTTAAGGTCTAAGTTTATTCGTATTCGGAAAATGTATGAAATATCATAGTGGGAGGTTTTCACTCGATGACGTTTAGATTAATGCCGAACAATAAGCTGCCAACCAGGCATAAACAATGCTAAGGATAGAGATCAGACTGTCTTCACGATCGAGGCCAGCAAAACGAGTTACGGCTTTTATTACGGATTGTCCTTGACGGCTAGATGAATTTCTATACTTTGAACCATTTACTATCTCAATGGCACAAGTACATTCCGGACAATGGTGCATAATTTACCTCAAAACACAGTGCAACCGCGACCTTGCATGGTGATGTTCTTCTGTGGCAAAATGCGCTTGGAGCAGAGCTTAGAGATCTGTTCATGTGGTTGGACTTTCACTGAACATCAAGTGATGAATTGGCCATTGTCAATGAGAACTGGAGCTATTCACACATCAATGTCTTCTCTGATATCTAGATGTTCAATGCATTCTGTACGCTTGCCTGACCGTGCATCAGTGGATTTCAACTCGAGCGGAGACTTATCCTTCCAGCATGCTAAACCTGGGCATCGTTCTTGCAGCGTCTTTACATAACAGGAATGACGTTGCTCTCGGAAGCCCTGAGGCAGGAGTCACCCATCATAAAAGAGGAATGAAGGGTTTTCCCTCGGCCTAAATATCGTTGCCAATAAAGGACATCTTTAAAAGATCTCCAAAAATATGCGTTCGAACAGACTGGCCGCTTCGATGTTTTGAGCCTAGTTGGTCTCCCGTTGAAGCATCAGAAATTATAACTTTTTACCAAATTAAATGTTTGTTGGACATCTACCATTCCTTTGAAATATATCGGGCATCATGTAATTATTTCGGTGTGTCATCTTCATCACAGTGTGAGGCGGGAACATTAAAGACCACTGCTGAGGATCGCATACCTCAAACTGCCAATTCATTATTCCTCATTTTCACGAGACTATCAGGAATCAAACAGATTAAGCGATTTTCAACGATACAAACAGGAACTTCCGTAAATTTCTGATTAAGGAAGGTGTTTTGGAACGGAGTTATTTTTACATGCAAGAGATATCGTTCTTGGGAAAAGGAATATGACCATGTGCCCCTCTTAGCCCTAATACTATAATGAACAACAGCTAAGTATGTAAAACTCACGGCAAGATCTTTAAGGGAAGCCAATCTCCGCTGGGCACAGTTTTTGTGTGGTTGCAAATACTTTTTTTGTCCCAATAGACCTGGAAATGTCAATGACCATTCTTTACCTAGATTCGCTGATCTCGAGTCCAGGCAAACAATGCTTCGAAATTTCAAAGCCACTCCATGAGTCTTCTGTTTCCCTTGAAGAAAGATGGTGTTAAACATCACTAGGTGTTGAAGATAAATTTTACCTACACATGGCAAGCACGGAAGTGGCTCACCCCAGTGAAATATAATTATTACCTACAGAACAGTTAAATCTGACATCAACCCAATCTCAAAATACATTTTAATCTGACCAGGACCCCAATCCAAGAAACTCTACTCAGCCCTCCCATTGGTCTTGGCTAAATTTCATGTCAGCTGATGTTACATTTACATCCAAAAGGAGATAACACCAGGAGAAGCGAACGTGATTTTTCCAGGAATATCATCCTCATCCTTTGAATTGATGCCCAGTAAGATTTGAGATTGTCGAAATTACATCAAAGACACGTGAAACACATCTAGGGAGCATTTTTACTATCAAAACTATGTTTAGCAGGATCATGTCTCCTGTCATTTCAGGAGCGTAGAATTTTTGCTCACCCCTCCATATATACTGAGCCCCAATGCCGAGCATGAATCGAAACTTGTTCGTATAATCCTCTCGGTCTTATTTTCTTCCAAGGCTCTATGCTTCATCCAATGTCTATATATTCTGAGTGACCCCCGCCCGGGGGTGTTTTTCTTGCATCATCATATATGAAGTTTCTGCATCTCCAGTTTTTATACTTTTTGAAAGCTCTACAGCTTATAGTCTCTCTTTATTTTCAGGCTTAGTCCTACCCACACTCCTTTTTGTTTCAATTCCATACATATATTTGCAAAAATGCATTTTTCCTATGCCTTGTCAGCTCTTGCTGCTATCGCCTCGACGGCATCTGCTTCTCTTACAATCAACAATTGGTCTGTTTCTTTACCTCCAATAACACCAAGAGGTTTATTAACGCGATGTAGGTGCTCCCAAGATGTTTACATCTACAAGTCAAACGGCGGAGGCTGTAATGTCGGTACCAACGGCGCTTGTTCCACGGCTTCCAATGCCAGCCCCTGGCATATCAAAGCTGGCAACGGAGCTAGCAGCACACTCACACTCCCTTGGGACACGGATGGGCGTGGAACATCGATAAAAATTGCCAAGACGTCCAACTGGAAAACCACCCCTTCGATTCTTCAACTCGAGTATACCTGGACAACGGGCCAATACTCTGGTCTTTACTGGGATCTCAGTGATTTGGATGGTGCCGGGTCTGGATTAGTGGGAACTCCTTTCATGAAGGATAATGTGAAAGTTAGTCCTACTGGTACTGGCAGTGGATCAGGCACTTGCGTGAAGTTGAAGTGTCCTTCAGGTGCGCTGTGCAGAGATGCATACAACACCCCTGACCAAAAAGCCACCCGTTCTTGTCCATTGAACACCGGCACCATGTGGTTGGATTTGTGTGAGCCAACAAGCCGCTTTAATAGCAGGAGAGAAATCGGCTTTGAGGCATAGAGAATGTTGAGGATGAAGTGAGGATTAGAGGACAGTACGATCACGCTTGCAGTCGTGCTTGGTTTAGAGGAAAACGTGGCTGGTTGCTGGAGTTTCTTTTCATATATTCATGTTTTCTTTTAGGGCGGAGAAGAGTGCAGGTACGCTTTCATGATATTATGCCGGGGGCTATTACCTTATATGTTCTATGTAAATACATTCAAATACCACGGGGGCATTGATGGAGCAAGGCAAATGGTATCCTTTTCTTTGCTTTGAATACATCATCACAAGTATCTTTGAAGCGCAACTGGAAAATTAGCTCACGCGGATCTCCAAAAACTGTCATTGACGGAGAAAATACCACATTTACCCTACCATTAGCTTTCGTAGTCATAGAATACGACTCTGAATTGTCAGACGAACCCATGGTTTAATGTTAAGACATTGTAACCTCTCCACTAGAGATTTAAGGTCTCATATAGCGGTGCAAAGAGTTGTTGTTCCAATAAAGACTCGTCTCTTGTAATTGTTTTGCCTCAAATTAAAAGTACATATTCTGATGCTTGAGACTATGAAGTTGCCCCATGGACAAAAACTCTCGGATAAGCTCTTATGCGGCCGCACTGTGATTGGTCCGGCTCAGACTCTCCACGCTCTACATCTCCCCGACTTTGGATGCCGACGTTCTCTTCCCCAAGAACATATTAATAAATCAATGAATGGGGTAAGTTTTGTGTAGGTTAAATAATCTCATTTCGTTTTCAATAGTATTCTCTTCTATTCTCGCTGTATTTCACATACACTTTCTGTGTAATTTAACTAGGAAACACCCAATTGACGTCAAATCGATAACGAACAACTACCCCTCCATTCCAATATCCCCTCACACTCACCAGCCAACATGTCAACCGGACCTCTTCGCCGAGGGCTATCCCAGATCCTCAAAAAAGACCCCTCAGACATCGTCATTCTCTCCTCCCTCCGCACCCCCATAACCCGCTCCTACAAAGGTCAACTCTCCTCCGCCTACCCAGAACAACTCCTCCACAGCGTCCTCAAAGCGACACTATCCGCCAATCCCTCTCTCGACCCCTCTCTCATAGACGACGTATGTATCGGAGTCGTGCTCTCTGAACTCGGGGGTTCAAAAGCCGGACGTATGGCCATGAACCATGCTGGTTACAATACGCGCACTGCGTTTTCTACGACCAATCGCGCGTGCAGTTCGGGATTGCAGGCTATTACCAATATTGCGAATGCGATTGCGATGGGCGGGATTAACATTGGGGTTGGAGGCGGAATGGAGAGTATGACGAGGAATTATGGGTCGAAGGCTATTCCGGTGGATTTGTGGCCGGAGTTAAAGGATGCTGAGAGCGATACCAGGGATTGTATTATGCCGATGGGGATTACGAGTGAGAATGTGGCGAGTAGGTATGGAGTTGGGAGGGAGGAACAAGATAGGTTGGCAGTGGAGAGTCATCGTCGGGCGGCAGAGGCACAGGAGAAGGGGTGGTTTGATGCGGAGATCGTGCCGGTTACGACGATGTGGCAGGAGACGGGGAAAGGAGGGGTGAAAGTGGGAGAACCGAGGGAAGTTACCGTTACAAAAGATGATGGGATTAGAAAAGGTGCTACGTTAGAGAGTATGCAGAAGTTAAAACCTGCGTTCAAGGAAGATGGTACATCGACTGCGGGGAACTCATCGCAGATTTCGGATGGAGCGGCTGCTACATTGATGATGCGTCGGAGTACGGCGACTTCTCTCGGATTATCTTCTTCAATCATTGGAAAATGGGCCGGTACAGCAATATCAGGATGTCGACCCGATGAAATGGGAATCGGGCCCGCGCTTGCGATTCCAAAGTTGATGGAGCAAGCGGGCATTCAAAAGGAAGAGGTAAACGTGTGGGAGATTAATGAAGCATTTGCTAGCCAGGCGATTTATTGCGTGAGGGAATTGGGATTGATGGGTGCATATGAGAAGGGAGATGTTAATCCAAAGGGAGGAGCTATTGCATTGGGTCATCCTTTAGGTGCTACAGGAGCGAGAATGGTAGCGGGATTATTGGCAGAGTTGGGAAGGAGGGAAGAACAGGTAGGTGTTGTTAGTATGTGTATTGGAACGGGAATGGGAATGGCAGGATTATTTGTTAGGGAGTAATAAGTAAACTACATAGAAAAGGAAATCTTGTTTAAAATATGGGTTTGCGCAGCTCTATAGAATAGTGCCTATAATGCTCTCATTGTCTGAATTCACGCTCAACAATTAAAAGCCTCTCCGTCTTGCAGCCACTTAAGTGCATGAGAATTATGTCTACATTTAACGATATTATATATATATATATTTTTGGATATCTAATGCCTCCAAATACGAACTGCCTTGTCCTTACCACCACTTCCTACCTTTTCCCCGTCGGGGCTCCAGTCTACGGCCCATACTTCGTCTATGTGGCCAGGTAAATCTATGATTACATGATTATATTAGTAAGTACTGAGTAAGCTTGAGAAGCGTCTAATTGTCAAATTGGGATAATGAGATCAGATGAATGTTGAATCTCAATTGGACTAATGAGATCACATGAATGTCAATTCTCAACTAAGATATTGATATCATGTGAATGCCAATTCCTAATCAGGATATTGAAAGCATATGATTGTAAAATCCCAGCTGGGACATTGAAAAGAGCTAAGAGAATATACACACCTTTAGCTAGTTTGTACGTTCTCATATCCCACACCTTCAACGTAGTATCTTTGCCTGCTGTCACCAATAATCTCGAATCTGGGCTAAAAGCACATTGGTAGACCGGGCCTACATGGCCTAACAACGTACTTATGAATTTTCCATCGCGGGCGTTCCAGATTTTCGTATGGTTGTCGAAACCAGATGATGCGATAAGTCGTCCATCGGGGGAGAACGCTACATGGTTGACTTGTTTCTGATGACCCAGCATTTGTGCTACTGGTTTCTTTTGCTTTGCTGGGTCCCAGAGATACATGGTGAAGTCATCACTAGCTGAGACGAGGCGTTCCACGATCTCGCCTTTAATTTCGGAGGCTTTGAGAAAACGTTCCTTGGCTTTTTTTACCTTTTCTTCATCGGTCGCTGGGATCTTGCCAGTGTGGTCGTGATACGCTGTTCGCATGACAAATTCTGTGGATAACGCGAGATGATTGACCCAATGCGCATGAGAATTAAGGGAGTGCGCGAGAGTTCCGTCTTTGGCATTCCACACCTTGACGGTTTTGTCGTGAGATGCGGTATATATGAATCCAGTTCCTCCCCACTTGACACACGACACTGAGCCTTTATGGCCACTTAGAACCAACTCGATTTTCTGTTGATTGGTCGACCAGACTCTAACAGTGGCGTCTTTAGAAGCTGAAGCCAGTCTTGGCTCTCCCGGTTTCTGAACATGATACGGTTCCCATGCCAAACTCGTAACCCAGTTTGTATGGCCCTTCATCGGGTTGCCACATTGCTTTCCAGTCTTAGGATCCCACATCCTGACAGTACTATCATAACTTCCCGTCGCGAGTCTCGATTCGTCTGGCGACCAACTAACGGCCAAAACCCAACTTGTATGTCCCTTTAGAGTGTGTACAGGAGTTCCTGTGTCACAATCCCAAATACGCGCAGTATTGTCTCCACTGCCACTGGCCATTCTTGAGGAGGATCGGGGGGAAAATTGAGTGGCTAGAATAGCCTTATCATGACCGGGAATCGTAGAAGCACACCTCGAGACCGCCTGAACTCTGAAGACCGCTTCTGGAGCTACACCCCAATTAACTTGTCCCTCCTCGCGAACAGTTCCCGGTGCCATTAGAGTATGGTAAACGTCCGCAGGTAATGGTATTATTTTCTTTTCTTTCGCCCCCTTCTCGCTGATCTCAATATCGTATGTGTAAGATATGTTTTCGCTCTTTGGGCGTAATTAGCTTTCAGAATGGGGTATCATCTGGGTTGTGATATTGACTTACTGAGTCCATAAGTTTATTAACTAATAGGTTAAGACTCTTACGATCTGTATTGGCTACTGGTACAAATATTGGGCCCTCTCCAATCGGTTCACCTGTAATTCTGTTTACGAATTGAATAAGAAGATTCCCAGCGTCAGCAGGTATCTCTTCTATCTCTTGCTGTGCTCTTGCTTTCATAAGAGCATCAGTCTTTTGCCTTTTGCTTGGAGGGGGAGGAACGGTTGCCATGGTCGAGAAATGTCAATTTACAAGTCAAATTCAGAGATTGAAATTGGACAACGAGTTGCGATGTCTTTTTATAAAAGTAAAAGTGATCTTTTGCGATGGATAGGTTCTCTGTGGAAATTATATATGGCCAGGGATTATTACGCTAGGTTAATTTCTTCTCATAGCTTGACAGAAATTTTTGCGGGGTTTGCTTATCGATGAAGATCCGATTAGTCATTCTGGCTGCGGGCCAATCATCAAAGAGGAATCGAAAAAAGGTGGCGTTGCTGTGGCTGTTATCTGTTATCTACTGAGTAAGGTCCGTGCATTCCAATCCGCATAACCTTATCCCGCATTGTAAATGTCCCTGCGAGTAAGGTTACCTACCACTTTATAATTCCTTCTTCTATCATATTATCATATATATCATCGATATCTAGAAAACATTAGATGATTGCCCAAACTACATATCTTCATGATGAATTTATGTCTCACATTCTTCCATATCTACCATTGATCTTCAGAAAGCATCAAACGATAACCAAATTCTAATTACTTCTTCATGTTCTGGCCTCCTCTTTACATCATAATCTTACAAGGCAATTGATCATCAAGTTCTGCATTTCCATCTTAACCTCCATCTCTGTCTTCATCCCAACCCAATTCACCTGATGGTTTCCATCAGTAGGAGAGAATTGAATATCTTTCTTTGGATTCAAACAATCCATCTATCTTGTTAAACGAACTAACACTTTAGTCGTTAATTGGTAGTTTCACTTGCAGATTTGAGATTACACTGGTCTGCGCTTGATAGTGAGCATGGCATCATTATCGAGACCCTCTTCCTATAGTACTCCTTCCACATCATATCAGCATGGGTATACCGATTCTAATTCCTATTCCTTGCCCCACCATGGCGGTCGTTCAAGTACAGCTCGTCCCGGTACATCCCGTCCAAGCACTGGACGTAAGTCAAGAGAAAGTTCCATTCTTGGAGGCGAGTCTCAGCACATTGTTTGTGCTGTCAGTGAAGGACGTGGAGTATCTCCGACTGTTGGCTTAGCTCTAGTCAATATATCAACTGGCGAGGCAGTCCTCAGTCAGATCTGCGACAATCAATTCTACGTCAAGACTCTTCACAAGTTACAAGTCTTCGAGCCTACCCAAATCTTAATTGTGTCTACTTCCGGACCTCCTAACCCTAAATCCAAGATGTATCAAATTGTGGAAGAGAATATATTGGGAGCTAGGATCATCACAGTGGATCGTCGTTATTGGTCCGAAACCTCTGGCATTGAATATATTCAGCAGTTGGCGTTTAAGGAAGATCTAGAGGCAATCAAAGTGGCTATAGGAGGCAACTACTTTTCGGTGTGCTGCTTTTGTGCGGTAAGCCTTGCCAGCAGCACCCTCCTTTGTGACATTTACTTTACTGACATGTTCTTTATGCGTAGGCCTTGAAATATATTGACATGAGTTTATCCCTTACTTTTGCATTTCATTCTCTTCGAGTTAAATACCAGCCCTCGGAGGATTCTATGATGATAGATCTTGCTACCATTCAATCACTTGAACTAATCCAGAATCTTCAGAATGCCAAGTCAAAAGATTGTTTATTTGGACTCATGAACGAGACACTGACACCAATGGGGTCACGGCTCTTGAGAAGCAATATTCTACAGCCTTCGACTCAGTCAAGTTTACTAACTGCTCGCTACGACGCGTTGACCGAGTTTTCGGAAAATGAGGACATGTTCTTACAGACCAGACAAGGTTGGTCCAGTGCCCTTATTGTGTGCCTTCATCATTTATCCGTCTTCATGTTGACGCGGAGTCCAATTTACCCCCATATTTCGTCCCTTACTAACCAGGTTACAGCTCTGAGGTCGATTCCTGACATTGAAAAACTACTTACTTGCGTACGTGCTCGGGTCCTTTTTTATTTACATTACTGTCCCCTGACATCTTGTAGCTTATCATTATTCCAAGTGTCCCAGGCATTTGGAACTCGGAGCAAGACATAAACAACATCCTAATGCTAAAATCCTTTGCGCAATCTATTGGCCCCGTCTTTGAAAGCCTATCGGGTGCTCGATCGGAGCTATTAGTTCAGATCCGCAACAACTGTCGTACTGAAGTTGTTAACTCCACAATTCAACTTATCAACGGAGTCATAAACGAGGATGTTACATATCAGAAGACTCCTTTAGATTTACGAAATCAACGGACATATGCTGTGAAGGCAGGAGTGAGTGGCTTTTTGGATGTAGCACGTCAAACTTTCAAAGAGGCGACCGAAGATGTCCATCAGCATGTGACAGAAGTTCATCGTATGCTCGCCTTCTTCAATGTGTTGCATTTTACTCACAACTAGTGGCAGAGAGATATAAAATTCAAGGCGAAACTAGATTCGATAATCTCCGAAAATACTATCTTCGATTTTCCGAAAACGAATTTGAGGGTCGAAGCATACCGGATATACTTATCAATCAGTTTCGCAGAAAAGGTTATGTTGAATGCCAGACTCTAGATTTGATAAAGTTCAACCAGAAAATCGAAGACTCTCACATAGAAGTCATTTTGGGAAGCGATAAAACAATTCAAGGACTTCTCGAAAATGTGCGAAGCGAAATCCCCAACCTCTTTAAAGTTTGCGAGAGTATTGCCATGCTCGATATGATCACATCCTTCGGGAAATTAGTCACGAGTCAGGAATCCTATGTCAGGCCAGAGATCGCAGAATGCATCGCTATCAAGTCTGGCCGCCATCCAATTCGAGACAAGGTTCGTATGGCTCATTACATATCAACTCCAAATACTAACCTGCGTTTCCTTCAGGTACCATCACATAAATTCGTGCCCAATGATTATTATGCAACGCAACAATCTCGTTTCCAGATAATTACCGGGTGTAACATGAGCGGCAAAAGTACGTATATACGAGGAATTGCTCTTATGAGTGTGATGGCGCAAGTGGGTTGCTTCGTACCAGCAAGTTACGCTTCATTTCCAATAATTCATCAACTCTTCGCTCGCGTGTCAATGGACGATAGTATTGAAGCAAATGTTTCTACTTTCGCTTCAGAAATGAGGGAAACGGCATTCATACTTAGGTCATCCGAATTCTTTCTCGTGTCTCGAGTCTTACTGATCAGTGGTTATAGAAATATTGATGAGAAAAGCCTTGCTATAATTGATGAACTTGGCCGTGGGACCAGTACAAGGGACGGCCTTGCGATTGCTTTAAGCATCGCAGAAGTATTGTCACAGACTCGAGCAGTCATCTGGTTTGCTACCCATTTCAAAGAGCTTGGTATGTGGTGACGTCCGATCTCCGTCTCATGAATATGCCTGCTGACATCAAGGAGCACAAATCATGTCTGAGCGTCCTGGCGTTGAAGTTTACCATTTGTCAGTCGACATGAGTGATGTGAATACCATGACAATGCTCTATAGACTTAGTCAGGGCTGTGTTGAAGAACAACACTATGGTATTGCTCTAGCGCGTGTGGTTGATTTGCCTCCGAGGGTTCTCGCAGTGGCCGAGGAAGTCTCGAAGACTATCATTGCTCAAGCCGCCGCTAAGAAGGAGAGTCCTCGGACTATGGCGATTAACAAAAGGAGGAAGCTTCTTCTTACCTTGAAAGAGAATCTCGAGCAGCTCCGTAATAGTCCCATGGACAATCAGACATTGCTAGAATGGATTGTAAAGGTGCGAAAGGAATTTTCGTTTTGTATGGAAAATATAGAGAATGGAATGGCTGATAACGATTCGGAAGTTTCAGACGATGAAGGCACAAATGCAGGAAGCGAAAGTATTTTCAGTGCTGAACCGCGAAGCGAAGGGACATCGATGAGCGACAGTACTTGAAACTGGTGAGTTCACAAAAATACATAGCTTCAAGAGCTGCTCTGTATATAACACTCAGAGAATAACATCGTGCAAAAATGGTCCAATTAGAAAAATATGGCAGATCTTTCTCAAAGGCCGACCATAGCAGCGGGATCAGCAAGTAGTATAGTCGGTATATCCAATAGTCCTACCGTCTAAACTCTGGGCGATAGTCTAGACAGTTAATGTGTGATATTATTGGATTAGTTGGGGCTATCAAAGGTGTTTCAAGACAAAAAATCCGGATTAGATAGTTTAATACTAAAAAGTTTAGACTTCAATCCAGATTTTTGGATTGATTAAGACATATCACATGATTTGACCAGGCATGCTCAGAACACCGAATGTCATGTGATATCACCATTCACTCCAAAAATCCGGCTCGTCCGGAGTGCAGTCTAGCTTGTCGGGGACTTCTATTATCCTGAACGGACTGTTCAATTTCCCCTTAGACTTAAACTCGACTGTTTAACGTCCTGCGAACTGGACTATAGAATACGCCGAGTGTAATACCAAGCTCCCGATACTTTTTTGGAACAAGGGTTCTTCATCATGATCATTCGAACGGTTTGCATCCAGCTAGTTTGCTGAGTGTTGATGACAAAAGTTCTGTTGTTTCAATAAGTGCCTTTGATTATGCAAAATAACTCCCTCAGTAGCGGTCCTACACAGTCATGATCACAAAGTAAAAAAAGCGCACAATGTGATAGAGACAGAGCCTAGAGAGAATCGGATGTAACTATCTCGCGATCAACGGCAAGATTCATGAGCCCCGCCGTTCCCGAGACATCGAATTCGCTGCTCACTGAGCAGTGGGGCCGATTGGAATGTGATATATGCAAGAACCAATGAAAGCTATGAGGTGCTCATGGTCTCCCCACAGCTAAAAGTAACCCTGCTCCAGTTTTCATATATCCTTACGTCGAGGACACAAAACTCAAGCGGGCGTCCGTGCATGATGAGACTCTAAGTATAAAGTGTTCGTCGTTGATGAAGACGGAGTGAATTAGAGAACAAACTTCTTCCAGCGAAACTAGGATAAACACCAAAAAGCAAATAGCGGACCAAAAGCAAAATGAGTTCAGATATGAAAGTGTTGGTTATTGGAGCCGGTAGCTTCCCTGTCAGATCATTATCATGACTTCGCTAACATAAGCAGGCACTACCGGTCTATTGATAGCGCAAGGACTCAAGAAGGCAGGCATAACTTTCGAGATATTCGAGCGAGCAGCCTCAGCAAACCCTACCGAGCGTGCTCGCGACTGGTCGATGGCTTTACATTGGGGCTCGCAACATCTTAATACATGCCTTCCAGACGAAATCTTTGCGAAAGTGAAATCCGCTCAATGCGATCCTTATTATGAGGATGAACAAGAAACTATGCCACCTTTGCCATTCAAGAATGCGCAGACCGGAGAAATATTATTAACTCTTCCGTCCGATGGTCTAAGACGTGTAGGCAGACAGAAACTGAGAAAATTGTTCTCCGAGGGTCTACAGATACAATATAACAAGAGACTCACCTCCTTCACAGCTTCGGATACAGATGTCACAGTCACATTCGAAGATGGGACCTCGACTACAGGAACCCATCTCGTAGGCGCCGATGGAGCGAGATCCTTACTTCGTACTACTGTACTTGGGGATAGAGGAAACCTCACATCTATGCCTTATACCCTTTACAATATGAAAACGACCTATACGGCGGAGCAGGCTCTTTATCTGAAAAATTCTCCTGCTTTTCATCCTATCATGAATTTTGGGACTAATCACGAGCTTAAATCCTGGGCTATGTTGGTTATTTTAGATGTTGTGGATAAGGAAAAACCTGAGACTTGGGTATTCCAACTATTGTGCAGTTTTCTCCAAGAGGATCCGGTGCACCAAGCACATGCGACTGCTTTGAGCAGCCAGGAGAGACTTGAGACTCTACAGAGTAATGTGGAGCTATGGACTGATCCATGGAAAAGCGCTATCAAATGGTTGAAAAAGGGGACTGAAGTAAGTTGTGATCTACTATTCTTGTAGCTGTTGTTGTATCTAGGCATGCCACTAATCAAAACCTTTTAGGTTCCTGCGGACATATGTACGTTATGGAAGGACCCCGTGCAATGGGACAACCATCATGGTCGTGTAACCATCGCAGGTGATTCTGCTCATCCAATGCCACCTCGTAAGATTCAATTCCGCCATACTTTAAGCATGTTATGCACTAACGCCCGCTTCTTTAGATCGTGGTCAAGGCCTCAATAATGCCATCCAGGACGCAGCAAGTTATGTCAAAGCTATAAGAAATATCAATGAAGGAAATATCTCTTCTGAAAGGGCCATATCTGCTTATGATCTAGAGGTACTTCAGCGTGGAAAGTTGGAAATAAGTATATCTGCTGCTTCGGCTGTAGCTACGCATGATATCGACCGGTTTAAGGAGGGTCCTTTGGTTAAAATAGGCATGAAACAACCGAATGCAGGAGATGAGGTTGCCGTTACTGCTTAGGCTGAGGGTATAGAAAAAGACATGATTACCATGGCAGGGTGAAAGACAAGATCATGCGATGCATTAACGCGGAAGAAAATTTGTGGGTCCGGTTTGGTATCGTCAACATAACATGCTGTCAGATAATTCGATCTTATATCTTACACCACGAGTAACACCGACCGTTTGGATTTGGGACTTTCTATTCTTAGGCAATAATACTTTATATATACAAGACATTTTTTCAAAAAGATCAGGATAGCCAATCCAAGCAAATCTATTGGTATGATGTAGCTGAATCAATGCACCCGAAATCCAGTCTCCTGGAATGATATGATCTGCCTCGTTTTAGTTCTCGTACGACTTCAAAATCTATCAATAGCAATAAAAGACGATTCTTCCAGTCCATCGAACAATTTAGCGAATTGTTCTCCCCATTTTGTCATCATGTAGGCTGATTTTTAAAAATGCGGGGTTGTCGGTTACCCCCGCTCAGTTCATGAGTGGCGTGTTCTGTGTTCTGTTGTCGTATGATGCTGGTGCCACGAAAACTAGCTGCGGCTGGGCTGTGGGAAATCCTTCCATTTTTCTAAATGTGGGTTTTTTTCTTGCAGCGGATGAGTAGGTAGGTGATGATGATATATAGGTATATATATACTGTGCTCAACGTCATCAGCAATAAATAAATAAATATTCAAAAACTCTCAATATCATCACTACCAACCACTCACTCACTCACAACAATCCAACCCAACCCAATCAAGCAAGCAAGCCCACAAACCATGTCAATGATGGCCAAACGCGAAGCAATAATCATGACCATCACCGCAATCGGCGGACTAATCGGCGCCAACGCCCTCCTCAAACCCTCTCCTCATCACAGCATCAAAGCGGGAATGGACGCACAGTTACATTCATACAATGCTCATACAAAGCCACATGCCGATCAAGATCCTTTGTATGTATTTCCCATTTCGTGATTTCGTCATGGTGCGTTAGATTGTTAAGTTATTGTATTATGGAGGGGGGGTTTTGAAGGATAGGATAAAAAGGGAGAGGAAAAGAAAGAAAGAGAAGAGAAGGGCTAATTATGAGTGATCATGATATAGGGATACGATTTTTGATCGCACGGCGTTGATGGAGAAGGTTAAGGATCAGAAACCGTGGAATAAGACGTATGCGGAGCAGGAGAGGCATAGATAGATGTGAAGATTGTTAAGGTATTCGGTTCGTGTTAATTTGGGGTGGGAGGATAAGTTGGTGCACGATTCCAGGGGCTTGGGTTTTGGCGTTGGAATTGGGGTTGGATTTTTGAGCGAACGATTACCTACTTCTTCTTATGATTAGTATATTTGATATCCCGTCAGCTATATCATGTTTTCATCTTGTGATGCTTGCATATTTCTGTATGAAGACTTCATGTTGCGATCAGATCTGGAAGTATCTTCTTATGGCTCCTCAAATTGAGTGTGTTGTGTTCGAAGCATCCGGTCCACACACTATCGACGATAAATTATTCCTGTGACTTGTTTGAGTATGATTTTTGATTGCATGAAAGAGCAGAAACAAATAAAAAGTAACAGGAATGCCATGCTCGAAAAAACCAGCAGCCAAGAAATATATCACAGTGACACCACAGGACTACAACCGTAATTTCCATCAAAACCATAACAAAAGTTCTTCAAAGTACAAGGGAAAAATCTTCAATATCAATGGTAAAGAAAAATAGAGAATTCTAGCATTCACTCTTTTATCATGGTTGTGCCATGTCCGGATTTTAAATATTTTGATTATTCCCCGAAGCGACCGAAGCGAACCCCTGAATAACAAAATACTTTAAAACTGTGAAAATGATACCATGGAGAACACTGGAAGGTTCTTTGAGGAAGATAAAATTCAAATGAATAATCGCATTATTCTATATCCAAAGAATTCTGATTTGTAACTTAGTTATGATATTGGTCCCAATCTGATGAGCTGAAAAAGAAGAAAAGAAAAGTATGAATGGATAAGCTTTGTACCGGGCTTTTCCTATGTTTGAAGGGCTTTATTTCGAAAATTGCAGCTGAGCCTATGACTGATAATATGCGGTATAAGTAGAAGGATACAATCGGCTCAGCCTCTCACAATTACATGATTGATAGATGTGTATTGATTTCCAAACCGTGAGGGTAACCAATGTCAATACTAGCGTTTCCCCTGTGCTCTATGGAAAATTCGACAGAGTCACTATTAGGCATTAAAACAAGGCTAAATTTTCTAGCAGCAGGTCATTAAGACGAAGGTAATCGCTTGACTTCAATTGATATAGCTTCTTAGGCTGCTCACCTCGACGACTGACTTCTCTGCAAGTACCGGTACTCCTTTTCTTGTCCCCCGCCACGTCAGAGGTCGAATTTTTCTGTCTTAAAAAGTATCGCTCTTGATTCTGACATCCCAATAGCTATCTATCTTCACAAACACTTGCGCGTCATTGCCTAGGCATGAACCGCCAAGGGTCCTCCTCAGTCCTGGCGATTTATCCACTTCCCGAAGGAGAGCAAGATCGAACTTGAATCCATGCGGCGCAACACATGCGACCTCTAATCACTTCATTTTGCCGTTTGATGATAATGCCGGCTTTCCGGGATTCAATCAGCTAAAGAAACGTAAAGGAGCCTGCTAAGTTTGCTCGTCCTGCCCACCTCAGAATTGAGACTGTACACAGTTTTCCTAATCATAAATCTAGTCGTACTATACTTGCCAAAGTACACTTTCTCCTATGCACCTTCTCCATCATCGATGGTTGGCTGTGAACAGGCAAATCATCAATGGCAACCAGTCAAATACCGAAGTCCGACTTCATTCGCCCCAAAATCTTTGTCGACACCTCATTACAACCATCCGCAATAGCAATAACACCGTAGCAAGACAGATATTTCCAAACTAGCGGAAAGCTTTTGGTTCATGAGACTGGATTTCGAAGTAATCAGGCACATATTAAAACTCAGAGGATCCAAGGAGTAGGAAGGAAACGTGCTAAATAATAAATTTGGAATTGAGCTAAAATAAATGGCCCGGAGTACGGTGCTTGAACCACCTGGCGTGAGAAAAAATGTGAGCAAAGAGTGATACGGATTGTGGAAACTCGTGAAGTTGTGTGTGGTGAGGAATGAGAGAAGTGCGCATGCTGTAAATGGGTATGGGAATAGAGAGATCGGGGATCTGCCGTGGATGAGAGCAGTATGATTGTTTCATGCCGAAAAACGATATTTCAGGAAAAGGGCGCGGAACTGGAACCAAACGGCCAGTCCGTTTCCTTGAGAGGCTTTCTTCATTTTAGATGAAGAGGTACTTTGGTTCGACTTCAGATTTAGTGTACTTAGTGTACTCCCGGTCAATGAGAACTGTGTACAGAGGCTCAACCCCTGTCTAGACTTTTTAGCATGCAATAGGACCTTTTGAAGCCATTCTGAGTAAAATTAATCCCCGCTAATCCACCCGTTCTATTGTTATGCTATAGCTTGATCATCACGCAGTTTTGAACCTCACATCAATGACTGATGCGTATCTATATAGGTAGAAATCTACCTTTTTTCCGTCAGTTGTAGCCAAACACTCACAAATCGTTTGTCCTGGCACTCCCCACTTCTTTTCTCATTCGGCCAAGAGCAAAACACTCAAATTTGAGTACATGATTGATTGATTAAGGAGGTGCCTTGAATGCCTCGATTCAAGGTGAAATCCTTCAATATTGTGCAATTGATCGCGGAGCTGACAATGTTGTAAGCAACTGTTCAATTATGATCCTCAAATTAGCCCTCTTAGCCCTCTCTTTAAGCAACTTGTAGTCATACTTCACAGCTGCTCAGTATCCTCCAGCTGGAACAACAGTAAGCCCTCAATATGCAACAGATTTGTGGGAGGAGATTCAAACTGAGGACTAGGCTCTCGAAGATACCACACAGTTATCATCAAGAGCTGCATAATTCAGGATCAACTTCCTTAACGTTCCCTCTGGTGGCCGCTCATCCTTGCCAGACCATTAAAGGCGGGGCTGGCGTACAAGCTGGTTTTATTTTATTTTAAATACATTGGGAATATCGTCAAGAACAAAGCCTTTTTTGCCACTGTTGATGCTATCATAAATGGCATGGTGGCCTCCTCTAAGAAAGCCTCGGTGCTATTTTCAACAGAAGGTTATTCCGGAAGAAGCCTATCCTAGCTTAGCCTTGGTGGATGATTTAGGATAAACCTCTTCCTAAAACCAAACGACATAAGGAAGACTGCTGATCCGAGGCCAGATACAGTGTGCAGTCAAAGGAATTCCTGACTCGCGCGTGACCCAAAAGTTATAGCATGTAGTACATGACTTTCGCGCGTGTTCCCTGTCTTTTGTTGGCCTTGGATAGTCCTACCATACGTGAAGATGGGCTTGGACAAAAATCAGAGTGATAACTCTAGAAGAAGCTGATTATCTTTGCAGAATGCATGAGGTCTGGACGGTGTAAATGCTCATAAAAAATTGTTACGAGCAAATCTCTATTACCCATAGTCATCTTCCTCTTTTCCGCCCAGCTTGCGTGCAGGAGTTGTCCCTTAGCACACTGCGAGAGAATCTCCGCGTCTAATTGCAGATACAACTGCTTGGTGAATACCATCCACCGCTCTCACCTGCCCCTTGAAATTGGCTCAAGATGATGTAGTGAATGGCACGAACAGCAGCACTAGTTTTCATACTCTTAAAATCTCCGAATACTCTAGCGTTCTCCGTACTTCAGAGATCGAGTTTTGTTAGGACAGACTCTATTGCGTTGTAATGCTCGCTAGCATATTATGTGATTCTGTCTGTGAATGCTGTTGTTTCTCTCATGTTGTGATGGAAATGTACCGTGGCCCTTTTAGCAGTTTGGTAGAATATCACGTGAATTTTCTATTCTTGTATTTCCCAATACTTCCTTCACTATTCACTATAACTCGTTGCTTGTTATGAATCATTCTGTTGATATCTCTTTAACCCACCAAAGTAAATACAGCCGTAGTATAAAGGTTGCGTAACGGCCCTCCATGGTAGTTGATAGATGTACCCGATAGTTGTATAGAATTCGGCAAGTTTTTAAGTATGTTGACTCTTCTCTTTAATGTTGACATGTGAAGCCAACGAGCAATAACCTTTCACTGATTTGCTTGGATACAAAATATATATGCTAGGTCATAGGACCATCCAACTACCACCAACTTCTTTCCTACTACGTTTTGTGTTTGTGTAACGTATTGCAAGGTTTTACTGCGGAAAGGGGCATGAGCGATGGAATCACAGTTGCCTATACCAATCATCTTACCATTGAAGTGCTATATCACTTTTTTATGATTATCTCTCTTCAATTTCTACTTTTTCTCATATATTCAAGATACAACGAAGCACAAGATCGAATTGAATATCCAAACATGGAATCCCACAGCTTATCTGGTCAGATATATGACAGTATGTTTGAGTTTGATATTGTTGTCATTGGCTCCGGTATGAATTGCTTTCTTTCTTTCCATCCTGAGTCATCTACATACATAATCACGCATTGTATCCAAAAACTACAGTTCATTAACTTTGTACCACGTCTTACAGGCCTAAGTGGTTTAGCTTTTGCTAGATTCTACCTCGATATTCATCCAGAAGTGAGGCTAGTTATCCTCGAAGAGGACGTGTGCCTTGGCGGCGTTTGGAGCTCAAGTAAGTGTTGTTTCGTCTGGCTACCGTCCCCATCCTATATTTACCAATATATATTGACTTGTGTGTGTAATTTCAAGGACGATCATATGATGAATTCTGGTGTCAAAGTGGCCGTCGAATGTCTGGATTCTCCGATGTCCCTCTCACTGTTCCTGAAGATGCACCTTTGTACCACGATACCTTCGAAGCAAAATACGTCACCAATTATCTCGAGGAGTATGCAGATAATCACATATACAACGGGAAGACCCTCTTTTCAAGGATACGTTTCGGCCAGCAAGCTGTCAAGATTGACAAGATAGATGATATATGGCATGTCACAACAACTACTATAGCTCATCTCACATCAAAAACTCAAAACAGGATGATCTTTACATGCCCTAAGCTTGTTGTTGCCACCGGTCGTACCTCGCTTCCCCATATTCCTCGAATTGATTTTGGTTCGGGGATGACAAGTAGCTTTGATTCCGTTCATCATCATAAAGAGTTTGGAAAATTATCAAAGCATCCACTTCCCCGGGCCAGCGGAGTATTATACTTCGCAGTTCTAGGTGGTGGCAAGTCTGCTGCAGATATGGTCTACGAGTCAATCAAGAAAGGTCACAACGTTAAGTGGATTATTCGGAGAACTGGCGAAGGTCCAGCTCTGCTATTTCCCGCCCCTGGGTATGGCCGTTACAAGAACTCGGTCGAAAGTTCAGCAACCAGGATGAAGGCACTGTTCAGTCCGTCTCCGTTTATGCCAAAATCATGGTGGTTTTCCTTGATACGTGTCATTCTATACGGAACTAGTGTTGGGATAAACTATATGATGGAAAGAATAGACGCCGTTAATCAATATTGTCGTAAGGTGGCGGCATATGATACCAGGCCGGACTCGTTGCCAGGGTTCCCACTCCTTGATTTTACTACCTCGTGAGTCACCCTCGACTATGTGTGGAAGCCATACTGATAACATTAGTGCATTCTGGTGCACTGGACCTGTAGGACTTGTGCAGCATGACGATTTCTGGGATACAATATCTCAAAATGCTCAAATTTATCGCAACGACGTTGTCTCTTACAAAGACAACATCATAACTTTAGACAATGGCACTCAACTTTATGCGGATGAATTATTACTAGGAACAGGCTGGACTACCACTCAAATATGCTTTTCTGATACACAAGCTCAGTTTTTAGGTCTCCCTCATTTCAAGGCAAAGAATAATGCAAAAGAAAGGAAGTTTTGGGAACTCATTTATGAAGAGGCAGATCGTCAAGTAATTACCGACTTTCCACTCCTTGAAAACCCTCCTCCATATCGAAAAGACCGCTCTGCCCCTCACACAACAGTACAACAGTTATACAAAGGCATTGCACCGCTTAGAGACAACTCGATCGCATTTCTAGGGGCAATAGATATGTCGAACTCTTTCCGTACAGCCGAGACACAAGCTATCTGGACCACAGCATACTTCGACGGTAACATAACTCTACCTCCGAACGAACAGATGTTGAGAGAAGTTGCCTACATGGGGGCGTTTTCGAAACGGAGATACCCTACTCGTGGTGTAAAGGGAGAGTGTTTTTTCTTTGAGCTTGTTTGGTATACCGATGCTTTGCTTCATGAGGTTGGCTTGAGATCGCATCGCAAAGGATGGTGGGCTGACTGGGTGGAACCCTGTCTTGCATCGGATTTAAAGGGAATGAAGGATGAATACAAGAAGAAATTCGGATTGTGAGCGTTCTGTTAGGCACTCAATTTGCATTATTACTAGTCGTCATTCGTTGAGTGAAGTTGCGACTTCTTGGAATAACGCTTAGGTACTCATCATCATTGCACACTTACCGTAATTAGAATCTAATGAACTTTGAATCTTTAGCTATTTCCTTTCCTTACGATTAAAACTTAATATATCATGGCTTTCTCTATATACCCATGCATGTGCCCATCATTTTCCACTGCAAATTCGTGCATATACTCGTTGCACCACTAATTATTTTAACCTACTCCGGCCCAGCTCCTTGCTCCACTCTTCGACTTTATGAATTCCAAGTATTTCTTAAGATTTTGACTCTATAATCCCCTCTGAACACGCCACAACTACCTAATAAATAGACCACAACACTTCTCAAATTTTCCTCACAACTTCGGCTGAAAGCGAGGATTCGTTCGAATCCTCTCTCCATATCTCAATACCAATAACGCTATCGGCACAAACCCTATAGCAATAAAAGCCAAAACACTATTCCCCCATCCATACCCCAAATGATCATATAGCGGATTAGCGCTCAACGGAACCAACGTTGAACAAATAGATCGGATGATGGTGCATGCTCCAGTCGCGCTCGCGGCATAGATGGTATATGTATCTACAAGGTACATCTGCACTGGTAGATAGCTGAATAGGATACCGATTGCAATGACTGAGCTACCTAGGATTGGAATAATCCAATGGGTATGATATTCAAGGGACCATCCGTACCAGAAGAATCCGATGGGGAGGAGAAATGCACCGATGAACATGGGTGGGAGGCGGTATTCGGGTTTTTTGTCGTTGTATTTCGCTTCTATTCTCAGCATGTAGCGGTCGGAAAATTGAGCAAGGGTAAATTGGCAGAAGAGAAATCCGAGCATGAGGCCGAAGTAGGCGAGGCCGCTCTGCCCGGGAGTAAAGGAGTAGTTGTTTTGGAAAACGGTGCCGAGAGTGGCGAAACATATCATTCCGTAGGCGTTGCTGAGGGCGCTGTAGAAGCCCACGAATGGAACTATGGGGGAGAGGAAAAGCATTTTGAGGGGTCGGATCCAAGCTGCTTTTAGAATATCTCGGGGAGTTTTCTGGTTTGTGGTTTTGTGGCTTTTGGGTATGTGTTTCTCCCCCTTGCTTTGCTTTCGACTTAGGACTACTGGCCCATAAGTTTCCTTGAGAATGATGATAGATAGAGAAAATAAAACACCAAACTTTTGAATGGTTAGATATTTGGAAATGCTATGTTCAAAGATAACTCACAACAATCAATGTTGAATAGAAAGTCCATCTCCAACTTATATTTTCCACAATATAACCACCGATTACAGGACCTAGAATCATAAATTAACGATATAAAGTGAGCATAAGAATGAACACTAACCAATCGTGGGACCCTATAAGTAGTCAGCGAGAACCTATGTTTAACACAAGAGCGCGATACAATACATACAACAACAGGACCTGCAGACATAATACTCAAGGCAAACCCTCTCCTTTCTCTCGGTATAAGATCAGCCACTATGGCCGGACCCATGAGCACAAACGTGATAGCCGCAAGGCCCATAACAGCACGAAACACAATGAATAACGGAAGACTCCTGCTCGAACCACATACAGCTAGAGCCAACATAAAACCAATATACCCAGGATATAGTACCGTCACATGACCATATAATTCACTAATGGGAGCGATGACAAGAGGTCCTAAGCAATAGCCTATGGTGTAGATAGAGACGGTGAGAGAGGCGATTGAATCGTTTGTTGAGTGGAAATCGGCCATTATGGCAGGCAGGGCCGGTTCGAATGCTGAGGTACATGTTGCTCTGCAATTAGTTAGCTACCCGTGTGAGTTGTTTACAGTGTGTAGGTTGGTGGTAGACTTACGCTATGAAATTTGTGATAACAAGGAGTGATACCGTCGTCCATTTGCGCATAGAAGACCAGTTTATTGGATTTTGCGGGTCGACTGACCAATTTACGGTAGTCAAGTCACCATTATTGAGATCGTGCTCATGCATGATAGGCTCTGTGGTCTGTTTCTTCTTATCGAGAACATCATCATTTGAAGGATAGAGTGATGATACCTCAGTGATCGTGATGTTTACTTCACAAATCGGGTCCGTACCTGGGGTAAGTTGAAGTCCTGATGACATTGCGATAAGTAATGAATCAGAATAAGAGGGAATCCTAAGCACGCCACAATTTTTCAGATTGAACCGTGGGACAAACCAAAGTTACAGAGACAACTGATGTGGGAAACCGGGTCGAAGTATCTATCTCAATACTCCAGATATTTCACACATCTGATAAAGTTCCGTGAGATATGATTGAGCCTCTTCACAAGATACTCTGATAAATTGTTAGGTACCTTTCGTTTGTATAGTTGGTGGTACTACCTTAGCTGATAGTATTATTCAACGCAAGCTGATATGTATCAAAAGCATTGAAGTTGCAAAAATCGTTGAAGGAACGTTTGATTTGGTGATACATACTACGTAGTACTGAAGCAGGAATTATTGTATTCGGTAACCACAACAACTAGGTGCGGTAGTAAGATCTTACAAGAAGTGGTAGCACCATCAATTCCGCCGATACAAAGCTTAATAAAGCCGTCGAAGCCGGGGAATCTATGCCGGATCTTGTTTTTGTGGACGTAGACTACCTCGTGTGCAACAGGAGAAACTCTTTTTGCTCGTTGCGGGGTGGCAGTGTGGCACAATGTGAGACGAATCCTAGCTAGCACCACCATATTGTATGTACTTTCTATTCCGAAGACTCAAGCTTTTTTTGCATTTGACAGATGTGCGGATGACTTAGCCAAGGCTCATCAATCGGCTCGTTTTCTCGTGGATTCACATTTTGATCAAATTCTGTGTAGCATGGGTGGTCGGTTAAGTAGTAACCTTCCATCTTATCGAGTTATTCAGTCTGGAGGGGGCCAGTGAAATAATTATTATCACTGTAGAAAAGATTCACTGATTAACAAGCATGTTGCCAGTGTAATAGATTCTAAATAACCAACATTTGCAGGACCAACATTTGCAGGACCAACATGAAGTCAACACTCTCTTCAAAATCAATCATGAATCATTTCGGACCTATGATAGCTCCTCCCTTTCAAGTATTCTGAAAAGACATCCCAATTAACACATTCGCGTTTGGATTGTGGACTTGCGTTCATGTCATGTCTAATATTACCAGACCAGTAGTAGGGAAGCGGTGCTAGGTCCGGCTGACAGATCATGGATGAACGGAGAGATTCAAGGCAATGTACTGGAGGTTGTTAGTTCTCTGCTATATAATGTAAGAAAGAAATTGTATTTCAACTTACATGCGTGATGTCGATCGTCTGCTCGATCTTCGTCTGTCCAATTGGCATAGTAATGTTCTGGAAAGAAGGACTGACGGAGTCGTCTCTACATGGCGAGGCTCAATAGTAAGCCTATGATCGACTGATAATTGGGAAAGACTTCATACCAGACAATGAAGGTTATGATGAACCGTAAGAATGACAGCGAAATTGTTGTCTGGTAAAAGAATACTTTTGTTGATATCTAGCCGCGCGGCTTCTTCACGGTAAAGTCGAACGCCATGACCTCGATTTGCTTAAAAAAGTAAGCCTCTAGAAGCGGAAATTATGTAGAATTGAGATACTAACGATGTATAAGCCTATTCCATGCGCGTTCTGATTCGTCGCATGGCTCTCCCATGTAAATGTCATTGGCCCAGAGGTCAGGTGAAGCTGTTTCGATCTCGTACTGGATCCCATCTGCAAATGGAGCTGAAGTCTTGTTAGGATAAAATGTCTTCATAAGCCGAATAAACGTTTTACATACTCCACAATGATGGTCGATTATTCCTTGTAACTTCTGGAAGTTTGGTGAAGTTACTTCGACTTGAGGTGAGTAATGAAGCCATGCCAATGAGAGTGAATGCCGCCACCATGCCGCACATCATGATTAGAACAGCCCATGATTGCAATCTTCTATATGATATTGATTTGAGAGACTGATTTCTGCAATGAGGACAGTTTTCATTGTCGTCGCCATAACGTTTCTCGTTGGAAAGCGACCCTCCAGTATTTTCAAACGTGATTGGATGCATGAAGAGAATTTGACAAGCGGATCCAAATGCGAAAAGACGATTTGGATAATATCGAAAGACCTATAAAGTTCAAAAATAAAGCGGAGAGTAGTAAATGATAAGAACTGGTTAAGGCTGAGTTTTGTGGAACTGTGCAGGTCATACAAAGTACTTTCGTACACATACTTACTCCACACAACAGTTCCTTTATCGCAGACTTCACCAGTACACCACATATCTGGAGTTCTGTGGAGCTGCACATGCTACCTCATCATTGTAATGTCGTTAATTGTCGAATAACAAGGGGTGATAAGATGTACATTGCATCTGTATGCCGTTGCGTAGCCGTACCAGTGTAAGGACAGAGATACACATCGATACTATCAGATGACCGCTATGCGTACAAGTTCAATACACAAATGGAGCACCGCCTCTCCTAAATACTTGCTATGTTCATTATATATACCTAGGTAGCTTTCGGGTAAACTGGTCCTTGAAAAGCCAAAGCCATATTCTATCCTTTCAGCAAGAAGGTCTTGTTCCTCGTAAACAATATCGAATTGCGTTTCAAGCGAGGATCAAACATCGAAATAAAGTCACACATTCATCATCATGCGTCTGCAATCCTTCCTCCTTGCAGTTTATTTTATGGTAGCAGCCACGGCTATAGCCATCAGTCCGAGTAAGCTACCCAACGACCTTTTCTAGTTGAATATAAATCTAATATCAAGATAGGAATCCAAATGGACGTTGAGCTCGCCGCAGAAGGTGCTCTCGATAATGGGCCTTCTTCCCACGAGGCTTGGTGATGGTCATGATGTTGAGGTCCGGATGAAGATCTATTAATGAGAAAGGAACAAGGATGGGGTAATCTGGCAGGAGGATTTTGCGTGTGGGTGACATAAACATGTTGAACATGGCTTGGAACGGTTTCGCTCTTGGGTCAAATTGGTTCAAGGCAGAGGAAGCTTACTTGTTGTCAAGCTGCTGCCAATCCATCTGAATTAATACAAGAAAATCCGGAAACATTTCTGCGTGCCAGCGTATATCTCCTGAACATTACTGACGAACGCCTCTTGCCGTAAAATGCAAAACTTAACTATTGCAAAAGTGCATACACAAACATTGCCAACTTGACCAACATATTGGCCCTTCCCAATTGACGCTGAATTATTACAGCACAGCTCTTGATTTTTTGGGATGTTCTTTCTCCCATTTTTCAGCTATCACCACTTCCCGTGCTGATCGTTCTTTCAAAGCTTCATAGAAATCCTGATAGACACCCCCAGCCTCAAGCAAATTCGCTGGTACATTTCGACCATAATCAAAGAATAACACACTGGTTTTAAAGTTTGCAACATTGACTTGTCGGACCAAAGACCACATAGACGTAATAGTAACATAGCGATCTGGAAAGACTTCAGTGATATGACTTGCGACAATCAACTATTCATTCCATCAGCCTCAATCTGGAAAAAGCATCTTAGAGGATTAAGTCGAGCTCATACGGAATCAGGAAATTTCATAGGCCTCTTGAAATCAACCGCGAAATTCTTAACAGCAGGCCCAATACCACGAAACCTCATCATTTCTTGGAATTTCTCTTTGCCCAAAAAGGGTTCGAATGAGAGAAACTCCCGGATTCTGCAATGATTCACGTATTGTAGGTATGTCGAACTCTTTACGTGATGAAGTGTATCGTGATCTTCGGCGCTCAATTTCGCAACAGGAGCCATTGCCGTAAATGGACTCTGGATGCATTTTCACAAAAAATTCAAAAAGTTTAAGCTCGGAAACAACAGGTATTGCACTCGATCAATGTCTGAAAAATTGCCAACGATGGAACAGCTCATCGTTCTATTTGTAGAAATCTGTTTACTGTACCTACCCAGTGTTACACAACCGATCTGCAAACGGCAACCAGATTTTAACTGTCTACACAGAAGTGCATTAACCTTAAAGTTTAAAGTCGTGATGTCTTCCTGGTTCCTGTCCAATTACCTGGCTACAGACAGCTATTGGTATGCAATATATAGTACATTTATACAACCTAAACCCCCATTTTTGCCTTCTTTTAAGTTTTGATATGCCCCTACTCCGCTAAGCTCCATAAATCATAGAAAATTGATGCCCACTCCGAATTGTAAGCCCTTTCTGGTTTCTTCTCCTTTCCTAACAACGATCGGTAGACCGAAATTCAATTCAAATCGTGCCACCGGATGTGCATACACCATTCCTACGCCAACCGCCAGACTTGGAATCTCTTTACCAATCTCCGCGATTGTACCATACACCTTTTTGCTTATGTCCCTTTCTGGGTTTTCGAATGCAAGGAGTCGGCCAGCATTAGCGAATAACTGCAGGCGTAGCGGAGTAGAAATATCGACACGAGGGAACGGAAGAAGGAGGTTTATAGATGAAGCGGCGTAGATGTCGCCTCCAACTGCATCTTGTCTGTCCCGAGGTCCAAGGCCACCAATTTTAAATCCACGAACGTCCGTTGGTCCACCGAGCTGAAATCTATCATTTATGCGTGACGGCTTGGCTGCAGTCCCGAACCCAAGACCTAGAGGATACAACATTCCTGCCCTGATACCCGCTGTTAAGCTTGCGCCTGGGATGCCAGGAACTTTGACCGCACCACTAGATTCTATTTCCGATTTCCAGAAGCCAATATCTCCTTTCAAAGGCCCCCAGCCCGCAATTTCCGAGATCGTTTTAAGAAGGTATCCTTGGTTCGGCATTATAGGGTGATTTCGTTCGTCTTTAGTCCATGTATGGCTAACACTGCTCTTGACTGTATCTCCTGCATCGTTGCGTACCGTGGGTGATGCTTTGCCGGCCAGACTCGTCACTTGTCTCCATACCCCATTGTAGCCAACCTGATGCGTGCTACCACCGCCAGAAACCCAGCTATATTTTATGCCCCCGCCCTTAAGGACTTCTTCGTGACTTGCCCAGGGCTTACTGGTCGCGCTCGATAAAACATCCACAGCTACTCTCTTGTCCGGATCACTCAATATTGGCGTCTCAAATGTAGCCTGATACGCAGAACGAGTTCGGGTGCCTGTAGCAGCGTTGACATTCAGAGTTTCAGCGCCTCCAAAGATGTTGCGCCATTGTGCATTTCCATACGCTGAACCTTCGGCATTCCCAAGATCAGTGCCAGTCTTTAATGTAATAACACCTCGCTCGCGCGCACGGATGTATACGTCGATATCGGAAGGAGTAGAAGAGGGGTCGGTAGGATCGGGTTTATCAATGAACATGGAGATATCGTCGTGAAAAATGCCTAACTATAGATAAGAACAACGTTGGTCAAACATCAGTGAGAGGCTATCGTACCATGCCGTCGGAGCTTATTTGTAGCTGTGCCGAGTTCCTGCAATGCTTCTGACAACGTATATGGCCCATTTCTGTTTGCACTAAGCAGAGGCTTGAATATGCCATCGAGGAATGATCTCCTTGTGCGTGAGGGGCCCAAGAGTCTAATCGAGGAGATTGTGACTGGTTTTGTAGAGTTATTGCCAATCTATTCCATGAGCCCATGAAATCATAATTGCCCAGAACTAATACATATACGTACCAGCTCCCCAGTTCTCTGGGCGGCTTCTAAAGCATATCCCATATGCTTTTCTGCTATAGCTTTTTCGAGCTCTTCTTGAGATTTAGGATCGGTTTTCAGGAGACTCTCGACGAGCTGTGTCCGGTGTACATTAGCAAACTAACCGTGCTAATATGCTTCATACGGGTAATAATACAACTCACAGTCCCTTTTGGCCTATTTGGCGTCGTCATTATTTTTATTTTCTAACTCTGCCTGAGATTATACATTCCATGCGAAGGACTCGTTCTGCCAGTCCAGATAGAAAATGATTACTAAGCGAGAGACCAAGCTAGTGCGCACTTAACTTCCTTGCCCTGCACCATTGAATCATCTCATCCCTAATAATAAAATCAAAGCATTCCATGTGAATATTCCCATCATAAACATCCAACCACTCAGTCATTTTGTTACATTTTCGAACCGAGAGAAGCCTTCCGATTAGGCTTTTTATCTTGAATACAGAAAATTATTTAATACGCAAAAGGGCATTACATCGAATCCCAAACGTTCTCTGTCGTCATTCAAACGCAACACGGTCAACGTATCCTTAAAGTCTCAAGTACAACTTTGACGCAGGACTTGACAATGGCGAGTCGAGCTGCCAACAAACGGGTACGTGAATCGATTTTTACGATTTATTTTTAATGAATTTGATAGCTAACATGTTAAAATGTAGTTAACCCGTGAATACAAAACCATCACTGAGAACCCTCCTCCCTACATCGAAGCACATCCATCCGAATCTAACATCCTCGAATGGCATTACGTCCTCACTGGACCGCCCGACACACCTTATCATGGCGGACAGTACTGGGGTACCCTTTTATTCCCTCCCAATTATCCATTTGCGCCCCCCTCTATTAAAATGCACACGCCATCCGGCCGTTTCCAACCCTCCACTCGTCTTTGTCTCTCAATCAGTGACTTTCATCCCAAGAGTTTCAATCCCGCATGGGAAGTCAGTACAATTTTGATCGGTCTATTGAGTTTCATGACAAGTGAAGAAATGACAACGGGTTCAGTCGCCGCATCAGAGGCGGAGAGAAAATGGGCCGCGAGTAGGACGAGATGGTGGAATAGTACTGGAGGAGGCAGTTACAAGAAGGATGGAACGCAGAAGGGAAATATCAAGGCCGGAGATGGCGGCGCCAAGTTTAGAAGCGAGTGGGAGGATTTGGATAAGGAGAATTGGAAGTGGATGAAGGAAAGGGGTGTCGATATCGTCACTGGCAATGAAGAAAAGAAGGATGAAGAGGGCGCTGGAAGGGAATGTAGTGGAATTGCGATGAGACGGCCAGGCGGTAGTCAGGCCGTTGTTGGAGCTGTGGTGGAAGGTGGTAGAGAAGGAAGAAGCTGGTTGCAGAGGAACAAATACTGGGTTGCTGGCGGAGTGATTTTTACTTATGTCATGATTGCAAGACTATTGGCAGAAGGCCATGAGCTATAGATGTAGATAAGGGTTGGTTCTAAGCATGGAGTTCAGGATGGGCTATGGTACTTTTGTACAACAGGTCAGCGTCACTCCATCACGGCAAGGTATACTAGGTATGTTTTGATTAAGTAGAATTTAATAAACATTTTGAGTATTTAAAGGTGCCGAATATTGTGAGTTTAAACATTTTGAATATTCTGCATGTTTGAATGTTCGATATATTACTATTCTCTCCTCTCAGGGAGTAAGTACCAATATTTTATCTTCCCATCCCGACATAGTTATTACTATTATCCCAACCATCTTCCTCGAATTGTGAATCCATTTACTCTCCCAGACACAAATAACAACACATCCTTCCAGCATCTACGCATATAAATGCAGCTCATCTTCTCTTTGTGTATTTCCCCATCAACCAAAATCCCATGAATTTAATCTTTAACCCAACTCCAATATGTGCAATGTGCAACATCCACAAAATTGCATTACCGCCAAAACCATAAATTTCAAGCTTATATCTGAAAGGGGGTATCAAAAAAGAAAGCAAATGAAAGAAAGAAACATCGAACGCCGTCGTGTATCTCTGCTCTCGTCGCGCAAGAGCATCTAACTCCAAAAAAGCGCTATATTGGCATCAACGTCTGATAAAAGAACTCCATCGTCTTCTGTGTGTTTTGGTCGGCTCTGCCTTTCCCTCCATCTTTTCCCCTTTCATCTCATTTTCATCCTCATCTTCCATGACTAATCGATATCTCCTCACGCTTCCGGCATCATCATCTCGTCCTCGCATATTCTCTGCGCAAAATCTGGTTCCTCTCTTGTCGACTGGCAAGAAACAATCGGGTATGCATCGTGCTATGAATCCTCGGATTCCTTTACCTGCTGCGTCAATCGCTGCGTATTCTAATCTTCGGGTTTGGTCTGATGTCCAATAATGGATTGTGGCTGGTGGGGGCGGAGGTGGATTGGCCGCCGGGCTGGGTGTTTCTTGGGATAGGTCATCGGATAGTGATGGGAAGTGGAAGAACTGATATTGAGGTTGCGATGATAATGTTTGGCTGTGGTGGTGCCGAGATGAGAGACTGGGGCGAGAGTGAGAGAGGGATGCGCGTTGAGATTTTGAGGAACGTTTGGGAGTTGAACGGCTGGTGGCGCTGGAGGCCGAGGAAGAGGTGCCAGAGGTGTCTTTTGGACGTGAATGTGATTTCCGGGAAGCATTCAATGACGGCCGTGTATGATAAGAGGATGATTTTGAGCCGGGCCGTGATGATGTCTTCACGTGGCTAGGTATAGAGGCAACATTCTCTGCAAAACCAGAGTCTTGACGGCTCATCTTGGTACGGCGGAATTCTTGCGGAGAAGACATGGTGGATGAATGAGGTTGCGATGAGAACAATCGTGGAATTTGTTGTTCGAGCTCTATTGGGGTCGGGTGCGCTCGCGCTGAATAGAAAACTGCAGCATCAGAGTTTATACTAGATTGACTCCTATTGTTCCAATTGGTAGTGGAACAATTGGTTGTCAAGGGGGTAAGATTCCGGTGGGTTCTGGAAGGCATATTTAAGATTCAAGCGAGGTTGGATCGTAATTATGATGATGATTTGATGCAAGTGCCAGTCCTGACGTCCTTGGATTATGGGCTTGCTCGGAGCATATGGCGGTCTGATAGTCTTCAATCCCTCTCGTAAGGTTGCAATTTTGCAACCTCCTGGTGTCGAATATTCTTTCTCGATTGTCTAAATCTTTTGTAGATCCCCTGGCAGCGGAGTTCCAGTGGATCTCAAAAATAATCTCTCAGTTTTGTACAGTGGGTACCTCAAGAAGATGTACTACTGTACTCCGTATGGACATACATGGAAGAACCACGGGAAATACCCCAATGGTTCTCCAATAAGTCGATTCCAAATCTCCCCCAATGGCTTCACTCTAACTGTATGTGCCAAGACGGCTACTCGACAAGTTGGAGGCAATCAATGGTACGTGACGCCCACGAATCGCGAGGTCTCCTTCCACCGTTAAGTTTGTTGAGCCGGTATTAAAATCGTCTGGTGGAGCGGTGGAAGATTGATCCAGAACAACTTATAATGTTCGGTGTAACTGAGATTAGATGTCGCTAGCAACCAATAAAGCCCTTGTCCCTTTTTAATCCTGGTTAAAGCTTCTGCTCCGCATCGGTTGGCTGCAATCCCCACTCTCCTTCTCGTCCTATCTTAGCGTAGCTTTGACTGCAGTTCAAGCTTCGTCTATGTCGAGGATGAAATAAAGCAGTTGATCGCACTAGAAAATAGATTGACACTTGAGAGAATCTATTCTATTCTATTATATCTTTTGCTCCAAGAAATATTGGACCCAAGAAAAGAAGAAGATTATGTGGAAACCTTGTGCCTGGAGTTCAATAAATTCCGCACTATCCAAAGATTCGAGATAGGGACTCTGTCCGAGCCTTTCGTCCAATTGTTTCTTGTCAGTGGCCACTTGCAGGTGAGCACAAAAATGTCTCCCGCCTCTCTCTATCTAGCCAAATAAATTTGAGGGTTCAATTCGCTGTAAATTGTAATCGATAGACCGCTACTGCACAAAAACGCCTCCGTTATCTGCAAAGCACGTTTGGCCTGCGGTAACTTTTGGAGTTTATTTGATCCGATGTCGCCCACGAATCGCTATGTGTGAGATATGTCTCGATGGGGTAATTTGAGGCTGTAAAGAGATTCTTATTGATGATAACAAATTCGGTTGGAAGCCCGTGTGAAGTATACCGCATCGGTGATAATGGAATAAGAAAAAGCTACCTAGGTGAAGATCAAATGTTGATGTGGTACGACACAATTACAATCACAATTGCGAAAGCATATGTGATATATAAATGCGTTCTGGCATTGAATGACAATCAGCCTTCGACAATATCAATCCATCGCTATGCGTCTCTTTTACATGTGCACCTTTTGCAGTCTCTTGACTCACCAATGACCTCGTGCCAGTTTATGCTACATGAAACTCCAGCTTTCCCAGGTTCCTTTTCAGATATTGGCGCTCCACCTCGGCATGTATTTCTGTCGCACATTATTGTGACACGCGCTTGTTCGTCTCACTCCATGGCCAATTAAGTATGTGAATTCGAAATTCGGCGCTGAAACTCAACCCTTCAAAAGTTCATTCATCCAAAAAAGTTACTCGCCATTTCCAAAAATGAAGAGCCTGAGTTTCGTGCCTCACCGCTTTTCTTCATTTAAACGGTTCACGGGCAATGCCATCTTTGTCTCGGTCTTTTGGTCTCTGTCTCCCTACGGAGATGACAGCGGGTCCACGGGTCGAAAATGTTTTGACCCGGATCAAAAGAAGAGATGAAAAGAATTGTTGGGAACTCCCTTGTTCATGCAAATCACGCTCCTATTGGAATTTGTACACGTAAATTGAGGCGGTGTACCTAGTTGTATGTAGCACAGCTTACAAGAATTTGTCGGAGAAGAGAAGTTCTCATGAGTTTGGGGATGATTAGGTACATACATACCTCTTTCTACGTTTGCTCATTCAAGCCATAAGCGTTAATGACCATCACGTTTACAGGAAGATCAGCTAAAATCGAGAGGAATGCAGAACCATCAGAGATTGTTTTTGATCATAGGTATTGATTGCAATGATCACCTCATCTTTTTAGTGGAGACACCTTTCGAAAACCTGACAGAGGAGAAATGGGAAACTCAACAGTTACACGTGACTTAACTCATACATCATCCCTTGCGACAATTCTTATCGCGAAAACTCTTCTGCAGTTACAATTGCAGGAGAGAAGTTCACCCCTCGAATCATCGAGTATCCTCGATGGAACTTCCCAAGCAAATGTCAAAGCGAATTTGCTCAAGGGAAATCGCTCGACTCTTAACCACAATAATAGTTGTGCAATCATGGGTGGTATTGAGGGTGGGCATCCTAGCGTTAAGGAATGTCCACTTTTTGATGTGAGGAACGCCTGCTTACCATCCATCTTCGACTCGGGTCAGAAATGACCATTGCATTGACACTAGAGGAATCCTTAGTACCTGATCTCATACTCACTATCACATGAGCCAGCACCTTTTCCTCTTCAGCACATACTTTCGAGCATCAAGCACAAACAAATTGGCGTGTAGTTTCCAAACATTCTCTGTAGCCTGCAGATCAAACTACCAACATCGCCGCCACACAAAGGCCTTCCACTTTCAACTTCTGCGTAATTCGATCTGATGTAGGTCGTTGATCGGGACAAGGCCGCTTGTTTGTCTTGCGTGCTATTTTGAGCAATCGATTCCCGTCTGATTTTTGAGGCTCATTCTTACAGTGGACCTTGTCCCACGTTTTTCGAAACAATCATAGCCTTCCTCATTAATCCACACCACTCCCTTGGCCAATTGAATCTTGTATCATTTCTTCACCCCGCAAAGTATGCAGGAAGGATGTATCTACCCATGTCTTCGATTATCACCATCATTTCTCATCTCAGATGGCTTACCTTAACAGCGGCTTGATTACTTTTCGCTGGTCGCTAAAAGCCATCTGGAAAGTGAAGCTGAAACGCATTGTCTCATCATTTGTGGTGAAATTGTGGAAGATTAGGCTAGAATACAACTTCTTTTGGCATTAACAGGAACAAGGACACGCATGAGGTGTTAAAAATGTATATTTCGACTACCACAATTTTGCAACAGCTCCAAAGTTTCGAAGAAACCTTGTTGAATCCCAGTAGCAAGTCACCCATCTCTTGGAAGATCTTAATACTATATCCTCCCCGGAAGTTATCCGAATGTTTGACATTTTATTGAGTCCGGCCTCCAACGATTGCACAAATTTGATAGCTCATAGGGGTCGAAGCGATAGTAGGTTAGCTTCAAGTCTTATGCCGGTAATCTGCTTCCACCCCCGAACTAATTTGTGGACTTCCTCTTATTTTCTACCAAGACACAGAAGGCTAGTTGGTCTACTTTGCAAGGCTTTCCAATCTTCATCTCTGATACAGAATCCATATTTTTGTCTTTGACTCGCTGAAGTAGTTTTCCGGCCTCGTCGAACCATCTTGATTGGCTATGGATCATGTGATTTATGGGGCACTTCATTTCTTACAAGATGCCGGCGCGTATTTGAGTAGTATATAGATTTAATCGTCTAATTCCATGTCGGTTTTTAGGTAAGTAATTTGTGGGTAGTGCCTGCTTGACATCTGGACCGTCCTTTCTAACCCTTAGACAATTCGCGCCAGGATTGGGACCTCTAGACAGACTCCACTGCCTTTGCTAGGATCGATAAGTACTAACCTCTACTGTGAAGAAGGCAGTTCAATCTAATCTGGATTATATATGAGAGACTTCTGCTTCCTTTCAGCTGCATTCAATTCGATTTACATCTGTACTAGCACTTATCTCATCCTCGTCCTACCTCAGATACTCGACACCGTGTTGCCCAGTAGACGCGCACAATTACTCCAGATTTCTCTGCAACGCAATTACGTCTCTACCGAAAATGTCTTTCAACGTCTACATGGTCGACTTCCTCGGCGTCTCGCGCGGCATCTTCGTTCAGACCGACGAATGCGGAAGAGACAGCGGTCATCTTTATCAAGTAATTGGCGACATGCAGAACGGCATGATTCATGCACACAAAGAAATAAAACGACCAAGCAACTCCAGCAGGTTCATCGGCACGGTATCTACATCTCAATACTCGCAAGTTCGCGCTATCTGCGACTCTATCACGGCAGGACCGCCGAAAATTGATCCTGTGAATTCTCTCCGTCATTATCAAGAATGGACGAATAATGTGGTAGAAATGCTCTTTGCTAGGGGAGTTTTGCAGACACCCAATCCCTTATCGATGCCTACACAATTTCAGCATGCCTCGAGACGTGTTGATCAATGCTGCTCGCCAATAAATGATAGCCGTAGCTTTGACTGGTTGAGCGCGAGTCGAATGCAAGCTCCAGGGATGGCGATGTGACTAGAAAATTTGAAAGTTCAGTTTGATTTATTGCTTGAGAAATGGCGTTTGGATCTTGCAGGTTATAAGCAGGGAAAAGTATTATGGGATTTATGGCGGTGTTGGAGGAAGCTAGCACCTCAGTTGCAACAGAATCCATGCTGCTGCTGCGACATGGGATGTAGAACACGTGTTCACTCTTTGAATTTCAATAATTCTAATCTATTTTCCCATGGATTAACTTTTGCGTTTACTGTGATCTGGAACCTTCATTGTATATTTTTACTTGAGTCTGTTTTCATGCCCGCTCTACAACGAAGTTTGATAATCTAGCCTTGCACACAATGATCTTGGATGTTTTGACAGTAGCACCGTTTTTGTGGGCGGAGTCCATCTTGGGAATTGCGGAATGCCATGAATTATCTCCCAACTGCCGAGGTTTTTCTGCATCTTCCCAATTCCACCATTGAAAGCATATGGCTATGTAATTTGAGAATGCATGACTTCTTTCATAATTGTTCCACCATACCATATTTCCCTGTCTAGATACTATAAGATAATTTCTAGAACTTTGTGCACTCAATATTTGCAGAGAAATTTCGGGGTTTGCTAGCGATTTGCCGCTTGTGAAATCAAACATTGAAACAATTTTCCCAACACGAGCCCTCAATAACGGCCTCGTCGACCTTTTGGGCCCTTTTATTTAAAAGTAGAGATATACAGCTTTGTTGGTCGTTTTCCATATCTTATATCAGCACATAGCTCCTGAAGGCCAGTACCATGTGGTCGTTTGTGAGGTCGAAGGCTCAAGCAGGAGAAGTTTTCCTCCCTGCCTTCTGGCAAACTTATGGTCAGTTTGTCGGCCTATAAGAGATTGTGACGCCATATATTGGTATTTTTCCTTCCAAAGAAAAAGAGTATCTTGGGACATTCAAACGGTCGAAGAGAGCAAGGAAGCCGCCTCCAAAAAGCCATCAAGATGTCGTCTCCCCTAGTCTTCAAACACACATTTTTGCCGTTCTGTTTTCCGCGGTCCTAGGCACATCTTTGTTAATCACATTCGACAAATACTGGTTGCCAATCCTCGAGGCTCAGTTACATGCCTTCATTGCTATAAAGTCCAGATTTACCTTTAAGTTATGTCTCGAACTCATTACATTTTATGGGGAAATGCATGCGAGATTCTTTCAAACGTCATATTTCAATCTCTTTCTCTGGATATCAAGCCGAAGAGTGGGTTTAGACGAGCTGTTACTACGAAGTTTAATCATTTTCACTGTTTTTCTCGCTCGACGGAACCTGCAGAAATTATCCGACGTCATCATCGAAATTTACCGGGTCGTGCAGTACAAATTGTAAGTAACTTCGTATCTATCAACAGAGCATTCTACTCTTGATCTCAAACCCTCATTTCTGTTGTGATTTTGTGCATCTATTCATTTCTTGATGCAGTATTAACCCCTCGTCTTCCTTCAAAACTCTCCAAAAAATGCACCAACTAACTTCTCAATCTCACAGGGTCGAATTCGCAAAGGAGCGCACTACCAACGCTTCAAAGAAATCGTCGCCGAGGTGGAAAGAGAAAAGCCCAAAAAGTGCAGAGATAAGCATCTATACTGGATAAGTCGAATCATCACCAAATCATGCACAAACATAGATAGAGACGGCAAACCCGATCCTATAATCGAATGGCCCAAAAGTTCCGCACTGCTCGAGGAATACCTATTTCTCCGCAAAACATTTCCCGATCCAGCAGACTTTCCCTATCGAAAAAAAGGGCCCGGTCAATCTTGGAAAGTCGTAAGGCGTCTACATACCGGTAAGGAGTTCTTAAAGAACATAGGAAGGAGACTTGAAGTCGTTGTACCAGATGATGATAAAAATGGACAAAAAGGTCCTTTCGATCACGATGAACTAATCATCCAACCCGAACCCATGACTCTTCACAACGACGCATCTAAAAAAGCTAAAGAAGCCGAAGAAAAAGCCAAAAAGGCAGCCGAAGAATCGGATAAAAAATTAGAAAGACTCTTAAGACGAAACAGATATAAAAGCGAACGAGACGAAAAGAAACATCGCATCAAAAATAAGAATCCGGAAAATCCCTATGCGCCGGGAAGAAGAGATGATGAGGAGAGTATCGTTACTGATAGTGATTTTGTGGGGAATTATAGGGATAGGAATCAGGTGGATGATGAGCCGCCTTTGGAGAAAATACCTAGGGTGAGTCATCGTCATCGTGAGTATGTGCGTGCTGGGAGTGTGCGGAGTGATGATTCCTATAGCGAGTGTTCGAACTCGTCGATGGGTTCTGTGTGTGCACCGTCTGTGAGGAAGATCTATGATAAAGGGAGTGGGCGTCATAGGAGATATTATGGTCATGGTCATGGGTATGGGCATCATTCGAGTGATAGTAGTAGTGATATGGGAAGACCTCCCAGTGTTTATAATCATCCTCCGCCGCATTATGGGGGGTTTCGGTATGGATAGTAGTTGCTTATTTCTTAATGTTCTAAAAACTTGAGGCTTAATACTTATTTGGATAGTTGGTATTTGCTGGTTTGAACTTTGTACAAGTGTTTTAGATAAGTCTAATACCCTACTTTTCGGCCACCCCTAATCTCAGCCACCTCTTTACACCAAAAATCGTGATTTTCATCTGTTAATAACTTTATAATCAATCAATTTAATTCAATGAAATTTAGATCATAGATTCATTATATAGTTATTAATAAATTCTGAAAATTTTAGATTTTTATAATCGATTTCGTTGAGAAATTGAAAGTTGAAATTATAATTTTCAATTTATATAAAATTTATATACAAATTTGAAAATCATTAAAACTTGAAATAACTTTTCAACGAAAATTACTAAAAATATATTATAAATTTTTTTCGAATATTTATATTATAATTGATCAAATAAAATAATTTAAATTGAAAATCGTAATTTCAACTTTCAATTTTTAAATCAATAAAATCGTTAAAAATCTAAAAATTTTATAATCCATTAATAATTATATAATAAATCTATAATTTAAATTTTATTAAATTTTATCGATTAATTGTGAAGTTATTAATAGTCGAAAATGATGATTTTTGGTGTAAATGGGTGGCCGAGATTAAGATTGACTCGTCAAATATATTAGCTTTTAGGGAAATGACGGGAGTAACAGACACGCCGCAAAACGAGTGACTGATTTGTGTATAATATGGTTCATAGGTTTAATTGAACTGCTAGCTTTACTCTATTGTATCGTTCACTGTAATTTCAGGTCATAATTCCTTGAGAAATGTAACATTGAAGTCACCAGTACCAGAGTCAGCGGATTTAATGACACCACCGATAAATTGACCGTTAACAGGCCGAAACTATCCGAAAAACAAAATTTGTGCGACTGAAGTAATTTGGTGTGACTGTGATTAGGAGCATCCTTGTGTTTCGTGGTACAACTTGTTCGGAGCCATTGCCTTCAAGCCAACCGCCAAATTCGAAACCTTTCAAGGAATCGCCTGATACCCTATGAAAAATCTGATCTCCACTTGAACACAATGAGTATCCTTCTTGGTTTTGCGAGCAACCATGCAGATAAACCATCAAAAACTGCTTACGACGCTTCATCCACCTTCTGCCAACTAAAAAAATCCAAAATCATACGAGCGACAACAGAGAGCAATGGAAAACCCCTCACATAGTTCCTGCGCACCAGCCTTTACCTCCACCAGAATTCTATCCACGAAGGATGCCACAGTTTTTCGGTGTGATTTCTAAACTAATCGTTGTGTTTCGATGTATCCTATGACACACAGCCTTGCTGCAGCACTGACAGCAAGATCTGCCCAAAAGTTCAGGTCCGAGCGATTGGGAATAATTAAACGAGGGAATAGGAGTTGTGGGACCTTATGACCTCGTTAATTCTTGTAGAACTTTTCGTTCGGTATTCACCAATCTACTGATTGAGAATCGATCGACTGGGAGAATAATCGCAAGGCTAAAGTTCCCCTCAAAATATATATCATGGTGATCTTTTCCGAATCTTCCCATGTGGAAGGATGTTCTTCGCCTTTATGCAGGCAGGTCCGCATTGTCCGAGCATTTGTCTCCTGCAAGATGAGAACGGACGAACATCTTGAATTTCATTCCAAATAACATATTCCTACCGTAGCCCAGCCCCTAAACATCATTTAAAGTTCAGCCATACTTTTGAGAGACTTTAAATCAAGAGTTTTAGTCGAATCGGAGTATTCGGACGAACTAAGGTTCATTGCTGTTAGCTAGTGGTCCTACCACAGACCTGATCTACGAAAGGTATCTATTTCTCCGAGACCTCGGGTTTCATTGGTAGATGTGACTTGGCCAATGACATAAGAAGTCATAGCACATACCTAATGTATATAATAGTGTGGTAATGTGTTCTGAATTTAGGGATGGGTTGCCTGCCGACTACCGAGAAGCAGGATTCAAGTTTATTATTTACGTGCAAAATCGCTGAACCTAAGCATCACAATCTATTCTAAGATACACAAGAAATTATACGAAAGTTAAGAGCTGCTATGTTCCATTTGAAAAGTCGGCGGCTAACATCCTGAACCCGAGAAATAGTAATAGTTAATGACATGCATATAACGCGGTTACATCAATTTCCGAAATTGAGGTTCAAAGTCCCAACGCTCGAGTTTTGACCCTCTCCACGCAAGCGAAAGCAGATCCTCCACAAAATCAATATTTATTGTTCCCGGGCACCGGAATCAAAAGATTCTAGCGTGAGGATTACTCGGTAGGTCCCACATGGATTTATCTTTCATGGGGTCCGTCTATCTTAAGATCGCTTGGCAAGGCGTTAGGCTCGCTCTTGCCGTGGAATTGTAGAATCAGGGAATATTAAGATGTGTCGTGGCCCAGGTACGCCTGCCACCTGCCTACCTATGTTTATCGGTTTATCTCTTCATATATACCAATAGATGTCGTTTACATACTTTCAGTCTCGGAATATATCGAGGAGGGCTAACGTCTAGCGTCATACCCACGTTGTTGTTGATGATTTTCTTTTCTTCTTCCTAATGAACAACACTCCTTTGATATATCATGGCGTCAATTCCAATAATGGATCTTGTTTCTCGTGATAGCCACGTTCTCGGCGTGAATCGTGGAGCACAAGTGACGGGTGTTGCTTGTGCTTCTTTGGCCCTGCCGTGGATCGCTGGTGTACTTCGGATTTATGTCAGGACTAGAATTCAAAAGTTCTTTGGATCTGAAGATTGGTTGACTGTTGCTTCTATGGTATGTCTAAGTATTCCATCACGATCCATGAGGAATGTTACTGATATCATGGATCATAGACAATACACACTGCCCTCATCACACTTTTATTGCGATCACTCCACTTTGGACTCGGTGCTCATATATACAATATCAGTCCAGATTATCTCGATATAGTTGCCAAGGTGTGCATACTTGGAACAAGTACATAGTTGGATATAAAATTAACTATCTCCAGTATATTTTCGCAAGTGAGCTTCTTTATGTCATCACCATGGCTATCACGAAAGTAGCTATCGGGGTTTACTTCCTACGACTTGCCAGCAAGCGATATCAATTTTGCATCATCTATAGTGTTATGGCTATGGCACTTTCGGTCAGCTCGGCATATTTCATCTTCGTGCTATTGCAATGTCAACCAATATCTTATTTCTGGAATATGTTCGGCGACGCCACCGGAACTTGTTTGAGCACATCAACTCGAGCTAATGTCACATATGCACATGCTGCCATGAGTGCTGTAACGGATTGGGCTTATGGTATTCTTCCAATTACATTTGTTTGGAAGGTAAAGATGAATCCCCGCACAAAGCTATCAGTTGTTCTTATTCTATCTCTCGGATTCTTGTAAGTAATATCATCCTCAATTCCACACAACTTTTCCCCTAACATCCCTATAGTGCAAGCACAGCAACACTAGTACGTATATACTACATCAACAAACTCAACCAAACCACCGACTACACCTGGGAAGGAATCAACCTCGTAAAATGGTCCATCGTCGAGCCCGCCATCGCCTTAACAGCCGCATCCTTCGCAACTCTCCGACCCCTCTTCAGTTCCCGCTCCCAAAACCAAGCCTCGAGTCTCTACTCCAACAGTTCAAACCGTGGTAAAGATTCCCAAGAAACGCTCCGCAACTCCGAAGACGAATGTTCGCAACAATTCGCCGCGATGTTGGGTCTAAGCGAGCGATACGGCGTGCGCACATACGTATACGCAGACAAGAAAATCGTACCAAAGGAAGATGTGGAAACGCAACGATTGCAAGCAGCGTGGAAAAATGAAGAATTGGACGAGTCGATAGAAGCGAGTGTTTTGCACGGAGCAAGCCAGGCTGGAGGTGGTAGTCGCTCGACGGGAGAAACTAGTCCGACGGAGAATAGTGCTGCGATTGATTGGGCTAGTGGATGTAAGACGACGGTTATTACTCAGACTAGTGAATGATTTTATTTGTTTGTGGAGATGAGATACCATTGTGCTTGCTTTGTTTTAGATTTGCTGTGTTACTTTAGCGGGAATTGGGAATTGGGATCTTTTTTTAAAGCTCTTTTATGATGGATGGTATTACTTTCAAACTTTATACTTTAAAGTGTATATATATTCAAAAAACGATTATTCGATTTTAAAATACTGCTATGGGTTCTCATGAGTGTGTACTGATGCAGATCTGATGGAATTAAGCTGGCTTCAACGATACCAACAGGAGAAACTTAGACATATTCAATTCACATTCGTTATTTTTTTTACAAAATGCGAATTTCGACTATATCTGACTTTCTAAAACATTTATTGCGGATATATAAGCATTACTGACCTCAAATCAAACAGTCGACATTACTGTACTATCCCATTCATACAAACAGGGACCCTTAACTCCACAAACTATTTCTGACAATTCGATATAAAAGCCTGGGAAGATTCACTTCCGATACTACTATCCTCATGCATTGTCTCTTCTTCAGATTTCTGTCGAAATAATAAGTACATCATGAAGATATGATACCACCATCTCGATCACCGCTATCAATCCTTTCATCCACACCCTCATCTTCATCTTCATTCTCATCCACATCCTGTTCTTCCGATTCAGATTCAGAATATGAATCTAACACTTCATCTTCATCCTCATTAACATCATCCCCACTTGACGCGGATACTTGCTCCCCGCTCGGATTCCCCATTCCCGCTTTCCTTCGTTTCCTTTTCTCTCTGTCACTACCCCGCCATCCTCTCTTTCCCGTAATTGGCTTGAGAAATCTATCCGTATGCACTGCTCCATACATCTCTTCATCGCTATCAACACGAAGAGCATCAAGATTTCTTTTCGAGAAATTGTGTTCGGTCTGAGCGTGATTCGATAGCTTAGCCGCTGTCCTAAATCCTTCTTTGTTTCTTTGACATTTGACAACAGGGCAGTAATAAACTCTATGCTTTATGGTTGTAGATTCTTCATTTTTCAGGGTTTTGGTATCGGATGCTGAGCTCGACGATTCATCTTCGAATTCATCTAGATATGGTCCAGATTCACCAGGTTCATCAAAATCCGGTATCATTCCTGGATGATACTCTTTAACCAAATCATTTTTCCCTCCTGCAGCAGGTCCCTCAACCATAGTCCTCATTATCACATTCTCCCCAAACAAATTTGCACATCTTTGCGTAGCTCTGGTAATGACATTCGGCGAAAACCCAACCAATGCAGCGGAACCTAGTACCTCACTCCAATCCCTAAGACGTAGCATATGCTTGCGTGTGTTTTCTGAAACCTTTCTTGGTGACTTTTGAGAAGATACTGAGCCGGGTGTCGTTCCTCTCTTGGGTGTAGTAGGTCTTCTTGGCTCAATTGATGGAGCGAAAACAGGTAGTGGTTTCTTCTGAATTCTGGCAACTCGAGTGAGATATTCATGTTGTGTTTCTCCTTCTAATCTTTCATAAACCTTCATCGGTCGTCCTCGGCGGGTTGTCTTTGCTCGCCAGAGGTCTGGGTCGTCGAGACCATTCTCGTTTGGTGTAGACTCCTGCATTGGACTGTCAATAGATTGGAATTTGCGAGGCCTGCCAACTGCTTTCTTCACAGGCGAATCTTTATTTGTTTCATCACCCCCAATACTAGGTGCACGTGAACGAGACTCTACATCTGTGTCGAATTCAGCTTGAGAGGCATATTGTCGGCAAGTCTTGCGTGCATAATGCAAAGCCATCAAGACATCGTCCAATTTCGAAAGTGTGTGCCTGATCGATGGTCGTAGCAAATCTTGAGAGCGCTCATCGTCAGCTGATACCACGGGTCGGAGAATACTTGCGTATTGAGATGGCTCCGACAACTCCCTAACGCTCTCTTCTCTAACTTGAACGTCGCCCGATGGCTCTTGTCGCGGTTCATCAATGCTCATTTCCTCTACATCGTCATCTGCTGCGTGCCCACCGTGATCTTCGGCAGTCTCTCTTGCCAGAAATCTGTCTCTTGCATATTTTAACGTGACTCCCATCAAAACATCTTCCAAATCCCTACTTAATTTCACAACTTCCTTTTTCCTCAGAGTAAACTTTTCATCTTCATCGTCCGGGCCTATCTGCTCGCCTTCCCTCGGCACCTCCCTCGCCTCAATCGGCCACGCAGTCCATTTTTTAGAGGGCACAAAACCATTCGATTCATCTCGATCTTCACTTTCATCATTCCGAACATCTTTGGCATTGAGGTTTTTGGCTCGCTTCTTTAATGCGAAAGCATTGTATAAATGAACACTCAAATCTCTATTCCGGAGTTCATCCAGAGAAGCCGCTAGACCACGTTCTTCTTCAGTGATTTGGTGCCATGTTGAAGCTGGTCCCTTCCAACGATTTTTACGGGGCGGGGATGAATCCGTAAGTGTCGAGTTTGTTGGTGATGACATGGTGAAGAGTTGTTTTTGATGACCCTTGTAGATGTTTCGTAGAGAGCTTTCTACCAATAATACGTCGACCAGAAAAAGCTTTCACCGCCTTGGCGAACTGTGCCTACCGCTTACCGTATCCAATTTCAAAACACCGGCATTACTTTTCATGATTGATGAATGTCCAAGGAAATAAACCCCAACTAGTATAACCTACAAAAGCACCAAATTAACTAGAGATTTTATTTTATTATTTCAAGATCGCTATTTCTGACGGATTCAAAAAACTGTATTTCTAAATCAAAGTAAAAAGTCTTACTAAAGTACCTAGCTACACATGAGTTATTACCGTTCGTTTTACACCTCTGTGACGGGTCAATCCAAATGTAGAAAGTTTTCGCCCTCAAGTCATGATCACATACATTTGGATCATGAGCTACAGCCGTTTACCGTACTTTTAGCATATTAGTGAAGAGGTCTGTACTTACTTTCAAAGATTCATAGTAATTAGAGCAAGTAGTCCACCGAGTGGGAAAAAAATCTCTCATTAAGCATTAATAATTTCGTAGTACATATTTGAGTGCCAGACTAGGTAGATTGAAGGCTAGGCCTCCGTTCGGTGACCGCATCACCACACACCATCATTTTAATTTTCAACTCGCTCCCCACCCATCAGCTCCCACCCACCACTTGGGAGACTCCTCTGCTTCTGAAAATATACTCAGCGATCACAGATTGTGTGGACTGATCTCTACTGCTAACATGGCTACCAGGACGCGAAAGCTATACAGAGGCAGATTTCTTGAAGATATCCCCGAAGAAATTGTCCAACCTCAAATCACCAAACCGGACTCGGAAGACACGCCTAGAAGCCGAACCCTACAACCAAACCTTCCAGAGTTCTTAAGTCAACAAGCAGGCTCACTGCAACCCTCACGAATCCAAACCTCTCGACCTATAGCTTCTGAGTCCTCGTCTACAATCCCATCCTCGACCTTTCGCAAATCCTCGACAACAGCCTTTTCACAGGCCCCTTCCGAGATCCCATTTAAGTGGGATAATCCGCACCCTTTTGGTGTCCAAAACGAGAACCATTCCGTACGTGAGATTCCTGTCTCTCCCGAGTGCCCAAGGCAATCGAAAAGACAACGTATTTGCTACATCTTTCGCGACATTTGGATCGAGATCGAATCACGAATTAAATGTGAAAACAAGCTAGAAAGGAATGCGAGAAAAGCACGAGAGGTGAGAAGACGCGAGAGTATTGCGAATACAGCGGTGGCCCTTGCGGGAATGGAAGCCCAACTAAAAAATCATAAGGAGAGGGAAGAGAAGAGGAATAGCGATGCGCTAGCAAGAGCGAAAGAAAACGAAATTGAAGCGAAAGCGAAGGAGGAACGTAGAAAGGCCGCCGTGAAGCGTAGTAAGGGAAAGGAGAAGAAAGAGCGCAAGGAGGAGAAAAAGCGGGAAAAGGAAAATAGGTAATATTTCGAACAGAGCCAGAAAAATACTATTCGCAGACTGACCATGACAGGAGGTCGACATCAAATTAGTAGAGGAGAGATATGTTTGCATATGCATGATAATTTTCGATTCAGAATAGATACCACGTATCACATGTCTTGGTTTAGATATGCGGACTCCAGACCTTGATATTAGGACTGTTGTGGCTGTTTGGTCTTGTGTGCGGTCTCGGCCTGGTATGGGTTAAATGGAGTCACATAAGGAACTGAAAAACGGCTTGGCAATTATAAACCGCAAAATCCAATTGCTTGGTACTATAATTAAATCTGTCTGGCTTCTTTACCCTTCATTTCTGGTCGTTCGACTTCCCATTCGTCTCTGAGGACGGCATAGAGTAAATCGGCAACCACCAGGACGCTCCAGCCAAGGCTCCATACGAGCGTGATTGCATAGAAAAAGTTGGCGTTTCCACTTCCCGCATAAATCCACAAGTAGTAAAAGGCAGGACCCAACAATGTTGCATATAGCACCGTTGAAGAAGCCAGGAAAGTATATCGCATCAACGGGAATAGGTGGCTGTAGATTGGAAGCATCCCTAAGAATAACGAGGTATCTGATATCGATGGGTATGGCTTGAAGATTGCAAAAATTCCAAGGAGTATTGTGAGCACAAAAAGAGGCTGGCGTCTCACCCGAATGGTCAAGCCTCCAACGTACGAGGAGAGGTGGAGCCAGAATACACCAAGGAAGAATGACCTAAAGGAGTCAAACATTTCGATGAAGAAATACCACCACAATCCAACATTAGGGGTGAGATCAGGAAGTAGAAGTTGGACGCCATAAGTAGATGATAAAAATTCCCAAGATCCTGTGATTATATAGGACATGTGCAAAAGCGAGTATAAATACACGCCCACAGCTACAGCATTGGTGGCCATGAAGAATGGCAAAGACTCTTGGCGCTTGCTAGGACGTTGACGATCATAGCATAGCAAAGCTAGAGGAGGGAAGAGAAGTACGGGATACATAGAAAGGTACGCTGCGAATGCTATGGCGAACATTGAGGTATAAGATGCACCAGCCAATGCTTTGGAGATAGCATAGAGTATAGCACAAGTTGTGAATGTGCTTGTTGGACGACCAACGCATGTTGCGATGGTAAATGGATTGAAAAGAAAGGCAGCAGCAATGGCGAAACTGGTCCATCGTTTATCCTTCCTAGGAGAAGTAAATAGCCTCGAATTTCCTGCCTCCCCAGACTCTGCTATGTTGATCAAAGCATTCGCGCTCAAAAGGTCGATCAATATGTATAATAGATACGTGAATGAGGGATATATCGAGGAGCTCGGGAGGAGAGAGAAGAGGGGGAGGAACAATGGTGCCTGATGGTAAACACCTCCATCGTATGGGGAAACATTGTGATTATAAAGAAAGAGGCCCTCTTGTACTATGAGGAATTAGTCAAATGGTCTAATGGCCACATATATTTATGGAATATATACATCTCTTAAAACTTGTTACTGGTGTAGAAATTTCGACTCTGGCTGTCAACAAGTCTGGAAGGCCGGGGAAAGATGCAAAGAGTAGCAGTCGGACAGCGGCTGCCGTGCCAAAAAGAGCTGCCTTCCTCCTATCAATACTCATGATTGGCATGTGGGATTGAGTTATTAAGGTATTGAGCGAAAGAGTGAAGCTCAGATTATGATATATCCCGAAGATCTTAACCCTTCATTAACTTCATTTCACTTACTCACTGGCACTCACTTCTTCACTTCACTCACTCTCCACCAATCGATTTGTTGTGATGTTCTGTTCATTGGGGTCAAAGGGTCCGTGCAAGGCGGTGAAATAATCTATCCAATAAGCAAAGCTTCCTCGATTGATTAGCGGGCGAAAGAGCATGGAGAACTAAAAAAAGTTCTCTGCTGGGTAACTTTTTTATCAGCACGACCGAGAAACCCCCTCCAAATACATCTCCATCGCAACAGCAACAATGGGAAGAATCAAGAAGAAGGGAACCTCTGGTCAAGCCAAGAACTTCATTACTAGAACTCAGGCGGTCAGAAAGTTACAAATATCGTAAGTACAATCATCAATTGTCATGGGAATAGAGCTCTTCCTGCAATTCCTTTAGTCGCATTGGTGCTGTTTCTATTTTTTCTTCTCTCTATCAAGGCACTAATTGTCGATTCCTATAGTCTCCCGGATTTTCGTAAGTTATGTATTTGGAAAGGCATTTATCCTCGGGAACCAAGAAATAAAAAGAAGGCATCAAAATCCTCGACCCATTCTACCACCTTTTACTACACAAAAGATATCCAATGGCTGTTGCACGAAAAGATTGTCGATGCTTTCCGCGAGCAGAAAGCTTTAGAGAAGAAGATTTCGAAAGCTTTAGGGCGAGGAGATGCCCACGACGCTGCAAGACTGGAGCGCAATGCATCAAGACCGGAGAAGACTGGAAAGACTAAATATAGTTTGGATCACATTATTCGAGAAAGATACCCTACATTCATCGATGCGCTACGAGACCTTGATGACTGTCTGTCGATGCTCTTTTTATTTGCAAACTTGCCTTCAACCTCGACTGTTCCTGCAAAGATGATTGCAAGATGCGAGAAGTTATGCTTGGAATTCGAACATTATTTAATTGTCTCAAACAGCTTGCGCAAGTCATTCTTGTCTATTAAAGGGATCTACTACCAGGCCACGATACAAGGACAAGATATCCTGTGGCTAGTACCTTACAGATTTAACCAACGAGTTACTGGAGATGTGGACTTCCGAATCATGGGCACCTTCGTCGAGTTTTACCAAACTTTGCTAGGTTTCGTTAATTTCCGTCTCTACACTTCCGTTGGGTTGGTATATCCACCAAAATTTGACAAGGCGAGAGATGATCAAGATGCAGGTCTAGGAGCATTTTCCTTGGAGGGGAATGGTATTGGTGCTATTGAGCAACCAAAGCAGATCACCAATGGTGATGCCTCAAAGCCTGATCCTAAACTCCAAGCAGAGATTGACAAATTAATGCTCCAACTCAATGCTCCAGAAAAGGAGGCCGAGGAGACAAGCAAGACTTCGCCTGATGGCGAAGAGGAAGAACAGGCAACTGAGACCATTGATAAATTCGAGCCAGCCGCACCAGGTGGTGATATTCTTATGCAGCCTTCCTATTCTGCTACAGATCCATCGACTTTGTTTTCAAAGTTTACTTTCTTCTTGTCAAGAGAGACCCCTCGCCAATCTCTTGAGTTTATTCTTCGGGCTTTTGGCTGCAAGCGTATTGGTTGGGACGCAGTTCTTGGAGAGGGTGCCTTCACTCATAATGAGTCGGACCCGTCAATTACCCATCAAGTAGTTGATCGACCACCTGTGCAAGTTCAACCCGAGGAAGAAGAGGAAATAAAGGAAGACAATCAAACAGCACAGCGTTTGAGACCTGGGGCTCGTATTCCTGGTCGTATTTATATTCAACCTCAATGGATCTGGGATTGTATCAACGATGAAGAGCTCAAGAGACCAGACCTCTATGCACCGGGTGCACAATTGCCTCCACATTTGAGTCCATTTGTTAAGAAAGTACGTGGTCAGTACGATCCATCAGCTCCTCTTGAAGATCAAGAAAGAGAGAACGAGGAACTTGAAATGGACAGCGGTAGCGAGGATGAGGCAGATGTTTCAGATGATGAGGTGGCCGTTAAAAAACAAGATCATCTTACAGCTATGGATGTAGATGAGACTGCTGAGGGTATGGATGTTGCTGGATCCGATGATGAATCTGATGAGGCACCGGAAAAGGCTGATGATTCTTTCGGTGGGTTTTCCGAGGCGGAAGACAGTGAAGATGAAGGAGAAACAGCCGCACTTCGACGTCAACGAGAACTTGAGGCTGAGTTGTCCGGCGTGGCTTTACAAGAAAAGGAAGTTGACCCAAGGGTTAAAGCCAAGACGGATGCCAAGAAGAAAGCAGCTAAGAAGGCCAAAGAAGAAGACGAGGAGTTGGAGAGATCTAAGATGATGATGAGCAGAAAGAAGAGGAAGATTTTGGAGAAGATGGTTTATAGTAATAAGAAGAAAGATGCTGAGGCGGAGGCATTAAGAGCCAAGAGGAGAAAGATTGAGAAATCCGGGAAAGCTGCTCCAAGGGAGTAAGAGGATAATAGTGGCCATTGTAGCTAGAAAAGTATGGCGTTCATGGCTTGGATCAAGGAGTTTTAACCTGCATTTAGGGGCTTATTAGTGTGGTTATACCTGTGAATATTAGATTAGCCAATCTTTTTTTATTGCTATAAATGTCAAACATAACTTTTGTGATGTTTCTGACTCTCTGACTTACTGTAAACTTATAGATTTCTTGATCATTTTATTATCCTGCTTTGCTAATAATTATAAATGATACTGCGAATTGTGATCATGGATAAAACAGGGTCTCATTATGACTATTTGGGCATAGTCAGGCCTTTGAAACAGTAAAATCATTCCGCGTCAGAACTACCGAATGGCTGTGGATCAACATCCCTCCAGCATGTGAAAGCTTAATCTGGTGATTACACGGAGTTTAAAGTAATCTTAACAATTTACAACCTTCAAAACCCGCATCTATTGGACAACGTTCCCTGTGCCAGCAACTGTTCAACATGCAATAGCAATCTTTCTCATAACCTGGATGCTATTGCATACAGATAGCTCAACCGAGTGAAAACCATGACATCCCATCCTACCCTTAATGCCACGACAAGAAACAGTTCTAGCATTTCTCCGATCGAACGCCGGAAGACGTCAAGCACATATTCGGGTTCGAACCAACGATACAGTAATGACAGCAGCGAGACAGGTGAATCTAGTACGGTAGCAAGCAATCGAAATAGCTTTGCGACAAGCACCTTGAACGAAGAGGAAGGAGAACAACAGGAGGACTTGGATGGAAGCATAGTGGACAGGAGCAGGAAAGATGGCAGAAGTAAAAATAGGGCTCACAATAAAAGTCGAAGCGGCGGAGGGTTCCTGCTTTCAAATTCTCTCTTTCATCGCAACGGGGAGAGCTCGTCCACGTCCAATGCGGAACATCAATCTCGCAGCCGAGGATTACTTCACGACTTAAAAGGCAAATCAGCAGACAAAAAACAGAGTAAAAGGCAGTCGCGAAATAGTATTGGAGTGGGAAGTCCCCTAGCTGCAAATGTGACCAGCGCTCCCACGACTCAGGAGATCGAGCGGGAAGATACGGCCGACGAAAATACGACGCCACAAAGCGAGCATGGGCAGGGCACAGAAGCATCCGAGAAGCCTGTTTCGAATGGACTAGACGTGGACTCCGCTCAGATTGTTAATTTAGCTCTAAATCTTAGTGAAAGCAGAAGGATCGCATCGAGACGCAATGTTTCTACACCAGTACCTCCAAGCACTGCAGGCTTCCGAGATGAGATGGCAGGAGGTAGCCTACGTCACCATTTACAACAGCAAAGGAGGGTGTCTAGGAATATCTCACCAAAGCCCGACAGAAACGATAGAATGCTCACAAGTCCTCCACGTCTTTCATCAGGAATAAGAGGCAGTCCTTTACCAATAGCACTAGATGCATCTGAAATTACCTATGAATATCATTTCTCTGCATCTACCTTGGCAAGAGCAGAAAAAGCCAAGAGGGTAATTGAGCTCATGGCCCAATACCGTCGATTGTTACAATATGTTCCTCCTTTGAAAGCTGGACTTCTAGAGACGAATCAGCATAGCAGTCCAGGCTCGAGTACTGAACATTCTCATCGCGTATTTGGGAGGGAGTATAATCCTTTACAGTACATAAGGAATAGAAAAGTGCGTGCTCGGGCTCGGATCTCCATCGATGGTGAGGCAGAAGAATTCGGAAATGTCCACAAGGTATCATGGTGGGTTGACGAGGTCTCAAAAGCCGCTTTAAGCGACATGTTTGTCAATGGGAATCATGTAGCACTGCCGCCTTTCTCCAGGGCTATAGAAGAAGGCCCTTCGCCACATACATCACCTCGGTCTGCTGGTAGTAAGAATCAGACAGCTCCCAAGTTGGCAAGACCAAGAATCGACTGGGCTACTAACCCTGCAGACATGCTTGCAGACATCTATTGGATGGAACAGGGCGACAACAAGATGTTGATCGAGGATCGAAATGGGAGACCGATATTTCCTCGAGGCAGGCAATCTATTCCACGCAGACCCGAGGATTTTGATATTCTCACGACGCCGGATCATTTCCATCACAAAAAGTCGAACTCGGCTGTGGACCTTCGTATCGATACTAAACTTCCCGATTTTAGATCTTCTAAGGCTGATTCAGATAAACATTTAGAAAGTACAGCCTCTAAAGTTCGGCACAAGCTACACGACGCAACTCACCCACAACATGGCAGGAATAGTGCAAGCCGCGAGCGTTCCCGCTTCTTACGATCCAGGAGCCGATCTAGCTCTGATTCTTCTGATAGTGAGCATATAAAAAAATTCTCAAAACGAAGACGTCGTGGGACGAATGAAAGTGAAGACGATTATGGTAAAGACATTCTTGAGAAGCAGATGCTGGAAATGCTTGCGAAAGAATCAGGAGGTTCGAATTGGACAACACCAAACAAGATTGATAGAAAGGCTTCTGTTCCAGCTATTGAAACGCCAACGCTTCCCGTTCTCCGGAGCGGGGACAAATCTGATTCAAGTATAAGCCTGCATCAAACAAGGACCGATTTGAAAGCTATCGACAAAGATTCTCCTACTAAAAAAAGGCGCTCATTCATACCTACTACATCAGGTCGACCAAGTCTTGAAGTACCAAGCCTTAGCCCTCGAAACTCTCTAGATGGTCTTGACACTACTGCACCCAATTCTCCACAGGTCCGGGCCTCCAAATTATCTAATTTTGTTCCCAGCATTGGGTTGGACCTTTCATCACCGCGTAGTCGCCGGTCATCTCCAAATAGGAAACGAGCATTATCACGGGTCAGGTCCAAGATAAATCCGTTCCGTGAACACAGCAGAGACCGTGGTGGTGAATATGAAGCAGACAAATCTCGCCTTTCAATTGATTCTATTGGTTCTATAGGCTCGAGAATTGATCCAAGAGAGCATATTCTTGAAACTATGAATGTTCGTAAACGATCTATGAGCCCTACGAAGAAAGGTATAGCAAGAGAGAAAGATGAGACTTCAAAGCCGCTCAAGAAACAGACTAGCCTACGGAAGGCCAAAGGCGATGAACCATCTGGCATTCGAGGATTGTTCAAAGGCTCTCGTGGACCGGTTGCTAGAGTTAGTGAGTTTTTGTGGAAAAAGGATGCGAATAATTCTGCTGCGTCGACCGATGAATCTGACATGGAAGATTACCACACGCCAGTGCGCGAAAACGAAAAGATAAATTTCATTGATAGGCAAGACTCGGGACCAGTAGATGTGGAGGTGCCGCAAGACAAATCGATTCCAACTTACATTAATGATATGCCTACATTCAAGTCGCCTTTGGAAAACCGTGGGAGGTCCACACAGAGCCGCAAAGCAGAAGCAGTCATCGAAGCAGAAACTACAGAAGTCGAAATTTCATCTAGGTCAAAACTTGAGCCTCCTCCAAGGATTGAGATCGACGGGGTTTCACCAGCATCGTCTCCAGAAGGGGAAAACCGGCGCATTTCCGATGTATCCGATATCTCAACCCGCAAAGGGAGCTTCACCCGAGGTGGTCGTAGCGCGGACGCTCGACTCAATGCCATACTTGGATACCCTGGTCACAAGGTCAATACAATGCCAGTCACTGGCTTATCACAAATCGAAGCCAATGAAAGTAGACGCCCCTCACTTGATGCAAATCGAAGATGGAGTCAATCTGATAGCGGAATATCCGTTCATCGTGGTCCTATTACGAGACGTGACATTGCTTATGTCAAAACCCGCCTGTATAGTTCCGGTGTCAAGTCAACGTACCTTGCACGCCGGGCCGCAGAACCAATAGATTTTCGAACTGCGCAAGAGAAATGCTATGAAGGTATCGGTTCTCTTACCAATAAGTCTCTTCCCCTAGTCCCCAGATCGCAACAGCATATCCTAGCAGCGAACATTATTCGTGATGATATTCAACTTTCAGGCCGGTTATGGCAACGATCTCAAGAAAACTTCTCCATGAATACTATTCAAATGCTATTGAACGACATGGGCGCTCTGCATAGTCGCATAATGGATAACTTAACTCCAATGGCGAGAAAGGCAGCGGATGAAGCGGATGAGGTGTCGAAAGATTTGGTCACGAGTCAGATACTGGAAGTCAATAAGTTGACAGCTAGGATGGATAAGATGATCAGAAGAAGGAAGCGAAGGTTTAGATGGGTGAGAAGAGGAGGGTGGGTCTTGGTGGAATGGGCACTGGTGGGAGTAATGTGGTATGTTTGGTTTATGGTTGTGTTGTGTAGGGTGGTTATGGGTATTGGTAGAGGTGCTGCAAGGGCTGTGAAGTGGTTGTTTTGGCTGTAAATATATTACGGTCTAATTCGTCTCAGGAAATAAAGGGCATTGAGAGGAGAGAGCATTTCACATTACTATTGGAGTAGCGGAGAATATAATAACTTACATGATACAGTAAATTTCGCGGCGATGGCTGGAAAACAAAAGGGGCAATGGATACATGGGATGGACAAATGGTATAGAAAAAGGGCACGGATAAAAGTTTCTTTCGTCGGAGAATTGGAAAGAACACTTTAATATCAATGATACCCGATAATCTAGTCTAATACAATTACATTTCAAAATAAGAGAGGATGAGTAGTACACTTAAACCTCTTTGTGAATCATTTTCAGTATAAGTTAAAGGTTATGCTTTGTTATGCTAATCAAGTATTTGAGTAGTTCTGGATGAATGAAGTCTTTGATGTTCTTCTCTATCTTTTCCTTTTATTTCCTTTATTCTTCAGCCTTCCATAATCCCATTTTAAACCAAAGTTTTTGATGCCTCTTTGTTCCAGAATTTAATTGTTAGTTTCAACAATCCCCGAACAAGTTACAACCTCCACTATTTGACCTTCACTGCTCCCACTGTCTTTTCCTTCAGATCATTCAATACATCCTTTGTATATATACATACTACAACAAATCTTCCACAAACAGACCATAACATTTCGCCATATTTGCATTCAATTACACGCACTACAAAACAAAAGGTAAGATATCATGTCATACAGAACTCGAAACCCCGTATACAATACCGACAATGGCGAAAAACCTCCTCCATCATTAGATGATGAGAGGATCAGCCCGGAAACATTCTCCAAGCTAGCTGCTCTTGATCTCGAATCTGATGCAGAATCAGACTCTGAATTCGAGGAAGAGTATGAAGATTACCAGGAACCATATTACAGACGTGAATACAGATCAAATCAAAATGAATCATATGGAGGTAGTTATAGACCGCAAGCTACTTCTGGAAGAGATGAGTATTGCAGACCAACAGCTCCTTATCCACCTTATCCACCTTATCCATCAGAATTTGATGAGCATCTTGAAAACCTTCGAGGTGCCCGGGCTGCCGGGTACGCTGCAGACAAAGAAGATTATCGCAGACCCCACGTTCCTTATCCATATGAAGACCAATATGACAGTGGAAGAGACCCCCGACGATCAGCTTCCCCTCACACACAAACCAGATATGAACCTGATTCTACCTACCAATACTCATACTCAACCACATCTTCAAGCCGCGCACGAGCAGAGACATTAAGAGAGTTTGAGGAAAGAAGAGATGAGAGAGAAAGATTAAAAGAAAGACTTCAGACAAGAAAAGAAAATCGGGAAGAAAGACTCAGAAGACAAGCCGAAGCCGAAGAAGAAGAATTGAGGAGATTAGAAGAGCATTTGCAATATGACCTAGCACAAGAGGAAGAACGTACTAGAGAGCGTTTTAGGCAGAGACAAAACCGCTCGAACCAGGGGTTTGATAGTCATAGTAGATACCAAGCCCGGGAAAGTTCCAGATATGAAGAATCCAGATTCTTTGAATCTCGCGAATCTCGTCCTCGTCCTAGCTATAGATCAGCTCCTATGTATGGAATGGATTATGAGAGAAAGGAGGTTAGGGTTCCGGAGCCGAGACAGGGAGAGACATTGAGAGTTAAAGTCCCTAAAGGTTGGAGAGTTGTGGTTGTGGCTGTGGATTAGGATGGATGACAAGTATAAGGTAAGTCTGAGTATAATGTTCCTTTTGTTTTTTTCTTTGGCTTGGCTATATATCTTTCTTAGAGTCAGTTCCCCAGAGTCAGTTTCCTGGTAATAGTTTCCTAGAGTAACTTTCCCAGAGTCTATATAGAGTATAGATGTTTCCTAGTGTCACTTTCCTAGAGTGTATACAGAGTACATATATTTCTTGGTTATATTTCCTAGAATCAATTTCTTTAGAGCAGTATATAATCTACGATGGGTAAATAGCAAGTCCGGAGTGGAAGTAATAAAATATCATCTTTTTTGTTTAAACAAAATGTGTATAATAAAAATGTGAATTGTGTTTCCGTAATGTGCGTTTATGATTGCAATTTTTCTCGGGAGTTTGATGGTCTCAAGTTTGAGATAGGTCATGTATTAAGAGAATAGACTTAGTGAGTTTCTCAAAAGCTACATGTTATGATTATCGGATCACAGACGAGTATAGAGCAATATTCCATTAGAAATTATGAATCTATTTAGCACGTTCCAGCTTAGTATGATGCGGTATATCGTATCTTCAATCTCCTTTCCATTTCGATATTGATTCTAGTTTGAAGTGCACACATTGAAATGTATTGAAGCTTTACGCTGGAGATGAAATTATTTGTAGTTCTCACGAATTGGCAAGACAGGGCAATTCCAGGCCCCATGTACTTATTACCAAGCGGGATGAGCATCAATAAACCTTTGCTATCCAGACGTGGAGATAATGTCTCGTGCTCTTCATATATTGAAGAGTCTATTATCACCATACATTCTCGTCAAATTACGAGTAGCAGAAATAGATCTCTAATACCTGCTTGCCTCGGGAGAGTGTCATCTAGAGCCTTTAATTGCGGAGACTCTTGCACAACATTGTCTAGTTGTATCACATTAATTCCCCATTGTGATTTTTGGGGATAGACAACAGACCAAGGACGGAAAGTGAGAGGAGTATTCTATACAGGCTGAATCGAGAGGATTCGGGTCCTTTCTAAGAACAAAGGCAATACAGAACAATCCTGCAGTTTCCTTTGTTTCATACAGAGCAATAAAAATTCTTTCTGAATTTATGAACAATGCCATTATTTCACACCCCTTTCCTGAACAACACCATTCGGTGAAAAATAAGTAGCACTCCACCCCATTCTCCTCTCCTCCATTTCCATATACCAAAATCACTTACACTAACTAACACCAAGATAAACACATACCAGCACCAGCTTAAGTAATCAAAGTTACTGAAACTAACGCACACCAAACCCCAACCCCAACCCCAGCCCCCAAAGCCAAAATGCCAACCCAAAACATCAGAACCCTCCCCCGAGGCCAATCCCCAACCCCGCCACAACCTGCCACGCCGAAAAAACCTTCCACCATTTCTGCGGCCACATCACCACAACCTACACCCAACACTCCCCCCTATGCAGCGCCTCCCAAAACCAAGACGCACCCAACCAATCGCGACCTGGTAGTTCCGGTTCCGGTTCCGGTTCCGGGTCCACCGGACCACGAAGCTCAACCCTAACACAAACACTCACGCGAACAGTAAGTCAATCCGCCACATCTGCCGTCGAAGCTTTAACCGACCTAGCTCGTCGTTTTACAGTCCAATCGACAAATTCGAGAGAAATTCCTATTACTTCTCTGGAGTTTTCGTTTGCCGCTCGGGTGCCTTGTCTTCAGGTGGTTGATGAGCCGCTTTATGATCCTGCGCCTTGTAAGAGGTGTGCGGAGTCGATGGGGTTGGGGGAGGGGGAGAATGCAGAGAGTGAGAGGGTGATGACGGAGAGGGAGGAGGAGGAGTGGGTGAGGAGGAGGGTGAAGGTTGAGGCGGATATGAGGGAGTGGGTTGTTAGGATGAATGATTGGGATGGTGGGGTTAGGGTTTTGAGGAGAGATGTTGATTGATGATTGTTTGTTGGTGGTTTTTTTAGGTAAGTGGATTTTCTTTTTTCTTTGTTTTGTTTTTTTATTATACGAAACATTGCAAACTTAATAGTAGGAGTTTAATCAGGTGAGTTGTTCAATTATATATCTGGTAAGTAGTAATAATATATTTTTTTCCTTTTTTCCACTTATTTGTTTTTCATGTGAAGATTTTGTGTAATAGTTATCTTGATGAATTATGTGATGTTTGATCGACCACCTGTGGAAATGAAGTCGAACACTAGCTCAAGTAGTTTATACCCCTTTTATAATACTAGAATTGAGATGAAATGTTCTCAATTTGTATACTAATACTTCATCTGCATACTCACTGGTTCAAGTTTCATATCCTTTCCGCATTTGTAATTATAAAAATAAATAGATATCATACTATACACATCATGAACGCACCAAGTCCGTTAGCCACGAATCCCAAACGCCAATCCGCACACATCAATCCTCCCTCCAATCAAAAACATCACAGTGGCCAGATCCTAATACATCTCAAGCCAATCCAATGAATCCAGCAAGCACAAGACATCCTAAACCCTCTCCCCCACAACCCCAGCCCGATTTTCATTCGTAATCCCCCTACTTCTCCTCCTCAATCTATTTCCCGCCTTCTCCCTAAATCCACTATTGGTAAAATCTCTCATACCCTGCGCTTTAATAACTTTATTTTGCTCCAAATCCTTTTGATCTCCAAATCCCTCCGCAATAGCCGAATTCACGCTTCCTCTTAGCGCTTCGCCTGCTCCATGGATACCCCGTGCTGCATTCACGATATTTTCTCGTTTACCTCCTGGACGGGAGAAATTGACGTTGGATTTTGTGGGGCTGCTGGGTATTTGTTGCTCGTTGATTGGCATTCGGGGTGGGTTAGCGGGAGTCGTGTCTGCGGTTAGGTTTTGGTTGTGGATATTTTGGTTGGTTTGGGGAATAGATTGGGGATTGGTGGGATGGGGATTGGTGCTCGTGCTAATGTCGTTTGCTAGATTGGGGGTTTGGGGATCGGTAGTTTGGTCTAGCATAAGAGGGGGCACGCGATTGGAGTTTCGGAGTGGTGAACGTTCGGGGATGATTCGGCCACCACCGGTGCTATTTCTTCGGAGTGAAGGCTCCCCTTCTGGAGGTATGGATGTCTGAGTTTGTTGGGAAGTTTCGTTTGCAAGTAGAGGTGGTTCATTCGATGGGTAAGTGGTTGAGGATGCAGGAGGAGGGTCAATAGATGGGTCATATGGATGGGTATGGGTTTGTGTTGTACCATCATTATGAACTGTTGTAGTGGCTTTTTCATGTCAGATTATTCTTCAGTACTAGACGGATCCATTTTCAAATACTTACTAGTAGTTGTTGTAGTTGTAGTGGTAGTCGTAGTTCCAGGATTTTGGCTTGAATTTTGGTTTATCCGAGTATCTGCGCTCGAGATATTGCTACTTCTGAAAGAATCATTATTGCGATTATTCAGTACCCTATTTTCTTCCTCTGAGGGAATTGGGGGAGCTTCTGGAGGCGGCTCAATGCGAGCTTTGTCTTTATGTCTGAACAAACCCATTGTAATGGAAGATCTAGTATGGAACAAAATTAGATTAATTGTTCTCTATCTAGATATTAGAAAAGTCGTAGAGGGTTGCGCATAACTTAAGCTCGTGAATTCTTCCTGACGTAATGATGCATCGCTATCTCAAAGCAGGATATGATTGTCGATCGCTACTACGTCTAGAGGGATGGCGGGTGTTGCAGGGGATTGAGCCACATCTTTAGTGTAGATAATTACGTAGCGCCACAAACGTGAGTAGATGTGGCGGTGTTGATGTAGACTAGAACAGAGAAATGTAGAGGGGCATTTTACCTTTTGATTTCTTTTCAAAATCAGAATGTTGAATGCTAACACTTTGTAAACCTTAGAATATACTACTTGGTTAGACCATGCTTTGCTAAACACTGGAATCAACTTCGCCAAAGTCACTACTACATCATACCAACCCCCCATACGTAAGCGAATAATCAGACCAGAGTTGCGTCATGATGCCCATTTTCCAATCCAAACATTCATTGCATCCAGATTCCAAATCTGAAAGAAATACAATTATAACTCATGAATTAGGTTCTATTTATTATTTGAATGTAATTTTCATATACAGCTGTAGTTCCATACATACAAGTTCACATCCACGTACTCAAAAAACACAAATAGAACTACAAATTAAAATCACAGAACATGCGAATCCTATAATAAACATGATCAAATACATGCAGACTACAATAATAAATAACTACTTCAAAAAGAAAAACCAACTATTTAACAAAAAATCCGTGCGTCTCCCTACAATTTTATTTCTCCAACTGTCCAACCCTTCACATTCGAAGAACTCCAAATTCAAAAACCTACAAAGCCCCGGACATCACCGGTCCAACTCGAATCGGCGACAGCCTAGCACTCCTCCTCTTCGATTTTCCCACCCTCCCAACCGAACTCGCACTCGCACTCCTACTCCTCTTCCCCCCATTCTGCGCATTCCTAAGCACCAAGTCTCTCCCCCCAACATCAGGAAGACGAGCATCCACTCCATCACCAGCAGGACCAAATTCCCCCTTATTCTGCAACACCCTCTGTTCCTCCATATCCGCCAAAGCCAATTCAGTCTCCCACTGCTCCCTCTCATCCCTCTCCATATTCTCCCAGCTCTTCCCTGCTAATTCTTCGATTTTTTGAATCCGCTCGTTGGCTTTTTTCCATTCCTCGTATTTGCGGATTTTTTGCGCTTCGTCGGCTTCTCGGTAGTATTCGGTGAGTGAAGGAAGACCTGGGAGGGCTTGAGCGGCGGTTATGGTTCGTTGACGGAGGAGCTCGATGGGGATACTGCGGGCGTGGAAAGAAGAGGGGATTTTGGGGAGGGCGTAGTGGTCTATCGGTGGTGGAGGGGGACTGAGAGCGGGAAGATATTTGGACAGACCTGTTTTTGGTGGGGGATTGAATTCGGGGACTGGGGAGTAAGGAAATTAGTATCTTGGTGAATTATAGAGTTAAAAAAAGGGAAAATGAAAGGGAAACTCACCATCTTTCAAATCCTCCTGGATCCTCCAACTCAAATAAGCCTGCTGATAAGGTGTCTCCCCAAATGGGAAATTGGGCAGCCCACCCCCAATATGCCTCGGCTCTTTCTTCTGCCTCAATGATTCCATTTTCTTCTCCTCACTTGATTTCTTAGGAACAACCACCTTTGTAATCTTCGCCTGTAACACGGGTCCACTATCCCTAATAACCTGTTGACTAGTAGGACTCTGTTCACAAGGTGGCCATCTCCGCATACTGAAGTATTGGCGCGGTTGATGATATTCCGTAAATGTACGGCCTGCTACCACAGTACGTACTGGGTTCACAAGTCGATCTCGTGCGAAGCCCCACACTTTTTCATTGATAGGGAACCGCGATTCCCAATTGTTGTTTAGTTCTTCGATGACTTGTGTTTGGATCATTAGGGCTGCGTATTGCATTCTTGCTTGGAATGGGACAATAGGATCGAGCAGCGTTTCAGGGTTGAGACCATGGTCGGTGAAAATATCGGGAGCGACTTTATAGAGGTCAGATGCGATGCGGATGAGGGTTATGTTATTCGGGTTTGGATTTGCACGGGGTACATTTGGTTCGCCCGGGTAGAGCTCTACGCCTTCTGAGCGCTTTATCGTGTTCCCATAGCTGTGACTGACAATTTCGAGACTCAGATCTGACGTGTAATGTGTTTCGTCCAATGTGAGTTCTTCCGTGTACATAGCGATGGCCCTACCGAATTTGAAGGAAGCCCTTTCCATAAAATTGTAGATTTTAGGTTGGATAATGGGAGGTCCCGTGAAGCGATCCGCGTTGTATTGAACAGTGTAGGTGTTGGTATCATACTCATGTTGAATCCCATACGTGTGGTGTGCTCGTGCTCGGCTTTCTACATACTTCATCTCGGGGTGGCCTGTAAGTGCCACTCTTGCTACGTGATCATTATCTAGCCCCTCTTGTATATCTACTTCGTCAGCTGGCTCAAAACTAAACAAATTAGCAATTTTTAAAGTCAATGGTTTCGTACAAAACATACTGTATGTGATGATATTTATGCATTCTTGTGAGGTGGCCTCTCGCACTATCCACGTCCCACGTAGGCAAATTTTGATCAAGCCGACGATTGTTTATATGTTGGAGAAGAACAGCCATGGAGATAAACTCGGTAGAGTTAACATCGGGATCATATCTACTGGTCAAACGAAGATCCCTCTGCGACTCTGGTATATCAAAAAGTTGAGGAGCAGTGGGAGGTTGTCCTGATGACCAGTACGGAGGCTTTTCTGCTTCTGGCAGGGCTTCAATATCTCTTTCAAACTCATCGAGAATCTGCCGAGGCATATCTTCTGCTTCATTTGCAACCCGAGGATATGGAAGCCAATGACAATTCCAAGATGGTTCACTTAATTCCCGAAGGACACCAAGTTCTTGCGGTGTCAATCTTATCTCTAAACCATTTGCTTCTTCGTAAAGAGCATCGACTGATTCACCAGGCTCAAAATCTACACCCCTCTGGACACGTGCAAGAACCGCAGTCAAGAATGGACGTGCAAAAACCTTAGCTGCATGTAACAAAGCGTTCCAAGTCGGAGTCAAGTTTCCCAAATATTTGGCAGCAGCGTCTTGGTATTCGAACATTGTCGGAATGGCAAAAGGACCATTATAATTAGCTGGCGGAGGCACTAGACCTGGGGAAATCTTCATGATCTTTTCACGAGCATCATACCAATCATCATCTTTCCATCGTGTGTATTCAACCATGAGTTTAGTGTAGTATTTCGTGTCCAATTCTACAGGTCGCTTGCTCGGTTCAAGTTCCATTGATATTGGTACTTCCGGTAGAGGTGGCTTCCATGGTGAAGGAAGTACAACACGACGAAATCGATCGCCTGGTCGACGCTGCTCATAATTTGAAGCAAGAAAATTTAAAGCCATCTCAATCGCCGCTCTCTGGATACCCCTTCTTTCAGCCTTTGACTGAAAGTTTAATGTGCCTGTGTCATAACGAGAGGTTTGTTTCGGGTAGCCTAAGATAAATTGTTGCCAGTTTTCCTCTCGGTTACGATGGAGACCGGTGTCAAGATCTGGTACAAGAGACAGAGCGTCCACTTTTGTAGGATGAATTGTCATGGGTGAAGGCGGTTCAGTGGCGAGGTAAAAGACTCCGGGAAGATTGTCCGTATCGACATCTGTGCCAACAAAATCTACACTCTGTAAAACAGTGATTGTTTTATCCTTGAGCTTGGATTTCGCGGCAGCCTTGACTCCCAAGATGGTTCGTCTCTCCTCCTGGCTACACTTTCGCATAAGAATAGCCCATTCTTTTTTCAAGGCGCCTTTACCAATGACATCATTAGGGCTAACTTCCGATATTTCTTGTTCGAGGTAGGCTAATTGTTCTCTCATGCTTTGCAATGTCGGAGGACCTAATACCCTCGTGTAAGTTCTTCTCAAGTCCTGGGACCAACCTCCATCAGTAGAATCTCCCACATCGCCATCATCTGGAAGATCTCGGTTCAGTTGTACATTGAGAGTATTTAACAAATCCGGGTCCAAACTTTGTTGACTTTGATATAGAACCGACGGATCTCGCTGTCTGAATTGAGGAGCTTTCGCCTCATTTTTTGCATCTGCTAAAACTGCCGGTATGGTCCTCTTTAGCAAAGCCTGGGTCTCCTCAGGCTTATAACTCCTAATCTCAATTCCAATTCCTTCGAATCCCGCGAGCCAAGGGTCGAAGATCTGAGAAAATGCTCGAAGTGCAGGATCTCTCACTTTCTGATCATCGCTGAGTGTCTGATCATACATTCGACGAAGTCTAGGATAGAAGAAAGGAGCTAGATTCTGTCGGAGTACTATCAATTGAGCGTCTGTTAGTTTACCTCCGGCTTCTTGTTTAAATCTGAAAAGCCGATGAATTCTTTCTAATTGGTTTTTCAAATCCAGAGAAAGCTCAGGTTTAGGGGTAGCCCAAGGCACATAGAAGATGAATGGTTGTAGAAAGTTAGGCGCTAACTTATGTCTTGTTGGGTCTGTCCGTAGAGCCCCCTTTTGTAATGGTAACAATACAATCCATGGTTCGCCGTTCTGCACAGTGGACTCGTCGCGTTGAAGTTCAGGATTATGGTCAAAAATAACAGTCCAGAGATTCCGCAATCTCTCGATATAAGGTTCAATCACAGCTCTCTCTGCCGAGTCACGCCTCCTGAGCCACCTAGTCTTATCTCGTGGTCTGTACGCTTTATCCCAAAGCAAAGGTAGAAGCCTGGTTCTGAATTGCGTCCAATGTTGTCCCACTTCACGAAAGATATCAGGCTCAACGGGTGCAAGTATCTCCGCCATTCTTCCCAGTATGAACCAATTGCACTTTTGTGGGCCCCCGTTATCACGACATTCCCTAAAATGAATGACGAGCTCGTCCTGCATCTCACGCACTTCCCTCATTCGTTCACCATACTCTCTGGGAATATTAATCTTGGCAGGATCATATATATCCGTCTTGACCATATCTGGCTCGTCAAAGTAGAATTGTACTTTAGGAGTAGTCTTGGCAGAGAGATGCTCCAATAGTTTATCCTGTAAATCGTTGTAGTTCTTCCAATCGTCTTTGACAACTCTATACTCCTCATCTGTCATATCACCTTGTCTTTGCCCAGTTGAATATACGTGAGCGTTACGCTCCAAGTCTTTGGCATCTGGCGTCGGGAATAATCGTAAAAAGGCCTTCAAAACCGCTACGTTCCAGTCCTTTGCGTGCCGCTGATCTCCAATTCCAAGATTAAGAACATTGTCTCGGTACATCTCCAAGTAGTACCGTACAACTTCCTGGTATGTATTGATGACAGCGGGTAATGGGTTGTGCTTTGGTTCTGCCTTAATCACCGTTTGTGGAGTGACACCTAGAACCTGGCTGCTGCCATACCAAGGATCACCGCTACTTTGAGCCTTTCCAGTATCAGAGAGACCACGAATAGGATCTGTCCAAAGGGGAATTAATGCTGGGTTATTCTTGGCGTCACCATATGCTCGGTTTTCAATTTTGAAGAGATTACGATTCTCTTCCTCCTCCGTAAGGTCCGTCAGAGTTTTCCTGGCATCCTCTTTTATGGCCCTGAGAAATACAGGGTGATCCTTAGTACGTTGTATTGTGAAAGGAGGACGATCTTCGCGGACTTGTGTTTGAGTACCATTGACCTCCTTTGTTTCTCGAATAGCAAGAGTCACTTCATTCGACATGAGCCTCGTACTATATGGCTGGACTTGAGGAGAATCTAAACATAGAGGATCGCCGAGATCTGATTTTTCCATGCGATCATGCCAATAGGCTTGTATTTCTGCCATAACCTTTGCATCTTTGAACAATTTCCAATCCCGTGGAAGTTGGTATCTTTCGACATGGGTGAGGTATTCTTGGATTTGACTGAGCTTGTCTTTGAAATCTAAGCACCGGTTCGCATCCTCATCAGCAAGAAAAGCCTTGATTTGTTCAAGGCGCTCATTAACCGGCGGTTGTTCGTGATCTTTAAAGGTGTTTGCTGGATCAGGAGCCGCCTCAATAGGTATCTCCTCGGTCAAGAACTTAGGAACTTTCAACTTCCTAGGTGGTTTGACTGGAGGTGGTGCAGGTTGGGTAAAATGCTCAGATTGTCCTTGACCCTCATCTTCCGAAGTCCCTTCCAGCTCCGAACCATCTGTTTTCCTGAGAAAGAGTTAGATTGCATGAGTGTCTGTGATATCTCCGTAACGACTTACTCTTTTGGTGGCATCTTGACAATATGTGTGATAACGTCTGCTTCCACTTCTGTTCCCAAATCTGGCCTACTAATGACTGCTATCCTACACGGACGATAAAAGCTTTAGATTACTGAGTTTACTACCAAGAATTGTGTCGAAGTCTTGCTTGAGATGTCCTTTGTACAAGCTTTTACTGTCGCATCAACTTTTCTTTCATGCGAAATACCTAAGCTTCCATTTGCATTTAAGTAAGCTTCACGAAAGAAAGATTTTCAAGGAAACAACTGATACATTCCTCACAATGAAATAATAATGTAGGCAACCATGGGAATATTTTCGGACGTACCTCAAGATATGATGCTTGCCGAGAGTCTTGAAAATTAAATAGAAATACAAAATTTGTATTTACAATGGCTACAGCTACTTACCAAGATTGTAACTTAAAACAAGTAGAGCTTCCCAACATGTCAGTCCGACTCCTCGCAGAAATTCGACGTCCAACTGATTTGATCCTTTGTGGACATGTTTTTAGACTCTGCAAACGGAGATATTTCATTCTCATATTGCTTTATCAATTATACCGTTCTCTTCTTCTCGAGTACTACCAAAAACTATCTTTCATGCTTTCTTTGTGAGACTTTCTTCTTTGTCGCAATGGATAGAATGAACTCTTTGTGAGCTTAATTGTCTAACCCATCCTAACCGGACAGGCATGAATTAGGTCGAGGTCCTCAATTCAGAAAGCAAAATCGAAAAATTATAGCTTTATAGAATCCAAAAGGTCTTTAGCAAATTCTTGCAGCGAAAAAGTTCCCCCCTCGCTGGGAAGTAAACCCAGACAGTCGCAAAATGCTAAGGGTTTAGATATATTTTAATGGCGAATGCATCAACAAATGTTGGAGTATTAAGGAATATACAAGCATAGATTCAAGAATTCCAACAGATAATACGATAGAGGGCGCTATAAATTGTTCTTTCATCATGCGTATTAAACCGCAGTACTTTCATCATTCACATAACATCCTCTACTATTCCTAAACCCATCTTCATCAAAAGCAACAGGTGCTCATGAGTTCATCCAACTATCTATGAGGGCATTCACCTTCAAAGGGTGGTTATTAAGTTGATGATCGTCCATGCAAAAGTCACGATATACGTCAATGATACCATAAGGGTTTATGTCGTGTCTTCTGTACTACAATGCAGCTGAGCTTTCAATCAAAGTCCTGTCAATCCTTCACAGAAAGCGCCTATTCAGCTTGACAGACCTCAGCATTAAACATTGTATCACTGAGTAAGTTCCAATATATGCATGAGACCTTCCCGACAATCTCAAGAAATGAGATGCAAACTTTCCTCGTCGGGAATGAATGGTGTTTTGTCTCACCAGAACTTCTAGATTGCAGATAGGCAATCATTTGTAAAGCAGAAAGAAAGCATTGTTTGTGATACACTTATCGGATATGACGAGTATCTCAAACAATCAAAAGAGCATTTGATTCTTCTCAAGCCGGATCACAGGTATCTTGTCATGATGTTTCATCCCTTTGTCGTTGCCATTAAGCACTTGCCCAATGCCTCACCTATACATCATAATAAAAGGCTTCCTTTCACCACCTTGTCCCACATCTCTCGCAAACAATCTCCATAACCCTGAAGAAGCTGCACGTACCCGAGATATACCCCTCTTCTTCGCAACTTCGTACTTACAATTCCATTGATTAATCCCCTCGGTACCACATCATCTTCTCCTGTACTGTCGATCAGAGTAAAGGGATAAAGGAAGGGTGCATGAAATGAAGTGTCGTGGTCGATGAATTATCAACCATCATCCTTTCTGTACGCTTCCTAGCTGCATAGCAGATCATTCTTCAGATAGAAATTGAAAATAAACGCAAGGAAATGAAAAGCCCAAAAAGTGGAGGGATGTTGGAACCATGTCATACTGACTGTTGGTTGGCTGGTCTCATAAGAGATAGGTTAAATTCCATAGAAAAATGTATGCATCATATCATGTATACACGACGTTTGCATAGACCCCGAAAATCCCAATTTCCTCCTATTTGCAATTGGCATCCTTAACCTTGATCGAAGACGTGCATGGATAAATTTGAATGTTTGACAACACATCCCATCCATCAATCAAATCGATCAATCGATCAATCGATTAATCAATCAAAACAATTACACTTACATCCTTTACTCAGTCGGTTCCTGCGCATGTAAATCAAACAATATTCTAGAAAAAGACGCAAAAGCTTCCATGATCATGAGCAGCAATTTCGTTTGGGCCAGCACCGCCGAAAGTCAAGGGCGAAGATCTTCCGTATCCGAGAGATGGGGTCTTAGACAAATATAACCGCATGGGGGACGGAGGTGCGTGACTGCGTGTGATTACGAAAGGATTTCGTAGAGCAGCATTGCTAGGACGAGTGCGGTAAAGCTAGGTAGGGTAGGGGAGTGTAGGTAATTAGTAAATTGTGTGTGTGCAGTGCAGTGCAGGGCAGGGTGTTTGATGGAAATGGAAATTGAAATGTTTGTGATTCGGATATTGCATGCTTACTTATTATTAGGGACGTACTTATTACTATGACTCGGATGTTATCGCTTGTATGTACTCTGCTGTAGTGTAGGTAGCTGTATCTGTAGCGAGGATAGCTTGCGGCTCTAGGACTACGGAGTTTTCTACTATAGGCACATACATGTATGTATGTATGTATGTATGTATGTATGGACGGTAATTACTTGTTTGAAACTTTCACCAGGAAGCGCGTATATTTGGTGAGGGTTTCATATTATTTAGTTGATTCTCCATTTTCCATTTTCCATTTTCCATTCTCCGCTCCATATCCTCCCCATACCATACATACATACATACATACATACATACATACATACATAGCATAACAAAACATAACATACAATTCGTTCTCTCACGCGTCAGACTGGGTTCATGCACATTCACATTCACATTCACATTAATTTGATTGCAAATCCTGGAACGCAAGTGTGGGTGGCAAGATCAAGCAGAATAGGTTTCGTGATGTGAGGTAGGTATAGCAAGGCATGGTATCAATATCAATTCAATATCCGTGTGAGTGGGTCGTAGGATTGTTGGTGTCAGTGAGTTCCTAGCTGAATTTCCTGAACGAGGCACTACCTAGATACTAGAGGTAGGTATTTTGTGATAGGATGGGGAATTTGCAATAGCGTGACGGCGTTAATACTATGTATGCTACTAGGTATGCTACTACTAGGTATGTATGCTAATAAAGATGAGATGAAAACTAACAGGATGCGTATAGTGTGGCGGTGATTAATGAATTGTCCAATGAAAGGCTTGAATTGAGAATTAGTTAATTTGTTCATCTCTTCAGCCACAGCCACCATTTTAGACCATGGAAAAGGGGATGACTTTCCAGCGTATCAATTCAATTTCCATACATACGCAGTAGTTTTCCGTTTAATGTCGTATCCAACTGAACCTGAACCTCACCTTACTCTACTCACATACGCAAACCCCCGTCTAAATATACCAACTAAACACACCTTCCAATTCCAGTTACCCAATCCAGTCAATACCTACCTAGCAATCTTCGGTGCTCATTCCACAGAATTCCCCGACCCCAAATAACCCAAATAATCCATCCCTCCTAGCCTTACAAAGCCACCCCTTCCATTCACACCATACCCATTCGATTCCGGACAGGAGAACACTACGCTGAGATACACCGAGCCGCCTTATTGGCGTCCTCTTATCCTATCCTATGCTCTTCCAGAAATTCCACTCTCGGGGATACAACAGTAAAGTGCGCAATTCCCAGTTCCATACTTACTTACACAGCGTTACTATCACCCACCAACGAAATCGGTGGAGAAACTAGGAAGCGTGTTAGATTCGCGATGAGGCTTTCTGTGTCTGTCCAGGGTTTCGCGATTGTGGCATGCTATTAATGACTCGGTATATTTTATTGAAATATAGCTATCTATCATGAGATGGGATGTTATGTTTTAGTTAATTTTCGTATAAAGCTATTTTTGAACAAAACTAAAAGCAATTGCTCGCCTAGGTCTGTTCGCAGCCCAATGTGAAGATCTCGGATTATCTATCCTCTAGTGAATACGATGACAGCCAGCCTGACATTATGAAAATCCGACACGGGTAGCAGAAAAAGGAAACAAAGACCTAGAAGTCCGCTCGTGATGATTCTTAAGATTTGCGTTAAACCTTCCATTGACTGTGTGATCTAATCCTGGCCACCTTCAGGCTTTGAACTTTGCTATGTTCTTAAACTACCTAGGTAGGTATAAGACTTTTGGATTTTGAGTTTGAGCTCTTGGAGAAAGTTTGTTCTGCCGGGCCGCTGGATATGATGTATTTGCTATAGATGGATAGGGTTTTCCTTTCTTATTCGAGTTTCTAATTATATGTCAAGATTTCTGTGCACCCGCAAGTTTTGACAGCGATGAGCTTCATATGACCTAATCGATGAACAAATCCTGAATTGAGTTGTCAGAGCCAACATTGATCATTGGGCGTACCTCCACTCCGTTCCGCGAGCTTCGTAATGTTTGATGATCCCGCCATGATTTAGCAGCGCGGAGGCAGCACTAGAGAGTCATGAAGATCAACAATTTATCAATAACTCGAGTCTAAGGCTCTAAGTATTTACAATCATCTTGATCCATGATGGACATACCAAAATACATTTTCCACATATTAGAGATTTAGAAGCACCGAGGCCTTACTGCGTATACGTGGTCCCCCGGGAACTTATCCCTATTTATACAAGTGAACATAAAATGCATTACTCCGCATAACTAAATACACAACTAGTATGTAATCTTAGCATAGCTTCATTTTATAACTACCTAGAACTAGGTAGTAAACCTTTGAATCTTCTGCTAATATAGTTAAAATAGGTCATTGATACCAAAACTCACTCCGCCGTTGTCCCTCCGCCTCACATCTCACCTCACGTCACATCACCACAGACTAATAACAAAGGCAAGGCATCCAGCAGTGGTCGGT